GTGCTGTTATAACTTTTTAATTTTTTAATTTTTTAATTTTTCAATTTTATCATTATTTCAAAAATATTACGATCTTCGCTCGGTGTTCCACTTCCCAAGCCCAAGCCTGCTGCGTACACAAGCTATACAAATGAACAGATGCTACACGGAAGAAACAATATACTCTAATATAGCGAATAATAGACGTCTCGGCTGCTGCAACTGCGGCACGGGGCGAGACCGCCAAGTATCTTGGTGAAGATCACTATGCTTGGCTTTCTTGGACGAGCAACAACGCTCTGACTTCCAAGTCTCTTTCCCGTCGTAGCGTGTCTTAAGATTGCTGTTAATAGAACATCGCAAGTCCCGAACATTGGCACGGCAGTTCGTACTCGAGGAGAGTTCTGATATAAATATAAATATCCAGCACTTCCTCACTTAACGGCTAGCAAATCAACACTTTCTTCTCATCAACAAAATACTCATATACCCAAAGCACCTCTACACATACGCACACACAGATGTACGAAATGTCTTCGCCACGGGAAGAATTTGCCAAAGCAGGTGAGTTCCAGTCTCGGGGATCTGCCCAGTAACTTACCATCTTAAGGTCGATCGTTGTCCACCACTTCTTCAACTTCTTCCACCTCCACCTGGTTGGAGCTGACCTGCCCTCGTCGAGATAGTCTTACATCGGCGTCGTCAACATCAAGCTTTTTAGAGTTGACACCAAACGCAAGAGGCTCGCAGAGCGCAACACGGACTCAATCGACGTTAGTAGACGAGAGCCGCCGTCTTTTCCTTCTTCGGGCAAGGGATCAGTAAGGATAACCGAGTCGTGTCACATGTTGATCCATGTGTAGAGATGTAGAAGCTTAGCATGAGTGTTGGGATGACGTGGAGCTGTTGGGAAGAATTGTCCGACTATCGAGCGAGCCGTTGTCGAGGTTTATACGGTCCTTTGCAACATAAGTCAGAACAGCATTGATGGCCGAGGTAAAAATGTCGCGGTTTTGCTCATGCAGGCGCCGTGAACAGGACGAAATCGTTGAATGCAATATTTTTCATCCTCAAATGAAAGAACAATGACTCGTGAACTAACCCATCTCCCATGGTCTTGACACCCTAGGTGGATATGGAACCGCCCTTTCTAGCTCGACCATAGAACCGTACCCTTACGGAGGGGCCTAAGGATGCTGTACAGTCGTGATAGGCTCAAGCTCTTGAACAACCAGGGGGCATTGTCGATCTGGATTCTGTAGAAGCTGCTAAGAACTTGATTGCTCTGGGCAAATCCTACTTCCCAGTATCCGAGTCTGACTGTACTGTACAACCTGTGACCACTCCTGGCATCATTCAGTCGCTCAAGTACCTCAACGCTGTCAACCACGAAATCCAACACACTTCCGAATGCTGAGCATGGCCCCCTCGTTCGAGAGTCCCGAACGGTCTTGGCCATTGTGTTTGGACATGTCCGAGCAACTGCTCTGTTGCTTTCCAATCCCATCCTCTATGAGTGCTCGTTTTGTGACATCCAGTTATGTCTCCTTTACAGACCAACAACGTACGTATGTCATTCAGGGCGCTATTTGTTCAGCACAGATCTGTCATCCCAAGCAATTCTCTTTCTTCGCTTGAGTATTGGCATGAGTTGTCCTGCTTACTAGACTAAGTCTGTGGTTGGTACTCGTCAGAAATTCGATATTGCTAAAAGAACTGCTATGAAAAGGCATTGCTCAGGTCGACAGGCTGGTGGAGTTACCAAAGCGTCAAAGACTGCATCAAGAATTCGGTGGGAACGATGATAACAACGCATAGCAATCTAGGCTGATGGAGAGAACTTCCAAAAATGACGAATAGCCTTTCTTCACTATCACCAACACTCTTTGCTTGCTATATTGCCGAGTATTTACGTTGGAAAAGTTGTGACGGAATCGAAGGTGGGAGGAGCATGTTGAACTGCCATTTCAAAACACCTCGTTTGAATATACAGAGAAGGATTTATTATGATGGAATCCAGATCTAAGTTCTTCCTCTGGATAATCTCCTTCATCTCCTACGAAGACTATCATCTACATTAATGTTCCAACTTCGGGTAGTCGTGCAACATAGTATAATGGTACTGATCTCTTCGTAAAAAAAAGGTAAGATCCGACCAGCACTTCGGGGTTCGTCAAACCGCGAAGCAAGGGTGACCGGCGGAGATAGGTATAAACTAACGGCGGATCTAATACAGAAGTAAAGACGACATGTCTGGGTGTGTATATAGACCATCACATTGAAAAGACTATCAAATCGAAGAATAAAGCTATATAGCTCACTGAGTACCACTATATCACAGACCTGAGTACCCACTGCACATATGATGTATACGGCTTGAACGAGCCTAAAACAATAGACGGAAGTCTTAACCAACACTTGAGGCCGACATATCGCGTGGTAGTGACATGCCAACAAGAACTGAGCGAAATTCGGAAACATCGGGTATATATTGCTGAATGATGCCGGACCCAGAACTGCCACGTTCTATGAATTGACATGGCGTCTTGTAGATTCAAATTGTGTGTCTTGAGATGTGATGAACGAGACAGCCACTCGACCCAGAAATGAATGAGAGTGACCATACTACCATGATAGGATTCTTTGTTCCTTCATTGAAAAGAGGCAGCCTGCAATTCTCAGCTTTGCAAGGCCCCCAAGGTGAATTTGGAATTGATCGCACTCGGTGTTTAAGATGAGATATGAGGGACAAAAGCACGTAGCATCTATAAACCTATGGCCTAAGCTGCAGCTACTAGTTTCGTGTTTGAGCTTCCTAGTGTGCGGTGCTACAATGGTTACTTATCCATTGTAGCCGTCTAGACAAGTCTCTAGCCGAAGACATGGCTGCTGAGGCGACTAATAAGACACTGAAGATAGGCGCACAAACTGCAAGAAGACATAAGAAGTCAAAACAATTAAGCATGAAACAATAATATAAAGTTACACATCCGGTTTCCAGCGCCGCTTGTTAGATATCCAAAAGATCCGGAGTTTGTTCAGAGATTTCGTGGGATGACTTTCTAAGCTTCATCTCCAGACAAGCGTCGTATACTCGTGTGTTCATGGACCAAAGATTGTTATGTAAATGATAAGCTGGCACCCATCGTTATCTCTATCTTTCCAAAATGGTAAATCGGTCCCTCGTGGTCTGTTCGGGAGCGGAAAGTCGTGCCACGTTCGGGGCGGTATTTCGATAGTGGAGCGCGGCATCAATGCAGACGACGGATGGAGAGAGAGATGGATGTTTGAGGCTGAAGCCAGATCCTGGCCGAGATAAGGAAGGGACGACGACGACGACGACGACGTTAGGAAGATGGGTGGTGATTACTGGAAGTAGACAAGTTTACTGCACGCCGCTTCCGGATCTCCTTCAAGGGGCGAGATGGGGAGGTACTAAAGGTAGATGGGTAGATGGGTAATGAACGGGAATGGGTCGCGAGGGGACGAAGTGGAGAGGAGGAAAAAAGTTCGAAAGTTCGACAGTAGTTCGGGGATCCCCGTTGCCCATTCCGCTGTCCAGGGCCCGCCGTCAAGCCACCATGGCCCCGCTCCCGCGATCACTGTGCTGATTTGTTCGGCTGCGGCGGGACCTGAACTGGACTGGGGTTAGGCCGTAAAGGTTCTTCACGGTGGCTTAGAATTCGGTCTAACATCCCAGCAACCTCGGCCTTGGTACAGCAGCGTGACGTCTGGGGGGTTCGAGTGGGCCTTCTGGAAGGTCGCAAACCCATGAATCGATGGGGATGGGCTTGTCGGGGCTAATTCTGAGAGCGGAAACTCTGGTGCCCACGCTTACGCCACGATTTACCTCGCGGCGACGAAGAATTTTACAGATACCGTACAGTAGATCTGTTCTTGTGTGGTGACTTCTGTCGCCAATGATTCGAGACTGCATCAATTGTTTCTCTATTAACACTAAAAGTTCTACTGAGGCAATCTCTATCTATCTAGTCGTCCTGTCTCCCTGACCTCTCATCGTGGTCTTCTCGCATGATTATGGCTGGTACTTGCATGTACCGTAAGAACTGAGATACAAGATATATGATACATTATTCTCAAATTCCAAAGTCATGGTAAAGACGATTCTTGAGAACAGAAGATCGAAGGTAGTTTACGCGCACTATTTTGGGTTTGATTTATAGTTTACACTTGAGACTTCGTCCACCTATGTTGTCTCACAAACCCTGGAACAACATTATCTATATCCCAATCTTTATGGCAACACCGAGTAGTCGTGGTTTCGTTGTTGTTATGGTAGAAGTATAGATTACAGTTAGTAGTATAGTATAGTACAGTGCAGTGAGTGGCTGCTTTCTCATCATTCAGCGCCCTCGAAGTACAAGAACTTGTGGTGGTGCAGCGCATGGCAAGTGATATAGATACTAGATACATACCTATGCTCTGATAAAATCCGACCAGTCGTCTTTAGTCACGATTATGACCGAAGGTTGGACGGTTCCAGGCTTGTCTGTTCTAGCTCTAGGGTGCTGCTGCCAAGACAGGATTGCCCCGCCCACAAATCGAATGGCACAGGGATACGCTTATCTCGTGAGGCCTGCTACTGTAGTAGTGCTGCAGGGAGTGAGTGGACTGCCATTGCGGGCGGGCTGCAGATTCAGGATGCGGTGATGCTTATCGGCGTGAATGAATCTCTTCACCAGTGAGTAGCTTGAATCCACTTCCACTTCTCTTCCCTGCCCCCCCCACCCCGGCTGACCTAGACTTTTTAACTTTCCTCTACTCGAGTAGACTCTCCTCTCTACAAATCCTTTCGTTCTCCTTCCGTCCCCTCTTCCTCTTCTCTTTCTCTTCTGGTTTGGTCTGAAGTAGTCTAGAAAGAAGAACGCAATTGCCAACCTTGGGATAAACGTCGATACACTTGACCAATGGCTGAAGCACGCAGAGACATCATGGCCGAGATTCAGCAGGACGGCGTCCACCACGATGGCGAGCTACGACATCGACAGAAGAGCGTGGGCATGGTCGAGATCAATGGCCCCGATGGCCAGAGAAAGACGGTCAACCTAGCCGAGCTCAACGAAGCCGATGCGCAACTCGCCGCACAGTTTGGATACAACCCGGTCTTCAAAAGAGAATTCGTGCGTTGAGTAGTTTTCTATTCCTTGCTGTCTTGGAGGTCATACTCAGTTGGTGCTTTGGATGTACTTCTAAGATATGGATATCCCGAAATGAAAGACGGTTGACTGACTCCGAGATTCTGACTCCAGGGCTATCTATCAACCTTTTCCTTCGCCGTCAGTATCAGTGGTCTGTTCGCCACGATTATGACCACCTTCTCTTATCCTCTGTACGCAGGAGGCTCGGCAGCAGCCGTGTGGTGCTGGTTGATCTCCGGTGCGGGTTGCATGTGCATTGCTGTAAGTTGGGCCATATACTTATAGTCTGGCTGGTCGCGTGCCCGTTGTAGATGGACGTCGATGGTTGACTTTCCACCAGTGTTCAGTTGCCGAATTGGTCTCTGCCTATCCCACATCCGGAGGCTTGTATGAAACCCTAATCAGTCACCACAAGTGATTCGGACTTTCAAGACATCGACTAAAGGTTGTAGATACTTCACAATTTCCCGACTTGCACCGCAAGACTGGGTCCCGGCATTGAGCTGGTAGGTTTTCATCCAGGGACTGACAATAATAATGTGACTTATGCTAACATGCTCAGGGTCACCGGCTGGATCAATCTCCTCGGCCAGGTTCGCTTTCCCTTGCCAATGCGCCTCTCCCTATAATAACCATTCCCTATAGATTGCTGGAGTTGCCTCGTCTGAATATGGTGCTGCACAAATGCTCCTCGCCGCTGTGTCCATAGGATCCGACTTCAACTATGCAATTACCACGAATACTACCATTGGCGTGATGGCAGCTCTGACTGTCTTGACCGGACTTGTGAACTCATTGTCCACCTACTGGATGGAGAAGATGACCAAAACCTATGTCATTTTCCATGTGCTCGTCCTTGTTTCGTGCGCCATTGCACTCCTGGCCAAAACTGATAACAAACATGACGCCAAATATGTCTTCACAGATGTCAACTCCACCTCGGGATGGACTCCTGTTGGGTTCAGCTTTTTGTTTGGATTCTTGTCCGTCTCATGGACAATGACGGATTACGATGCAACTGCTCACATTACCGAAGAAATCTCCGAGCCCGAGGTCAAGGCACCATGGGCAATCTCATTGGCAATGCTCTTCACTTACCTTGCTGGATTCCTCTTCAACATCGTCTTGTGTTTCTGCATGGGCGACCCGTCCGATATTCTTGCCAGTTCGCTTGACCAGCCAGTCGCCCAACTTTTCTACAACAGCCTCGGAAAGTCCGGTGGAATCTTTTACACTGTGTGCGGTTTCCTCATCATCAAGTTTGTCTGCTTTACAGCTATGGTGAGTGAACCACTGTTCTCCACTACTGAATACTTATGATACTAACATCCACCAAGCAATCTCTAGGACGAACCGTTTTCGCCTTCTCTCGTGATCGCTTAATCCCATTTTCCAACGTTTGGACCAAGATTAACCCCTTGACTGGTACTCCTCTCTACGCCGTGTGGATTTCCGTCTTCTGGTGTATTGCCATCAATTTGATCGGTCTCGGATCATATGCGGCCATTTCTGGTGTTTTCAACGTGTGTGCTATTGCTCTGGATTGGAGTTACTGCATTCCCATCTTCTGCAAGATTGTTTTTGGGAAGTTTGAACGCGGTCCATGGCACATGGGAAAATTCAGCGTCTTCGTCAATAGTTGGGCGTGTCTCTGGACCTTTTTCGTCAGCATCATCTTCATCCTGCCAACTGGTCGTCCCGTGACTGCTACTACTGTAAGTTCAATCAATATCCACCCTGTCAGGATATGCATGCTGATATTGAATCAGATGAACTACGCCTCTGCATTCCTTGTTCTCATTCTGGGGGCTGCTGCCATATTCTGGTACATCAGTGGACGAAAATACTACACCGGTCCCATCGTTGAGGCTCAGGCAGAAGATGAGCGCTCCGAGAACGAGACCCCGACGATGTCTGGCAAAGAAAAAGACGATGTTGTCTAAATGCTGGAGTCTAGCTTAGCGGACTATGTATTGACATACGGCGGCAATTACGGCAGTGATTACTCTGCGCAAGTACACTACCTAAGAACGCGATGGAACGAGGATTGGATGTTTAACCAATAGATGTATGAATTAAATTTAGGTGGAATATGATACCCTATCCTCCGTTGAGCACGTATGCACGGTTCTCCGCTTGTGCCCCATTGACTGGTGTGAATAGTGACCCATCAATTTTAAACATAGGTAGGTAAGTAGTTAGCACGGCAACATGTCCAGCTGTTGCGGGGAGCTTAGGTTCGGCCCGTGGCACGAACGAAAAACGGGGAACAAATACGTTAACCTTATAGTATGGCCTAAGAAAATTCGCGCTACACCTTGCCCTACTTTCTATCTATATACTTGACCGAATCCAAGTTCTCCACATACGATGATGGTAGCTCTATTCAATTCAAGAAAGGGGGTTGACCGATTTAGCGAGATGCCTCGACCAATCATGAGACGTGGAATGCCATCAAGACTAGTGCAAATCTTTTGAAGCTTTCGAAAGGTCCGGCCGAGCCCGCCTGTCCGAATACCTGCGGAACAAATAAGCTGGAGGCTGTTGAATGCAGAAACATGCAGGTATGGGAGCAGTGGGTGATCACGTTGGCTGAGAGCGGTAACCCATGTGTTGTACGTGGAGAAGGAGTGGGAGAGTGGGGGAAAGGGTGGGGGAGGAGTTAGTTAGTCACGTACAAACTTTGGTCAGGTTGGTAGGGACGACATTTTTGACTATTTCATAAAGCACCGCTTGCGAGTAACTCCGTACGCTGAAAGGAAGTTACCAAACCAAGAAATCAACGCTACGCTCAGATTTTATAACTGCTCAACCACCTAGCTTTCGTTTTCGATTCGACTCCTGCTACGTCCATTCGGCACGTTCAGAGCGTAGTGTTCTTGCTCGAGGTTGGCTCATTTTCGACCTTCAGCTTAAAATGTTCTCCAGAGACCCAGAACCCCGCGGCCTCGATAATTCGACACACCACATCCAGTTCCGATCGATTTCTTGGTGCATAGATCATGAGGAATTCGCGGGGGACATACTGCTTCATCCAGCCACCTCTTGCGAGTGGATGTCGCTCACCCCATCCCTTCTCCAGGACGATCTTAGCATCATCCGGATGCAGGTTCATGTGCATGCTTCGGTCGCTGTGGTGAACGTGACAGATCTCTCCTCTGCAAGTCTCATTGATAGGCTTTTGTGCAAAGAGGGCCAGTCCTTTCTTCTCGAAGCAGGACATTGCCGTTCGAAACGAGTCTGGCTGCTGCAATGCTAGTCTTTCGAGAGTTTGACGAAGTTTCTGATACATCTCTGGACAGCCAGCCTGGTCGATCTGACGCTGAGGAGCGATTCCTGCGATCTTGGGACGTGGTCCCGCACGTTCCGGTAGCCAAGAGTGAGATTTTTGGTAGTAGCCGATGATGGGATATATCTTCTCCGAAATGATGGCTGGCGTATAGGGATCTGACAAGGCGAACATGCGGAGGAAGGCAATCTTGAGGTATCCGAGGAAAGTTGAGGGTGTGCCACCTGGTCTATTGACAAAAATTAGTATAAACCTTTGAAACAGAGTTGGGAGCCGAGTAAGTCGCTTTGAGTAGTAGCAGCACATCTTCTCTGATGAGCGGCTCCCGAAGACGAACCCGAAGAGCTCGACTCCCAGTATGAACACACAGCAAAGGTATGGTCAGACGTACCCTAGATTGATGAAGTTTTGATAGTCATTATGGATGATCCAGGGGAGGGGAGCCAGGGCAAGTAGAGTGCATGTGAAGGATGGTTGAAGTATTTGAATGCTGATAATGATGGCCAGTATGGTCAAAACTAAAGCGGGACCGTTCAGTGTTATCTCAAAGAGATCATGTTGTATGAGGGAGAATGAAGATTCTTTCTGATATTCCGCCGGTTCCTCCACCATGACTTGGGTAATTGTTGAATGCCCGATGTCCATGTTCTAATAGCTGTTAGTGAAAGTGAAAGTAATTCTGAGCTGAAGTCCTCACTGCTTTGATCGTGGCTAGACAAAGAGTATTATCCGTGATGCCTGTCAGATTCAGTAGCTTCGATGCTCAAGAGTGAGGGCAGCAGCTTTAAAGAAGAGATCCTAGCAGTCACGTTGGAAGTGCAAGAGCAAAACAGGAAGCTGCAACATAAGACAGTTTGGTGGGGGGCAGGTTTTGAAGTGGGAGTCTCAATATTGAGGACTACAGCAACACAGGGGTCTCAGAGTGAGGTGAGGCACTGCACCGCGAATTGAGTGAGCTTTTATTGAGAAGAAGTATGAGACCACGAAGTGACCCGAATATCCCTAAAAGGACGCCCAACTTGTGTGACAACACAGAAAATATCGAGGAGAGTCTCGAGCAGCAGTGGCGAGAGAAAGAAAAAGAGGAGAGAAATGAAAAGCGGATCGGCGAGAAGGAAGGCCTTTTAAAGTTGAGGTTCGAGGAACCGATCGTTAGGGGCCCACTTCTTACTTACTGTTCGTCCCAGACAGAAGGGCTCAGGCCAGGAGTGAGTGAGCTGAGCTGAGCTGAGCTGCTGCTATCGAGAAAAGGGTAAACGCAGGAGTTGTGAGCGTCGACGTAACCGCCGCACATCGGATCGGTCGTGTCACGGGTCCTGCAGACTTCTGGGACTCGAATGAGATGGCAGAAACAGTTGTCAGTTGACTAACACCACGGGCTGATTGGCCTTGGGGCCTTGGGCGAGGAGAAGAGATCTGGGCTCCGACAACGCCACGACATGATGACCAGTGACCAGCCGGGCCATTCATGGTTGAGGTCGTATGATGTCGAAGGGGAAGATCTCACCGCAAGGTCAGTCAGTGGCCAACCCGCCAGAAGAGGGGGAAAGAGAGAGTGAGAGAGAGAGAGAGAGAGGATAACGGAAGCATATCCCCAACCAATAATTGCAGGCTCAATTCTGCCACTATTAGTGCTCCTGCCAGTGTTAGTGCTGCTTGCTGCCAGTGTGCATTGAAAACCACGGCAAACTGAATTGCAATGGGGCCAGTGGATTGAATGCATTGGCCACTCGAAAGGGCGGAACAGAACAGCGAACAGCCCTAAGACATGGACATGGACATGGCACATGGGTGGCATGGATGGCATGGGCATGGGCATGGGCATATGCATCTCTTTCCGGGCTGCGGTTTTGGGGGCAGTCGGGCTCTGTAACCTTACTGTACGCTGGGCTGGAGCACACGAGCTGAGAGCTTGAAATTCCCACGCTGTACTGTAACACTGAGGGGAGGGGGGATCGGTATTGCCCCATAGGCGTAACCTACGGCAGGTATCCGTATGTAATGTAGGTACTGAATCGAACCCGTAGAGACGGCTCCGTGCAGATGGCCAACATCTATCTACTGTACTTCTCCCATGGACGGACGGACACTGCCTTCCTGCCATTGTGTATGTATCTGGGAGTGCGGGATCAGAGGCGGCTTAAGACCTGTTGGGCCTGACTGACTATGTGTGCAGTGCAGGACAGAGGAGGGAGGACAGCTGATCGCATGTGAGTGAGTGAGTGAGTGAGTGAGTGAGTGAGTGAGTGAGTGAGTGAGTGAGTGACTGACTGACTGACTGACTGACTGACTGACTGACCCACTGTTCGAGTGTTCGTTATTCCGTCTCGCTGCTCCGATTGCCCACCCGTGGAGAGACGTCGCTCGCTGCAGGTACTTACTGTACTGCTTTACCTACCGAACGTGTGCTCCTCGGATGACGGTTCTCGCGGTCGTTGGCTGGCAAGGAAACCCTGCAGATGGCAATACAGCACAGCACAGCACAGCACATGAACACAATAACTGTAAGGTAAGGGGACATCAAAGGAGACCCCCTATGGTAACTGTAGGTAATATACCTGTTCGGCAGGCAGGGTTCCTTGTTGCGGTCACCCGCAGAGAGAGAGATACAGTGAAGGCAGGTCTGGCGAGAACTTCCTTTCCCGTATCGTCGGATTCGTGCCTGGTCCATTCCAGATTCAGTGGCGAGGCTTCGCACACAAAAAACCCAGCCCCAGCCAGATGCACATCATTCTTCTTTCTCTCGGGAGTGTCCTCTCGGGGTCTCAGAATCAGACTTACTGTACAAGTCTGACGCAGCCTTCCGCCATGCCGCCGACGAGTCTTGGACGCAAGGAATCCTATCTATCTATCGTACGGATGTTCTACTGTATGTTCTACGAGTACGAGTCGGGAGATCACCGAGAGTCACCACCATCCGGTTGACTGACCTACCTGACCGTCTCTTGTTCCGATCACGGTAGCATTGCAGTGCAGCAGCTCTGAATGGCTTCCCGTGGAGTGGAAACACGTACAGTACACCGCCAATGACTTGGTAGTACTGTAGTACTTACTGTACAGGACTGGATCCTCATGCCTCACAAATCAGTTTCCCAGGACTCCTCTCATGTCTTTGGCCCCGGTGCTGTTCTCGACCCTTCCTGCAACAATCATTCCAGTCTCTACTCGGGAAAGGAATGACTGCATGCATGCATGGCTCCCAAGGACCACGAACATTCTCAAATCATGCTTTCAATGATGCCGGGGACCTTGATGGTGTCTACAGTAATTTCAGTGAGTGTTTTTCGATGTTGGAGCTGTGTTCGCGTTATCGTTCGCTGCCAGTCGCCTACGATTGTCGCCCAGTCAACCCCCAAACATCCGGAAAAGCGGATTTGCCAAACAATGGAAGCTCGGAACTATTTCGCATGGTCCATTCGAATTATTTACTTTCTAAAAAATTTGCTGCACTACACGACACGACACGACACGACACGACACGAATCTCAGATAGTACACGCGTAAGAGCATCTTCTTCGGTATGACTTGACCCACCTACATTGCCTCCACGAACTGCATTAATACTCCTGCACAGCATCCGAGGGTTTGTTTGTTATTGCGCTCCCAAGAGCTTGGCTTGGCTCCGTTGAGCCCTTCACACGATGACAGACTTTAGCTCCCTTGGTCAGATGAAAGCAACCAAACGATTGTCTCCGACGAAACCTTTAATGATCAATACAAATTGTCGTCAAGGAGTACGAGACGTTGATCTCGAGAAGCATGGATACGATTACGATGATGACTCCGACGACGAATCAGACTATTCGTCATATACCGCCTCGCCCGTCTCATCTCGAGAGACTTCTGCGTCCTATTCTTCTCAAAGACCAATGCTACGGAGGAGATCCATCGCTGATCATCGCCCCTCGAAGTACAGGCTACCGAATAAGATAATCCGATACTTGTGCCTGGCACTAATATCAACACTGGTCATTTTCATGCTGAGCTTGATCCGTATGAGCATCGTCTCGTCAAGAAGAGTTGAAGTTGGAGACTTCGGGGAACGCCCAGCCCCACCCCCACCAACCTGGCAGTCCTTTGAATTTCTGTCAAGGTACTATGGAGGTATACGGACTTTGGTGCCTCTATCGGAGAACATCCCCGAATACCCTTCACCGGAAGATGAGCCACCTATCACCAACGATACTTCGACCATACCTGTCCGGGAAATTCCCAGCAGTCGGCCATATGACGCGTATCAAAACCAGACATCCAAAGCATACCTTAGTGAGCATGCCCCGGCCCACGAATGTTTCCTTGATGCACATTCTACCTTGCGAGTCCCCCCACTACAGCATTATCAGGGACGGCCTAGCGGGTTTCCAGATAATGTGATGGGTTCTTATGAACTACTCGGTCTTCCCGAGGACGTGTGTTTTGAGCGGTATGGTCGACTCGGACCGTACGGTTATGGTTATGCCCTGAAATACGGTGGTACTGGTACCGGCCTACATGGAGACGTGGAAGGATCCGAGAGTGTTTGGGAATCAGATGGCGTCGACATTCAAGTTGATTACAGAGATATCGACTGGGCCGAGGCACAGAAGCGGTGCTATACGGCCAACTCTGAGAGGTTTGAGCCGAAGACAGCTTACAATGAACCCCCGACAACGTTCTCTGTTCTTGGCGGCGATAGGAAGGTTATTGTGAAGCGAGATGACCATGCAAATTATTCCAATTCGAGCATGCAGACGGGGATCCCGAAGAACTATTTGCCACGGACGGCAGTTGTCATCCGGTCCTGGGACGATTTCCAGTATCGAGAAGAGGATATCCTCCATCTTAGAGCAATGATTTCCGAGCTTTCTCTTGGCTCTGGCGGCGAGTATGATGTCCATTTGGTGGTCCAAGTCAGGGATGAAGGGAAGCATCCAATCTGGGCCGATGCCGACACTTACCAAGAACACATCCGACAATCGGTACCCAAGGAATTCTGGGGTATTACCACACTGTGGAGTGAAACCCAGATGCTCAACTTGTATCAAGGCATGTTTGATACCTTCATTAGGGATTTGCCGGTACATGGCTCGTATCGAGGACTACAGATGGCCATGCAACACTTCGCCCACATCCATCCCGAATATGACTACTTCTGGCACTGGGAGATTGATATCCGATATACTGGACACTACTACAATTTCTTCTCACAAGTCGACTCTTGGGCGAAGAAACAGCCGCGCAAAGGTCTCTGGGAGAGGAACAGCAGATTCTACGTTCCTTCTGTTCATGGATCCTGGGAGGACTTCAAGCAAATGGTTCGAGTTCAGACCGAGATGGGGACAGATAATGCGGAAAACATCTGGTCGGGTATCAAAGGAGCGAAGACCACCGAGCGTAAAGGTGACAAGCCTATCTGGGGCCCAGAAAGACCACAAGATCCAGAGGATTGGTTCGAAATCGAGGACGATCCAACACCGCCGACAACATATGACAAAGACAAGTATAAATGGGGAGTTGATGAAGAAGCTGACTTGATCACGTTCAACCCCCTGTTTGACCCGGAAGGCACAAGCTGGTTTCTCGCAAAGGATATCACGGGTTACAATGCCAGTGAGGGCCTCCCCCCACGACGTGCAGCCATCGTGAGTGCTTCGAGGATGTCAAAGCGTTTACTACGTACCATGCATCGAGAGACTGCTTTCAAGAAACATCATGCGTTTTCAGAGATGTGGGCTCCCACAACGGCATTACACCACGGTTACAAGGCCGTGTATGTTCCACATCCGATGTTTGTCGACAGGGAGTGGCCAACAGCATATCTTGCCGGAGTAATGAATTCGGGGAGGAATGGAGCTACTGGTGGGTCGAGGACAAGTGTCTTCGGTGAACGAGAGCATAATCTTATGGGCATGACATGGTATTACAACGCTGGCTTCGCTCCTAACCTGTGGAAAAGGTGGTTAGGATTGAAGGTCAACAACGAAGGAGGAGAGGAATTCGAGTTGACTGTGGACGAAGGCAGAAGTGGAAAGGGTGTGAATCAGATGAGAGGAGGGGAGGGGAGGATGTGCCTACCACCTATGCTCATACACCCCGTCAAGAGCGTGGAGATCCCGGTAGAGGGTCTGTCCGAGGACGAAGAGGAGATTCCAGAGAGCGATCCGGCTGCTTGATTTTCTCCGGATGATTTGTTTTGCGTTGGCGTTGGGGCGGTTGTGAATTGGGATACAGGACCTCAGTCAGATAGCGGAGCCGCTTGCACGAAGTTTATATGGGCGTCTGGGTTATGGTAGATGTTTGGGTGTATCTTGTTGGAGTCCCGAGAAGATCCTGTGTGTATATGAGTTGAAGGATGCAGATACGACAAATGTAATAAAAATATGTCGAGTTTCACTGTTGAATGTGACCATGCATTTCAATACTTTGGGCTTACAGCTAGTAGTGACTAAACCAAGTTGCAACACTTATGAAGTTCACCTAATCGTGACTTCCCAGAGCTGCTCCAGCGATGACGTTCCGCCGAGCCTCGCCAAAACCTGTTCGTTTGGACCCACTACCTTTTTCCGATTCTCACAATGTCCCGGACTATCTACGCATAATATCGTTGTTCATCAGCCTTGTCTTCCTTGATTCGACCCAATTCATGTCAAGATGAAAAAGTTCTTCAACAAGGCAAAGTCGCAATTACAGGACTCGTCTTCAGCTCAGAAGCCAATTCCTCAGCAAGACCAACAAAATGTCATTCGGCCACCGACAGCTGAGGATGTCATACAATATAGATATCATCATGGTGTGAATCTCGGATCAGTATTTGTGCTTGAGAAGTGGCTGTTCTCTGATATGTTTATTGACCGTTTGTGCCCCTCGAGTTTTCTTGTATATTTTCATCTTACATCATGTGCTTTCATCTGAGTTCGGAGCTCGAATACTTACCTGATACGTTTGTTTATGATTTTTGTCTCTGACGGAAAGATTCCAGAAGCTCACGGTGATTCTGAGCTTGATGCCGTCGACGCCCATTTCAAGGCCCATGGCCTTGATCAAACACGCCAAAAGTGGGAAGCGCACTGGGCAAATGCTGTGTCGGATCAGGACTGGGAGTTTTTGACCAAAGAAGCAAAGTGTACAAGTATTAGATTACCAATTGGATACTTCACTTTGGGCGGAGAGTTCTGTAAAGGGACGCCGTTTGAGAATGTTGCTGGTGTGAGTCCCGTAATCTCCTTATTGAAAATACAAGTCCTGGAACACCATACAAGTCCGTCACAAGTGCGAAGCTGATTGAAGCTAGGTGTATACCAACGCCTGGCCTGCAGTCACCAATCTAGTTTCCAAAGCTCGCTCCTACAACATTGGAGTTCTTGTTGATCTCCATGCGCTCCCCGGAGGAGCAAACTCGGATGCCCACTCTGGGAGCTCAACAGGAAAACCCGAACTCTGGACAAGTCGCACCAATTTAAGACGCAGTTGTCAAGCACTCGTAGAGCTAGCTTCTCGGATCAAAGATATGCCTGGAATCATTGGGCTTCAACTTGTGAACGAGGCTGTTTTTGATGCGAAGGGGATGTATGATTGGTACGAAGATGTTATTGGGGATATCAGCAAAGTCAACGATAGCTTGCCCATTTACATCTCTGATGCGTGGGACTTGGATCGAGCTCTGCAATGGACGAACAAAAGACACGCCTTCAGCAACTTGCCAAGAAACCCAGTGATCATTGACACTCACAAGTACTACACCTTCAGTGACAAGGATCGATCTCAAGCTCCCCATCAAATCATATCTCGCATTTCATCTGAGCTTGCAGAATTGGATGGAAAAGCGGGCAGCTTGTCAGATCGTGGAGAAGCACAAGTCGTTATCGGAGAATACTCCTGCGTCTTGGATGGTCAAACATGGGGTAGATCTCGTCCGGAAGAGAAAGACTCCCTGGTGCAGCAATTTGGGCATGCTCAGTCTCAAAAATGGCAAGAAAAGGCTGGCGGCTCTTATTTCTGGACCTGGAAGATGCAGTGGATGGACGGTGGTGAATGGGGGTTTGTTGAGCAGACGAAAAAGAGAAATATCCTACCTCCTCAATCATTAACCCTCTCTACTGCAGAGCTTCAATCTAGGATCCAGCACGCCCAAAGTAAGAGACGGGAACTGGGCAGTCAAGCGAGGAATGCCCACGAAGAATACTGGTCCCGAACTTCACCGGATACAGATTTTCAGCATGATCTCTACACTCAGGGTTGGGACGTTGGTTTTTCTGACGCCCAATCGTTCTTCGGTATGAGAACTCAAGTAAATTCAGGCGCAGAAGGAGGTGACAAGGTCGGGATGTTAGAAGTCTGGACTAAAAAGCGGCTACTGGAATCAGCTCAGAGAGGAGCCTTCACGTGGGAATGGGAGCAAGGGTTCCGTGCAGGTATTGGAGCATTCTATAGTACAGCCGGGATATAGTCCATTGGGAGAGCTAGTAAATATATCTAAATCGACGTGGAAGAATCATATCATGCTGCTGAGCATCACATCTATCTTGACTAAAGTCTCGATTAACATGAGCAAAGTAAATACCAGACTCTGCATGATTCACTGCTTTTGATCTGATGACAATGTTGAACATATGTTTTAGGGCCAAAAAGTTGCTCTACATTCGTCAAGCATCAAAATGTGAAAGCACATCACCATAACTGGAAGCTTCCTACAACCTATCATCTCTACTTCTCCATGACACACCTCAGATCGCTTGCCATAGATTTCATCTAGCTACTTTACCATTCGCAAAACTATTCAATGTGAGTACTGCACCCAGCTAAGTATCCCAAACACAATGGGAGCTGTCTTTTTGATACAAAGCTTTCTTACTTTCTCCCAATCGTTACATTTTGGCTCTGAGTCGAGTCTACCACTAGGCAGCACATCACCGCAACATAGGCGCAGGAATGTTCCAAACTCAATGAAAGATATGGTGTATACATCCCAATAATGTCCAAGGACAAAGTGATTGCGTCTGGCACCATGGCGCGAAGGCAACATCGCTTGCCCCCTTATTTAAGCGAGGTAACTACCAGCGCCTCGATGTATGGGGATGAAGAGACTACCACGATCAAAATTTCTCCGTTGATAATGTACTAGCCTACACATATCCCAATGGCTTAAAATGCTTCGGACTCTCCACGTAGACCGCAGATCCCGGCTGCACGTATCCCTCCTTCTCCACAGTGGCATAGACCCCTATCTTCTTCCCCTTCTTCGCACATCTTTCCAACAGTCCCTCAGGCCACTCATCCAATCTCTTCCTCGGCTGCCGTATCCCCGAGATTCTGACCACGGCATGGCCTTCATCGTCCCCGAAGTGTAGACGCGTGCCCTCGCCAAGGGAAAGGAGATCGAGATTGGAGGTGGTGATGTTTTCGCCTAGGGAGCCGGGTGAGAGTTGGTAGGAGGGGGACTTGGAAGATGGTTTCGAAAGGGAACTGAAAAGGGACGAGTCGATGAGGTGGACTTGACGTGGGTTCGAGGATGGAGAAGTGCCGCAGCTAAGAATGTGTCTTAGTGTTTGCGTAGAGAACAATGCGAATAACACAAAAGTCAACCTGTGAGGACTTACTGTGCGTCACCTTGTACTCCGAGCTTTGGCAGGAGATAGATGTAGGAGGTAGGCATCTTGCCAAAGGAATGGGACGCGGACATCGAGACTGACAGGACGGACATTGTATGTAATTAATGTAAGTTTGTATACTAATATTCAATATTCGCTGTGTAGTATATTGCACGGTATGCTAAAGCAATCTCCCACTTGCAATCGGTCTTCAACATCGAATCCAAACCACTTGGGATGGTTGAACTTGAAGTCAAGAAGTCATAGTCAGGATATCAACGGTTGTAGAAGGCTCTCAAAGAGACGCCTCCATTCGAGCCACGTTGCTACACGTCTCTCCAATGTGCCAATCAGCAAATGAGATACAATCTCCATGATGTAGGCTCATCCACATCTGTGCTAGCCGATACTGCATTGGATACTTGTCCAATGCATGTGATCTGTAAATCATATGCACATCACAATGCATCGCAAGACGCATGTCCAATAAGAATAAACTCAAATTGATGGTTTGTATTTTACCAAAAGCAAATTGGTATCATTCGCAGTGTCCGCCGTAACACGACAGCGGATTGAACAAATTTCAAAGAGACACGCCAGTGTCCTACCTATTCTGCGCCACGCCAAAATGCCTATCACACAAACGCCGTTAATGCCCAATTTCTATCCCATGCCTAAATCCTACTTTTTATGTTCCCGCTTTCTAAACTGAGGTCCAGTGACCACAAAGAATCCCAGATCATCGATTTCTTGCTAGGACTTGTCCCAGGCTTTACAATGTTCTACACGCCGCATCAGCGTTGGTTCAAGGACCCATCAGATTGTCAATGTGATTGGTGCCCACCTCCGAATTTAGCACCTTGTCGCCACTCCCCGACCCTTCTTGTCTACTTGACGAAGCGATGCTCTGGGGTTCAGAAGGCTCGCCGCTTGTCTGAGTTGTAGCCACAGCTTTCAAAGATGCTGTATCTGTTGCCGTTGAGCCCGTTTTGATCAACGTGTTGGCTGCCGAGACCGACTTCTTCGAGTTGTTACTACTGCGTCTACTGTCAAGACTTTTGCTGAGAGTCTTGTTGATGCCTTCAACACCACTGCTTGACGACTTCTTGCTTCGTCGAATACTGCCCGTAGCGTAGTCATTCGTGCTGGCAACTGTGCTTTTGCCGAGCCCGGGAGTGGAAGGTGCGCCGGGTTTCTCTTCGGAAGCATCGATGAGATACCACCTGAGGCCATCAGACAAGTCGAAAGGATTGTCATCTTCAAAAGAGTCTCCTCCATTACTAGTCTCGCCAAAAGATCTCCCATCAGAGACATTCAGGTGCGTACTAGACATCGACTTGGAGAGGTCCACAACTCGATCTTCGATTTTGTGAATTCGGGCTAAGAGCCAATCTCGAGTGCGTAGCTTGTGTGATTCTTGCTCTCTCAAGAAGTAGTGTGGAGCTCCTACATTGAATGCAGCCCATGCTCCAGTCGCTTGGTTTCGAGTTGGCAAAAAAAGAGCAAGATCGCCTTCTTTGAAGTTTTTGAATGCAATCTTCTCATGGGCCTCCTTTTGAGCCGAGTGCGACTTCTCTCGGTAGGCACGAGCATCCTTGGAGTACTTCTTCGCAGTGTATTCCATGTCTTTCACCCGCTTTGTGATAATTTCACAGAACTGTTCGACATCGAAGCTGCCAATGGCATTGAGATACGCTTCGTACCGTTCAGTCTCGACGTCCGAGTCATCATTGTGCATCCAATAGAGAAGATCGAGATCTCCACTGTCAACCATGGCCTTTCTGCTCATTGCCCCGGAAATACTTCTCCTAATTGAGGATCCTGGATCTGATGAATCATTTGCGGTGCTAGAGCGCTCTGGTTTAGGTAGCCTCTGAATAACCATCGAATTGCCTTCTCGTGTTACTGAATAGCTGAGACGCTCCAAAAGCCGACAGAGTCGATCATTCTGTGCATATACTCTTTGGGTCAAGTCCTTTGCGCGAGAGGTTCGAGCTTCAAACCGAGAATTAAGCTTCTCGTGCTTCAAGTGGGTAGACTGGTATTTCTCTTGGACGGATCTAAGCTCTTCCTCGAGACCTCCGATGCGCGATTGGCGAGCAGCAAGTTCCTCAGACATGTTGGTAACCTTTTGCTCCTCTTCTTCTAGACGAAGACGGAGAGTCTCAGACCCAGTCTCACCGTCAGCAATCTTAGTTCTCAATGAAGACAATTGGCCCCGCTCATCAGCAAGCTCTATTCCTAGGGCTGCAAATCGTGCTCGCTCGCCAGCCAGTGTTTCACGTAGCTGCAAGGTCTCCAGCTCTTCCACTGACAGCCTCTCCTTTAGTGTCTCCATCTCAGACTGAAGGTCCGTGGTGGCAGCTTGAGCAGTATCTCTGTCAGACCTTGCAATGGCAGAGTCACTTTTGACAGAGCTCAGTTCAGCTACCAGATCCCCAGATAAGGTGACCAATGCATCTGCTAACTCGTTGAGATCATCCGGGACAATAGAGGTTGTCGAAATTTGAGCGTGCACGTCATGGAGGACCTTCAATTGCACTTTAGAAGCTTGCTCGGCTTTCTCGACACGAGCCAGGAGATCTTTATTCTCATCTCTTGCCCTCTGCAGCTGCTTGTCCAGTGCTTCGTTGGCTTCTCGCTGCATTTTAGCGTCATTTCGAAGGAACTCCACTTGACCCTGCGCTTTTTGAGCTTCCAACGTTGCCTCTTTGCGAAATCTCTCCAGTTCAGCCTCTAAAGTGCGGACACGTTCATCAACTGTGGTCCGCTCATTTTCTCTTGATCCCAAGTATCTCTCCATCTCATCCTCGAGCTCCTCAAGCTTTGTCTTGTACTGCTTGATCTCCTCTTCGAGTGATTTGCGTTCTTCAAGGAATTCACGTTGCTGAGCCTCGAAGTTTTCCATGAGATCTTTCTTCGTCGATGTAGCTTCATCAACCTCAGCCTTCATTTTGTCCACTGTGGTCTTCCTCGCAGAAACTTCTTTCTCCAAACCAGCTGCACGCTCCCGTTCCGCAATGAGTTCAGCTTCTAAGGAAAGAAGCTTTTGCTGAAAGACCTTCTCCTCTTGACCTTGATTCGCTGAGAATCGCCTCGAAGAGACGGAAGATCGCCGGGAAATGTCCTCGGGAAGCCTAGGAGACGCGAGTGGGTTGGCCATTACATGTGCATCTGGACTAGGGTATCCAGATGGTTGGAAGACATTCCCAGTCGACGTTCGGGTGACTTGGGATTGCCGGTGGAGAAGGTCCTCCAGTCGTCGCACTCGACTTTCGGCAGTTTTGAGCTTGCTCTCAATCTTCTGCTTTTCTTCTTGAACAACACGAATGAGATCATCGTCACCTCGCATTAAAAGTGCACTTCTTCCCAGTGCATTTTCATGAATGCTGCCTGCTTTGAAAGCTTTTGCGCGTTTGCTCTGTTGTTTCGTAGGGTTGTTGAGATCATGGACAATCTTTGATATATCAGCAACGACACCAGACTTGAAATCCTGGGCTTGCAGAGTTTCCAACATAGCCTCCAGATCTCGTCTTGATACGTCAGGCCAATCGTCCTCATCGCCGAGCAGATTGACCTCCAAACCGATGACCTTCCGTTCGACCTTCTCACCCCAGAGAGCGTTCCCGGTGGATTTCTGCCATTTCCTCCTCCTTTTAGCTTCTTCGTCCTGAAAAGCTGCCATTTCGTTCGCTAGAGTTGACGAGTCTGATCTGACCTTGTCGTTCCATTCTCGTCGACGTATGGCTTCCGTCATAAACGACGCATATGTGACTGGCAATGAGTTCACCGTGGAAAGTAGGTTGATGGCTTCGAAAGCGTCGCTATTAAGTTGTAAAGCCGCAAATTTTCCATTGGCATCAGAAACCAGTGCAGTTACTAATGCGATGTCTCTCATGGCCTCAAGAGAATCAGCTGCGACAGTATTTCGTGTCTCAGTCACCGACTGCAAGATGCTGTCCATTTCCAAGCTCCGCTTTGACAGATTTGGGAGGAAATTTTTCGTGTGAAGTAGGGCCGACTTGGATGCTTGTGAGATATTTTTGGCGGTGTTCGCAAAGCCAAGAACATTTTCGTAGTCACCACTGATCCTCTTGGCAATGGCTTCGATATCCTCCATAAGTTGTGCAGGTTCTGCTCCACGTCCAATGAGTGAAAGTGCAGGACTTTTTTCAATCCTATCCAACAGCCCATCAGTCCTCCTAAGAACCTCGTCTACCTGGGACCCGAGGCTGGCGCTTCCTTGATTCAAGTTACTTGAAATCTTTCGAACATCTTTACCAGCTTTCTTCACCTCCTCTGCATCGACCAAATCCCCCAAACTTGGCTTGTGTTGAGACTTCCGAATATCACGCCCCGTTATGAATTTGATCATGTCGTACGAAGCCGGAAGAGACCGTAACCCGTCCACAATTGCGTCCCAATCGGTCCCAGTCAAGTCGTCATCTTTTTGCACATCTGCCGCCCAGACTTGAACGTCGGCATTCTTCTGGTCTAGCATCTTAACATGCCTATCGAGGTTTGTCACCGCAGCTTCAACACCGCGAGCGATGATCTCGACCTCGCCGTATCGTTGTTGCGCCTCGAGCGACATTGCTGTACAGTCGTCGACTATATTCAGAGCCCATGATCTCCGTTGCATGAAGAGGTCCTTCCACGCCTGTAGGTCGTTCTGGTCTGTAATGGTATCGGGTGGTCTCGAAACACTGTATTTCGGAGGTATTGGAACTTCATATTGGAGTAATTTGGTAGACGAGGCAGGATTTGGTTGTACTATCCGCCTATCGTAGACAAATATCTCTTTCTGTGTTGATCAGGATGAGCTTTCTGACCGTACAGTATTCTCTTACCTCCGAAGATAATCCTTGGAACTTGACTGGCCTTCCTTGATCAGTCAATGATATTTGATCTTGAATCGTAATTTTGCTCTGCTTTGCAACCCAGCTCTTAAAGGCATCTAGGCTTGTTGTAGGTCAGCATGCATGTATTGGCAGTTGAGCGCTGACATAGGAATAACTCACGTCGCAAAGGTCTCTGGATCTGCTTGGAGACGCTGCCCCGTATGGGCAAGGTAAATTTGGATAGCCATCCCCGCCACTGATTCCTACAGCTATGAGAGCTGTAGAATTCTTCTCGGTCGCGATGAAGGAGTGTGAGTGTGGGCGTACTCGTGGAAAGATGAGACAAGGCTTCCGCCTCACGAAGATAGGTAGGTATGAGCAACGCTAGCACGAACCCCGGTGAATTACTCTAGCCACACCAGTCCTAGAGCTAATCATTTCAAGGTCCCCTGTGATACGCGAAATGCACACGCGACTGGAGATCAGCTGGATAATAACAATAACATCACGAGGAGATATTGGAAAATGGACCGCCATGAAAATGCTATGGAAGGTGTGGAGCTTACGACCGTGCAACCCTCTAAAGTTGCGATATTGAGTGATGAAGAAAAGAGGGTCCTCGAAATCTATGACCGCTTAGAGGAACTGCAATTGGAAGTTGCGTTATTGAAGGCACAAGGTGTCCTTTTACAAGGTGATTCTTTGGCGGTCAATGTGGTGGAGTGTTGTTCTAACTGGTCTAGATATTCCCCGTGTAGTTTCTGAAGAACAAATCATCGTTGCCCAGAAAGAGCTGCTAGAAGCTAAGGCTGGATACCAGCTGAGAAGCAGTATCATCGAGAGTGTGTTCATAGCGAATCCGATCATCACAGCTGTACATGCTGGCAGCAATGCCTCCGTTCTTGAACAGTGAGTATAATGCTATATTAATTTGACAAGTACTCATATGATGTAGAGACCTTCTACCATTCATTGAGCAACGGGATGAGCTATCTATCGTTTTAACTCAAGTGTCGAAGCAAGTTTCCACTGCGCGAGATGACCTGATCCAAGTGCAAACGGAACACATCACTACTGCCAACAGGAACGTCGAGTTAGCAGCGTCAATGATTGCTCTAGCGAAGGAAGCAAATGCCCAGACAAAGGACGATATCAGCGACCCGAAAGTGCGCCAGCAACTCGATAGACTTGAGGAACTATTGAAAGTTAGCAAGCGAAAGTGGAGGATCATGAAGGGAACTGCAAGTGCCACAATTGTTGGTAGTGGGGTCGACTGGGCTCGTGATCCGAAACTATTGGAGGTTGTCCTAGATGACGAAGGCGATTGACTGGTCAAAATCAACTTGCTCTCACCAGCATGTGGAATTCCTTACATGACGATCTTTCATCTGCTACACCCGTGCTATATTGTTGATCCACGATAGCCCTTTTCTTCATCGTTTCCTAAAAACCCAAAAGTCTACCTGGTATGGACTTTGCTCACAGAGTGAAACTCAGCCCAGTGCCCGAAAGCACAGCGTCTTCGGGCACTCTCCACAACGGTACTTGGTCTTTCATGGATTGTCTGCAGCCCTCTCTCTACATCTTACATTTGTTGGGAACTAAGTATCATTTTGCCATGAATTTCCTGTCTCCCGCAGATCATCTTCGTCATAAAGCCTGTTCGCGCCAATTTCCTCTATCTCGGCAACATGTACCCCTTCACACAATTTGACCGCAGATACAAATCGTTTGCATATTTGTTCCTTGTGGAGAGCAGTCTTCGAACGGTGAAAAGCTTAGATCGACTATTGCATCCAATACTCGATTGGAGCACGGTTTAAGCTTAATCAGACCACAGCAAAAAGGTGCCTGGAGGGAATGCTGCATTTATTTAGTCTATCAAGGACAAGCTATCTCTCCAGCACGCCACAGATGGGCGCAAAATTGTAGCGTAACCTAAGCATAACGCTAATCGTGGCTATGAACCTGGAAGTTTTGTGCGAGAGAGGAAATGGTCCAAGACATCCACATGCACCTATTGTCGAAGAAGGAATACGAGGAATGAAGCATTCAGAGCTCATCATCTACCCTTCTTTCTATAGCATAGCTATACAACCTCGTACCAGACTGCTTTGATCAACTAGATGTCTAGGCTTTAAAGCCTAATCGAGAATCGCACGTGTGAGCTATAGAACTGCATCGGTTGAGGGATTGTTTCAAAGAGATATCGGTTTCACTGTCCCATATGGCTAATATTGGCATAGTATCGGGCTTGCCAGCGCCGAGAACAGTGACAAATTTGGACGACAGTGCGCACTTGCACACTTGCTCTAACAAAGCCTGGTTGAGAGAAGTCTCTTGTAGGTCATGGGGAAAAGCATTGATGAAAGAAAACTTGAAAAAGGGTGGATCTTTGTAGCTGGGGTTAGTGCGTGATACTTGTAAGTCGTCTATAGGAATAAAGCTCTCTATTGAACATAATTTCAGACGTTGAAAAAAAGATACGTTCGCTACTCACGCTGGTAACATTGAATCAGATCTGGAATTAGGACCCCTCTCAGAATCTCATTGCATCTCGGACCCAGTGACATCCATACGGTTAGACAAGCGAGTTGGGGGTGTACAGTACCTAGATATTTCTTATCGACACGATTGTAATGTCGCGGCGACAATGTTCCGCTGTCTCCTCTGAGCTCCGCGATCGTCCAAGCTTTGCAACCGTCCACTGTAAGATCCACTCGAAACGGGACCAATGTAGGAAATGGTTCCAGTGCAGTTGATATTTATCCTCTAATCGGGTAAAACGGTCCTCCTTGCGTGCTGTGAGATATGGCAGGCTTGACACGAGGAGTGGGGATCAATGTCTCGGGCCATTTGGAGGCCGCAGATAACGACGACTTTGATGGATGCCCACTCAGGCTTCTTCCAATAATCGTACTGCAGGTGTGCTAATGAAAAAGACAACAATTCAAAAAGCTTCTGGGAGGAGACTCGCCAGGGTTCAAAATTCATACGGCCCGCTCCAAATGCAATCCACCAAATAAATCAAGGCTCGAGTCAGTTGCGATTTCGGAGCCTTATGCGAAGGTGGTTGGAATGCACGGAGAATATTTCATCCAGAAAACCGAAGGCGGGGGCAATGATTGGTGGCCGGTGTTCGTTGTAAGCATATCATTGGTCGTTATGTGCATATAGCGGTGAGTGGTGAGGCTGACGGAGAGGCACACCCCGTCTCAATTTGAGATATTAGTTTAGATCTCTGCATGTCGACTCATGCACTGATGTGTAGCCGGATCTAAGTGCTGGGTTTCAGATATTCAACCGGTAACGAAACCCTAAGCATATAAGTGACCTGCTATCATGGTCTTATTGGAATCCAATCAAAGGGGACGATTTTCCGTCATCCGCCTTTGTGAGCTTATAGTTGAGTTCAGTCGAGTACCACGGACGAGTCCCGGGACGAGCCGTGGACGTTGGTCCCCACAATTCTCTCTACTTATCCGGCACTACCCATGTTGCATCAAGCACCGAATGTCAGTAATTCGGGGTCCAGGTCCCTTTTCTTTCATGCGGTGAAAGAAACTCAGATTCGTTACATTACACAAACAAGGTTCAGGCTTGATTGTGCGACCAGATCCCCTTTAGCCCGATTCCGTCATCCTGGCATCGTATTAGCTCAGGATGGTGAAATAAGCCAATGACTGTAAAAAATGCTAATTTGTACGCAATTATCAGATGGAGTATTTAAGCTCAAGTACCGTGGGGGTCCCTTTGGTTTCTTTCTTCCCCATACCAGACCGTGGGGGACCAGAGAAACTCGTCCAATCGCCCAAAGCATATTTGATCATTGTGCAGACGTCTCCCACCTAACGGACCACTTGAAATCATGGCTGCAACCGCGATCGTGCCTGTCCTATCGGAGGCTCAGTTCAATATTGAGGCTTCCACGGTGGCACCCGACATCACGGGACCGAGTGTCCATGTTTCTCTTCCACTTGAGGATACGCATGATGATAGTCAGAACTTCCTTGTCGTATCTCCTTATGAAGAAGTGCCACATTTGCTGGATCTTCGAACTCTTGATACCAATAATCAACTCTTGGCAAGAGCATTGGTAGGGCTGAAGTGTTTGAGGGACGACTACGCCACCGCAAGATAGTAAGTACAAGTAAACTAATATTTTGGTTCGAGTGAGAGTCGAGGATCCAGAGACATTTTGGAGATTGGTTCTACCTTCATTGAGATCTTGAGAACTCTGCCTTTCGACCGCTTTGTCCTTTAAGGGTACATAGTAAAGATACACGCTGACTGATCGAGTAGTGTTGATATTTTCAACTGGGCTGAAGTTGTTGAGGATGTGAGGCAACTAGCCACTGCATCGAAGCGAAACTTCAAAGAAGGTACCTACTTTCACTGTCGCTGGCGTTGTGTCATTAAACTTATATGTCAATAGCGTCGTACTTCATCGTTGTATTTCGCTCAAGGATACCCCCTGAAACAAAATACGAAGACCTTGGAGTTCTTGACAAAGTAGGTCTTCTGGGAAGCTTAAGGTAGAGAGAAGGGGCTGACTCTGAATGCAGGCGGCGCATGCTGAGGCCACGAAAAGTGGCGGCTTCTTGAAGTCTGGACTCCCTATCTTGGTACTATACAGTACTGACATGGACAGGTATTGGTTTGGCTCTCCTGACGGTGAAGGAAGGAACCTTGCAACATGCGTGTGGCGCAGTCAAGAGGATGCGAGAGTTGGAAGTATTGGTGAAGCACAGTATGTCAAAAACCACCTTTGTCTCACGGACAATGAAAGGGTCGAGCTTTCGGAACACTCTTTCACAGAAGCTCGGCTCTGGTCACCCATACTGATTTCTTCAATAGCAAAAGGGCCGCAGGGGCCACCAGAATGCTGTACACTGAATGGAGAATTGAGCGTTTGAAACTCAAAATCAAAGACGGCGCGACAGCCTGGGAGATGACGGAATGGTAGAGGCGTGTTCAGTTGAGGAATCATCGTTGTTTTCTGATCATGACGTTTGCAGTTTGTGTGCTTGAGTTCGGCGCCTGGTAATGGTTGGAGTGGGTAGACTTGCTTACACGATAGAAAAAAAATAAAGAATAGAAACGTTTCATTGCTGGAGACCTGCATGAATCTGATGATGTTGGTGCCCTTGGCCATCTTATTCTCCTGGGATACAATTGCCGAGTCGACTAATGACTCAAGAAGTCTTGTGAAGACTCAAAGTCTTGACCACTAGCGAAGCCAGGATATCACCGGAGCTCCAGATTTCATCATGAAGTCCGCTAGCCTGGAGAAAGAACACTTTTTCTGGTGCATGTGGGATAGAACGGGCACGTTCAAGCATTAGTGAGGCCTGCTCTTTTTCGACAAGCTCGTCGTCTTCGGAACGAGAAATAACGATAACTTCTGCATGTTCCCACAATGTCTCTTTGCCTGGACGGCTTGAATATGGCGATGCTTCCCTCCACAAAGTCTGGTCGGGGAACGCATTGTCCATTATCTCCTTGTATACAGGTATACTACTATGAGCTTCGACAAAAGCCTCGAAATAGTATATGCCAGCGATTCCAAGCACACTTATGGGCTGAGGCAGAGGGGTCTCCGAAAACAATCCTTGGTATAATTGGAAAGCCATTGTTGCACCTGCTGAATGTCCGACCAGAATATAGCGATTATGGATCTTGTACCGGTCTTGCAAATAATGTAGACCATGGGCTACATCGGTAACATGCCGTGCATGATGAACATTCCTAGATGCGTCATCTGGAGTAGAAGGAATGGTCTTGTGCGAAGGATACGGGCTGAGAGAATAATTGATTGACGCAAAACCTGCAAAGGAGTCCCGAGATGAAGAGCTCCAAAGCACATTGATAGCTGGCGCGAAACTTTTCGAATCAACCTCTGGGTCTCGCCAAGCACCACCATGAATGTAACTGACATACTCTTAGCAATTGGCCTGGTGATGAGACTGTCCACGGAAGACGAACATTACCCATAACTTGCTCTCAGCGATTCCGCCAGGTGTGTCCGGAGTCCAGACGTCTACAGTATTGAGTTTCGTAGCATCGATTCCACGCGAATAGGTTTCCAAACGATGTGAGAGGGTTGAGGTCATCTTGAACAGTGGTGTAGCTAGAATGTCTTTGAGAGAGAGAAATGGACCTGGGTGTTCCTTCGGCAGCCTAGCTCGCCAGGCCATGACGGAAATGATGCACGAGCGAGCGGCTCTCACATTTGACACACGACAGCAGAAAATTGTCACCTCTGTCAAGCACATTCTCTTCAAGCCCAGGTGTCTAAAACCTGTGATTGTTTTACACCTTTCGATATTTTAATAGTACCTATTCACTCCTTCACCTATTCGTTGGTGTGCCCACGCCAGATTCCCCCACTACGAAGCTCTCCCTCCACGACTGAACCTACCCAAGAGGTCACGATATGCCGCAGGTCCTAAGTACGAAAGAGCAGTCGCTCTTTCGAACAGTTGTTCGTAATTATGAGGATAAACAGTACAAAAAAGGCGCGCAGATTCTCTCCTTTCAATGGTAATCTTTCTAACTCATCCCAGGTGTCAAAGCAGCCGATCAGATCTTGCGGAAAAATCCTAAGCATGGAGATACATTGGCAATGAAAGCTCTCATCATGAACTCCCAAGGCAAGACAGATGAAGCTTTTGCTCTGGCAAAAGTTGCTCTCCAATGCGATATGAAGTCGCATGTGTGCTGGCACGTATACGGATTGCTTTACCGGGCTGTAAAGAACTTCGAAGAAGCTATAAAGGCATACAAATTTGCTCTGCGGTTGGAACCAGACTCTGCGCAAATCCAGAGGGATCTTGCTCTCCTCCAGATTCAGATGCGAGATTACCAAGGATACATAGTCAGTCGGAGAGCGATGTTGACAGGGCGATCTGGCATGCGACAGAGTTGGACTGCTCTTGCGGTGGCACATCACCTTAATGGTGACCTGGCTGAGGCAGAACGGGTTCTTACTGCTTATGAGGACACTTTGAAGAACACCCCTTCCAAGACAGATTTTGAGAACTCGGAAGCGGTGATGTACAAGAATTCATTGATCGCCGAGCAAGGGGATATCGAAAGAGCTTTGGAGCACTTAGAATCTGCTGGCAAACATAATCTCGACAGACTTGCGGTGTTGGAGCTTCGAGCAACGTATCTTACACAATTGGGCCGGAAAGAAGAAGCCGCCAAAGCATACAGCACACTCCTCGATCGGAACTCCGAGTACAAGAAGTATTACGACGGGCTTATCGAAGCAATGGAGGTTCACTTGGACGATCTGAAAGCTCGAAAGGCTGTTTACGATGGATACGCAGAGAAATATCCCCGGTGCGACGCTGCCCGTCGATTGCCATTAGACTTCCTGCATGGTATGAGCGTTCTCAAAAAAAAAACCTTGTTTGGAGATACATCACTGATGATAAACAGGTGATGAATTCCGAGATGCTGCTGACAAGTACATTCATCGAATGCTTGACAAGGGCGTGCCATCTACCTTTGCAAATCTCAAGCATCTCTACTCAGACTCTTTCAAAAAGGAGACGTTGCCCTCTTTAGTCCAACAGTACATTGATTCCGACAAGAGCTCGGCAAACGAGGAGCCCAAGAGAAACGGCGACACATCCAAGGGCGCATCAGCAGCTTTCTACTTTCTTGCCCAGCATTATAATTACTACCTGAGCCGGGATCTGGACAAAGCAATGGAGTACATCGAGAAGGCGATAGAGCTGGAACCAGAAAGTGTTGATTTTCACATGACCAAGGCCCGGATATGGAAGCACAACGGCAATACTCAGAAGGCTTCTGAGATCATGGAACAAGCACGATCTCTGGACACAAGAGATCGACATATCAATACCAAAGCCGCCAAATACCAGCTCCGAAATGACGAAAGCGAAGCTGCCATTAAGACAATGGGCTTGTTCACTAGAGCAGAAACGGTGGGCGGACCCCTTGCTGATCTGCATGACATGCAATGCGTCTGGTTTCTCACAGAAGACGGAGAATCGTATGTGCGCCAAGGAAAGATAGGTCTCGCGTTGAAAAGATTTACTTCAATCTATAACATTTTCGATGTTTGGCAAGAGGATCAATTTGATTTTCACAGCTTTTCTTTGCGGAAAGGTCAGATCCGAGCCTATATAGAGATGATGCGATGGGAAGATCACCTGCGTGAGCATCCATTCTACAGTCGAGCAGCTCTCTCGGCGATTAGCGTATATATCAGGATGCACGATGTACCTTTACTGAATGGCGCCAATGGGGTGGGGCATAGCGACGCCGATGATGCTGCTGAGAGGAAGAAGGCTGCAAAGAAGGCGCGGAAGGAGGCCCAAAAAGCGGAGCGGGAAGCTGCTGCAAAGAAGGCTGAGCCCAACAAGCCCACCAGCCAAGGGAGTGAGGATACAAAGAAGAAAGACGACGATCCAGACGGGGCCAAGCTCGCTGCAACCACTGAGCCCATGAATGATGCCATGAAATTTCTCACGCCTCTTTTGCAGTTTAGTCCGAAGAATATCGATGCACAAATTGCAGGGTTCGAGGTGTACATTCGAAGAAGTAAGTTATCCGTATCTGAGGATCGTATCAGTACTAAAGTGTATTGCAGGAAAGTACCTCCTCGCTTTAAAGTGTCTCCTAGCTGCTGCGGCGCTGGACAAGGAGCACTCCAAAGTTCATGAGCAGACTGTTCGGTTCAAGCTAGCCCTTGACAAGGACTCGGAAACTCTCCCACCTAAGTCTCTTGAAGTTATCAAGTCAGAGTTCACGCTACTGGCCGCATCGGTGGATCTTACAAAATTCAACGACGAATATCTAGCCAAGTATAAGGACTGCGCAAGACGAGCACTGTCCGCACTCAAGATCCGGAAGTTGCTGAACCCGGAGTCGTCCTCAAAATGCGAAAAAGACGTGGCAGCTGTTATCAGCTTGCCTACGACCACGGTGGAGGAGGCAACCGAGGCTTTGGATCTCTTGACTTCGTGGAAGAGCAGCGAGATTGAAGGATTGCGAAGCAAGGCAGCTGCAAAATGGCCCAAAGCCACAATATTCGCTGCGAAGGCATAGACACAGTCCACTTGAGTTGAATTATCTGGAAAGGCCATTTCGTTAACGACTCTACTTTTCATATCAAAACTATGAGCTTGGAGAATGTGTCAGCATAGAAATGAGGGCTTGGTGGATAATTAGCGCAGGAGCTTGTCCATCTTCTCAGACATTAGCATCCGCTGTCTTTATGGTGGCGCTGAGCGTTTGTTATGCATGAGATCACGAAAGGAAAGATAGACAAAAGTTCGTATGGCATAGCATGGAATAAATGTACAGAGGAGATTTCGTGATATTTCGCGACTCTTCCTGCATCCGTCCCCTCCTTACTAGATGCTATGCTGTGGCTATTCGCGCTATGATTTACATATCTAATACAGTGATGCTCCCAACCTATCAAGGGGTATCCTAGAGCCATATCTGACAAGGCCTCGAAAATATGTTACAATGGCCTATTCTAAGACCTCTTCTTCACCTTCTGCAGGGGCAGGTTTCTTGTCCTTCCCGAATCCCATAGCTTTCAGTCCTTGCCGTCCCAAGCTTCGTATGCCTCCTTTGATCCAGCCTTCGACCTCTTCCTCAGGTACAACAATGGCTCTCACTCTGGCCTCTTCATCAAGCGTGATCTGAAATCTCCGCATCCTTGACGCAATCCGTGGATCTAGCACAATGGGGTCCAACCACGTTCTTTCCGGATCGTCGTCTTTGAGAACGCGCACGCTTTTGGGCCAGTCTTTCTCCTCCTCTATAAGTGCGGTCTGCTGCTCAGCTATTTGGGGCGTGCTTGGTACATTACTTGAAGGAGGCTGATTTGTGTCTGAAGAGAAGGTAGATTCGGTAGAAGATGCGGAAGTTGTATCGTATGGCCGGTATGTAGAGAGTATTACAGCTGCTATTTCTCGTCCGATCGAGTCTGCCATATGGCGTCGGTTGAGAAATCGATATAATCTCCTCGGGGTATTCAAGAAGCCCAAGATATGGGGAAATGAGATTGGTTGCGAGGGGTCAAACTCGGCTGGCAATCCCGGTGGACTATCCGCATTTGAATACTCGGCGGTCGTGATGAATGGTGGTGGTTGAGGGGGCTTCTTTGGTTTCTCCTTTGGCTTCTCGCTGGGGGTGGTTACTTCGTCTGCTTCCTTTGGCGTAGAAGTAATTGTAATTCCGGGCAAGGTCTCGACGGCTTCGACGGATTCGACTGGGACCCCTGCTTCCTTATCTCCCATGCTAACATCTTCGCTGGTCTTTTCTCCAACACTCGAGGGCTCTGTGAGAGGTCCTAGCCAACCTTCATGTACTCCTCGGACATATTCTTTCCACGTATGTCGCCCAATAACAATGTCCCCGCGTATACCGTCAAATTCTGGAATACCACTGCTCCTCCGTGTCTCTGTGATGACGTCCTCTTCTCGACGCTGATCTGGTGGTAATCTCGAGTTGCGAATCTTTTCTGCTATCTCGGCCCGTACATCACCCTCTTTTCGGCCTTGTATGAATTCCCAGTCCAGCCCAGACGCAACCAGTATCGGTTTGACATATTCCTTGAAGTGGTCTTGTGCAACTCGTAGACCATCTCCTGGCGGAGCTTCCAGAAAAATAGAGAGCTTTCTTGGCATTGATCCCGAGCTCGGCAGAGGTTCCTTTCCGATGTGTTCGACTGCTTTCATCCATTTTCTTTGGGCTCTCTTTTCCTCTCTCTTGTCGTAGATGACAGCTGTTGTAAAGGCGCCGGTGATGGACAAGAAGATCATCCAATTTCGTGAAGGTAATCTAGGACGGAAATTCTCTCCAAACCCCAAATACTTCCAAATTGGATTGGGCTTTGGTAAAGCTTTCGGCGGATCCTATGAAATTGATCAGCGCATGTGAGAACGCAATGGAGGTAATTGTTTACTTTAGTATCTGCCATGTTTGGTATGACTACCTGGGACCATCAGCTACAAAAACAAATGGTTGAACCTGTTGTCGAAAGTGAACGATCTTCATGTGCATATAAAAAAAATTCTACGGTGACCTACTTAATTTACGTTACCCGAAGTAGGCAAGTTTTGCCGCTTGGTAGCCTTCCGGTTTGCTAATATGATACCTAGCCTAGCATCGCTGAGTCTGGGCTGGGGTCACAAAAGTATTCATCTGATATCTCTTACACAGATTCACCCATGTTACTGCTTTCATGGATACGAATGGACGAGGGGCGTACTCTCTCGCAGCACCCATCTCAATGGTCATCTTATAAAGCTTCCTAGATGTTCACAGAGAAGCCAGAATGAACGTAGCCTGTTTGTATAATCACGGATTCTCTTTGCTGAGGTATCATCAGGGTTATTCAGAGCGTTGTTAAACTTCGGCAGACTTGACATCCACCTCCTGGCTGCAGCGAGGACGGAACTTATCGTTTAATGACAAAAGGCTCACACGCTGCAACAGTCAAGATTGGTTTGGGTTCTTTGCTGGACTATAGATTTGATGTACTCCCGAAACCCGTAGGGACATTGATATTCGTCATGTCAAAAGGTTCTAGTACCAGTATATGTGCGGCTGATCATCACCAAGCTTGTTACCGAGCGATAAAAGGGGTAGATCATTTTAGAACCATTTGTCTACCCAAACGTAAGGACAAGCGGCAACCCTTTGTAGACGGGCGCGTATGGATCAGATGTGACGCAGCTCTTATTCTGCAGATTAACGTGCACTCCAATACGAGTACGAAGTATTAATTCTATTGCTGCTCCGAGAGGGACCGGGGCGACGATACGGTTGCAATGCGTGTTGTTCACAGAGTGAATGAGAGTGAGGTTGAGGTCAACCAACATTCCTTGCAACTTCTATTGCGGTCAGGGGTAGCGGGTGTCGTTATCGACAAGAGGAGACGCGTGCTGTTCTAGATTGAACGACGATAAGGGTCCTTTTTCATGCTGCCGCTGCTTTTTTTTAATCAAGTGACAATCGCTCTAGAAGCGACCCCTGTTCGTCGCCAACCGGTAAGGTTTCGTGATCTCCGTCTTCTTGGTCTTCCGTGTAAACTCAACCTTCGTCGAGGGACAATTCGAACACGCAAAGAGGACGACACACTTCAACGGTCGCAACCATGGAAAACAATTCGGGTAATCGTCTCTACCTGAATTTCAATCAAACTGATCGAGGAGGCGCGTTCTCCGATCAAGCATATCCTACAACGTAAGGATCTCCCAGACTCGCTTTCGATCTTGCTCTCCCCTCCCTCCCCTTAACTCCCCTCCACTCTCAAGGCAACTTCTGCCCTCATACATCCTCAACCACACGGCGCCGCTTCCTAATTCACGCGTCCTGCGTCAGAAAGAAAAGATCACTGACTTTCAATCTTCAGCCCGTCGACCTTCCCGCAGCCAGTATTCCCTCCACAGGCACAAGGCGGTCAACAGGGCCAAGCTCAGAATTACAGTACTGGTCTTGCACCGTCTGGATATTTCGCAAATCAAAACTATCCCCCCTCCTACCCTCAGCAGCCACCGTCGTCAGGCTATCAAAAACCCCCACAAGCCCCGCAAGCTGCCTACCAGCAAAGACAAGCTCCCGTGGATGCCACTAATACCTTGGTTGTATGTGCCTGATCCCTTGTGTCTTGTGCCTCTATTCAGCAGGTTCTTGTATGAAGGGTCTCCCCGAGCTAACATTTCGTAGCATCAATTCTCTCACCAGAACTTGGGTGGACGAGCTTCGCCATACGGCAACCGTCAACCTTCGCCTGCCCAGCGACCTCGAACTGCTGGTGCTCCTGGTCAACCTGCAGGTTACGGAAGCTATTTAAACGCCCCAATGCCTGCTACACCTCAACAAAGTTGGCCTGAGTTTCAACCTGGTCCGGAGAGAAACCCAGACAAGTACGGACAAGGAGCCCAAACCAACCAAAAGAGATGCGCTTCACTTGCAGAGTCTTTCTTCAAGGATAGTGTCAAGAGAGCCCGAGATCGTAATGTTAGGTAAATACACCCTGAGCAGCTCTCCCTTGGTCACAATCCACTAATCCCTAAAATTTAGGCAGAGTGAGATGGAGATGCGTCTGGCAGATCCAAACCAATCGCAAGCCCGACGAGATCAGACGTGGTCGAATGCTGGCAAGCAAGAAGGAAGATACCTACGATTTCTCCGCACTAAGGACTCTCCTGACAATTACCAAACATTGAAGATCATTGGCAAGGGTGCTTTTGGTGAGGTCAAGTTGGTCCAAAAGAAGCAAGACGCCAAGGTCTATGCTATGAAATCCCTCATCAAGAGCGAGATGTTCAAGAAGGATCAGCTAGCACACGTCCGTGCGGAGCGTGATATTCTGGCAGAGTCTGACAGTCCATGGGTCGTCAAGCTGTATACCACCTTCCAAGACTCCGACTTCCTATACATGTTGATGGAGTTCTTGCCCGGAGGTGATCTCATGACAATGCTAATTAAGTATGAGATCTTCTCTGAAGACATTACTCGCTTCTACATTGCGGAGATCGTTCTGGCTATTGAGGCTGTGCACAAGTATGGCTTCATTCATCGGTAAGTCTTAGCATCTTCTCGCATTGAAGCCCTTGATCGTCTAGCTAACCTCTCGATTCAGTGACATCAAACCTGACAACATTCTCTTGGACCGGGGCGGCCATGTTAAGCTTACAGATTTTGGTCTGTCGACGGGTTTCCACAAGCTCCATGATAACTCCTACTATCAGCAGCTCCTGCAAGGCAAATCCAGCCGGCCACAAAACCGAAACTCTGTCAACCTTGACCAGATCAACTTGACAGTCAGCAACCGAAGCGTTATTAACGACTGGCGTAAGTCACGTCGCGTCATGGCTTATTCGACCGTCGGCACTCCGGACTACATCGCACCAGAGATCTTCAGTGGTCATGGCTATGGACAAGACTGTGATTGGTGGAGCTTGGGAACTATCATGTTCGAATGTCAAATTGGCTGGCCCCCATTCTGCGCTGAGGATGCTCATGACACCTACCGTAAGATTGTCAACTGGCGCCAATCGTTGTACTTCCCGGAGGATGTCCAACTAGGTCCAGAGGCGGAGAATTTAATTCGAAGGTATGTTCTGAAGAAAGGGTCTTTTTTTCAAGCTAATCAGTCCGTAGCCTTGTGTGCAACACTGAGAACCGCTTGGGTAGAGGTGGTGCCGACGAGATTAAGAGCCACAAATTCTTCCGTGGTGTCGATTTCGACAGCCTCCGTCGAATTCGTGCACCGTTCGAGCCCAAGCTTACGTCGAACGTTGACACAACTTATTTCCCCACCGATGAAATTGACCAGACTGACAATGCTACCCACCTGAAGGCTGCTGCAGCTCTCAACGGTGGTCAACCACGTGTCGAGGCCCCGGAGATGAGCTTACCATTCATCGGCTATACCTTCAAGCGATTCGACGACTTCGCCCGTCGCTAGGTTCAGTCTCATGTGAAGCTGACCTCTTCGGACCAATCTTCAACGATATGAACATACTTTCGACGAATTGATTTGTTGAACTTGAGGCTTTCCGTGAGGATGGCCATTCGCAGGAGATACCACTTTGCGTCATAATGATTTCGAAATTGGAGGCATCAAAAGTCAATGGAGGGGATTTGGTGTTGCATCAGCCGGTCACGTACATAATCATACTTGCTAAGGTCATGCTTTCTGGCATGATGGCCTTTGCTATGAGGAAACACCTCAGATTTGCATTTTCATGGCGTTGGTAGATCTCAAGCATGCTCTGTAGCTAGCAGAGCCTCATAGCAATGGTTTCGATGAAATGTCTTGCTTGGTAATACAAAGTGACAAAAATTTGCTTGTGATCCTCCCCAACTCCATGCAAAAAGTCATCTTACAAGCCTAAATCTCATCGCCTTGACATTCCCGATGGTGCCAATCCTGGAACACCGCTGTACCTCTCCTCTCTCTCCGTCTTGAACATGACCTGAACCCAGAATTCCTTCTGATCCGGATCCCACCACGTGTAGTACCTATCGTTGGTCCGGTCAACCTCTCGTGCCTGTAACTTAAAGCCGCAGGTCTCGTACGGTTCCGCAGCCACCAGCATGTACTGAAAGCTCTTGTCCGGAGGATCATCCACCTTCTGCTCGTAGGCACTCATGAATCTGACCTTGGGTGTAACATCTGGCGATATCTCTGGGTACTGCAATTGAAAGACTAAGCCCTGTTGCCTCGTAACCGGGTCCCTCGTCTTTGTGATCTTGTATCCTGGTCGTCCGATCTTCACAACATTTCTCTTGACCGCGATTTGTGCACCGACCATGCCAATTGGCATGCCAGTGACTGGATCAACACCCGCCCGTCCTTCCTTCTGCTCTTTGGCGGCACGACGCGCGAGATTGGTTTGATGTTTGCGGCCTTGGGTATGGGCAAGGTAGGAGCCATCATTTTGGTGGACTGTCAAGCAAAGGCGACATTCAAAGGAGCCAACATGGTTCTTGAAGAAGTATGGGTCTTTGTCGAGGTCGATGGTTTCGAGAGCGAGCTTTCGAAGACGTTCTCGCCGGTCTGCGTTAGTTGCTGATGTTGATGCGACACCACCTCCTCCAAACTTCGAACCAGCACGATTCTGGTAGTCCATCTTCTTGATTTGATGCGAGCTGGTGGCCAAATATCTCCTTCGCCGGAATTGATGAGGTCGTTGTTGGTGATGAAGAAGAGAAGGCGCAAGGCAAGGAAGACTGAAAAATGTTCGGCCAGCCGAGCTCAGCCTTTTCTCCAAGGCTGACACTTTTCAAGCAACATCAACGCTACTTTGAGAACCGGGCGTCTGATTTGTACAGACATCCACAGAGTGACAAAATCTCCGGCCATGACAAGCACCATCATAGCTCTTCTGTGAGGTTGCCGCGATGGCCAACGTGCAGCCTATAGCAATCGGTGGGCGTCTTTCCTATGGCTCTGCCATCTGTACGTTGCGATACATTGGCCCCGTAGCAGGAACAGATCAAAGCACAGTATGGTTTGGAGTGGAATGGGACGATCACTCACGGGGAAAACATGATGGGTCCCACCAAGGACAGAGATATTTCACCTGTACGTATTGTCCAGAGACAACGAAGAGTACACTGTTCGAAGTGCATATATACTTGATAAAATCGATCATGTTCTAAGACGAGACAGGCAAAAGTCCCTCTCCTACTGCGGCATCATTCATTAAGTCTTCCAGAAGTCAAGATCCAAGCCGGTCATTCATCCAAGCAGTGAAGAGGAAGTACGCCGATGAAGATCATCGGGACGATGTTTCGGAGCGTCCTAATGTAATCTCTGGGAAAGTAGTCGAAGAAGTTGGCTTTGACAAGATCCAAGAGCAACAGAGGCGCTTACATGAGTTAAAGATCGTCCTGGTGGATGGCCAGCAAATCAATGCTGCTGAAGATGCTACCGATGAGGTAATTGAAACTGTTTGTCCAAGTATCGTTGAACTCGACCTCAGTCGAAATCTTCTATCGTTTCAAGAAACTCATAAGATCATCCGCCGTAACAAGTTACCTCATCTAAGACTTCTTAAACTCAAGTAAGTCTGTCTACTTGTGCTTTGTGTTATAGCACAGCTAAAGTTCTAGTGGCAATCGTTTCAGCGAGCTAGATTCAAGGAGTCGAGTTGAAATCCTAGATTCCTTAGAAGCCATCCCGGTCGGTGAGTTGCATATGGACGATGTGCTTCTGCGATGGGATCAACTCTGCAATATCTTAAGCAAGTAAATACATCTCGTCCATCGGATTAGCCTTCAAATAGCTGACTGTTGCTAGAATCTTCAAGTCCTTGACAACTTTCAGTGCGTCTTCAAACATCCTGAAATCTCTTGATTATTCAATACCCATCCACTCCTTGAAAACACTGATTCTGGATTTCAACCAATTTGCTACCCTCTCCGACCTCACTCTATTGAAACAATGTAGCTCTCTCGAGATTCTACGTCTCAAAGGCAACAGTATATCCTCTGTTGCTCAAGATCCATTTGTTCTGACGCCGTCCCATCAGTTCGGAGGTAAGATACCCCCTGCACATCTTGGAATTAGTTGAACGAGGCTGATTGAAGGAAGACAAACTGAGATATGTGGATCTCTCTTATAATGCCATTGCTTCCTGGAAGTTTGTCGACGATCTGGATTATTGTTTCCCTGGACTGACCGAGCTGCGCCTGTCGCATAATCCAATTTATGAGACAAGCTCGGATTCCCAGGCTTCTGGTGGCGCTGAAGAGGGTTACATGCTGACACTTGCTCGCTTGGGCAAACTTACCAATCTCAACTTCAGCAGAATAACTGCCGCCGAGCGCTCGAACGCGGAGATGTTCTATCTATCTCGCATAGGTCGAGCCATAGCAGAGGTCCCAGAGACCGAGGCAGCGTCGGTGATAGCACAGCACAAAAGGTATGCAGTATTGTGTGAGAAGTATGGAGAGCCTGCCATCATCAGGTCGAATGCAGATGGCATCAATCCTCTATTCTTGGAAGCACGTTTGATCCGTTTTACTTTCTATTTGCCACAGAGAACAAGAGATGGAAAAGTTGAGAAGATCACCCTATCGAAAGAGATCCCGAAGTCATTTGATGTCTACCGTGTCAAAGGCATTGTGGGGAAGCTGTTTGGTGTGCCTCCGCTCAATCTACGTTTGACATGGGAAACTGGAGAATGGGATCCAGTTGCTGGGTACGAGGAAGAAGAAGAGAGCAGTGGTGATGACGAAGAAGGGAGTGAAAAGATTACTGTTTCTGAGAAGCAAGTAGTAAGAGAGACAGGAAGATTGATGAAAAGAGAAGTTGAGATCGAGGAAAGCACGAGAGTCATAGGAAATTGCGTTGATGGCTTAGAAGCAACCATCAGGGTGGAGGTAAATAAGACTACGGCTGTGCTGGCATCGATACCTGCTATGTAGATTAATATCTTATGACCAGCAATGAGGACCAGACCACTCAGAGTCAAAGCTCTCAAATACAGTGCTTCTTCAAGCTCCATTAACTTGTATTTCTCTAGCAATCGGATTGCAGCAACTCCTTGTGATTGCGAGAAAGTCATCCGCGTCTTTAAAACTCGCTGTACTGATCTTGAGATATGTCCATCCACCCGCACCGTATTGATGGTTTGATCACAGACAAACAATGCGCTGGCTTGGATGTGCCACCTTTGCTTGAAGGAGGCTATTGTGGGCAAGCAGAGATCGACAATGAATCTTGACGAGTCCTATAAAGACGTTATGAGTCCTCGTTACCAATTCTTCCCTTTCCCAATAGGATTTTCTACAAGGTCATAAGCCTCGACTTGAGTCAACAGCACCAAATCATCGATCACAATGCCGCCAAATCCGCTAAAATCGGGCTACAAAGACAAACCATGGCCAGGATACTTCCTCGTCCGTACCACAGGTGAGGTGGTACCTCTCATTGCCGTCGATGAGCTCCCTCTTGGTATTGACCTCATCGGTGTTCCTCGTTCACTTGACCTGGAGGGAACAATTGGCATGCTCAACTTGGGCCTGCAACGAAGCAGTGGCTCTCACTACCAGATCTTCTCTGGAAATGAGCACGGAGAAGAAATGGGCCAGTCGAATGGCAAAGCGAAGTAAGTGACCCGACTATTGGTCAGTCGCAGATTATCATTAAACTTCAAACAGACTCAATAACCATTCTGCACAACAAGTCCAACTTAGGTCTGCACCAGCAGCTCTGACCACGACTCCAAACAGTACTCCACCATCAACACCAAAAGTAAGCAGCACAATTCGTCCGCTTACATCTAATCCGGCAGCAATCCTCTGCCGCCATTGGTGTCATCACGGGATCTGTAAATGGGGCCAGCAGTGTCGCTATAGACACATCATGCCAATGACCTTGCAAGGACTTCAAGAAGTCGGTCTTGCAGACTGGCCGGCTTGGTACCGGAAGTTGAACCCAGGATACTTTATCAACGAGGTCCAGGCTTCTGCTCCAGGTCTTACTGGCGGTAGATCTAGGACGAGAGCTTGTGCTGCTGGCGGAGGACACGGAGGAGCTTGCTGTGGTGTCCTGCATGGTAGAAAGGGGGAGAGAAGAGTTGGTGGTCCAAGTCGTGGACTTAGGGAGAGAGGAGCAGGAAGAGTATCCAAGACCGAAGAATTAGGCGAGCAGATCATCGCTAGATTGAGGGGAATGGCGAGAGAAGGGAATACAATTGCCGGGGAGAAGGGAAACATAATGGTGGAGAGGGCTGCTGCAAGGGATACAAAGAACTGGGAAGATGAGAGTAGTGATGACAGTGAGGCTGAGGTTCAACAGGTGGAAGAAGTGAAAGGAAATCTGGTTGATGTTTGATGTACGGTTCTGGAACAAGTAACTAGTTTTTGTGTAGACACTTGTGGAGCCATGTCTGTTAAGATGGATAGCTAGAAGTCAAGGAAAGAAATGATACTCACAATTCATCTTACGACTTGCATGGAGTTATAACGTAAATCAACGACAACGGCAGTCGAACAGTAGGAAAACTCGCAGCACACTCGTCTGATGAGAGAAAGCAGGCAGTAAACTATTGAGTCTCAATTTACTTACAGATGTGAGCTTTCACGTGTGCATAACCCAAGTAGCCTGCGAAGAAAGACGTGAAAGGTTGTAAGATCCATATCTCACGAGGAAGACAGCTATCTAGCAATGTTTCACTTTCCCTTCCAATTGCGCCTATTGTCAGATGGCTTCTATATTACACTCTTCGAAATTCCAAAACCAACGCTTGATTGCTTTCAACGCTAAGTGATATTTGTCAACGAAATGATTTCCATTATGCTTGGTGCAAAGAAGCCAACACAGCAGCTGCCTCTCTCTGATCCTCAACTGGCTGGCCTTTGATTGGTAATGGACTTGGTGACGATGCTCCTATGGCAGGAGGTGAGTAGGCATTGTGCCAACTTGCTCGATCCGCTGCGGCCTTGATTGCATCCGCCGAGGGGATTTCTGCAGAGCCGGCCAGTACTAGCCGTCTTCTCTCATGCCAATCAATCTCCGTCTTGAGTGCTTGGTCGAGTAAAATCTCCTTCTCGAGCCATTCTTTCCTGCGAAGCTCTTCCATCATCTCGGCAGACTGCTTCAATGATTCGGCTTCTTCCTCCGCCCAGTGCACTTGTCTGCGCAATAATCTGTACAGATCTTTTGGTCCTCTTTCTTCTTCTTCTGGTCTGAAACCAAGTTCAGTTGGATATGATGAAGTCCATCCCGTCGGAGCGTGACCGTTCGTCGTGCCATTCATGGGTCCAAGGATGTGTCCGTCCAGGTGAGGCTGAGGAGTTTTCATGATCATCTTCAACCGCGACGTTCTGTGAGCGGCTTGCATGGACTTTGGAATTGGATCCGAAGGACGAAGCGATTCCGTTTCATGAACTGTTCGATGATGCTTTGCTAACGCATCTGAGCGTGTGAAAGCTCGGTCACATTCTTATGCAGCAGTCAGCGGGTGTATAGATCCTGGAAGGAGGCATCGCCTCACCAGGTAGTGAACAATAGAATGGCTTTTCCCTCGTATGGCTTCTCATATGCGCTTTCAGAGCATACGCACTGGCGTGAGGTAAACCCTTGCGCGCACAGTCTGACCATTCGCATGTGTACTTCTTCCCTCTTGTCTCAATATGCTCATTATGTATGTGCTCTACCAACCTGTCCATATTCCCTAGATCTCCCTCGTCGCAACCAGTCCAAGTGCATACTGTCACTTGTTCGTGGTTGTCGTCATCTTCGGGACGGTTGCTGGGAGAAGCTGGAACTTCCCCAGAGCTGTCGGACGATATGGATATTGCATCGTCGTCGAATTTGGGGGCTTCGAGGTAAGGTTCGGGATCTCCAATCTTGCGCTTCTTCGAAGGAGGCATTGCTTCTGCTGCGATTTCGTCGTGGTCGTCATCTCCATCAAAGTCTGAGGAGAGCGATGAGAGCGGGGACCCCGCAGGTGATTCCTCTGCCATTGTGTTTGATATTTAGATTCACTGAGGGCCAATTCACCTTATGCTACGGCGTTGTGCTTGAGATAAACGCAGTGGGAGTGCTGGTAGCCTTTAGCTTGGTTCCAATTGGCCGAAGAAAGTCCGACTCATGCCCACAGAAATTTCGGAACGACTCGTTCATTCAATTCCACGACAATCCCCTGAGACAATCACCAATTTGATCAGCTCAAAGCTGCAACCAACATCAAAGCTATGCGGGTTCTTTCTATACTTTCACAGCCCGTCGACTACGCTAGGATCGCTGATGCGACGTGTGATATGACAACGACGACTGACGACCTATGCAAACATTACATGTAAGTCTGCATTTCTTAGATATCTGTTCCTTTCTGCTGTGATTACAAAGCATTCTGCAATTCTGAATCCATCCTTTGGCCTATGTTGAGCACACAATACATTACACATTCTCTGAGCACGAATATGTATTCTAAATCCCTTTAAATTCTGATGTGGGTTTCTAGCTGACACTAGAAGCATAATAAGTACTCTTCCCCCTTCTTGCAACCCGTGCCTATACATCGACGTGTGACATGTGGGACTCTGGATACCGCTCCCCACTTACTGGGAATGACTTAAGGACAGAGTCAATCTCGGCAACTTCGTCACTTGTCAAGGAAATCTTCTTGCTATTCTCCGCAACTCTCTCGACCGTGGTCGCTCCTGGTATTGGAATTACTGGCACGGCTAGCTGCTTGGATAGCTGAGCTACCCAAGCTATGGCTAGCTGTGCTGTTGTGCATCCCTTTTGTTTGGCAATCTTGGAGACTTCGTCAACCAAGGTCAAGTTCTTTTGGAAGTTTTCTCCTTGGAAACGTGGCATATGTTTTCGCATGTCACTTTAGCAGTCAGCACTGAATCAAGTAAGAGTCGAATGGAACGGAGGTCATGGGCCTCATGCACCAACGAGTCAGGTCACATACCCGTCGGGGATATCAGAAGGTGATTTGACTTCACCAGTCAAGAAACCTTCCATATTTCGCAGTTAGCATATATTCTCTTGGCGTCCAAGAACCGAGGACGATGTCTCAGAGTCCCGAGAGTAAGAGAACGTGTGAGGTTTTGAGTTTGAAGCCACGACTTATGGCATCTGCTTGGCATAGGTGATTTACCTCTACCCATTGGGGAATATCTACATTATACAGTTAGTGACATACCATGCAACTTTCAAATGCACTTACGCGACGATTGGAACCTGGTGTTTTGCGCATGCTTCTGCCACGCCGCTTTCCAAGATGTGAGTTGAAAATAGGGATACTTCTACCTCCACTCCTGCAATTTTGGTGACTTTGACAGCCCTCTCAATTGTTGCAGCTGAGACCTCGGACAAGCCGATCCCCCCAATCTTGCCGGCCTTCACATACTCATCTAGATGCTTCAGTGTTTCTTCGATGGGGACCCTCTTGTCTACCCTGGCGTATTCGAAAATGTCAATACTCTTCTTGCCATCCAGTATCTTGAGGCAATTTTCGACTGAGCGTCTAACTCCTTCTGGAGATCCATCTGCGTGCATATTGGAATCAAGGCCTCCCTGGTCAAGAAGTAAGTACGCTTCCACTTCTAGGAGAAAGAATGTTTCTTTTCAGGCAGAATAGCAGCTACCACAGGAGGAGAATTGTTTTTCGTACCTTGATACTTAAGACCACTTGTCCGGCCTTTTCGGGGTACTTTGTGAAGTACCTACACCGAGACAAAAGTGTCAGTAAAGCTTCATAAGAAGATCACATATGATGTGTTTGATGAGAGCATAGAGAGGTGTCTATGGAGGAGCAAGAATACATAACCATTGAACTTTCTCAGAGCGATGATCTTGTTATGAGAATCGAATACTCACTTGTTGAGGAGATGTAATGAGTTTGCGTTAGGCGGGCCATACAATTCTCCTCCATTCCAGAAATTACATCCAGCAGCCAGCGCAGCGTTCATAGCGTCAAAAGCCTGTTCTTGAGAAGGAGGCTGTCTACGCCACGTGAGGCCCTACGAATGTTAGCTAAAGCAGAAGATAAGTAGACGGTTCGAGCCACCATCAATCTGTCGCAAAGTTAGTACATGCTTGACATGGGCTTCCAGAGCCATGAAGTCAAGCTCTCAAGACGTACCCATATCCAATAGCACCAATTTGCTTTCCCACGAGTTGAGTCGTCATCTTGCTGAGATTAGTCTATATGAGATGGTAATGCGATATCTGGGTATCTTCCTCAGAAATGAATATCTGCGGGAGATTATATCTTCAGTGGCACGGAGTTAGGTGGGGTTATGAAGTCCGCATCTATGACGGATGGCGGAGGTCTCCTAAGATGGTATTGGATAATCAAAATTTAGACGAGTGCCCCTCCTTTGGTTTTACCCATACGTAGCCAGATGTGCACCAGGAGTTGGGTAGATAGTGACAAGGCTACAACTTCAACTACCGGATTCTCAGCCTTGCTTTGCTAAAGGACAATGGCAAGGTCTGACATGGATAACATTGGACACAAGAAAAGCTTCTCCTTCTAGTGCTTATATTATTTCAAGCCGAGCCCAGTGATTAAAAACACGGGACCGGCCGAGGCAGAGGGTGATAGGAAGCCTCGCCCTGGTGAAGAAATATAGAGTGGAAATCGGAGCTGGAGCCTTGTATTCCCAGGCCCATATCTCTGAGGTTGTGAATGTTCTGATTTTCCGATCCTTATTGATGAGTCCTTGACGTCGTTAAATCCGGCCCTAACCATCTTTTTAGACCGAGGTTCGCTTGAAAGTTGAAGCTATCCAAGACTCGAAATCGACCCTACAGCAACAAAAATAATGTGCCCAATACGATAACCACGCGACCTTGTACTTGGGGCGCATACTTCGTCACAATAATGACATCTTGCCCTTTCTGCTATATAGCGGAGCATTTTCCGCCCTCCGAATCTCCCAACCCTAATTACGAACTCATATCTCCCTCTGCCTTTGTCGTTCTCAGCACCCCACTATGTCTTGCGTTTCTAGATATTATGCCACTATCACCGGGGCATCTTTTATTGACTCCTCGGAAGCACCATGAGAAAGTGTCAGATGTCACGGAAGAGGAGTCGCGAGAGCTTGGGATGTGGCTTTCGAGGTTAAGCCGGGTGCTCGCGAGCGTGACCGGGATTTATGATTGGAACATTGTTCAAAATAACGGTCCGTTGCGTGCACTCTGAAGATATTTCAGATGCATGTACTGATATCATATTATAGGAGCGGCAGCAGCACAAGTGGTGCCTCATTGCCACTACCATTTAATACCTCGACCGAACCTTACACCCGAGTTACGAAATAGATCGTTCACCATGTTTGGACGAGGTCAAAGAAGCGAGATAGACGACGACGAAGCCGCGGAACTTGCCCAAAAACTCAGAGATGGCATTGCCTGCGAGATGGAACGGATAAAGAACAGAGAGAAACTATAGACGGCCTGGTACTTGTTATACGTTAGAAGGACTTTTAGGTCGCAGAGATTTTGTACTAGATAGAAGATATATGTCGCTTTGAAGGGCGTTAGGCAGTATGGCCTGTACGATTGTCTGTCTGAATAATCTAGGGCTCGTTCCCTACTGTCTAGAGTACCGGATGTGGAATGTGGCTTCGTATGGATATCACTGCACAAAGCCAGGATATCTCGGAGAAGTACGTGAGGACGAGAAGAGAGGTACTGGAATATACAATGTCTGTGACTTTCGCGAACATGCTATAGTATCAAAAATGAATACGAAAACTACCTACCCTTACACTAGTTCCAGCACGATTTTGTGGGTTATTCTCAACCATGTTTCCATTTATACCAAGCAAGAGGTTTACTACAAGACCATGGCTAGTGATGCACTTTGTTGCAATAGTTGTGCACGATGTCTCTTCATTTCTCCTTTAACTAATCATGGACTTAATTTGGACATGTGGTTAGCACTGGTATTTTGTTTAAGACAAGCTTCATCTTGGGTGATTTGAGTGTCATATCTTCCAGCGGCAGAATGCGTTACATTTGTGGCTATAACCTGCTCAATTTTCGATACCCTCGTCTTGCCTCTCCCTTCCCCAACTATACACAAAAAGGACCATCCTCCTTCAAGGATATGCGGCTTCAGGAAGCGGTAGAATGGAGCCCGGGACATATGCAGTACCTCTGGAAGATCTTCTCTCCATGATTGATTTAGCAGCAACTTGGTCGCAATGTTTTTGTGACGACACAAGTGCAAGATGATCTTGAAGACGGAACGTTGTTGTTCCTGCTCGAATATCGAGTACCAGCGATGAATGCTCATGAAGCGATGCTTGGCGGTTTATCTAGACCAAGATAGAGCGCAAGACATAGGCACCTTGACCTCCTGTAGGTACTGACTTGCCAGTTCACTTCAAGATTGGATTGAACCCCTTAAAGTATCCCTTCCTGAAAGGGTTCAAGTCGTCAGCGTTGACGCCATTTTCCGCAGTTCTTTCTTTTCGAACAACGCCCTCGATGACTTCAGCATCCGGTATCCTTCGATAAGTAATCAATCTCCGAGACCCTGCAGGAAATTAAGTACGGGCTGGAGGGAAGGCGTTGGAAAGGCCTACATCTATTGAAACTTTGAGTGCAAACACTCGTGATCTGAAGACATGGATGCTGAGGAATTTGGACCTCCTGGTCTTCATCATTGGCGGTTGGCAGCCAGAATGACAAACGTCCATTATCAACAAGCGAAACAGCTGTGAAGTCAAGGATATCATCCAGCATAGCCAGAAAGCTATATGGTCGCTTGGGAGGGATGTAACTGTCTTCTCTATATGGATATTAGCACACACTTAGCTAGAGACATTTTTAACTTACTCATGATGAGCTCTTCCGTTCCGGTACACAGGTTCTTTACCCTTGGTAGGATCTCTACTTCCCAAAACCTTGAGCCCTTCTCGTACTCCATATGGAGGATCGCAGACTATGCCGTCAAATATTCTAGCTGATCGCAGTGGGGTATTTGTCAAGTCCGCAACAAAGCTATCTCCGAATTGATTCGTGAGACTATATTGGACAAAGTTGGTTAACAAGCTTGTCTTGCCCCTTCCTCTGATACTTCTTCCATCAATATCACTTCCGAATGCGAGAGCGCCAAAGTGCGCAGCAGCAAGTGGAAAGCTGCCCGAGCCAACGAATGGATCATAGAAAAGCTTGCCGGGCGCTGCTAGAGTGATATTTGCAGTTATGAGAGCAAGTTCTGCATCCATGGATGTAGTGCAGATATATTTCCGCTTCTTCAAGTCATATTTTCCGATGATGTCCCGCTCACTTCCGCCAATGTAGCGTCCTAGATAGATTGACTCTGGCTTGGTGATACCTAGGCCAACAGCATCAAATTGCCATTCTTCACAGATGCAGAAATCCTCCTCTGCGCCTTTCATTTTGATGGGACCGTCAAATCCAAGGAACTGAAACCCTTCGATTAGCTTCCGCTGCTCAGGTATAGAACGTGAGCCTTGAAAAGGGTCGAAGGAGAACTTGAAAGAGACATCTTTGTAGATGTGCCACAGATGTCCAGAGGTCTTCAGAACATTTTCGTGGACTTCCTCATAGTTGGTTCCTTGTCCCCAAAGTTCAAAAATAGATTTTGCGAGAATGCTTCGTCCAACCAATCTGATGGCAGCTGCCTCGGACGGGAATTTGGCAATGCAAAATGGGGACTAGAAATCTGTGAGCTTGAGGTTATAATAATTCGAAGACTCTTCTCTCACAGTTGGACTATATGAGAGTACTTCTAAGTCAATATTCTCCAAAACCGCTAGGGCTTTAATTTCTGCCAGGCGAAAGGTCTCATGAACTTGAGTGAACCTGATCAAATACTCCATCGCGCTCTTTGGGAAAATATTTTCTCGAGGGGGTCCTACGATCCATGAATTTGAAGTTCGCCCGTAAGAAATCCACGTTATTCTTGACTCATATCAAATCGAAAGGTAGAAATGTCGAATTATGTGAAGCTCGCTTAGTGCGAAGACCTTGTTAAAGAAGCACTCCAAGCGGCAAGCGGCTAACCTCATTTGGTTCATTTATACTTCCACTTCCACCTTCAACTTTATGACTCCATTCGTCAACATTAGACACCAAAAATGTTGAATTTCCGAGTCGAGACCAAGAATGAAACGAAATGCTATGCTACGCATGGCGTTCTTGGACACGTGGACCCAAAGCAGCCTCCAGTGAAGAGAAAACCATTCTCGGCAATTTTGAACCACGATTTCATCCAAAAGGTGATTAGCTCACAATATTTCGATGTATCCACTGACGTAAAACCAGGTCGAGCTGTTTCTTCCCGAAGAGTTGTATCGGATTGTTGAGAAAGGCATCATCAATGCTCTTCCTGCGCCTTCATATAGCTCAGTCATTCTCCCGTTGGCTGCTCTTCTGGAAGGGGAATTCTTCAATGAGTACATCAAGAGAGGTGTGGCCACATTGCTCTCTGATTCAATAAGGATTCTATTATCTGGTTCTTGTTGACTGACATTGCTAGCAGGGAACATCTTGATGCTGTCCGAAGGACGACTTGGCGTGGACAACGTCTATTCCTTGCGAGAAGGTATGGCTCACCATTCACATTTCTGTGACAATGTTGACGTCTTCTACAGGGGTTTTGACCTTGCATTTGGACAAGGAGAGTTATGAACGAGCAGGCCTCGTTGGGCAACCAGAAGGTGTGAAGGGCAAACGAGGAACGAAACCTCGATGGGGTAAGTATTAGAATACCTGAACGAGATATGGGCGCTAATTGTTCGAGCAGCTGTCGAAGTCAACTTGCGCCTACCTTCTATGTTACATGGCAAGAAAGGGTTTGACAGAATTGTCTACGCATTCAAGACTGTTCTCACAGCCCCGGTTACATGGCTCTTTCTGAATTTAGAAACCAAAGGTCCGTCCATTGTCTATAATCTACCTATCCTGTAATCGAGGCTAACGACAAGCCAGCTGCTGATCCAGATCCTTTTGACGCCCACTTTCCGGCAAGGAAAGTTGCCACTACCCAGGTAACAAGAGACATTCAGGTCAAGATGCCATCTCTCGTTCCGCCGACAGAGGTTGATTCGGCTTATGGCGCCGATTTCGAAGATTATGCTGTCGAAATGTACGAATGGCTCTCGCTGCTTCAACTTGATAGCCCAAGAATTCTTGCCGATGACAAGACCGATCCTTTTCTTTCTCGCTATAATATCTCGGGAGATACTTCGACCAATTGCAGCTTGGTCAAGGTAAATTGGCGAGGTTTCATGTCTGCCTTCTGGGTACGAGATGCCTTTGTCCAGATATTACAAGTCATCCCACGGGAAGCCTGGTTTGTTTTTCGGGCTGATGAAGTTGGTTGTGGGCCTCATAAGCAGAACAGAAGCTGTACGATTGTGAAGCTTCCAAAGGCACCAACAGAGTATATGTTGTGGGAAATAGCATAAGCAGCTTCCACAATCAAGATGTACGTTGCCGCACTTCTCGTTCTTGACCTACTTCACCTCGAAGTGCTTCTGTTATAAGCTCTCTCAAAGCTCGTTGTCCTTCTTCGCCCTGGAAATCTTCTCGTGCGGCCAACTCTTCTATTCTCCGCCTGAACTCGGGATCCGCGACTTCACCTGCTTCATCTTCGGCCATAGTCCCAATGTTAACCTGTACGCCTTCTGGAAGAGCCGGTGGGGAGTGGATGCCATTCGCTGCAGAGGAGCCGTTGACCTGAGATTCTAATTCCTTCATTCGTAGATATACTGCTACCTCTGGAAAATCGTTCTCATCCGCGAACTTCTCTCTTGCTGTCTTGCCTTCGTCGCCAACAATGGTGATGTCCGCGTGTAGTTCTTCCACCAGTATTCTAGCACAGTCCACTGTTTCGGCAACGAACAGAGCTGTCTCTCCATCTTCGTCCTTGAGATCGACGTTGACATGGAACTCGCTGACAAGTGCACGGAGAAGCTCTAGATGATTGTATGAAGCCGCCGCGTGCATCAAAGAGTATCCGTGCTCATCTTGTGACGAAGCAAGTAAGAGATTTTCTCGTAGGAGGGTAAGGAGTTCAAGGGGGTTGTCGGCAGCGAGGAGGAAGACATTAACCTGTCTCGGGGGCGGGGGCGGCATGGCGGGGTTCGAGTAAAGGGATATAGACCCTGCCTTGCAAGAACGGCAGTATTTACTGGATCAAAAGTTAATCTCACGAATTGAATTGAATCCCTGTGTCAACATTACTCGCCTGTTTTCAAGAGTGATGGTGATCGTCTTTCAGCTTCTCTTTGAGGCCCCCCAGCAGGGCAGAGCATGATAAATATTTTTCGTAAGGCTGAGAAGCGGCCGCTTTAAGATCTTGCCGAGGAGTCACGCCCTGCGCCTCCTTCAAGCCCTAGACAGTCAGACAGTCATTTCAGCTTCAGACTTTCCTGTCCCGTTCACTCATTTACCTTGCTTTTCGAGGCAGTGCCTACTCTTCAGAAACAGTCGGCGAGGGGTCACCGGATGACTAATAGTAGTGTTGTCTTCACCCCTTCTGCTTCTTGATAAAGTGCTTTCTTTGAAGCAGTTTCGCAGCTCGCAAAGACTTCCTCTCACCTCATCCCCTACCCTACATTCTTCACGTCTGTGGATCGCAAGCAATACTTCTAGACCTACATCCACTGCTTCTCTTTTCATCATCACGTCTGCCAAAGTTTTGAACTTTCAACTAAAATCTCGCGTCATGTCAGACGCAACAAAAGTTCCGTACGCGCCTCAGGACGTACAGGAAGTTCAGACTCTCATTCGCAATCTTGAAGGGGGTCTTAAGAGAGATAAAGGCGCTAAGAAATCGTTCAGCTGTAAGAAGACCGGCTTTGATGTTGCTGGCTCTCCTGCCAAGCTCACGGTCACCTCATGGCGATTTCAAGACTGGGATTACAAGCGTGACGACCTCCCAACCTATGCCAGAGGATTGTTTATGAGCAAGAACGAAAAGGGCCAGTCAGAAATCTGCATCCGTGGATACGATAAGTTCTTCAACACCGATGAGGTCAATAATACCAAATGGCGCAATATCGAGACCAACACCAAGCCACCATATGAGTTGAGTCTGAAGGAGAACGGCTGCATCATATTTATCAGCGGTCTGCATGACGGGACTCTTCTGGTTTGCAGCAAGCACTCAACTGGCGTAAGATCTGGGGAATTGAGCCATGCGGTCGCCGGAGAACAATGGGTCGACAAACAACTCGCAGCTATTGGCAAGACAAGACAAGACCTCGCCAGAGAGCTGCGCCGCAGGAATGCTACCGCCGTTGCTGAACTATGTGATGATGATTTCGAGGAGCACATCCTTGCATACACAAAAGACAATGCTGGCTTGTATCTTCATGGTATCAACATCAACATCCCAGAGTTCATGACCTATTCAGGCGAGCAAGTACAAGCTTTTGCGAGCGAGTGGGGTTTCCGCAAGACAGACTTCCTTGTCTTGAACGATATTCAGGAGACCAAGAAATTTCTTGACGAAGTGGCCGATACTGGTGCCTATAATGGCCGCGATGTCGAAGGATTTGTTATCAGGTGCAAGTCTCGTGAAAATGCCCATGGTCCATTTGCAGACTGGTTCTTCAAGTACAAATTTGAAGAGCCATATTTGATGTACCGTCAATGGCGCGAATGTACCAAGGCCCTGATCTCAGGAAGAGCTCCGAGATTCAAGAAGCACGTCAAGATCACTGAAGAGTACCTGCTTTACGCCCGGAAGCAACTTGCCGACAATCCTCGCCTTGGAAAAGCATATGCCCAGAATCATGGAATCATCAAATTGCGGGACGACTTCTTGAAGGAGAAGAACCTGAAAGGCTCCGACATTATCAGAGAAGAGTATGCAGCTATTGGCGGTGCACCACAAGACGTGACGAAGAACATAATTCTGGTTCCTGTTGCTACCTTAGGCTGCGGCAAGACTACGATCGCAGTCGCACTGGTCCATCTCTTCAATTGGGGGCACGTCCAAAACGACAATATTACGGGCAAGGGCCGCCCACCCAAATTCACCAAGGAGGTCTTGTCACAGCTGGAATCCATGCCTGTGGTCTTCGCTGATAGGAACAACGCTCAGAGACATGAGCGCCAACAAATCCTCGGAGATGTCAAACTTACGCATCCAGAAGTCCGTTTGGTCGCTTTGAATTTTGTACACTCACCAGATGCTCTTGCTAAAATCAGAGAAATTACACAAACCAGAGTGTTTGCTCGTGGTGACAACCATCAAACTATTCAGGCAACTACGGAGAAGAACAAAGTTGTTGGGATTATGGAAGGCTTCATCCAGCGCTTTGAGGCACTCAACCCATATGGAAAGCCAGACGATGAATTCGACGCTGTTATCGACCTTGACCCTACTGTCGATTCTCGCGAGAATCTGGAGACTGTTGTTGGACAACTAAGCAGCCTCTTCCCCAAGCTAATTCCTGAGATGCCCTCTGGCGAAGAACTCGACGAAGCTATCAACATCGCTCTGAGTGACTACAAGCCTGAAATGCGACACACGATTGGCGATCGAGGACCTGCAAAGGGTGGCAGAAATAACAACCAGAACCAACAGCAGCAGCAACCCCCGGCAGCCAAGAAACCACGTCCACTCGAATATGTCGCTGTCAACCTCCCGAAATCCGAAATCAATGATGCTCTCGAGACCGCTTTTGCGTCCGTCTCTACCAAAAAAGCCCGTTTCTTTAGGCAATTACAACAAACACGTCGTGTTCAACCAGAGTTCCATGTTACCTTAATGCATCGTGCTAGCTCCAAGCAACGACCAGATCTGTGGCAAAAATACACCGACATGCACACCAATGCTGGAGGTGATCCTTGGGCTGGAGGAAGTAAGATGGGAGATTGCAAGATACTTCTAGAGAGGGTTCGTTCTCCCATTACCATTTTCGGCGACTAAGCTAACCATGTTTTAAGATTGTCTGGGACAACCGCATCATAGCTATTGTTGCTCGACTTGTTGACGAAGGTTGGGAGTGTGTCAATGCGGTTGCACATGTCACAGTAGGAACTCGCGGGGATGAAGTCAAGCCAAAGGAGAGTAACGATCTTCTGAAGCGATGGCTTGAGGTTGGTAGTGGTGATGATTCAGGCATAGGTGAAGTGGCTATTGTGGGCCGGATCGTGGTTGATGGTACCGTCAAGGGAATTTTAGCACGTCACTGAAGTTAATGATCATGACTGAACGGTGTGGTATTATGCTGCCACAGTCTAAGCGATATGGCGTCTCGGCTTGGGCTTGAAAGCCGCAAAAGTTTAGTAGTCTATTAGATTCACATGGCTATTGCAAAATAGATACTATTTGTGAGAAACAGATTACTTTGTGACATACTTCTCTCTCTAAATCTAATCAACGTCCTCATAGAGTAGGCAGCTCTCTCAACTTTCCACTTGCATCACAACCAGCAAATCTCCACCATCTAGAATTCCAGGCCACAAACGAGTTCTGCAGGAACCACCACACAGGAGCTGGTATTGGAGGCCATTGCTTCCATATTCCGTCCTCGAATTCAACATCAAGATTTCGGAAAAAGAAAGGGGTGCCGCCTGTAATAGACTGATGCAAAGGCGACTTTTGAGACTCTGCATTGACCATATCTAGGAGACGTAGCTGGTTTCCGAACTTCGATAGAGCTAACAATGTAGGGATTTCATCTGAGAGGTGGATCAAGAGCTCGGGCGCGAAAGAGTCGATAATGGAAATCAACCGCGTTCCAGAGAATGTATCTGGCTTATTGGTACATCCACTAAGGTACTCTTTGTACGCAGCTAGACCTGGGAGGAAAGCATCTGGCAATGATCAATTTCAGATCAAATATTGGCATCAAAAGTATGATGGACCCACGATGCTGCTCAACGCTCACTTCCATGATCCCAATCTCACCAGTCTTTGCTTCAATTTGTGGGAACAAGGATGTCTCTTCCATTTTGTGGTGGGCGTCAAGGATCTCGGCCCAGCATTTCGCATAGTTGATGAAATCGGCATGGTCTTCTGGCTTGATATGTGGTGCTTGTTTGTAGATACTATTCATACCACGAATGAAAACATTATGTCCCAGCGCCATTACACTAGCAGCTAGGCTCATTAGCCATATAAGTATCAGAGGAAGATGACTTGGCGTGAATACGAATGGTTCGGTAAACACATTCTCCCAGTCTTGCAAAGTCTGAGCGAATGATGCCATTCATGATGCTTACCTTCAACATATTGGTCATATGGCTTCTATAGATGAGTTAGCTGAAGGGAATAACACAGATTCCAGTGCCTGATTACAGAAGATTTTTGAGCATGTGCAGGAGTTTCAATCAGCTTGAAAGGTGCATCTGCCAAGCGACGCGTGTCGAGGGCTTTCGACATCGTGGAAAAGGAAGAATAGCTCGCGCGGCGAGAAACTAGTAGAAAGTTTCGTGGACACGTAGGAATGGGCAGGTGTCTAGTAAGCATTTGTTCAAAACTTACATTCTCACTGAGGAAGACAGCGTTTTAAAAGACAATGATATAGATACTCGGAAAATAGACGTCTGCGTGCTTCATCCCCACATTGTGCAATTATCTGCAAGGCTGAAGGTCGCTTTTAGATCTCTCGAATCAGAACGTGAGCTTCAGCTCCGAATTTGGTGCCTGGAGATACTGTGCCACTTGGCTCTCGGTTCCGACTGATTTCCGAATCTCCAGAAGACCGAAGCTTAATGCCACAAGGAAATCAAGACCAGAATCGAATTCGATTCAGAGGCCGACGTAACCATATTCACGCAGCGTTACGAGGCCTTTCCCGTGGCTCTGGAGGAGTTATCTGTATCAATTCGTCCTCATAACTTCTGTGCTATACCAGTAACTCCAGAAAAGCAAAGCAAAGCAAAGCCTTCACCCAAAGTGTATTTGCTGTCTCGACCAGTAATGTTTCCGTCACCATAGCGGGAAGACTCCATTGTTATGCACCGAGACTCCTAAATATTCGCTGCGCCTGAGGAGTCGTCCGTAAAAAGGCCAAGTCTGGAAGGAAAAATATGCTAAGGTTTCTGTTGTCGTGTATGATTCGTAAAGCGCAGCCCCCGCAATAAGAGTCGAGCATAGTGGTCCCAGATCCCTTGGCAAGCTAAGAAAGGTGAAGTAGTTGTGTTGACTCCATGAGACTTATAGCGGAAAGACAAAACGCAACTTTAGCCCCTGTTCGGCATAAGAGGATCGCCATATCTCTCTGCTTCTATTAGCATAAAGACAAAGAACCTTTTCATTGTGATCAACATACGATCCCATTGCTTATCTAAGAGTTGAGACTCCATCTTTTCGTATTCCTCATTGAACTTCTTGGTCTGCCAGCTGGAGCCTGGAGCACCGTAGTTGACTTTGGTGGCAGTTTCGCCGTTGACACGGACTGCATTGGACGATTGAGAGCCTGAGGGCTGGCTGGCAAAGCTTTGCATTGGTGATCGCTCAAATTCCGGAGGTGAGTCTGGTACTTCCATCATGGGCTCATCTGCGCTGTCTTCGGCCGACTGGTTGATAGATTGCTGCTGTGCTGCTATAACGTGTAAGCAATATGAAGTATCGAAGGGAAGGGTGCTCCTGAGCTTACAAGACATTCTGTGTACGGGCTGGTTTGCGCTGACCGTAGACTGTATCCTCAAGAATTACCGTTGGACTTTGCTTCCAGAGTTGCGATTATCTGAGGTTTTGTTTCTGAAGAAGCTCGCCCCACAAGTGCATACCGACGCTAAAACAACCCCGCCGGCCCGCAAGACTACCTAAAACCCGAGCTATTTCGAACCGATCACCACAAAATTCCATACCTATTTCCTATTCACCAACATTCATTGCAACATAAATTCGATACAATGAGCAAGAAAGCCGCGGTTCCAGACGCTTGGGATGACGATTGGGAATCACAAGCGGATAAGGCAGATGCTGCTGCAGAAGTCGAAAAGGCCGAGGAAGAGGTGAAGGTCACCAAAGCTGAGCGCCTAGCAAGACATGATGCATCCATGAGAAAAGTTTGGGAATCTGCGTCCGTCTATCCTGTTTATTGCTTGTCCCCGTTGCTCATTAACCATTGCAGGAACGAGCCGGAACCAGAAGCGCCATTCTTCCTAGCTACTCGCGATACCGTTCCGTTAAAGACGGAGTTCAAGCCGACCCTCAAGTTGCTGAGTCGCAAGCCTGCGTCAAAGGTTATTCAGAAGATTGATCCTGTAACAGGTCTGGCTAAAATGACACTTGAGGATGACGACGACGAGGAGGAACAAAAGAAAGACCAGCCCACCCCAGAAGAACTACGAGCACGAGCGCAAAGAGAACGGGAGGAGAAACAGAAGAGATACAACGAAGCCAGGGAGAGAATCTTAGGCCCTTCCTCCGGTGGCTCGTCCCCTGGAACTGTTACCCCACCGACAGAAGATGCCAGGAGCAGAAGCGGTAAAGGTCGTGCCCGTGGAAATGGACGCCAGGAGAACTCGAGACCGCAAAGTCAGTCAGGGAGCAAAGAGTTATTCGATCCGAACTATACCCCCAAACCCGGAGTCAGTATTCAGAAGCGTGCCGGTGATGTTGCACGTTCCGGAAGATCTACACCAAGGGACGATGATCAAGTCATTCGAGCACCAAAAGGACCAGATGGCAATGGAAAGGGATTTGGATTTGCAAATCGAGGAGGTAAAATGGGTTGATTCTCTGCTCTAGATTACCAACCGCCTCCTTCCTTTGAGGCGATCTGTATGACCCTCTCCGTTTCGCCAACTTTCTTACCGACGTCGCTTATTACCTCTCGATAACTGGTATATACCAGTCTCTCTAGGTCTAGACCTGTCGTCGTGGCCCAATGCTCTAGGTTATTTTTGATGTACGAAGGATCAATGCCGTCGACGACATCACCAGGGGTGTCTGAGGTACTTTCATCATCTCCGGACTCTCCGCCAGAGAAGTAGGCTTCATCGACCTGAGCTAGCCATGCCTTTTGCTCCTGGGGACCGGATTTGACCTCCCCAATAGCCTTACCAGTGACGACAGGATCATCAACCTTGATTTGGCCGCCTCCATTTGTGCAGCCTCCAGGACAAGCCATTACTTCTACGTAGGCATAATCCGGACTGGTAGACTTACCACCAACCTTCCTTGCGCTCCCAATTGGCTTGCCGCCTGGCATTCGAGAAGGTCTTGCGGGCTTCAGCTTACGAACAAGATTTTGGATATTGCGGAAGCCATAGTATCGAGCTGCCTTCAACAGAGGCTCGCCGGTTGCAGATGTGACGGAATACTCCAATACATCTGCATTACGACCACGGGATGTCTCCACCGTGGCTCCTTGGTGCTGGGATGCAAAATACCGTAGGATATAATAGAGGTTACCTCCCGATGTTCCCGCAGCAGGCACATTGTTCTTCCGCCGACGAGCGGCTGGGAAGAGGAATGAATCTAGTCTTGCTTCGGGGAAGGGTATTCGAGTGGGTAGTGGGCTCCGAGGCAACTTGGCAAAGTCGACCCTTCTCGAGTCCGCTAGCATTAGAAGTTCCTTGCTTGTGATAACACAGTCGACGTCTCGGATTCCTCGAATGCCAGTGCCTTCCCAGGCCGCATCTGTCAGTTCTTCTCGACTAGCTTCTAGCTTCTTGTCGAAACAGGGCATTATAGCAACGTGCCAAATTCTGTCGGGAGAAATACCAAGTTTTCGACTGAGGGTTGTCTTCAATAATGTTCCCATCAAAGCTTGTGGTGATTTTAATCGTGATAGATGAGGTAGAATGTGTGGGTGTGTCTTCTCGGCGTAACAAATCCAACCAGGGCACGAAGATGTTAGAATAGGTTTGGCAGGTTGCTTCGTTTCCCCTTTGCCAGCGATGACAGAACCAATAACTTCCTCTGCACCCAATACTAGACAGGCTTCCCTGGTAACATTTGTGTCCACAACCCATTGGAACCCATTCCTGTAGACAGCTCGGCTCTTGATGCCTTTTGGACCACTCAACAGCTGCTCAATCATAAATCCCGCTTCTCGCTCAGTGACCCCAAAGGTGGCGGCGATACTTGCTCTTGATTGTGGGCTAACACTTGCAACATATATGCGTCCTCCATCCTCCAAGTTTTCTATGCCAATATTGCCTGCTGTATTGGCACGAAGCCGCAGTGCTGGTGCAGAGTCGAGTTCCGACAAAACTTCAGCGTGTGATTGCATGGAGACTAACACTGCTTCTGCAGATGTGACACAACCAGAACATGCTAAACAGTCCGTAAGGGAGATCTCGGCGGGAGGAGCGGTGGTGGGTTGAGATTCGGAGTTGAAGCTTATTTCAAGTTCATTCTAGGCGTTTTTGTTAGACAGATTCACAATGGCACAAGCTGACGTACGTTTTCTATCGAAGACTTCGCAGGTAGAGTCTCGATTGGCTTGATACATGCCACAGAAGGCTGTATGAAGTCGGACAAATCGTCCGCTGAGAGTATTGCGCTCATGACCAGGACCTGCACGCGCAGAACGCGCCGACGATTTTGAAGTAATAGGAAATGATGCTGGCATATGCGGCGTGGATCTGTCCTATGCCCTTGAATGTCCTAGATGAAGGAGCAGTTTATCTTGGAATAAATGTTTTGCTTGTAGCAGCGGAAATGCTTGATCGTGGTGTTGACTTTTTTTTGCCTGTCCAAACACAATCAAATCATTGATAAGCATGCCTACCGTTCTCGGAGAAGCCCAATTTTGAGTCCACCCCACCGCCACTAACTGCAAACAAGGATTCTGCGCTAGACATATAAGACGGAAAATCACCACTCTACCGACCTATGACGTCTTTCGCTAGCCGCCCTGTTCCTGGCCTGAGTCTGGGGTTGAAGGCTTGTCAACTCCAAACTTCTTCACTTTTTACAAGCATTGCCATTAAGATACAATCGAATAAACTTTCTTCAATTGATTTCTCTTGATCTAGCGATTGTCCAATCATTCATCAACTTCAGGCTTCTCAATACGAGCTACATCATGGATGTGAGAAATCCTACTGTCCTTTCCCAGCTTAAAATTGCAGTTTATTCACATCACTAGGTCTTCTACTCGTACACCTATGCTACCATGGGATGGCTCGGTATCCAAGCCTTGCCGTTAATCGCCTCTCCGACGATCATAACCACCCTCCTATCTCCCCAGGTTTCTGAACCCACCCCTCTAGAAGAATACTTCGCAAGGCATGGCAGCTTGCTTGTCTGTTGGTACAATTGCTGAATATCATCCAGGAGTCTTGGGATCACGATGCTGGCATTAGGTGTTATGGTAGTGCTTCTTACTGGCAGCGTCCCATTAACTAGCAGTTTCTCAGAGAGTATGTTACAAGTCTTCCAACCTTGTTGACACTCTCCATAAACTAACGATTACATAGCGACCGATTCAGGTGTCAGCACTGAGTAAGTGGTATACGAAATCGTATTAATGAGACATTTCGGACCCGACTATTGTTATGGAGAAGCGACAAGAATCAATACCCAGGAGAGAATATGAAATAATCAAACTGACTTATGGCATAGCTTGAGTGATCCCAAGGCACCATATGCTGTCCCCACCCTGACCATCAGCTTCTTTTACCACGCTGCAATGGCAATCTTTTGCTACGCAAGGTACAACACCAGCGGTCAAACGACATTCATTCTCGGGGCCCTGGGCTCAGGTGGGCTTGCTGCAATTGGTCTGTGGTGTATTCTGTTTGCAAGCTCCTCGGGTCGAATCTCGAGAAAGACTGGTGCCGACAAGAGGACCTCTGGATTTCCATTTCAGAACAAGGAATCAGCTTCTGCGAAGAAGAAGCAGATGGGAAAGGCAATCTGAGGGGAATCGACTTCTTCAGGCCGTGGAAAATATCATCTTTGTTGGAGAACAAGATGGAGTGAGGAATGATATGCTTTATTGCATCCAAGATCCAGGTGTTGAATTTGAGACAAATAAATCCATAATCTTATGAATACTACATTGAGCTTCATACTTATGTGAAGAGTGCAAGTCCTGTATCGTTGGAGGGATAATGCCCTTAACTCGAGGTCCTGCCTCCTTTACTAAATATCCTAAGAGATCTCGATCAGCTACTTATGTACAATTACACATCGAACAGACTGCCGCATCAGTATCATGCTAATATATCAAGTGACTACTGAATGGTCTGGGCACGTTGGATCTAAGGGATGACGACAAAGAGTTTTTATTGTTCTATCTAAAGCACTTCCGATCCAACTCAGATCCACCCTGGTGCGGGGACAGGATATTAATCACAGGGAGGAAATACAGTATGCTGGGGCACCTGTTAAACACGAGTTAGCGATCGTTGTCAACGAAGTCAGAGCACAAAGTGACAAGATTGGGCAATGCTGGTCAGTTCTCCAAGGTGAAATATATGTTTCGTCAATGATTGACTCGGAAAAAACAGCAAATATTTGGATTCATCAGAGTAAAGCGAGATTAAGTATGGCAAAAAACAGAAACTTACAAGCTGCTGAACAAATTATGCAAGTCCGGATCAGATACCTGCAAAACGGGGCAACGTGTTAGCCAGGTCCTCCTCACGAGATATAAGATTTGTTGATTCGAAATGCAAAAGAACCAAAGCAATTGTCAGGCTAAGTAAAGTTAGTATGGGTCTGCTGGTACCGAGAACAATGCATACCTCATTAAATCAGAATTTTGTAAGTGCGTTCATCTGCAAACAGAGTTTGCTCAAACAGTGTGAATAACAGTTTCATCATTTCATGCAGTGGTCTTGAAACACCGGAAGGAGAGAATAATGTCTTGTTTACCTAGAAGGTTGGTGTTAGCTACGATGTTCAAGATCCGCTGCTTCTGTCGATCCCATTATCATGCAATGGATCAGCTGACGAGTTCTCAACAAGCACTTCCAAACTATCTACCTCCACAAGGTTTGTACGCCTTGCTTTTATGGGGGCAGGAGCTGGGGTGCGCAGTCTGTCCGCCCGTTCGTTCAAAGTTCGTCATGGAATGCATGATGTGGGTTGGGAGAGGAATAGGGTCGGTGTACCTGAAAGCAGAATGATTAGCATTTGAGCATGTAAAAGTTTGTGATGCAAATGTGTGTGATAAAGTAAGGGTCAGACAAGGCTGAAACTAATATGACAGAATCTACATGATAACTTCAGTTCGAGGATTCCTAGATTTGTCGATGGATCATCACTCCCTCGAGGTGCGCACGAAAGAAAAAAAAGCCTTTTGGTTCCTACCTTTAAATAAATGCAAAGCTGTCGACGGCTCCGGCCTGCGAAGCACGTAAGAGTACCTGAGATCAATTAGCATATGAATCAATACTGAAGCAACAGTATGAATTGTTACAGAATAGATCAGATCGGTATACAAATCCCCATTGCATTGTAAGAGTTGGATTGTTCATATTGTATTACTCTCATCATTGAAAGGAAGGGGTAAGAGGGAGACGAGCTTACCACATACAATTCAGGTGGAATGCGTCGAAATGTGCGACGCAACAAATGCGTTGGAAGCTGAAGTGTCGAGGCTGCGAGCGAGGGAAGAAAATTGAAAGCGGGATAATTTTCAAGAAGCGCTAGTACATTAGCTTCATGTGGCTGGTGCATCGTGACTTAGCCACAATCCTGGGTGGCAACAATTACCCCGATGCGTCCCTACACTTCAAATCTCTTCTTCATTCACAAGGTCATTCTGAGCGCTATCAAAAATGTCTCCAGCGGGGGGCATTTGGGCGCCCATTGCCATGAGGGCGTTTAAGTAAGTTCTTCCTCGTTTTCCTCAACGAAAGCTACATCTATCAGAATTCGATATCCCCCACAATTCAATCCTGACTTGTTTACAGACACGCCTTCAAGAAAGCCTCGAATCTCGTAAGAAATCGTCTTACAGAACTCTCACGCCCATTAGTACAGGGTGAACTAGAACCTGTTCTCGTACGCTCAACACCAAAACAGCCAATTCATCCAGCAGCGCGAATTCGCCAGCTGAAGTCGGGACGATGGTACACAACGCACAGTACGATCAATGCTGCGGTTCGCCGATTTATGAGCTCTGCTGCGGTTGATGCCATCAAATACAACCGTGCTGCTTTTCCCAAATCAGCAACTGCTACAGCAGTGGCAAGGTTGACCACTCGGGCACCATTCTCTTCCACTCTAAGACCAAACCTGACGGCTGGATGTTTCCCACGTACCGCTGGTGGATACTCTCTGGGAGGTCGTACTACAGCTCGTTACTTCTCGCATACTCCAGCAGCACCCGCTCAAGTCATAAACAATGTATCTACAGCTGTTCGGGCTTTCTGGCTTTCGGGTCAGAAGGCTCAGTTCAATGGAATGACCCCGACGGGAGAGAAGAGCTACCGGAATATCACGAATCTTCAGGAGCAGACCGGACGCAAGATGCAGGCAATCTCTAAGAATTCTCCTGGTTCTTTTATCGACTTCTCTCTCAACCCTACCGTTACTGCTCTTACCCCTCTGGGCGCTACCTTCGGGTTTGGCTCAACTACAGAGCGATCAACACCGACCTTGAACTCGGAAGGATTTTTGGATGTTCTTTCCGTGGACTTCTCCCGAGCCTTGAAGGATCTTGCTGCTACATTGAATGACTTAAAGCGGCTGTCGACTCTCGGCGACCTCCCAATAACTTTGGAAAACAAGCATATACTACGCATCCGATTTCCTGGATGTGACGCGGAGACAGTCGAACGTTTATGTGATGAAGTTGGTGTGCAGCGAGGTATTATATACCAAGATGAAGAATTTGAAATTCCCGGAACGAAGATGGCCCTGATGTTCCCCTTTGCTCCGACTTCAGAGCACACACTGTCCTCTCCTGGAGGCTCATTGCATTCTCAATCGGGTCACTATTTTGAAGAAATCGAAGACGTAGTGGACAATCCTTGGTTAGACGGCTATGAAAGTGCCAGTGAAGGGGAATCTGTCTACTTCACGAAGCCAAGCGAGCATCAGAACTCGTCCGATTACGAAGGCTTAGAAGGGATATATCGATTTCTGGAGCAGTGCGATAACGCTCAACGAATACAATAGTCGAAACTACCGTCCACTCATTCCACCTTTTCTGTGTATTTAGCGATTTCTTGTTTTCGTCCGAATCAAGTCGGACACTGGGATAGGGGGTTATGCTGTGTGATATCATGGAGGGGAATGTGTAACACTTTCGCTCTCATCTACTGGCTGGACGCCATGATTTTTATATAACAGAAGTATGCAATCATGATTTCATTAACAAACATTTGTGAATTCGTCGCCACTCTGTGTGACTATTATCTCCAGTGGTTCTGATCGGTGTGTCCCTACCTAGAAATTTTATATATCTTGTTAGGTACCAATGTCCTAAATTCTCAGAAACATTCACCAATAATTTATGCTCAAGCAACTGTACAATATTTTGAATGAATATTACTCTGGGTGGTTTTATTATCCCTGATGCCCTAGGCTATGATGTATCTACCAATACTTTGAAGTACTGCAAAGTTCAATTTTTTGTTTTTCATTCGTCCTTTTAATGCTCGCTATCATGTCTGATATCATGTTCCAATCCTGTGACATATTCGTGAGGCTTCCTGTGCACCAGATACTCTTCGCGCTCCAATGTTTGAGTGAGCAGCGCAGACTTTGAAGTCGCGAACCCAGTTAGTGTTGGAGACTGGATACGTTTCCAGTAGACGGTCGATGAAGGTTCACATTTTCATGAATCAAACAAATTCCTTAGTGTTGAATCCGTTGATCATTTCAGAGTGTGAGAGTCAATTGATAGTTTGAGCTTGTGCATAATACTGGGAGAAAGCTCCATTCCAGCTATCTCAACCTATCTATAATACCTCCATATAAACCCCGTATCTATTCGTCATCCCCAAAGAACACCTTGACTGGCAACCAGGCATCACCGCAGACCTTGAATCTATCTGGCAGATTATCCAATTTTTTAATCTCCTCGGGAGTCAACTCCCAACCATCGAGCTCATAGTTTGCCTCGATACGTCCCTTGTTGACTGATTTGGGGATCACAGACTGTTCGACGAATTAGTAATGCAGTTATCAAGATAGTAAACTGCGGTTTCCCGCAACGGTCTACACAAGAAAAGACGATGAGATGTTATGGGATCGAGACTTACCCATCCCTTCTGAAGACCCCACGCAAGCAGGACTTGTTGAGGAGTCTTTCCCTTCGCTTCAGCAATGGCGAATAGGGTCTTGTCAGACGCCAATGGACTGTCAGTGGACCCTAGGCAAGAATAGCCAGTGCTGTGGATTCCCTTTTCGGTGTTGTATGCAACGAGTTTTGGGGAGGGGTTGTTGGGATGTCTATTCGCATTGAATGTTAGCATAATACATCCAAGCATGTTCGAAAATGATAAAGACATGGACTTACAATTCAATTTGATTGACTGCAGGCACGATCTTGGTAGACGGGTCGTTGAGAAGAATCTCCAAGTTCTTGATACCAAAATTGGAGACGCCAATGTTCTTGACCTTGCCAGTTGCAGGGAGCTTTTGCATCTCTTGCCATGTCTTGATAAAGTCCCAGTCTGGAAGGTGCTTCTTCAAGTCTGTTGGGTCGGTGGATGATGGCCACTATAGTAGATTAGTAAAACAGGGGATCCTGTAAGGAAGATCTTTGCATGTCTTACGTGGACAAGATAGAGGTCAACATAGTCGACCCCAAGAGACTTCAGAGACGAATCAATTCCCTCAGGAACTCTCTTGTGCCTACCAATCGCCGTCAGAACATGTTTTCCGTGACTTCGCTGAGATTTCGGAGGATAGGAGACGCATGAACCTCAAGAAGGGTTCAAAACCCGAGAAAAGACATTGTAAAGTGGGGTCAAAGTATCTTCTGGAAAATGGCAACATACCAAGGATCTGCGAAAAGTACAAAGGTCAGCACTTTCCTTAAGTAGGAACAGATTCTAGTAGCCATGAACTTTTGTGTAGGACAACTTACTGTCGAGCTTGGTCGTGATCCAGATCTCTTCTCTAGGAACGCCGCTGTTCTTAATACCTCGTCCTACTTCGGCTTCGTTGCCATAAGCAAGCTGTATTCAAATCAGCCCTGAGTCTCGGGATTCTGGATTAGCTTCACAAACGGCAGTATCAATGTGGCGGTAACCCGCTCGCAGAGCGTATTCCACAGCCTTTTCTACCTCATTGGGCTTTGACTGCCAAGTTCCCAATCCAATGGCAGGGATCTTTGCCCCAGTGTTGAGAGTGAAGGTCTTTCTAGTAGCATATGCGTGTGAGCTGAAAGTTCGCCGTGAAAGATGGGAGGCGACGCCGCTTAATCTTCGCAGACTTCTGCTTTGGAAATAAACGGTTTGTCATGGCCGCGGGGCAAAGTGGGAGAGACGTACGAAGTAACGTTTGGAGAAGCCATGATGCAAAGGGAGTATTGATACGTGGGATCGCAGAGGATTCAGAGAGTTTCCAAGAGAATAAATTGGGGAGGCAATCTCCTACTTATAGCTCCAAGAGAAGAAAGCATTGCTAGGGACACACGAGAAAGACTGCCTCTTACGTGGATCTGGCATGACGCCAAAGGAGAAGCTTGAGACTTTGCAGCATACCATGCCCGATCTAGAAGTTATCCCACCTTTCCATCCCACCGGAATATCTTTTTAACTGCGACCGTCACCGACCAGGATTCATACCCGACGCTGAACTGGAAAGGCGCGTATGGACGGGCGTATGGCGGAGCCGAATTCCCAAAGCCAGCTCCAAGGCGTGCTGTCGGGGACGGGCGATGCGATGAAGTGGAGCACAAGACTTCAGGCTGAATGCCCCGAGTCTCCCAACCTGTGCACTAGATCTTGTCTCAAGAGCCCCTGGAACATCTGATTCGTGCGCATCGAGCGCTCTCGAGAAGGCCCTTACGTCGATGTCTTTAAGATTGTTTGTATCCTGAACTAGCTGATGTAGTACGAGAACACCACAACCACCACTTGATGGAATTAAATATGTAGTGCGTTTTATGGCTCAAGGCGTGTTGAAGTATACAGGAGCGGAACAAGCCAAGTGGAGTGGAATAAGTTAGAAGATTTGGTGAGAGAGAAAGAGTGGTTGTACCTAGCAAAACACACGAGAAGAGAAGACCCCTCCTTTGCCCCGCATGGCGCGTGATTGAGAAAAGTGTCAAAGCTTCCTCCGAGCTTCTACATAGCTCGCATCGTAAGCTTGAGTAGCGAGAAGAGCGCAAATTCCGCACAGCAGCCTTCTATTCTATTCGTCTTTCAGAAGTATCCAACAATGTCGTCTGGTTTCGTATCTGGAGGAACAATTGAGGAACCAATAGAGAGAGACGAGGCATGGCTCGCTGCGCAAAAAGAGGTGGAAGCCAATCACCGAAGAAAGGCAGAACTAGCAAGACAAAACAATGGGAAATCACTCTTTGAAACTCTGGAAGCCAATAAAGGTATTTCATCTAGCCAATGGCCATCTTGCTATCCGTATAATGAACTCTGGACTGATCACTTAGGGGTGTGTTGATTAGCTGCTAAGCAAGAAGCATTTGAAGAAGCTGCCAAATTAAAGCATCAATTTCAATCGTTGAACGAAGATGAAGCCGAATTTCTGGACTCGATACTTGAGCGCACTCGTGCCGAAGAGGACAGAGTGAAGAAGGAGACCCAGGAAGGACTTGCTTTGTTCCGACAGCAACAAGAAGAGGTGGATAAGAAAGCAAGGAGAGGTAGCGATGGAGCAGCTGTAGCAGACACTCCTGCGGAGGATGAGTCGTGGGCTGCTGGACGGAAACGCAAAAGGGCGAAAGAAAAGGAAGGGCTTAAAGGAGTCAAACTTCGCAGATCCTCAACAACGGAAGCTATGAACCCTCCCCAAGCCAGTCCAACGACCCGAGCCCAAGCAACTACAAACAGTACGGCTACCAAGGACCCGGTGGTGAAAACGGATCCGAAACCCCCATCTGTCGCCGACAAAACAAAATCACAAGATCAACCTGAAGCGTCAAGTAATGAGAAGAAAACTCCAATTCCATCCAAGGGCGCTTTAGGATTGGTCGACTACGGTTCAGACGAAGAAGACGACTGGTAATTGATCAAGCATGACCATCAGTTGGATGTCCTGGGCTCAAGATGAATTGCTTGTACGTATCATCGTAGGGACTTTGGCGCAGACGTGAAGACACTAGGATTCATGTTGTTATCCCCCCACCGACACTTCATCGCAGTCAAGAGTGGTTGATGCAAATAAGTCCCCGCTCGACAGGTTCCCGGACTTCGCGCTTCTCAGAATAGAAGGCAGGATGGAGGGAAGTATGATGGGTCGACGAGTAAGCCCAGCGAAGGTCGAATAGGGAGGAGGTGCTGGAATTGAGTCTCAGTGCAGACAATTGGGATGCAAAAACATGGGAATCTTATGATCTTTCTCCTCGACACTGGTAAAATGTGAGATGCACAGACTATCCTCGATGATGCTACCGAGACCCTCGATATGTTAACTTGCCTCAATAATATCGGCTACCAGAGCGAGAGACAATATGAGCAGCAATGAAGGCGTTGGAGGGGATACCCTTGTGTACATTAGAAGCAATAAATGACAAATGAAGATTTCCAGGAAATGTATAGTGTATTGTCCGTGATATCCGGAGTACATTTGCCTTCATTAAGTCCTTTTCTCAACTCAATTATTTTCGAAACTATTCTAGGTAACAAAGCAGTAGAGAATTTACATTCCATACTATTTATACTATGCTAAGAACATCTGTCTCTGCAAGTGCTCTCCTCAACTCAATCATTATAGGGAACTATTTGAAGTATTTCATAAAGGCATGCCATACTGTCTGTAATATACATAGCATTAAGCATAATCTTTCTGGTATTTCTACGTCCTAAATCAACCCCTTTAAGATATTCACATCTGCCCGACATTGATTAACAATCAATCACATAAATATAATCACATAAATCTAATCACGACATCTCTTCAGAATTATGCATGATAGAAGCAGTGGTTAACGAACCAACTGCTATGAGAGTATTAAACATTGAGAGACTATGTATGCAAGCACGCTAAGTATGCTCGACTGAAGCCTTTGCATAGACCTTAAGAATCCGTGGAACGCCTGGGTATAGCCAATTCCCCCAAGAACCGAAAATGCACACTTCCTGACCTTGCTCCAGGGGTTTCACTGAGGAGTTACCCTAGTATGTACAACATCAAGTACCACCGAATACCAATGCGTTGACAACATGCCCCTCTTTCCACCCCTGGGCTTGCAATGTCTGTCCTTCTTTCAGAATCTTGCCCATGTAGGCAATCTTGATATAACGCGGTGATTGAAGCTGTTCAGATTGTCAGGTAGATGTCCAAAACCATTTTGGAAAACTTACATCAGACGCGTCAAACAATTTCTGCATCACAAGCCTTACCGAGTCCTGCTTAGAAATTATGATCCTGAGAGGTTGTGATTCCCGATCACTCAGTTTCGCTCGAATCTCTACCAGGTCTGCCTCATTCAAGACTCCCTTCCCTTTCTCCTCTCTTCGCCTAATAATTGTTTCTTCGTCCGCTATCTCGCTCCCCTCATCACCAGTCTTGTCGTCATCATCGTCGGCTGGTGGCGCCACTGTCAGGTTCGCTGGGTTTGCTACAATATGTTCCGGTAAACTGTAGTGATTCCCAAAGGCATCATAAACACCTCCGGCCAGATCTCCAGAAGGTATGGTTATCCCAGCGGCGTCTAATATCATCTGCGCAGTTGCCAAACCCCCATCATTGTCCCCAGGATCGCCACCATTCCAAAGTACCTCCAGAGTTGCTTTCAAAGCTTGCCATATCTCCGCTCGCCCAGTCACACGAGTATCAAAGAACTCGGTGCGTTCCCGATCGAGATCCTGCGGAGTCCAGGTTTTGTTCTTGCTGGTCCATGTATGCAGTTTGAGGGGCTGGCTGGGATGTGATGTCAAGTCTCGTGCCCGCTGAGGATGCGGTCTATGGCTATGATTTGAAGCATTGGTTGAGGGTCTCGGAAGCGCAGCTTGGGACTGTGGTTGTGAGGACGTTATAGCGCGAGAGGAAGAATTGGCCTGCTGGGGATATGGAGAGGCATTCGAGGGGGTTGAGGCACAGCAACCCTGTTGTATGAATGATCAGATGGTGCACTCAAGGAGTGTTTATAGATGAAACATGAAAACAGAGAGGGTAGTTACCATTGCGAACCATGTATTCGTGTGAGGAGAGTAATGCCTCAATCATACACTTCCTGCAACGCCCTCAACCACTCAAGTTTCGCAGGAAATCGTTGCCAGCAACTAATGAATATGTGAAGATACAATATAACGAGTGATGATCAATACGCAAACAATACATCAAAGAATGTTTGGTATGTATGTTGCTCATTCAATGGTCGAGAGCATCTTTACTTGGGGAGGAGAAGAGAGGAGAAGGAAAGAGGGACTGGTCTGGCGTCGAGTCTGGGTGCATACGAACAGGGGTACGATTTCCCTACATCTTTTAGGTTTGGGTTTGTCCCACGGCTTGAGTCACGGTCTGCAAGATGGTCTGGGCGTCCATTGCTCTCGATAAGAGATAGTGGTAATAATGAACATTGGACTCTTCTGACAACTTCTCCTTGAGTTGGTTATTTATAAAGTGCTCACAGGTCGGATTGTGGTTCCTCCAAATCGGATGTGAGCAATGCTTTTCCATCGATAGATATATCCCCGCATTACCGCTTCCGGGGATAATGCTTGAAGACGCAAGGCCTGTGCCTTACTTGATGAATCTCGTTCTGTGTATTTGGTGTGCCATAATAGTTTGATAGCGGAGCCTATTCCTCGACTGAATTTATATAGCAGTGAAAACTTAGATAACGAGTCTATTCTCTAGAGAAGGTACGAGGTTTGCATACGCCCATCAACAGCGAGGCCTGCTACAGCTTTTGATTAATTTAAGGGCTGGGATGATGGGAGCTTTTTTTTCATTGAGATGCAGTATATGAACTCATATAAGCTTGCAAGAAATGAAAAGTAAAGTGAATAAATGTTTGTTCCTTCTCTAGGTGTAGAACAGATTGCAAACTTTCAAGTCTGTCTAGACATTGAGATATCCCAAAGAGGAAAGGTGAGCACTAGCGTCATACCCGCTTAAAATCTGCCCAAATATTTCTCAGCCTTGCCCTCGAAAGTCGAACTCTCAACTTCAACCTCGTCTGCACAAGTAATCTTTCTTTCAACACCACAAAAGAATAAAAGATGTCCCGCGAAGCATACCAAGTTCCTACGGCCGTCCCGACCCCGGGCAGAGACTCCTTCCAAACAAACTTATCCGGAGATGGCCCCGCGATCAACTACTTGTGCGGTGACTGCAACGCGAAAGTCCCGTTGAAGAGAGGAGATCCTATCCGTTGCAAGGAGTGTGGTCATCGCGTGCTCTATAAAGAGCGAACGAAGAGGTGAGTTCTTTTCCAGAAATTACGCATACTCTGTTGACCTTGTTGAAGAATGGTCCAGTTCGAGGCAAGATGATGGGGGTGATTTTGATGGAATGACTGGAAGGAAAGGAGGACATGACGGAACTTGACAGACGATATCAAAACATTGCATGGTTGGGCGTCCGGTGTCACATTGAAATGGTTCGTGGTGGCGCATATCAAAGAATACTGCTATGATCCTGGATACGCATCTTTGGGCATTTACAAATTGGTATCAAAATGCGCCGTGCAATGCTACCGTCCAACGCCTATTTTTCTCTACCCACTTGGCCCCTCTACAAATTCATCTGACTAGTTCGAAGATACCTTGCAAAGCTGTAATCCTCTTCTTTCGATGATTCCCCAGACTCTGCCAACGCCTGCTTATATCGAGAACTCAGGCCATCCTCGCCTCCCTCTTTCTCCTCGTCGACATCTTCCTCGTCGTCCTGCTCGTCCTCCATGTCACTCAAGGTATCCATATCAGGCATGGATTTCTTGGAGGATGGCTCGCCTGATACTGCCATATCTTTCATTAGCTTGCCCAGCTCCTTGTCTCTATTCGCCAACTTCTCTTCTTCTCTTTGCTTCTTTCTTCGTTCCAGTTCAGGCTTGTAATCGCGGTCGAATTCCTTTGCCTTCTCAGCCACAGCCTCGAAGAATTCGGGGATGCCTTGTCCAGTCATAGAACTTACACCAACCACGCTCAAGTGGCTGTAAAACTCCTCTAGCATCAAACTCATGCTGTTCAGCAAAGAGCCCATGTATCCGCTGCCACCACCCATACCTCCTCCCTCGACACCTCCAAAGCTACCAGCCTCTTCTTCCTCCTTGAGAGCAGCTTGAAAAGCCTCGAAATCCGTCATCCACTCTTTGGCGAACTCAGCGTCCTTAACATCTGTCTTATTAAAAACGAGAATCATAGGCAACTTCGTCTTGTACAAAATACTGCATGCATAGAGCATATTGCTCATAAATGTGCTCGTCGAAGCTGTTCGTGGTGTATCAATGATATATGCGATCACTGTAGGGAATGTAGATGCCAATGAATCTAGTAAAATGCTTCCAGATGCGCTCCAGACAAATACTTCAATCTGACCCGGTGTGTCAACTAGGATATTCTTGATGGCCTTCGCATCTGGTTTTGCCGGATCTGGGGTCGTTCTCTTCTCGAGTAGAGTAAGGATCTGGTCGATTTTTGTGGCGAAAAGATTGAGAGATGTGAGAATGCCTCCGTTCGGACCCAAATTGTATGACTTCATGACCTCTTTGTAGTTGACAGAGTCGCGGATGTCGATATTGCTGTCAAAAGGTACATTGCGCACCGCAGGATCGAGATTTATTACATAGGGAGGCTCTTTCAGAGCGTGAAGATGCGCATTAATCCGTTGCATGAATGTGGTCTATAGCTGAATTAATACGTGGTCTCCGCAAGTATTCGAGGAGCTGAGGAGATGGTCTTGATTATTTTCATACCTTGCCGGAGCCTGGAGCTGTATTAGCGGAGCGCAAACTTTTGAAGAAGGGTGCTACTTACCAGCCATACCTACGCAGACAATAGCTGTAGGCGTACTGCCAGACGGAGCTTGTGAAGTCGCCATATTGATAAAGCTCGATGGCCGAGTTGCTGAAGATTTAGTTCGACAATTGGCGGGGCAAAATGGAAATCGCATAAACGAAGTGGGATGTTTGTAAATTTCCAGAATCGAAGCTCCGCGCTTCGCTTCCTTTCTCCAACAACTCCACCGAAAAAAAACAGGATGGATGGCCTCGATGAGTTTGAGAAAGCTCTAGCAGAGGAGAAGAAAGCTAGAGAAAAGGCAGAGAAGCACAGCAATCGAGATAAAGATCGAGAACGAGGGAAGCATCGACACCGACATAAATCGACACACGAACGAAGCCGTGACCACGACCGTGATGATCACAGACACAAGCGATCTAGGCATTCCAGGGACCGGGAGGAGGAGGAAGATCATCGAAAGAATCACAAGCATGCGAAAATATCAGATCCTCACGAGGATTTACCAATTCCCGACGATGAGAAACCTCTTTCTACGCCCACCGTCTCTCGCGATTCATGGATGGAAGCTCCTTCAGCTCTCGATATTGATTATACACAGAAAGGGGTCAAGAAAGTTGTTAAGGCACCTCCAACAAAGCCAGACTACGATTTGAAGATTCACAAGAACGAGCTCAATCATCATTTACAAGACTTAGCGGACGGCAAGAAGCTAGAGGACATTGAGGACGAGCATGAAGTAGAGTATACTTTTGGGGATTCAGGGTCTCAATGGCGGATGACGAAGCTTAAAGCCGTGTATACACAAGCGGAAGAAAGTGGTCGATCCGTGGAGGAAATTGCTATAGAGCGATTTGGTAGCTTGCGCGAATTCGACGATGCTAGAGAGGAGCAAATCGAAGTTGATAGGAGACAGCTTCACGGTGAAGGCTATGTAGGCAAAGATAAGCCGAGTGGGGAACTCTTCCAGGAACGGAAAATGGACCTAGGAATTCGACGAAACCATGAACAAGCACATGACACCAGCGACTTGCCGCCACAAGGGACTATTATGGAGGAGAAACCAGCTCCAGCAACAACAGCCGTCTTGGACCTTACCACTCTCAATCGAATGAAGGCTCAGCTCATGAAAGCAAAGCTCAAGAATAATCCAGATGTTGCACAGCTCGAGCAACAGTATAACGAAGCGATGGCTAATTTCTCATCTTATCCCTCCGATCCTGGTGTTGTGGTACTGGGGAAGATGGACAATCGTATGTTAGCTGGAATTCGTGGCGAAGTCAAAGCCATTGATAACAAGCGTGGTCGGGAGCGAGGCCTGGTAGAGGAGAACGAAGACATGAGCATCGAGGATATGGTTCGTGAAGAAAGACGAACAAAGGGGCAGGCGGGCGGTGAAAGTATGCGGGCTGCTGAGCGTATTGCGAAGGATGCGAAGTTCGATGATGACCTCGATTATATGGACGACAATGCCAATAAGCTGGCCAAACGAGTCCAAAAGTCGGAGATCAACTTGAAGAACGCAGCAGTCGGTGACTTTCAGAAAATGAACAGGATCTTGGATTCCTGCCAGCTGTGTCACCATGAAGACAAGAACCAACCTCCCATCGCTCCGCTTATATCTCTAGCTACCAGAGTCTATTTAACTCTACCCACTGAACCGGAACTTAGTGAAGGTGGTGCAGTCATTGTTCCAATCCAGCACAGAACGAATCTTCTGGAGTGCGACGATGATGAATGGGAAGAGATCCGAAATTTCATGAAGTGCTTGACACGGATGTACCATGATCAAGGCCGAGATGTTGTGTTCTACGAGAACGCTGCCGCACCGCATCGAAAAATGCACGCGGCTATGCAGGCAGTGCCTCTGCCTTATAGTCTTGGCGAGACGGCTCCAGCCTTTTTCAAGGAGGCCATCCTCTCTGCTGACGAAGAATGGACACAGCATAGAAAGCTGATAGATACAGCTGCACAATCACGAAATGGGATGGGTAAGTCCGCTTTCAGAAGGTCTCTCGTCAAAGAGATGCCATATTTTCATGCATGGTTCGATTTGGATGGTGGACTGGGCCACATTGTCGAAGACTCGAACCGATGGCCCAAAGGAGACCTGTTTGCTCGGGAAATCATTGGCGGCATGCTTGATATTGAGCCTGATGTGATCAAGAGACAAGGCCGTTGGGTGCGAGGGGACAAGCGGTTGGAAGGGTTCAAGGCCCGATGGCGTAAGTTCGACTGGACAAGAGTCCTCACGGATGGCTAGATATGCTGTTATAATGCACGGTTGCGCCAATCGAGACATGTGGTCATCGAAGCAGAACCCCAACTGCTGCAACTATGTTGAAATATTGAACAGGATTCAGTCCATCGTCACCATTTCCATGTGATGTTCCATCTGCCTATGGACGATCCCAATGGCTTTAGACAATCAATAAATCTTGAAGTAGCTACAACTTTGCAAGGACTAGCTAGCTTGTCAACCCTCACAATCCTCTATCACGCCGAGACGTCGAGCTCTTTGGATTTCCTCGACACTTGATTCTTCCTCGGAAATTACAAGTAGCAAAGTACGATGTCAACACTACAACAAGATATCTCCACATCTTACGAACAGATCAGAGAGAGACAATACTTGTGAGCTGACGTGCAATGTTGGAGGACAGTCGAGGGTACCTACTTGGAATAGCTAGTTGAGCTATGGGAGGAGTTGTGAGGAACTTCTTGTCCCATTTTGCGTTAATCTACAGAAGGTCTTCTGAGTATAAAGCAGCTAGTATTTATTCAATGCTCGATAGAGGAAATTCGACTAGATCAAAATCCTTGCAGATAGCTGCTACACGTGCTACTAGCATGATGCCCAGAAGTGTCACATGAGAATACATTGCTTTGTTATTTGCTTGTTAGTCCCTCGAGTGGCTTTTCGATTCAGGTTTATGTGATCAAGTAGAAGAGAAGAGCAGAATCATGGTCAAAACAGGCTAATTAAGTGTACAACCATGTTTATGGCTTGGTAGGCTAGCATTGGCTATTTTCGATCTCATGTATTGTGTAATCACAAATCGACCGACCATCTCGTGGAAGACCAGGGCACAGTTCCCTGCAGCTTCCCGTCTGCCGCTCGGTGAGGATAAACGGCGATGCAGCCGCAGTTCGCTTGGCTTCTTTCTCGTTTCGAATCCAATTGCATCCTTGGCTCTGCCGTATACCAACCAAACTTACCTAGGTATTCGTCGAAGGATTTCTGTCCCTGATTGATAACTGTGACACGGCAAACTTGGGGTGCTAAAAGTTCGTGAGACACTGGAACTGTAAAACTCATGTTTTGTTTCTTGGATTTCGTCCCCTAGTACGGTGAATAAGGGATGAAGTTGAGGGTAGAGTTTTAAGCCCTACTTCGTAAAACATCCACTATTGATTGTCATGCGATTCTCGAATTTCAATCATTCCCAACTTGGTTTTTGCTCTAGATGCTGAAAACCAATACCCGTAAATGATGCAAAAAATGTTGGTATAAATCTGGCGAGCCTTCTAATCCTGGTAAAACAAGCATGTTGTGCATGCAGTTCATGCTTCAGCGCCTCATGCCATTTCGAATTACTTTAAATAAACACCCTGACCTTCCTAAAAGGTCATCGACATGTTTGAGCCTTCTGAAAGGGGGTTGAAGGCTTCGAAACACGAGCACATCTTTGGTTGTGCGACCCCGTAATGGTACTTTCTGGCTCACTAAACCATGATTACAGAGTCAGGCCTACTGTAGTCATTGGGGCGGCCAACAGCGTCGGATTGAAACATGCATATGCGGATTGGAAAGCAGGTTACTCGCTCCAATACGACCCTCATTTTGATACCAGGAATCGAACGTTTGACGATCGTTGTTTTTCTCCAGCAATGCGTGGTGGTTGGTTCATGCGTGGAAAGAGTAGCAAACAATTTGCAAGAAATGCCTCGCCTCACTGCACAGGAAGGCTAAGGGGCCGGGTGGCAATCTCTCGGCAAGACGAAAAAGCTCCGAATAGATGTGATCCTACTATGGCTAATAAAGCACCTCTGCGGTGTGTGTCTGATTGGAGGATTCGTATAGGCGAGTGCTCGACTATCTAGGTGAAGCTGAAGGAAGGAGCGAATAATGCACATTCAGCTGACAGCAGAGGAGGATGAGATGACCGGCGACACAATCACGAAGAGGTACGTAGAGAGGGAATAAGGGGGTGTGAGGCGAGTGAAGCGACGCTTCGTTCGGTTAATAGACAGATATTTAGGAGTGGCAGCGCAGCACAGCACGTCACTAGTTCCAGATCTCTAAGAGATGCATGTACCTAACCTACCCCTGATGATCGGAATATATTGCTTTTTCCTTCTTTCTCGCCTGACTCTGCAGCAACAGGAACAACATGTGTGATTCTTTCCCAAAAGCGCATCGAGTTGTCGAGATGGTAAGCAAACACTTCTGGTCGATGTTCCATCATAAAGTAAGATCAGCGTCACACTGGAGGAGGCCCAAGACTTGCCACTGCCCCGGCGTCATCATGTCATGCAGAGAGCTGGCGCTGATGCCGAGATGACATTGTGGTAAGGTGTACACATGTTGGAGCTAGTACCTACTTTATGTTGTATGTATTTTAAGAACTCGAGAGTCTTCAGAGCGGAGTCTCGGGATGTTATTGTGCTTCACTGTCTATAGTACAACGGGAGTTCTGGTGAACTGTAAACCGTGGCCAGTATGGTATCTTCAAAGGGGAGCATTAATAGAGACTGGGCTGGCTCAGAGAAGTGGAATGCTGCTGCATGCGATGCAGTAGACACAATAATGGATATAGTCCGGCAAGCCTGAGATACAGTGCCTTGAGCCGGAGATCCCATGCCACATTTTCACGCCGTATGTTTACAGCGCCCCCATGCTGCCTCTGGGAACGTGGTAGAAGGAGACAGCCACACCCAAAATTTAGGAAGAGAGACGGAAAACAATGAATCTGAACCATGAACCTACAGTATGATTCTCCCAGAACAGCATGGTCTGCTGTCTAGCAAGACTCTTCCACAGTATCGTGAAATGTAATCGAGACTATTCCAGGCATGCCTCTGCAATCCTCGTGAGTCGGGAGTTGGCCTCTTCGTCTACGCCGCGGTGTACAAGGGAGGAGATGTGCAGAGGAAGCTCGCGTGAACTTCCGTGATCCCTCCAATCTGTCCCCATCCAGTGCTCATCCATCCATCCCGCAGCCCTCCCTCCCTTGCATGTGCAGCAGCGGCTTCGAAAATGCTTCGATTCTTCTTCCATCGCTTACTGCGAAGCCGAACCACTAGAGAATTAACGTTATGCGAGCGAGCGAGCGAAGCAGGCAGGAGAAGGCGCCTGGTCGTTCCTGCCGCCCTTTCGCACAAAAAGCCTCCCTCGAGAACAATTAAATATCTGGCCCTCTGTAAAATTGGTGCCGCTGCGAATCTGCGAATCTGCAATGCGTGAATGACAAGTTACCTCTTTAACCACACCCCCTCGGCGGATTGATAATCCTAAACACGCTAGCTCAGTTCAGTTCAGCTGGCAAAAAAATAAATTTGCGGACAAGTCCAGTTGTTCGCCTCAGGCCGCCATCGTTGCGTCCTTCCCCCGACCGAACTTGCCTTGCACCTTCCGTCTCGCTCGCTCGCTCGGCAATAATAATAACTTCGAAGAAGCTCGTCTCGTCTACCAGTATTTCCCAAGAGGCCCATCGCAAGAGGACGACGGGCTATCACAGTACAGTGCGGTACCTCCTATCTGCGACTCGACTGCTCATCTGCGCGGTCAATCTCCCAAGCCCTTTCTCCGCCGTCCCGAACTAGGCCCGTTGGTGAAATCTCGACGGCGTCACCTTTTGGACATGGCGCAGAACAATCGAAACGGTCACATTCAGAACGGTTCAACCCCATCGTCGCCATCTCTTTCGATGTCGAACGGTCAACAACAAAGTGTCCAGTCCCGTCAACAAGCCCAACAACCAGTGAGTTATCCAAGTCCGACGTCGTATCCCTCACCTTCGCTTTCGAACGCCCAATACAACTACCCTCCCCCAAATCAACAGGGCTCCGAACCATATCGCGCAAGTCCCACAGGCAGCACCGGTTCGCTTTCACTTCCTTCCATGCGATCGTTGGATCCTTTGCAGCAGCAACAACAACAGCAGCACGCCAATATGAGCTCCAACCTTCCTCCTCCAGTTGCGCAGATGGGTGGCGGACCATACTACCACAACCAGGGTCAAACCCTCCCTCATCCATCGCACCAGTATCCCAACGTCACCTCTGATCCGACCGGCCAAAATATGCGATACGCACTCCCCGTCACTGACTCCCGGGTCATGAGCGGTGGTCGACACAAGAAGGTTCGTGCTGGGCGTAATCTCGAGCCTCGTATATCGCTGACATGTTTCGTGTGTAGGAGATCAAGCGACGAACCAAGACAGGTTGCCTGACGTGCCGAAAGCGCAGAATTAAGGTCAGTCCCGACGTTTTCAATATCATTGTCGAATACTTGAAGTTTGATGGAGGCGAGAAGAAGTTGGGGTTCTTTGCGATGGATCTTTCGTTTATCTCAAGCGAATACACCTAAGTAGGCGAAGGCACATGAGAAGCTTGCAAGCCGCAAACGAGCGAGCGAGCGACCGGGCGATAATTCGAGTGTGAATTATTGCTATCTCGAGCTTGAATTGATCGTCCCCGCGAAGAGCGACCTGCTAACAATTATCGCAGTGCGACGAACAGCACCCTGCCTGCAGAAACTGCCAGAAGTCGAAGCGCGACTGTTTGGGCTACGACCCCATCTTCAAGCAACAGCCAGGACCGGCGGCAATTCAACCAGCGCCCAGCTCTGCACCCTCCGCAGGAGGTATTGCTGCTACATCTCATCCATACGGTCACCAACCTCAGATCATGACAGGTTACGGTGCCCCGACAAGTATGAACAACTTTGATCCTGCTCTCTCTGCTGGAGCCAGCTCCCCCGGTTCGGCGAGCCAGCAATTCGACTATGCTTCTGCAATCGATCCGGCTCTCGAGGGCGTTGGACCTTCTGCTTCGACCTCGACGTCCGCGGCAGCTGCACCTATTCCAGCTCCTGCTTCGGCCCCTACCTATGCACCTCCTGCCTATCCTACATCTGCTCCTGGTATGTTCATTCACCCAGTTGATCCTGATAGACATCCACAGAGTGTAGACTTCTTCATCTCAGACGCTCTTGACGCGCTTCGCCTGAGAGGTGGAGGTTACTCTTCTACCTCATCTCCATTTACATCTCTTGACGAAGATTTGACTGACACCACTCTTGCAGCCAAGCGCACTGTTGAGCACCTACTCGATATGGGTGGCCCCCCTCCCCCTCGCGCTCTTACCGATGTCACGACCTCGCCCAACATGCTCGATGAGATCAAGCACCTCTACTATAGTATCTACGCTCCCGGCCTCGAAAACTTCCTCGAGTCGAAGTGGTTCTCTGTCAAGGGTCTGCAGAAGCTCCTTGCTGGTAAAGCTCTGCTTGACGCATTCGGTTCCCTGCTACACCAGTTCAGCAAGACTGCTCAGAACGACCCCAAAGAGATCGCGTACACCTCAAGTGTTGAGGCACGTACAGTCTGGGCTCTTGCTGCTATGGTTCGACAAGCAGCTGGAGAGATGAACGGCACAAGAGAGTATAAGACTGTTCCGTCGAACGACGACCCTGTTGAGGCGACCAATCGCTTGAACATATTCGAGACCCTTATTACTGGACGAGTTGCAGCTGCCAATCCTCTCACTCAACCTGTCGCCGGCAGCACCGATCACCACCGTCTCCGCGAACTAGAATTCTGGCACAGTTTGGGCAAGTTTGTCACCTTAGATTACGAAGACGATAATGCTGCCAAAACCGTCGATGACTGTCTTGCAACACTGAGAAACCTGCTCGACGGTCGCGAGAATCGTGATGTCTTGTACTCCATTGCCGTTGCCCGTGGTCTGGGACATCGTGTCTCTGAGTACACTGAGTTCACTCAACCCTTGCACCTCGATGAGAGCGACAACAAGAGCAAGTTGGTTGTGGCGAAGAAGTTCGTTCAAGATGAAGCAAACGGTTCGGGAACTACCAATGTCATCCGACGATTGTGTGACCTGGCTGCTCGTTCTTGGGCACCGTCGGGGCCTACGGGCTCTAATTAATCACCCGCTTCCTTGGAGTCTTAACGGTTTTCATAGTCTTCTCATTCCGGCGTCGCATTGCATTCTGCTCTTTCTCTTCCTCTTTAGCATTTGGGAAAATGGGTTCTTGCGTTCTTTTTCCAGTCGCTTTGGCAGGCAGAGGCATTCGTCACACAAAAGTTGTGCACAGCATCGAGGTGGGTGAAAGGGAAAACTATTTTGCCAGGAGCTTTTATATTGCATCGGATGTACTCTTAGGATGGATCGATGAACATCTTTCGTTTCTCTATGCTTTTTGCACGATGGCTGCATGTTTACGGGCAGGAAGAGTGTCAGCTGAGCAATCACTGCAGGGAATTCCACCAAGGGGAAATGCTGAGGTGGTCTGGTAGATGATGGAGGAAGATACAGCAGGTTCTTTGAGCTTTCACAAAATGTACTCTCTAGTCCTTAGACGTCTCCCTGATTTTCTCTTCACAATGATTACATCCATTGAACAGTGCTTGTTACTTCGCCACCTGTTCGGGCGTTAGCGCATTTGTGTCATGATCAGGTATTCTGTGAGACTCGAACAGCTTATGCATGTTGTATGAGCATTGTTCAATGTGTGCTTCTGGAGGACACCCAAGAATCCAAATGTCGTAGATCCAACCTGTTCTGCTCTGTCATACTGTAAGTGTAAATTCGGAAAACACTGAGCACAGCAAGATTGAGGCTTCGTATGAAATATATCGGGACGAGAAGAAGTCTGGTACATTGACTTGGTCTATGTCTGATTTCTTTGCTAGTATCATTGCCATGCCTTTTAAAGATAACTCGCCATCTGAGGAATCATTTTACCCAACGCGTAATCTAAATGTATGTTAAAGATCTTGACATTCTCACCCCACATATACCATTCACATGTCCTTTTGCTCGAGAACAGGACTCATCAACTTTCCCGTCTCGATGGCGCTTTTAACATTGCCCATGCACCAGTTTTCCATCTTAGTCTGTGTCTCTACAGTCCAGGTTCCCATGTGAGGAAGGAGCAGGACATGTGGATTGTCAATCAAGCCAGGATGGATCTTGGGCTCCTCTTCGTACACATCAAGTCCTGCTGACCAAACTTGACCCTTCTTTAAAGCCTCAACAAGGGCGGCTTCATCCATGACGGCTCCTCGGGCGGTATTTACAATGACAACTCCCGGCTTCATCATTTCGAATTCCTTGGTGGAGATGATGTGGCGAGTGTTTTTCTTGCGAGCTTATTAGCAGTTGAAAATATAGCGGGTGCGGCAAGAAGTCAGCGTACATTCAGGGGAAGATTCAACGAAAGCACATCGCTAGTCTTGATCAGCTCTTCAAAGCTCACATACTTGGCGCCTCCACTCAGTTCTTCGGATAATTGTGACCGGTTGTAGTATTGAGTCGTCATGCCAAACGCAGCAGCCTTCTTCATCAAGTTTCTTCCAATGCCGCCCATACCCAAGATACCAAGAACTTTGCCTTGAGGATCATGGCCGAGTGGTGGTGCAGGGGCTCCTCTCCAATTTCCGGCTCGAAGTGCAAGCATTGCTAAAATAAGGCTTGTCAGTGAGGCTCAAAGTCGTCCACACGAGCTAGACTGACAAGTATTGAACCCTCGCAGAGCTCCCAAGATGAGAAACATATTCGTATCTGCCGTAGCATCATCCACGGCTTTGGGAACATTTGACACTCGAATATCGCGAGCTGTGCAAGCATGAATGTCGACTTGGTCATAGCCAGCACCTATCCACTTTCATCAGTTTTCGTATATAGACATGAACTTGGAACTTCGTACCGTTATGGCATATATACTTCAGACTCTTCGGCAGAACAGCAACAACTTCCTCGTCAATCATGCCAGTGATAGCAAAACTTGAAAATGTTCGATACGCCGCCACACACCCATCAAAGGCCCCCGACTTGCATTCTTCCAGGAATTCTGCTCGAGACTCGGCTTTGGGCTTCTTGACATCTGCAATTGACTCTACGTTCTCTGCCCATTCTTTATGTGCGCTGTGAGGACAATAACTGTATCAGCAAAGCTGCGGTGACACGGGAAACAGAGGAAAGGACGGAGGAAAGGTGGGAGGTTGTACTGATCAATCTTTCCTAGAAGAAGAACTCCTGGCTTTCCCATCGCGAATAGCTTAAGTATATATGCGTGTATATACTTATATAGAATGTGAAGAGTATGCTGGTGAAAGATGGAAATGCCAAAATGTGAAAAAATATCGAGCTGTTGGTGGGGTCAAGTGCTACCCCGCGGCGGTGATGAAATGGGCACTGATAAGCTTCTCGAAACTCAATGGCCCCAGAGAACAAAATCTTCTGGTTGGAAACACACTCGGAGCTCAACGAAAATGCTCAAGAATATGCTGTGCAATGGTTATACCAGAATCAACCGATAAGGAAGAAGTGACTTGTCACAGTAGCTGAATGCCGTGTCTTCAAATAATTAATACATTTTCTGAAGCGTCCCATGGCAATGGGTGGGATAATTCGGGGTAAAGAAGCACGATTACGATCGTCACGGCCGATAATGGTGGGTTTGCGGGGCCGCTATGGAATGGTGATGGATGATATATCCTCATGTGGCATAGTAACGGTCTTCATGGGTGCCGATGCTGTTTCTGGTAATAATGCGGCTTGTGCAGGTACAGGAAATGCTGTTCCTGAAGGGCGACATCGGACGCAAGATCCCGATGTACTGCACAGGCGAATTTGAGCATGAATTAATGGCGTTGTAAGTCTTGGCTATGAAGGTGGAGGATAATCGTCTCTGCAGCATGAGTCATGAAAGCAAGACTTTTTGTTCCATTCATAGTGAAGCTACCCTTTGCTCATGCCGGTAATGCTTACAATAGCTAGGATAACCAAGCCCTATCTCTTTCGGTCTATCTAGGAAACCAAAGATCTATAATCCGACGAAACTTTTGGCATTGAGAAATACAGCCATCTCAACGACTAATTGGTGGCTTCCACGAACTGTTCCCAATGCCTCAGAGCTGCACCACTTTCAATAGCCCACCGGGCTCTTCTTACTCCTTCTTTCCATCTACCTCCTCCTGGACCTCTCTCCTTCACAACTTTGCCGTCATCACCAGGACCCATATCGCTTGTGTCAGCCTCACAGACTCCAGAGACGACAAACAAGGCAGCGGTATTCATTAGAACAAAATCCAGAATAGGGTCATCGTAAGCGAGTTTGTTGTTGAGGATGTTCAACAAGATCTTGGCATTTTCGGCTGGTCCTTTGCCTGGGGAGACGTCTTTCAACGTATGAGCTGCGAGTCCAAAATCATGAGGAGTGATAGTAAAGCTCTCAATGTCGATGTTTTCTGCCGAGGAGTTCTCGTGAGTTGACCGGTCCACCAATCTCCAGCAGAAAGTCCGACCTGCACAACTGATCTCATCGAGATCTTCTTCACCACAGACCACCATAGCTTTCTTAGCACCATTCATTTTCAGTGCATCGGCAAAGACAGGACCAATGTCTCTGCGAGCCACTCCCAGAAGATGAACTTCAAGACTCCCTTCCAGAGGATTGGCAAGAGGACCGAGCAAGTTGAAGATAGTTCTCCAACCAAGCTCTTTCCGAATCGGAGCCACATATTTCATAGCAGGATGGAAGACAGGAGCAAATAGAAAGGCATAGTTGGTTTTCTCGTAGATGCTAGATATTGTCTCCGGCGTGACTTTCATCAGATTTGGAGCTCTGGGTTGAGCAGCTTGGAGTAAATCAGCCGATCCCGACATGGAAGTAGCAGATCGATTCCCATGCTTGCTCATAAGCAGCAAGGAAGAGGCGAGTATAGAAGAAGTGGTTGATATATTAAAAGTGTTCTGAGAATCGCCGCCAGTGCCAACAATATCACACTATGTAGAGGTCAGAGTGCGACCTGAAAAGATAACAAGTCTCATATAAAACTCACTAGCCCCCCGTGATATTGGCCCTCAGGTCGCCCTCTTGCCTTGACGACTTTATCTAGTTTGGTATTGTCTATGGGAGAGGCGAATGCTCGCATGACCTGCGCACATTTTGCGATGATATCTGCTCTTCGATCCCAGCCCGTGAAGTGCAAACAAGTAAGAAGAGCACCAGTTTGAACCGGCGACAATTGGCCCGTGAAGATGTGTTCAATTGCCAATGCGATCTCGTCCACGGTCACGTTATTCTCTGCTGGCGATGGCCAGAGTCTTTTCAGCAGAGGGGTGATCGAAACATGCTGCGGAGCACCAGGCTCGACGACTGTCCCCTGGGATGACATTTTCGTACCAAGAAATGAATTTATGACAAGAGAATGCACATGTCTAGAGGAAACACGTCGTTCTAGACTTGAGTCATTTTGATATTGGCACCTTAAGAATTTCCTACTAGGTTTCCGGGCACGCTAGCCTCATTGGAACTTTTTTGCAACTTCGGCTTCAAGAGCAAGGGATCTCCACATCAATCGTGAGTGATGGCTGTATGTTCTCGATCTTCTTCAGATGCACTGACATATTCCCTAAGATGCCGCTACGAATACATCCGCCTTCACGGGTGGTAGCATCCATTTCGAGATGCAGACAACCGCTACGACAACGACATTATGCCACAGCAGTAGCAGTCACTCCAGCACCTTCCCACGAGCAGATGATACGGTCCTCTCCTCCCATAGCTCGATTTCCTTCCACACAGCCTCCCTCATACAAGCCACCCGAGTTCCGAAAGTCCCAACTGCTCCGTCAATATGCCTCCTTACTTCGCTCCACTCCTCTAATGCTCCTTTTCCAACACAACAATCTCAAAGCAGGCGAATGGGTGGGGATAAGGAGAGAGCTCACCAAAGCTCTGCGCAAGGTGGATGAAGCTAGGGCTGCAGCAGGACACACGTCGGAACCTTTGGCAGAGGGAATCAAGGTTCAGATCATCCAGACCGGAATATTCGCGGCGGCATTAAGAATCGTCGAGTTCTATAAGCCAGGACCAGAGACCACATCTCAATTGGATCCTATAAATCCTGCTACATCTTCTTCTGCCAAGATACCACTATACAATCCACGTGGAGATGGATTGACGCATACTTTGTCTGCAGCGGCGCATGAAGCAGTTGCAGACACTAGAACAGCACATGCTCTGGCTCCTTTACTTTCGGGACCATTGATGCTTGTAACTTTTCCTAATGTCTCGCCTCAGCACTTGAAAGCAGCACTTTCGATTCTAGCACCCAGTGCACCAGACTTTCCAGCACCAACCAGACGAGCAAATCCTAGTTACCATGATATGAGTGTACAAGGCGGCCTTCAAAAGCTCTTGTTGCTAGGAGCGCGGGTCGAAGGGAAGGTGTTTGATGTTGATGGAGCTAAATGGGTTGGGAAGATTGAGGGCGGTCTGGACGGTCTACGGGCTCAGTTGGTGGCTATGTTGCAAGGAGCTGGAGCTGGCATCACAAATACCTTGGAGAGCGCTGGTCGAAGTCTATATTTTACTGTCGAGGGCAGACGGACAATGTTAGAAGATGAAGCAAAGGAGCCTGCGGCGGAGGAACCCAAAGCATAGTCGTGATGTATACCGACATTGTATTCTATATGTATATCTATATGATAATAGGAACTTGGCTGCCCATGAAATCTAGCTTCTCCAAAGGAAGTTTCACTTCGATTGAAGCTTGGCATTCATCCCTACGATGCACCTCACCAAATCCCAATCTCCACCAGAGCCGACCCAGTCACAAACAACAATTCCGCAACTGCCATCCCCTGGTCCTGCTGGTTCATGATGCTTCCGGCAAAGGTGGTCAACAATAGAAGGGTTTACTTTTGCTGCAATCCTATCCGGCCAGCAATTCGCTCTCCAGAAGTTCGAAGCGCTCAAGAAGTTCATGAAAAAGGGCTGCTTGGAGGATTCCGCCACTGCAGCATTCATGTCGTCCGGGATAACACATTTTGCTTCAGCAGCTCTGGCAAGTTGGTCCCTTGAGAATGTGATCTTCTTCTCGATATTTTCACTTTCGGCGACTTCGTAAAAGTCCTGAACCCGAATCTCGCCACTTGAACAAATTCCGTCCGCACAGTTGTCTGGCCAGCTTTCGGCATCGATGGCCCAGCCTTTGCCGCCATTTTCGCCTTTCAGGGAGTCATCAATGGCAAATCGTCTGATCAAGACTATCTTATTTCGAGCTTCTCCAAGAGCTGGGATGCGGTTGTCTGTGAACCATCGATTTGCATCGGTCACATAATGCTGGTGTAGAATCTTGCTGAGGTGTTGATCTGTGGCTTTTCCTATTCCTTCACGCTTCAGAGAAATAATAACCGTCTCGCTAGGGTTCGCATCCAAGAAGGAATGTACAGTGTTGAGAATATCCCGGAAGTATTTGTTGCCAGTCAAAGAGATTGGGAAGGCGCTATGTACAAGTATAAGTCCGTCTTTCGAGATATTGTCTGGGCTTTCAGGCTGGACTCGGATATCAAGAAACCGGACACCATTATTCAGCTGTTCCTTGACGCTTACTGCCTGACAGCGGACTGACGGTAGAGCAGTATGGTGTGTTGGTGAATTATGTGTCCCCGGTATGCTGAGAGCAGATAAAGGCGTTTCGTTCTGAAGCTGACCCATCCACGATTCTAACTTGGCAGAGGAGTAGAGTGCCAGATGGGAGGAAGTTGGTAAATGAACTGCTGTGAACTCCAAGCGAGGATCAGGTGACAGCGGTGTGAGAGTAGTAGAGCGCTGCGACGGAGTTGGGGTATCTACTCTATACCGTTGTCCTTCTGCCTCGAATGTCAGTCGCAAGACGCCCCTGGGGTCTGGTTGAATATCTGTTGTCTTGGTTTCGAATGGGCCAATCGGGATAGAGACATCTTGATTGGTGAAACTTTCAGACTTTGCAGCAATCTGTGAAGAGGAAGGACTAGTGAAGTTGCCCATAAGACCACTCAGGGTCCTAGTGATATTCGATATGCCGCCATTGCCATTGTCGGTAGAGGGAGCGGCGTCGAAGCGTTCGAGAACTTTCAATTCGAGCGGAGTCTTGGTCAAATTGCGTATAACCAAGGGGGTAGCCATTGTATGTCCGGAACAGATGTGAGGGTACCAAAAGTCAGATTACTGGGTGTGGAAGCCATTCTGAGATTGAAGCTCTTCAACATGAATTCGAGATGTCCGAGGACCTTCCTTGGCATAAGCTAGTGGTGGGGTATTGACGAAGCGAGTGAACTAGATACTATCTATCTATCCGTGCTAGCGATGACTGAGGACTGAGATCCGGCTTAATGTTCGCCCTCTCCGTCATCAAATTGCAGATGCAAGATTACCTAGGCCCATTATGCCCAAAGAAGCAGCTCGGAAGCTGCACGATGCGTCAGTAACCAGGCATCAATGCTTGTATCGACATCAAAGTGGTTCACAATCAATCAATTGGCACTTGTCGTTGTCAGCCGCGTATGGGTGTTTGTCTTCCGTTTCTCCATTGTGGTCGCGCCTTTCGAATTGCATTGGTGGAGAAGGGATGTCATGAGTAGTCCTCAGATCTTCTGCCCTAGTAAGCTAGTACAGCCTATGGCAAGCCATTATAGTTAAATAAGGTTGCCTGGCTGAACGCGCACCCGTTTCCTGTCTCCTCTCCATTCTGTCGTGTCCTCTCAGGCCCTATCTGCTATATAACGTCTACGTTCAATTGCTTAATGTTAACTATTATGATCAAGTCCAGTGATACCAGATTAACTCTAGATGTCTTCCAACTCATCATATTTGAGCTATCCGGTCAACTCCTTTGGCCCCACGGTGCCAGGGGAGTTTGATTTCACCCTCCTGTTCGAAGATACTATATTATCCATCTTGCCTTCTGTGTTGTTACTCGCGGTTCTGCCCTTTAGATTAATAGCCCTCCGCGGAAAGCCTCGAAAAGTATTCAGAAGCCACCTGTATGAAAACAAATTGGTGCGTTATGGCAGTCTCGCTGCCTCTTGATGTGTTACTGGAGCTCCATGACTAATGCAGCCAAGTTATTCTTATTGGTCTTCACATGCATGCAAACTGCTCTTCTAGGACTGTCCGCTACAACAAGTCGTCTCAGGACAAGAGCAACGATAGTCGCATCGGTTCTTACTCTTATAGATGCTATTGGTCTGTGCATCCTGAGCCATGCAGAACACCTCTACTCTATCCGACCATCAGGTAAGTTCTCTTGATCAGGGAGCATGATCAATTTATCTATTTTCTTGGAGCAGTCAGATCCAGCTCAGCTCCAAGGGTGTGAGCTACTGTATACCTCAGCGGCGCTAGGAGCTGTACTGTTTTTTGCTCTTTGGGTTATTTCAGAACATCTCACTGACTTCTGCACTCAGCCATCATCAACATTTATCTTCTTCTTAGTCTGCCCTTCGACATTGCCCGTATTCGAACTTTGTGGAGATTGGGTTCAACCAATTCGGTAGCAGCCACGCTAACTGGCACCATTGGCATCAAGTGCCTGATACTCTGTACGTGATATTTGCCATGTATTTGCTGGTTCCTATGGTAGGAACTCTAGAGCAGCTGAGAAATGGAGCAGACGAGCAATATCTGTTCCAGTTCTCTATCCTCTCCCAATTTCTGAACCTTCGATGCGAATCTTCGGCGGTTCGCAAGAGCTAACATCAGGTATAGTTACGGAAGCCATTGAAAAGAGAACGATTCTCCTAGATCGTTATAGACATGCGTCTCCAGAAGCCACGAGCGGTATATATAGCAGAAGCTTTTTCTTCTGGTTGAACAACCTTATGAGAACAGGATTCAGTATGTCAAATGCTGCCTTTGATTTAAAGATGGGAGTCAAACTCGCGAAACGGCACTCTCGCTAAAGACTCGACTCCTCTTCTCAATTGTCTGTCGGAATTCGTACTGAAAATCTGATAGCACGTGTACTGAGCAACGAAGACCTGTATCCGATTGACGATAGTATGACTTCGCGATTTTTGAATCATCGCGCACAGTACGTACATACTATTCTATCTTGTGTTGTCCTAAGAGCCTGGGTCTTCGAGCCTCATCTTCGAGAGTCGCTTATCCAGATGTGGTTCAACTCCTCGGATGACCGTCTCGGCTTCAAGATCTCTGTCAAGAGTGTATACTGATTTTTCAATAGTGTATCATGGACAGCAGCCGATAAAAGCCGTCGGTGGGCGCTAATGTGGGCGACGCTCAAGGCAACCCGGAGTCCTTTATTGTATTGTATTTTCCCGCGGCTATGTATGATCGGATTTCAATACGCGCAGGTAAGTCACACCGTTCGCTCTATCTTCAGTGGCAAAAGGAGGGTTCTGCCCGTGTATATCTCAATACTTCTGACACATTGTCGCAAATCGCATTTTTTAATATAAAGTGGAGCAAAAGAACTGACTCTAAGATGTGATGCTGTAGCCATTCTTGCTGTTCAGGACAGTCAACTTTGCGAACAATCCCGACGAGCCTGATAGTATTGGTTGGGGGCTCACCGCTGCCTTTGGGCTTGTGTTTCTCGGCCTTGCTATTTCGAATGGTGCATATTACCATATGTGTTACCGATTTGTCACTACAGTACGAGGATCATTGGTGAGTTTGGTTTATGCTAAAACAATCGACCTAAACATCACCGCTCTTGACGAGAGCGTAGCCGTCACCTTGATGTCGAACGATACAGGTAAGCATCCCTCATAGTATTCCACAGTTGATGCTGACGATCACTAGAGGCGATTTGCCAAGCATTTCAGTATGTGCATGAATTATGGGCGGTACCCATCGAGTTAGGCATTGCTCTGTGGCTTCTTAACAGGCAACTTGGCTTGGCTTTCTTGGCTCCAGGAGCGGTTGCTATTCTTTCAACAACAGGATGTTTAGCTATGGCGAAGTATATGGGCAATGCCCAGAAGATCTGGATGGAGGGCATTCAAACTCGAGTGGACGTCACTGCTACTATGCTTTCGTCAATGAAGGTCAGTCAAACATCCCTGGGCTTGGAGGTTTGAGAACTGAGACTTTTCAGTCAGTGAAGATGCTAGGGTTTACCAGCATATTAAGCAGCATTATACAAAGCCTTCGCATTACGGAATTGAAGTTATCAACACTATTTCGAAAATTGCTCTGTGTGAGGGTCTTCTTTGGTAAGTCTAATAATCCTAGTCCCGAATGTCCTCAACGTATGCTTATATTTGATACAGGAAATAGCACGAATGCGATATCCCCACTGGCCACGTTCGTTGTATTTGTCATTATAGCAAATGCTTCAGGTCAGACTCTTAACGCTGCCTCGGCCTACACAGCGCTTTCGTTGATCTCGCTTCTATCAACGCCAGTACGTCCAACCCAGCGTTTATTTCAATTCATTTTGGAACCGAGCGCTCGAGACATTCTTTCCGAGCTGTTGGCTCTGTACTCTCCTGTACTCTAATAAAGTCATGCTGAATTCTTGATAGATGAACAATATAGCCATGACGATTCCAATGTTGAATGCTGCAATGGCTTGTTTCGAACGTATTGAGTCCTTCTTAAAGTCCGACGCAAGAAGGGACCATCGATTACCTTTACTAGGCGCTATAGAGCCTACCGATGAGTCCTCAACGCCTTCACTCAATGATGGAATCGCTCTCAAACCGCTCCCGAAGGTCATACAGCGTAGCGACATTGAGTCAGCATTGATAGTGGTACAGGATGCAAGCTTTGCATGGAGTCTAACTACGTCTCCGGCAGTCAGAGACCTAAGTTTCACTCTACAACGTGGACAGGTGTCCTTCATCATTGGTCCAGTCGGTAGTGGCAAGTCAACGCTGTTGAAGGGTCTGTTGGGAGAGACGCCATCATCTCAGGGATTTGTTTACAGCGCTTCATTGGACATTTCGTTCGTGGACCAGACGTCTTGGATACGCAATGGTACAGTCCAGCAAAACATCCTGGGTATCTCTTCGTACGATGAGGGATGGTATAGTCAAGTCGTGCATTGCTGCGGGCTAGAGAACGATATCTCAATCCTACCGAAGGGTCATGGTGAGTGTAATCGAGCTGGTTGTTCCTAACCCATCCACTGATAAAAGTTCAGCAACGCAAGTAGGTAGTGCCGGAATATCGCTTAGCGGTGGCCAAAAACAACGCCTAGCTCTTGCCCGAGCTGTCTATGCGAAGAAAGAGCTCATATTCTTGGATGATGTGTTCTCTGGCCTGGACGCAGAGACCGAGGATCACATTTGCAGCAACCTCTTTGGGAAAGATGGTTTGTTCTACAAAAATCGAACAACCGTCCTTTTCGCTACCCATGCAGTTCAGAGACTCAGCTATGCTGACAACATTATTGTCCTTGGTCCCACAGGACGAGTTTTAGAGCAAGGTAGCTTTGCAGAGTTGAAGGCTGCTGGTGGCTACGTCCAAAGTCTGTCTCTAAAGCTCAAGGCAGAAGGGTCGGCTTCGCCGAAGGAGAGGAAACTGCAATCAACCGTCGCAGCAGCCAAGTCTGCAGCAGTTCTCTCCGCCGAAGCTGAAGAAATCGAGATTAGCGCTGAAGATCTCAACAGGCAAAGTGGCGACTTTGCTGTATACAAATACTACTTTAGTTCTATTGGTTGGGCGCACAGTACCATGTTCTTTGGTTGGGTATTACTGTATGGAATAGCCTCCAAGATGACCGAATTTGTCTTGACGTACTGGACGAAAGCTGTGGCTGCACACGGAAACGAGGTCAATGGATTCTATCTTGGTAAGTCACCTTCTTCAAGCAGGACTTTCACACTACTTTTGATCTCAAAGACTTGAATATTCCATCCCAAACTATGGATACCCAGAGGCCCACTCTCAATCTTGGAGCCAGAGAATGTGCTAATACAATCTGTATATAAACAGGCATATACGCACTCTTATCTATATTAGGGCTGGTGGGTTTGCTCGGTGGTGTTGGAGAGTTGGCATTGCGGCTTGTACCTCGTAGTGCTGAGGTCTTGCATGCTCGATTGCTGTCGACTGTAATGGGCGCTCCATTAACCTTCTTCACAAAAACGGATACGGGACAAACAACAAATAGGTGAGCGCTGATCACGAGTCGCTTCTACACTACTAAACTTTTGAAGATTTAGCCAGGATATGACTGTCCTAGACGCCGAGCTTCCATACTCGCTCATCGACTTGTGCTTTTCTCTGGTCGTCACAATCAGTAAGTCTCAAATTCTGGGAAGATAAGGTCCTGTTCTTTGCTATGTTGGGAGTCATAATTCGCCGTTCATTCTCTGAATACACCTTCAAGATATGCACATTCACGCCCAAGATGTACCAAAGAAGATTACTGACACGGAGACTCTGACATTTAGTGGGCGCCGCCTTGATGTGCGTTTCAGCAGGTTATTTCGCCGCCACAATGCCACCTATTATCCTAATAGTCTGGGGTAATTCACACAATTTATTATTGAGCAGAAAAGATTTTGACAGTCAACAGTGTTACAAAAATACTACCTGAGAACGTCGAGACAACTACGCTTACTCGACCTCGAGGCGAAATCGCCACTATATTCCCATTTTATTGAATCTCTAAGTGGTCTCGTTACAATTAGAGCTTTTGGATGGGGTGAACACTTCCAGGTCAGCGAAATTTACACAGGCCAAAAAAATGCAAAACCCTGCCATGCTAACTTGCTCTAGGAGCGTAATTTGGTGCTTCTGGATGTTTCACAGAAGCCTTACTATCTCCTCTTTTGCATACAGCGCTGGCTGGCGCTTGTATTGGATCTGCTAGTCATGGTTATGGCAGTAATATTGATGATTCTTGTGGTCAAACTCGTAAGACTCAAAAAACAAATCAGAAACAACTATACTGACCCAGATGTAGCGGACAGAGATTAGCCCGGGATTTGTTGGTCTTGCATTACTGAACGTTATGAGTTTCAATCAGTCCTTGGCATACATCATTCAAAATTGGACAAAACTGGAGACTTCGATCGGAGCTATCTCTCGTCTGATGAATTTTTCGAGGCAGACAGCATCTGAAAACCTCCCAGGCGAAGATGAAGATGTAACTGAAGACTGGCCAGCTTTTGGGAATATCGAATTCAAAAATGTATCCGCATCATACACTGCAAACGACACACTCGTTGTTCGAAATCTCAACATGTCGATCAACGCTGGCGAGAAGATAGGGATTTGTGGTCGGAGCGGCTCCGGGAAGAGCTCTCTGATAACGACACTTTTCAGAATGCTCGAGGTGACTGAGGATAGTTCGATCACAATTGACGGGGTTGACATCACTCGCCTTCCGAGGGAATTGGTCCGGTCAAGGCTAAATGCCATCCCGCAAGAGCCGTTCTTCGTTCGAGGTACTGTCCGGGCAAATGCCGATCCTAATGGCGATCACACGGATGACTCGATCATCTCTGCGATCCAGAAAGTTCATCTCTGGGACCTGGTATTCAGCAAAGGAGGTTTGAACACCGAACTTGATTCAGAGTTCTTTTCGCACGGCCAGAGGCAATTGTTCTGTCTTGCGCGAGCCATATTGCGGAGAAGTAAGGTTGTTGTGCTCGATGAAGCGACAAGCAGCGTGGACACGAAGTCTGATGACTTGATGCAGCAGGTGATTCGGAAGGAGTTTGTGGGCTGCACTGTAATTGCTGTGGCACATCGCCTCGACACGATCATGGACTTTGATAGAATTGCGTTGTTGAGCAAGGGGAGCTTGGTAGAGTTTGACAGTCCGCAGGCGTTGATGGCAAGGCCGAGTGCATTCAGAGAATTGTATAACTCCTGAATTAGGAGAACAAGACAGACAGGGACAAGAAAGGGTTTAGATAGAATTAATTGTAATTTCTGTGGTTGAGCAAAAGCCATCATGCAGAATGGTATCCACGCTATGTTGAATGAAGTCGTTGCATCTAGTTGATCAAAAGGACTTCAATAGCATAGGCTTGATCTACTCGTCCTCTTTCCCAAATTTTCATGCTACAACAACTTCGCTACACCCCACGTTTAGGCCCTGTATCAATTAAATCGTAACAACTTAAGCTTTGTAGTGTCTCGGTTAGGAAAGGGGATCTTGAGGTTCAAACTAGCTCAATAATTAAGCGAACGCTAACATCATGGGAATTATAGCCTTAGAATTCGGCTCCTAAATCAGGCTGCAGCCCGGGTCATTATTTACTTTCAGTTGTACAACAGACATAGAACAGCAATTGATTATGGAGCAAAGACAGAACACCGACTTTGGAGGCGCTGCTTTCCCTACAAATGTCGAGGAGTTTGATTCCGACGATCGTATCTCCTTCTCGAAACTCGACAACAAATTCCTTCTCGTACAAGACGACGGCACCGAATTCGAGTTCGACGATGCGATCAAGAGATGGATTCCCGTTGTTGACGATGCGTTACTCGAGGAGCAACAAAAGGCATACAGAGTGTCAGGAGTAGATGAGTCAGAGCCGGTCGAGCCGCAGAAGAAGAAGCGCAAGAAGGAATACGTCAATGGTGAAGATGTGAGTTTTATATATATCCCTCTACTTCTGCTATGCTAAACCTACCAGGAAGGGGGTCGTGCACCAAAAGCACCCAAGAAAACCAAACCTCCGCTTCCACCGCGCGCAAATACTGCAGTCTATGTCACCGGCCTTCCCGACGATGTCACGGTGGAGGAAGTACACGAGGTGTTCGCGCGCAAGTGTGGGGTGATCGCAGAAGAAATCGACAGCGGCAAGCCTCGAATAAAAATCTATACCGACTCCAAGGGCGAATTCAAAGGCGACGCCCTGATCGTCTTTTTTAAGGCGCCCTCTGTTGATATGGCTATCACCTTGCTCGACGATACGGAATTTCGATTTGGGAACAAATCCAAGATGAGGGTCCAGGCAGCCGATTCGAGCTACAAGAAAGTACAACATAACGAGGGTGAGGAAGACAAAGAGAAGAAGAAGACCAGTATGAAAGACAAGCAAAAGATTATCAAGAAAACCCAGAAACTTGATGCACGATTAGCAGACTGGAGCGACGATGAGCCGTCAACGATTATGGAGACGAGCTCTAGGTGGGACAAAGTGGTTATTCTAAAGCATATGTTTACTTTAGAGGAGTTAGCTGAGGACTCAGCTGCGATACTTGACATCAAGGAAGATATCAGGGAGGAATGCAGCAAGTTGGGAGAGGTAACGAATGTGGTTCTTTTTGATCTGGAGGAGGAAGGCGTTGCCAGCGTCAGATTTGCGAACGCGGAGGCGGCAAAGGCGTGTATAAGCCTCATGAATGGAAGGAGTTTCGCAGGTCAACAAGTCGAGGCGTACATCTCGGATGGAAAAGAGCAATTCAAAAAATCGAAGAAGAAAGCGGACGACGATGCAGAATCGGAGGAGGACTGAGTTTTGTATGATACCAATGACCAACGATCACTTTGATACACGAGCGCCTCTATTATAGAGAAATATAATTATGGAAGCACCCCTTGGTGCGGCTTTCAATATGATTTGCCACCGGTTGGAGAGCTTCCTTTGAGTGTACTTCCTACCAACAATGAATAACACTTCAGAAGGAATTGGGTTTCAAATAATGCATGTCAAAGGTAAGATTTATCATATCTACTACTTGATGGCTGGTCACAGAAACCAACTTTTGCATCGTTTCCTCAGCCAATTACGCCAAACTCCATATCGACTATGTAATCTTGATGCTGAACTACTCTTGCATGGTATCCTCGACTACCTCCGGCTTCCCATCGCCCCAGAGGCCCTCTAGCTTGAACTCAGCAGCCCACTCCGTCACAATCTCTTTCTGATCACCAACAGCAGGCGTGTCACCTGTAATCATGGCGTTTGCAGCTGGAGCAACAGCCAGGACTGGAGCATCCATCCAGCCCTGAATACGACCATCTCTCCAGTCTGTAATGACAGTAGTGGCAGCACTGCTAACGTTGGGAACACCACCCTTCCCAAGTCTTCCTCTCTTCCTCGCAACTTGAACCAAGAAGTCTGTAGTGGGGTCGCCATTCGTGCTCATAAGAGGTGGCAATCCATAGACATCCATCAGCTTCTTCAGCATCTCCTCTGATGCTGAAAGACGCTTAAGAAGCAATGTGACAGCCGGAACTGGGTCCTCGATCATCTTTGGCGGAACGGCATTCAGAAGCACCAATCTAGCTTGCTCTTCCTTCTTCGATGCTTTGCTACCGTCTCCAGTACTGGGGAAGACGATACCAGGTGAGTCGAGAAGCTTGAGCTTACTATCAATCTTTACTTCTCTGAGAGAGGTAGTGACGCCTGCTTCTGCACCGACAGGGCAAGCCGCTCCAGCACCACCCAAGCGAGAAGTCAGAGCGTTAATAACAGATGACTTTCCGACATTAGGATAGCCGATAACACCAACTGAGATGGAGCGCTTCAACTGCTTTGCCGCAGCAAAGGACTTGAGCGCCTTGAATAGGGTAGCTGAGGTGCTCTGGACCGTCAATTGCTTGTGATTGAAGGTGTGCGCATTTGGCGCTGGCCCAGAAGCTCGGAGAGGAAGCGTAGGGAAATATCGTCGAAGATGTATCAGCCATGACTTTAGGACTGCGGCGGGAATGAGATCAATCTTGTTGAGGATGAGAATAAGTCGCTTTCCACCACTTGCAGCAGCCATAACCATTCTCTCAACTTCTTTCGATCGAGTACCTTCGGGGTCGCGAGCATCAAGGACGTAAAGAACGACATCTGCCTGATCCACAACTTGCTTGAAGACCTTGTCGAAAGCTTTTCTCGAGCCGTCTTTGCGAGTTGGGAGACCATTTATCTCAACACCGCCAACGTCGTCCTCCGACATGGATTCATCATCTTCGTCCATCTCACTCCCACTTTCTAGCTCATCCTCGTAGTCCTTGGCAGCTGCTCGCGCACTTGCAATTAATGCAGCCATTGGGTTGGCATCTTCGTCGAGGTCTTCTTCACCGTCATCCATCTCCATCTCATCCACCAGCTCATCCTCCCAACCTTCCACCCTTGCCTCATGTTCTCTATCCATCTGTTCTCCAGACTTCTCTGTCTTCGCGCCAGTCTTTGCGGCTTTCGCCTCCGCTCTCCTCCTCTCTGCATCTTCAACTTTGCGTCTTCGCCCTTCCTCAATCTCTGCCAGGATCTTGTCTTTATACGGGAACAAGTTTGGTATTCCTGGATCCTTCTTTAATTTCGATCGCCATTCTGGATTGCCCTTCGCAAGCTTTCTGGCTTTCTTTTGTTTCGCGGCAGAGGCTTTCTCGATTTTATGTCGCAGGCGCACCGGTTGCCTCTTGCTCTTGGGCTCTGAAAATTTCCAATTAGCTCATATATACGTTTAAAATACGATACACTTACTTCCAGGTTTATTGATTCCCCCCATCGTGAGATTTGGCAGGAAGAAATAATTGTAAATTGTCGTCGAGCTTATCGCACAATTTCTCAAAAATTATACTTCTCCCGCATCACGTGTGAGACTAGTCTCCAAAATCGGACCCCTACCCAAACCAGCACCTACCATTACTTTCACCGTAGAGTTGCTTCTAAGCTCGTTGAGGAAACTCCGACTCCGAATTCATCCAGATTTTCCACTTTGTAGATATATAGGTCTTCAGGAAGTTTTCAAGTTGGTATCGGACATTCGAATTCACTTGCATGTGAGCTTGGGAAAGTTTTGTTGCACGTCGCATTTCGTCGAGGACAATTCCTCGCCACGGACACGGTTCCTTTTTCTCGTCAAACAATTTCTCACCCCTCCACAACCCCATCACGGATTTGCGACCTGCAACTTGCGTTGAGAAGCCCTCGACTTTCAAGAACTATTCCATCTATTAAATCAATCATTTATTGCCTGCAATATAGTCAAAAGTCTATCTACAACGCATTTAGCTCCAAAATGGGTTCTATGGCTCCTTCCTTCTCCAGTCCTCCTCAGCGAGCTACTTTTAAAGGCTTGCTGTTTGATATGGGTATGCCTCTCCACAACTCGCTCTATGCAACGTTCTAGAAAAGAATCAACAAAATCTATTTTATTCGCTCTCTAGTACTAAGTAAAGTAGCGTTACTAACTCATTCCCAGATGGTACTATTATTGACTCGACAGACGCAGTAGTGAAGCATTGGCATACGTACCTCTCCCCCACTCTCAACCATTACACTTCAGCTCTAATCCTTCTTCTCCAGAATAGGCAAAGAAATAGGCATAGACCCCAATGTAATCCTCGAAACCAGCCATGGGAGACGCTCAATCGACACACTTAAAGCACTCGGTCAAGACCACCTCGCGAACTGGGAATGTACGTTTCAGCTTCCGTCTCTCTCTATCATGTATTGTGTCATGTTGAAAGCTCTTCGTGTGCCTCTCAGCCTCGTATTCTTTTCTTACATTTCAGCTCTCTTCGATATTTCTTTGTTGAAGGAGCTAAGCCACAACTCATCCCCAGCCAGAAATGGGGGCCTAAGCGAGTTTATGGATACTCACGCACTACAGACATCAAACACATGGAAGAACTTCTGCCACAGAATTATGGAGACGATGCAATCGAAATCCCCGGCGCAAGAGACTTGCTTGACGCTATCAAATCTGCAAATATACCCTGGGCAATCGTGACTTCAGGTACCAGCCCACTAGTAGGTGGTTGGTTAGACGTCTTGAAGCTGCCGATTCCGGAGAATCTGGTCGTTGCAGAGGACGTAGAGAACGGGAAGCCGGATCCGAGTTGCTACTTGATGGGGCTGGGCAAGCTCGGCTTCACGGTCAAGGACGCGGGTGATGTTTTGGTGTTGGAGGACTCCCCTGCAGGCAAGTTTTGCTGTTGATCTTTTCCACTTCTGGACTCTGAGAGCTGTATCATGTGGATCGGTACTGATTCTGAACTGCAATAGGTATTGCAGCGGGAAAAGCTGCTGGATGCAAGGTGCTCGGATTGGTGACTTCGCACACCGTGGAGCAAGTGGTGAAAGCCAAGCCCGACTGGATTGTCAAAGACCTCAGGAGCATCAGAGTCACCGCCGCCCACTCGGACGGAGGCGTGGAGCTGGAGATCCTGGATGCTCTGAAGGTGGACTGATTCTCAACCATGACGGAGAGGCCGCGATTCTAGCTCTTCCTCTGGTCTGTTGTTTCCTGCATAGCATCGGTACATACTTCCAGAAATAGACTATAGAGCTTTGCGTTGGGGTGTTGACTGCTACACTGCGAGGCACGTCACGCCATGGCAGCACCTCCCTCTTTGTCTGTGACAGTGATTCGTTCCCATCAAAGCCCACCCCGGTGCCAGAAAGCCTTGCACTTGCAGCCCAGTGGGTATTCATATCCTCGAATCACAACCAAAGCCAGCAACAGAAAGGGTCTCACGAACTCGTCCGCGAACAAAAGCCGCCTCGGCCCAAGAAGAGCCCTGCTCTCGCAGTTCCCATACGAGATCCAGACTGTCGAATCATAACCAAACAGTCCCCAAGGGTCTCGAAAATGCTCATCCGTCCCAGGAACGGACGGCCAACCGAGCCGATCCCGCTCCATTGGGCCATTCCCGCGTCCATCATCGACCCATCGCAGTGGAAACTCTGGTCAATGCAGACAATATTGCCTTGTCAAATCCTCGTTTCTGGGCGATTATTTGTTGGAGAGGAGAGGAGAGAAGCTTTGACACGAGATCGGTTCCCGTCGAGTCGAGCCAATTATAAGCGCGTGGCGAATAGGAGGCGAGAAAGCATGTATCGCCTTCTCATTCGCTTCGCGGGCCCTGGAAGCGCCTAGATCTCGAGGGAACTTGCTTTATTGACGTTTGTTAGGTGGATGATCGAGAGTCGTGATTGTGGAGTATGTGAGTGAGGAGGGCAATAAAGTTTATGTGGAGTGGCTGTGGCGGAGATCCAATGCAGGTACGTATCGTATTTCTATGTTGATCAAGGCGAAACGCGTATGGGCGTGTGATATTGAGTAAGCTGTCAACCAGTAAGTATACAAAGTTCAAGGTTTGACAGGAGATTGGCGAGGAGGTTGGAATCCTGGAGCCGTGGATCATGTTCGTCCCGAAGCGGGAACTGGCACAACCGGCCTTAGCGGGACGCTGATCTGTAAATCTCTATTTTCGACCCGTGTTCTCCAGGGAACTTAGTCCTTTGGTCTAGAATATTTTGAGGATTTGGAATTTCGTGGTCTTTGGAGAAGAGAATAATGCGTTCAGTATTAATTAATGGAGGCGGAATAAACAAGCAGTTAAAGCAGCAACTGGAAGGGATGTGATTCCTTACCAGGGAAGTAAATATTCTAATAGGTGGGAATTCCCGTTGTAAATACAGCGAGACGGGAATTGAGTTTTGCTTTGGATCAAATAGAAGATCTCTTGTCCGGTTGGACATTGAATAGTTACTTCTGCGCGGATTGAATGTCTGCCGTGATGTTGGACCCTGAGAGGATATTTACTAGGCACAGTGACTGGAAGAGACTTGTAGATTGAGACATACTGCATTGAGAGATCGACCTCACTTTCATGAAGTAGGATGTCTGGTGTATGGTTGGACATTGAACACTTCTCCAAGCACGAATTGAATGTCCGACCTGAAGTTGAGCAATTGGGATCTCGCAGGAATCTAGAGCAACCTGGATACCAACACTTACCAGAGTGAATCACCAATCAACTCACCTTGATCAAAGAGGGCCAGAATTTCTGAGGTACTCCAGTAAACAGAGACAAACTTTGACCTCTTCTCCAGTATCCACAACGGCACAAACCACACAATGAATCTAGATATTGAGTCGTGTGACTCCCTGTCTTTGATCGGGTAGAAGACTTGACCTTGCCATCTCTGCCACGTAGAAGTCAAAAGTTGGCTTTCGAATGGACTCCCACCTATGTAAATTCATTGGTTTTGCCGTCCATGATCTTCAGGACAAACTATTGTGCCACAACAGATGAGCCTTTCAAAGTTCAAGAGCGAATCAAGGACAACTTCAAGTTGTAAGTGATTTATTAACTATGATGATATCTTGTGCAGCGGAGAGGCTACGTGCAAAGTCGAGATAGAGGAGCGATTGATGATAGTAAGAAGGCTGTGATCATGTAGAAACTTGAAAAGGATGTAAGAATCAGCAGAGCAGATGTGTGTACCATCCGGAAAGTTCGATGCAATTATTGTAGCCTTGGAGAATAATGATATTATCCCAATTGCGTGAAAACTTTAACTTTGATCCCAGATTTACAGATACAATTACTTATCAAGAAATGTTAAGAAATGTTAACCAACGATGAATACTCAAATGGCTGAAGAACACTTGTATCACCACTCACAGAAGCCTCAAGATAGCGACGACGAAAGATAAGCAAAAGACAACACAAAACCTCTCAGCCACCTCTTCATCACCCAAAGATAACCAATCCAACCTTTAAGCCCCTTTCCCTCACCCACATCACAAACATGTCTCCCTCAGACCCAAAACCGCACATTAAGCATGAGACCGCAATTTCCCCACATAAAGCATTTATGCATGAGACAGACAGACCTCTAATCTCAACCAGAAAAAAAAACCCAAGCCTAAACCCCCCACTCCCACCATCCCGCGTCCTATCCAAGCCACTCTCACCCCTCGTATCTCTCACTCACTCACTCACCTCACCCCACTACCGGATCTCGATCTCAGTCTCCTGTCGAAAAAGAAAAGAAAAGAGAGAAAGAAAGCCCAACAACAGACACATGCCATTCGCCACACCGAAAGACTGCAGCCACGCCCCGACGACGTGCCGTTCAGGTACTGTACATTCCGAGACAAGGCTGCGGATGTCGTTGGTGAGGTGTGAGACAATGGCGGTGCTGCTTTAACTTTGCAGGATGGGAGGTAGGATGTAAGGGAAGGAATTCTCCGAGCGAGTTCTTAAGTTCCCCGGAATATGGAATTGTTTGTGTGTGTGCTTGTGTGACAACGTATAGCGGAAAAACGGGGGAGGGAAGGAAGGAAGAAATGGTACAACATGAGGAAGGATACGCAATGCGTCGTGAGAATGTGTGTATCGTCACCGTCACTGTCACTTACTTTCGGACATAAAGCTGGAGATGGAAGGTATACTTACTTACCGTCGTACAGCTTGTTCTGGTACACGTTCTACGTTATCTTGCTTTCTCGTGAACGCGCGTTTATGATTGTATGGCCGTCTAATGCCAGGTTTGGAACAGCTTGCGAGTCTACTGTAGGAAAGAGAGGCTTGCAATGCAAGAAAGGAGGCGGCCAGTGAGAGTGTCGAGGGACGTTACACAAAAAAAGCCTCCTTCGGTCACGGGATGAAGCGCGTGTGGGGATACTTCCGTTTCCGAAGAGGGTTGCGGGTTTGCTTTGCTTGTTCTAGGCTTGGTGTTTGTGTTACAGGATTGTATGTCGGTCGCCTACCGATTGTACATTACATTTTGGTCTAGGAGAGATTTGATTTTCAGAAGGATATGTCTGTAGCCGTCGAGGAGATTGACGTGCAGAAGCGCTCCTCGCTCGCTAGTACTGGCGAAGGAGAAGATGATCTGGGGAATTGGATATGCCAGTTGCCGCGAATGTAAGGTTTGTGATATCGAATTCCAGAATTACTCCCGTGATTTGACGGGAGCTGTATTTGGAAGAAGCTGGGGAATGTTGATGTGATTCTCGAGAATGGAAGGAGGATTGGACCGATGTCCATTGTGAAGTTCTGGACATTCAGCTCTACATGGTTTGGAATGAATCATGTCGTCGTTGACTGGCATACGCGGAATCGTAGGCGCCGGCAAGGCACGGGAGTTCAAGCCTTTCGATCATGATAGCAACGAATTCTGCCCTGCCTTTCTCGGTCCAGAACTGTCCAGATCGAGTCAGGGATTTCAATGTGCCGTTTGCCGTCGTCGGGAACAAAAGCAGAGAGAGGGCTGCCACGCGGGAGGTCGCCGACAAAGACGCTGGTGCGGGTGTTGGCAGAAAAAGGCCAATGCAGAATAATACTAACAGTAATTTCCTAAAGTTGTGGTGCTATTTTTGGGATTAGGATCCAGCAGACAGGGCAGTGGGAAACTCTAACATGATTTGAAAGTAGGGAGCTGCGTGGCGTTGCCAAAACAATGCGGCTCTTCGACTGGTCATATTTGGTCCCTGGTTCGCATTGCACACGCAAGTTGACAGTGTTTATTCTTGGGGATGAGGCTTGACCGGGTCCCAAACTTCAGGTACGAGAGGGCTTTTGTGCAACCTACATGGGGGGCCGCGGTGGGATTGGACAATATCAAAACCTCATGACGAACGGCAACTCTACCGACTCGGAAAGCCTTGATTGCAGAACCACGACTTGGCTGAATCATGATAGGGGATATGATGTGTAGTGTACGAGCAGTGTCTTTGACTTCGAGACGGGTCGATGCAGGAACATACCAAACACGTCCAGTGAAGCGTGCGGTCTGGGAGCGGGAAGAAAGTCCCGCAAGTTGCCACCACAAGCTAGGTACAGTACCAACGTCTGGGCGTTGAAATCATGTCGCTCGTATTACTCAGGAAATAACGAAGGTCTGAGATCCTCAGTCATGAATGTTCCTGCATACGCACCCCGTGGCCGTGGCCGGACCGTCTTCTCCCCTTTTCCCTTGCAGCATCTGGAGCGGGGTTCCACGTGCGCGACTCGATGAGCCGATTTTCTCCCATCATCCCATCCCACCCATGATGACCGCGGGTCTGCAAGCTTGGCCAGGGCATGATGCGTGGGTGGGTGAGTGAGATGAGATGAGATTTTGAGTGGAGAAATGGAAGGTCCGGCAGCGAAAGCGAAGAGTGAGCCCTAGACTTCCGAGCACGCAGCAGACCGTATCGAGCAAATCAAGGTCGGCGGCCATCAGAATAATGAAGGACGTGAGGGTGGTCATCCACGATTATGCATTCGTTTCTTGCAGTAGACCGGCGTTATGCAGGTGGAGGGAGAGGAGAGCAGCATCATGATGGACGACCAAGCAGTTAGAAGGAAACATGTCAGCGACTAGAGATGCAAATGCCTCCAATCACTGCTTTGCCGTGCTGACAGAGAGCGCCCAAGAATGCAGTCCAAGGACGTCGGGAAGTGCCTTTTCCAGCGAAGCAGCGACGAGAAGGGCATCTCGATTGTCTAACAGGTGGTAAGGGTATATCCGCTGGTCGAACTCTGTTCTTGTTGAAGATAATCATCAACCCTGACGATAGAGTAAGGTTGTTTGTTTAGTCTCAGATATGATCCCAGCGACCACACGATGATTTTCGCAACCCTGAAGACTGAAGTCTGGAGCCCAGCAGGTCGTCCAGTCCGCGAGCAGCCGCTTGAGCCACAAACGAACCTTTGACTGCTCTAGATTTGTGTGTGAAGCCTTCCACGCACGCCCGCCAGCCTCCAACCCTTGACTTGCCTCGACAAGGCTCCAGGTCCACGGTACAAGGGGATTTATTTGACTTTCAAGGGCTTGCGGGAAGCAGGAGGATCATGACCCCTAGAAATTCTCGCTACCAGTATCCAATGAGCAGCGCCATCGTACTTCAGCCAATCCGGGCGCCTTTCTTCTGCCTCTTTTTTTCGCGTGTTTCTGCTTCTCCTGCTGTTGCTGCTGCTGCTGCTGCTGCTTCGCCTTTCGCCCTCTTCTCGCTCGCTCTCCCAGCTTTCCGGGACGCTAAGAGCCGTCCGCACAGGATCCATGATCCCATCCCAGCCCAGCCCAGCCCAAGCCTTTTTCCCAGCATCGTTGCAAGTCTGGTACCGTATCCGTGCTTTGCGCGCGCGAACAATACCGGTCGGAGATCATTCATTTTAGCACTGGACATCATGGTATAGTGGTGACGATGAATAATGATAGCGGTGATGTTTGTTATCGGGGAGGAGATTATCAGCGTCGTCAACGTCAAAGCCGCCAGCCGAATACTCACTTCACTTGCAATATTATTATTGCCTTGCTGGCGCGCGCAACCGTAACAGGAAACTAGTTGACCGTTGGACCATCTCACCAATCCCGAGTCTCACGGCTGTGATAAGTACAGTACATTTGCTGCAGTAGCAGGACACTAAGCCGAGGAGCTGCTCCAGCAGATAATGGTGAAGGCTGTCTTTTTTTTTTGCCTTCTCTCTGTCCTGTTATCAAAGTCTCCGAGTCGAGGCTAGGCTAGGCCAGCCCCCAACTGCACTCGCTCAACACTCCCTGTTTCCTATCTAGTCAGTCGGTGAGCCCAACGCTGGACCGTTGTCCGAAAAAAGACGAGCGCGATCCCCGCCGTCCGGTTTAGGAAGGGGAGGCTATCCAGACTTCAGCTGAGTTTCTAGAACGTGGGATGGTGGACGAGCGTCGTGCGTCTTGGGGGCCTCGAGATGCTTCTTGCTTGCTTGCTGGTGACAGAGCAGCAGTCGCTCGGTGGATGGAAAGACTTCTGAGAGTTGTACAAGACTTACGTGCGTAAAATGTTCCTTGCTCGTTCGGATGCGGGGGCTTTTCTCCGCCGGGGGACGAGGCGGCGGTGGGATGGGATGGGGATGGACATATCGTGGCTATCTTATTATTATGATTCCTTCCTTCGGGTCACCAGGGATTGGTCAGCCATGCCTCAGCCGAAGGAGATCACAGATCCATTTCTCTCATTCGCTTGTCCTCGAGGAGAAACGATGGACCGACGAGAGAGCTTAGGATGAGAGCTGGAGCTACGGGCACAATACAAATAGTTAGTGCTATGAGTAACAGTCACTACTGTTACTGTACCAGGAACGACTCCAGCACGATGATACAGCACCAAAACACCAGCACCAGATAGCGCTGGCGATTGCATTGATGTAATCATATTTTGTGCACTTGTTTCTTCAGCAAAAGTACAGCCCGCGACTCCCAGAAATTCAGCGAGCGCACACCCACCCTGGGCCTGGGATAAAACTTTGGGATGGTGGTGGTTGTGCATATGCACCGGCCTATTTTTATACTGCTGCCCCTGCTTAGGCGGCTTTTCCACCCTTCACTCACACTCCCAACTTTCCGTCAACACCAAATCGCATCACACACACACCACCCCCTAGAACAAGAAGAAGAGAAAGAGAAAAGTTAGTGAGATCCTTCGCGGACGCTGCACATCTTTTGTGCAGCCTGCACTGCCGAACCTGGCTGCTTTTGTGCTTCCCGGAATAACTTCAAGCTGGAGACTGAGCTGGGGCGAGGCGAGGCAAAGCGAGAAAATGTACTGTACCTACCTACCATACCGTCTCCGCGCGGCACAATCTTCTTCACGAGTAGAACCAGTGACGACAACAACTTATGCGCTGTGATGCCCTTCTCGTGCGGTTTGGAAATTACATGTCAACGCAAAAGAGAGGATCGAGCCCTGCGCGACGGAAAATGGCATGGCGTTAAGCACCCACGATCTGTCCGACGAGCGACAAAAGCTACGATGAGATGGATGGGGCTGCACCAAGCTCCATGGAGGCTCCGGGAGGGATACAGCGTCTCCCATTCGCTGAACCGTGTGTGGAAGAGCGATGCTAAGCAGATGCTAATCCTCCGTCTAAGCTGCATCGGGCACGGGGAAGCTCTGAAAGCGTGCTGCTCAGGCCTTTCCAGGCTGAAAAGGATGAGCCGTCTCGTCGCTCGTTGGACTGCGATCCATTCGCGTACCTGGATGCGTTAGTGGCACCCGCCGGTATGCTGCAGCATGGCAGCGATATTGTAGCAGCGAGAGATATGGAGAGAGAGGGCGAAAGGGAAGGGGGAAAGTGAGTGAGCCAGTGAGGGCGTGGTGGCTCGAATGATGAACAATCCTCGTCCGTAGGGCGACATGTGGTTGGTGAAGGTAGGCGAAGACGACGAAGGAGATTCCCAGTGAGTCGAATCGCCGCCGGGATGGGACTGTAGACCGTGCCCGAAAGGGACATTCGAGGGCTTGAAAGGGAGAGCAACAGAGGAGGAAAGTCGGAAAGAAAAGATGGGAAGGGAAGGGTCTGCCTCTGGCTTGGCTGCGTCTCCCGCCGCCGCTGTCGGCTTGCTGCTTTGTCTGTTCTCGGTGTCTCTCTCTCTCTCTTTTTTCTCGCTGCGTAGTCGAAGAAGTGGTAGTGCTTGCTGGCGCGCTCCGTCTCACGGTGCAAAAGTGTGTGGTTGAGTGAGCGTGAAAAGTGAGCGAGCGTGCGGTAAAGGCGTATCAGGAGATTCGACGATGCGATGCCAGGCTCCGCTCCCACGCCTCAAATGCACCTCACAAGGGGCCGTCCAGAGTGCGCGAGCAAGGGTCCCGGTAGGTACAGGGGGTGCCCAAAAGTTCTGCGTCTGCCACGCGCTGCTGGCTGCTGGCTGCTCGATGTTCACAAAGCAGCAGCACCTCTTCTGCACACCTTGCACCGTGGGTCCTGGGCCTGGCACTGTCATCCCTACCCAGCACCGTCCCAACCTTGCACACCGGGGCTCGCAGAAGGGAAAGGGAAATCATATCCAGCCACAGCCTGGGATCCTGGTTTGCGAGGTGGATGTTGATGTGGATGTTGATGTGGATGTGGATGGACATGGGGGAGTGAAGAGCGAACAGGACATGGGACGAGATGGGATGGGCCACCACCAGGGATCCCGCTAGACGGCTGCTACTTGCTGCTGGCTGCTGCTCTTGTCAAGGGACGGAGGGGCTCCAACTCCAAGATTTCAGATCTTCTAATCAACACTGCACCGCGCTCCCTTGACCTGGCTGGACTACTTGACTTGACTCTTCTTGATTTTTGTATCGTCCCTCACACCTCACCACGCACCCACTCACCACTCACCACTCACCTTTTACCTCCTGCTGCTGCTTCTTTATTTTTTGCTTGCTTGTGCTCCGCCCTGATCGTCTCGTCCCGTCCCAAACCGCCTGTGTCATATAAGATCTCCGCTCGCGCTGAACAAAAGTACGGGGACATCTAGGACATGACCGTGTCTGTGTCTGTGTGAGAGTGAGCAGCGCCCAGGTTCCAGACAGCCGCCAACGTCAACCGCTTCCGTAGGAATTCCTCCTCTTTAATCTGCCCTTCCCTTCCCTTCCCACCGAACACAACGCAACCCTCACCTCACTTACCTCAACCTCTTCGCCCTTAACTAACCTCTCTCCCACCCACAGTCTCTCCCTTCATTCCTTGCCTCTGCATCCGTCGACGAGGTATCGAAACAGCAATCGTTCTTTGGCTCCATATAATTCCCACCACCACCATTCGTTCATCGTCACAACGTCCCCCATCTGCAGCTTACTTTAATACGCGATATCGACCGAAGACCACCCCAGTGCTTACTCGCACCCACGCTGCATCCTAGGATCTCAGAACACACGCAGGATCCGGTCATAATCCCCTCAGACTACATTCTTTCGTCTGTATAACGATCGTACCTGCCGCCAGTGATCAATCCTCGATCAGCTCCTCTGAAGCTGCTACATTCGCTCGTCACGCAACGACCTCGGACATTCTAATACCAAATACCGTACCCCGACGCAACTAATTACTCGAAACATCTTCGATCGACTCCGATCCGCTGGAATTGTGGTGCTGTCTAGACGTGCAAACCTTCCGGCAACCTGCGATCGACTGTTTAGCAGGTGGACCCTACCTTAGAAGCTCAAATTCGGTACCGATCAGTGCCTACTATGGCATTTTTCGAACCCTCGTACCAGCATCCTCATCACTACCACGACATGTCTCACTATAACGATTCTCACCAGGCGTTCGCCATGAACCAAGCTCCCATGATGGCATTGCCCAATGCTGCAAAGACCTCAGAGACACGCCCACGCCTGGGCAAGGAAGAAGTAGACATTCTCGAGGCCTCCTTTCGCAAGAATCCAAAGCCGACAACCCAGACAAAGCGGGGTTTCGCTGAGGACATGGGAGTTGACCTTGCCAGAATCAATGTAAGTTGACTAAGGTCACTCGTTTCCTCTCGAGGCATTACTGATACAATATATAGAATTGGTTCCAGAACCGTCGCGCCAAACGGAAGCAGGAGAAAAAGCAGGAAGCCTATGAAGCAGGTCAAGCTGAGCAGGCTCTCGGATTCTCAGAACCCTCGTCACCAGACTTCTACTCGCACAGCAATGGGTATTTCAGTGACCCACAGTTGATGCCCATGGCTCAGTCATCTGCGAGTTTCCCTATGATGAATGGGCCACCGCCAGCAGTTGCCGGGTACAACCCGCAATATACTGACCCTTCGACTGCCAGCTTGGAATCACTTCAACGGACCTTGGCCGTTGCCAATGCTGCTGACCACGACGAATACCACGATTTTGTGGACCAACGCGATGCTATTGGTACTTTCAACGGCTCGCTTGGCCACGACTTTTCGACGAGCGATCGAGTACAATTTCCGTCTCCAGAGCATGGGCTGCCACATTTCGATGACAGTAATGCCCAGACGTACTCTTCATACACTACACACTTCTCAAGCGGCCTCTACAATGAGGGTCAGCCTCTTGAGGTACAATCCCCGCCAGAGGAGGCCAACAATCAAACACCAACGCCGTTTAATACTTTCTCTGGTACATCTGGGGCGTCTCACCTCCTGACGACCTTCCCGTCCCAATTACTCCCCACTCAGAACCAGGATACTCTCTCTCGCTCGCACGAGGAACATGATGGATCCTCACCAGAGGATCACTCTGCTTCCTCGATTGGATTTCAGTACGACATGTCGGAGCCTGACAATACGCCGCCCCCCGCAGCATCGATTCCGTTCAAGTCGCCCCCACCACCTTCGGATATCGCTTCGCGACGAAAGAAGGTGCAGGTCAAGCCGACAGCGTTGGCTACCGACACTCTCCGAAGCAGTCGTCCTTCTTTGGGTCCAAGGACAGTATCTCATGCCGAGGGTTTCAGACGTCCCATTGAAAGCCCAATCGGTTCACCTATGCGGCGCATAGCCTCTGCTGGCGGTAACCGAAACGTTTTGAGTGGTCGCGTATTCAAGTCTGGTATCGAATCCTCCCAACGTTCTCCCATAAACTTTGGGACTTTCGAGTCTGCCGGTGCATTCATGGAGCACAACTTCCATAATATCCGTCATCCGTCTCTGACGGCAAGCTCCTCTCTCAACAGCAGCCTCGCACCTCCGACACCCATGTCTCCTCGAGGTGAGATGATGACTTTAGTGAAACGAGAGGGTCCCAGATCGACCGCATCGCCTGTCGAAAATTTCATCTTCAACGCTGGCACCGGAGGCTTCACAACATTGGATGGAGATCAATCATTATCTCCTCCCGAAACTCCCCAAGCGCCTATGGCTCTGAATCCTTCTCACAATTGGGCGCACACGCTCGACTTTGCTGAGAAGCAATGGCAATATGAGGTTCCCGATGAACCCTTGTTTACCCCGGCTCACGACACATTCCCCATCGAGCTGCACATGCCACAGCCGTCGTACCTTACATCGATGAGCCAGCCAGTGACACCTGCTTTCGGACAATTTAATCCCAACTTCATGTTTGGGCACGAATCACCTCAATTTACCGAGTCGCCCAAATACACCCTGTCGACTCAGACCGGATCAGAGTACTCGTTTCCAGATGCAAGTCCGCATCACTACCTTGGGTTGTCGCCCACAATGACCACCACCAAGCAAAAAACATTTCAATTCTCGCACACCACCGCTGCTGATTTCTCCGAAAAATAAGGAGATTTCTTCAAGAAACAAAGACAGCAACACTTGACTACTTTTCTTCCTTTTGCTCCTGCGCTCTATGAGTTATAACCACTGCAGCTGGATTTGAGCTCCGGCCACTTGTACAACACCATCTTTGCTTAGCATGTTCAGCGCCTGTTTTGTTTCCTTGGCAGACTTGGGCGGACACACTCACTTAATGTAATCAGGGTGGCACAAGGGGTGCCAGCTGTTAATGTTCATGAAATATGCGGGGGGCGATATATACCCAAAAGAAACACACGAGGGCAGGAGGATGATCTGTTTGAGTATCTTGATGGCTATCAGGACTAGGCGTAATGGGAATGGGAACTTTGGGATGGCGCTCATGTGTCGATCAATGGACCATGACTTGGAAAGAATGTGATGCATTTGCATTTCAGCAAGGGAGGAAAACTTTTCCTTCTTGTGTTTGTATAGTGCTCGAAACAAAAATAGAAGGTCTCGAAATCGATCGACTTTTTCTTTGATAAAAATTGCCGTTCATTTTGAAAGTGGGATGCAAACAAATAAGTCTCCTCTCCAATTCATCCCCAAACCAGGACCCCAAATTAAAGAAAGTACAGTACCTCATCGCAAGGAACATCCACAATCATTCTAGTAATTATCCCACTGCGTGCCATATCTCAGACTTAGTCCTCAAGGCCGATACCGGTACAGTACTAGGAAAACGGTGTATGCAAGCGTTCTGCAGGGATTGATTCCTTGTGCCGCCTCTTTCCGCTGCAGCTAACTATTTATCAGATGAAGCTTCTCAATTCGAGCTTCGTTCATCATTATAAACTTCCAAGGTACGCTGTCACCATTGCGTTCTTGTCCCTTTTCTCATAGACCTCTCATTTGAACTTTGCATATGACTTATTTTTTTCGCAATGGCTACTAAAAGTCTCAGAAGTTTGCGACCTTTCAATCCTTGTTTACAAACAGCAAGGCGAATCAACCCCGCCTCGATACCCCGCAGCGTCAACATGTCTACAATTGCTTCTTTCAAGATACCCAAGATCTCCAACGAACCCAACGTATGTTAATTGATGCAATTGGTCTGTGAGATACTGAGATGCTATAGCACCATTATGCAAAAGAGTCTGCGCAACGAGAAGGCCTAACAGCAGCTCTCGAGGGCTTTCAAAAGAAAGCTCCACTCGAGGTCCCCCTCGTCATAGGAGGGAAAGAAGTAAGCTCACAATCATCGGACCAATGTCTCAGACTCATACCTGACAATTCTCGCAGCTTAAAACCTCAACAATCTCCAAACAACAAAACCCATCGAACCACTCCTCCACCATCGCCTCATACTCAAACGCCTCCCCATCCGATGTATCTGCAGCCATCGACGCAGCCCTCGCTGCCAAGCCGGCATGGGAATCCCTCCCTTTCTCCGACCGAGCTGCGGTCTTTCTGAAGGCTGCGGATTTGATTGCTGGAAAATACAGATACGAGATTATGGCTGCGACCATGCTAGGTCAAGGCAAGAATGCTTGGCAGGCTGAGATTGACTCTGCTGCAGAGTTGGTCGACTTCTTGAGATTCAATGTCCAGTACGCGGAGGAACTCTATGCTCAACAACCGGCTCATAATTCCCCTGGTGTCTGGAACAGAGTTGAATATCGTCCTCTAGAAGGCTTTGTATATGCCGTTACTCCTTTCAACTTTACTGCCATTGCTGGTAACTTACCTGGAGCTCCAGCTTTGATGGGTAATGTTGTTGTATGGAAGCCTTCCGATTCTGCCATTGCTTCCAATTGGTTGCTCTACAATATCCTTCTGGAAGCTGGGCTTCCCAAGAACGTTATCCAATTTGTTCCAGGCAATCCAGAGGAGGTCACCAAGGTCGTCCTTGCACACAAGAAGCTCGCTGCTCTCCACTACACTGGTAGCACAGCCGTGTTCAGAAAGTTGTATGGCTCAATTGCTACTGGTGTAGCAGAAGGCAGATACCAGGGCTACCCACGAATCGTTGGTGAGACTGGAGGCAAGAACTTCCATCTCATTCACTCTTCAGCAGATATCGACAATGCCGCAGTCCAGACCGTTCGTGGCGCTTTCGAATACCAAGGACAAAAGTGCAGCGCGACATCAAGATGCTACGTCCCCAAATCAGTATGGCCACAATTCAAAGAGCGTCTCGTAGAAGAGACCTCTAAACTCTCAGTCGGTCCTCCAACAGACCACAAGAACTTCATCGGTCCCGTCATCCACGCCGCTTCATTCAAGAAGCTCTCAGGCGTCATCGACTCAGCCAAAGATGACAAGGAACTCGAACTGCTCACAGGCGGCAAGCACGACGATTCAACGGGCTTCTACATCCACCCAACAATCTACGTAACCACGAACCCAAACCACAACCTCCTCTCAACCGAGCTCTTCGGTCCCATCCTCACCATCTACATTTACGACGACAGCGCCTCTCCCGTCGATGCCTTCGCCTCGGCTTGCGAGCTTGTAGACAGTACCTCCGAATACGGCCTCACGGGCTCCATCTTCGCATCTGACCGCGCCGCGATCCGATTTGCTGAAGATGCGCTGAGGAACTCGGCAGGTAATTTCTATATCAATTGCAAGAGTACCGGGGCGGTGGTAGGACAGCAGCCGTTTGGAGGTGCGAGGGCGAGTGGGACGAATGATAAGGCGGGGAGCTCGAATATTTTGAGTAGATTTGTTAGTATGAGGAGTATCAAGGAGGAGTTTAATCCTACGTTGAAGGTAGAGTATCCTAGTAATGAGGTTTAGGTAGTTGGGGTGGGGATGGGAAAGGATATGTAAATTGCATCTGAGTGGGCTGTCATGAGGTTATGATTGTAGTGAGGAGTAGGAGATTGACTTTTGGACTTTAAGAATGAAGTAGCAGGATTACTGGCCTGAGACCTGACTTTCGTTCAGAGTCGGTCGAAAAAAGCTATTAGTGCAATGAGAACAATCATTGGATATCACATTATCAAAAATGAAATGAGTTAATGTCCTAAACCTGCGAGAATCTTAAAGTGAATATCCCAAGATATCTTGATCAAATCAATGATCCACAAGAAACAGAGACCAAAGCTTTGACCAAAGGCCAGACATTTAAGTTTGGTCAAACTCGTGATAATAGAGCATAAAAGATCAAGCAAGTTACATGGAAGTGTTGATAGCAAAAAGTGAATTCACAACAGATAGTAATTGATACTAAGAAGCGAGGACAACAATCATAACTATTGTAGTTACTGATTTTAGATTATTAACTTATAAATTAGTAACAGATCGAAAGATTCAAAATTAACCCTGTTCCATTCTCTGCTGTACCTAGGTAGGCGCGAATAGCGCAGACAGCGCAGACAGCGCGAATCGCGCGAAATGTGCAGAAAGCGGCAAAGCTACAGTATTGGAGAAAAGCCCACCCGAACCCCAATCCCAAATCCCAAGGAGGGCAACTTATACTATTGGATAGATCGTACTAAGGACAGACTTTTAGGAATGCTGAATGTACGTGAGGATCTTGATAGTGAGTGTAGTGGTACAACTTAGGCAATGGGGATTGCTTTTCAACTTTGACAAGTCTTGTTAGGCAATGTGTTTAGAATTGTTGGTTTGAAGCTTAGGGTGAGACTGAACATTGGAGTAGCTTTTCCAGGCTATGAATGTCTGGGATCTAATGGGCAAAGCTGGTTGTCATTAGTAGGTGTATCAATAGCACATCGATAGAATCGAAAAGGCCAAAGTAGACGCGGAGTTAATCAAACATGGTATCATATTCATCTACATATCCACACCCTCATATCTCTCCCCGCTCTCCTCATTTCCCACCCACCTTAACCAACTCAAACTTCACCTTCCTCTTCCCCGTAAATTCCTCCTTCACATCACTAATCCGCACAACAACCTTATCAAACAACCCTACCTCAAGGACCCTCTTCCCCCTCGTCCTCAGCACGAAATTCTCCGCATCAAACTCGCTCTCCGGCTCCTCTTCCCCATCACCCACCAGATCCCGCAACCGAATCAAACTCTCGACTCCGAATTTAGGTACGTAGACCACGAACCCGTTGCTGAAGGCCTTCATCACGAATCCTTCCTCCTCAACCACTTTCCCCTTGAGGGCTTGACCGACGTAATACTCGATGCTCGCTCGACCGGCGAATTGTGCGTTTCGATGACGGACGTTGATGTTCTTGCACACGAGCTCCAGCTTTGATTTTGAGCGTACTGCTGGGTCGAGAGTTTCGTATTCGATAGCTGCGGCTAGCTGTCGATGGGCTACCAGATCAGCGTAACGACGGATGGGACTTGTGAAGTGGGTGTAGATTTCGGAGGCGAGACCGTAGTGTCTGAATTCGGAATATGCTTCTGTGCCGGAGCAGAAATACTCTGCTGGGCGCATGCAGCGGGTGGCCATGATTCGGACTAGGGTGTTGAAGAAGGGTTCGTTGGGATCGACGCATTGATCTAGAGAGTCGGCAAGCTCTTTTGAGGATGAGACTTTGAGCTCCATTCCTTTCTTGATCTTGAGCTGTTGGGATAGGTCATCGAAATTCGTCTTTGGTGGTGAGGGATGGCGGCGTAGCATGGCGATTTGGGGGAATGCGGAGTAGATTTTTGCTGCGACGGAGATGTTTGCTAACAGCATGAATTCTTCAACCAAGGACATGGTATCGAGATGTTTCTTTGTCTTGATATCAATCGGATCCGAGGTTTCTGATTCGGTCTCGACACGCACTTCTGGTGAGGAGAGAGAAAGTGCTCCAGCATCCATACGCTTTTGCTTGAACTTCTTGGAGAGCATGAGGAGGGTTCGGATAGCATTTGTGAGGTCGTCCTGTTGGGTCGGGTCATCGATGCGGAGTTGGGCTTGTTCGTAACTGAAGGCTTCTCGCGACTTGATGACGGATTTTGTGAACTCTGATTTCACAATGTCAGCATCCGGGGTGATCTCCCAGATTGCTGAAAAGGCGTAGCGTTCAACGTAGGGTTTCAAGGAACAAAGGTCTGTGCCGAGAAGCATAGGCAGCATATCAATACGCTTGTCCACCAAGTATACTGTTGTGCCTCGGATACTGGCTTCTGCATCCATTGCATTGTTTGGCTTAACGAAGTGGGAGACATCTGCGATGTGTACTCCAACTTCGAAATTTCCGTTTGGCAAAGGTCTTGCATGCAAAGCATCATCAATATCTTGACATCCAATAGGATCGATACTGCAGATTTCAAGGCCACGAAGATCTCTTCGATCTCTCCAGCCAGGATCTTCTTTGCTCACAGGGACTATCCACTCATGACCTTCTACTGGCAGACAGTCAAGTACTGCCTTCGGGAAGGGCCGGTATTGAACATCGTGTTCCAATAACAGAGCTTCCGTCTCTGCACCTTTGGTCTCCACTTCACCTAAAGAGCGTATGAAGTGACCTGTGGGATATCTCTCATCGGCATTCCATGAGTCGATAGCCACAACTATTCGTTTGCCGCTAATTTCACCAGCCTGTCTGGTCTTGATTCGGATCTTAGGTATCTTCTTGTCCATAGTAAGAACAAACACCGTATGCTGCTTCCGGCTCTGTCTGTCCACCTGACTCATCGACGATTCGTCCACATGTCCGACATACTGCCTCCACATTCTCTTGATAATACCGACAATTTTTGCTGTGGGCTGAGCTCGACCTTCACCAACTGTGCTGTGAACTTTCTTGACTTCCTCTCGAAGAGCTCTTCGCTCGCGCTCGGTAACCACAGCTTCTCCATCCTCGGCATCGGCATTCTCGTTCTTGTTGATCGTCTCTTCTTCAATAATCTTTGTAGACGGTTCCTTCCATTGGCTCTTGGGGAGGATTTCAATGACCACCTGATCGCCATCTACAGCTCTGTTCATGTTCTCCTTTCCCACTATAATCAGCGGCTTGTCGAAAGCTCTGGTACTGACTGTAGCCTCTAGGTAATTATACGGAGACATATAGAAAGTTCCTTGATGTAGTGCGCCGCTTTTGACACCAGTCTGCATCTTTGAAACAGAATAATGTTCTGGAAACAGATTCTGCGTTGTCTTCGAATTCCTAATTTCCCGCTTCTCGTCCGCTGCAGCAACCATATCCAGAAGTCGTTCCGCATTGTCCAACCCGCTCACATAATCATTGAGTGATCGAGCCTCAATCCCATCTCTCTTGGCTTTCTTGAGGTTATCCTTGTCATCTGTGAGCATCACCACTGCAGGGACTTTGTTCTTCTTTCCTCCAGCGCTAGTGACAGCTTGCAACAAATGCTCATCATACCACTTGACTGCTCTCCTAACTGCCCTGTCATTTCTATCATTGATAGACTCGCCTTCGTCCCTAACAACGTATGTCTCTAACCGGAAATCGTTGAAGAAAACATAGAAGCGCTTCTCTTCGCTCTTTGTGAGGCCAATGAGTCGGTTGTAGAGGGGTAGTGAGCGATTCTTAAGCTCTTCGAGAACGGTTTGAAGGACAACGACATCGTAGAAGGCGGAGGTTTGTTCGAAGAGGTCGAGAGCAGTGAGGAGTGCGTTTGTGTCTGGAACGAGGTAGTGACCTTGAGGGTATGCTTTTGTACCTGCAGGCTTTTCGGAGAGAACGAATGGTGTTACTACATTAAGAATTAGCATAAGATAGCAGCAGGGAAACGGCAATTGAAAAGAACCCACACGTCCCACTGGCATCCCTCGGCGCAGTCGCAAGACAGCTCGAGCAGAGCCTCGACGAACAAGGAATATCTTGCCGCAAGTAAAGTTCGCGAACAATTTTCTGGACCTTGCCTGACTTCGTAGTCCTCACGTAGACCTTACTTGAGATGTTTGAGGCATACGGATCCGATGCCAGTGATCTCTTGAGACTCGTCATTTTGTGGAGAGCTTGAAGGTGCTGTGGTGGCGGGGTAGAAATTGTTTATTCTGAAGATGTGAAATTTAGACGCTAAGCGCGTTTGGAGGCGCTGAAGTTCGATGTCAGCCCCACTGATTGTGATCGCTTCAGGGGGCGCTTTTAGCGGGTTCGGCTGATTTGGGGTATGAGGCTCACAAAAAAAAGGTACTCTGAAATCCGAGTTTTAAGAAAAAGACAAATAAGGGTGAAATAAGCTACTTTCATGGGTGTATGAGTATTCAATTTCTTCACTTAGAATTTGATTTCACAAGATACTGTCCTGTAATTATATATATAGCTTATAAGAAGCTGCTATGCTTCCAGTCGCTCCCAGCTAAGCGAAAGTAAACAAACCTCAAAAACATACCTAGGTATATAAATCACAGAAGGAAAAAACAGCAAAAAATCCGGTCTAACCCTTCGAAATGGGGTAGCCATGAAAAACTTGCTCGGTGTCGTGTGCAGTTTTGATCGCGATCGCTCGTTCGTATGCGGGCCAGGCGTTGGTTTCTCTTTCCTCCTCTTGACCCACTCTTGACCTGAACCACTGACCTAAAGTGGAATGCTGAGATGGGCTGTGATTGAGGTTTTGCTTATTTAAATCTATACCTTAATTTGGTTTCGCTAAGCCAAAATTGATTTGTGTGTGGGCTTGCGAGCTGGAATGACGAAGCTTTAGCTTCGGCTCTGACTTCACCTTCACGTTTATCTGGATTGAAATTTACTTTGGTCCAGTCTTTACATAGGGTATTGCGAGTTCAATAGGATACTTTGGACATCACAGCAGCTTGATGTCTTTCTTAGATAGGTGCACGTGGAAATATGTCAAATACGTAAGTTCTGTGAATTTCAAAACAATCAACCAAAACACAAGCTGGGGTATTGCTAGCTACAACATAAAATCAAATCAAAACAAACCAAAAAACATTCAAAGCCTACTGTGAGCGGCGTACTTGCTGTTGTTATTCAATCTCCTCATCATTCATCATTCATCATCCATCCAAACTCAAAATGCAAGACTCCAAAGCTGACTGACACCAACCTCCCATATCAACATATTACTTCTCCACCCCGAAAAGATATGTGCAAAAGACATCGCCGAACAGGGACGAGTCAAACGTATAGAGTCTTGCTTCCTTCCATTTCAATCTCCCATTAAGATTCTTCACTCCCCTCACTTGGTCCAGGACCATTAGCGCCGCTCATCTCGATGACCTGGATGACATCTTCGCCGTCGGTACCTTCGCTGAAGATATCTTGGAACGCGTCTGCGGCTATATAACTTTAGTAGGACATATGGAAGGGGAAGAAGCATGCAATACCTTCTTCGTTGACAAAGTAAATTTCGAATTCTCCGTGCTTTTTCATTTGGTGCTTCTTCCTGTATTTCTGGCAGAAGACGTAGGGATATATGTCTCTGAGCCAGATGCGATGTCGGCTTCGGCGCTCCAGCCAGTCGCAAGAGGCGGATTGGTATGTGACTGTTGTGTTTGCATGTCAGGTCTTGATATGAACAGAGGCTGGACTCGGTAATAGTAGACTTGAGATAGTAGAGGATATGTAGAGGAAAAAATGATCTACCGAAAGCTGTCCAAACAGGGCACTTTCTCAGTTCTCCGTTACGCACTGCTGCGTGGAGCCTTAAACCTTTACACCTCTCATCTTGGAGCACGGTGAGGATATGCTCGAAACCATCGTCGACGATTTTCCTAGGTAGATCTATTAGTGACAGGGTTGCTGGCAACAAGGGATGAGTTTGGTAGCATACCCTTGGTACAATCTTTTCTCGCCGGCGAGAACGACATCATCTGCACCCACGAATTCGGCGTTAGTACTACTCTTCCCAGGGTAGTAGAATGCTCTAGGAAGACCAAAACATTCATGACTTGATGGCAGAACATGTGGGCTTACCTGGCATGACGTTTAGTGTAAGTGGGCAACGTGACTTTAAAGCGCCGAAGGCGCAGTGAAAAAGCACCATTTCTGGACAGAACGTTAGTCCAGCTGCTCTCAGTCGTCTTGCATCTAAGCACTCACTCTCCCATGTCTTGAAGAACAACGCCAGCCACAAAGTAGGATGCATCTTGTTGGTACTCCATCTTCGGAACTGCAATGAGGAGCCCTTTCGTCTCACGCACAACTCATGGACTCCATAGCAGGAATATAATGGGTTGTAGTATTTGTCCATCCATCGGCATAGGAGCCTTGTCAGGTTTTGCCCTTCGGGTTGGAGATATAAGGTAACCGATACTCTATTCTTGTCAAAAGGTCTTGCCGAGTCAGTAAGGCTCCTAATTTGTGTGGCCCGTCTAGCTGTAGAAATGCCCAAGATTTCCAGGCAAATCACATTCCTTGAAGCGCGTATTTCAAGATCTGCAAATGCCACAGCAAGGCTGAAATAACGTGTGGTGTACTATATTGGACAAGGGACCCACTTACAATTTGAAGAGCACATTGGAGCCGGGCGTAATGCCTAACTTGACATCTACCATTGGTGGGCCAAAGCATTTCGAGCTGCAACCGAGTCAGTCCAAACTATTGACCAATCTCATAGCTTATGAGACAAGGCTGAAATGATCGCCATGAGGAGCGACATGACTCACTCTCGTCTGTGTCGTAAGGGTGTCGTCGAGTGAGGCTGGTCGTCAAAGATCTTTTCTGCCCAATGGCGCCGCTGCGTCTATTTCGTAAGGCTGGGAACCGGCTTGTAAGGGGTTAAAAGCAAGCATCATTGCATACCTCGAGATCTGCCTGTGTTGGTTGCACAGGCGCATGGTTTGGTAGCAGCGCTTGGCCTGGCGGCGCTGCGAAAACAAATGGGATGAGCGAGTGGTCCATGTAACCTGGTACATTCTCCATTGCCCCTAAAAAGTCACGAGTTGTGCATACCTGGGATTTTTTGCAAGACTCGCAGGCGCATATGTCTCATACGCAACAGCTCCAACGTCGTCGGATCGTATAAAGGCGATCTGCTGACGCCTGTCAGATCAACCCAATCAGAGAGAGTATGTTCGCCGCTTACCGGCTCAAAAGCCGAACCATCTGGACTAGAAATTCGACAAACATGACAAAGCGGGCAGCCAAAGTCATCCCTCCTTGCTCGCCCATGCGTTCGTACATCAGGACCCATTGTGATCTTGTTGAGATGGCATCGTTATCAACGTAGATCATCATCTGCTGCAAGGTCCTGCAAAAAGACGGAAGAATGACGTTCAAGTAGTACACGATCATGGGTACTCTGGACCGGTAGATGGGGAACAGGTCGTAGAGGTCTCGGAGGAGCCTGCTTGCAGACTCGATTTCCTTCAGGACGGCCGTGATATGTTCGAAGAACTCGAGTTCTAACGTGTTCCGAATCCGCAAAAGATGGGCAGCGACCTTGTCCGCTCGTTGAGCCTCCCGCCAGCAACCCAACAACTCCTCCATCCGTACTGCGCCGACATCAAGGTCAATGCGCCTTTGGCAGGTTCTTTGGTGGTTGATGCATCGTTGAGCATCGAGGGAGAGTTGTGGGAAGAAATCGCAAGGACAACCCCATCAACCTAGAATCAGACCAGCGGCTCTGCGAAGTAGGCTCTCGAAATTTAGTGATAGCACTCGTGGGGCACTCTGACGTGTCAGGGTAAGAATTTTGCAGCAGATTACTGCAATGGCAGACTCACTTGCCAATGCGAGGGTGCTTTCTATGCGACCCGGAAAGTCTGCATGTCACGGCGAGCCATAGGTTCAAGAGCCGTCCGCTCATGTGGAGACACGATGCAAAGCAGATGATGGTATGCGCACAACATGCACTTCATCGAGCAATGAGCGAATGGTTCAATTTTGTGTCCAAGATTGATTGTACAAGAACAATTGAGAGACCATGGGTGTCAACACACTTCAGACGTGGACTTCTCAAGAAACAGCTTGCTTCTGAGAGGGACACTTTTCTGAAACCATGCATCCTTCTCATACCAAGTCCAAATCATGGTCATCTCATGGCACAAAGATTCGGATACCGTGGGACATTCTTGCCACAATTCAATCTCAACGTGCAGAGTGCATCCAGAGGCCCCCGAATCCTCTCACGAGTTCTGCGGCAAAAACTTGCCTTAGTACTGCAGCCATGCAGATACCCTTCAATCAAAACAGAGGTAATTCAAGACACACTCTTGCGCGACGCACTCGACGTCCCTCAGTTGTGTGCTGTTGAATTTGGGGGCTGGAACAGTACAGGAAACAAAACGGAAGATCAAGTATTTGATGAAACGTTACTTCATTGAACCTTGACTCAATTGAGGTTCTCCAAGGTTAGGAAATGAAATGAAGGAATACTATTGAATGTTGTCTGGGACAGAGCAGCGCCACTACCTCGACGCGTTCCAGAAATGAGGCACCAAGGCCCAAAACAAACATATTCGTACACAAAAACGTCACCTGCTATCAAATTGTTATAGTTATTAGGCCAGATACAAATTGAATAACATTATATAGCTCACCCGGTCTCAATTCAGCAATGGTTGGCAGATCACGTTCAGGTGGGACATGATTGATGATGGCACAGTTGTTAGGAAAGCTAGAATACAGAGATGCATTGATACGCTGCTGAGTTGAATTGCAAGACAGATCCATGTCACTGTCTGCATATTAAAGTCGTGATAGCGCGTCAAAGCATCGGGACTAGATCATCGTCCATGATCCGAGAGTCCTCCATAAAATCATAGCAGCATCGATGGCAAAGATGGAAAAGCCACCCAAATACCCATTCCGGCATCAGCAACACCCCGGCCCAAGAACAAATGAAATCCCCCGAGAAGTCCAGGACAACATGTTCCATCAAGATGCAGAGCTAGCAGAAACTAGGACTGTGTACCGTCGGAACAGAGATCGGTGGTGGTGAGAAGCGATGAGAAGAATTTAAGAAGATTCCTCCTCCTCTGCGTCGGCCTGCGTCGAAGGTGTCGTCAGCATATGGCTGTTTGCTTAGTCGTCGTCCTGGTCTTCTTTACTCACGTTATAGCTCGCCTTCTCATCCTCGTATCGCTTCTTATCCTGAGCAGCCTTGGCCTCATACGGGGCGCGCTGCTTGTCATTGAGAGCCTTCCAGCGCTCGCCGAGAACCTTGCCGACTTGGCCTGTGGACGAGTGTGTTAGAAGATGATTCAATTGTAGGGACATGTGAGTATCGTACCGAAGGTGATACCAGGGTTCTCGTCACGGACGTTCTCTCTTTGCTCGTTGGCGAAGAACATGTAGGCAGAAAGACCACGCTTGGGGGCATTGGGATCTGGAACATGCGTCAGTATGGTGAAGGCAACGGCGACGGTCATGACGTCGAGCGGAGTGACAATGTGAACGCACCCTTCTTCTTCTTCTCGGTTCTGGCCTTGGTGGCACGCTTTGCGGTCTTCTCCTTAGGCATGATGATGGTAGGTGATGAGTCTGATGGAAATGATTTATGTCAGCGAAATCGCGTAAAGATTGCGACCGAGGATCTGTATCAGCGAAAGCAATTGAAGGTGGTGGTTGTGGACGGTGGTGGAGGAGGAAGAGCAAGTGGTGGTGAACGCGAGGCGGTTTTGTTTTGGTCGTTTGCGAAGGGAAAGGTGAATGGCTGCCACTCTCGGTCGCAAAGTCGATACCGACAGCAACATCGCGAAAGATGCAATTAAGGAACATGAAAACAGATTGGATGAGCTTACATTGTGATTTGAAGTTCGGGAGATTGAGAATTGAGTACGGGGGTGGACCTGTACAGCGAGCAGATGAAGTCAGCGGGCGGTGGTCAATCAACAGATCAACAAAGTTGAATCGCGACGGACGACGCGACGACAAGGTGATGCTATCGCTCAAAAGCAGTCGATGAGCAAATGAAAGCGCGAAAAGGGCACGCGTGCTGGTGGGAGCGGAACGAGAGGGAGCGAATCATATGATAGAAAGGACGGCGAAGCGAATCCGATAGATTTTGGGTGTACTCACTGTTGTAGTATGTGATTTTGCTTGCGTGCAGTCGTTCTCTGGAGGGAGAGTTGGCAGTGCTGAGATTTGAGTGAGAGGAGGGCACGGCGAAGGGTAGGTATTTTGGTGGGAGTCGGCCACCTCCCAAATCACACATCATTTTAGCGCAACCCTCAAGCGACTCCCCTCTTTCGCTGCCAAACACCCACCTCATTGGCCGCGGTTCCTTTCCTTGCTTCCTGCCAATGCTGCTGCTGCTGCCATGCTCGCTCGCTCCTTTCCTCCTTTCACCACTTTGCCCGCCTGCTGCTTGCTTGCTTGCGTGCTGGTCCCGGCCATTCCTGCATAATAAAGTAGTGTGATGGTTCCCAGAAGCCAGGGCATTGTTGAGCGTCTGAAAGCAGCTCTTCATTCACCAGTTGCCTTTAACTTCACGGAGTATCACCATTGCGTTGACTCATGTATTTTCTTTATCTCTCGTTCTACAATTTCCCCCAGCCATCTTCTTCTTCTTCCCCGATTGTCCGGCGCTGATGGGGACTTCCATGGTGGTGTGGAGGGTGTGTGCCAGGTTGGGCGCGACGCACTGCATCATCGCTCATTTCGCCGCCAAAACAGTTAGGCCGGCTACCGTGCATCACGCAGTGGACCATCAAACCCACCTAGAAACCACCAAAACACATCTTAAAGCCACGCTGCATCCATTGCAAACGTCAGTGACTTCTGAACTTGGACCGTTTGTTTATATCGAGGGCATTCAAACTTGATATCACGTGATGATGCAAGCTAGTTTAGCCGAGACTTCTCTTACCGAATAGGGGAAGGCGGTTTCAGACCTGGTCGTTTCATCCCAACTTGTCGGGTCTTTTCGTCCAAGGAGACTTGGGGATTCAGGGGAACTGAACATGAGCGAATGCCAGAACGGAGTGCAGTACTCGATCTTGTGGCTTGAAGTACGAATTTCCAGCTGTGAATGGGACATTTGAAAGGTGTCGGACGCTTTCCCTGTTCTCTGCCGAGATTGGCTCTCAGATCTCCTGCACACCATCGCCATGAGAATCGTCATCGAGTCGATGCTTCCTGGTCTGAGCGTCTGTATGGGCTGACGAAGATGTAAAGGGTACTCGTACAGGTGCAGAAGAAGAGCTAATAAATGATTTCTTTTTCTCTACTTCTCATCGTACGTCCTTAATAGCAGCAAAAGTCTGTCTAAGATGTTCTCGAACTTCACTCACTTGCATAAATGCAGACCGCTATTCCGCCACGTGATACAGGTAGCTTTGGCAAATGGACAATTTGCTCTCATCCATACAATCCATTTCAAGCCGATACGTTGAACTGCCTCCGGGATAAACAGAAACTTTCAGTCCCGCTCTAGTCTTTCTCGAACTGTCTCTAGTCTTTGTCAGTCCTCACTCAGTCCCTTTGTGTCTTCGTTCAATCCGTCTCCATTCTTATTTAGTCTTTTTCTATCTTCATTCAATGCCTCTCAAGCTTTACCTAGTCCCTCCTTGAATTACATTGATAAGTCGTCATGCTTGTGTTGACCACCTAGCCAGACTCGTCCACTATCATACACCCCCAGATAAAGACCACTACCCAGGGCAGTCCAAGCTGCTCTCAATGTCCCTCCTCTAAACAACCCTTTTACACCACTTTCAGCCAATACCTCTTTTGCGACTGTCAGTCCACTCTTCCTTGTAACCCCCTTCCTATTAGCAAGTTTCTCAATTGAATGCCCTTCTTTCCTTGCCCTTGCTATTTCCTTTTTTGCTTCCGCTTCTGAAGCTTCACCAGTAGCTGAAAGCATGATCCGAGTCTTCACTACATCCACTGGAGTGGTGATCACAGCAGCTAGGGATCCGGCACTCCCAGCACTGACTGCAGTCATTAACGCCGTCTCCATCAAGCTTCCGGTATACGTTCCACTCTTCTGGCGATACTGTTTTATGCTTTCTTTGAGATGTTCAAACATTGGAAACTGCATAGCGGTGAAAGGAAGGTTCCTAGCTGCCAACGCAGTATATCCTCTCCACAGTTGAGAAGGATGTTTGAATTGCTTCAAAGCCTGAATAGTGACAGATGGTTGGAATGCCGTTGATGTTTTCGAAGAAGATTCAGCCGGTCGACGTATCATCTGAGCATTTTGCTTCAGTACTTCGGCTGGGGTCAAGATGAAGCAAGATACGAGCTCTGCTGTAGCTGATGCCGCACTATGAATGAATGGCTGGGGGATCAATGGAGAGCCACCGTAAGTGGGATTGGCTTTCGAGAGTCCGGATTTTACAGCCTCATAGGTGGTAAAGAATGCTCCAGCTTTGCCAAGTCAGAGTTGTGTTCCAACTTTGAGGACAAGAACTTACATGAGGGTATAGTGATAAGGATCACACTTCCAACTCCTTGGTAAAGACCACGAAAGAGCAACTTCCGGTTAACTGCATTTTTTGATGCATCGTAGTAGATTTTCTTGTAGTCTGGACTTTGAAATCGAGTCTTTAAGGTATCTAAGGGATAAACTAGGAGGTCGACGGTGAAAGCTGCGAAGGCTCCAGCCTGTCAATGTCGGTCAGTGAAAGGTCATTTGATTCCAATGCCTTTCCATCGACAGCAAGAAGGAGGTTTGTTCGAATATAGGTACTCTGATGGCCAGGTTGAAAAAATTGGAAACGAGTTCTTGAGTTGGATTTGCTCGACCATGGACTTCCAGAAATGGTCGCTCCTTCACCAGCTGGCATGTACACCAAAATCGAAATTGAGTAAACTTACCAGGAGCACATCGGTATGAGTATTAGACATTTACACCATTGCGAAGAACGACTGGATTTTCATGTTACTTGAAGCACATTCAAACCGCATCGTCATCGAGAGCTTTATCGCACGCTAAGATACAATCCCTGTCTCGAGCTTCTCAACTCATCTCCACCTCGGTGCCTATTATAAACTCGAACATCGAAATCCCAACACTGCAGCAGTGAATTCTAGTCCTGTCACGGACATTAATAGTCTATCAATCATACTGGCGAACTTCCTTTGGAAAAAGTCCTCCCCGGCAGAGGCACCAAAACAAGCTCCTCGAGTCATTATGAGCCACCCCTCGCCTCCCCCTGCTTTAACACCACAATTCTGCTTCTCGACTGTCGCGTTAAGAGGTACTACCTGTCTAGCAGATATGTGAAGCACTAGCTTACCAAGTCTTCAGACTTTCTACGGATATCAAGAGGAGCAATCGACGACAGTATAACACAGAATCTCAATGCCCTCATAACACCCGCCTCCGCGGGCTTCGATCCTTCATCCACATCGATCCGAACCCCTAGACCGCCAAACTTGAGGCGAATATCTCAATCTTCATGTCATACTTTTAAGAACCAAGTTCTGTTTCCGTCATGGCAGGTTCGTTCCGATGTGCTGAATTATTGCGCCTCTGTTGCCACAAGTCCAGATCCAGACGACCCCGAGTCGGTATTACGGCAAGTAGAGAATGAGAGAGATAGAGAGCGATTAGTGGATGAGAGATTAGATCCATATTCGGCACGATTCTTTCCTAGAGAAGCCAGGACGGAGAAACTTGCTGCCATTATCAGACAGGAGAGAGGGGTAGAGAATATCATAAGGGCTCGGAGTTGGGGGTTAGTAACGGAGAGGTGTGGTGAAGACTGGAGAGATTGGGAAGAAGCTTTGAATGAGTGGAGGAAAAAGAGAGAGAGATGATGCATCGATACCGCTGTTGTATGATTATGATTTATGGGCGGACATTGGGAGGCGTTTAGCATGTATGGGAATAGTTCGAGACAGTCTCTGGCTATCTTATCACTGTTACAGTACTATATCTGTAGGATATACAAAGATTTCAACTCTAATACATGGAGAAGACGGCATCGACTGGTCTCTATGGGTACACTTGGCACATAGCACTTGGGTACCTAGGTGCGTAACCAAGGTACAGTGCTTCCAGGTTTGTCTAGTCAACCTGTTGACTTGACCTGATGGAAAATCCCGAGAAAAAGATTTTGGCAAAGGGTTTACATGGGAATACTCACCAGCTTCTATTACGCTTTGTAGCTTCCAAAGCTTCTTGGAAGAGGATCAGACTGTGAAATAAGCCAGAAAGTGTGTACACGCCACGTGACTTCAAACTGCTTGGGGAGATACTTCTAAGATATAATTTAGCATTGAGTAGTAGCTCAGAAAACTTTGATCTCCTTGCTCTTACGTTGTCTCTTTTTTCCGGGTTGAGAATACATTCGCAAGGAAACCCAATTTCATTCAAGATCGCGGGGCAAAATCTCTCGCTAGTCTCCGCACACAAAAAGTCCAACTCTGCGCGACGATCAAGCCGCAACGAACACGCGCTCCGCAGGAACGATCCAATTCTTGCACAGTTCTCCATATCCAACAAGCCATCAAGCCCAGCAATCTGCTGGCTTTCACTCAATATGGCGGACGCTATCTCGAAGGACATTCCTTTGAACTCGGTGCAGATTGAAGCACTGGTACGGATCTCTTGACCCATCTCGTAGTATTGAGGACTGATATGATGCACAGGTGGTTATGAAGATTGTGAAAGCATGCTCTGCAACTTTCCCAACAACGGCGACTGGTGCTCTGGTGGGCATGGATGTGAACGGCACACTCCAAGTCACCAACTCATTCCCATTCCCAACTGCAGATGTTGCAGCCTCCGATTCTCACCCCAACGATCATATGGCAGCCTCAAATATCGCAGCAGCAGCTCCTCGATCAAAGGCGAACGGGACATATCAGACTGAGATGATCAAATACCTGCGAGAGGTTAATGTGGACGCGAACGGTGTCGGATGGTACACGAGCGCGAATATGGGAAACTTCATCAATCTTGGTTTGATCGAGAACCAGTTCCACTACCAGAAGGAGAACAATGAGAAGACGATCGCTTTGGTACACGACGTCAGCAGAAGTTCGCAGGGTGCTTTGAGCCTGAGAGCCTTCAGATTGTCCCCGACCTTCATGGCTGCGTTCAAGGAGAACAAGTTCACCACTGAGATGTAAGATGTGCCGCAAGTTCAGATCAGGCACAGGCTAATATTTTCATCAGTATGCAAAAGTCGAAGCTCACGTATAAGGATATCTTGGTTGAATTGCCAATCATCGTCCACAACTCCCACCTTCTCACCTCCTTCCTCCACCAACTCCCTGCAGAATTACCAAAGAAGGATCTCGAATACCCTTCCAGCTTATCGGAGTTGACCGCAAACCCACCGCCGGTTCCTCTTTATCCAAACCTCGATGCCCTAGATCTCTCAATCGACCCGTTCCTCGAACGAACTTGCGATCAGCTTCTCGATAGCATAGAAACTCACTACACCGAACTCAACAACTTCCAGTACTTCCAAAGACAGCTTGCCCGTGAGCAAACCAAGGTTACGGCATGGAAAACAAAGCGTGCTGCAGAGAATGCTACTAGAGCTACACAAAAATTGGCCCCTCTGCCAGAAGATGAGTGGGAGAGACTTTTCAAGCTGCCAACCGAGCCAAGCAGGTTAGAAGGTATGCTGAACGCCAAGCAAGTCGAACAATATTCGAGACAAGTGGATGGATTTACTGCTAGCATCAGCGGGAAGATGTTTGCCGTGAAGAGCAATCTCCTGCCCGAGTCGTCATGAAGCTCTTGCAATTTCGAGCATGTTCTTCATTTCATGGGACTATGAATGGGATGGTGCATCTGGTTGGCGTTCATGGAGTATCATCCAAGTCTTCTGGCCTTCGCAATGACAGATAGACCATAGATATGCGCAATACCCATTGCCACATAGCTTGCCCGTGTCTAATAAAATTGTAAAGATATCTACTTTCCCCACGTCGTCTTTGTGGCTATTATTATAGTTCCGATGAGACATGTTTCTTTCTGGTTTGAATCACTACCCCAGAGACCTTGTTCGTCTGCAACTTGTGTGTATATTTCCGAAACAGGCATTTGAAGAGGTCTGATTGATCCTAAGATCCTGGGCCCAGTAGATATTCAAAGCTTTTGTATTTATTTCGTCGGACGACCAAGCCCGATAAGCTTTGGTTTGAGACTTTGCAATGCCCATGTGCTTATGAGTTTCTGCCTCAGCACCTCATTCGGCCCCTCTGCCCCTCGATTCGGTGAACACCAGGACCCTTGCGAGGACTTTTATGTGACAAGCTAGCCCCACTAGCGCCAATTTGAAAAGCCCCGCGCACCACGCCGCAAAATCAACCATCTTCTCTTTCATCTTCTTCCTCTTCTTCTTTTCCTCCACTCCTCCCTACTGCAAAAACCGAGTCCTTGTGATGTAAGTACAAGAATTACCTCCTTGACATCAAAGCAGGTTCATACCTACAGCAGCTAACTCTTATCGTTGATTCAGTCTTCACATCTCTTCCTTATTAAAATTTCCCTCACCGCAACGATATCAGACCCCACCATTATCATGTCTGCACCAGCATCCAAGTTCAAGGTCCGTGATTCAGAGGATACATCGATATTAAAATGCCTGAAGCTGATAAACATTCATACAGGTCGCAGACCTCAGTCTTGCAGCCTTTGGCCGCAAGGAGATCGAGCTCGCTGAGAATGAGATGCCAGGTTTGATGGCCACTCGTGCCAAATACGCCGACGATCAACCATTGAAGGGTGCTCGCATTGCTGGATGTCTTCACATGACCATTCAAACTGCTGTTCTTATCGAGACCTTGACATTCCTTGGTGCTGAAGTTACGTGGTCGTCGTGCAACATTTTCTGTAAGTTGAAACTAAGGCGATTTCCATCTCCTGACCCCATTCCACATTTGGCAATGAACCTTTACATCTGCGAGATGTTAAAACAAGCAAAAGCTAACATATACAAGCGACCCAGGATCACGCAGCTGCTGCAATCGCTGCTGCAGGTTAGTTATCACCGAATGTTCGGCACTTTTCGCACATTTATCTGACATGGTTTAGGTGTCCCTGTTTTTGCCTGGAAGGGTGAGACCGAAGAAGAGTATGAATGGTGCTTGGAGCAACAGCTTGTCGCTTTCAAGGGTGGCAAGAGCCTGAACTTGATCCTTGACGATGGTGGAGATCTTACTGCTCTCGTTCACAAGAAGTACCCCGAGATGCTCAAGGGCTGCTATGGTGTATCAGAAGAGACCACCACTGGTGTTCATCACTTGTACAGAATGTTGAAGGGCAAGGGTCTTCTCGTCCCAGCCATCAACGTCAACGACTCCGTCACCAAGTCGAAGTTCGACAACTTGTACGGTTGCCGCGAATCATTGGTCGATGGTATCAAGCGTGCTACCGATGTCATGATCGCTGGTAAGGTTGCCGTCGTTGCAGGTTACGGTGATGTCGGAAAAGGTTGTGCTATGGCTCTTCACGGAATGGGTGCTCGTGTCATTGTCACTGAGGTTGATCCCATCAACGCTCTTCAAGCTGCTGTCTCTGGTTACCAAGTCACCACCATGGAGAAGGCTGCTAGCCAAGGTCAAATTTTCGTTACCACCACTGGTTGCCGAGATATCTTGACTGGTGAGCACTTCGAGAAGATGCCCAACGATGCTATTGTCTGCAGTAAGTATAGTTCTGTCTCAAGTCCTTGCATCTGCCTAACCTCTCTTAGACATTGGACATTTCGATATTGAGATCGACGTTGCCTGGTTGAAGAAGAACGCTGCCAGCGTACAAAACATCAAGCCCCAAGTCGATCGTTTCCTCATGAAGAACGGCCGCCACATCATCCTGCTTGCTGAGGGACGTCTCGTTAATTTGGGATGTGCCACTGGTCACTCTTCATTCGTCATGTCTTGCTCATTCACCAACCAAGTTCTTGCACAAATCATGTTGTACAAGTGCGAGGATGCTGCTTTCGGCCAAAAGTATGTCGAGTTCGGCAAGACTCAAAAGCTTGAGGTCGGTGTCTACGTTCTGCCAAAGATCTTGGACGAGACTGTTGCCAAGCTTCACTTGGCTCATGTCAACGCCGAGCTCTCCAAATTGACCCCAGTCCAAGCAGATTACCTTGGTCTTGAGGTTGAGGGTCCATACAAGGCAGAAATGTAAGTACATTCCATATTTACACAGAGATACATCACTAACAGCTCCTCCAGGTACCGATACTAGATACCTCTCGCGTTTGCTTGCTACATTACGGAGTTCCTTCTTTTCATTTGTACAGGGGATTTTCAACACGACTAATGACGGCATGATATCTGGGGAAAAAAGCATTTTGTCCTTCAACGGCATATAAAGGTTTTCTCAGGGATAAAAAGCATTCAACAAATGGGGTTGAAATTTTACTTTCACAGCGAACGGCGTTTACTTGGCTCTTCAACCACGGTCAAGTAGAGCTTAGAGGTTGGTTGGTCTTTTGCGTGCGCAGATCAGAAAGATCGGAGAGAACAGTGCGCGTTCTTAGATATGAAAATACTAGTGCGTTTCCTGCTTTTGCGGGCTATCATGTTGTGTTCCACCGCTCGCTGTGTCGTTGTCTTGATGTATTGATGATCCGAGCTTTGTACCATATTCTTTTAACGAACCCCGTATATGAGCGAGTGCTACGAATGGATTTGATGCAACTGTCCCTCAATCTCAGCATATCAAGCCCATCACTATGTATTGGTCGCAAGGCTCGAGATTCCTTAATGCGTTTTCTAGAAAATGCTGAGCACCAGGTTAAACATAATGATGGGCGACTATGCAGACGAATTCATGAACAACATGGTAGATGGTATCATCATCCTTGGCAACCCTTACATCCGGAAGAGATGGAAAGTTCAGTTATAGTCCATGTCCTGAAAAAAAGTATCTGAGTAGATCTAGCCTTGTATCAAACTGCACCCTCAATTCATTTTTCACAGTCCCACACAGCCATTTTTCTTCCCCCAGATTTCCGACCTGTTTACTTTTGAACCAAATTCACGATAGTATCTCTTCAATGCTTTGTCATACTACTGCATTTGCCTCTTGAAGTCAGACATGCGCTCTGCCTCGACCGCTGCCTCAAAATCGAAATCCGATATCCCCATATAGATGCCGCTATCTTTTTTCGGTTCGCGAGCCGAGTCATGGGATTCTCCATCTGAGTCTGGAAAAATATCTTCCTCGGTATCTTCATTTTCAGAGCCGGAGCGAAAATTAGCACTAAAAACTGCCGGTTTCTGATCATTCGGGGACGTAAATGAGTGGGGGGTTTTTCTAGATGTTCTTGACGATGTTGCTCTGAATTTGTCTGCAACAGAACCTGCTATTGCAGGAGATCTGCGAAGGCTCGGTCTAGTTTTCTGAACAATATCCTTTGGTGGATTTGCACCTTGTCTCTTGCCTTCTTTTAGTTCTGAATTTCGTCTGCCGGATGAGCGACGAGTTTCGGACGGATATACCATCTTCGATCCCATGGATGTTGCTGGTGATCTTGCTAGACTTGTCCGCAATTTTCGGATATCTTCTTCGTAATCTTTCTCATAAGGCACATAATTAAAGCTCCTCTGTCTTCTTGATGGTGCTGAAATTGAAGATATGTTGACTGTGCACATCGCCATGAGGTTCGCAGACCTAGAAGTCCCAAGTAGAGTGATGGCTGAATCCTTTGGTAAATATGCCATCATCGAAACCGGAATAGATACAATCAATAATGTGGAGTCACTGGCGAAGCCCGCTTCGACTCTCACAGCATCGGCAGATACAGGAACTTGACGCAGCCATTCTGAGAATAGCTCGCATGAGAGATCAGCAGGCTTGACATCTTCAGTGAGACGTATGCTGAAAAGAAGCCTTGGGTATTCTGGCAATGGCGAAATGGAGCTTGCTGAAGTAGAGGCTGCGTCTTGACTGAAGGGGCTGTTGTCACCTAACGGAGTGGTTTCAGTCGAAGCTGACTTCTGCTTGGGCGGAGGTGCATCATTTGTTGGTGGGATATTTTCTGGCTCTCTAGAAGATAGAGTTGGCCCTGACGAGTCCTCTCCGTTGGAGGAAGTCTCAGGCTTCTTGGACAAGCAAATACTTCTGTGTAAACTTTGATTCTGGCTCAGAACAAGATGGATAGGAGCTTTCTTGAATTGAGAGTCCTCGATTCTCCAGCCTTGAACTTCTGTAAATATAGCATTGTAGAGATACCCAATGTTGAAATAAGGAAGCTGTGCCATCAGTCGAAGTTTGGCGATGAGTGCGTGTGTGAAAGAGAAAGGTCCAACCCCGTTGGCAGTAGCATTATAGGCACAAGCCGCAATAAGCTCAGTAACTCCATTACCTTCGTCGGTAGTACAGACTCCTGAAGCACAGCAGTCCAGAAGAATCAATACATCTGATCTTGACTCTTCGAGGGTGTTCTGAATGCCAGACCACTTAACGGTCGGACACCGTTCCTTCTTGCTATTTCGAAGACTTCGTAGTCCTAGTCAGCGTGGCACTTTCAGGGCGCAGAGTAGACTGACCTCGTCCAGGCAGGGGTACCATGGTTCGTCAGTCTGCCATGACCTGCATAGTAGACAATCTTCAGATGCTGTGGATCGCTCTTGCCAAGGAAAGTGAGTATTCTGGATTGGAGCTGATTGTGGCTGTCCTCTGACGGTATTTGCCATTCCTGCACTTCGTAATGGTAAATATCTATGAAGACAGCAGCTAGGTCCATTATCTCTAGCGACACTGGGAGTTTTGGATCTTCGTCTTCCCACGATAACAGGATGACTTCGACTTTCGAGTATCTCGATTTCTGATCGCCTGTGAAGACCGCATTCGCCGCTTGCTGCAGCTTCGATCCAAAATCCCTGTAATCCGATGTGATGATTCAGTCGATCGAGTTCGTGACTTGTGAGCACCGGGTGTCTTTGCTCAAAGTAGCCATCATCGAGTCTAGCAGTAGGGAAATTAGACGAAGTTGACCTGGATCTTCGCCTTTTGGGAAATGCCGCTTCGATTGGGGAGTCGCTCCCGTCATCTAAAGGACGCTTATCGCCAAAAGACACCATGTCTCATTACACAGACTGGATTGAGTTGAGAGTCTATGTTTTCGAGCATGTGAGCACATCTAGAAATTGGAACGAGATGAAAATTCTGCATCAGGAGGAGATTCAACAGCCTGATCTAAAATTAGATCGGTAAACCAAAAGGGATTGAAAAGCGCCACAAGAAGCGGGTAAGTAGAATATACGTAGACAATGGCAAAGAAGAAGGCTGGTAAGATATGGGACAGAGATGAGTATGTGAGCAGATATGATGTTGGAGGGGAAAGAGAAGGAGCGTTGTTGATGCAAGTTTCAAATCACGTGTACCTCCTGATGCAGCAAGGACTTTGGAAGAGCTCCTATCTAGGCAATTCCAGTACGCGTGTCACAAAGAGCTGCCTCTAAAACACAACTGTATACATGCCATTCGAACAATGAAGGAAAGTACGAGTATTAAATATATCAGTCTAAAAGTTGGCAAGAGATGCCTCCTATTCCAGACTCTATTCATTGTTCTAAAGTTTAGACATAATTGGATAAATAAACAATAACATACCAACTCACTCATTCTCCGTGTGTTTGGGTGTTTTCATGTTTTGATTGTTTTTTAAGAGCTAATGGGTAGGACATATGTTCGTCTTCTTTGTGGTTTGATTTTATATTCCAAGTCTTTTGGTGGGAAATCCGAATTTACTGTAAGTGAGGGTAAACAGTTCATTGGTATCTTCATGATATAAAAGCAAAGCCCAAGCTCGAGTCAAAAAAAAAATTATACCTTCACCTTCCCACTTCGCTGTCGCCATATAATATCACTGTCAAATGTCAACGAATCGAGATAACGCTCATCCAGTCAATCTCTCGCCACAGGTGTAAGCTTGACCATCAACGGCTTCCTACCCGACCAAAGCATATACCCCGTCTGCCCCTTCTCCCACCCAATACTCTCCTCCGAAATCTCCATATCGAAACCCCACACCAACCTCGCAAGCACAACCCTCATCTCCAGATACGCCAGATTCCTCCCCAAACAATTCCTCGGCCCGACGTTGAAAGGCTGCAGTACTTTCTTCTTGTCGTCATTAAATTCCGGCGCTCCGAGCCAGCGTTCTGGGATGAATTCGTATGGACGGATGAAGTTGCTTGAATTATGGAAGGCAGCCCAGTGGTTGATGGCCACGGAAGTCTCGCCTGGTACCCATTTTCCGGCGATCATGCCTCCTTCGGGTGGTGTGATGCGAGTTGTGTTGCCTGAGACTGGAGGGTAGATTCGAAGTGTTTCGTTCAGAACAGCTAGCATGTACTCCAGAGAGTTTACGCTCACTGCAGTGATTTCTGACTCATCCTTGAATGCACTTCGAATTTCTTTGGTGAGCTTGGTGAGCACCTTTGGATAGGTCGATAGGTAGTATGTCACACCGGCAAGTGTACTGGCGGTAGTATCTGACCCAGCAACGAGAAGGACTCCAGCCGTTTCTTGCATCTCTCTGAATGAGATGCCATCAGGTTGATCAATAACTTCTTGGACATTGCCAATACTGCACACTGTAAGACTTCCGAACTGAAGCAAAAACTCTGTGAGAACTTACAAGTCTGGACGTTGTCCCAACGTGAGACGATGACGCATTTTGCCCTCTGTGAGGCTTCGAAACTTCTGCTCTTCTCTTCTCATCATCGGTATTAGCGATGTGAGGACAGAAAGAGTCGGCGGGTATTTGGACAGCATCCCTAAGATGGTCGCCGCAGGAGCAGCTACGCGGAGTGTATCAAGCCAAATCTACTTTGTGAGCTGTTATCCACTGCTTGACAGTGGAAACTCACATTCGCTTTCGAACTCTCGAGACAACCGAAGGACTCTCCAAATGTCAAGTCTCCAATGATGTCGAAAGTCATGAATTCATACCATTGAGAGATATCAAATGGCTTCCCGGACTTCTCACGAAATCTGCTCATAAGCAAGTCAAAGTGCTTGTTCAACAATGGTTCTTGATCTCTCAAAGCCTTGTCCGAGAACCCAGGAGCAAGATTCCGTCTGTTAAAAGAGTAAGCACTTGAACCAACACCACAGCTGTGAATGTTCTTACCTCAACCGAGCATGAATTTCATCATTAGGCTCGACTAGAATTCCCTTCGGCCCATCAGGAGCCGTAACAAAAACGGACGGATCCTTTCTCAACTGCGTATTTCTCGGTTGAGGCTTTCCGTAGATATCTAGCCAGGCCTCCTCTTGGATAAAGACCAGTTCATCAGGAGCAATACGAACGATGGGACCATAACGCTCATGAAATTCAGCAATCTTGAACGGGAGACGGCCGGTGACGAGATAGAAGGCGTGAGGGATGCGGGAGAACGACCAGAAGAAGGGACCTGGGTATTTGGAGAGAGGGTTGAAGTAAGTGCGTGAAGCAATTAGCCATGCCAGGTAGGCAATGAGCTGTGCAATGATCAGTATGAGGAGATATATAAGATTTGAAGCGATGGACGCCTGAAAGAACAATCTGACAAGAACCACGAACGATACTTGGGACACCATGACTCAAATTAAGGCAACTCAGAAGGACTCACCCCCAGACCAACATTCACCACCCAGCCATAGTCATCCAATCCAGCTATCGTGAAAATCGCCATCGTGAAGTTCTACCCCACACCAAATCCTTCAAGATTCAGCCCCGTGGAATCAGGATGGCTAGGAATTGTAAACGAACAATCAAATCAAATGAACGGCGAGAGGTTCACCCTCCGTAGTACAAGTGGAATGAGGAAGAACGACGTCAAGTTGCACATTCCAGCTCGCAATGCTACCTGATTAGTGTGTGTTCCGCCACAAAAGGCAAGAGCCAATGGCCAGCTTCTCGCGACATGCATGTTTCAGATTCTGCTTGTACTCAATTCCATGATACATGTCCATCTTCGACCGTCACAAAACACTTGTGCTGTAGCCAAACGCCAAACGGTTTTATTCGCAATAAGAACCTCGGAAGTAGACACCTGCAGGTTGTTTCCAACACATCACGTGCAAACATCTCACTTCCATTGCATTGCACCAGCAATCCAAACTCGGGTAGGTAAGTATCAATCATAAATCATCATAAAAATCCCCTCCCCTCCATCACTATCCTACACACTCACAAGGACCGGCATATACAAACAAGAGCCCCCTTTTCCCCCTCCACCACCAGTCGCAACAAGCCAACCCCCCATAAACCCCACCAAAATTCCCACCAGGATCCCCGCCCCCAGAACCGCCGCCGTAAGACTCTCGCTCACCTCCCTCTGCAACCAATGCTGTCTAAACCTCAGCTTACCTAGGCGCATATAACACATATCGTCGAAGATCTCGATTTTCTGTTCTTTGACAGCGGAGATTTGGTCCGTGGTGAGCGATGTGTGTTTTGAGAGGGCGAATTTGGCTTCGTGGCCACGGGCGAGGAGGGTTTTGGAGGGGGGAGTCTTGGAGATACTTATTGGCTAGGAAGATGTGTAGGTTAGCTGTCCGTTTCCTATGGTTCGAATATCTGGTAAAGGAAGCAGGAGGGAGGAAGGGAGGACTCACAGCAAAGTCAAACTAACATCCCCCTGAATTCGCGCTTTCAACTCGAGCTCAACGTCGAGATTCAACCCGAGTTGTAATCTCACCGGTTTCGTTTCCGCTAATCTGGGGATGACGGTTGGGCCGGTGGCAGCGAGGGGTTGGCCTAGTGCGCTCTTGTTCTTTCTTCTTCTGCGTCTGCGGCCAGAGGAATTTGAGCCGGCGTTGGATGAGATGTCTGAGTCGTCTAGTTGGCGTCTGAGGTCATTGAGAATGGAGTCTTTGGAGGGGCCGGCGCCGTTGGTGGAAGGGAATGGGGGAGTTGGGGCGGCGGTTTTGGTGTTTGTGGTGTTGGAGGCCATGATTAGGTAGTTGAAGTAGAAGTTGGAGACGGTGTAGGTTTGGACGTATTGGTGCTTGGTGTAGGTGTAGGCGAGTCTGAATTCTCGAGGTTGAGAGGCGGGTGGTGGTGGTGGGAGTTTCTGGGATGGCGGAGTACGTTTGAGTGGTTTTGGGACAAACGCTTGTTCACTGTTTCGAACGCAAGTTGGTTTTGGGAACTGAGGTGAGGCTGGGAAATAGGCAGGACGAATGTATCGGGGTAGAGGAGCAGGTTCTTGATGTTCTGGAGCTGTAGGATAGAGGGGTGGAAGGTAGCGAGTAGGTGGGGGTAATTGAAGATCTGGGGTTGGTGGATCTTCTTCGTCGTCAAGATCTTGATCTTCAGACTTTTCTGTATAGGGAGGAAGATCTCTATCACTGGATCTGAATGAGCGGCTCTCCCTTTTGCGACTAGTAAAACAGCAAGAGAGGAATCGAAGAATATTTAGGCCTGATCAATGTAACTGGGAGTAGTTGGGCCGGCCAGCTGAGGAATCTCGGTAGCTTTCTTTTTGCAGTGATGCAGTTGAAGAGATGAGACGAAGACAGATGGGTACCTCGATATATACTTATCAAAGAGTACTGGAGTTGTGGTAGGGGTGAAGACACGTGATTGATATGAAACATATTTATGAGCAGACATGCATCGTACGAGATCGTAACGAGAAGCATACGATTCTCAAGCTTTTGAAACACCCTGGAATCCCCACACTGCCGCTGCAACAGAATATCAAACGGTAAGGTCCCCGAATGTGCATGCAGGGACCATTTCGTGAAGCTTACTTCGTCTGCACTGAACACCAGTGGGTATTTTCCTCGTGTTCACGGGGCAATCTGTAGCAAAACAGCAACGAGCAGCCTTGTAATCGACTGATTTTCGCCATGCCCCCCGACCACGACTCGTAGAGAAGAACACATTTGCACTCGCTTGGAGTGCTTTGATACTTCTGGCACTGGCCTAAACGCTTTCTCGATCCCTTTGACAGTTCTATCAGGTCACTAATGATCCGTTCGCGCGAGAGTCTGACGGGTGGGCTCGATGCACCTGCGACTGGTGAGTTTATGCTGAATTCTGATTTATTTCTTTGGTGGTGGGAATTAGGAACCACGATATGCGCAATTGCAATAGGCATTTCTAAGCCTCAAAGATCCTCCATAACCGCTGAACGCCATAATCATAAGACATGTTTCAATGCTAGGAGATTTATGTAGTCAGCAAATCCTTCACGCTCATCCCTCTTCCACTGATGCTGCCTTGAGTTCCTCGTCGATCAGAGTTCAACATGAGGAGAGCAGCAGTGGCTTCTTGATCCATGTCCCGTTGTGGCAAAAGAGCAGGACTTGTCAGCGCAGAACCCGCTGAGGCAGCACTTCGAGCATATTCGTACGCCGCAGGACCAAGTGCGGGTGAGGTTGTGGAAGATGCGCTGAAGCTGTAATGTCGCTGATCTGTGGAGACAGACGAGTATGAGTCTTGTCGATTTCTCGAATCTTGAGGAGCTGGAGACTCGGAAGGGCGATTCGAGTGTGCAACTGGTGTGGAATATGTGGGAGAAGCTTGTTCCGACCCGCCCATCTCAACATCTTCTTGCTCGTCGTAAGATTGGTACTGTCTTGGAGTGTTACCATATGACCCTCGACTCGCTGGTGGAGGCAGCTGGAATTGTTGTTCTGTGGTTGGCGTCGCATTACTTCGATTATTCTCAGCCTTCAGTTTCGCAACACAATCCTCAAGATATCGAACATAGTCAATGGACGCCTGAGTGGTCAGTTTTGGTCATGGCGGGGTAGTGGTGGACCTCACCTGTAAAATGGCCAGCTTATGCATCTCTCCAGTACACGCTGGTATCATATCTTTCAACACTCCGAACTCCTCATTCATCTTGGATCGTCGCCTCCGCTCAATCAGACTATGTGCCGTCTTTCGAGCGATCTTCCGCCCCGCTACGCTTGTCGAGGACGGCTGCTTCTTCTTCGGCGTAGAGGCCGCAGATTTCCCTACTGGTGCCTTCGCCGTATCATTCAATGTCTCTGCGACTTCTTCAGGTTGACCACGAGGCTTCATCTGGATGATCTTTCGGGATCTCGTTGGAGGTGGGGGTAGTGCAAAGGCGTCTTTGGTGGGTGTTTGGGCAGCAGACGATCTTCTACGGATCTTGACTACCTCACTGGCAGGAATAGCAGGAGATCTGGGCGAAGTGGGGTGATATGAGGAAGCAGACGAGGACTTTACTGAGGAGGCACTGGACGGTTGAGATTCCATGCCGGCTACCGCAGGAGGAGGAAGCTCGAAAGACATCTGCAGAGAAGTGAATTGTGATCCATCCTTACTCTTAATCTCGGTCGAGGAGGCCGGCGTAGGAGGTTGCTCTGGTCGAGGCATTGTATTTATATATGATATCCGGCTTCTGTTTCGAAGTGCAGGTCTCGTGCGCTTCTGGCGGTAGTATATTCCGGTAGGACGAGAAGCAGATCTCTCGAGGCAGTTAAGCCACAATGGATGCTTGCTGGGTGATCGGGAAAGATACAAAGTGAAGCTTGATATGACCCTCTGTGCCTGTATGTGTTTCCACGATGAAGCAGAAAAAGAAAAAAGGGCGACCGCAAGGTCAAAGAAGTCGCTCACTACTTACCGCGCATGGTGGGCACTCGGGTTGTATGAGACTTGCGTCGTCGTAGAGTCGAAAAAGTCTCCCACTATCAACAGGCTGCGGTCGAGGACGGTAACTGCTGTCGCGTGCTCTCTAAAGTCTATGGGATTGGTCGAATTGGAGAGCAGACGGCAGGGGCCAATCATGTGCGAGCAGAGAGGAACGTGTTGTCTCCAAACCTTAAAGGTTAAATCTCCACGGGCCGCCAGATAATCCGTGCCACATCTCACCTCCCGGAAACACCATGTGCGTGCGTTCTGATCGAGTGTGGAGGAGGCGAAAAAGACGAAAAGACGGCGTATCTGATATGGGACTGCCGAAATGGCTGGCTCGTGTTTTCCATGCCAACCGAATCTAGTCCCTTTCCCGGGAATAGCCAATCACCGTCTCCGATTGCTCCAGCCGTGAGAAGGGATTATTGCAAGTGAGCTTCTCGCCAAGTTGAAACATGAGCCCACCATTGGTACATTGTAAAGGGTGTGGCGGATTATTTATGGAGTGCTGGTACATCGTGTGGGATATGGACAGTGAATGTCTTCATCCACGCTCATCATTGGCGAAATCGACTTTGATGCCAGACAGCAGATGCGCTTAGCGAGTAAGTCATGAGCAATTGCTTCATGTGTCCAGACTCTCATGTAAGCCGCTAAGCCTCTTACTCCGTGTCTCTTGCATCATGTACTTCCTGTCTCCTCGGATCATGTCGGACCGACTCCAGATCATGTTGCCGCTTCATCTCACCCCCCCTTTTTTGTTCGCTTAATTGGCGCCCTGTGGGTTCGAATCTTGCTTCCAGTCCTCAACGACGAACACCTGCGAGGCTGAGCATCCCCCAACAGACCGTGACACACCGAATAATGTTAGACCTTTGATTGCCTTGTTGATTTATCAGACGGTGGTAATGTGACCGTTACTTTGAAGTACCCTTACTCAAAGTCGATAAGGAAATATGGTCAGAAGAAAGTATTGAGACATTTTGATCGCAACTTCAATTGCAAACTTATTTTTGAGTTCTTTGTCAAATTAAGTACTTGTCAAATATTTGCTGTTGACATGTATGCGCACAGTAGATAACGAATGCGCTCTTTATTTTCGCTTTCTCCTCTGCTGTCCTCGCTTAAAAAAGGAGATGTAAATTACTCCACTATTGTACCTCAGAATCTTACCATCTACGTACATATCCATATGGAAAGCTCCATTCGGAAACAGTATATATACATAAAATGCCTCCCCTTTACTCTACCTAGATAAGTCTTTTACTTTCTTGGAATCACTAACAGTAGCCAGATTTTGTTAGTCGTAATAGGTAGCCGAGCGTAAGGCTACGTACTAAGTAGTAAAAAGTGAAGCCTTCTTCATTCATGCTTAAGCATGAGTGAGTCCTTCGTGTTTCAGCCATTCATAGTGTTCCTCGGGGTTTTAATCCCTTACGACAGTGATGAGGTGGCTTTCGAAACCGCTTGCAGTAATTTTTTGTACCAAGGATATATAAACGCTGCAGTAATTAATTTCCTAGTCTTGGTGAAGTCGTAGTAATTGGTCTAAGTAGAATTTGCATTTTATGTGAGCATGATCGGGAAAAGAAGGACTGTGCTCCTCTGACAGGAGTGTTGGCGATCAAGTATGAAGTACCTTGCGAGATGATATCCTGCTCCGCTCCTGCGTCTAGTGTGTGTTGGTGGTCAGGTATGGAATACCTTGCAAGAGGATATCCTGCTCTGCTCCTGCCACCTAAGAGAAAATGCGGTAATATACACGCAAGTGACCAGTTTATGCTACATCTACCAACCTTCACCGAGAAGCCGCAGACGAGACAGTCGACGTGCCACCATCCTCCATCCTCGGCACCATCCCCCTATGGTGACCATTTCCATGCTGAATCCAAATCGTCATCGCCGGCTCAGGCCGAGAATTCAGAATCAAAACTGGCTCCGCACCAGGTCGCCAGATACCGAGTTGGACGCACTGGCCATTAGCCTCACCCCAAAGCATCAACGTAGCGGCGAGCTGTCGATATTCAGACGAAGGATCCTCCGCGTGCTCGCTGGGACACAGGCCGGCGGGGACATCGAGTGTAGTGTGACCGTGGGGGAAGTTTATTGCGTATTGTGCTCTTGCTAGAGCTGCGTTGGGCGATGGAGGGGGAGGATGAGGATTGGTTGTAGAGGTTGATAGTGACATTATCTAGAGGTGGAATTAGTACTCGCTTAACGCACTTCAGACCAAACCCCACAGCCTTGTATAGATCCAAATAAGCAAAAGTCTTCCAATTAAGTCCGGAAAACCCAAGGTTATCTAATATATTGTTAGCTCAGTTGACAGATTTCCAGATGGACTTATAGCTTCTCTAAAACTAGCACTGGCTGCTAGTTTGGAAGAGCCGTCGATCGAGATCGACGGCTCTGAGTTTTGATTTTTCGATAAAAGCCCTCGCTCGCTAAACAAAGTACGAGGTCGTACTCAAGGTAGAGGAAGAATCCTCGAGGCTCGCTGGATTCAAAGGCACTGAAAAGCGCGCGAAGATGGGCAGTAGGTTCGTCGCGGGACGCCCAGTTTGCATCGAAGAGTGGAGCGAGTCGGAAAAGAGATAATAGGAACTCACCTTCAGAGTTTGATTACGGATTGAGCAAGGTGACTTCGATAGGTTGGATGAGGTTGGGGAAGAGGTAGAAGCAGTCGGCGTATGGGAGTCAAGAGTGTTCTGTTGAGTGGGCCTGTATTCGGGTCGCCAGGTCGGGTTGAAGAAGAGAAAGTTGAGTTGAGCAAGCTCGCACTTATGTAGAATCTAGAGAAGAGACAATAACGAGATCACACCATAATAGGCGAGCGCCAGTGTATGAATCATACGCGCGAGTTTCCAGGCCGCTCCTCTAGGGAAAACTGCAGGCCTCAGGAAGGAAGCATGAAAGGTAAATGAATTTGGCTTGCCTTACTTCCGACTAGATCCTGAATGCTGCAAATGTAGGTCAAAGGGCCACTGAAACATCAATTGCCCTCAGGCCGCAGCTTGCTTGAAGTGCAGTCTCAAAAATTTAAGCTATTGCAAAGAAAGAGAGCAGTCCAGAAGTATCTTTCATGGTGAAGCACCATGGACGGAATAGACGATGACAACGGAGCGGTTCCTGGTGGTCGAATGCTTCGCGGCATTCCTTGCGCCCTTTCAGTTCTTATTCCTAGTTAACCAAAGAGTATATTCTTAGCTTATATGGTAATCAACTGATCATAACATTCCTTCAGAGGCTCGACAACCTTTTCAACCATGTCTTCCCTCCACTTCTCGCTAGCTCCCCCATCAAGGCAGCTCTCCAATCTATAATGCAGGCACCATTCGACAGCATCAGAATAGCCGAGACCCGTCTCCCCCACCACATCCTGGGCCCATTTTGACGCAATGCCGTACAGAAGTGCTTGCTTAATCCGCTCGTCCTCAATTTCAATCCCAGCGCAGAGTTCATGATCTTCGATGGTTTTCCCAAAACATAGCTCAAGGAGCATGATTCCGAGATTATGTATGCTTTCTTGGAATGTCCTATCGGGCTGAGACAATGGTGTTGAAGTGGCATCATTTGTGAGAGTTCCGGTGACAGGACGAGATACGTATGGTTTATCCATATGTATTTTACTCTTGTCGTTGGCGTCACAAACGAACAGGATGTCATTCTTTGACCAGCTCGAGTGAAGCTATGGTGTAGGGTGTAGCCTTTTGCTGATTAGTATCAGAGTTAAATTGATGTGCTTAATTAGGAACTCACTGTGTGAAAGAAGATACGAGTATGAGGGCAATGTTATAGCGCTGCGCTCTTGTAGGTTTCGTCGACCCCTTGAGAAGTTCGTTCAATGAGATATGTACTTGGGGCTGCTTGCTAGCTTTGAAGAGAGGCTTGACAGAGTATTCAAGGGCCTCTTCTTTCAGGTACCCAAAGCTAGAGAGGTCTTCGGAAGTTGCAATCTTGGAGCAAAGATTGGCAATCATGGAGTGATCTGCTTGCTCGGTTGTAGCTACATCATCGGTGACGAGAGTCAGGCCAATTGGGGTATTTTCTGTCACGATAACCGTGGTTGAAGACGAAGACGAGGACGCAGCCATGCATGTCGGACTGAATGGACTGGAAGAAGTCGTAAGTCCTGCATGATGTCCACTACTTCCAGCAACATCTGTGCTCCTGGACCAGCGCAACTTTTTCATGAGAAATGCTCGATCTAGCTTTGATATTCTTTGAGTGGAAGTTGTCTGTTGATGTCAGAAAAAAGTCTTTGAAACGTAAATAGCAACTCATGTTATGGTGGAGTGCTCACAGTAGCAGAGGCTGGAGAATTAGATGCGGAGGAAGCATTTAGCTTTTGAAAGGATCCCACACTAGTCGTTGACGGAGTCGCTTGGCTCGAAACCTATGAATAATCAGTTGAACATGCCTGACAGCATAAAGTGAAGGGGCACCAGCGGTTAGGCTTACAGGAGATTCAAGCAAATTGATATCTGTCTCTTGCCAGAACCAAGGTGGAGATTGGATGTGTGAGCAAATGCCCAGATCTGACATAAACCAAAAAACAACTCGAAAGTTGATCGATGAGGTATGTCGATGCTGAAGCAACAAATTGGCTTGATGGAAGGACTAGCATTGGCATGACCATGCCTTCATGAGGAGCTTGAAGACGATGTTGCCATGGTGCCATATTTTTTTGAGACAGTGAAGACCTTCCCTTGAGGGATTTGTGACATTTCCTTATAGTCGCGAGTCGATCCGAACTCCCAAGTATGTCTCGAAGCCGAGCGTTGTAACATCCAAAATCCTCGAAAAGTTGATTCAAAACAGTCTTGCTGAAGGCGATCTTGATAACTTGTCCATGAAATCCCAATGAAGATGAGACGTGTGCCACTAATCCAGGGGACTTTTGCTGAAGTGATTGGTTAGTATTATCCTCAACTTAGTCCATGATCATGTTCCAAATGTTGCAACATACTCGCTTGTTCTAAATCCGTGCTTGAAAATCAAGCTTGTTGATCCCCAAAGCTGGATCGAGTTTTTCTACAGTCTTTGCCATCATCTTGATCGTGTCAAGGTAGACCGAATATGTTTTCGGCATTCGTTTTTGAAGTATCTTTTCAAGCTCGGTGTCATCCCATTCATGACCACCTGGATTTTGCAGGAGTCTTTGCAGCTTCTCCTCGTCTGCGATCAATGGAAGCAGTAATTCCTCTAGATTCTCTTCAAAGACTATTTGATGATACTTTATGTTGCGCATGCATTTTTTGTATTCGGTCTTGATGTTCCACCAACCTAACAAGATTATGTATATCAGCCCCTTGCATTGATGTATTCTCCGGACAGTGTTGAAATACCTTCCAGAACTTCTGCCGTCTCACGATAGTGTTCCAAGGCCGATATCAGCAGTGGAAAAGCTGCTAGCACAAAGCCAGCGATTTCTTAGATATTGTCAGTCCCGTCAATTCAATTCAGATCGAATTTGATGAAGAAAGGTGTCGTGGATTTGCTCAGCCTCATGTTTCAAGGAGAGCACATTGAACCACAGCTGGGCATGGCAAGGAGTTACTTACCGACGCCGCTCATGGTACCAATTTTTATCTCCACGAAGCTGTTGTTCCATAGAGCCTAGAAGAGATGGATTGGGTACGAAAGAGAAGAATCCAGAGGTCGCACAATGTCGTCGGCAGTACCCACGTGACAAGCACAGAAAGGCGATAGTGGCTTGCTACAGCCTCGTCTGAAAATCTTCATTCATATGATATACTCTTAGGCTCAGGAAGTGTCATTCATACTGAAGGCTGTGAAGCTATAATTTCTCTAAGCTGCCCTACAAGCAGTCCATATCAAGGTCCTCACCATGCCTTCCATAGCGCAGAATGCGACGAGAGCTGCCGGTTTGTTCCAAGAGATTTTGGTAGCACCCCACCAGGGTGAAGCGCCAAAGAAGGATATTCAAGATCTTTCAGAGTCCAAAATATCTGATATACTTGAGAGATATCAAATCTGGGCAGCCAGCGTAGGTGCCTATGTCGAGAACAACAACTCCTTGGAATACCGACTCCGAAACGCTCCGAAGGTAGAAGCTCAGATCGTCGAGCTGCTCAGTGATATCTCTGAGTCGTTGGAAGATGGTATTTATCGATTAACTCTTGGAGTGTAAAATCTGACATGATATGTAGCGTGTCAAATTATAACAAGTGCAAAAGAAAACCACACAGCATCCAAATTGAGAAGGACAGAGTCTTCGGATGACAACCTGAATAGCATAAGTATCGATCCGAATATCGATACTAGTGTTCTAGAACAGGGAGATTCGGAGATTCGCGAAATATTTGAATCCATGGAAGACGCCTTAGAGCACCTCTTTCGTCTTTGCAACATCATTCGAGATATCTCCAAACGAGACAATTCTTCTCAAGTAACGGATATCGTGGCTTCACCACATGAAGAACAACTGGATAGGGATCATGTCATGGACATGTTTCCAAAACTGGAGTTCCATGGAAGACTTGGTTGATCCATAGACTTGGTAGATCTGTAGCATTCCATCGCCTGCTGGGCAAATATATCCAGGAGAATCAAATCGAGATTGTGCGAGACGGTGCCCGAATAGAAACACCACTACCCTCGAGTGCACTCACCCCACTTGATGTCTCGTCCTCTTTATCTTGGAGATCCTTTACACAAGGGATACAAGGAAGTCAGTCTCAGCTGTTATCCGGAAATAGTGTACCAGAAAGTGGTCATTGCAGGTCAGTATAAGGAACAACTACTCATCTATATCTGAGTTGACGAAGTCCGTAGCATGGAGTATCTCAAAGTCCGAAGCCATACATCTGTATATTTGAGAGCTGTGATTTAAAGATGTTCTCTGATCGAGATGAATTGCTTATTCACGAGCTTGGACACTACCAAAACTGGCAGTGCTACTTCTGCGAAGAAAATCGCAATTTCCAACAGCATGAGGAATATCAAATTCACTTGGAGTCGACACACCCACAAACCCTCGCAATCTCAGAGCTCTCAGCAATCCTAGAATTAAGCCAGCATACTATCGATGACCTGGACACCGCCGACTGTCCGTTCTGTGATGATTGGGAGTAGCAACTGCCAGCTATGAAGCACGATAACACAATGGGCTTCAGTGTTGGACTAGCTGAATTCCAGCAGCATGTGAGCGACCACATGGAGCAATTGGCCCTCTCTGCTTTTTCTAGCTCCCACACTAGAACATCCGGTGACTTTGATAATGTCGCCGCTATAGTTGACTCGAAACGTGCTTCTCTGGTACAGGAGTCACCAGGCACTTCGGGGGAAGCTACAGTCTTATATTTGGCCCAATCAGAATCCGTGGAGCATAAAGATAGCCATTTCGACGTTCCAGCTCCTTCAATGCCAATAACGTCTGATCGCGCTGCCCGAGATATTTTCCTCCAACAAGCGCGAAAGGGAGACGAACACATTGAGCAAAGGAGTCAGCACAACAAAGTTCGAAGAAGCACCGAAGATATCCTACTCGACAAAGGGAAGAGAATTGAGAACGAAACTCTACAGACGAGAAAACCCGTCGCTTCATCAAAAAGTAACAAAGCTGTATCTGGGATGAGCTCTAGAGCTATGGTTGTTCCAGCCACAGTCAGAAGCAAAATAACCGTGGTGAACGGCACGTTCGAACTAGACAGCAATTACACGCTTAGTGCAGTCGACGAGGACTTGCAAGTTTGCCTTGCTCTTCTAGCAAGCGTAGAACAAGATCTCCTGTCCGCAAAACGACAGCTCTGGAGCCGGAGAACCAATCAACAAACCCAAATTTCTACTATAGATCTCGAGTATCTCGAGCGGTGTATCGAAAGGTCAGATCAAGCAGCACTTTATCTAGGCAAGCTTATTCGAGGCTACGGTACTAGCAGTACTGATCGTGGAATTTCAACTCCAAGTCGATTCAAATGGGTTTTGCAAGGTAAATACAAATCTGCAAATCGCGCAGAAGTATTGAGAATAGCGCATACTAGTCTTGTAAGAGCGATACAACGCATGGGCAACGTCACTCCTTTTATGAAGAGTCAGCCAGACGAAGAACATATCAATCAAAGTATTCCTCTAAGTAGCATGCGAGATGAGGATCCAAGAGAAGCATTATTGAAATATGCAGAATTGGCGAAGAAGGATCCGCTGTTCACGAACGCATGGAAGGATACCCAGCCTGCTACTCAATATAGAGATTTGAGTGACGAGGAAGAGGACGATGGACCGGATAAGAAAAATCCAATCACGTCTCAACTCGACTATCCTCCTCCTCCTCCGCCTTACAACCCCCCATCATATCTGGAATCCTACTCTTACTTGGGACCTCAGACACAGACGAAGATTTTGAGAAGTCCAAGTCAACAGCGCGCTCTCAAAGGCAAAAGCTCACTGCTTTTACGACCCGAGGATAGGGTCCAAGATAGGGCTCTCGAAAACGTGACAGTCTCCGAAGCGTTTCAATCAAGTCAAACGTTGCTTGAACCTTCATCAAAGAGTATCCCAAGAGAACGGGACCTGAGTCGACCCATGAGTAGGGAGAGATATGGATCGAAAATAGACTCTGTAGAGGAAGAGTCTGAACTTGGAGAGTACATTGGAGGCTACTGAATATTGGAAACGCGATTGCAATTCAAACTTATAATTGTTTTGGCATTGCTTGCTTTTGGATTTGCACAAACAGGAGTCGTTGACACAAGACCTCCATAGATGCCACTTGGACCGAGTACACCTTGGGAAATGCGGTTCGTTGAGACTGACTTTGCGATAATGGCTACAAAACGTTCAAACAAACTTGCGGAACCGTTTCAAACGAAGGAGTAAAGGTAAGTTCAGGTCAGGGCAAGGATGTGACATAGGTCTCTTTCTCGCCCTCGGGTCCGGAGATAGCAAATGATTGCATGTGGAGAACATGGAATACCTTTGGTAGTGTGATATTCATACTTTTCGTTTGCGAAATACAAGCAGTGAACACTATGTGTCAGGCTTGGGTAACGTAGGAAGAGCGCTGTAGAGAGGACGATCACTTGTACCATCTCAATGTTGGCCTCCTCGATCATAGCGAAGCCTAGCCGATTGTGCGAGATGACCCAGAAGTGAAGCCAGACAGGACGTCTTTCGTAACACCTTGAATCTTTGATGACTTAATGAAAAGGATGTGAATGATTCGCTGCGCACTTTCAGCATCTAGTTATGGAGCAGATAAAAAGTCTTTCGAATTTGTCATCTATGCAACGATCAACAAAGTGGCTATGCACTTCTCTAATTCAAGATGGGAAATCTGACCGTGTCAATGACACGAAATGCCGTAGAATGGCACGACTGAATGTAAATAGCAGTCGCAATATGATTTTCAGATGCCCCCATGCTCATGTATATGCAACCGGCCAAACCATGCAAATCCATCATCATTTTATCTTCCAAATCATCGATGGGATAGAAATCTAAGCCGAGTTTGGACTTTCCGAATCGTCCTTCTCGAGTTCGTAGAATAACAAGTACACTTCCCTTTGCATCCCTAACACATCACTGGTTTTACTTTCCTTGATTTTGTCATCGCTTATTCTCCACCACCTGTCTGTCGTCTTCCTCTTCCTCTTGGGTCGTACAACATCAGCCATGCTTGTCCTTGTCGAGGCCCCATTCATTTCCACTTTTTTATTTAAAGTCGGTGCGGCCGAGGGAGTGGAGTCCGATGGGGATGGAGATGATGTTTTTGAGCGAGAAAGTCTGGATGATAAAGTCGACTTTGCAGATCTAGCAATTGAGCGTATGCTGCCAGTTTCTGGATCTCTTGACGATGGATCGGGGTCCCGAGGCGCGGAAGTAGGACCGAGTTGCCGGGTAGTGGTGTGAGATGATCCTGAGGTGGATGTTGCAAAGGAGAGATGTCGGCCCGAGCCGTTGCGTGATGATTCTCCTGATATTCGATACCCGTTGGTGTATGGCAGGGAGGGTGATGATGATGCGGCAGAGGATGGTGATAGTACTTCTGGCATTGATGAGAGAGTACTGACGTCTCCGTTCGTATCATCACCTCGGTGTGAGATACCTATGTAGGGTGTAGAGATCTCGGAAGTCATTGGGCTTGCTGATTTGCTGTATACTGCAGCTGCCCTGAAAGTGTTTGGATTTGAATAAGGCGTCAAGATAGATTGCCGTCTAAATGTTTCATAGTGGCCCGAATGATGACTTCCTTTGTGACAGACAACACTGGACAACTTGTAGAATTTTCGATCAGCAAGTCCGCCTAAAGGTAGACGCTCTGGAAATGATACTTTCGCCGAGTTCTTCATGGTTGATCTACTGGCATCGAATATTGATCGTGATAGATGTATGGCCATGATTTTGGGAAATTCTGTGATCCTGACATGCTTTGCAATCTTGCGCTTGGGAGCAAATTTTCTGTCCGGCATTTCCACATCTTTGAGCTCATCTTCCGGATTTGAATCTATTGCTGTTCTGATCTTGTCGATATATTGCTTTGTCTTTGTCCTGAATTTGTCTGAATTTGATTTCGAGTATTCCTCTTCATACATTTCTAAGGCATGGAGGAGTCGGCATTTCTCGCACTTGAAGTCTTCGATGTATTCGGTCTTGAACATTTGGTCGAAGCAAGAACTCAGTGTGGTGGAACTCACTTGAGGAACACTCAAGGTTAATGAACAGAACGTGGTTCTCGTAGCCTTCGGCTTGAAACCGCACGTCGAGCATTCGATCTGTGACTCCGAGCTACCTTCGAAGGGGAAGCCATCCTCTTCACTTTGTGTATTTGGGTCCCCATTTGTTTTTGTGAAGGAGGCCGCAGTCTTTCGATCTTGAACTTGCTCCAGCGATTCGTCCTCTGGAGCAGGAGGATTTGTGGGTAGGCTCTCTCCATTTGCTGTAGCAAGCTGGCTCAGTTTACGAGCTAGAGGTTCTTCGGCAACGGAACCATTCTCACTGATCAAGCCCTGCGTCTTATGTGCAAAATCTCTGGCCCGGTAGCCCGCATGATACTCGTCACACAACCTTTCCGCTAGGACTTGGAGGAACTCCTGCGCATCTTGCTGCTGTCGACTGATCTTCTGCTTAAAAGCATCCTGTAGACATTGCACAAATGGTGCAGCGGAGATTGTCTTTTTGTATATCGGGCGCTCATTTAATTTGTTCAGCATGTCTCTCAATCCGAAAGTAACCATTCCAGCTTGCAATCCTTCAATCTTCCACGCTGGCATGCTCTTCCGTGCCGGATCCTCCACAAGATGGGCATAGATCTCTGGTCCGCCGAGATCTCTTCTATGTGTCTCTTGGGTGAGGTATATCCGCATGTCCCCTAACCCCGCCAAGGCTTGCAGAACTGAGTTGATGAAGCAGTCATTTGCGGGATTGTTCAAGCCGATGATTGTATTCTTCCGCGAGCGGGCTGTCGTATTCGCAGATTCGTTGTCTATGAAATATGTAGGTCCAAAGACGTAAACAATAGCTACGGCTGCTAAACCAGCACCTGCGGCATAGGTTGCAATTGTAAGGTTCTTGTCCGGCATACTGAATGAAGACTTCGGATGTGTAGGAAAGGTTTGGGTGAAGACTATCGACCGTACATCTCTGTAGGTAATCTCCGGCTCGCTGGAGTCGAGCCCTCCTCTACCGTTGTCTCGTAATTATGAATCGTCCAAGGACTTCCGCTGAATATCTTCGGAACTAAGGGACGAAGGAACGTGGGGTGTATGGTATGCGCGTAATACGGGATGAATAGCCACGGTTGCCGCTGGACTTTTATCAAATGAGTGTATTCCGACGAAGATGTAAGAAGGAAAATTAATTGAAATTAGCAAGGTGCTTCCATTAAAAAGTTATAAGACCTAGATTTTGAGACTCAATGCGATTCCACAGATCGGCCCTTGTCCCGCCGAGGCCGATATTTGATAAACATACGCCACACGATATCTAAAATCCAGCATCTTTTTTTGAACTTCTGGCTGTTGTAGTTCAAAGACAACTTGAGTGAACGCGCACGACAAATTCTGTACCAATGGCATCACCACTGGTCTCCCGAGCTCCACAATGCATGTCCTGTGTCCGCCGCATCTCTGGCAGCTTAGCAGACAGCTTCAGCATCCACGCAGGCCAGCAAGTCCGTGGAAAGAAGAAGCTTGCTAAAGTCTCGACCATCCGGGTTCAATTGAAACAGAATGTGCCTGGATATGGCAGAAGAGGTAACTCATGTTCTTGCTAATGGAGCATCCTGTTCGCAACATAGCTAATGAGTATAGGTGCTGTCATTGGAGTCACTGCAGGGGTGATGCGAAACATCTGGTATCCTAAAGGAATGGCAGAATATGTCACTGCGGCCAAGCAAGAAGAATTGGGCGTGAAGAAGGACAGTGGATTGGAAAGAGATTCTACTTTCAGGAGCAACACGGAAATAAAGGTTGAAAGGCAATCAGATATGCCAGAGGTGAAGGAGGAGGAGGTTCTTCGGCCTCCGCCGCCTATACCTTCTCTAGTAGAAGAAGTATATCGCGAGCCACAGACACCGCAGATACAATTGGAGCTCATGAGTGTAAGACCTCCAATCTAATGATCGAGAATGTCCTACTAAATTGCCCTAGCCCGAAAAAGCGAAATCCATTCTAGAAGATCTACTACCACCAAATCTAGACTTCTACCGAACTACCATTACCATACCGAAAAAGATATCGCCTTCCATATCTGCTTCTGCAGTCATAGCTTCTGGTGCAGCAAGATCTGCGAAGTCAGAGGAGAGCAACAAAATCCATGGATCAGTCTCGACGAGTGACATTGCTGCGAACCTCAAAGCTATATTAGCGGAGGACGAAGAAGGATCTCGTGTTGTGGTTTCACCTGAACAAATATCTTTTGTCCAGGAAACGCAAGACAAGGACCGTGTGAAACAATTGGGGGTTTTCCAGATTGAGATCAAACTGGAGGGAGCAGGAAACCCTGTTCGAAGAACCATTCAAGTCAATGCTCAGAGCTGAACCAGGGAGCATGTATTATACTGAACATACGATATGTAACATCACTGCATTTTGTTGTCAATCTGGATGGATATAAGGAGGCTGAGAGCTGTGTGCGGAATAAAGGTTTGTCTCTTGTTTAGGAGTATTATATACCTAGTAAGATCTTATCTCAAGTGAGGAGGAATTTTATTTTCATTGGAACTTACTGGTAGGGATTTCCTGTTCATGGGATCTGTCTCAGGGGATTTGAATTCTCAAGACTCCTTGAGAAGGAACATTCGAGAAGCATGAGCGTTTTGTTTTGTCACGTCACTTACAAGTAGAAAAGAATTGTGGACACAGAGATGGACCGATATGGATAACAGGTTCTCTAACGCTTCTAAAGTCATTTTACAGGCCTTGCTATTCTCCGAAAGATTACTGGACATTGGCCGCTTTTCCACATCAGAAGAGCCGGCCATGAAGATAAATCCTTTAATTGAGGCACATATTGACAGCAAGCCGCTTTTTTTTGTCTCGGGAAGAAAATTTTGATATGCCTCATCCGGCATCGGCAGCATGGGTTTGGCTCAATATCTGTTTGAATCCCGCATTTTCTGAGCTATTGTACTGTTGAGAATCTTGGTATTCTCATGGCATGGTACCAAAAGAACACAGATCTGTACAGTTGCCCACCCGATTTATATATATATGGGTCGGCAATGTTAGGAATCCGGCGGGTTTTCTCGGGTGCTCCTCGGCTTGAGGGATTGTTGAAATGCCACTAGTGCTATGATTTCATTTGACCCCGCCAGCCCGCTAATACCCCCCGATCTCAGCTTTATCTTTCTCCTACGATTTCTTCTACAACCAATATTCTTCCAACTCAAGGACATTGTCTTGCAGACGTCACTACAGGTAAGTCATATTTTCACTCTGCAGAAATTTTCCATGCACCTCCTGCGCCCGAAAACAGCTCAGTGACGCAGATCGAGCCACCCCCACCAAGAGCTAGCAGCGGTCCGAATCACAAAAGAAAATCCACCAAATTCAAACCAAGAATTGTTACTGATCAATTCAATTGAAAAGCAGATCCTACCTTCACTTTTATTCCTACGAATTCGATTCTCGTGCTTCGAACTTCGCAGATCGCATAACCTCGCCTTTCCAAACCACACACTCGAGCTACACAAACCGCAATCATGGGTGCCCAGGACGTATTGTCTAGAAAGTCTGGTGTTATCGTTGGTGATGATGGTCAGTAAAAGAGTCCTTGAGATCCTAATACTACTGTTTCTTCTCTACACCGACAATCTCAGATACTACTATTACGCCCGTGCTGACTGTTTGGCTAGTTCTCAAGCTTTTCAACCACGCTCAAGAGCACAAGTATGCCATTCCGGCAATTGTAAGCCTCTTCGATCGCATAAGTGACCAATACTAATATCTCAAAGAACGTTACCTCATCTTCAACTGTGGTAGCATCTCTTGAGGTAAGACTCACTCTCATCTCAATCTGCCATCCTCTCCCCATGGGAGCTCTTAACATTTGACCACATTACATTGCTAACTTCTTCAAAAAAGGCTGCTCGTGATGCGAAGAGTCCTATTATCCTTCAGATGTCGCAAGGTGGTGCTGCTTACTTCGCTGGAAAGGTATACACAGACGCTCCGATAGCTTTGAATGCCGAGATTGACACATAGCATTAGGGTGTGGATAACAAGGACCAAACCGCCAGTATCATCGGGGCAGTAAGCGGAGCAAATTACATAAGATCCGTTGCTGCTGCGTAAGAGGCTCTGTTATGATTTTCAAAGACAATGACTGACTCTTTGGGTTCTAGGTACGGCATCCCGGTCGTTTTGCACACTGATCACTGGTAAGTACTTAAGCCTTTGAGACACTGGTAAATGCTAATACAATAATAGCGCTAAGAAGCTCCTCCCGTGGCTTGATGGTATGCTCGATGCCGACGAGAAGTACTTCAAGGAGCACGGCGAGCCGCTCTTCTCCAGCCATATGATCGATCTCAGCGAAGAGGAAGTCGACTTCAACATCCAAACCACTGCCAAGTACCTTAAGCGAGCTGCCCCAATGAAGCAATGGCTTGAGATGGTAAGTGGTAGCAAAAGTTGAGGATTGAACCATGTCTAATTTACGTCGCAGGAAATTGGTATTACTGGTGGTGAGGAGGACGGTGTTAATAACGAGGATGTTGACAACAACTCTCTCTACACCCAACCCGAGGATATCCTTGCCATCTACAAGGCTCTATCCCCAATCTCCCCATACTTCTCCATCGCTGCCGGTTTCGGTAACGTCCACGGTGTCTACAAGCCAGGAAATGTCAAGCTTCACCCAGAGCTCCTCGGCAAGCACCAAAAGTATGTCAAGGATGCTATTGGAGCTAAGGAGGACAAGCCAGTCTTCTTGGTCTTCCACGGTGGATCCGGATCAACTAAGAAGGAGTACTTGGATGCCATCAGCTACGGTGTCGTAAAGGTCAACCTTGATACTGACTTGCAATATGCTTACCTCACCGGTATTCGTGATTACGTTCTCAACAAGAAGGACTACATCATGAAGCAAGTCGGCAACCCTGATGGCGAGGACCAGCCAAACAAGAAGTATTTCGATCCTCGTAAGTAGACCTTTTGCATGTAAACTCAATTCAAGCTAATATCCAACAGGTGTCTGGGTCCGTGAGGGTGAGAAGACTATGTCTGCTCGTGTTGCTGAAGGTCTCAAGGACTTCAACACTGCTGGCCAGCTATAAGCATCAACTCTGGATACTTCATGATGGCTGTATTTTCTTTCGGGGAGGTTTGTTATGGTGGGACCTGGATGAAGGTACATAGCCTTGGGAAGTGATAAGGCGTAGGTTAGAGAAGCCAAAATGCAATACCAACTGTGAAGCCTGACCTGATTTAACCTTTTGATGATCTGGGTAATTTCCGTCTGCTGCTGTTCTTGCATTCACGTAAGCATCACTATAAGACTCCATAAGAGCGTCGCCAAGAGAATCATCGAAGGTTTGATGGAATTGTTCAAGGACCACAACAGGGGCCATTCTTGACATCCTAGGACATCTTCATTCAAGCGCAACGAAAGCTGAAAGTAGGACTCCGCCAATCTTGCCTCAGCCCCTTACTTGCCTTCGCCCAGTAATCCGGGGTAGAGCATGGTGGATAACAATGGAGACGAGAGTTCATCCGAACAATATTGGGACCGCAACCATGGCCTTGGATAATAATAAACTTCTCGAAACAATCAGAGATTAGTTTGTGTTCGCTAAACGAAGGATCATCTGGGACTGCCTAAAGAAGATATATTGCGAAATCAACCAACTAAGTGAGGCTTGTGCAGCATTCGCTACCCCTGAGGCTGAATAGAGTTCTGACACAGGGACAGCATATCAATTGCTACGAGAGGCTAGTGGCATGACGTACCATCTCGCCAATACGAATCCTGTCAGCCTTCAGATGCATATCAAAGGACTGGCGAACTTGATAATTACTCTTTACGGCACAAAAGTGCGACTGTGCTATTAAAGATGACCTCTAAGGGTTGCAATTTGATGCACGACCCATTTAATCTTCAATTGCCAACATCCAGCGGATCTGACTAGACGCTTATGTTGTTTACCAGCCAGAGGAAAGGATGCAGCGCATTCATACAGTCTGACTTAGAAGGCTGAGCGGTGACGCCTGCTGAGCACTGCTAAAGCGTATTCTCCAGTGGGAAAATCCTGCTTGAGTAGACTACCATCATGCTCACAGCCATGAAAACGAAATTACATTGTCGCAATTGTCCTTTTTTGGACTATAGCCCTGTGCCAGCGCTCAGCTCTGCTACAATATAAACAGAATCGTTCTCAATTTCAAGCACCGAATCAATCACATCTTTTCTCAATCAACTTCGCAGTTCACAATCCAAATGGGCTCGATGAAGTCTTTCCAGCTCAACGCAGCGATGCGGTTCTTCCTATGTATTACCTTTGCGTATGCTTCCTTTGCATCTACCATTCGTCGCCGTGACACACTACCTACCACTCTGTTCTCCAATGTACGTTCAATGGGGCACCCTCACTTCATGTATGGATGGTACTAAATTTCAAGAGATTACATCCTCTACAAATCTCACTTGGTCTCCTTGCATTTCGACCTTTCAGTGTGCAGTTCTCGAGGTAAGTTCAGCCACTGATCTATCCAATTGCTTCGCTAATGTAACGGAAAACGCTTAGGTACCTTTAGACTATGCTCTTCCGAACGGAACCAGAGCCTACGTTCCACTGCTCAAGTATCCCGCAACGACAAAGCCATACAAAGGAATGATCTTGACAAATCCGGGTGGGCCTGGGGATTCAGGGGTAGCAGCGGCACTTGGCCTAGGTAAAGAATTATCCGCAGCGTTCGGAACGAGCTATGATTTTGTGGGTTTTGACCCTCGAGGTGTTGGATATAGTCTCCCATCCGGGATCTGTGTTGGATCTGGGGCATCCCCTCAGAAGCGCCGCTCTATCGAAACCATCCCAGTGGGACGTGGACCCGAAATACCAGAATTGTTTCTCGAGGCAGCCTACCAGAACGCAACCGTGAACGGGGAGATCTGCCAAGAGCAGATTGGAGGTCCAAATGATGCTGGTCCGCACATGACAACATCGGTCAATGCCAAAGACATGATCTCAATCCTAGATGCCTTCGCAGCAAGTCCCGAAGCTGTTGGAGTTGAGAATGCGACTGATCTAAACTATTGGGGCTTCAGTTACGGCACGTTTCTGGGACAAACTTTTGCATCGATGTTTCCGGATCGTGTTGGCCGGATGGTTATCGATGCTGTGGTGGATCCGGAAGACTATATCTTGATGCAGGATGAGAAGATGATTCAGTTCAGCGATGAAACGTTTTCTACGTTCTTGTGTGTACCCTCCTCTCTTCATCCGGACACGAAACGTTTTGCTGACATTACAATAGTATTTACTGTTTCTTGGCTGGTGATGCCTGCCCATACTTTACCGGCTCCTCACCTTACGACGTTTATCTTCGATTCGCCGACACCGTTTCAAAGCTTGATGTAGACCACGCCTTTAGTCACGGTTGGCAGAATGCCACTGACTTATACTTGCTTCTCGAAGATGTTAAGCTCACCTTGTTTGAAGGTATCTACTCGGCCATAGAGAATTTCCCTACAATGGCGCAAACGCTCGTGATGGTGGAACAAGCATTGAAGAACTTGACGTCCGCGTCTCTTGGAACTTTTGAGACTTATGTCAATAGTTATCTGCCAATCGTTGGCCAATCTCCAGCTATCTTTTGCACGGATGGTGGCAATCTATTGTTTAACTCGACGTTGAAGGACATGTCATTCATCACAGCGTCTCTCAAAAGTCAGACTTGGGTATCTGGAGAGATACTTTCAGTCACTCGGATCGACTGCGCGGGCTGGTCGATCAAGGGGACTGAGAGATATGCCGGTATGTGGTATTTTGTGCGCGAACACCAGAAGACTGACGTTAAATAGGTCCTTTTGGTGGCGACACCAAAAATCCAATGTTATTCGTGAGCAATACTCGGGATCCAGTCACACCAGTGTACAAGTTAGTATATATTCCTTCCTCCTCATAAATAAACTCTGACATGGAGTAGTGGACAGAAATGGAGCCATCGATTCAAGGGTGCTCAGCTTTTAACTGTAGACGGCACGGGTGTAAGTTATGCTACCTCCCCCATCTGTTCGTTTCACTCATACAAACTTTAGCACACGTCGCCCATTACAAAAAACACATGCGCATTTCAAAAGATTGGCAACTACTTCAAGACAGGCGAGCTTCCTGGGAACGATAACTTCTGCAAGTTGGAAGTAGGCCCATGGAACGTTACGATTCCGCAGGGGATGGAGAATGTGAACGGCTGGCGTGATATACAAGATGGTCTTGCATCTCTCAGAGCACCAGCCCCATGTCGGTCGCGATACTAGAGCAGGGGATAGCGGATCAGCAGGTCCGCTTGATCTTTGGAAGTGTGTTTGAGTAAGCTTTAAGATGTATAGCATAGATTTGATTTTCTTTTCGATTTTGGGGTCCTTAGATCGTTGCTTGGAGATCTTGTCAGGATATAATTAAGCTTAATTATGAATTTTCTGCATACTCAAGACAACGCGAGACTTGACTACAACTCGAACAAAGGTAAGTCGTCTTGCGAAATTATGACAGATTGATAGGAGTCGTTGACGACTTACTGGCTCACAGCCCTCAGGGTGTGTACCTTGAGGCCTTAGTAACCAATCCGAAGCATATCTGGAATATGTAATAGATTCCAAATCAACTTGATTTTCCGTGGAGAGACAAATGTTTCTTCATTTATGTGCCCACGTGCGATGTCTCACATTTAACCTTGTTAGAGCCCAGGGAGGCTGAGCTTCCAACTCTCATTGGCGATGACGTCTCGAAGCGATCGTGGGGCAAATGTTGGCCTGGTCCTGGGGAGATTGAGCTCAATATTCGACCCTTAAAAGTCACTTCATTCTTCAAATACATATTCTCATTATCCAGTATTGCGCGAATCATCACCTGAATCAAGTTACGACGTGTTACGAGAAGCGACAAAAATACAATTCGTTTCGCAGAACCAACTACTTTCAAATCTAATTTCCACCACACGACCATGTCTTCCAGCGAGAAAGAAGGAGGCGGCGTATCTGCGCAGAACAGAGGTTCATGGAGTGCCTTCCTAAAATCTATCGCCTCGTTCTCTGGAGATTTATCGTCGTTGACTGCGCCTCCATTCATCCTATCCTTGACTTCTCTCGTCGAATTCTCGTCCTATTGGGCCGAGCACCCTTCGATATTCGTGGCACCTGCGAAAGAGAATGACCCCGAGAAACGAGCATTATTGGTGCTGAAATGGTTCTTGAGCACATTGAAGCAACAGTATGCGAGTCGAAGTGATAAGTTTGGAAATGAGAAGAAGCCTCTGAACCCTTTCTTGGGCGAGCTCTTTTTGGGAAAATGGGTAGACGAAGCGGGGACGACAGAGCTGGTGTCTGAGCAAGTCAGGTTCGTAGTAAGCATACTTGTAGTGGAACTCCATTTCTGACTTTGACACGCAGCCATCATCCACCTGTCACAGCCTACCAGATTGCGAATAAGGAGCATGGAGTTTACCTCCAAGGGTACAATGCGCAGAAGGCCTCCTTCTCTCGAACTATCAATGTCAAGCAGATTGGACACGCTGTATACTCTATACCAGCCTACGGCGAAACCTACCTTATCACCCTCCCCAACCTACATATCGAAGGACTTATATTCGGAGCACCGTTTGTTGAATTAAACGACAAGACCTACATTACTAGCAACACTGGTTATACCGCCAAGATCGACTACAGTGGCAAGGGATGGTTGTCAGGGAAGAAGAATAGCTTTACGGCTACAATGTACCGGACACGGAAGGAGAAAGATGTCCTCTATACCGTAACTGGTCAGTGGAACAAGACTTGGGATATCTACGAAGGATCCAAGAAGAGCAACGTTATCGACACCTACGACGCCGAAGCTCTGCCTACCACACCTCTCACCATCGCCCCAACTGAGCAACAAGACCCTCTCGAATCTCGCAGAGCTTGGCAAAAAGTAGCAGAAGGAATTGCAGTCGGAGACATGGATCTGGTGGGCGCTGAGAAGACCAAGATCGAGGAATCACAACGAGAACTCAGAAGACAAGAAAAATCCGACGGCAGATTATGGGAACGGAGATATTTCTCACTGGTAGAAAACGATTCGATCCTGGCCAAGCTTGCACCTGCGATTGGACTTGCTCCTGAAGAGGACAAGACAGGAGGTGTTTGGAGATTCGATGAGAAGAAAGCTGCGGGTCAAGCAACGAAGACAACTACAGCTGCGCCTCCAACGAGTACAGAAAAGCACTCTGAATTGAAGTGACGGGTGTTCATATTGGGTTGGTTGGCGCATGGCATGGGATGGATGGGAGCTGGGCTTTGAATTGTTGCTTCTTTCTTTTCATGGATGTATTCATCACACAATTCGATTCGTTGCATGGTCCATAGGGGAAAATAAAGCACGTACGTATCGAAGTTTCTTAATTTGTTGCACTTTTGCGTGACTTTCAACACTTTTCTGGCTGGAATAAGAAGGTGTGCCAGATTTATTACTCTACAAAAAGAAAAAAATATGGAAATTAAGCTATAGCCTCGTTTCTTCTCTCTGTCCATTCTGGCTGGAGTCAGAAGCTACGACAGATTCACTATTGTACAAGAGTTAAATTTCCGTTTTTCTAGTACTCCGCTGCCTATATTGGGAGGTTGTGGTGCTGTTCTTGCATGGCGAGCTGGCAGGAAAAGACGAGATGGCGTTGAGAGAGGCTAGGAAATGGAAAAAGCATGATGTGTATGATTCGTCTGGTCATGCCCATTGGGAGCCTAGATGAGCCTGTCCTTCTATGCTCACAATCACTTCAATTTCCATGAACAGAGAGAGCCCAATTTACTTCCACATTGTCAAAGCAATCTTCTCTTTCCATTATGAATTGTCTCCTATTCTCACATAGACACGTCTCCGAACATCTCCAGATCGCCATCACCAACATTCTGGAGGCCGGTGCCCAAGTGAGGCCTCCAATTTTCCTTGATCGGGGTGATGCAGGCGTTGCTTAACACTTTTGGGACTTGGAGGTTCTACATAGATATTAGCATTTCTCCTATCTTTCATGTCTTCGAGGGAAAATTGCTTGCGGTCATTCTTCATCTCATCTAAGTGTTGGAACCGAAGCTACCACTGGGCGTAGGTCTGGAAGTGTCTCGAACGAGGGGTGAGCTCTAGGATAAGAGTAGATGTTGTGTTCCTGGTTCTCAAACAATCTCGGGCGAGTCCGCCATCGACAGTGTCGACTGGAAAGCTCGGTATTTGGGAAATAGCTTTCCAAGTTTCATCCCTGACGAGTCTCTAAGCGGGGAGGAGTGGAAAGAAAAGTGGCTGATGCCCGAAAGCTTCTTCTCTTACATTACATGTACGCAATCATCAATCTGCTCCAATGCTGTCCTACTGTTGGTTGTAGCATGAATGCAGACGTTTTGCACACTAGAACAAGAATTTCACCTTTCTTTAATGCTGGAAGAAACAATGGTGGGGTAAAGTTCTTGATTGTTGTGCTATCTCCCTCTACTAGCTCTGTCTCAATGCCTTTCTGGTATCCGTTACGGGCGCAAGTGGGACGTCGTCCATTAGCTCCGTATCAATGCCCCTCTCTCTGTTTCCTCTCTCTATTCCACTCTTTATTCCCGTGCCTTCTAGGCATTCTGTGTAATGCTCCAAGTCCCTAGAATGGTCGCATTCTCAAATAGGGGCTTTGAAAATGGCATTTATAGAGAGTGGAGGAATGGAGATAATAGGCTAGAGAGTATGCAAATTTTCTAAGCACTTTGAAAAAATATAGAAAGAACAGAAAGTACAGAGGAATAAAGACCATTCTTCGCAGCCTTCTAACTAATAGGCACAGCGTGGCCGTCCTACTGATAGCCTAGACTATCCGTAAAAGCTTCGGTCTGCTACTTAAGTCTCGCAGAATAGTAAAGCTACTACACCTTCCCATTACAGCCCATAGTGTACAAAAAAAGAGAAAGGAAATCAAGCTGTAGCCTAAATATTTAACCCATCTATAAAAAAAAGTTAAGTCTACTACTCTATAATACTATTATAGAGTAGTAAATCTGCTGCACTTTCCGAATATAGCCAAAAGCGTACACAAGACTGCAACCTGATCACCGGAACCCATCTATAGAAAAAGCCAAGTCTACTATTCTACAGCACTCTACAACATTGTTGTGGAGTACAATAGTAGTGAATCTGCTGCACCTTCCGAATACAGCCAGAAGCGTACAGAGAGACAAACGAGGCTGCAGCCTCACCACTAAATCCAGATATAAAAGAAGCCAAATCCCCTGCTCAAATCCTTCTTCTCTAGACATCAACAAGATCTTCAAGGTACGGTATACCCTCATGATCAACACCTAGCCACTGTACCTCATCCACTCGAACCCACTCTACCCCACCACTGCCCTTCTTCATCATATGCTCAACCCTTTCTCATCCTCACACCTCATACCTCGACTTTGAGTCTCGTCGAAGCTCACCAAGCTGACTTGCACCAGATGCTGCCGTTGCTGTCGCTGGTTCCCAAAAGAGCCTAGCGGCATGCACCTCGGCTGGCAATTTGAAGATCGGCTAATCACAGAGCGAAGCTGCCACCGTCCCCAGGTTTCAGTTGATCCCCGCGGCGCCACACCTGTCAAAAACAAAGTGAAGCTTCCCTCGGGTCACTTTCTTCGACCTCAACTCAACCAACCAACAACAACAAACTCCCACCAAGACGTGGTTGTGTGAGAGCGAGACCTCGACCTCGAGGGCGCTGATTGGCCCCGTTCGTCAACAACTAGCGCCGAATCTTGCTCGGAGGACTCAGTGTGATCTACGGACCGCACAACCAGATGTGAGTGAAGTAAATATCTCTCTCCTGGTCACCCCAGACTCGGAAACCGATAAGATAAGGAGCCCCAGCCTTGGCGTTCGTGTCCAACGCGAGATTCAGCCTCACGATGATCTGCAACCCAATCCGGATTAGCGGGGAATGAACCTGGCTGGCTCGGCAATCACTGATCGCGTCGCGATGCGCGTCTATATTATGTCTCAGTTCATCCCCTCCACCAACGCCTTTCTCGGAAGGTCGCAACAGCTCCAATTCGATACGATCTCAGCTACAGCAACACTCGAACGCACTCTCAATCAACCTTCAACTACACTATTTTTCAATATTCTACAACCATCAACACCAACCATCAACATGCCTGGCATTCTCCAAAAACCTTCTCGCGAAAATGTCCGATACCTCGACACTGACCGACCTCCCCGGGATCTTTTGAGAATCTGGAAGACGACTTCAACTCCCGTTCACCCTGGTGCCGTTTCAATGTCCGACAGTTCCAGACCTACGTCCAGTGGCAACGACGACAGCTCCGGTTCAGACAGTCCTCGCCCCTCGAATGTTCGAACCTACCAACGCGTCGACTTTTCGCAACCATATGATGTGGCCGAAAGTCGGGCCAGAAGACAAGCAGGACGAAATGCACAAGGACTGGTCGCCGAAACACGATCGGACATTCGACGCAAAAAGTTTGGATTGACCGAAGCAATGATGAAGATTGAAGAACTTGAAAAGGACGTCGAAAATATGGACAAGAACTTCGGAAAAGTGGACGAAATGCAAGAAACCCTCCGAAAATTGTCGAAAGTCCTTCCTACTGCCGAACAATCGCACGCTCACAAGTTGAATTGCACTTTAGAGAGTATTCACGATGCGAAAGAAGGAATTGAGCGCCTTGAGGAGAAAGTTTCTGGTATTCCCATTGTTCCAGTTTCTTCCCCCATATTCCAGCTAACCTAATGTCACAGCAGTTCCCGACATTCCAGCAGTCCCAATTGTTCCAACAGTCTCCAGCATCGCAGCAATCCCAGTTGTTCCAACCGTTCCCGACATTCCAGCTGTCCCAGTTGCTCCAACAGTCCCCGATATTCCAGCAGCCCCAATTGTTCCAACAGTTTCCAACATTCCAGCAGACTCAGTTATTTCAACAGTCTCCAACATTCCGGCAGTTCCCAATGTTCCACAGAGTCAGGAAAAACCAGCAATCAAATTCAATGTCGAATTGGGTTTCAATCTCAATGCCCCAAGTTGGAAGGCAGTCTGGTCTTTCATGTTCTTGCTCTTCATGTTGTTCATGGTAAGCCCAATTCATCCTTGGTCTTCGAGCATTTCTCTGACTTCCTTGACAGGGTTGGCTCCTCCTCGAAGCCGCGATGTGCGGTGCCTACTGCAAGCCGAAATACTCCTCGACCGGACACTTCAAAGTCTCAGATCCTCTCTTCCCGAACGCCCTACCCACCAAACTTGATGAATGGACTGGAGAAAGAGTCAGCAGGGCTTGGCGGGCTTTCTGGAATCCCTGATTCAGTTTTCTGATTTCAGTTTTTTGTTTTGTTGTTTTTTGAGCACCTGTATCATTTTGGGAGACAACCAAGAGTTGAGAAAATCCTCGGCTCCCAGCATTTGTTTTGTTTTCTGGGTTTTTTGTTGGCGCTATATACCCAGGGAGATAACCATGAGTTGAGCAAATCCTCGGACTCCCGTTGCCTGTCTTGTTTTTTGGCGATTGTATCATTTGGGAGATAACCATGAGTTGATGAAAATCCTCGGGCTCCCACCTTTGTACTTTAGAAACTTTCCATAGCAATTAGAAGTGAATAACTCGGCTTGGAAACAAACAATTCTTCTCCCTCTTGCAATCCACAGTGAAGTGACCTCGCCTTTCTTGTGCTTGAATATCATTTTTCAATCTCCCAAAAAAGGTGGGAGCAATTACGATTGGACTTTCCATAGCAGATCGAAGTGCATAACTCGGCATCCAGCATTTTTGGTGCTGCTTTTCAATCACTCACGAAAGCCGGGACAACATGCATCTTAGACTACACTCCCTGCAGAAATCTTATGTTGGAGAATATAGCGTAGGGGGATAGCGGACCTGAGACCTTGAAATGGCCAGTACGTGTAGCCAAACATAACCAAAGTACATTGTCACCCGAGGATCCTCTCACTCACAGTTGCCTTCCATAATGACCGAATGAATTTACAAGGTAACAGTGATTTTCATAATTGTAACTTATGTACAAAAACCAAACCAACCCCACCCCTCCCATCAAACCAAAATGCCCCCCAGGATGCGCCGCCGGGCCATCATATGTCCAACCAACCGCAACAGCGAACCCGACAATAGCACCATCCCATCCATCCCATCCTTGTCCACCAAAAAGAAGAAACCCATAATTCAATTTTTAGTCGCTCTTCGCCTGGCTCCTCGTCTTCCTCTCCGCTCTGCCGACCGCGGGTTGTTTCTTCTCCTTCTTAGGCGCCTTCTTTTCTCCGCCTGCTGCAGCCTTGGGTCGTCCGGGTTTCTTCTTGTTGTCGCCGTTCTTGGTTGCGGCTGTGCCGTTGCTTGTTTTCTGCTTCTTGGGTTCTTCGCCTTCTTCTTCTTTCTTGTCCTCCGCTTCTTCACCAGCGTCGGCTTTCTCGTCCGCTTTTCGCTTTTCGCCTGTTTGTGCTTCGTCTTTCTTTTCTTCTTCTTCTTCTTCCTCTGGGTTTTGTTCAGCCTCCTTCTCTTCTTCCGGCTTCTTCTCCTTCTCTTCTTCCTGCTTAGACTCCCCGTTCACAGCATCCCCATTGCTGGAAGAAGACCCCTCAGCCTTCTTCTCGACGTTCAACTCGTTGGCCGTTTTGACGACGTCGTTGCCGCTGCGCTCGATGTGCACGGCGGGGTTGCTCGCGTCGCCCGTCTTAGAGATCTCGTTGCCGCGGTGCGAGGTAACGGTTACTTCGCCCGCTTTGACTTCGGCGGCTGTTCCCGAGGGGTGCGAGCCGTTCCAGTTCCAGGACACTGTGGAGGGGGATGTTAGTTTGGATCTGTAATCGAAGATTGAAGTAAAGAGAGCGCGGAAAGGAAAGGATGGTGAATGGAAGAGGCAGATAATTGGTGTTTTGTGCTACGGTTGGGGAAAAACAACCTTCCTCCTCTTCAGGATCTGATGAGGGAATGGGTGGACTGAAAGGAGTCCCAGAGTTTGCAGCATCAGAGAAGGGAGTAGCTGGAACATCAGAGCTCCGTTCTCGGGATCCTGCGGAACTGACTGCGCAGAAACCTGGGGGGTCTATTGGGAAGCGGATTCCGGGAGGAATATCGCCAATGAAGACAGAGACCTCAATGCGCTCTTCTGCCATTATGCTGTGTATGACTATTGCTGGGTCCTTTGGAAATTGAAATTGGAGGTAATGGTAAATGTGATGTTCAATACATTAATGATGCATTGTGGGAGCAATTCTGCGTTGACGATGCTAACAGAGAGGAAAGAGCTTCCGTACCTTTGTCCCCTTCTTGGACTTGTTCAGACATATCGGATGACGTCGGCCGAAAATTCTCAACTTCAATTCTTCAATCTCTGTTCTCAATATACGTATCTCGAGTCCGCGACGTAGGAAATACAATTGGAATGTTTGCGCAGTGAAAAGTGATGAGTTGCGACAAGAGTGAAGGGAAGGAAGGGTGCTGGAGTGACGTTCGAAAAGAGGAGGTTCTAGCCAAATGACGCTATGCCAGGGCCTATCACGAGCTATTTGGAGATCGAGGTACCGCAACCAGGAATCGTGCATGGTGCTGGGGCTGAGGTAAGGCTGGTCCGGCCAATGGCGAGCGGGTGATCCTGGGAGACCAGATCAAGCCACAGCGAATTGTGGGGAGCTGGGACTGGGAAGAGCAAATCAGGGCTGGCCAGCTTAGCACCGACGTTTTGCGGGGAAATCCTGAGGTCCGAGATCCCCATCTTGGTAATTGGCAGCAAGCAGCATTTGCCCTCACGCCGCGATGTACGCAATGGCGACGAACTCTGTTTCACAGCCATAGGAGAATGGCTAAATGGCTTCCCGTGGATATATGATCATGGGAGGAGAGGAGTTGTGCTGTAGAGTGTACTGTATAGCCACTAGGAAGGAATATCTGCTGCATGTTGGAAGCTCCGATAAATCCGGTCAGCTTACAGGGAAATTCTTAATGAGGGATTTTGCTATGTGAGCATTATTTAATGGGACGACAGAGCACGGAATATGCCTTGACAGCTAATGTAGGCCATCACAAAAAGTGTTTCTATGGAAAAGGGATAAAAGGAGAGACGACTGCAGAAGAGAGGACGTCACCGTCCCCTTTGGTTACGGTTGTCGATAGGACCACTATATGTGAGTTTTTTGGGACCAATAAGAAACGAACGGAACTTCCGCCGGTCACATACAAATATACAAATCACTTCACACATATTTTTCAAAGAAGAGGTAATGGGAGTCGCAAATCTGCAGTCAATTTCATTTCGAGTTTGACCGTTCCATCACTGAGCGCTCAAGACCCCAAATTCGCATCGTAAATTGCATTTGAGTACAGAGGCGAGCAGATCATACCAGCCCAGCCACACCATTCTTTCCATTCAAATTTCATGACCACCACCGCCTGCGAAAAAGATCAAATTGGTAAGGACCAGTCGTAGCCAGTCCCGCCCCATGCCCCATGACTGCGACCGATAACATGCATTCATTTGCTTTTTGACTTGAGAAAGTGTTGATTTTGTGCGTGCTTGCGACAACATCCATCCAGAGCGGCAGAAACGAGAAGAGAAAAGGAAACTATTTGAAAACAGAGTTGTGAGAGCCCTCCCCAGAAAGGAAAAAATTACAGACACCATGAGCGGCGACCCCGTGCTAGCCCAGACGCATGATTGTGATGAGATGTAGAGAGCATGAATGACCATTCCCCAAGTCAACCTGATTTCTTTCCCCCCCCAAGTACGAGTACGAGTTGCGCGATTGAAAAGCAGAGAAAAATTGGCAAATGGGAGGAATAGTAACACATGGTTGGTAGAAATTTACAACCCAATGGAAGAGGTGGCAAACTACCAGGACGTGTTGCTACAGTTGAGATCCGATTAGTGCCCGTAGTTGCCACCCCATCCTCCACGCTGTTGGTTGTTGCCATAATAATTGCCTCCTCCGAAGCCTTGGTAACCACCGTATTGACTGTTTTGGTGACCCTGTCCAGCTGCCTGATGGCCTCCAGCTCCACCTAGACCGCCGTACTGACTGCCTGCTTGACTACCATGGAGCCCATGTCCTTGTTGAAGATGAGCTGGATAGCCACCATAGCCGCCTTGTTGCGATTGTGGGAGAGGAAGGACAGAACCTGGTGCCGTATTAGTGGCTGAACCTGGTCGACCGGCTTGCGACAATGATGGGCTTGGACCATTGGCAGTCTTCGAGTCGCCGAATGGCTTCAAGTCATCACCGGCGCTTGGCTGAGAACCTTGCTGAGTGTTGTAGTGCTGTTGAGCTTGACCTTGGTAGGATGACCCGCGGCCGAATGCATCATGAGCCCCACCAAACGCTCCGCTTCCTCCAAGAGTCCCAGGTGTTTGAGAAGATTGAGCAGAACCAGCACGTCCATAGTCCGACAATCCTCCCAATGCGCTGTCACGGCCATGCAAAGAAGATGCTCCAAATCCGCCGGCAGCTGGTGACGCAGCATGATCGTAAGGAGCGGCTGGGGACATACCATAGCCTTGATAAGGTTGATGAAGACCGCCTTTTGCGCCATACGGTCCGCCAGGATAGTTTCCGCCATATTGTTGATACTGGTTCATGTACGCGGCATAGTACGGGCTGGAGTAGTAAGGGTGACCATATGGGTATTGGGGTTGTTGTTGGTGTCCTGGTTGTGGCTGAGCACTCTGAGTCGCTCCAGGTTGCTGGCTTTGGGCAACTGGGTTGGGAGTAGTGTGGCCGCTGTTTTGACCTTCGCCAGCCGTAGCATACCGAGATTGAGTTTGCTGAGCAGCGCTCTGTGGGAATTGGGACGAGTTCTCGGATTGTGGCCCATTGTACCCACTGAACGATCGTTGTTGAGAAGCAGGACCTTCCTGGCTTTGAGCACCTTGCTGCATGCCATATTGGTTGTAATAGTTGTTGTACGCATTTCGCTGTTGTGGATCTGCGGTGTAGTAGGATGAGAATTGGTCGGGAGCCGAGGAAAAGGCACCAGCTTGCGATTGCTGTGGTTGCGACTGGGATTGCTGACTCTGATAGCCTTCAAATGGACTTTGAGTCGATGGGGCCTGTTGACTGAAAGCATCATACGGCTTTGGTGGCAGAGCCGAATCTTGCACACCAGATGGACCATATCTACCATATTGGCTCATTTGAGAGTTTCCTGGAGCGGCTTGTTGAGCAGAACTCTGAGCAGAACTCTGAGCAGATGTCAATGGGGCTGGGGATGGCAGACCTGGAGCAGCAGTTGGATGGGTCGCTGCGGGCAAGCCTGCGGTCTGCTTGGGTGTAGGGAAAGCTTCCGGAGCGGCAACTGGCTGTTGAGGGGCAGGAGGAAGCGAGGCTCTTGGAGCAACTGGAGAATGCTGAGGTGGTTGCGCACGAGTCTCCGCCTCCTCTCTTTCTCCATCAACATCGTCTTCACCAGTACCATTAAGGTTAAAAGCCCCGAATTGTACAGCAGCACGGTCCACTTCGCGATTTCCAGGCATACGAACAGCTTCTTCTTGATCCAGAATGCGACGGTTGTAGCTTGATGTACGACCAGATGTTCCAGTCGCCTTCAAGGCAGAGGCCTGAAATCCGCTGGTTGGAGGACGAACAGCTTGAGCTTGTGATGCGGAATATGGCGTAGCCGCAGCGCTTCGTGGATCCCACGAGCTGGCTGCTGTGCTAGCTGCGGTAGCAGTAGGTGCGGGGTTCGAGGTGTCAGGGAGTTGTTCAACGTTATTTTCCGTGAGTTCGTCTTTTGAGGGTGTAATTGTGAGCTCAGGCTCTTCAATTGGGGTGGGTTCAACGGGTGGTGTTTCGACGGTTTCAATAGGCTCGGGTTCACGGGCAAGAGCTTCTGGCTCTTCCTTCAGAACGGGTTCGACAATCTCCTCGGTCTTCACAGGTTCAGCAGGTCTAGGTATTGTGTTAGTGGGTGGACCAGATGGGTTAGATGCGGTAACAGACTTCTCAATGACGGGCTCGGGGGCTTTCTTTGGTGCGGGCGCGGGAGCAGGTTTTGCGAACATGCTGGCCCAGCTCTTCTTGACACCATCTGGAATGATGCTTGAAGTCGCATTGGCAGCAGACGTAGCAGCAGCAGTCGCCGCTCCGGTTCCAGTAGAGCCCCATGTTTCCTGTGCCGGCTTTGAAGAGTCCCAGGTATCAGCAGGTTTGGCAGTCGAGTTATCCCATTCAGACGATTCAGCAGCCTTTGTTTCCCAAGCATTGGCATCTCCAGCGTTGGTTTGTTCATATGCGGTAGAGTCGGCAGTAGGGGTAGAAACATCGACATTCTCTTTGTTGCGAGAGCCATTTACGTGGGCAGTTGATGTACCCCTTCCTCGACCCGCTCTGCCCCGATCTGCGCCACGACCACGGCCTCCTCTGCCTCCGTCAAAGCCAGCTCGACCGCCGCGGGAAGGTCTGTTTTGGTTCGTGATATCGCCAAAGGTAGAAACTGTGGCATCCTTGACCTTGGATCGAGATCGGTCTTTCTTGGTCTTCGAGACCTCTCCCCATTGAGAAATAGTGCCTGTGCCAATAATCAGCTTCAGTCTCCGCGACAAGGGTTGCAAGATTATCGAGAGAGGGAGAACCGGAGTCTGGAGGCTTACCATCAGTAATGCGATCAACTGTAGTCTCAAGATCACCGTCGGTCTCCTGCAGAGCAAAGACGACATCTTCATCTGTCCAATCGGGGAACATTTCCTTGATCGTCGAGACCTTCGTGCCATACTTCTTCTTCAGCTGGCCCACTTCACTATCATCTTCAATTGATGAAGTTAGGGCTGTGTCTGATTTGTCGCCGTTGGTTGCGTGACCTCTTCCTCCTCGTCCACCTCTCGATGAGAACCCTCCTCGGCCGCCGCCGCGAGCTGAGCCTCTACCGCGCGGTGCAGCAGGTCGAGATTGCACCTCAGACATTGCAATGTGTGAGGGTATTATGTGATGTGAGAAGTCAAGTGGAAAGAAAGAAGAGATCGAGGGTGTATGGTGTTGGGGTCAGGGTGATTCAAGTGTTTGAAGAATGACGATGGAATGAATTTTAGGTGCTGGTTCGCGTAAGTTGTATGGCACCAATTTAGAACCTCCTGTCGCGTCGCTTCCGCCGCTGTAGTGCTGGGCTGAAGACAGTGAATCCCGACGACGAAGACGATCTGCTTCCAAGAGGCCGAGTTAGGGACGCAAGACCATGTGGAGGGATCTGTGCAGAAAGAGATTTATTTTGAGCAGCTTAACTTCCTCGTTCCAGGTGTTGTGCGCGTTGCCTCCTAGAAGTAGACAATCACGTGAATCTCAAGATTCTCCACATTTTCCATGCTAACCTAGCGGTGCCACTTCCATGCCATGACTGTACAGTACAGTACCTGAAGATCTCCATCTGCGTTATTCATCGACTGAGCTCTGCGAGGAGCAAGCAACATATGAATTGGTTTACACAAGCTTCATCGTACTGGCACATTCGAACGACCCTCCACTCTCGATAATCAGGTCATTTCAGGAATTGAAAGTGCTCCGAATGTCCCCCCCTCCATTCATCGACTGAGTTCTTCAAAGAGCAAGCAAGCAAGCCAGCCACGAATCTATCCACAGAACTCCTACATACAGCTGGCATCCTCAACTGCAATATCACTTGTCAAATGCCCCAAGGCCCGTTGCACAACGAATCGACCTGTCAACGATGTTTCGTCCTTCGACGTCGCTCTTGTTTCGGCCGATGCCAGTGCTAAACAAGCTCAAGATACATCAACCATTGCCCCTCTCTCCACGCGAATCTGAACAGCTTTTGAACCTCCTCACCACCTCCTTCCGACATAATTTAGATACCGAGCATCCTTCCTTTGGTACAGCAGATCATGGATCTCGGATGACCAGGCCAAGCGCCAAGCCTCGACGACGGTCGTTCTCTGATTTTGATGGACACCATACGGATCGTCATATGCATTCTCTGTTGAGCAATCCGCTATTCACTCCTCCTACAAGAAACAGAATAATAGGCAGAGATCCCATGGAGATCTTTGATCTGGCAGTCGCACAGGGAATGATGGATACGAATCATGCAAAAGCATGTCTGAATGCAAAGAGACACAGGATTATCCAATCGTCGGTGCTAAGTGTCCGAGATGGTATGAGAGATTCAGGCGCTGGAATGAAGGTCCTCAGGTGGCTTACATCAAGCGGGACATCGAATGATAATCAATTCCTGAAAGACCAAGATTTCGCAGAGATATTGGTGGCATATATGGTAGCAGAAGGGCTCCAAGAACACGCCTGGAGGTGGATCAAGAGATCTTTCAAAGACGTCTCTGCGGTTGCTTTATTGCCATTTGGTGCGGCCTCCAAAACGGCTCGACGGGAAGTTGCTGGGCCACTGCGCGCACTTGTGAAAAGCGAGATGTCCCAGAACAGGAGCTTTGATGCCGCCTACATGTGCATATCTCGGGCAGCAGGCTACCTCAAAAGGGTATCATCTGCTGAGATGACTACTGCTTTGCAACCTGCTGGCATGCTTATTCTCAATCGGACTTGCATGCCTACCAACTTCGCCCCTCATCCAACACCAAGTGAAGTAACATTCGAGTCTTTCGTTAGTCTCGTGCCCATTATTAGTCCTCGGAAATACAATCGCTATCTAGCTCACCTCGCTCTTCTTCACCCAACAAAGCCTGATCCTGGCCTGGCCTTGGACTACCTTCAGAACATTGAGTCTTCAGTCGACAGCGACAAATTGTGGGCCTTACAACCGAAGGACAAGAAGGCCAGTGTCATTCAGCTAGGTCTAGATGCAGCTAAAGTTCTACTTGAACAGGGCCGCCACTCGGATATGGAATGGACAATGGAGTTCTTGAGCAAGAACTTTCCGCAACAACTGGGACTAAATCAGAGACGACAACTCGAGCAGGTCAAAGCGGAAGCTTCGAGTATCGAGCTATTGGAAAGCATCGGGATTGCCTAAATAATAGGACAACTTTTTGATTGAGCATGTATTGGAGTTCGGTTGCTTGTATGAGATAAGGCGTTTACGACGGGCCGTCGAATTTGTTGAGCAGAACTATGAAGATACCAATTTTCTCTCTCTTTTTCCCCGTTTGAAAGATCTCAGTTTGCTATTGTATTGTGACATTGTCACTCCTCCAAACATCGATTCTGTGGTTTCAATTTGCGTCCACTCTTCAAATCTATAATAGTTTTCGGCAAAAAGTGAAGCAAGATCATTAAGCTCAAGTCTGACAGCACATCGCTACTTCCTGTTTTAGTCCAGCGATCAGCTCTTTCCTCTTATCATATGAAGAGGTCTATGTCAGTTATGTTTCTTCTCTTCTCCATTCATTATTGTCTGTATTGATTCTAGCATCTTATTCTTGGTCGTAATTCTCATTCTCATTCCATACATCAAACAGTAACTCGACAGCAATTTCTTGGAATTAGCTATGGATCCACCTGGAGCATTAGCTTATCTGCACTTCGATCCATTGTCGAACTGGAATTGTCGATTCTGCCGCATCTCAGTAGACAGTGCTGTCAGTCTCCAAGCTCATCGGCAAACCGACGCACATCTTGCCAAGACACAATATCGGAGTCACTATTGTCTCAGCTGTGAGCCAGCGAAGTGGCTCCATAATCGAAGGCTATGGTCGACGCATCGTGGTGATCAACATAACATACTTTCGCCCAATACTGGCCCTGGACCACTGTCTGAGCAAGATGAGTTCAGAGCTACGAATGAACCCTTTCTCTGCCCATATTGTCCAGTGGAGCGACACAGATTCAGGCTCTTTAGTGGCCTCAGACAACATATGCTTGCGTTACACCCCGATAGAGACATTGACCTCATCTTGAGTCACTATATAGACGGAACAAGCACCTGCCGGATTTGTCCAAACGGATATATGATGACAAAGGCTCAATGCACCAGACATCTTGAAGTGCATCAGGTAGAATTCGAGCGAAATCGGCTATCCATTCAATCGCTCCAACAGCACGGAACATCTCAAGACGTTCAAGCAGATTCACAATCCGCTCAACAGGAGCAAAGCATCGGCCATCTTGACGAGACCTCGCAAAATGAAAACACACAACAAGGGTCTCAAGATGTCCTCAAGAACGACACCACTTCCAGCATAATCTATATGAGCGAGCCACTTCTGCAAGGTTCCCGGCAGATCTCCGAAAGCTGTTCTCCTTCCAATCCCTCTGAACCCAAGACCCCTATGCCAGCTTCCTCCCAATTCTACAGCAATGGCTCCTTGATCTCGACACCACAAGTGGCTGGGCCAATCATGAAACCTTTCCAACAAGAAAATTTTGACGGCCACTTTCCCTCTGGTACAGCTGAACATCACATGCCGGCTCTAGAAGACCACAACGCCATGTCCAACTTGGGCTCCATAAGCCAGCCATCAACTATAGGGAACTACAATGCCGCTTCCGACTTTGGGTTTTCGGGCCATTTCCCAGCTCCGGAAGACCACAATGCCATGTCCAACTTGGGCTCCATAAGCCAGCCATCAACCATGGGGAACTACAATGCCGTTGCCGATTTTGGGGTTTGGGGTCATTCCCCAGCTCTTCAGGAAGACAACGCCGTTTCTGGCTTTGGCTCGTTAGGCTACCGACACGCTCAAGAAAATTACAACAACATTTCCGACTCTAGCTCTTCAAGCCAATTGCTAGTTCCTAGGGACTACAACACCGTCTCTACCTTTGGCTCTTTAGAGCAGCGACAACCCATACAAACACCTCATCAAAATACTGATCAGTGGGGATTTAGTCCTGCAGACTACAGTGCCATTCTCAGATGTAGCTCCTTAGACCAAAGTGAAACCATACAACAACCAAGCCAAAACCAGAATGCTATCGAAAGTTTCCACTTTGGCTCCTCAAACCAGCGAGAACCCATAGCAGAAACCCGTCAAGACCAGAATGCGACCGCCGCTTTCGATTTTGGCTCTTCAGGTCAGCGAGCACCCATGCAGAATCTCGTCCAAAACCAGAATACCACCAACATTAATGTAGAGGGATTCAGCACTACTGTTTTCGACTCTAGCTCGTCAAGCCACCAAGAACCTATACAGCAACCCCGCCAAGACCAGAATACCACCAATATTAATGTCGAAGGAAACACTTCTGAGGACTGGAACGAATTTCTCGACTTCAGCTCACTCGACCAACGAGAACCTATACCACAACCGCACCAAATTCAAAATGCAAACGAGTTCGACCTTGCCTCTTTAAACCAGCGACAACCCATACAAAGCCCCCAGCAAAGCTTGAATACCACCAATGTTGATATGGAGGGATTTACCACTGATGACATGAATATGATTAGAGAGATTTTCGACTGGTGAAGGGCTACATCCCATCCTTCAGGCCATGGAACATCAGGAGACAGTTCCAAATACAGTCTGGAGATTGGACTTGTGTTGCGGCTTATGTTCAGCTCTTGGCTGTCCAGCCCGTATTCTGCCAATAACTGGGCCAATAACTGGGACAGTAATGCATAGTGACGAGATTAGAAGTAGACAAGCGCGAGAATTAGGACATGTCGCTACTTGACTTGGCTATGATTTCGGGGGCTTGGCAATGTCTGGACAGTGCAATGGAGTTCATAAGAGGCATGAGTGGTGCACCATTCGATGTTGTAATTGCTTGGGTGATACCAATTCTGTTTAAAGTTTATTACGTACCTATCATTCTTACCTCTGCCGCTCCTATCAACTAGTCGTAGCTGGAGGTGTGATATGCCTTGGCGTACCACTCAAGGTTAAAGTCTCATCTCCATGCGGACCAAGCAGGGTTACCGTTTCTCCTGGATACCCCCAATAATCAGTGAACGTAGCACCGTTATCTTCCGTCCATGGACCTCCTGTTATGATAACTCCAACCTGTCTCTTCCCAATATCTTCTTCATTAACTTCAGGCCTAGCGGTAATTACAGCATCCTCAGGACCAATCGTAAGACTCATAGGTCCACCCGGGTTCCCACCAAAAGTTATCGTCTCTCCCCCTATCGTGATCGTCTCACCTCCACCCCAATAAGTGCTTGCTGGAAGTGTGCTCTCGCCCCAGGTAATAGTATTTATCTGCTTCTTCTCAATCTCAATGATGTTCTCAGTAGCAGCTGCAGCCCCAGCCGTGAATGTCAAGCTGAAACCAGGTCCGCCTCCATACCAAGACGTCGAAACAGGTAAGTCGCTCTCAGTCGTCCACGGTCTACCTGTAGGCGTCAAGGGAAAGAATTGTCTCTCTTCGATATCTTCCTCAACGCCGCCAGCTGAGAGACTTAATACAGGAACAGGTGGGAATGTGAATGTAAGTGTCTCGCTACCGAATGTCATTGTCTCGGTGCCACCTCCAAAAGTCAACGTGCCTGTGTTCTCGATGGTGGTCCCTCCACCCCAGGAGGAGGTCGGCATGAAGGATGTAGAATCTGTTCCGGTGGGGAAAAAGATGGTCGTGTCGGTTGCGGACGGGAATGAGCTGTCTGTTATGACTGGGATATCGGTAGATGTGAAGCTTGGATCGTTGGAATAGGTCATCGTTGAGTCTTGTCTCTTGTGTTTGAGTTCGAGGGGTGGAATGGAGGTGTCTGGGTGATCGTGATATTTCGTTTCGGTCGAGAAGGTGGTTGGAGGTAGTGTCATGATGATACTGCTTGAATGCTCGCTTGGAAGAGTGGTAGGAGGTAAGGTTTTGATGATGCTTGGCGGAGTGGCTGAAGTGCCTGATGGAGGCGGTGGAGGAGCATCGCAGTTGGCGACGCAGTATCCCCAGTTCCCTAGGCTTCCAGCTCCAGCACAGGGTGTTCCGTAAGTTGCGTTCGCGTTATTGGTCCCGCACCAGTCGCATGTACAATCCCCATCACATGGACGGGGACGATGAGCGACTTGCCACTGTGGTGGCGTGTTAGAGGTATTCGAGTAGAATAAGGGCTAGTAAGGGATTGCACGCACGTCAGCTCCATTGTGATATAAATCATTCCAGCACTTGCAACATGCTTCCTTATTGAAAGTAGGGTGCAGAACAGCTTCGTTTGATCGTGGGTTGGGGGACGTCGCTGGTGCAGAATGCACAGGCGAAGACAGAAGTATGAACACAAGGAGAGCGACGAATTGCTTCATCTCGAAGACTTGGCTAACAGGCCAACTTGTTTTTCGCCCAAGAAAGGATTACGAGATCAACACAGAAGCGAATAGGTGAATAACTTGACTCTTATAGCGTGGATCAGCAATCAGCGGCAGCACCAATGGATGCAACCGAGATCTCCACGAGGACCCTCAGATGCACTACATGGATGAAAGGTGGTATGATGCTTAAATATATTGTACTTGCAAAAGATATCGCCATAAATGGAATGAAAAGAGTGAAAGTGACTGCCGAACACTCAATTCACGGCGCTGCAAACCGAATGTAACTATAACATCTATCTTTAGCCAAGAAATCAAAAGGCTTATGTTCCGGGTAAGCGGTGCTGGTACACTTGGTCCCCTTGTTGTTTTAATGAGATTGGTAAAAGTGAGGAACCAGGTGGTCCGGAAGTGCGGTGGAAGGCGGCTGAATACCCTTGACGGGTAGATCATATGCAACAATAAGAACCTTAATGCAGGTGCATGTCCTGATCGCGCAGGGTAGAGTTTTATTCTCGATCCCATTTTGCTGTTCTATCTTTGGGGTCATATATAGATGAGTGTAACATCAAATATGAGACGACTTCTCAGTCCCTCAGTTCTCACCGTTAATGGGAAAACCTCTCACGGGATATGGATCCGTAAATGACCCGTTGGCGAATGGCTGGAGGGGTAGTGATGGCTGCGTGTAAGCACTCCGAGCCTTCGCGTAGGTCATCATGACTTGGCACCGATCACGTTCTGATGCAGGCACTCTCTCCATCTGGGTGCCGTTGCTATGGAATAAGATCCTCTTGCTTCCGTTAATAGTCCAAGGTTCCCATTCTGGATATGTTTGATTACGAAGCTTGTTGGGATCGAGAGTGAGGACGAAACTGATCCAATAGCTCTGTAAGATTGGGACTGCTCCTGCATTTCCTCCTTGGTCGTTGGAGATGTAGTAGGAAGGCGGTGGCGATCCATCTGTGTTGTTTGGACCCCAGATGGCGTTTAATTCGACCGTGTGATACACCCTATTGCCTGTAGCAGCATCTCGAGGATCGAGGACATCGTAGTGATAGTGCCAGTTCTGCGTGTTTCCAGCTGCGAAGTGCATGTCAGACTGAAATGCCGCGACACAGCGCAAAAACGTTTCTCCATAAATTGCTAGCATCGTGCGAGTTAGTAAATGTGTCCGATGGCGACATTTTGTGACTGAATTCCGCCCGAGGGGATCGACTCACCAGCAAGACGTTGCCATTCGTTACCAGCACCTGGATATGTTGCATTCAGAACTGCCCCCGAAAATGTGACATTATTCAGAGAGTCAGGATATATGGTCTTGATTTCGTTGAGTTGAGTATCGTTCATGTTTCCAAGATCCTTCTTGAGTAAAGCGTCCAGGGTTTGAGATGTCACTGTTTTGTCGACATTCTTGGTCCCTTCATCAGTGCAGCTTCCATAGATGACGGGCACTTGACGGAATAGTCTCGCTTCATACATTTCGTATAGTGGAGCCTAGATGTCAAGACCATCATATCAGCATAATTTTTCTTAGTGCCACAAACTCAAGGGATCGCTTGTTAGAAATCCTAACGTGAATATAAATCAACTTACATGGAGGAGATCGTATTCAATGCATGGACTCCAAGTATAGGTCGGCGATTTGGTTTGCAATGTTGCGACATCGAGTCCTCTCAAGCATGAAAGAGTATCGGTGCTATTCGAGCAGCCAGTGGCATTTACCAGCGCATTGTAGCGAGGTTGGAGGTCGACCACTTGAGCATCACCACTGACTGAAGGACTTTCAGCAGCGGCTGCGTGAAAGTAGCCCTCTCTCCTCGTTAGCGAGTTGGATATGAAGAAAAGAGTGGCAAGCTTACAGGAAGTCCCGTTCCGTTGTGCGCAGCCATGAGGTACCCAATAATGATTGCACCAACACTGTCTCTGAATATCAGAGTTTAACGTTAGTATGAGATGGTCCGAATTCATTGAGAAGTGCTGAAAGGTTGATCAGAAGATATGCTCACCCCGAAAGGACAACTTGATGAATGTTCCCGCCAAACTATACATTACTTAGTAAAGCTCCTATGATCAAAGCCCCCACCTACCAAATCAGCACGATCTTGGACCCATTGCAATGCATATATCACTATTGGACCGAATCAGTACCTGCTTTGGCATGACGAATAAGTTACTTACCATCTTTCAAACCGTTGTTCAGACTGCCACCGGCAAGGACCTCTTTACTCGCAAGCGCGCCAAGAAGCCCAACTCGATAGTTCAGAGTGACGACCATCATGGCCATGCCCGAATTTTGAACAAGTAGACTGCCGTTGAAGTTGCCATTCGAATCACTGGTCCAACCGCCTCCTTGTATGAAGACCATGATAGGAAGATTGGAGGTTGTTGTAGCATTTGTGGGTGCATAGACGTCCACGAAAAGGCAATCTTCATCCATAGGCTGCTTTCCTAAGTCGCACAATCTTGGAGTTAGTCATCGGATTTCATTCTTTCTCAGGACGAGAATGTTCTAGAGAGTGACAAGTTTCATGGCTTCTAGAGACACATGATGCAAAGAGCTGTTCCCCAAGGAGACTCATACCATACTGTAAGCCTGGCCCTTGTTGATTTGCTAGGCATAGTGTTCCATGCTAGCAAAGGATGTTAGATATGTCTTTCCACAACGGGAGAGAGTCCACGTTGACACGTACTTTGTTGGCTTTCTGGACACTTGAATTGTACACAGGTGTCGTAGGGGCCGCAAAACGTAAAGGACCTAGTGGAGGAGCCTGTTTGCCAACTTCAGATTCAGAGCAATGTGATGGGAAAAGCGGATAGATACAGCATATCGGATCCCAAGCCACTGCGATACTCCATTTGGCAGCGCTGTTCCTTCATACTTGGAATAGCTCAAATCAACAACAGGACCGACAGCATCTGTGGTCATGAGGACCACAGCAGCTGCGAGGAAGGTTGAAATCCTCATATTGAAGCACTGGCGTCAACTTAAGGCCGAAGGATGGAAAGGAACAAAGCATTGAACATGGCTCAAAAACTACCTATATACCTTTGGATCTCCAGTCTTACATATCAAGACTGCCTGAATGTAAGGTTTGGAGAAAATTGGTAATTGGTACTTGTGCGTGAAAGGATGTTTCCCTCAGACTGTTTCAAGCATATGAAAATCTGCGCTTGTAAGACTTCAGCCTGAAGTTGAAAATAATGGAAGAGGTCAAAAAGACACCAGAAGCGGCGGCTGAAGCCACAGGGGAGAGTGTACGCGCATGCAGGTCCTTTTGATATGTTGCTTGAGGTAGATGTTAACGTTCCATGAAGTATTGTGGTCCCCCACTTGAGGACAACGTGGCGGTGAGACATGAAGGCCCGTCCCGGTGGCGTTCCACCTTTCTGCTGGCAATACATTCAGTGCTAGACACATATTTGCATTACGGTTGTATCGCAAAGACGTATATATAGTGACAAGGTGCAGCAATGAAGAAGAATCTTGGAAGTCCTAATTTCGAGCTGTCATGTGACACAGAGCGACGATATGTTTTAGGCAATGTCCCATCCAGGTGAGTCCAAGTTTTCATTCTCCTTCAGCACAATCATCCAGTGAGATTGTTCTGCGGAGTTTGCGGTGCTGCAACGATACTGGGTTGTGTACTACGTCAAGAGCTTGGCGTATGTAAGCGTTTCGACCACTTGCTTTGCCGCTCGTATTCATCTTGGCTGGGGATCCAGGCACCAACATATTGTCCTCTACCCATCGAGAAGTTCTCAAAAGGTTTCAAAGTCAATTGAATTGGCTTAATTTGCACTTCATCCTTTTCAGCATCATGTCTTCCACTGACGACTTCGTCCATATCTTGTCTGGCCCAAATCCCAGCCCTTCTCACCCTGGATGGAGCACCACGCAAGAACTTCTCAATAATTGCAAGGCCGATCGGCAGTTCACAGAGGGGCTCATCTACGATGCTCTTGTTGCCAAATATCCTCATCACCACGTAGCTGTCGTTCCTGGCTACCCAACTGATTTTCTAGCGTTTGGATCAGCAAGTCAAGATGTGACCTTTTCTCCTCATAAGGAAATCGGACTGATAGAAAGATCATTCTTGCCACCAGCCAGGCGCTATAACGACGAGAATGGTGGCAATTTTGCTGACACTGTCATCTTCGGGATGTTCGATTATCAGTATAAAACCAACCAATTCCTTGTTTACATTGCGGATTGTCAAGATGGGATGTACAAGAAGAAATTCTCCTATGTTTTGTACGAATACAAGGATTCTACCGAGAAAATCTTCGCCCAACAGATTACCGATGAATTGATAGCTGCTGCCGCAAAATATGCGCAAGAGCTTCATAATGAAGTCCTTGTGTTTGATCAAGGATTTTGGCAAAAGAACAAAGAGCTGTATGAAAACATCCAGAAATCGAACTGGGAAGACGTCATCTTGGAACAGGAGAAGAAGGAAGCTATCATTGAAGATGTTCTAGGTTTCTTCAATGCGGAGTCTAGATACGCTGAGTTTGGAGTGCCGTGGAAACGAGGAGTCATCTTCTATGGTCCACCCGGCGTAAGTTGATGTTTTAGATCAAGGAATCTCGGGGCTAACGAGCGGCTATAGAATGGAAAGACTATCTCGACGAAAGCTCTCATGCATGACATCTCGAAGAGAACATCTCCAAAGATCGAGTCTCTTTATGTCAAGACATTCAACAGCTTTGCTGGACCAGAGTATGGCATTCGTCAGATCTTCATGCAAGCACGACGCTTGGCCCCATGTCTTCTTATCTTTGAAGATATTGACTCTCTGATCCTCCCCAACGTTCGAAGTTACTTCCTGAACGAAGTTGACGGACTTGAGTCCAACCATGGTATCCTTATGATTGGAAGCACCAACCATCTCGAGAGACTGGATCCTGGCATTGCAAAACGTCCCAGTCGATTTGATAGAAAGTATCTTTTCGACGTTCCCAACAGAGAGGAGAGAATTCAGTACTGCGACTACTGGCGTCACAAATTGCGAAACAACAAGAAAGTCGACTTTCCTAAGGTGATGTCCGAAAAAGTAGCCGAGATCACTAGTGATTTCTCCTTCGCTTACATGAAGGAAGCATTCGTCGCCGCTCTACTCGTCATTGTGGCCAGGTCTGACGAGAAGTCAAGACTTAGACGCAGGGAAGATGATCTAAGTGGGAACGTTCTTTGGAAGGAGTTGTACAAACAGATTGAGAGCCTCAGAAGAGAGATGGATGGTGACGATGACGAAGATGCGGTATCTAGTGCAAGCATGACTGTTGGCATGACCGGTGGGATGAGCATGACTGGTATGTGGCCAGCTTTGGGTGGGGTTCTTGATGAGAGACGTCCAAGTCCTCTCGACTTTCCTCTCCTCAACAGGAACAATGGCATGCCCAGATACTACTAGATGCTATATTGTAATAGTAACAGCACAGTATCATGAATTAGGGATTACGTATAACTATACTGTACAATGCACAATTTCGTGCTGTGGGGTATCACAATCTCAAATATAGCTCGACTCGGCCCTGGCCACTCATTCATCGTCAAGGAACCTGCTTGCAAGTGGCCCAAAGAAAGGTACTTCGCATCGGTCCAGCGTATCCGCTGTGATTCTATCAGTCTTCTGCCTATATTCCATTCAACGGTCCCCAGACTTACCATCCTTGTATGCCCTCATTGTCAAGAAACCAATTAACCCGAGATCTCCAATAAAAATAAGCCAAGACATAAACGTTGACCACGAGAATATCAAATGCAGAACGAAGACCGCCGTGAACAGCAACGCCGACTGCCACGCATGGAATCTGCCAAAAGAATCATCAGCACAAATCCTCAGTCATTCCCAGCACAATGCTCCCTCGATTCCATGTGTCCGGAGCTTCCATGATACCCTCAAGCTCTTTCACTATAGCTGCATAAGGACAAACTCACCTCACATAATCACTCTTATGCTCCAAAACCAACAACAGCACTCCGCTTGCTGGAGGCAATAATAAATAAGCCAGACAAGCCTCATAGTCCAACCTAATCGGCAAACTCGTCTCAAACTCATTCAACCTCTCCCTCCCTGCCCCGCTTTCCACATCTCCTCCATGGCCCCCAAAATAACTATGTCTGAACGCCTGCGGAGTAGGATCTTCTACCGGTGCCCACGGATTCGCATGCGGAGGAGGCGCATTGCGTGGTGATGGCAGGGCGGGGGAGTACGAGCGTCGAGGTTTCGGGGAGAAAGAACGTCGACCTTCTTGTGGAGGTGGGGAGAGGGCTCGTGAGAGTTCAGGAGATTGATTTTGGTAGGGCGCGAAATCCATTTTTGGATACTGGGCTGGAATCTGGTGTTATGTTGTGTTGTGCAGAGAAGCTTGTTGTTACACGGTCATTACTTTTGTTGGTGGAGTTCTGGTGATGCCGGGAGGTTCACATGCACGCGGAAATTCAAAGGTCTGAGTCTCGTGCCTCAAATTTACAGTGCCCAGGTGTGGCACATCAAAGCCCCGAAATCGCCAGTCTGAATCACGGCTGATAAAAGACTTTGTGTTCACAATCTGATTCAAGAAGTCGAAGCTTTCGAAAAAGATGCACTATATTCACAATAGGCATCTATTAAAAGCCTGCCTAGAGAAATCAGAAACGCTCAAAACGACGAAACTCCTCAGATGACAAGAGCCTTTTTGAAGGCGCCTTGCATCCGTATTTAATCCCGTATGCGATGCGTCATGTACAAGCCCGTTCTGTGTGATAAGAGGGCCTGTCCTTCCCATTCCCTGTACCATTCCCCATCCAAGTGTTTCACGCCGTTCATCAATCATCAATTCATCTGAATTCCATTGCGGGAAAGCAACCACGGTCTTCAACGTGTTTCAGCTCCAATTGCTGAAATCTGGGTATTTGTCAGTGTCTGACATAGCAAGGCTGTAGTTGACTTACTTCTCGCTCTTTGCGTGGAAATATATCCCGCTCACAGTTCCTTGAATCTGATTGAAGCATATATAATAAAACCCCTCGAAACTCGCACCACTGATCGTTCGGACTCGATGATCAGGCACTAAAAAGTGTTCTTTCCATCTCATGAATATATTCTCTCGTTGGGCCAATTGAGGGATATGCATATGTCCTTTCTTCACTTGCTTCTGGAATGGTCGATAGGCGGAGAACTTGGCCCAATGCTGCAAGTCTACTTTATCCGTTGAGCCCCAGTCTTGATGTTGAGTGAAGAATGTATATTTCGAGCCTATGATCTCTCCCTCGAAGTAGGTGGTGAGGGTAGGATGGTCTTCGGTCAATCCTTGGGATAGTATCAGTATCTTTTCACCTGTCCAAATATCAATGCATACCTTGTATCCGTAGATATCCACATAGAAAAGATTCCCGCATGTCTACATGCTTAATTTCCACCTGGACATCGTAGACTTGACGCTCAGACTGTTGGGTACCACGATACTTGCTCCCAGCGCGCAGGTAGGAGGAACATGAAGACGGTATGAGCTGATTTCAATCAGTGTTGTTCCCTGAAATCTGCATTCCACTTTAAAGCCTTTTGACGGATATGTACATACTCTTATATTAGAGAAGTCGTAGCCCATGGAGGGAGAGCTCAGGTCTGTATTTGACAAGGTGGGAAGTTCAACATCCTCTGGCTTATCTGCCTCGGCACTCATGGGAGACAGTATATCAGGACCGCTAGTCTCTTCGTCGATATCCATTCGTTTTGTCTGTTGATGCTCTGCGATGTGGGTATTCGTTGAACCGGTAACTTGCGAATCTGTCGGTGGAGGTGTAGGTTGTTGAAGCACTTCTGGAGCAGTCACAATTGCTTCATCTTGCGTATCTTCCATTTGTATACTCCTCCAACTCGACCTGTCATCGTCGGGTGGGCATGAGGAGTGAAGTGAAGACGCCGCAGCGAGGTTGTCAGCGCTCGAGGGAGTCGGCATTTGGTCGTGCCCGCGCGCCCGCCAGGCACAGAGAAGGGGATGATTCTAATGATACAGGCAAAGAAGCAATGAAAAGCGACCTGTGTCGGTGAATTAGATGGTTGTTGTCGCGCAATACATTTTTGGCAGATGATAGAGAGAGGAATGATATGGCGAAAGCCTCCATTGGGTCAAGTTTCTGGAAAGGCTAGCGAAGCCACCCTTGAAAGTTGCCCCAGTCACTCCCCGCGTTCAGACTTCAGTCGCGTGAACTAAGAATGGCTTGACAAAAAGCACAACATATCTGTTAGAGGCACCTTATTCACGGGTTCATGCATAAATGCAGGATTGTGTGTGGTTGTGGCTTTCTTCTTTCTCGATATGCTTTTGTGCTGAAATTGCGTCATAATAACTGCAATCTGAAGACAGCCTTCAAGTGTCACAACGTGCCCGATGTCCCAAGTGGAAGTAGACTTTTACACAACCATGGTTGTCGAAAAGACTCGCCGGCCTCTATGGTGTCCCTTTGATGCCAGAATAGAACTCCATGCGTCTCGATCGCTATGCATCTTCAAATATTTTCTCCATCAAATAGGCTTGATCTTGAAATGCAAAGCTATCAACGAGAAAACCAGTGCCTTGAGATCCTGAACGAGATAGTAGAACACACGGAGGCCTTCCGGGTCTTGAGATTCGGTAACGTCGACAAGGGATCCGATCTTAGCAGTCTGTAAACTCATTAGACATGTCCCAACGTTGCGTAAGAACGAAATTGTAATCTTCATACCTCGAATGATATGTGCTCACTGCCTATCTTGATCTCCAATTCCTGGCGTCCATCCTTGTTCTTCTTTGGCCATTTGCCGTCGTCTTCCCTAATCATCTGTGAGCATGGGAGCATGGCCATTTCAGGACAACAACATACTTCATGATCTCACTGGTCTTGATAATGCGCTTGATCTCATCCACCAAAAGAGAGCTGACACACACTGGCACGCTCCATATTAGTGTACTTCTACACACAAAGCTGGTTTGTCAACGTACTCTCTTTGCGGATCAAAGAATCATTGCGGTAGTTTGAGTTGTTCGCATATCTCGCAGTCGCTCCCTTTCCTTCTCCTAGTACTCGGAAATCGAATTCTATCAAGTTGTAAGTATGCGCCAGAGTCGTCGCAGCTTGACAACTAACCAAGGAATTCGTGACCAAATCGACCTTGATGTCCCGAGCTGAAAACAACATTAGTTATTGGCTTCTTCAATCTGTATGTATCTTACTAGTATCTGATGTAGAAAGGTTCATTTGAGGATGCCATCTTGACTTTTCAAGATTATTGATAGATGTCGCGGTCTCCAGTGTTTTCAAAGAAGGCTGAAGCTCCGACAATTCAGGTGGGGTTGCGGCCTGAGGCGCCCACCCGTAGCGCACTGAATCTGAATTGAACAGCAAGCTACACTTTGGTCTGCGGTTATGAACTTCTGATGCGCAACGCTGCCGTGAGTTTCCCACTCTGTGCGAGAAGAATACTAGAATCCGTCCCTCCTTTCACTTTTTGCCCCCTTCCACGAACCCCCAATCTACCAGCAAATACGAAGAACGCACAACGGCCGCTTCGAATATCAGAATATCCCTGAGGCCACGCTTTAGCAAGACCAATACTCGACGCGCTGTGCTGCAGTTCACAACACCCATCTAGCCACTATGGCTTCCTTCTTAGAGAGCTCGTACAGCTTAGTACATCAAGACAATGCGGCAGATGTACCAACAATGTCAGACCTGCGCAATCAGTTGGAGAAGGGAACGGATGAGAGCAAGGTGGAAACCATGAAGCGCATTCTCACAGTAATGCTGAATGGAGACCCCATGCCTCAACTACTCATGCACATTATTCGTTTCGTTATGCCTTCAAAGCATAAGGCGTTGAAGAAGCTTTTATATTTCTATTATGAAATATGCCCCAAGCTTGATTCCAGCGGTAAGCTGAAGCAGGAGATGATTCTTGTCTGGTGAGCAATTCGTACCAAAACGTGCAATCGTAATATTAATCTGTTCTAGCAACGGAATTCGAAATGACCTTCAGCATCCGAACGAGTACATCCGAGGAAACACATTACGATTCTTGTGCAAGCTTCGGGAAGCAGAACTCATTGAACCCCTCCTATCCTCTGCACGATCTTGTCTAGAACATCGCCATGCATACGTACGCAAAAATGCTGTCTTTGCAGTTGCATCCATCTTCCAACATTCAGAGAGTCTGATCCCCGACGCCCCCGAGCTTATTGCCACGTTTTTGGAGACTGAGAGTGATCATACCTGCAAAAGGAATGCATTTGCGGCTTTGGTTAGCATCAGCCATGACAAAGCACTGGCATATCTGAGCAGTGTATTTGATGGCATCCCAAATGCAGATGAATTGCTCCAGTTGGTTGAGCTTGAGTTCATCCGCAAAGATGCGATTCAGAACTCTCAAAATAAGGTAAAGACTCCGAAGAAATCATGCCATACCTCACTGACACTCTAGGCTCGCTATCTCCGTCTCATTTTCGACCTTCTCGAAGCTGGTGCCACAACTGTAGTCTACGAGGCTGCATCATCTTTGACCGCATTGACCAACAACCCGGTGGCTGTCAAGGCGGCCGCATCGAAATTCATTGAGCTGAGCATCAAGGAAGCCGACAACAATGTCAAGCTGATTGTACTTGACCGTGTTGATGCTCTGAGACAGAAAAATGAGGGCGTCTTAGACGACTTGATTATGGAGATTCTCCGTGTCCTGTCGAGTCCTGATATTGATGTCAGGAGAAAGGCTTTGGATATTGCTATGGAAATGGTCTCGAGTAAGAACGTGGAAGAAGTGGTACTGCTTTTGAAGAAGGAACTTTCGAAAACCGTTGACCAAGAATACGAGAAGAACAACGAGTACCGACAGTTACTCATCCACGCCATCCATCAATGTGCAATCAAATTCTCAGAAGTGGCCGCAAGCGTTGTTGACCTCCTCATGGATTTCATTGCAGACTTCAATAATACGTCGGCCGTCGATGTCATTTCATTCGTCAAAGAGGTGGTCGAAAAATTCCCAAAACTTCGCCCGTCTATCGTCGAACGTCTTGTTTCTACTTTGAGCGAGGTCCGAGCCGGAAAGGTCTACCGAGGAGCGTTATGGATAGTTGGTGAATACTCACTAGAACCCAATGATATCCGAGATGCATGGAAGAGGATACGAACCAGTTTGGGTGAGATCCCTATATTGGCATCAGAGCAACGTCTCCTCGACGAAGCAACAGATGGTACAGAACCACCAAAGGAAGCAGAGCAAGTCAACGGACATTCGAAGTCGGCACCTACTGGTTCAAGGAGGGTACTTGCCGATGGTACTTACGCCACCGAGAGTGCTCTGACCAGCCAGTCTGCAGTTGCAGCTAAGTTGGAGGCTGTGAAAGCAGCTCAGAAACCACCTCTTCGTCAACTAATTCTCGATGGCGACTATTACTTGGCGTCTGTCCTTTCCTCCACTCTCACCAAACTCGTCATGCGCCACTCAGAAATATCCCCTGACAAGGCACGCACCAATGCTCTTAGAGCTGAAGCAATGCTGATTATGATCTCCATTATCCGTGTTGGTCAATCGCAATTCGTTAAGGCCCCCATTGATGAAGACTCCGTGGACAGAATTATGTCTTGTGTAAGATCTCTCGCCGAATTCGCACAGAACAAAGACCTTGAGACAGTCTTTTTGGATGATACAAGAAAGGCATTCCGTGCTATGGTTCAAGTTGAAGAAAAGAAGAGAGCGGCTAAGGAAGCTGTCGAGAAAGCCAAGACTGCCGTTCAAGTTGACGATGTCGTTTCCATCAGACAACTTGCCAAGAAGAATGCCGGAGATGGAACAGATGAGATTGAGCTTGATCTCGAAAAGGCAACTGGTGGCGATTCGACCGTTGAGGATCTTTCATCGAAGCTCAGTAGAGTCGTTCAGCTCACGGGTTTCTCAGACCCTGTATACGCAGAGGCATATGTTAAAGTCCACCAATTCGATATTGTTCTCGACGTGCTTTTGGTAAACCAGACAACTGAGACACTCCAAAATCTCTCAGTAGAGTTTGCAACATTAGGAGATCTCAAAGTTGTTGAGCGACCAACCACACAGAACCTTGGACCTCACGACTTCCAAAATGTCCAATCTACGATCAAGGTCTCATCAACAGATACAGGAGTCATCTTCGGAAATGTTGTTTACGATGGTGCCAGCTCAACCGAGAACAATGTGGTCATCTTGAATGATGTTCATGTTGACATTATGGATTACATTCAGCCCGCAGTGTGCACGGAAACACAATTCCGAACTATGTGGACTGAGTTTGAGTGGGAGAACAAAGTCAACATCAACTCGAAAGCTAAATCACTACGAGACTTCTTGACACAACTGATGGCTTGCACAAATATGAGCTGCCTGACGCCTGAAGCTTCGATGAAAGGGGACTGCCAATTCCTTAGTGCCAATTTATATGCACGCAGTGTCTTTGGTAAATTATTTCTCAACCTTTGCTTATGGCATACTAATTTGTATAACAGGTGAGGATGCTCTGGCAAACCTGAGTATCGAGAAGGAGGGAGAGGATGGACCAGTGACCGGCTTCGTCCGAATTCGCAGCAGATCACAAGGGTTGGCACTTAGCCTCGGATCATTGAAAGGCTTGAACAAGGTTGGAGAGGCTGCCTGAGTGTGGTAGAGATCCTAATGAGAGATGGACCATTTGACTTTGCAGCTCCCCTTTTATGAGCTTTTCGGCAAGCGTACTTCCTAATGAATAGAACGGAAGCTGGAGATGCATTGGCTGAAGCGGATATGACGGAGCCTGATGTAGTGTAAGTGATGTGCAAGTATAGCCACGCTTTGAGTTGGGTCATCATGAATGGCGCAGAAAAGCAAAAAGGAGTTATCTAGATACTGAGGTCATTGCATGAAATACTCCAAATGTCCTCGCTCGGAGCGTTCACTAATGAGACATGTGTGATCAACCTGTTTCTATCTTAGCGACTCTAATCAAATTCTGCTCCTGAGAACCGAATCACATTGAGGAGACAGAAGGGAACTTCTGTACGGTATGGGAAGAGGTAGCTAAGTGGCAAGAATCAATCCCTTGTGCCTGCATCACGAATGTCATCGGCAGTATATGGAAAGCTGTGGTTTGTTGGTTGTTACTTACTCTGGAGAAAAGGTCCTCTGCAGTGAAGCAATATCCTACCATGGCAAGTCCAGTAAGTAATATTAGATAAGATCGGCTCCAAAGTCCTCGCTTTCTTCCCAGACAAAATCGCATGTTCCTTCCCAGGACGGATTTAATAGTTTGCAATTTTGAAGCCTCGCGATGCAAGGCTGACCTTGCAGCCTCGTGCACGGACTTCAAAAATATTTCCGAGCTTTTGTACATTCTCCTCCACACCCCGCCATCCAGACTTATTGTACATACAACCCATTCAAAATGGCATCCGATATCCAACAAACACCATTCATCAAGCAGCTCGCTGCAAGTGGTACGCCCCCAACATCCTTTCCAGATCCTACAAACAATTAACAACCCACCACAGATCGACCCACCCGCGACGCAGCCCTCCACTCCCTCCGCACATTCCTCTCAGCCCGCCGTTCGCTCCCGCCTCTCGAGCTCCTCAAATTATGGAAAGGCCTCTTCTACTGCCTCTGGATGTCCGACCGGCCCAAACCGCAAGCAGCGCTCGCGCAAGAACTCGCAAACCTGCTCACCATCCTGCCGTCTCTGCCCGAGAAAATCGAGTTCCTGAGAGCGTTCTGGAAGACGATGCAGAGGGAATGGACCAACATCGATGTCTTGAGGATGGAGAAATTTTTGCTGCTCGTGAGGAGGTTCCTTGCTGCTACGTTTGTGGCGGCGAAGGAGGGGAAGATGGAGTGGGAGGAGGAGAGGGTGGGGATGTTGGTTCGGACGTTGGAGGAGGTGCCGTGTGAGGTGGAGGATGTGAAGGTTCCGAATGGGTTGAGGTTTCATGTCATTGATATTTATGTTGATGAGTTGGAGCGGGTGGGAGCTTTAGAGGAAGGGAGTGAGGCGCCTATTGAGATTCTATTGGGTCCCTTGAAGGCGTTGGCTAAGGGAAGTCCAACTAAGGCTGTTAGGAATAAGGCCAAAGAAGCTTTAGCTGACGAGAGACTGCCTGGGAATGAGAAACCCGAGGAAGTAGAGGCAGAAGCTGAAGACGGGTGGGGAGGAATTGAAGATTGAGTTTAGGGAGCATCAAAAGTTTTGGGAGGCACATATTCCCCATGTTATTGGACTGGTCACGATTCTGGCTCAGCGAGGCGTTCAGGTTATTGCAAGATTGATTTTCCTGTTCGCTATACAGATAGATGAACTCCAAATCTCAAGTCGCGTAGTGCGATCCACCTGTGGGTATCTTGTGGTCAAGTCGAGAAGAGAAACTCTTGTTGATAGAAGAACGCCCCTTTTACATCCAAAGCAAAATACAAATCAAACAGGACCCGGCGCTTCATACATGTGACCGCTTTTTGTAAGGACCGTGCCAAGACCTCTATGTACTTCGGCTTGGAATGGTGCGAAAGGGACTCGTTCTCCGTCTATACTAATGTAGCCGTCTTCTTGGTCTTTAGGGATGATTCTGTATCCGAGGACCTTTCTGTACCAGACTCCCGGCATCTCGTAGAGCTTGCCACTTTCGAGGGAGAACATCATGTTCATAGCAGTCAAGCGGCTAATATCTCCATTTACACATACAAGATCCATGTATCCGTCGTTTGGTAGAGCAGGCGAGAAGAAATTTGCATCAGACGCCATGTATGCCATCTGAAAATGTTAGCCGAGAAATGAGAGGAAACGAGCTTCATAACTTACATTACCACAATAGAAATTACCCAGCTTATCATATGGGACGAGCTCCCACCCTTCTGGTAACTTGTCATTGACAGTTCCATATCTGAGAGGCGGCAGTCCATCTTCGTTTCCACTAGTTGCCGAAGCATCGTCATCTAGCAGATACTTGTATCCTCTCCGCTCACTTGCAGGCTCAAAATTTGTCTTCTCCCGCTTGTAGTGCTCTACAATGGAGTTCTTATCGTCAATGGCGACCTTCACAGCAATATCGCAAGGATACACTGTCTTCCCTAGGAGCCGCACCAAGAATCCGTACGTGAACCTTTGAGCACCCATCCATCGAAGATGTTCAGTTGCCAAGTCAGACTCTGCCACAATTCCGACTGCTTGCGACAGAAAGCTGAGGGTCCGGGTTTCTCCTTGCGTGATGGATATCAGATCCAATGGCGTGGGCAGGCCCTTGATGATGGCCAGTGTAGCCAGACTGGCACTATCTGTGCCATTGAGATTGCAGCTCATAGCATTTCCACTTCCACATGGAATATGCACCACTGCAATCTTAGACAATGCCTTCTTGGCATCTGGTCTCTTTCCAAGACCATTGAAGACTTCGTGAGGCAATCCATCACCAGAGCAGGACGCCACAATGTCGTAGGCCTCAATGTCCAACCTCTCCGCAATCTCTACCGCCTCACCACTGTGCCTCGTTTTCGTCATATCGATAGAACATTGTGCTGCCTTCAAGAGAGGTTCCACATCCCGGTAGTACCATTTCTCAGCACTCCCTTTGCCGCTATGCGGATTGACCAAGACCTTGGCTCTCTTCTTCCTTTGCGACTGGCCATATGCTCTGTCTAAGAGTCTGAGAATCCATTTGTTGACCAGCTCTACCATCTGGTATTCGATAGGATATTTTAAAGTTGCTGCCTTGACTACCGACTTTGCCGACGGTGAGGCATAACTCAGTGTGAGTTCGGAATCCTTCAGCTCGGCCCATAGGACGTTGTAGAAGGGTATTGCGCGTGTATTGGCAGTGCCTGAAACCTTTCTGTTAGTTTCAATTGATGGGTTGTGGAAGTATCGGATACGCACCGGATGGCCAAAGCCCGCAGCAATTACTCCTGTCTCTCTTCTCGAATGCCTCATCTGAAGTTCTGTATTAGCAGTGTGTCCTCTGCAGAGCATCGGGAAGTCTACCTAGCACAATCAGAGAGTCGGTACCCAGAGTCAGTGAGGCATTCCTGCCTACTGCCAAGGTAGCATCAATTGCGAAGGACGATCCTCTTCCTGCTTCTTCAAATGAAGTCGCGGGGTCGACAAAGGGATTGTCGGTAGCCATGGTGGTGGTCGTCATATCTCATCAATCTTTGATAGCCCTCGCATCCTTGTCGTCCCGTTACGCCGTATTGTCGTTGTCAACGAATGTGTTTGTTTGTTTTGTCCTGTCCAGCAGCAAGGAAATGAAGGCGAGTGACGCTTATCGAGCCGAGCTTCGCAATAATAATGATATTCCTCCGGCCGGTCAGCTTCCAACCCTTCGGATCGACGCCCGCACTCTCAATCGCTGAAATCAGTCATGCGGGCGAATTATATAGATTTAGCCTGTACTGCGGTGAAGCAAATAGGATTCCGCACCGAGGTCTTTTTCGATGGCGGGTACCACCAGTTCCCGTTTTTGGTCGACCATAAACCGGCTTCCGGTTTTCTTAGGTCGATGTTCGGCAGCTGATGGTCTCAGATGCTCCTATCACATGCTATCCATTTGGCAACACCGGGGAACCTAATGCAGGGACGCAAGATGTCAGGAGATCTGAAAGACACGGGGTCCTTTCGATGCAGGTACTATCTCAGATCTATCACGATGTTTGTTTCTTTTGGCATGGGGCTGCGGTGCAAGAGATGTTGGTATTGTTGGTGGTGTGGGGCATTGAAGATACCGAGGAAGTCTACGATGCATGATTGATCACTGAAAAGTCGCATTTCTATCTTCGCTGGTCTTTAAAGCATCTTTGATGTGTCCTCAAAGCATTCCTTGTTCTGGAGCTTCACGCTTCCCAGTAAGACTTACGAATAGCTTCGTGGTTAGCTCTAGGGAGCACCGATACAGACAAGTCTATTTACCAGATTAGTGGTTCGTGTCACATCAAATGTCGCACAAGACCAACGAAACCAAGGCATTATCCTTTTCTTCCTTTCTGAGTACTACTTGTGCTGCTATACCGCTACGTCGACATCTCCTTTCACAACTCATTGTCTTTCTGCAGGAGCTGATACTTGACCAGCAAGCTGTCGAACTCTGATGATCCCACAAAGTACTTGTTTTGTCGCGCGGGTTGCAAAATCGCGTTGTGTTTTCGGAGACTTGACGACCAATCGCCTGAAAGGCTCCAAAGTTGGAGGCTCGGAATCCACCGTCGATACTGCGCATCTTGGAGTTGCAATATTGAGACTATTATTGTACCAAGGGGTCCAAAGCTGAAGCTTTCAAGCGGAGACTTGGTCTGTGTAATGTAACATTGGGTTTATGAAGAGACCAGCTGGCCGATGAAAATTGAAATAACGACATATGCTGTAAGCTCATGGAATAGAGAACTCTCCTGTTTCGTGCAACTATGAGGATTGCAATGCTTAGCATGTAATACTCAATTTCTTTCGAACCGGGGGTTCCAATGCTCTCTAACCGGGAAAAGGTTACAAACCGCGAGACGGCTTCCACAAGGCCTTTGTGATATCATAATGAGGATATGCAAGAGTTCAGAAGTCATTCTTCTCGAAAGCACGAACTGACAGTTGGAGTTTCTCTCCCTGGTCTTCGGTCTTCCCCAAGAAGATCCCCATAGGTGAAGAGCCGGCATTCTTATTTAGACCATATTAAAAAAAAGAACCAACTTTCCTACTTAAACGATTTTGGAAAGAATCGCAGCTTATCGAGTCAATGATAAATTGAGAGCAAAATTTGAAAAGAAATAACAGTGTGAGAAAACATAAACGGAACGAAATGAAAGTAGGTTGCTCATGTTCACTCCTCGGTAAATCCTGTACTCCTTCTCTTAGCTTTCAACTCCCCCACGCTTTCACACCCCATACAGGAATTTTATTAAGCACTGGTATACTTCAAAAATTAGCATGTTCAGACAAAAGCGTAGAGGGCGCGGTAATGCATGCCAGCGAGGGGCACGAAGAGGGGTCAGCGAAGATGTGCCGCTTTGCTCCTATGGCCTAACTCCTCATGTATCTTTTCTGCTCAATGGCATACTTTGCCTCAGAATATATCAAAATGTCCCTCCAAAAGAAAGCGGAACTATAAAGATAAAGAAAAGAAGTCCTCCCGTACGAAGGCTAGGGACGAAAACGTAGTCAAAAAATCAGATGCAGCCCAATCACCATGACTGAGGAGCATCCCTAGAAAAAGCATCCCACGGCCGAGAAGCCGATCCGAGGCTTTTCGAAGTTGGTAATTGGAAATGTTCTGATTTGAATTACAGTATGCCCCCTGATCATATGACATTTCCTCTCACTCGATTACTTCAACTGAGAGACGAGAGAACTTATGCCGCTTTGAAGTACTCAGTTGCTGGCGGTCTTTAAATATTAATACCAAAAAATAATAGCATGTCTCCACGTTTCTGGCAAGCTAATACATGAACACTAGACACTCGGGCCGGAGCCGGGTAAAAGGTTACCGATACTCAGTAGTGTAGACTACCTAGGTACCTACCTAGGTACTCAGCTTAATATAGTCGGCTTCGCTCCCCGGCTGTTAGCGCACCTCGGAATCCACAAAGAAGTTGTTTACTTTCGGTCCGTCGTTTTTCCGGATCCCGAAGTCAACGAAGAGACGAATCGAACCAAAATGCCTCCCTTCGAAACAAAGCACGATGCTGACTGGCCTGAAGGATTTGGAATGCCGACCGATCCTATCGATGCTCTCGCTGTCAACCTTGGCTGGAACAGTGGTCACGATGGAAATGCTAGGGCTGGAAGCAAGGAAATGGCAGCTGCTCACCTAGTATGTCACGAGAATGGTCTTGAAAAGTACGCCGAAGAGGAGAAGAGATGCCATTACTGTCAATTCCGAAGATTCTCTACTCACTACGAATTTCCGATCTCCATCAACAACGACGTTGACAACGAAGGACTCCCCGAATCATTCCAGTTCGTTAACAAGGTTGTGCCAAGCGCCGATGTACCACTCATAGCTGAGGAGTTCGTCAGTAGCTGTGAGTGTGTTGCTGATCATTGTGTGACGCAAAATTGCACTTGCTTGAGCGACATCGATGCCAGCAGGCTTCCTGGATTGAAGAAGAACGCGTATCATGCTACCGGTCAATTGAGGAGCGCCTATCTCAATGGACACTATCCGATCTACGAGTGCGGTGACAAGTGCAAGTGTGGCCAGAATTGTCCAAATCGAGTTGTTCAGAGAGGTCGCACGGTTTGCCTTCAGATCTTCAAGACTGATGATGGACGCGGATGGGGTGAGCTCTATCTTCAAATCACATTTGGAGCTGTACTAATCTGCTTTTAGGTGTAAAGACTTTGAGCCCAATCATCCGGGGTTATTTTGTCGACTGCTACTTCGGAGAGTTACTTACTCCTGATGAAGCTCAAGCTCGTCGTGACCAAGCCAGCTCGGTCCAACAGAAGGACGTGTATCTGTTCGCACTGGACAAATTCACGGACATTCGCAGTCCAGATCCACGTCTCCACGCTCCCTACGAGATTGATGGAGAGTTTATATCCGGTCCGACACGATTCATCAATCACTCCTGTGATCCCAACCTTCGCATCTTCGCTGTGGTCAAGAATTCGGCTGATCAACCATTCCATAGCCTGGCATTCTTCGCTCTCGAGAATATTGCACCCAATACGGAGCTTACTTTCGACTACTTGGATGGGATCACCGGTGACGGCGATGATAAGGAGAAGACAAAATGTCTCTGTGGTGCCGAGAACTGCCGTGGATATCTATTTTGAAGGATTGGATTGGCATATGGCGTTTTCAGTGGATATGTGTGTTTCTGACTTCTACTTCCAAAACGGCGCATATGTGGGGGCTCCAGTTACTTTGAAGATACCCTAGCATAGCATAGCATAGCATAGCATAGCATAGCATGGCGTTGATGCTCTCGAGGTCTACATACCGAAAGTATGATGGTCACCTCATCTCATGCTGATTCTTGTGCCACGTGATTGAAGCTTTTGTTGTTTGAGATACCTAGGTTCCCAGGTAGGTATTGAGCTGTCAACAAACTAATTCCCGGTTTTATAGCCCTGCTAGGACTTGACAGATTTCTAGGTGTCCTTAAACAAAATATACAATCATACGGCAAAATTTGCAAGACATTTGGAGAGTGTTTTGAGGTGGGATCAACAGAATTGATGCTTTAGACACTTGCACGAGATAGAGTTGTCGAGATCACTGAAGAAAATGTATCGGCCGTAGACTCGGGACTCTCCTGATCTTTCAACATAGTCTCCTGTCTGCACAGCCTCGTCGTCATTGTCCCAATGAAGCAATAGCCGTGTATCTTTGCAGCTGAATAATCAGGCGAATACGAGGCATCTGGTCGATGTGCATGAGGGCAAAATTCTGCACGCGACATGCACTTTTGACACAAATTTATCTTTCCCGACATACGAGCAGCTCATATGTCTCAAGCCTCAGTCATCTTCATCCGCATGCACGTATATATTGGTGAAATCCCAACGGCTTTACGATGCAACGTTCATTCTGCGTGCTTAAAATAGAGTCTCGACTAAGACCGAAAGGAGTCGTCGCGCTCGCCGAAGTGGATCATCTAAGCCAATGATGTTACTTCCATTGGTGTTCTGGAAAGGTCGTGGACCAGTGAAAATTGGAGCAGAAAAACCTTAATTGGTGCATGAAATATGGCGATCTTTTGCAAAAGAGCGTCATGCCCATTCCCTATCGCTCGCGCTCCCCACTGCAGCACAAACCTCCACGGCTATGAAGCTGTTGGTCGTCTGTGATTCCTAGAACTTCTTTTCTTCCTATCCTGTCGTTTCTCGATTCCTCTTCTCCTCTCCTTTTTCAATCCTTCACTTCTCCATCATCATCCGTATTCACGCATCATTTGTCGGACCGTTTATCGAGACTGTTCAGGAGCTTGTGACATTCCTCAACATCCCTGTTCCGGCCCGCATCAACCACATCTAATCGAGGGAGTACAGTACCCTCAATTCACAACCCCCTCCAACAAACAACAAACAACCAACGACCAAACACATCCGGCAAATCTATCAACACAGGAGAGACCTGTTGTCCTCGAAACACCCACCCTCAAAGAAGGGCACAAAACAAGTTTTCTTCCTGGCCTCTGGCCCGTCATAGCCATTCGCTTTTTCCAATATGGATATTCTCAGATCGGTAGATTCCCTGCTCAGGAGAGATACGGAATCTGGTGCAGAAGTCCTCCTGGATCTCCTGAAAAATCCATACGAAGCCCAGGTATGTTTCTGTGTCTGCGAACATGTTTCATGCGAGTATACTAAATCGAAAGTAGCTTCAACAAAATTCCGTTTATGCCAGTTTGGGTACGTCGATCGGCTTCACGGTCTTCCTCGCGATCGGATTCTCCTTACTTCGACCTTATAATTCCGTTGTATACTCTCCCAAGCTCAAGATCGCAGACGACAAACATGCGCCTCCGCCAATGGGAAAGGGCATCTTTGCCTGGGTCGGACCGGTTATTAAAACAAAGGAGCAGGATTTGGTGGGATTGATCGGACTTGACGCCGTGGTTTTCATGAGGTGCTTGGGTATGTGCCGGAATATATTTTTGGTGATGACGGTTATTGGATGTGGTGTGCTGATTCCCATCAACTTGATTCATGGGCAACGATTCGCAAACGAGAATACGCTCCAGAAGATTACTCCGGTAAACACGTTCGATGTTGCAAATTATGGCATGACGGTTTGCGCCTGGCTTTTCAATGTTACGGTTGCCGGTTTCCTGTGGTGGAATTACAGAGCTATTCTAAGATTGCGGAGGCAGTACTATGATAGTCCTGAATATCAAGCTAGTCTTCACGCGCGAACATTGATGGTATGTTTGCTAAAACGAAAACATATTCGACTTGCTTGCTGACAAGTTACAAGATCAATGATATTCCGAAGAATGACAGATCAGATGAGGGAATTGGGAAGTTGATTGATGCAGTTGTACCGACATCCTCCTTCTCTCGAACTGCGATTGCACGAAACGTCAAAGATTTACCCGACCTGATCGAGCAACATAGTCGAGCAGTCCGAGAACTTGAACGACATCTTGCAAAATATCTCAAAGACCCTCACAATCTTCCTCCGCGACGACCAGAATGCAAGCCCCACAAGGACGATCCGAATTGGGGTTCATATTCCAAAGGACAAAAGATGGATGCTATCGATTACCTGACATCGAGAATCAAAGAACTTGAAATCGTGATCAAGGAGGTTCGGATGGGCGTCGACTTTCGCAACCCTCTCCCTTATGGTTTTGCTAGCTACGAGGAGATAGCCGAAGCTCATAGCATCGCATATGCTGCAAAGAAGAAACATCCGGATGGTACAACTATTGTGCTAGCCCCAAGGCCGAATGATATCATCTGGAAGAACATGCCTCTGAGCAAGTCACAGAGGCGCACTAGAAGAATGATCAACAATCTTTGGGTTCTTCTCCTTACGATTGTATGGATTGCCCCGAACGCGATGATTTCGATTTTCCTCATCAGTCTTTCAAATCTGGGACACGTTTGGCCTGCATTCCAAACATCTCTTGCGAATCACACAACCTGGTGGTCAATCGTGCAAGGTGTGGCTTCTCCTGCCATCACATCTTTGGTTTATCTGGTACTACCTATTATCTTTCGCCGCCTTGCCATCAGAGCAGGAGATCGAACAAAGACTGCTCGCGAGCGTCACGTTGCAGCCAAATTGTATACCTTCTTCGTATTCAATTTCTTGATTGTTTTTTCGGTCTTCAGCACTATTTGGACCTTCGTTTCTCAGGTCATCCAAGACACAAATAGTGGAACTGATACCTGGTCTGCGATCAAGAAGGAAGACTTCGGACGATTGCTATTCATCGCGCTATGCGATCTCTCGCCTTTCTGGATTACGTGGTTGTTGCAACGAAATCTCGGCGCCGCAGTCGATCTAGCACAACTGTGGACTTTGGTGTGGAGTTTCTGCGCTCGAAAGTTCTCTAGTCCAACTCCCAGAGAGATGATCGAGTTGACGGCTCCTCCGGCGTTCGACTACGCCTCATACTACAATTACTTCTTGTTCTACAGCACTGTTACTTTGTGCTTTGCGACGATCCAGCCTCTGGTCATCCCTGCTTGTGCACTCTACTTCCTCGTTGATGTTTATTTGAAGAAGTATCTTCTACTCTATATCTTCGTTACGAAGACGGAGTCAGGTGGCATGTTCTGGCGCATGTTCTTCAACCGAATGGTCTTCGCAACGATGCTTTCCAACTGCGTTGTATTCCTCGCATGCTGGGTACACGGAAATAACATACACACCCAGGCCTTAGCGGTGGTGCCTCTTCCTTTCTTGATGCTACTGTTCAAATGGTATTGCAAGAGAACCTATGACGACAAGATCCACTACTTCACTGGTAACCGCAGTCACCTGAAAGACCCTGAGGCTCTGCACAGCAAGATTTTCGATTCCAAGCGCGATCGTCTCGCTTCACGCTTTGGCCATCCAGCTCTGTACCGACCACTGATTACCCCCATGGTCCATGCCAAGGCGCAAAATATTCTGGCTTCAATCTATGCTGGCAGGTTGACGGATAGCAATATTCAGGGTTCTGCCGATGCTTCCTCCATGTCGGGTTACTCTGACACGTTTGCTTTGAATCCTATGCGAGCCGATCAACCAGGAAAGAATGCGACGATACCCGGCTTTGAAATGGTTCCAGAAAACCGGCTCGACTTTGAATACTATAAAGGCAGACATGAATTCGCTGATGAGCATGGTGGCAGTGGTGGTATATACGGCAAACCAGAGGATATCATCCGCTCTGATACACCAGGTTCATCAAGCGCGTTCGGCACAGATTCGAGACCTGGCACACCAACCCGCACTCCACCTCCCTTCGTCCCTGGCATTGTTCCGGTGAGGAATTACTCTGGCGTATCTTACGATGCTCAAGGCGATGTCGGCTATGGTCACAACACTGGTTATGGTCCACCACATACCAGCGAGACATCAAACCTCGTCCGTGGCGCAGCAGATGTCCCATTATCTACACCTCCTGTCCCATATGGACGAGATGTAAGCGGAGAGCACAGGGCGCCAGGCTTCTTAGGTGGTGGACCACAAGGTTATGGTGGCTTGCCACAGTCTGAGGTCGAGTATGATGGAGATCCAACAAGTTATGACTATTTCAGAACGAGGCGACAGAATGGTTGGAGTGGTGCTATCTAAGCATCGCTCCACGCTTAACTTGTATATTATGATGTTTCAATAAGGAATGGATACCGCACTGCGGTGCTGGAAGGGAGCATTGACAGGCTGTAAATTGCCGAGGTGCATGGGGTAGACGGACGGTGCATTGGTACTGGCGTTGTGGTCTTCTTGCTCGTATACTGGCTAGTTAATTGGATGAGGAAGCCAGGTTCAGATGAGGCATGGGGTTGCATTTGAATTTGGGCTGGTGGTGGGCTCTGTATGATTCACGATCAAAACGTACTTATAAAAGCTTAATACACTTCATGAACCTCGTATCACTTGCATTCTTTCTTGTTATTTTATGTGATGGTCTCCCGTGAGAGCAATAATTCCTTTTGCTAGTTTTGTCTCCGTTGCTGCTTCTTATTTGCTTCCTCTCTTCTCCCTCTATCCAATTGAGATTTCAACAACATCACAGTCTCGTAGCAAGTGCGTTTGACTTCGCCCTCTTTTCATCTGAAATAATACTATCATTTTATTTGCTTGTTATAGTATATTGACATTCTGGCCATACTTATGTCACAGTTTCCTGCTCTCTTTGTATTCTTCACTGCCTGTGTGCAAAGAAATGAGGCTCTACGGCTCCTTCCGCATGTCTCGCTTAATTTTTACTCGAGAAAGGAGATCACAGAAATTCAATTTCTTCTCTGGAAGCACAGGTTTGTATTTGATTGCTTCGTATCTAAACTTGTTTTCTACATACAACCACTTTTATCACTGTTATCACGGTTGAGCTGTAAGAGAAGTTTCCCCCAGTTTCTAACATATTTTCCTGGGTAAAGTGTGTGTGTGGGTGCACAGTCCATCACAACGAATCGTTCTTGGGCTAGAGACCTTATTGTGCATGCACCTTCACCGTTCCGAAGTTTCCCTCTCCATCGTTTTCATCTTCGATCAGTGTTTCCAAGTGTCGAAGACACGTGCAGTCCATCCTACTCAAAGTCCAGGGACTTCCACCTCTTTCCACATCTCAAAGATACCTTACCCAGCCGATCCTCTCTTTGAAATAGCGAGCTTGAGTCACATTTTCTGCAATTTCTTGTGTGCGTTCTGATGATGCGTCTTCATTTTCGAGGTTTGGGAGGCTAGGTTGGGTGAAAGTCTATTTTATGGAGAGTGGAATTGCAGAAATGAATGTGTGTCTTGCTCCAACGTTCTCCTTACGTTTCGTTGAGTTCTGTTGCATCATTACTTTTTGGCTTCCTATTTGGTGGCTTGAATGCCATGGCAAGAGTTCTATGAGAGATCAAGTGCGAGAAGATCTCCGAAGTTAAGAAAGATGATGGGCGGCGATGTGGTTTGGCTGTTGATGAGATGAGAAAACATGTCCTCCTACTACCACAGAATGCATGTTCAACTCGCTCAAGCTCTCAAGTCATGCTCTGACCCTCGAGACAAGTCTCGAAAAGTTCCAACCCATTTCGCATCATCGCCCACTCGGTATCCGACTCAATGCCCAAGAAGACGTCACAATGTTCTTTAACCTTCTACAACTTGCTCGAAAAGGACCATGCAGCACTTCCCATGCCCTCAAGAAAAGTTTTATTGTGCCGTTCTCTTCCGAAATACGGTATACGAGCACATCCTGCCCTTGGTCTTGGTGATTCATATCCGACATCGCTCACAAGAAGAGTGGTGTTGGGCTTCAATGTTTCGGAGTCCTGCTCTTCCGGCACCAACGTGTCTACTTTTGCTGCGCTTGCTTATACTTACATTTCAACTAGATTTGAGAGATCACACGATCTTGATCTTCGATATGTCTTTATGTAATGGTCTTGCTATATGTTTCGACAATGTTCTGAGGAATCTTTGGAGACAGTTCGGCAGTTTGAGGTGTGTGTTCGGCACGTGAAATATGATGTCGTAGTGTAAATGTTGAAATGTAAGGAAAGAGCGAACTTAGAATAAGTCAAAGCATGGAAGATCACAGATTTGAGTTGGCGAGAAAAGCATTGGAAGTCTTATGCTGCGATATATATTGCTTTCGACTTTTTCTGGTTGACTTCAGCTGATATCGCCCATCGTGCTTCACTTGAGATGTCTTCACTCTATGTTTTGGCTTCATTGTGCGGACTAGCAAGCAGGTTCTGTGCGAATGTGTGCTTAAGCTTCAGAAACACATAGAATCGAGAGATGCTGGCATCGTATCGTCATGCATCCTCAGCATCAGGACAGTTCTTCAGTACTACTGTTGATAACATACGAGTAGCTGCTTTCGGAATATCATGAGCACCTTCATTTCTATCTGACTCACATCCTAAGTATGGTTTCAACGCTCTCTGAGCTTCTTTTGTGTAACTTGTGACTTGAATTGAAGGACAGTCATACAGTACCAGTGTTGATAAAATACGGACACTTTCAACAAACATCATGAGCACCTTCATTTCTATTAATTCACGTCCAAATGATCGTTCCAACACTCACTAAGCTTAATTCTGTGCTCCTTGTGACCCAAATAGAGTTCAACCACCCCACTTGGGATTATCGTATGCCTCATCATGAAGTCAACATGTCTTTGTGCGCTACCCCATAGCATAGTTCCTTGGCATATCAGAGCCGTATATAAGAAAATCCTGCCTCCCACTTTCTGCTCATTCCTCCATCCTCCTACACATCAAAACTTTCCACCAAAATCTCAATTTCCCACATTATCTTCATCTCACACCCGTAACAATACAACCTTCATACAGCAACAACACCATTCACACTCTTCTAACCACAGCACAATGATCACACAGGCAAGTACATCCCCCCAGTAAACTCTCCGCTCGTAAAATATCCCCTCATTGTCGCCGATTTGCAATGGACCTCGTCGTCGTAGTAAAATTTGCCAGTTGCATGCAGTGCATGAGACTGGAAGTTGGCGAGTCTCGAGTTTTGATTTCTTAAAACAACATGAGCAGTTGCTCACTGTTGCTTCCTGCATCTCTAGATTCCTCATCGTAAAAGCTTAAACCTCATCGTCGTTGTCGCGAGACCGAGTTCGCTGTCGCAGTGCGATCGCATCTCAGGTGCGAACAACAGCAATACTTCACCCCTCCAAAACTCCTCCTTGCCCAATCATTATTTTTTCCTTCGATTCGAGTGATCAACTGTATCATAAATCTTCATCGATTGCAACTTCGCTTCAGAAGCCTTCCTTTTTTCGAAATTTGCATTGTGCGTGCGAAGTCCTTCGCTGCAGTGCAGATTTCTTTCACGTGAGTGGCATTTTCTGCGGGTGCAGAACAAGAGCCCGAAAAACCATGAGATCATCCCCTTCTCTGCGTCATCCAGTGGCTTAATTGAATATGGCCTTTGTGTGAGAAGTACCCTTGCCCTCTGAAGAGCTCTGGCTTCTTGAATAGAGTTCAACCATCTTCGAGCCGGTCGAAAAGGGGTTCCTCGCTTAGCCTTAGCGGGCTTCACGTGACCCACAACCCTCTTCTTCTCAACACTTCCACTTCTACCCTAAGTCACTTTACTTTCACAGTTGGATTTCGATCTCCCTTATACTATCACTCATGGATCACCCCTCGCTTCTCCCAATTTCCTTTTCGTCAACTCTTTTCTTATTTAGAATGATGTCGCCTTGCTTTCATCCTCACATTCCCATCCAACAGTTGCTAGAAGTTCAGTGAACCTTATCGGCATACAATATCTTCAGTTCACAAGATGCAATGAGAAGCTCAAAGCTTCGCGGATGCATGTTGATGATTTATTTTCTCTCTTTGGCTTGGATGTCAGCTCGTTCTCATCCTGATCTCACTTCTCATTTTTAACTTCTAAGCTCCTGTTGAAACAAGTCTATTTCTTCAAAGTGTGAAATAAATTATCTACTCTCTCAACTATTGCCGTCGTCGTAGTATTTCGCGACATTGACTTTGCCACGCTCACGAGCAATATGGAACGTACCCCATATTCCCCATTTTCCAGAACAGTCTGACGCTTTTGCAGTTTCAACAGTATGACTACATATATCTGTCTTAGTAGACCAGAAGGGAGTGCAGAAAGTAGCCTGGGAAAGCGAAACTGCACGATAGCCGCCAGCTTTGCGGGGTGCAACTCCCCGCAAAGTGGATTGGGGACTTCCCCTAGAATCACCCGGGAAGATGCAGCCTTCGGGTAATGCGGACCGGTGAGCTTCAAGAAAATAGTGCTCCCTCTGGTCGAACACACAGATATATCCGCCTCTAGCAAGTCTAGTTGGTGATGGACCCTCGGCGCTGGTTTGGTCCGACCAGCACGAGGAAACACAAGATAGCAAGTCCGCTCTAGCAGTGCTGAGAGATGGTTTGTCTTGTGGGGTGCGCAGTCTTAGTACGGCTTGTATGTTCTTCATCCCTGTTCATGTTCTCTGCTGACTTGACTTCAGATTGGCCAAAGCACAAGGTTGCAAGTCCGCTCTAGCAATGCTGAGAGATGGTTTGTCTTGTGCAGCTCGTAGTTTCAAACACCAGGTAAAGTCACAGTTCCCAGTCCAATTTGAGATTTCACTTGCTAACTTCTCTCCAAACGGAACATTTGGGCATTGAAAGTCAACTTTGTTACTTGTTTTGTCTTGCTTTCATCTCTTCTAGCTGAAGTTTCAGCCTGTTTCCAACTACTGACATGCTTGCTTGCTCTTTGTTATGTTATCTGACTTCTCTTGATCTCTAAGCAACTTGGCTGACTAGTGTCAGTTCTCATAGCAGTGCAGACTTTGTCCCAAGTTCTTGTCTCGGTAACATTGTTTCTTCGAAATCGTGAGTACATCCTGCTCTTCTCTTCACCGTGCCTTGCTAACGTCTGCTCCATGTCGCTCGCAATCTCCTTTCATCGAACTTGGAGCATGTAATTGTTCAGGTGAGACTGCCCCCTGTCCCTACTGAGTACATCTCTGCCCCATCGTCATCAAGTGATGGCTTTGAGGCCACATGACTCGGTAGAGTCTTGGATACAGTCTCACCAGCACATTGCACACCGTGCTGACGGGTGCGCAGTTCATCGTTTTCGACACGGACTTGGAACTTCAACAACAATCAGGTGAGACTCGCTCCCCAGCTCGTCGTCCTCCTCTCGTCATGGCTCACCAAGTGGTGACCAGATTAGCAGAGGTGGATTGGCGCTGATAGCAGCTCACCAGTACATTGCACGCCGTACTGACAGCTGGGCAGTTGCAATTATACGATTTCGCTCCAACAATTATCCAGGTGAGACTTGCCCCAGCCCAGTTGAGTCCGTCTCTTGACATGACTCGCTAAGTGGTGAGTACATGGGTAAGAGATGGACTGACTGGCAGTATCTCACCAGTACATTGCACATCGTACTGACGGCTGGGCAGATCTTCGTGTTCAGACTTCTTGTTTGCAATCATCATTTCTTTCGATTCTTACTGCAGAGACACAATCCAATTAGGTGAGACTTAGCCAAGCTCACCAGCACATTGCACATCGTTGCTGACAGGAAGTCCTGGCTACAGATTCAGACTTACTCATATATCTGGCATCAGGTAAGCCCTGGCCAGGCTTACCAGCACATTGTACACCGTGCTGAGAGTGCATCCCGGCTGCAGATCTGTCTTCTCATCGACTTCACTCTGGCTTCGCCTTCGATATATCATCAGGTAAGACCCACTATCCATGCCTTCATCGGTACGCCAGATCGAAAGATCATGGCAAGTTGAGTTGGCGGTCTTACCAGCACCTTGCACATTGTGCTGACATGCAGTGCCCGCTGCAGATTCTCAACGGCAATCCCTTTGCTCCAACTCAACCACCTTGAGTAAGTCCATTCCCTGTTCAAGTTTCTTTGCAGCTTCTTCTTCCAAGTCTATTTTGTTTGCTGTCTTGCGCATTGTCTATTTTGTGTTGTTTTCGATATGTTTCATGGGCAACGGCGATAAGTGCGACCCATTCTGCGAGTAGGTTCCTCCCCTATCTCTTCAAATTATCTCTTCATTGTCTCCTATGTCCGTCTCTGCTCTCTGCTCTCTTTTCTCTTCTCTCTTCTCTCTTCTCTCTTCTCTCTGCAGCGTCAGGTAAGTAATCGAGCCACCTGCAGTGCAGTCTCTCGCTTATCTCCTTGGTGTCTTTCTTATGTTTCTGTCTGTCTTTCTCTCATTCTCGAGGTAAGTGGCGTATTTCCTGGTGAAGGAAATCGACCACTCACATCCGAGCAACACTGTAACGCGGCACCTCACACATCCCTTTTGTCATTTTCCTACCTCTCTCATCCGCCAGGCAAGTACTAGGCTCCTTGAATGTACGTTTCGTCTTTCGCATTCCGCTCTCTTACTTTTCTCTAGGGGTAAGTAGCCGAGCAACACTGCGATGCAGCGCCTCAAAATTTCTTACACTATTCTTCGCTTGTGGTTCTTATCATTTCTTTGCTCTCATTCCTCGCTTTCGCTCTTTCTATTTCCAATCCGACTGCATGTATATGGGTGATACTGTAGTGCAGTGCCTCAACTTTCTCTTAAATTATTCTTCATTCGCCTTTCTCACTGTCTTTCTCTCTCGCTCCCTGTCAGGTAAGTGGTGTATTTCCTCGGTAAGGAAAATGACCACGGTTCCTGAGCAATACCGTACACACATTGCGGCGCCTCATTTCTCTTTCCCATCTCTTTTGTTCTCTGCGTCTCTCTTCCTCTCTTCTTGGTTAAATATTTGAGCAACACTGTCCAATGCAGCGCCTCGCCTCTTCTTTTTCTGTCTCTCCTATGTCTTCACATTTCGATTCCTCTCTTCTCACCTTGGAAAGGTAAGTTGAGGTAAGTCCCGCATTTCCTCGGTAAGGAAATTGCTACATCTTGAGCAACACTGCGCACGCAGCGCCTCTCATCTCTTTCGTCTCAGTTCGTAAGCATTTCTCAATTCTCTTACCTCTCTCTTTCTCTAGGTAGGTTGAGGTAAGTTCCAAGTTTCCTTGGTAAGGAACGTCACTCTGAGCAACACCGTCACGTGGCGCCTCAGCCTCTCCTTCTGTGTCCTCAGGTAAGTGGTGTTGTTTCCTCGTAAAGGAGACTAATCACCACGAACCCCTGAGCAACACTGTTGACGCAGCGCCTCGACATCTCTTTATTTTTGCTTTCGATTAAGCCATTTTGTTTCCTCAACCATCTGTAACACGCGCTACAATTGCAGCGCCTCAACTCTTTCTTTGATCATTCTCATTTCTCATTCATCTCGTGCTCTTCGTTTCTCTCTCTCTCTCTCTCTCTCTCTTCTTACTAGTAAGTAGTGTTGTTTCCTCGATAAGGAAACCAACCACTTTGAAGTCATGAGCAACACTGCCGACCTCAGCGCCTCATATCTCCTTCGTCTTGTTCATGTGATTCTCATTTATTTCTGCCTGGTGCTCTATAATTGGGTGTTGTTTTTTTCTTTTGACAAGAGAACTAGCAATGTCTCAGTAACGATGTTCTTCTCTCCAATTGTCCTTGCCCTTCCGTCGCTCCTCCTCGACCACGTGTCATTTCTTTTTTATCTTCTTCATCTTCCGCGAAGACTTTCCTCGTCATTGTTGTTATGTTTGATCTGCTTGTGCAATTTCTCAGACTTGACGTCCGAGAAGACGATAAACTAAAGTCTGGAATGACTATAACTCCTCTTCTACCCAGGATGGTAAACTTGACCGTCCGAAACGACGAAAAACTACGTCCCATTCATAGTCACTTACCTTAGTTATGTGCATTCTTGCTGATCGTATACTGTTTATACTGGCGAGTGCCTTACGATTCAGATGTTGTTTTGCGAACAATTGCTGAGTCTGTCTGTTTTCTTCACGATGTGCTGATTACATGACTTTACAAGCTCATGAGATAACGAACCTAAACCTTCATGCTACGTCACGAATTCCCTTATCTCTTCTTGAAGCGAGACTTCTTAAATGATGTGTCAGGAGTTCCCGAATGTTTGCTTCCTTCGTTGCTTTGCAATTCAGCATCACGACTTAATGAAATATTACCTTATGAAACGCCACTTTATGACCTCATGATCTCATGAATTCACTTTTCGTCTCTCATTTGATGTTGCTTGTTTATGTTCAGTGTTGTAGACGACTGTCCCCTCAGCGGGAGTACTTTCTGATGACTTTCGACTTGACGTCTCTATGGCCTGACGAAGTCACGCTGGTGATGTGATGACTACATGAATTCCCTTGTCTCGTTTCAATTGTTGATCTCTGCATCTTTCAATTGTTGCGTGATTTTGTTTTATTTCTTGACTACGATTTGATGACTTGACGCGTCGATGACTTCACGATCTTATGACTTAATGACATAATGAAATCACGAATTCACTTTGTTTCTCTAATTGTCTGGTTATACAGGTACTTTTGCTTCTATCTTGTATCTGTTCTTTTTGTTGCTAGCTTAAGACCTTATTACTTGATAACTGCACTTAACGATTTGATCACTTCGTAAATCTGCAGTTCCATTTGTTGCTCCAGTCCACGACACATCTAAAAGCCTCCTGATTGGCGTTAAACTCTTCTCATATTTTATCTTGTGTTGTCCTCCCCATTTTCCCCAGTGGGAATACGGCTTGATGATTTACGATTTACGGGCTAGCAATGATCAATGACTGACGACTGAACGACTTGATGGTCTAACGATTTCATGTTTGACGATTCATCGAAGTGCACTGTCCGTAATTGCAAGCCTGTGTTTTCTCTAGTGAGCTTTGGATTCCTTGCGTTTCATCTCTTGCCTTGGTTTGTGGCTTCTTGCTACAATTTTACCTTATGAGTCCACGATTGATGACATGATTTACGATTGACGAATGATGGATGATGAACTCATGAGCTGCGACTTTGTAGTTTTGTCCTAATTATTCTACTGTTCTGATTGCGTGCATCCTTGTTTCAAACATTCTGCGAGTTATGTCTACGATGTTCGAGGTGTGCGAAGCAAGCTCAGATGAAGTCCTCGTCCGACTTGTTAGGATGTTAGATACAGTAGATTTCCTTCAAGACTTGGAAAGCACATGCCACTGTTCAATGAAATTGATTCTCAAATGCTAGTGCAGAGGCGCACCGTAGCAAGTTCGGACGAGTTCATCGTCTGATTTGTGGTGCGCAGCTCATTCGTGTCTAGAAGGCGGTAAACTTTCCCTCCCAGCTTTGCTTTCAGGGGCGATTGTACTGATGCCTCTGTAGATGAGATTTCAAATGCTAGTGCAAAGGCTCACTGTAGCAAGTTCGGATGAAGTGTCGTCCGATTTGTGGTGGGCAGCTTGGTTGTCTAAGATGCAAGGTAGGCATTTCCCCTCATCTTCTTGATGAAGTAGTGACTAACTCCAGTAGCAGATTTATGCCCCTATTCTACCCGTTCACTCAATGCCTGTTGGTAAGCCATTTTTTCTTGAAATGTGCTGTCTTGTCAAAGATCGCTGATGTTTTTCACGAACTGTCCTAGTAAAACCGATACACTTGTCTGTCTGAAGCAAAAGGTGAGCTACTCTCTAAAGTTTTACTGGATTTTCGCTACCTGAATATCCAATTGCAGTACTGAGGTGCAAGTTTTCCGCGTGAACATACCTTGGTAAGGTTCTCCAGTTCCCTGTATCAAGATGTTGCTGACACAATGGACTTCATCTGAGTTCCCCACATAGAGAGAGCCAGAACACAATGCTTCTCTGACGTCGCGTGGTAGGTAAACTGCCCTTCCATGCTGAAGAATTGGAATTTGTTGACTGCATGAACGTGGACCTTCTTCATGATGAGAACACAATATGAATTATGTAACGGTAAGGTTTCTCTTCCTCTCTTGCTAAGTCCTGGACTGACATTTTGCCAATGTGTTGTCCAAACTTGGTGGAAATGTCAGGTAAAGAGACAGCAAGTGATTTCTTCTCTCTGCACTTTCATCTCATCTTGATCAAGATCTCTTCTTTCCAATTTCTTAATGGCAAATCTCCTTGGGGAAAAAGGAAAGTCTTCTCCTCTTCCAAGCCATCCCTAGACGAAGCTGATCACTTTGCTAGCCTTTGTGCACTTTCAATACTTCGTAAATTGCAAGAGGAAAGTCCTCCCTACCCTTCCTACTTTTTCAGTGACCAAGCTGATCACTTATATAGTTTTTCCTCTCGAAACCTCATCGACTCGTCGAGGCAAGCCACCGAATCGAGGCCCGAGACGATCGACAAACGACAAACGACAACCGAGAAGTAAGTGGAGGATGGTGGGTGAGGGGCTTGGTGCGCTGGAAGGCAAGGGTGGGCAGATAATGAGATGATGGGAGGAGATTGGGGGTTGGATAACATCCGAGCGAGGGAGTCGGGAGGAGGAGGTTGGAGGAAGGGCATCAGAGAGTACTGGAGGAGCAGTGGTTCCGGAGGAAAGGGTGAGGCCGAGATGGATGACTCGACTACGATCCGATGCAAGCCACCGATACGAGGCCCGAGACGATTCTACGAGCGGACGAACGACATCGAACGAGCGACCGAGCGATACCGAACGAGCGACCGACATCGAATGAGCGAGCGACACCGGCCGAACGACCGAGAACGAACGACTGCGAACGATCGATACCGATTTCGACATCGACGTGTAGTGAGGTGTATTTGGGGATGGATGACTTGGTGGACAGGGTGGTGGATTCTGAGAGAAGAATGTCCGGGAGTTGCATTGGAGATATGGAAGAATGTGCGTGAAAAGAGTTGGAGTGGAAGAGTTGGAGCAAGTAAGATTGGAATGGCAGATGTTAGGAGGGGCACGGCTGGCAGGTATTTTGGGAAGAAGGGTTATTGCTTTGGATGGGAGAGGTGGACTGAGGAGGATAGTGGTGGTTGAAGGAGATGGGCAGATATTTGGGAGAAATGAATTGGTGAGGTTGGAAAAGGGGTTAAGCGAGGTTTACGCGAGGCAAGCCATCGAATTCGAGGCCCGAGACGAACGATCACCGAACGAACGAACGAACGAACGACCGAGGGGAAGTGAGGGGGAAGGAGAGGTGGAGAATGGGACAATCGGGAAAGGAGTGTTTGGGAAGGGATAGGTTTGATGGAGTGGAGGATCTGGGTTGTGTGGAGGACTTGGGTGTGGAGTTGTGCATGTGGGTGGGTTGCATTCTGGTTGGGGCTGATTTGGGGAAGAGGATCCAGACGGGGAGACTGGAATTGAGGGTGCAGAGCTTGGTTGGACTTGAGTATCATGGAGGAGCGGTGGACATGGGGGAGGTGGCTTGGCTGTGGGGGAGTTAGGCTGGCTGTAATTTGGAAAGTAGGAGATGGATGGGAGGTTTTGGAGGGGGAGGACTTGGATAGGGATAGGGAGGTCTGAGCAAATGGGCATGCTAGGTGAAAGAGGAGGACTTGGGTCTGGAAGGGTTGTGTATCTGGGCGAAGAGGACTTGGGATGATTCGTATAAGGGGTAGAAAGGTGGTTAGGGTATGAGGGGTTGGCTGGCAGTGGTTGGTAGAGAAGGAGTTGGACAGATGTGGAAGAACAAGGAGGACATGGAGATTTGGTAGAAAGCTGGAAAGGAAGAGTTGGAGATGACGGGCTTGGGACATGGAAGCCTTGGAGTTGGTATGGGGAGTTTGGTAGTAAGGAAGTTGGCTGATAGATAGACTGTCTGGATTTGATTCTGAAGAAGGGTCTGAGTTGGACGGAGGAGGTGAAGTCGGAAAGGGTTTGGGGCTAAGGATCTTGCGATGGAAAGTTGGAGATGCATGGGGCTTGGAAATGGAAGGAGTTGGTCAGGGAATTTGGAGGCTGGGTGGATATTGATAGAAGGAGAGCTTGGAGAAAGTTTGGAGTAGGAGGGGGTGGGAGGACTTGGATACGATGCGGTAGTTGGAATTTGGAAAGGACTTTTGGTTGGGAAGGTTTGGATGGTTTGAGTAGGAAGATGTCTTGGGTAGGAGGAAGTCTTGGGTAGGAAGAAGTCTTGGGTAGGAGGAAGTCTTGGGTAGGAGGAAGTCTTGGGTAGGAGGAAGTCTTGGGTAGGAGGACTTGAGCATGTGAAGAAGTTGGAAATGGTAGCTGAAGTTTGGGATGGGTAGTGGAGATGGAGAGGGGCGACACGACGACAATGTACGACCTCGACGACTCATGACTTCGAATACCTGCGACCTCGAATAACTACGACCTCCCCAATCACGATACCTCCGACCTTCGACCCTACCCCGACAATCGACCAAACAACCGACAGTGAAGGAAGGAGAAGGAACATACAGAGCATATAACAAACAAAGGCATAAAGCGGAGGGAGAAAAAAGGCTAGACACTATTAAAATACAAGGATTCATCGTGGAGGAAGTCAAAAGGCCGTTCTATTTTCTATGATCAACTTACTTCATCCAGATCTAGCGAGCAAAGTTTGGAGCCGAAATGAAAAAAATGATGAGTTTCCCCTTTTCTCCCCCATGTTCTGAACAGAAGGATTTGGCTGATTTTGATTTCTTCGATGTTCTGAGGAGGTGGGCTATGGCTTACCTCCCGTGGCTTTCTGGTCAAATTGGTCAATGAAAAATCTTGGAGCTGAAATGAAAAAAAGATAAGTCTCCTTGTTCTGGAATTGGATGAGCTTTGCTGATTTCCAATTCGTAGGTGTGTTGAAAGGTGAGGGGGTTTTGTCTTTACCGCCCCTTGGATCTGGGTGTAAAGCTTGATGCTGAAATGAAGAAAAGATATGTGGTTGCGCTCTTCTATTCTGTGTGAGAAGCACCGACTGCAATAGCATTGGAGGAGGTGCTGGCAGAAAGGTTGAGATGGAGGCCGTTTCTTTGATCGATGTTGAAAATGGTAGATAGAGAATGAATACATTTACTCCTTTTTGACTTCTTGCTCATCACCCATATTGCTTCAATGACTCTCTGCCCGTCTCTTCTTGATATGCACTCCAACCAATCCGTTTTCCCATCTGTCACCAACCCACACACAATCAAGGCTCTCCCACCCTCGCCACCAACTTAACCCCACTCACCCTTCCCTCCCTCAACTCCTCCATCCCACCCTGAATGCCCTCCAAACCCCCCTCCAACAACCTAACCGGATGTCCCTTCACCAAATCCTCCCTCAACAAAACCTCACAAAACGCAAAAAACCTCTTCGCAAGCTCATAATCCTCCGGCACCGCATCCCACTTCTCGCCTTCGATCTCAAACGGCTCGCCTCGCATCGTATACCCCAAATAAAAGATATTCTCTACGTCTTTTCGGGGGAACTCGATGCCCATGAGGTTTACGTAGATCTTTTTGGGCAGGGAAGGGGAGGTTGTGGTTGAGAGGGCGGCGGCACAGATTAGGGCCGAGGAGGTGGTGGCGATTGTGTCGAAGACAAGGGTTAGGGTGTTGTTTGTTAGTGCGTTTATTACTGTGCCGCAATTGGGATCGTGCTGGTTCTTGTTAGAATTTGATGCTGCGAAGTACAGAGAAGAGGAAGAGATACATAGTCAAACACGTGATCAGCCCCCAAACTCTTCAAAAGCTCGAAATTACGCGGTGATGCTGTAGTGATGACCTCAAGACCTGACCTGTGCACTACATCAGCATTCATCCCAAATTCTAGAGAGCAATTTATACAATTTCGCAAATTGAATAGCCATCGTCCCACTCGCTGAACTCCCTCCATAAATCAGGATCGCCTGGCCCTCACTCTTCTTCTCGACTGGTAGCGTAGGAAACGGTAGTCCCAAATGCTTATAAAAGCCCAGTCCGATAGTACCAAATCCACACGTCAACGTAGCAGCCTCCTCGAAAGAGACGTTTGGTGGGATGTGCATTGATATATCGCCTTTCATCAGAATGTATTCCGCGAAACAGCCATCTTCGGGTTCGAGATCATTGCCTATTCTCATTATCAACAACAACACCCAGAAACAAACGGAATAGCAAATGAGTACCTCCATGAGAAAACCCAAATACTCGATCCCCCTTCCTAAACTCCTTCGTGACTTTACTACCAACCTCAACAACAACACCAGCCGCGTCACAGCCTAGCAATGAATGCGTAGTCCCCGGCCGGAATCTCTCATCAAGCGTTTGCCAATCGGTGGGGTTGAGCGCTACAGCCACGGTCTTAACGAGGATATATTCATCTCGAAGTCTGGGGATTGGGATGGGGAGGATGGCAGCTTTGCCGACGGCTGTCTTGACCAGCCCTCGATTTTTGGGGAGCGACATTGAGAAAACTATAGCGAAAGGAAAATTTCAAGGAATTGGACTTGCTATATATATTATTTTGGCAGTTCACGTAGATCACTAGGAATCGGGGTTCGGAATAGTTTGTAAGTGACAATTTCATAAGGTTTGGATGATGACTGAAATGTCGGGGTAGTTGATTGCTAAGCAGATTGCGCTAAGTGCTTCAGAAGCTTCAGTCCACAAACTAGTAGCATGCATAAGCCATTATAGGTCTATCTCTCGCATCTGCCTATTACACCTCATCCCTTTCCCAAGGAGCACATCTCCTAACAGCCATATAACCCTGGAAACAACAGCACGTGACCAGAATTGATCGACAGGGCAGTTTTCCCCCGTACCCAACCGCCCGGACATTCCCTATTCCAGGATTCAATATGGTTGTTCAAATCTTCCATTTCCATAAGCATCCCGACAAACTTTCCCTCTCTACGATAACCTTGACACCACACTTGATACCAGTCTCTAGCAGTTCGTCTATTTCAGACTTGGAAGGTCTGTGACTATACTCGGTGAGAGTGATATGAAGCGTTTCGAGACAGGATACCTGCTTTTGTTCCTTCTTTGCTTCAAGAAGACCAAGAGCATGAACCACAGTCATTCTCGAGCCTAGGCGTAGAGACAGATGTCGAATGTGTGGAGGAAGCAGATCTACCATCGGTACAACTCTAGGATCGAGTGGTTTATCGTCATCCCCAAGATCTGGTCCGTTATCGTAGGTATAGAGCCATAAGTCGAACGCGACCACATCTATGACCTCCAAGCTGCTAAACTCAACAAGCGACTGAATTTCGTCACAACCTCGTCGACAATCTCCGGCAGATTCAAGGCAGAGATATTTAAGTGAAGTTCTGACACGGAATAAACATTGAACAATCTCGTTTAGGTTATCTCCATCGCCCGAAGATCCGCTCCTGTTCCAGCTTCTGTACTGCCTTCCGAAGGTGAATCGCTCTAGGGCTGGGAAACAGGTTATGAATTGAGATAAAGACCTGAGATCATCCGTGTCATAGAGTCGAAGCTCCAAATCCATGGTGGGTAAGCGGAGTTCGCTTTCAATTCGATCCAAGTGGTATTCGGTCAGGACGAGTTTCTTTATTGATGCCAGCTTACAGAACTGCAAGACCATAGGCATAGAAGGAGATGATGCCAAGATTCGATCCCACTCACGAAGTGGCATGATCTCTAGAGTTCTCAGCAGCTGGAGATTCGGGACAGCCTGCGGAAGGTTCTGCTTCGAAATAACATCGCGAAAGACTTTCGAGATGTAACGATACTTTGATGGTTGTAAGACGTTGCGACCATCGCTATTTAGATCGATCGATAATTGTTGCAGTTGAGGTAGGAGTGTCAATGCAATGGCAGCAGCCCCATCGGCACACCCGCTCCTGATAGCCTCGAACCAATGCGCCTTCTCCGGATTCTGATCGTCAAAGGATGCAATTGCGTTGCAAAGCTTTGTGGACAGGCTCGAACTAGGATCGCAAAACATTCCTGTGTAGTGTAGCCGAGTCTGTGTGCTGAAATCTAGGACGACTTTGAGATGGGTGACATATTGCGCTAGTTCAGGACGGTTGAGGATTGAGCGCAGGAAATTCAAGAGCTGCCATTGATCGGCCCCGAAGAATGATTTGTAGAGGATGGATTCTGCGACGGCTCTCATTTGGGTTGAGCAGAGACTCAGACTACAAAGGTCGCGTCTCAACACAGTGTCAGTGTCATGGCGGTTTTCAGATGGGCTGTTAGGCTGGGCGCAATATTGAAAGATGTCTGCGAGTAGCTCATCGGGGAGCGAACAAAGGGAGGTCGCCATCTTTTCCGAATTGATCTGTCGGGAGTGGATTCTGCTTGTCGTGTAGTTGTTTTTGGAGGGTGTGGTCCATGTTGAAGAAAATAGGTATAGGACGTGGATGGCACACTAGGCTCATCTCACGTGGCCGGAATTGTCTTGGTGTCCTTGACAATCTGCGAGATTGTTGATGAAATTGAATGTCTTCTGAATCTGTAGCTAATATGTGTAGATATATGATCTACCTGAAGGTTTCAAAAAATCGTATATGCAAATTTCAAGGTGCGAGCAAGAATCTAAAATGTGAAATTTGGAAGATACCCAATTCAGAACAAACATCCTGAGCTTGATTCCAATGTCAGAAGGTGATGTCAGAGAGTGGTACTGCTATTGTGTAGGGGAAAACTGGTCCCGCCTTTAAACTTCTTTCGGATGGTCAAGCTTGGGAGTTTCCATTGAATCTAAATCACGCTCTTTCCCCGCGCGTTTTCACTTCGATTTGCTTTTGTGTTCAAGTGGCGATGGTTTTATATCCTATGAGATATAGGTCATTTTCTGTACTAGATGTTGCAAAGAGAGTCAGAGTGGATGGCGATGCCTTAAGCAATAACGGCAATGATCTGTACTGGGAGCGCAGATGAGATAGTCGAAGTCAGCTGCAGAGCAAGCAGCCTGCAAGATATCAGAGTTAGTATAGTCACGACGAGATACGTATTTCTGCAAGAATGTCTCGATATCAAAGAATGGTTTGTAAAAAGAACATCCTGCATGTTCGGCAAAGTTAGTGTAGGCGGAAGGGCATGCGGGAATTGTGTGTGAAGCGCTGCGTTTCTGGTAGAACTTCCTTCACAGTCAGGATTCTTTTGTGCCATACGGTGCAGTGTATATTGATAGACAACTTTAATGGGGAGATCGTTGTATACTTGACCCCAAACTAGTATTCGGGCTTGATCAGAGTGATACATCGCTGCCCACTGACTCGAAGTCATGTATAATTGGTTTGGAAATTTTTTCAATATAGCTGCCATACCCCCACTTCCTCCCAGAAATAACCCATATCCCCACCCACGATCTACCTAGCAAAGCCTTAGAAGCCATCACCTTAGGTTCCGCAAAACGGTCTGCATTCTTTGCTTTCCCACTCACGTGCCCAGTATTACGTATTCGGTAATCCCTCAGGGGCTGAAATGGTTGCATAAACACGATCATCCCCATATATCTCGTGCCAAGCTAGATTGCGAACACACTGGATCTGCAAGAGCGTTTCGTGATTCCCCAATATCTTTTTGGCACTTCATAAAGCGCATAGGGCTGCCACTCACAACCTCATTAAGAAATCCTGCATAATGTGGTCCCGACGGCGTGTATCTCCCCCACATCGCTCCGACTTTTGCTCCAATATCCCCTATGACGAACTTAAAAGCAATTTTTGTTGCACGTCGAAGTTTCATGACCAGGCAGCCTCCTTCCGAATTGAGATACTTGTTGCATGTCGCATTTGGCCCTGCTGCAGCTGGGCCGTCTTCATTCTCATTGAGGTACTTGCATGATTTAAGTCTGCGCCATCGTTCGTTGTCACTTATCTACAGCCAAAAACGGATATGAGTCCGTTCCCTCCTGACTGAGGTGAGAGTGGCATCAGAGAGAACGAAGAGTCGAAAGTTCGTTGATGTTAATGTAAAGAACCTGACTGGAAATAACTCGTGGGTTCTACCTCATCGTATTTGAACTGTTCAGCTCTGTAGTTTCCTAGAACTTCAGAACTGCGCGACTATCCACCTTCTTAGCCAATGAGATTTCTATGTACAATGTACTCATTATGGCTATAAACAAAGACTGGATTTACATAGAAGCCGAATCCATCGAGTTACCCGTTGACTTTATGGTGCTTCCACGCCAGGCTACCACACCTCACTCTCATTTACTTCTCATGTCCTTTATAGTATGGGACCGCCCGGTACAATTTTATAGGGTAGCCATGTTCCTATCTTCACAAAAGTCATAATTACACCATGGCTGTATTTGTGCAATATATATACACGATTCAGAGTCTCAAAATTCTTGGTGGCATTTTGGCTATTGGCCTCCTAGAGCGTCTTATATCATGCTTAAAAGTACTTCCTAATGTAAACATAGTGTCTCATCAGGCGAATGATATACAACATCTAGTTCCATCCATTTTCCTACTTCCCTGGCCCAAAGTCTTGGACCGCTTTACGTTTTACATATATTCATCATATCGGGGCCGGTACCTTGGCTAGAGAAATTCGAGAACTCCATCTCACATATGGCGACAATGTCCGTGTCGCTCCTGCCTCGTCTCTTCTATAGCAGCAAAGTCTCTTTGGTTCTATCAATAGCTAGTCTTCGCTCTTTTCTTGGTCATGTGGTCAGGTACGTGCTTAGTATGATACTTCCTTGGTATCAGGTTACTCTCCTCAATGATCTTTGAAGATTTTATCAGCGCCAATCTGATTCTATCCACAGCACTGGAATTTCATACGTCTTAGCTCCACTTTAGGTTATTCATTATCCCTGTCCATAGTTATTCAATATAATAGGTTTGAACTCCGGCATTGTAACTCATGACACTCAATCAGGACCTGTACCTTCCCTTCACTTCTCGTCCCGTGTGGTGCTTGGGTTGCTGAAAGTCGAAATCTGATCCCGAATACTTTCACACGCCCGTAACTCATCGTTCTCCCAAGCAAGTTTTCAATCGGACCTGAAAAGCGAGACCAATTGGAAAGCGTTATGTGCTAAGCCACGATTTGAATGTGCGCACTTAGTGGTGTACGGTTGTTGAAGTGTCGCATTCTTTCCCAATATGGTGTTGCACAACTGCACCTCATGACATCCCACGACCCCGGATACAAGTCGTACTCGCGTCTGGTTAGCGAATATGGTAGCGAAGAGCATAATCACAAGAAGACTATCATTAGAGTACTGAGTTCATAAGTATCACTTGCTGGCTTCTCCGTACGTCTCTACACAACACAGCATCCACTTCTATTGCAAGAACATCGGTCGAAAATGCAAACTCTAGTCATTTCTTGTGGTTCTCCCAATGGGAACAGCGAGATCCTGCTCAAGACTGCGCTCCTCGCAGCAGCCTCCTCATCCCCAACAATCACGACGTCTTTAGTATCCCTCCAATCCCTCTCCCTCCCCTCCCACGCAATGCCCAATCACCTAGAGCAGTCTTTGGATCTTGCCTTGACTTCCATTCCTGATGATTGCCCAGCTCTCTTGGACGCAATTCTCCTTGCTGATGCTCTCATTATCTCCTGCCCCATCTACACCCGCCAACCTGCTGGCCGCCTGAAAGCCTTCACAGACATGGCACTTGGCCCTTTTGTCGATGCGGCATTCGTTTCTCGTGCGCTCAAGCAAAATGCTGCAGGCATTCCTCGCTTCAAAGATTATGTCAAGGATTATGTACCCGATGAGAGGGTATTGAAGAACAGGGTGGTGGGATTGATCGCAGTAGGGGGAGCCATAGGCACTGAGTGGGGAAGTCTTGCACTGCCGGGTCTGCAACAAAGCATTTTCAGCTTGCACGCGAAGGTGGTGGACCAGGTGATTATAAGAGGGTGTCCATTTCCGGGAGGTGAGTATTCTCGAATGAACTGTCATCTTCCTTTTCCAGCTTCTCTTTTCGGAAGACTTATTGCAAGAGCCTAGAGTCATCCTTCACATCCAAAAAGATTGGTAAATCCCTCTCATTGACGCTTAGCACCGAGTACCAGAAGAAGATTGCTAATTCAATCACGAATCACAGCGTCTTGATAGAAGGTGTAGAAGCTATTAACTTAGCTAAAAGGGTCGGGAGGAGCGTTACGAGTGGGATAGGGAAGGGATATGACGAGGCCACCTATCTGGGAGAGGAAGGTAGTTGTCCTTATTGTCATTTAGACCTTGTTGTCTTAGAAGGTAAAGGTAGCAATGCATGCGAATGTGGAGTCTGTGGAGCGAAGGGAATACTGGAAACCTATGGCGAGGGCAGGATCAAAGCTGTTTTTGAGGAGAACAGTGGCACGAGAGTGGTAACGTGGAAGGGAAAGGACAACCATATGGAGGAGATTGAGAAGACTGGAAAGATCCTGAGGCCAAAAATGGATGGGGCCTTTGACAAGCGGGAGGAGTTTGGAAAGATGGAATTTGAGAAAGTTGATTTTCCCAGTCAACGTGGGGATCAGAAATGGATCGCCCTTTTCAAAGATGCAACGCCGCAAAACTTTTAATATAAAGGCGCAAAACCACAATCAATCAGGTTTTGGCAAGAACTGTACGAGAGCCTCGCCATTGTACTAGAACACTGGTCCCGCTTTCGAGCTTCTTTGAAATATCAAAGATAAGGATTTCTAAAGAGTCTCCTTCTTTTCCCGTGTGATTCCACTTTGACTTGCTCGTTTCTTGTCGAAGTGGCATAATGTTGGTTTTGATATCGCACAACCTCAGCAGAAACACGCTAAGGTCGCGCTGCACGTGATGACATCAAGTGCGGCAGCTCTTCTCTTTTGCTGCATCCCGCCATCACGAATACACTTCGATTTGCATGGCAGATGCCTCACAACTCGAGCAATGGCCGAACAAGACCTCAACCTCCCGCTCGTGTGGATTGATTGCGAGGTTCGTCCACTAATCTCCGTTTGCTCCCACGCTGCTGACTGGCAACAGATGACGGGTCTTGACTTGGAGAACGACGTGATGATCGAAATCTTCTGCATAATCACGAATGGAGATCTTGACGTGGTAGACGAAGAAGGCTGGGGAGTAGTCGTGCATCAATCGAAGGAGACGATGGATAAAATGGTACGGAGAGAATGCTTTCATTCCAAAGCCAACACTAAGCAGGTAGTAGGATGAATGGTGTACGAAGACGCACGGCGAAAGTGGTCTGACCCAAGCTGTCCTTGATTCGAAAACGACTCCCGAACAAGCTGCCACCGACCTCCTCTCCTATATCCAGAAATACGTTCCAGAACCAAGAAAGGCATTGTTGGCTGGAAACACGGTCCATGCTGATAAGGCGTTCCTGCGGAAACAACCGTACAAGAAAGTGCATGATCATTTCCACCATCGCATTTTGGATGTGAGCACTATCAAGGAGGCTGCGATACGCTGGTCCTCACATGAGGTATTGAAGGAGGTACCGAAAAAGAAGAATCTGCACACTGCAAGGGAGGATATCCTGGAATCCATCGCGGAAGCAAAATACTATAAGCATGCCATATTTCAGCATGCAGAAACAACGAAAGAAACATGAGGAACATGAGGAACATGAAGATGACCATGAATATGCAATTGCAATTGTTATCGCGAAATATCCCGCATTTCTTTTTATCGTCAATCAATACTTCACTGAGGAAGCGTCTATTGATTGGTGGCGGGCTGAGCCAAGCAGGAGCGATTATTGGCTGCGACCCCACTAGGTTTTCGGTGGCGGTCCGTCACTCAACAGCACCATCACCGCCTTCTGAATTATTTCCCAGCTTTGAGAGCTCAACAACGCAACTTTCCTCTTGTTCCCTCTCTGTCCATTTCTCTCAATCACACAGCAGACCAACTACAACGCAATCATGAGTGTCAAGGAAGTCAGTCTCACCCCATTCACTGACCAAAAGCCTGGAACGTCAGTAGTTACCCCACCATCTGCCCACCGAACCCCTCATGCTAAAAAACAACAGCTCAGGCTTGCGGAAAAAAGTCGTAGTCTTCCAAAAGCCACATTACAGCGAATCTTTCGTCACCAGCATTCTTCTCTCGATCCCAGAAGGTGTCGAGGGCAGTTTCTTGGTCATTGGTGGTGATGGACGATACTGGAATCCTGAAGTTGTGCAATTGATTGCCAAGATTGGAGCTGCATATGGCGTCAAGAAGCTCTTGATCGGTCAGAACGGTATTTTGAGTACACCTGCTGCCAGTCACGTCATCCGCAAGCGTAAAGCTACAGGTGGTATTCTTTTGACTGCCAGTCACAATGCTGGAGGTGAGCGAGCTCTGTCTGTTGAGAGGATTTCTGTTAATGAAATCCAGGCCCAAAGAACGACTTCGGTATCAAGTACAACCTCGCAAACGGTGGACCAGCTCCCGAATCAGTCACAAACAAGATTTTCGAGACTTCCAAGAAGCTCACATCCTACAAGATCGCAGATATTCCAGATGTCGACATCTCTACAATTGGCACAAAGACATACGGCAATTTGGAAGTGGAGATTATCGATTCTTGCACAGACTATGTTGAGATGCTGAAGGACATCTTTGATTTTGCTCTGATCAAGAAGTTTTTCCAAATACACACCGACTTCAAAGTCCTCTTTGATGCTCTCAGCGGTGTCACTGGTCCTTATGGCAAATCTATTTTCGAGACTGAGCTTGGGCTACCCAGCTCCAGCACCCAGAACTGCATCCCATCACCAGACTTCAATGGTGGTCACCCAGATCCTAACCTTACATATGCACACTCCCTTGTAGAGGCTGTCGATAAGGGAAAGATCCACTTTGGAGCTGCTAGTGATGGAGATGGAGACCGCAACATGATCTACGGTGCCAACGCTTTCGTCTCACCTGGTGACAGTCTTGCCATTATCGCTCATCACGCTCAACTCATCCCATACTTCAAGAAGCAAGGCGTATATGGCTTGGCTCGCAGTATGCCAACCTCAGGTGCTGTCGACTTGGTTGCCAAGAAGCAAGGCTTGAACTGCTACGAAGTCCCCACTGGATGGAAGTTCTTCTGCGCTCTGTTCGACGCTGACAAGCTGTCGATCTGCGGTGAAGAATCCTTCGGTACTGGTAGCAACCACATTCGTGAGAAGGATGGTTTGTGGGCTGTCGTTGCTTGGTTGAACATCATTGCTGGAATTGGTGAGGCCAATCCAGAAGTCACACCAAGCATTGCCAAGATCCAACACGACTTCTGGACTATTTATGGTCGTACTTTCTTCACCAGATACGATTATGAGAATGTCAGCAGTGAAGGCGCTGGTCAAGTTGTCAAGGACTTGACAGCCAAGATCGCAGACTCCTCGTTCATCGGCTCTAAGATTGGTGGTATGTACTTATCTCTTCTAGATTGTAGCTTTAGCTAACCTTACCAGACCGCACAGTTGCCGATGCTGGTGACTTCTCTTACACCGACCTTGACGGAAGTGTTTCACCCAACCAGGGTCTTTATGTCAAGTTCTCTGACGGATCTCGCATTGTCGTCCGTCTTTCAGGAACCGGCAGCTCTGGTGCCACTATTCGTCTATACATCGAGAAGCACACCAGTGATGAGAAGACCTATGGTCAAGACGCACAGGACTTCTTGAAGCCAGACATCCAACTTGCAACCGAGCTATTGAAGTTCCAGGAGCACATTGGACGTACTGAGCCAGACGTAAAGACGTAAATATGGTCAGGCATGAGAAGCGAATTCAATTAGACTTGGGGTGGGTAATGGGATATGAACATGGAATGCAGGCAGCCAAAGTGGTACGAGACGATGAGCATGGACCAGTGTCAATACAGCAGCGATTTTAAAAATACACGCACATTCAACGCTCCTCGTTCCTCTATCAATCAAACTGTGATCTTGGCATCAAAGCCACGAATGTATCTCCCGAAGGCCGAGCACAGAAACCAGCTCATTCCGATACCACGGATTTTATAAATTTCCTAACATGCATTTCCAAGCCCAGCATCACGAAACGGGAACGGCGCCCGCTCCCGCTCCACTCTCGCTCACCAACCAATCACCAGCCCCCTCGCCACGAAACACCTCTTCTCATCCGCGGACAACGGAGTGCTCGCTTGAAGATTTGCTAAGCGTTCCGTCCTCACACTCGGCACCGTTGCGGGATTACAAATCCCTCTTCACACAAAGAGGACGTCGCTCAATCACCCAATCAACGTTTTCTCCATGGAGATTCATCTCTGGACTTTGGGTTCGCGTCCGACGGCCGAGTGTAGGTAGGTGTGTGTGTGTAGGTAGGGTGGAGCATTGAATTTTCCGAGGTACGGAACGAGCTTGTTGCGAAATAGCATCACATCGTGCACGTATAGTGCATGGCGGCCTCGAATGATCTGATCTGATCGTGAGTGAGTGAGGAGATGGGATGTGTATATATAGAGGTCGAGTATCTGCTTTGATGGTTTTTGATTCTCTGCATCAGACTCAGTTTGGGTTTTCTTTGTGCTGTAAATTGATTTACATCTCAAAGTCCAAAGTCAAAGATAAAAGATAAAAGTACCTAGGTACATGAAATCAAAATGGCAACAACTCAAACAGCCCTAGCTCTAACCACAATCGCTGCTCCCCTCACGAAGATCGAACTCCCGATCCCGACGCCGAAGGGTAATGAGGTTTTGCTGAGGGTTACGGCTGCTGCTAGTTTGTCTTCCTTCTCCTTCTCCTTCTCCTTCTCTCTTGATATTGTGAAGGAAGTGCTGATCATCGGGGATAGTTGCACCGTTTGACCAGAAACTGCGTGACTATGGACTTTTCAACATCGGCTCCCGTCTCCCTGCTGTGCTGGCTCTAGATCTCGTTGGTGTTGTAGAGGGGTATTCTTCTACTATCTCCGTAAGTTCTCCATCCTTCCTCTTCCTTCAAAGGAATTAATAACTGATAATTGTCTTGCAGAATGAACTAAAGACCAAGTTCCCCACGGGAACACACATCTTCGTCCAAGCCAACCTCTTCAACCCCCTCGGCGGCGGCCTCCAGCAATACACCACCGTGGACCCAACCTTCGCGGCCGCGGTCCCCAAATCCGTCTCCGACGTAGCAGCCGCATCCTTCCCCATCAACGCGTTTACCTCGTTCGCGTCGCTCTTTTCTGACGAAGGAGGCGAGCATCGCGGCCTGGGTATCCCGTTCCCTGGGACGCCGGGCGCGGAGGAATTTGATTATAAGGGGACGACGGTTATGATCCTGGGCGGTGGAACTAGGTGCGGGAAATTGGCGATTCAGTTTGCGAAGATTGCGGGGATTGGGAGGGTGTTGACGACGGCTGGTAAAGGGAGTAAGGGGGAGTTGGAGAGGTTGGGGGCGAGTGTTGTTTTTGATCGGGGCTTAGAAGAAGGGAAGTTGGTGGAGGAGGTTAGGAAGGTTACCGGCGGGGAGTTGGCGTATGTTTATGATACGATGTCGACGGGGAAGGATCAGGAGTTGGGTGTTAAGTTGTTGGGGGGCAAGAAGAAGGGGTTCTTTGTTACCCTGCTTGAGGGTGAGGTTGATGAGGGGGTGCTAAAGGAGAAAGATGTAGAGAAGTGGCAGATGACGGGTGTTAGTGGCATGCATCCATCGGCGGCGGCGGTGATGTGGGGGAATATTGGGGAGTGGGTTGGGAGTGGGTTGGAGGGAGGTGGGTTTAAGGTTGTGGAGGGATTGGATTTGGAGAAGGCGAATGCGACGATGGATGCGTATAGGGATGGGGGCTTTGAGAGGGTGCATGTTAAGGTTTCGGAGTAGAGAGGAGATGGGGTTCTTATGAAGATGTGTTTAGAGAATGCTATGATTTGTTTGAGAATGGATGCCAAGATGGAGTGAAGTGAGAAACACGTGATGGGACGCTACGCATGTGCCTAGATGAGTAAGGAAGTCATGATCGTTGGTGTTCTTGTTTCTCGATTAGAATTTTGCATCTCAACACTTAGATTGAGATTCATCAAGACTTCAAGATGGCCACTCAGATCCATATCGTGACAGTTGGGAAAGATAAGCAGAAGGAAAAAGATGTCTTGACGCGACTGACGAAGGTATAATCGCTTCGTACTTGGAAGAATGACTACTAACTATAGTGAGCAGGATGTGGAGAAGCAGTATACTCTGGTCCATGTTGCGCATTGCGAGAGTGAGTTCTCCTCCCACAATAGTAGCGAGCACATGGTGCTTTGAGATCATATGATCATCTACTCACCACCCAACTCATTACAGGCCTCAACGTCGTGAAGCACGTCCTCACATCTCTCATTGTTCCACCCAAGCTATTGGTACGTTCCTCCTATACACTGTGTCACACCTAAGCTAAGAAAGAAAACAGATCTGCTCACCAAATATCTTTGATGAAGAACAAGAAGAGATTCGAGAAATCGCGAACAGGGTCTTGCCGGACATGAAACTAGTCATGGTTCCTAATGATTTGGATTTGAAGGATAAAGAGAAGAGTCAAGGGTTGTTGGAGTATTTGAAGGAGCAGGTTGAAAGTCGGTTTTGATGGGCTGGGATGCGCAGTTCGCGCGTATTGCGCAGATTTCCCGGACAGCGCGGACAGCGCAGAGTGCGCATATATCATAATACTCGAAGATTCGATAATCTCTTAGGATGTACTGATTTAAATATCGATCAAGGTATATAATAACAGACCAAAGCCTCTAAACTGCTCAGCTCAGGAAGATAGATATCTTGCGTGAGCGATGGTGGGAACAGGTACTGATACAAAAATGAAACAGGACGATCGATTGGGTTAAGATGAGAGGAAACGAGTATGCTGAGATGAAAAGCTGGACAATGTACGACAGAGTTCGCGCCTCTGAATCAAAATGCTGTACCCAACAACCAGAACATGATGGCGTTACGCTCATAGCATTTACCCAACCCTCTTGTGTCCATGAACCGAACAGTATCTGAAAGATAATCTGCAATTCTCCAGACCGCAGGCCACATATTCTTGGACTCCCAAACTTGTATGACATCAACATCAGCAGCATCAAGGTTTCGGTATGACCGTACGCCCTTCCCAAGTAATACAGCTGAGAAACATGAACACCAGCTGGTAAACAAGAAGCACAAGCGCCAACACAGCAGAGTGAAATGAAATAATCTTGGTAGAACTCCAATGCGCATCAAGTCATGTAATACGAGCTTCGAGAAATGAAAAAGAGGGACAGCTCCCTAGCGCCACTATATATTATTTTTGGACACAGCAATCTTGGCTCGCGCTTGAAGCAATCATCCGCCGTCTGTCGCTTCAAATTGGCCAGCGCTTAAAGGAAATGAAGCCCAGGGAACAAGCATGAATTGAAAAAGAGAAATTAAGCTCGCGTTTAAAGATGCTCGTCGTCGGGTGTTTAAGAAAAGATGTGCATGATGACCGGAGAGGCGACCGGCTTTGTTCGAAACGGACGTTGAGGTTGGGATGACTTGCATGAGGAAGGAGGTGTGGTCACGTGTTTCAAACCGGTTAGGAGGGGATTGTTGAGTGTCAGAGATGGGATTTCTGTCGGAAGTTGGGATGAAGATGTACTTCATGGGTCGCCTTTGGCCTCTGGTGATGTTATAGTAAAGGTTCAGATGGCATTGATGCATCGATGCATCACGTGGATTGACATTGTCTGAAGCCTCCCGTCCAAAGTCTCCGAGGTTCATCTGCATCGCCCTCAACTTCTCGGAGTTTCACCACCGCAGAACTTCATTGCAAAGTACTGTATGCAAAAGAAATCACCATTACAGTAGCATAGAGAATCTTATGAGGAGATACTTCGAACCATCACGAGATCCTCATGCTTGATGCACTGCCACATTGTCCCAACCACCTTCAGACATCTTCTCGTTGAAACGGTCGGCTCCCAAGGCCGGATGACCTTTTCGTGGGCCGCTGTCATGCATCGGAAGTCATCGTCTTTGCAGCTCAGCTCTGCAAGCCCTCTGTTCATCCCCCACGGCTTGACGTTCCATCTGAGCATCTCCTCGTCCCAACCTCCTCAATATTCATCCCAAGTCGAAAGCAACGGGAACACATGACCGCATACTGCATACTGCATATGCATAATAATACAGTAATGTGGAGAGATATACAGATCACAATGAGTCACTTCTCATCTGAAACGGATGATCTTTGAAACACTTGCGAGCTTAGAACCAATAACGACGACCAACACGAGCATGACTCTTTTGCGATGTTTCTCTGGGATCTTAGTCGTCTTTTCTATCTGCAGCGCGTCCATGAGGGAGCCAGGATTCAAGCGAAATCGTGCGCGTGTCGGATGTCCAATGAGCAGAGCGAAGAGCTTCCTCGGCTAACACGACCTTGACACGTAACCGCCGGAGCGGATTCTCGCTTTTCTCTTGAGCCTCTCTGTGCTTTCACTTTGCTACTGTAGCAGGTAATCTCGCGGAGCGCTTCAAAGGTCGGCTGTGCGAGATGACAGCGCCAAACTTGCGCGGCATTGACCGGCATCCGATGCCCTTTCTCATGGAATTTGTATGAAGAGGCGGCTCTAGTTTCATTCCCGTAGCCGCCCGTCACCAAAAATACCTCCCACGAGGATCGGCGTTAAGCTGTTGAAGGCCTCGTACGGAGTGAGCTGACGCGAGCGGTTCGTGAAGCGTTCACGCGACACACGACAGAGCAGAGAAATGTAGCCGAGATTTGTTGTTGTTGTGCTGTGCTGTCTCTCGAAAAAGCACGCTGCCAGCTGCCGACGCGTTTTGGCGCTGCTGCATACGAACGAACACACACACACGAACACCAAGAAATCTCCACGCTCTTATCCCATCATTTCCACTTCGACATGGTTCTCTAATTGTGACTCAGAGATGCTGCATACCTAGGTACTTTTTCTGCAGTAGTGAGTGCACTCTGGATGCACTCGGTCGTGCTTCCCCTGCCTCTTCCGGTCGATGGGCTTCCGCGCCTGCTGATGGAAGACGAACCATCTGGCCGAGTGGCCTCGACCAAGAAACATGATCGGGTTCACGCAGCCCTCCATGGCAAGATGTCCCTCACTTCTCCGCGTTTCAGAGTAATGAGATTGGAACGACCCATGATTTGTCCAGAGCTATTGGGCTGTGCAGCTTCGCCATGGTCGAGGATAAGTATCGCGAGGTCGCCTCGGGATTTTCAGTTGGTTTTGGTCCATTCGATAGAAGACCTTCTATTGAGACTCTTTGTTTGCCTTGCTTGTCCGATTCCTGTCGCATTATTAGATTTCAAAACCAGACGAGCTGTGCTCTTCACGAATCTCTTTGCCCTCTTCCACTTGTCTCTGCAACTGGAGCTGGCCTCCTCATACAATAATTGTAGTGTCTAATCGACACCAGCTCCAACCATCCCATCTTATTGCGTACGTGCCCAATATCAAACTCTCGTCGTCGTCATGGCTAACAAGATGCAGGCAGGTAGCACAAGATGTCTTTCGACTATTCCTTCTCCTTCGGCGACCCAACTACTCCTCCTCATTTTTCCTTCGAAGAGGCTCTCAACGACGCATCCTTCCAAATGGGTCACAGCCGATCAGGCTCTCACGCTTCTTCACTGTATTCACAAGAGTCGTCACCTGACTCCGTCAACACTCAATTGACCACGCCGGCCAGGTCTCCTATCAGACAACATGGACCATTGTTGTTGCCCAAGATCCGCCCTCAGGATCAAGAGATTCATTCTCCACCCAAGAGATTCAAGAAATCTCCTATGCCGACCACCAACAAGTCGGCATCTACGTTCCGTCCCTCCCACACCAGGAGTTACACCAACCCAGAGTCGATCTCCTTTTCGACGGCAGACAACTTTCCTTCCCACACTCGTTCAATGACTACACTCTGCTCGCCGATTACCTTCAACAATAATGAACGTCGTGCTTCAAGCGTGGATCTTCTCGACGGACAGACGCTCGGCAAATACGGCTTCCCGACTTATCGTCAGATGCCAACCTACATTCCCTCTGCCACCAACTCCACAACCCAAGATTTCATTCCACAAACATTCTTTCCCGTCCCACAACGCACTCCATCACCACTTCAGAACTCGATGCTCATCGATGATCTGAGCCTCAACACCCTTCCCATGGACAATGTCAACAACAGCACCCTTCTCACTTACCTCACATCCCCCAACCCAGCACCAGCTCTGGTCCGTCAACTCAACATTCACATCCGCGATAGCAATACCAAGCACTTCTGGTGGGATATCCGCCAAATCCGCCCATGGACATCTTTCTCCATGTCAACCATCCAATCTATCCCAGGCTTACACTCACTCCTTACCCTCTCTCTCCCATCCATGACTTTCCCACACGCACCCAAGACATCACTACAACCAGAGACAGAAGCAGAGCTAGCCAACATCTACAACTCTTTCTACGGCACCAAACTCAACGCCGCTCTGAGTCTGAGTCTCGGACAACGCCATCTCGCTATGCGTCCCGCAAATAAAGGCTCTAACCCCGCCAACGATGCATCATTCGTCTCCGCCTACACAGACGATACATCTGCACTGATCTACGGCCGCGGCCTCGGTCGCGTCATCGGACTGGTCAAGTCCTTTGATCGCTGGAACACTGGAATGCGCGTCGAAGGCAACCACCGCAAAGTCGAGTACCTTCGCGGCCTCGCCCACTTGCACCGCGTAATGCGAGATAATGGCTGTCGCTACGGCTTCATCATCACAGAGATCGAGCTAGTCGTCGTACGCAATGGCGCCGAAAACGTGCCGCATTTCGGATACCTAGAGATTCAGACTATCCAACTTGCCGCTCACTCTTCTCCGGCTGCTGCATCGTCGACGTATGAGGGCGTCGAATCCTCGTTCTCTCTTCCCGGCGAGGCTTCGCCGTCGCTGGAGAAGAAAATGGAGACTAAGATGACGGCACTGATCGCGCTGTGGTATCTTCACATGCTAGCAAAAGATGATGTCCTACCCGGCCAAGTTGGCTGGAAAGCAGAGATTGGCGCCCCGGCTGAGGGAACCAGGAGAAAGTGTTTACCGAAGGATGAGTGGATCCCCGAACCGCAGCTCGCAGAGAAGAGAGAGGCGAAGAGGGCTAGAGGGTGGGTGTGGCCTGAAGAGGCGGTGGGACGGAAGGAGTTGGGACGGAGAGGGGTGAGGTATAATTGTTAGTTAGGCTGCTGGTCAGCTTTTTACTTACTTGTGATGTGATGATTGATGTGGAGTTGGGGTGGATGGAAAAGGAAAATGGGAGGAGGGTATTTGCTGGCTTTATTAATAGGTTCAATCAATGAAGTATATGATCTATAATTCGTGTCCTGTCTTTCTTCCATCTTTGGTTGTTGCACAGAAGTCCTTGTATCCATTTCTCTCAACCTCGTGCTAGTACCCCAAACCAGCCACTCAAACCTCGTTAAATCTTTTGTTGCACGTCGCATCTAGGTAAGAAGGTGCCTAGGTATCGCGCAACGAGGGGAGTCTATCGAAAAGTGTGGAAGACTAGATGGTATTTGGGATTTAAGTTGGCCAATCAGAGGGCTGGGATCTTTTGTGGGGAGTTTTGGATGGGAGTTTATGTTTTTTGGTGAGAAGAGCGTGTGCTTAGAAAAGCTGAGAGTAGGAAGGAGCCTTCCTGTGCTTCCCGGTTTGATACTACAACGATGCTATGGTCAAGCTCCGTCGAAGTTGTTGACATTCATGGTCACGTGTCTGTATATCGATGCCTCCTTCCCGTCTCTTCTGAAGCACCTTCCTCATTAGATCAGAGACTAAAGTACTTGATAATCATCTCGCGACATCTTATTCTCTTCACAAACACACACGTATCCATAACTTTACCGGATATATTCTTTCATTGTCCATAACAGCGAGTACATACGTCTTAGGCTTTCCTTCGAGGACTATCTTTGTTCAAGAGTTTCTAGCATTCAACCTCTCGCAATCGATTCAGAAGGAATACAATAACGATAGTCAGCTTCGCCATGCCGAGCCTCAATGAGCTCCCTTTCGAAGTCCTGGAGATGATCTTGCAGTCTTGTTTCGAAAAACCCGAAGAAAGTACTACAAACACATTCTGCAGTCTAGCGCGATGCTCTCCACGTCTGAGGCAAGCGGCAGAGAAGGCATTGTACGATACCTCACTCTTGAGTTTTAGGATGCCAAAGTTTTTCCAATTTCTTCGCACTATGCTTTGTCGTCCCGAACTGGTGCGACAAATCAAACATGTCGAGCTACTTCCAGCTTCAATTGGGCCGGAGCTTCGAGATCCGTATAACATCGATAAGAACATGGAGTACGACGTGACGCACTTTTTGAATAGCGTTCACAAACAAAACATGCCATACATTCGACAATGGATTCACGATATAAAGCATGGGCAGTTTGACAGCATCGTTGCACTGGCGCTCATGATTCTCCATGGATTGGAATCACTTGCGCTCTCGCAACCTCTATTTTTCAACCTGCACGATTACTTAAAGTTTGAATATGTCAACACCATCCTTGCAACGGCAGTGATGCAGGAGCAAGAACAGATCCGCGGCCCACGTCAAATCCTCCAGAAACTTAGATCTTTCGGGATGGCATTCTATGAAGACAAGCAGGCTGACACGCGTGGATTGCGCTACCTCATTGCATTCTGTCAACTTAAATCGGTCAAGCAACTTATTGTTTCAGTTCAATATGATGTCGTCAGAATTAGTGTCCCTACTCACCTCAACTTCTCGACGTCAATCAGCAGCTTAGAGAGGATTGCATTCCCTTATTTACCAATAGGCGATTACTCCTCTCCTCAATGGGTCTACAGATTCATACGTTGTTTCCCATATCTCCACTCTTTATCGTACGTCCACCACCCAGCCGTAATGCCGTCCCGTAGACTGGAGCTTTTGGTTCGCGCGGCTGCTCATCTCAAGAGCCACTTGAGGGAGCTTCACCTACCGCCAAGTGTGTGTTGTTTTTGTCCATATGGACATATGAGGAAAATCGAGTCACTGGCACATTTTGAGCAACTCAAAATCATCAACGTGACAGCTTTCGACCTATGGGTACTTCTACCTCCTCGAGAGCTCGCCTCCGTGCTTCAGCCCAATAGCAGCGTCGTTGTGCCCCTTGTTCGCCTTCTTCCGTGCTCCCTTGAAGAGCTAATCCTACAAGAAGGCAACACAAACACCATTCTTCATGTATGGGGTTTATTGGAGGACTTGAAAGCAGAGCACTCCAGAGTACCACTTCTGAAATACATCCGAATTATCAAAAGTCAGCACCTCATAATAAGGGAACATTGGAAGACAATATCTTATCTCAAAGACCTAGCATTGAAGCACAACATCATCCTCACGGTGGAAACTCGTCGGGAGGCTGGGTTACCTCCGTTGCCAAAATGGTTGCCAGAATATGATTGTCGAGACGAATATCACCTTCAACAAGTCAATACAATACTCCAAGAGTATCTGGACCAAAGGTAAATGTCTGGCTTGGTGTGTTGTGAGGTCATCGTCGTGGCGGAGGGACTTTGAGATCGACCAACGGCTTGTAAAGTCTCAAATAGACGTAATGAATATCATCGTATCATCAATTAGTTTGGACACTGAATCGTGCCGAGAAGATTGCCTAGAGTAAGTGCTAGTTACGAGATTGACGCTCTTGGTGATACTAAATCAAACCTTCGTTACTTCGGTACTCAGGCTCGCTTAAATTAGGGGTTAATGCTTACCACTTTCACACAGGCTTACTTAAGCGCAACTCTACCAATGTCGTTAGTCAAGTAAAACCAATTCGAAGTGGAATCGAGCAATACTTATACAATAATGGCCAAAAGGCGACAAGTGGGTAACACCTCTCCCGCCTCGGCCGCCACTCGGCACGTCCATATGCAACTAGGCAGAAGCGTCCCCACCAACCCGCTTACCCGAATATCTCCCATCGTTCATCACAAAGCTTGTCTCCACAACCTCGCAATCTTATCGTGAAAAAGTTCCTCCCCTGTTGTTGAGAATCCCCAATTTTCTTGCTGTCGGATATCGATGACCCACTTGGGTATGGACATCCACGGAGATGCTGAGGGTGAAGAGTGGGAGAGGTTGAGGTCTTGTACTTAAGAGGTAGATGTCGCTAAGGCTGGGAAGAGTGTTTGCATTAAACAAAGAGGGAAAATGGCAACAACAGCGACAGGAGATGCGACAATGCCAATTGCAATCAAAGAGAAGGAGACTAAGATCATTGCTTCGGAGTCAACAAGTGATGTTGAATCTGATTCCTCGTCAACGAGAAGACCAGGATCGATATGGACCATCATCGGCTGCGCACTTGCCAACTTCTCTGATGGATATCAGCAGAGTCTGGTTTGTCTTTCCCCGACTCCGTAATTCGACGCCAATACTGACCAAATCCCAGGCGTCTTCAACAAATGTAGTCTTCAACCACATCCTCGGAACAAAAGTCTACACCTCCGCCATCCAAACCCGAATCTCAAACGCCCTCCTCGTCGGCTCTGTCATCGGCATCGTAGTCCTAGGCTACACATCCGACAAATTCTCTCGAAAGGGGGGCATGCTCTTCACCTCCGCGCTCGTCATAATCGGCTCCCTCCTCGCAACCCTCGCTTTCCAAGTCCACCCCTCGCACAACATGCTCTGGTTCCTCACCATCGCGCGCGGTATAGCAGGCGTGGGAGTCGGCGGCGAATACCCCACATCCGCAGCAGCAGCACTCGAAGGCTCCAACGAGCATTTCGACAACCAGCGCGGGCCCATCCAAGTCCTGATCTCTACCTTAATGGCTACTTCCAGGTCTCCCGTCTGCACTTTCGTATACCTAGCTTCTTTACTGGCTTCGAATAATAACCTTAAAACGGCTTATCATGCCATCTACGCTATCTCTATCTTCCTCCCTCTCCTCGTCGTCCTGTTTCGTCTTAAGATGCAAGACGGTCTCTTGTTCCGCAAGAGCAATTCCAAGAAACGGCACGTTCCCTGGAAACTCGTTCTCCGCAAATTCTGGTTACGGTTGCTAGGAACGAGCGCTGCGTTCTTTTTGTACGATTTTGTTAATTTTCCAAATTCAATCATGTCAGCAGCTATCATCAACTCTCTCTAGTCCCAGGAAAGAATGTGCGTACCGTCGCCGTTTGGCAACTCATACTAGCCCTCTTTCCTGTTCCTGGGGTATTAATCGGAGCTTGGCTCGTAAATAGAATTGGGCGGACATGGACCGGAATCCTAGGCTTCGGCGGGTACGTGGTTCTAGGCTTCATAATAGGAGGGTGCTACGAACTTCTCACCACGAAAAGCATCCCGGCGTTCGTGGTGCTGTATGGATTGTTTCAATGCATGGGGCATATGGGACCAGGCGCCACGATCGGCTTGATCTCTGTGGAGAGCTATCCGACGGCCGTCAGGGGCATGGGATATGGTGTCTCGGCGGGGTTTGGGAAGGCGGGGGCGGCGATCGGGACGCAGGTGTTTACGCCGATTGAGGAGGTTGCTGGGAAGGCGGCGACGTTCTATGTGGCGGGCGCGGTGGCGGTGGTGGGGATGGGGGTTTATTGGTTTTTGCCGGAGGGGAGGAGCGTTGATTTGAGGGTTATGGATGAGGAGTTTGAGGGGTTTATGAGGGAGGAGGGGTATGGGGAGAAGGTGGAGGAGAGAAGCTAGATAGGAAAGCTGAAAAGAAGATTGAGGTGACTTGATATTGGGTTGTGAGGTCTTTGCTTTTATTTAAAACAGTGAGAAAGCCGAAAAGAGACTTTGTAACTGTGATTATGACGTGTGATATCTTTATCTTCTCTGAAGGAGTCGAAAAAGTTGAGAGTGAGGCCAAATTTCACAGATGGAAGAATGAGACATACCTAATAGAGTTCTGGTAGCTACAGTAATAGACATGAATGCAGAGTCCTAATATTCTCAAGATTTATGATGTTCTTGGAATACATGAGGATTATGATAAAGGCTCGGTAATGGTATGGTCTGCATCCCATTGGTGAAGGAACAATCCTGGACAATAGCTCACGTGAGTTAGTTGGCAACCCTCACCACCACATATTCCGAGCAGTACATTCGGAGCCGTGGTAGCCCCTGTTTTTGGCGATTCGGTGTAGCCTTGGAATTTGCTTCGGTTCTGCGAGGAGATGCAGTGTCAGCAATACCAGGCAATGCAATAATGCCTCAGCGACAACGCCGCTTACAACCGGTCCTCGGTGTCGCTAAAGCTCAGAGTGGCTGTGCCTTGAAATGACGATATACTACATGAACACCACCAACAGGCACTTCGCGTGCATATATAATGGGGTCTTTCTTGGACAAAAGTCAAGAAGCTCTTCTTGCACAGCCTTCTCATAGTCCCTCACTGCAAGTCACTTCTACGCAGAGATTTTCATCCCTCGCTACGAATAGGCCTCAAAAGGCATTCCACATATATACCAAAACGACAGCACGCTACCGCTCCTCCTCTCCATTGTATGCCAACATGACGACAGGCTTGGAAGGACCAGCTATTTCTCTCGCGACCGGAACCGGGCTGATAATATGGAATAAAAAGAAACAGTACCTCGGCGACGTCCAGACATCCGAACATGTTCTCAAGAAGCACCTTGATCGTAACCAAGAGATGCAAAAACACATCGACCAATTCCCTTCCGAATACAGCAGCTCGTCCAAGGTCGCAATAGAGGCATTTTTAGAAGAGCAAAGACAAATACAAGAAACTGGGAAGACAGACTTGGCGAAAGTCAAGAAGCGCAAAAGTTGGCGCTACGCATTGGTCTCTGGCACGAGAGAAGCAAGGGCGCGGTCGATTGCTGAACTGCGGAATGGAATCGAGGGTATGGACAGGAAGGACGCGGACCACAAAAAACGATCGGATTCGAGAGAAAGTCGAGAGAGGAGAAGGGAACGTAAGGCTCCTTCACAATCAAACGACGATGCTTCTCGCAAGACCGTTGGCGGAAGTAACAATTCGATGACACAAAATCCTTTTGGTCCCAGATCAACAACGGAGAATGTTGATCCACCGGCTCGCACTAAGGAGCAACATATCACGTCCAAGAGTCACTTGACAACGAAGAATGTTCATCCATCAGAAGATCGCACTGTCAAGCAAGATACCAAACGAAGCCGAAGTATCAAAAAGAACAGGAGCATCAAACGACGTAAGAGTATTGATTCTGCCGACCACGACAGAGTACCCCTTCACCAATCTCCGTTAGTGACTAGCGAGACTTCCACTGCGAGTGTACCAGCACCGGTTCTCCCACCAGCATCACCACAACTCGCAGCCGCTGCCCTACCACAGCCTGTGCCGATCCCTGTGGCGGCAATACAAGCCCAGGTACTGCAACTGGCACCACAACATGTGCCGAACAAGCGCAGGAATTGGGATCCTGTGTACCGCCGTGTTCCCAGAGCGGGGCGATGAATGCTACTGGAAACGACAATATACTTGAAAGTAACAGAGGGTTGCGAAGACTTTCCCCAGCTGGATTGATGGAATGGTACTGGCATTGTCTCTGTTGCTGTCATTTGGGGCGGCCTTATCTTCATTGGCGTGATTGGTACAAATCTGGCTTTTATTCACTTTGTTGCCCATTTATTCTAGACATGTGCGATCTGTGATGATAATATCAGGCTGAATTCTCGCATTTGCTTCATGAACCATCCAGGTTCCTTCACAGGGCCTTACCTCGTGAGTCGCAAATAGGGTACTCTCAAGCCCCAAGCTAAGAGTGAAGTTGAATCAGGGGGCGCAGAATCTCTTTGATGGACTTCAGGCTGATAATCAATATTTTCGAAGAAACACCTTCGTGTCTTGAGTCGGAAGTTGGAACAGTGACTTTCTGTCATTTCCCCCACAAGCAGGACGTCTTTATAGACAGCGGCGGCAGTTTTCAGCCAGGACTTTGTACAGATTTTCATCAGCAAGGCTCATTCGCTATATAATGACTCGTATGAAGGCATCCGGCGAGTAGAATTGCTCTCTAGCATTATGTTCAGGGTCTTTGGGCTCGGTATTTGACTTCCAGGTCCGAACGGGTCATCCATTGGCACTTCGATTTGAGCCATGTTCCATTCTCCGGTCTCCTGCCAAGTTATGCAAACCTCGCCAATGAGATGCAAGCTCTCATTTTTGATGCGGAGGACGAGAGGCAAATTGGAATGCTCGATCTGGTAGACCTGGTCGTCTTGCTTGGCACCATCACAGACGAGGACCAAATGCTGATCCCAGGGAGCGCCAGCAAATTGCTCTGCAAGGGCAAATCGAAGTTTGAATTCAGGGACAGCGTCAAGTGCTGAAAGAACATCTTCCCAGAAGTGGAATGCAATCTATGGGGGTGCTCGAGGCCGAGGTGACAACGGAGAGCCCAATGGTTTCGAGAGCGGAGTTTGAGGAGGCATAAGGAAGGACGGGGATTCTGCGGTAGAATGACTGGTGCCACTGCTCTTACCACGTCTCCAAAACCCAGCTTTCTTGTCCTGCCGAAGCGGGACGATTATTTGTTGCGTCTGAACTGAAGGAGAAGCCACTCTTGTAGAACTAGTGGTCAATTGGTCGTCTTTGTCATCATCAGAAGCTCGAGCATGGTTGTATTGCCTTGCCCATTCCCAGATTGGATTTCTCCGCCACAAAAGCGAACCAAGATGGTCAAGGACATCCTCTACACTGCTCATATCGTAATCTGCTGAGGCCTCTCTCTTATTGACGTCTCTTATCATGCGTGCGAGAGCATCGGTAATTTCAGTCTGGCTGAGAAGTGTGGTAGATCTGAAGCCTGGCGCAAGCCTATTCAGGATGTCCGAACAGATTCCGTTCATTACTTCCGATTCTGGACCTCTACGAATGCCAAATGCACTGTCTCGAGCAGCTGGAGAAGCTGGACCGACTCTTGAAGATCCTTCCACTTGCGTGATTGTTGCGATATACTGGCCTTTTGTGATTAAGGTTGATCCGTTGAACTCGGCACGAGAGGAGATGCTTCTGGATATTGATCGTGGTGTATGGGTCAGCCAAGGTGGAAGATGATAACCCAGCTCTGCCCAATCAATACACCACTTTGCTGCGTTTCTGAATCTCTCCTGTAAGGGCACCCAGTTCGCAAGCAGGATGACATTGCTTGGTTGCTGAGACCTGATCATCGCATTCGTCAGATCATAGAAAATTTTCTCAACTGAACCGGCATACGTCGGCAAAGGCACAAGGTTAGACCCATCGCTCGTCATTCCCAGAAGGGCATACACTTTATCTCGCGGGTCTGTAGCAAGAGAGTATCTGCTTCTTATCAACGCCTCAGACAATGACATGCGAGCGTTCGTTGAGAGCCCTCCGAGTTCTTGTTCCTGGGCCCTGAATCTGATGATGGCCCTAAGGAGGGCTCGTGTACGTTCAGATAAGTTCTTAAGATTTCTCGAAGCTAATAAGAGAGGATTCAAGTAAATTCGAAATTGACCAAACATGATCTCGACTTTCGAAGCTTTCGAGATCTCTTGGATGATCCAAACTCGCTCCCAATACGGCCGCGAAAAAAGTTCTAGTAATCCGCGAAGTACACTAGTTGGACGGTGCTGTGCTCTGAGAGCCATCATAAACTCGGGATCGTTCTGATTTGGTTTGCTGCGCCTGGGAGCGGGTTCTCGAGATTCGGATGAGAATGATCGGAGATACTCTCTTTGTCGATTCAGATTATCGAGGAATTCTTTGACAGGCTTGAATGATGAATCGGCACTTCCCAACCAGACTATTGCATTATTTGCGCGGGAGTAAATGAGACCCATATGCTTAACCTAGTCCGCTTTCTCCTTCAAGTTTGCTTGGTTGATGCAGACTGAGTCGACGTCGCAGAACGAAATCAACATGTCACCACTCCCGCTCAGGACTCTTTCCCTGTTGGGGTTAAAATATTATTGAATATTCCCACCTTGGGTGCGATTTCCTTCCTCGTAACATCTCTTTATCCTCATCGGAAACAAACTCCCTGATGTTCATAATGATAGCGCATTGCTGATCCCTTCGCGTTAGCGAGCTGCGTACAGGTATGCAGAGTAGGGTAGGAGCGACCCCTCTGGAACCTAAGATCGCCTCCCACAACAACTCCTTCCCTCTTCCTCACATCACAACAAAACAAAACAAAATTAGGAAAGCACCGAGGAGAAGACACCGATAGAAAGGTATATAGTAAAATAAGCAAGTTTTGCGTCAACACGGCCAGGACCAATGGCGCAGGGGTTTGTGTCGCCCACCACAGCTAATGCCCCGAGCATGTAATCATGCTCATTCTCGAGGATTTAAAAATTGTCATCCTTTTGATTTTCTTTGCTTCGGCAAAGAAATAAGGAACTTTGTGCAAGGGCATGAGGGAGCCACGGTGTTATCACCGCAACCAATTTTTTTTGCGAGACCTAGTATGAAAATATATTTGAAGGGCAATGAATTTATATTCTCAAAATTCGCTCGATTTGGTGAAAATTGACCTGTGGGGCGCACTGAGCATAATGGTTGGCGGAGTGGGTGGCAACCTGTATCATGAATGCGCCCATGCCTCATTATACAATTAAGCGAGAATGCATCACGGGACCGTCGCTTAAAAATTTATGGATTATTTTCAATTTTAATCATTCTAAGGTAGGTAATTGTTATTAAACCACGCATTATTGTATTTTGACTTGACTATTATGGCTTTAATATGTACCGGTCATTTAAAGTAACCATCCCGTGACCGTCTTAGGATCCTTATTAGCCCCCGGAGTGATCGCCCTTAGGAGGTGCAGACCTAAAGAAGTGCAAACCGCCTTCGCTTGCTATATAGGCAAAATAAATTGGTTGGTGGCAGAACTAGGCGGTGTGCACTTCTTTACGTCTGGCACCTCCATAAAAGTCCACCCCGCAGGATGTTCACTCGTCTCAAAACAGCTACCCATTGCTATTTTGAAACGAGTGAACTTATCTCCCTTCCCTCCGTTTGATTTGCTTTAGAAACAAGGATTTACTTACGCACGTGTTATGGGTCACGATATCATCATCGCAACTATAAAATTAGCCGAGTTAAAAAAAACCCCCCATCTTGAGAATTCCAAAACAAAAAAAATAAAATTGTCATCCTTCTGATTTACTTCGGCAACGAAGAGCTTGTGTAAGGGTTATTAGAAGCCCACAATTTTTATTTTGCCCACCAGGAAATTAGCATATTTAACAGGTTGCACGCAACCCGCTCAGCCAAACTTCCTTTTCGTTACTGAAAAAAAAGACTATTTTAATCTATAACTATGAAAGTCTAAGAGTCAAGTGATACTGGCAAAATTTATAATACTTCACTCACATGCTGTGACAGACCAGATCAGATTGAGATGTAAGAGGTGATCCATTCTTAGAATACTAAGGTGAAGAGCTGAGGACAGCTCTCAGGAGTGCTTATATACAGGATTCTGCCAGGCGGTGAGTTGTCACGTGATAGGACTGAAACCAGCACTGTGACACATGCTATTACTTATATAGACTTATTAAAGTAACCTTTTAAAACCCGATTCATAAAGCTTCCATTAAATTATAAGGGCAGAAATAATTCGTGTGGGTCACGTTTTATGGTTTGGCACGTGACTGAAAGAATCGAGCACTGCATAGTCACGTGCTCGCAGAGACTTAGATGTCTGCCTATAAGGATGAAGACGAGATCGAAGGAGGGTACAGAAGTAGTAATTATAAACTAGAAACAATGCATTTTCTTGTCTGAACCCCAGCTTTGACGGAGAACGAGAACGGCATTGCATTCGAGGACGGCAGCTAACCGCTCGCCTGGACGAACATTAGGCCGACATGGTCTAATGAAACCCGTTTTGTAGCGAAGAACTAGGTTGTTGGATCCTTACCTGGGTAATCCAGGCTAGTCACGTGATATTGGATATACCACCTACACTACCTACCTAGGTAGGTAGATAGAAGCACTGTTCTGAGTGTATAAACCCCAGTTCTCTACTCTCCGTAAGAGGATCCCATTCTGGCTCCCTTGAGAATCGGTTATAGTTTTTATATTGTTCATATATTCAAGACTCAAGGTTAAGCTTAGGTTAGAGCAGCGACTATTCAAGTCCAAAGACGGAAATAGACTTTGGTGGGTTCAGTTGTCGTCTAAAACTACCTAATATTAGTAGTCTCAGACCATATTTGTTCCTTTTCACTTCCAACGCGGTTGGTTAGCGGCGCTGTCTGCGATTAATGGGGGTTAAAATTAATTGACAGTATAGAGATAGCTAGGAATAGCTTCATTTAGACTTGAGGTAATTCGTGCACTTTAAAGCAAGGGTGCATACATCGAGACGAAGAATAGGTAAGGAGACGCGCAGGCAGATAAAAGCGGATCCGACTTGCAAAACGAAACCCCTCAGAAAACAGAGGTCCAAACCTCAAGTTTCGGCGGTATTCCGTTGGGGATCGATCGAAATAGATGCATATCGCATCGACCCATAGAGCTCGAGCCGAGTCACGGTATCTCAAGTGTCGTAGCGCGGTATCCAAATTCCGCGTAAGTGAAATATTTGTCCTTCCGATGACCATAGGCGTAGCCGCTTTGTCTTGACCCCACACATAAGAGAGTGCTTCATATTTCGCATGATCGTCCAAAGACACAACATCGAGAGCACCGCAAATCGGATCCTTTACTTCGCCAGGAGATAGCAGAAGGAGACGTATTTGAAAGCGGCCTGAATCTAAAGACTGATATATATCTTCAATTGATGATGAGGCTGAGCCTTGAGTCGATTCGGGGACATCTCCCACATTGGAACCGGGATTCATAATCAGATACTTCGAGTCAACCTGACTTAACAATACGACTCGGGACTTTCAGAGCGAACGTGAATAAGCTTTCAAAGGCGGCACAAAATAGAGCGAATAGTCACAAGAATTGAGTACGGAGTATTCAATCCGCGAACCATTCTGCGCGGCTGGATAGATGCCACACTTCTAGCTTTGTCAGCCGCTATGCCAAAATTGGCAGTCTGTAGAAAGAAGGATGTCTATTAATCCATGCTGGCTTCGATCAAGACTTATTACCACAAGACAAATAAATCAAAGGTGATAAGGGTGCATTGAATAAAATCACCCGCTGCGGCGGACGCCAGATAGAATGCTTACTTACTTAGGTGGGGAACTTTAAATGTTTGGAAGTGCAGCCTCAAATCTAGCAGGAAGCCTAAGGCACCATATTCCTCCACCACATCTCTTGTTCTCAAGATCACCACAGCATGTCTGCTCAACCATCTCTGCCTCGTTTGAATATGCTCACTGTCATAGAACATTGTGCCGATTCTGAGCCGTCGTCTATGGCATTGATGTTCTACCGACCAACCACGGAGCCCTCTACGGGCCCTCACTCTCCGAGCAATATGTCTTATCGCATGCCACCTTCTGTACACGCACTACATGTACATCTACATATCTCATCGACTTTCAGAATTACCCAGAACGCGACCATTCCTACCGACCACCTATTCCGTTCTCCCCGCTCCACTACATAACCAGAACGCTTCGAAAGCCTTGTTGGGTTAAGAGAGCGGTTCAGGCAACTGCTAGACTACTTGATTTCGATTTCAAGCATAAAGCGGGGAAAATGATATTGGTTCCATATCGGAACTCCAAAAGAAGATGAGAAAAGGGGCCTGGGTCGCGAGAATCAAGCGAGTGGCATAGAGAAATCTGTCACTGAAGCAGATGGCGCAAATCGCGCGAACAGCCCGAAGTGCGCGAAGTGCGCGGAATGCGCGGAATGCGCGAATCTGAACCAAGCAAAAATCATCAGGACGAAAATAACCTAAAGCAAGGAGAAGTAGGAGGAAGAGGATGTCGAGGCCGTCCGTCCACTGGCAGGATGAGCTTAAGATTGGAGAGTGCCTAGGAGATCTTACAACATCCAGCTGAAAACAAATTTCGAGGATCGCTCAAGTGTCTGATCACCAATCACCATTCGCAGAGTTTTGATGCAGACTATGACGAGAAGCCGCAACGATGCACCCTGCTTATCTCCTAGTGGGGAAGGATGAATGATTTCTCAGTCACGCGGGGTACATTTCAGCAAAGCACTCATTTTTTGAAGACCGTCCAATTGTGTCTAAATCACACCACATATATGTCAACCATGCTTCCAGCCTAGTCAACATCCATATTGCTCTTCTTACAAAGACTATTTGTTGACCATTTCATCCTCATCCACCGAAACTTCAAGCAATTCATCTAAGAAGAAAAGTGAGGAGCATTGAGGAACAGACCCATGAGAACACCGCCAAGTGTGCCGGCGATTGGAATGGTGGCAATCCATGAAAGAAGGAGCAGACCGACTCTCTGCCAGTTGACTGCTTTCAAAGTGCCGTTGCAGAGACCGACACCAACGGTGGCACCAGTGATGCACATCGAAGTTGAGACTGGGAGAGAGAATTGCGAGAATAGTAGAACAGTGATTGCAGCACCCATTTCCATGGAGCAACCTCTACTTGGCGAGTGGTAAGTGATCTTGTTACCCATCACTGTTCACGCATGAAGTCAGTACAGAAGTTTAGTCTCTGGAGCGGAAAGTTTATTTACCCTTCATGATGTTGTATCCGTATGTGATCAGACCAAGCGAGATGGTTGCAGAGAGGACGGCGAGCTGCCAGACTGGAACCGGAGCCTTCGAAGCAGCAGCATTTCCGGTAGACCATGCAGAGTAGATGACGGCCCATGGACCCACCGAATTTCCGATATCATTAGCTCCATGAGCAAAGGACGCAGTGCAAGCAGTGAGGATCTGAACAAACGAGTAGGTGTGCTCGACCTCATTAGGATACTTCTCTGCATGTGCATACACACTTTGCATCCGTTTCCCCTCTGGTGTACCCGCAATACCACTCTGCGCAGCGTGGATGTCGTAGTGGAGACCGTAGAGAGCTCCGCACACCATGATGGCAGGTATACGCTTGGCGAGGATCTTCATGTTGTGAGTCTCATAGACCTGGCCAGGTCCCATTGGGTTGTCACGAAGTGTTCGCATCGCCCAGCCAAAGGGACCGCGCTTCTGCATAAGCTTCTCACGCAACTTGCTCTCGCCCTGAGCCCTGATATCTGCGTATGTGTGTGTGGCCTCGGCTGCAACTATCCTCTTCTCATTGTCCTCAGAAGGTGTAGAGATAGGCTCGATTCCAGTATCAGTCTTGCCAGCATCGTATTCGCTACCGGACTCTGGAGTGCGAGCGGAGACATGTTCCTCTTCCTCGTCTTGGACGACAGCATAATTTGGGACGTTGGCTCGGTCCGCATCAGCTGGGGCTGGACGCTTGAAGAGCAGCGGTCCTTGGATAAACATCCACCATTTGACACTCGAGTCCTTCTTGATGATCCTCGCATGCACAAACGGCACGAAGAATACTGCGGAAAGAACCGCAACACCGCAACCAGTCCCCATCGTCACCGCAGCCACATACCAGGAAGGTTTCTTGTTCAGACCAAGGTTGGGAGAACCTTTATACACGATGGAAAGTGTACAGATGGTACCAGCTACGAGGAACCAGAAAGGCGAGGAGTAAACAGCCCATGGGACTGGATTCTTACGCATGTGAACAATGATTTTGATGAGCATGAAGATCGTTGCAGCAAATCCAGCCGAGATGGCAGGAGCCATTCCCAGACCTGCGAAGATGGCACCAAGACCTTTCCCGTTGTTCCATCCCCACTGCACTTGAGAAGCACCAACAGTGGCAACACCTACACCTGCGACGGCAGAGATAAGCGAGTAGGTCGATGAGACGTGGGCAGAATGTCGAGTGCACCACATGACCCATGAAGATGCAGCAGCGAGGGCGCAAGTGAAGGCCAACATTTGAACTCCGGCATCTCCACGAAAGGCAGCGTTGGGAATGATACCGTTCTTAATGGTGTCTGCTGTTCGAGCTCCAACGGTAATAGCTCCAAGCATTTCGAATATCGTTCCAAAGACCATCGCTTGCCTGTACGAGATGGATCTCGATGAGACACTGGTTGCCCAAGCATTTGCAACATCGTCTGTCCGGGGCGTCAGTCTCTATTCGGCAGATGAAGAAGGCTGGATTACTCACTTGCACCATTGTTGTAGGCATCGAGCATAGCAAAGAAGGTGCCAATGGCAAAGACGTAGGAGTACTCGTCGAGCCTCATCTTGCTATATTGAAAGCTATGAGTCGAAGATGGGTATTTGGTTCTGGGTGCTGGGGTCAAGGAGAGACGGGGATTCAAAGTATATATACTTCATCTGGCATGCAAACCTATCACACCTTCCCACTCTCTTGGGTCCTTTAGCTCAACCGGCCACGCCGTGGCCCAGAGATATGGTACATAAGAAGTGATACCGTCCAAAGGCAACTTCAACCACGTTTCCATATGCTAAAGTATGATTCGAGATATCGCCATAGCTACACACTCATTCCAACATCAAGCTTTCAATACATTTTTCTAGAACAAGAAAATCACGCACCGGCCAAGAAAGACCCAGTTCCTTGGGAAGACCAAAATCCAGCTTGGCGGACTAGAAGAAGACTTCATGTCCGCGAGGACGAGCATCTGTGGTCGATTGGCGGGGCGGGAGGTTCCTTGGCGGGGTGGAGGGGCGAGCTTGGCGGAGCGGACAAGAGGCTGGGCGGAGCTTGGCTACAGGTGAAACGTCTTCCTGTAAGATTGCTTGAATTGCGCACGTGGGTGAGACATTTGGGTTCTGAAAATGCTGTTCGTTCCATTCAGACGGAATTGCACGTGTTGCGTGGTTGTCGAATGCTGCCAAGCTTTTCGTACCAAATGAGGTGCATATTGTAAAGTTCCTACAGAGACAAAAGAGACGCACTGCCACCAAGGCATGAAGAGTATATTCCAACATTTGCCACAAAGATTGAGAGAACTTGGAACACCGAAGGTGGCACGCTTACTTTGACCCTAGCCCCGTCTCGCAACAACCTCCTCACATTTGAATGCCCAACTATAACACCATCCTTTTTCTTCGTGTTTTGAAGTACATTTTGCTATAATTCTCAGCAATTTCATCAAAAGCCTCGTTTTCAAGAAGCTATGTAGCGGTCGCGATAGAGAAGAGACTTTAGCGCCTCACATAATACGCCATGCTAAGGCTCTATGATAAAAGCTCCAAGTTAAGGCTCCAGGTTGAGGCTCCAGATCAAAAGTCCAATGAGGCGTGCGGCAATTGGTCCCGATGCTGTAATAGTTGTAGCATTCTCCCCAGAAGTGTCGCATATGATGCACAAGCGATCGGGGCGCTTATATCATTGGTGGTTGAAGGCAAGTTGGTGTGGCTGCGTGGCAGCACTCCGCCCCAGGCTGCCAGTTGGGCAGACTTGCCGACCCGAACCCTGCATCTCCCCGAAACTAAGCTTTTAAACAATTGAACTCTTCCTCACACATGGTTGTTTTTGTAATGCGCAACATATGCTCTTGGACCTAGATCGCCAGGACAAAGGATGGACCCACTGACAGCGCTAGGAGTCGCATCTAACATCGTACAGCTTGTAGATTATGTTTCTAAGCTAGTCACTATCAACGGAGAATTATACAAATCTGGCGCCGAGAGCAGCGTCAGGAATGAGAATATCGAGACGATCACAGAAGAGCTCCTCAGCCTGATTAGAAAGGTGAATGCTACACCTTCGATACAGAATCCAGAACTTGAGAGCCTATGTCGCGGCACCAATGAAGTTGCCACAGAACTGCTCGAAGCTTTGAGAAGCTAAAGGTCAAAGGAGTGAACTCGAGGATCAAGTCGTTCAGGATGGCGTTGCGGAGTGTGTGGAGTGAGCAGAAGATTCAGGAAATCGAGCGGAGGTTGGAGATGTTTCGGGAAGCGATCAACCTTCGCGTGGTGGTGAATTTCAGGTAGGAGCTTACTTCCATCGTGGGTTTCAATTGTACAGTCGTGCTGACTTCTCAAGGACACAATTCGATCTAGTGACTCTACGTCTAGAGGGAAAATTCGATAATCTTGATGCGAACGCAAGGTTGCTTCTCGATGCCATTATTGACTGTCGCGATGTGTTTGAGACGAAATTGGAAGAGCAGACGGAGACCTTGCGAGGCTTCCATGCTAACACCGCTGCTGTAGCTCGGGCACGTGAGGAAGCCAGAAGCTACTTCACCGACGTTCTTCGACTCTTAAACGTCGTGAGTCAGGACCGCCATGAAAGTAGTCAGCGGGAATCAGAGAAATTGCAGGAGACCATGCTTCGGATTGTCGAAGAGATGGAGGAGCAGAGGGCACTCATAGAGCGTCTCCAACGCGAAAGGGAAAGAGATCCAAGTCTTCGCGAGAGACTTGATCTGCGGGATAGATTAAACACTGCGTACGCGGTGCTGTTCAGGCTTGCGATGGTCTTGGCGGGTTTACAGGTAAGTTGCACTTCGTCCTTGCGAGGTCTTCTAACGTTCACAGGTCATTTTCCTCATGCTGCAGGCTCGCCCTTGGGTCTCAACGGATTCTTTCGCGACAAGGGACGAGTGTAGCTTGCCTCATAGTCGTCATGTTACAGTTGGAGACGGCTGAAATCTTGAATTATAAGGCGGATACATACGGACCATACCTAGGTATGCTAGGAGAACAGTTCGGGGCAAGCGAAAAACATTCTAATGAGGTGATGCACCGCATCAGCTGATCCAGGTAGCGTCTTTGAGACTTAGATATAATTCCAGTAAGGATTCCTTAATAAATATCATCGCATTTCCAACACTTCTACCCCCCTGCTTGATATGGTGACATGAGCCTACCATATATCGAGCATTACATTCGATTGGTGTTGCCAAAGACCACTTATTAGGTGGGCACACTGCGAAACTCAATAACATTAGCTCTGTTGTAGATAGGCTCCACTGTACTGGAGCAGGTTCCAAGCTTGGCAATAAACAATATCAGTGGCAGTTAATCGTGGGAGGACATAGAAAAATAAACAAAATCTAAACAAATGTAATGAACCTCATGCGATCAAGTACTCAGTACATCCTCCCCTTATTCCACAATGAAGTTGTCAGATGTGAGAACTTTGCACGTCAAACACACGCCACGAAGCCATAGGCTAAAAAACTTGTCAAAGACTCAAGCTTCTACTTGTTAACGAAAGTCCCACTGGATCAAACAATCATCTCGATCCCAAATGTCTAAATGTGCATCAGAGATCAATCACCGAATAGGTACGCTGCAAGAAGTAAACCTAGATCTCTACATCATCTCCAGAACTCAAAAAAGTGAAGTCCATGGGAACGTCACGTGGAGGTAAAGGGATACCTAGGTGCCTGGAACGATCCGCCATTCATGAACAACATCGGCCTTAAATTTCTCAATGTAGTGAAATTCCGGCTTGGTCAAGGGTCCGTGGTAGGTTCCATATCCCTATCTCATTTTTAAAGCCTAAGGACTAGCTTCGATATTACATGAGACAGTCGAGACAATGAGTTAGTAAAAACAGACCCACAACCCAATCGAGTTCCTGATTCAAAACAGTTCCAAGAAGCCTTACTACGCTCGCACCTATTCTTCTGCACCATGCAATGTTTTATACTCTTTTTGTATTGAGTTGTGAATAATTGAAAGGAAATGGAAGATCATCCTTCGATATGCTGCCAATCCACATTCGCCTGCTTTGTGTTCCACAATCCCAACTTGGAGAATGCTACCCCAACCCTCTCTATATTTGCCCTCACGCCAAGTCTCCGCAGCACCAGAAATCCCTGCTAGACTTCAATACTCGCTAATAACATATCAAAACTCCAGCTCTTTGGCAGATCTCCTAGCGCCTCCCATTCCACGAATCGAACCTGCACATCATAATAGTCCCAAAAATCATACCTCGCTCTTAACCTTGAACCAACCTCCCTTTTCCCAGTTTCCCGCACCATAGAGCAAAATTTCCCTTGTCTTCTCATCCTCAACTGCAATAAGAATAGCTTCCAACCTCTTGAAATCAATTGGCTTTAAGATCCAGCCATCGAAGCCGATCTCGACATACTCGTGAACACGTTGTTCAGACAAAGAGGCCGAGACTGCGATGATTGGGATACGTGCATACGGTACGACACGCGGGGAGAGCTAGATGGATGAGGCTTCTTCCTTCTCGAGTTCTCGGATGAGACGTGTGGCTTCTATTCCATCTACGAGTGGCATCTGGAAGTGGTTAGAGAAAGGGATAAATCAAGTACATGTTGATTTCCAGCATCTGCCAAAGCTAAGGAAGAGAAGTATAGCTAAAAGAAGACTTACTTGAATGTCCATAAGAATAAAATCAAACTCGTGCGGACTGCTTTTAAAGGCATCAACACAGGCCTTCCCGTCGACAGCTATCCGTACCGAGTGTCCTCTTCTCTTTAATCGAGTCTCCAGCAGCCGACTATTCAAAGGGTTGTCTTCTGCGACCAGGACGTTAAATTTGGGTCTGTCGTTGTTGACTGGAGATATTGGGAACGGATATCGATCTGTGGCTGTTCCTGGAGATACAGGGCTCGTCGCAGTGTCAATTACAGAAGCTTGTGTTAAGCTTGAGGACGCGCTGCCGGAAGTCTTAGGTGTCTTTGATGATTGCGGACCTGAAGTTGGAGTTGGTAAAGCAATATCTTCTGAAAACTGCTTTCGAGAAAAATCCCCCGAAAGTGCTTTTCGGAAGGGAATCGTGATTGATACGTTCGTCCCTTTTCCTTGCCCCTCCGAAGACATACTGATCTGGCCAGTCTGGAGCCTCACGAACCTTGCAACCGTAGCCAGACCCAAGCCAATCTGTGGCCCCATCTTCTTTTCAGGGAGAATCTGCTCACCGGTCTGGGTCTTCTCTTCTCCTTCTTCGTCTAGAATCTGCTCAAAATCTTTGAAAATACCATCCAGTTGACTTTCCGAAAGCCCTATACCATTATCCGTGAAGGATATCTTGATAACTGAGTTTGCTTCGGTAGTTTGAACGTGTTCCAAGCCAATGCTTATCTCCCCATTTACAGTACTCTGAAGCGAATTAGAGAGCAAATTAGAAGCAACTTGTCTGAGAGCGCCAGGGTCGCATCTCACTAGCTGAGGAACAGCCTTGTCATCTTCCAGTTTGATCCGCAGATCCCTCCTTACTGATTCGTCCTTGAAAGTTGCAATGACTTCGGAGAGCATAGATCTCAGATCAACATTGTCTTCGTGAACCTGGAAGTCAGCTCCCTCGGCTTCAGTCAAATGCAATAGATCATTGACGACAAATAATAATGATTTTGACGCCTGCAGTGACCGTTGCAGATGAAATCTTGCCCTCTCGTCAAGCTCCTCTTCGAGAGCTACCTTGAGATAGTTGATGATGCTATTTAGTGGCGTTCTGACCTCGTGTCTCGCATTTCGAATAAGTAGACGGGTCATTCGGTTTCTCTGGACAGTGGCTTCCTTCTGTCGCCAGACCTCGATGAATCGTCCGTAGAGTGTAGTTAGGACGGCCGCAGATTCAACTGAGATGATCAAGTAAGAATCAAGGAATCAACCATCGATCTACTAACTAACCTTCGTCTACAGTCCATTCTCTACTAGTGCCAACGACTGTTTCGCTCCACCGTTTGAAACTGCTTCTTGGTTCCAAATAGTCGGTTCCAGCAACCACCTGTTTGTGGTATGGTTGCCCGCCCACTTGATTTCCTTCAGCTTGCCTTTCCGAAAGAATACGAGGAAATCACTACCAGATATTGACAAAGGAATAAGAAATCATGGAGAATCCAGGAGCGTAGTGTAGATCAGGCAAGTCCTTTCCAATAGCGTGTGAGTAGTAGATCAAAGGCTGGGCTCTCTGTCGAATGTATTGTAGCAGTACGATAGCCTCACTATTAGAGAAGAGGTTGCCTATGGTTCTAGCTTCGCCTTTGATGACTAGGAAGCCGAAGTCCGCCCCGAACATGTTAAGGAGGTCGGTAGTTGAGCTGGTGATGTACGTAAAAGGCGAGGATTTTGGAGGAGCATTGGACAGGGGCCGTCGAGCTTCTATTCTAGAAGAATATATGAGCTTCTGGATGTTGCTGCTAGCAACATTGCCAAGTCCTCGACATATCTCTCTTGTAGCCAACGAGACATGTATACCGGACGCTGGCCCATAATTGTGGCAGCTAATAAGTCCCCAAAGCTTGTTGTCGGCTATTAGCGAAATCGACATGCTGGCTTGCACACCCATGTTTGCTAGATATTTGAGATGGATAGGGCTCATCGCCCTGAGATAGGAATGTTGCAGATTCAGAGGTGTCTTCGAGTCGTCAAATGTCCGACAGATGAGCCGAGCAGTGGGTTCTTCTCGGTTATAGAGCATTCGTATTGTATTTATCATGTAGAGTTCACGGGCTTGCTTTGGAATATCGGCTGCTGGAAAGTGGAGACCCCTATACAAGTCTTTAGACGCGCGCGGATCAACATATTCGCCTACAACAGCACCTGGTGACGTGTTAGCACATTTGACTTGAAATTATGAGGCAAGTCGAGTATATTGAGCAAGACACGCTGGGAGTGAATTGGGCTCCAGGTTGATTTGAAAATAGTAGTGTGACACTTGAGGGTTCCATAGAGCATACCTGCTGTTGTGTCATCGAATTGATATATCATCACTCTGTGGAAACCGGTAAGGTCATGAACTAAACCAACGATGGCATCTCCGAGGACTTTCAAATCAGGTGCTGACGATAATTGAGCCTGTATTTCCAGAAGGATCTGGAAAGAATCCACCAGAGTCAATTGTCGTGCGCTCGATCGTGCGATTTGTAGGCTATGAAGTGGTTTACTTCGACGGGTCCTGGGTAGAAGCAGTTCGTCATCGGTAGCTTCATTATGAATGATCTGAATTGGTTCGGGTGGGAAACCGCTGTTTGGCATTTGTTCCGGCAAAATGAAGTCTCTGTCCAGCTCAAACTCGCAAACGATAAGATCGGACTCTTTGTTGAGGTGCATGGCACAGAACAAGCGTCTTGAAGCTCCGTCGAGAGGTGACAGCGAGATCGAGAAAACATCTGGATCGCTGCGCGATGTGTCTGCGTAGAAGGCGCGAGCACGAATAATGAACTCAGTCTTCTCCGGTGGGGTCAGAAAATCAGTGAAACATCGTTGTTGGAATAGTGCATCTGGTTCGATTCCAGTGACGCTTTGCGTGTTCTCACTAACAATGCGAATAACGAAGAAGTCAGCCTCCGTCGCACCGATAGATCCTTTCACTGGTGGTGGCAGAGGATGTCGTCGGGTTGTTGTCACCGCCAGGGACGTAGGTAAACCTGTTTGTGTAGTACCGCTCGCCCTCGGTATGCTGCGATTCTGATAGTTTGGCAACAGATACTGACGGAGCTGCGAGTTCTTGCTTGGATCTTAAAGGTAGGTCAGACGTCAAGACCGGTTGCGTTGTGCTGTGAAGAGGGGTCGCAACTTCCCCAACACTCTCTGGTTGAGATTGCCTTCGCTCTACCTATTGATTAGCCTTTCCCCTCGAGAGGGAAAGGGAAGGTCCAACTTGGCTAACCTCATTCTAGTTGATTTCTACTCGGAATCTGGATTCGAATAGGAAAGACTCTCTCGATACGATTACTTTCGGGTTGTGCAACGGCTGTTGCTCCTGCCGTCAGCCCTTTTGCCGTCGCAAATTCAGTCGTGAGCTCTGACTGATCCGTCTCTTGAGATGCCATCACGATCACTGATATGAAAGTAAGTGAGCACAAGACATGAGCTGTTCGTTCATTCGGGACAAAGAGGGTTTAGCCAAGTCAGTAGCTGGGTGTTAGTCAAAACCCCTGCATGGATCTAGCGTGAGCTGTGCGGCTGGCGGTCTCGCAGGCGAGAGAGCTTGAAAATCAGTGTCTCACGGAGATACTCTTGTCCGTCAGATGGGTATTATATGTCGACAGCGAAGTAGGAAGAACTGCAGAGGGGTCGAAGTGGTTGAGGAAGGAAGACAGCAGTGTCGATTCATTGCTGTACCTGTACTCCATACGGTAGTGGGGAGGCATGGCAATGTCTTCCCTAGGCTAAACTGGCAGAGAATCTTACGGGTTTCCCAGATCGCCGATCCAACAATCATAAGTAGACTAGCGCAGCAGCAATGCCATGCATATTCTCAGGGTATCAGAAGCGGTGGCTCGGTCTAGACCATCACCTTGCCATGTCTGTTTGAACATGAATACATGGAGCATGCTCTCGCAAGATCTGGCAATGCAAGCCACTCTTAAGCAGTCACCATGCATAGCAAGGCGAGCATCGAAACACTTAGTTCAAAACAGAAGCGATTTCCCCATGTCAAGAAGCCACAGAGAAAGACAATAGAGAACATCGACCAATCCTGGGCAAGCGGAGATGCTTTCCTTCCACTTCCAATAGCAAATCTCCCGAGCGCATGCTGAGCCCCTGGTAGCACTTGAATGGGCTGAGAAAAGTGACGAGACGGGGGTATATGACCCGTTGTGGGAGAGAGCCACGTCCGCAATACGGATTACGGACAACTCTCTGCGGCACAACTCGAACTATTGCGGATCGAGGATGAATTGCTTAAGCTCATATTTGTGTTCAGGAAGCGCACTCTTGTGGCCGGTCTGCAGTGGCATCAGCAGAAGCAGAGCGAGCCCTTTGCCCCACTGCAGCACGGGAGTGCTCGCTTTGTCTGGACTCCAAAGATAAGGTTTGCAGGCCGACCTGACAGTGCAAAGTCTCAAGTCTGGAAGGAATTCCTTCGACGTTGACATGGGCAGCTTGTGATTGGGTTGGAGCAGATGGCCTCGACGTGAAGGTTGCACGTGACGGAGAAATCAGGCCATTTTTGAGCCCAGGCCGCCTAGCGCAGAAGCAGCTACCCAAGCGTTCTATTTGAAGTGTCTCGGTCCGGCACTCAGCTCTGATGAGTAATCGCCTAGAGCGGAAAGGAGGAAAGAACAGAAAGCAAAGGAGAAGTGAAGGCAAGGAAGATGCCAAGAAAAGTGGAGTGAAGTCTGCTGAACGGAAAATCAATATGCCGGCCAAGGGAAAATAGAACATCTTCATTTTGTCTACCTCTGAAAATCTCCTATGCTCTGAGGGCTAATCGGATCCTTTAAACAATACTTATCGATCTTGTTATTGGATTTACATGAGGGCAAAGTTAAAAATGGACAGAGTACACTATAGAGCGACCGATGTGTTTGCGGTGGTCGTCAACTCCAAAAGCATTTGACAATGAGAACAGTAATAGCATAATGCAAAGACAAAGGCAATACGAACAAAACAGGAAAATGTATTGGATCGGGTGCGCCTGCGCTACAGGTATATAAGTATGGTTTAGAACTCACACATCACCTTTGCGAGCGACTATTGCCAAGACCGTGCTCGCTCGGCGACGCATATTATCGAACTCGAGCCAAAATTGAAATCGAGCAGAGTCGGAGGAACTGGAGAAGGATGTAGGTACGCATATACACACACATATATATATTATTAGTAAGTCCGCCATGGCTCAATTGAGAGCTCATTAATCCAGGCCAAGTAAACCAACCATGGCCTACTTCGACGTCATCAGCGCCCATTTCGTCATAACCACGCCACGCTCTTGTATTTTGTTGTGTGAAGTAGGTATCCGATCAGATCAACCTGCCTTAACCATCACCATCGCATGTCGTACCCCCGCCTATCATGCATGCATGCCTACGATTTAAGGCCTTACGTACTGATGCTAACCCTTTTCGTCAGCTACTCAACGGACTCCCTAACCTTATTTTCACCTCAACTGTCACTACTCATGTCTCTATCTGTTCAGTCACATCGTCACCAAAGTTTGCGCCGTTGCTGAAGCTTCGATCATATTTCGACGTCTGACACAAGCACACAGTACTGTACCGAGGCAAGCGCCACTGCTGCGTTCGTACGGAGGTACCTATGCATAGGTACCTATTGTTACTAGATTGCAAGTAGCAATTCTTGTTACAGCAATCACCGTCTGCGAACTTTCAATTCCGCTTTGTTGTAAACAATGCACATTGCTGTTTTCATTCAGCGCCTCTTTGTTCGCGCTCCAAATTCGAGGAATGTTTGTTTGCGCCCCAATCTCAAGTCCTCTGCGAGACAAAGGAGTCATTGTAAAGTATTTCAAAGATTATCATGCTGCGCTACAAATGCTTTTCTACCTTCAACCAACACTTTCTTATAATTTCAAATTGCGATTTTTGCTGATCACTCTATATCGATTATGTCTTTCGCTGCAGCAACCACTGCAACAGGGCAACAACCTGAGGAAGTCCCTCTCACTGACGAAGAACTTGGCTGGCAATCTGATACCTGGAATCGGAATGAGCAGAGACTTAGAGTGAGGTTTCGAGATGCCTTAGGGGCATCGGATGCAGAGGCCAGGATACAACGAATATTGCGTGAAGTCCCAACCATGGAACTACCCGCAAACTTTGACGTTGGCACCGCGCTCGAAGAAGAAAGAGCAGAGCAGTTCGCCAGAGCAGGGCCATTCGCCAGAGGGAGTCTATTGCCAGTGGCCGCAATGAGGACAGCAATCACTCGTATATTAAACAACCTGGACAGCGACAGGTTCCGACACCTTGATATATGGCAAGCCGTTTTCGAGCGCACTGGAAATCCAGCCACATTCAGAGTGATCCTTGAAAAGGAGAGAATTGAATATGAAACCAGCGCCACTAGTCCGTGGGGTGACGAAGCTGCCACCGAGGAGATTAAGGACCAACGGCGAGAAATCTTGCAAGGGAGACTCCGGTCCCTTTTACTACAAGGTTCCAACGACCAAATAGAGGCCGTCCAGCAATCAGAGGGTTTCTTGCTGGAAGATGATACAGCAGGGCGAGGGCCATTCTTTGTGTTGATGGCAACCTTTCGGACCCAGTATCGACTAATACAACGACGTCAGCAATTTGCAGACGATGTCAGACAACTCGGTACAGCTGTAATAGCACGCAGACAAGGGGTCAATCCTGAACAGACTGAAGCAGCTCGACGTGCCCTTCTTGAGCAAAATCGCCTGGCCCTGTTAGCAACTCAAGCCCAGGCAGCTGCAAGGGAAGCAGCTCGTATAGCCCGAGAAGCTCGTGAGCGCGAAGAAGCTCGTGTGGCCGAGCAAGCTCGTGTAGCCAGAGAAGCTCTGCTTGAAGCAGCTCGGATTGAAGAGGAAAATCGAGTGGAAGCAGCGCGTGTGGCAGAAGAGGCTCGGGTTGAAGCAGCTCGCCAAGCCGCCCTGGATGCAGCTAGTCAAACCGAAGCGGAGCGCCTGGCTGCTGAAGCACAGCTGGCTGAAGAACGTATCCGATTACAACCAGCTCCTGATGCCCGAACAACGGATGGCGGTCGTACGCGTTTCCAGCAGCTTCAAGCACGGAGAGCAGCTGAAAGGGCAGTTGCTCGCGCAGCTGAAAGACGACAAGTAGCTGAACCAGTCGAAGAAGTAGCTGTGGACGGACCTGTACTTGAAGAGCAGCGAACATGGGAATCGATATTTGCTCCGCGTAGAAGTCAGTATTCCTCCAACCGGACAATTATTTGCTGGACATATCCAATTTCCTACTTTCAAATCTTCGTATTGCTTATGAGCAAGATAGAATCGTGCTGACACTACTAATAGGCACAATTATCGTCTCTGGTTTCCCAGCAGTGGGAAAAACCACCTTCTCTGACCTGCAGGAGCAGGCGCAATTGGTAGAAAGATTTCCCGGTCATGTATTCCACGACTTGAGCGTAGAGCCTTTTGCCCTAAATATCCTGCAAAACGGTCCCAACAGAAGCTGGCCAGCAAACTATGTTGCTGCTATTGAAGAGCTCAAGGAGGAAGCAAAGAAGGACAAAAGTCGCAACCCTCAGTGTCATGTGATCTTTATCTCCACCCCAGACGACGCCATTATTCAAGCTCTAAACCAAGCCTCGATATATCCCGATTTCTTATATCCCCAACCTGGACTCAAGCTAGAATACAGCGACCGTTTCAACACCCAGATCGCGGCCGGCGATCGAAGAGTGGAATCCGCGGGCCCGATCATTGCCAACTGGCTGAGATTCTTGACCTTGTATTCGGAAAACCAACCTTTGGCATCGAAAAAGTATGTCCTGCAGAGGGGTCAATATCTCGGGGATGTGATCGACGCTATCCTTTCGCGTCACTTACGAAACGACCAGGCAGAATGTAAGTTGTCATACTTGTCTAGCTAGCAAGAAGGCCGAGAAGCTAACCAGCCTCGATGTGTATAGGGCAAAGGTCGCTCCGTTCTTGTTCTTTTATTGGATTGTCCATCCTTTCGATTGTCACTGTGCTCGTATTGCTTTTCGTGTTCTTTCCTTCAAGTGGCCCCATTCTCTTGCCATCAAGTGAGCTGTAATACTTGTTATATACACACAATTTGTGCTCACCAGGAGCACTTGCTAGGTTAGGGTTAGAACTTAGAAGATTTCCTTTGGTGTTATTATCTGGGTTTCAAACGAAAAGGGTTGATTAATTCATTCCCTTTCTTGTAGCCACGAATCACATCAGTGCGCGTTATGCAGCAAAGAATAGTGTTTGCTTATGCAAAAATAAACATAAATCATCATTCATTTGATATCAAACTTCCCCTCCATATGTGCCACCAAACCGGAAACATCCCCCATTTTCAAAGTCTACAGTTTACTCTTCGCTCCACCAACACACTTCATCAATGCCCGTCCATTGCTCAAACACACCTTCCCACCCACAACCTTAGTCACGAATCTAATCTCCTCCCACTCCCCCTTCATCTCCCCCGTTCTCCAAATATCCGTAACAAGCTTATCGCCCGGCTTAACAGGACTAGCAAACCTCGCCTGAAACTCCCTAATATTTTTCGGATCGCTCCCACCCAGCGCCTTCAGCAATCCATGAGCAGCAAAATTCCAACTCGAAAGTCCATGCATAATAGTACCACCAAACCCCATCTTCTGTCCCGGCTCGGGCGTCGCATGAAGAGGATTATAATCCCCATTCAACCTGCACTTCTCATCAGCACCTCGCTCTCCCAGAACCAAGAAAATCCACATACCGATACAACAAAGCACTCTCCGCCGTCGTCTGATGACTCACCACAACATCCGCCTCCCTCCCCTTCGGCGGCGGGAAATTCTCCGTCGCCGGCCCCTTCGGACCTCCCCAATTCCCCTGTCCTACAAAAAAAGCACTGCCGACCGCTCGCGCGTAGCTCTCGCCTGTCGCTTTATCCACGATATCCTGCTGGGTTTCGACGACGGAGCCGGCTTTGCCCTTGTCGTAGACGCCGATGACCTTGGAGCGCAGCTCGAAGGTGCGGCCGGCGGAGGTGGGGGGCAGGGGCTTGAGGAAGGTCATCAGGCGTTGGCCGTCGACGACGCGGCGGGCGTCGAATTTGGGGACGTTGGGGATGGGGGTGCTGGCTTGGGCGGCGTAGAAGTCGATTATGTCTTGGTGGGTGAGTTTGAATGCTTGAAGAAGTCAGTAAGTGGTTCGGTATGGTGTGGGAGGATGGAATGTACGTAAGATGATGGGGTAGGTTGGGAAGACGGCGAAGTTGGGATGGAGTTCCTGGTTCTTTTTAGATTGATGTTGAAGATGGGGGCAAGGGGCAGACGTACGTAGAGGAAATGTAGTTCATCTGCTGTGCATCCAATCGAGTTGGCAAAGAGCAGAACATCTCTCTTCAGCCAAGAGACTTCCTTGACGGGATACTCGAAACCTGCACCCGGACCAGACATTTTGGTTGTGATAATGTTTGAATCTGTTGCTTGAGAAAACTTTAGAGGATTTGATGAATATTATAGACAATCGGGAGAGTTGCAGAGAACAATGGGGTAAAGAGCAAGAGAGAAGAGGGATGTCGTTGAAGCTTCCCCAGCTCTAGTCCCCCACATTTTCGGTTGTCAGATTTCCAACGCCTCGGCATCAGCGGCATCCCTGTTTCTAATCAATCAACCTGACTTCGGAGCTTCAACACGGCAACCACTTTCCATCACATACCCCTTCTCGACTCCTATCATGAGATTGCAAAAGTTTGTATCTCGATAGTACCGAGATACTGGTACGGTTCCCTTTTGAGTCACCGTAACAGTGACACCGCGCGTGCCTGAAGTCACACCTGCAGCACGCCGGAGGCTGAGACGACCGGTGGCTTGCACAGCATGAAGGCTGAGGACTATATCAATTGGCTGCCAAGACTGCACCTTCCCATGAAATGTAACGGCCCATAGAGTTCGTCCCGGTGAAGAGTCATCAGGCCTCTACATATTGCTATATATTACTCCCTTTTCATCACTAATTCTCAGCTATTCTCTCACGACTTTGATGATCAGAGAACCCGCAGCTATGGCCTCAACAATACCTCAAGTTGAGACAGATGAGCCCATCTACTTCTGGCGCGAACACAGCTCACCCCACGGCTACATGTCCCAATGGTACCACTCCCCCTTCACCTGTCCCTCCACAACCACAACCTACAAAACGGCCGAACAATACATGATGCACCGCAAAGCGCTGCTCTTCTCGGACCCCACCATCGCTGCTCAAATCCTGACAACCACTTCCCCCAAAGCCCAGAAAGCGCTGGGACGGAAAGTAAAGAATTTTGAGCAGAAGGTGTGGGAAGAGGAACGGGAACGCATTGTGGAGGAGGGGACGTGGTTGAAGTTTCGGTATGGGGTGGATAGGGGGGAATTGGAGGGCGAGGGGGTTAGTTTGAGGGAGAGGTTGGTGGGGACGGGGGAGAGGGAGTTGGTGGAGGCGAGTCCGATGGATAGGATTTGGGGGATTGGGTTTACGGAGAAGAGGGCGGGTGAGATGAGAGATAAGTGGGGGATGAATCTTCTGGGCAAGGCGTTGATGAAGGTTAGGGAGAGATTGAGGGCTGAGGAAGTGGGGGATGGAGAAGAGGATGTTAAGAAGGATGGCGAGAAAGAGGTGGAAAAGGCTCCCGAGTTTCGGGCTGGGAAGGATAACGAAGTAAAGGAAAATGATCATCATGGTCAAGATGAAGAAGAGAGACCGAAAAAGAGAACAAGGAGTGGCAAAGTCTGAGTGATGAGGGCTCGTTCGACAAGTTTCTCTATCATACTAACTGTTGATGGTGTCACATAGATTGATCACATTCAAGAATGCTATTGATGATTGTCTTGTATTGGTCTATTAAATCCTAATAACAAGCAATCGTGCCATCAACTGATGACTATTCTTCCGCTGAATATCTCAAGAGAGTAATCTCAACTTGCTCGAGAGGTCATTAGCCATCATGACAAGAACACCTCAGTTCAGTCTCGTCCTGCTAAATCAATGCAATGAATGATCAGGCCGCAAAGCAACGATCAAAACGCAGTGTCAGAAGCAGAATCGCAGATAGATGTAGACCAACAATAATCCCCAGTCGTCGTACGTCATGTATGAATCGACCGAGTCAGGCATATGGTATCACCCATTCAGCCAACTGGGAGATCAGCCTTGTTGCCCTTGCCATCAGCAATCCACTCATCCTCAATCAATCTGTCTCGCTCTTGATACAAGTGCTTGTATGCAGTACGGATGGTACCATCACTGACACCAGCGACGAGAGAGATTTCCTTCGGCGTCTTTGGCTTGCCAAGTAGGTATGAGGCCATGTAGATGCATGCGGCAGCAACGGACAGAGGAGAGCGACCAGCGAGGTCACCAACGGTTGACATCTTATCAGCGAGTCCTTGCGAGACCTTGACGAAGATTTGACGATTAAGACCAAGTTGACTGCAATAACGGACGCACAGGTCGCTGGCACCGGTAGAGGTAGTGGTTTGATATGTCTCTGCAGATGGAAGCGCGCCTTTGTAGATAGACTGTTAATATCAAATAAAAATGGATAGCACTCTCAAGTAACTTACCAGGACCACCTGCCAAAGCACCCTTAGCACTGTCTGCCGCAAAGAACTTCTCCAAAGACTTGAAAGTTCGGCCAATATCCTTCTTCGAAACTTTGGTCAATGCGTAGATCTCTCTGAAAGTACGGGGAACTTTGCACTGGCGGCAAGCAATGAAGATACAGCCGGCAATGATAGCCTCTTGAGCTTTGCCTTTGAATGCCTTGGCGTCTTCGACCAGCTTGAAGAGGTGCTTGGCGGTGTCAGAAACATTCTTAGGGATATTAACGGCGTCGCAATGAGCACCGATCTCCTTGTATGCAGCCAGAAGGACCTTGCTAGCCTTGTCAGTGGAAGATTTGCCTTGAGCGCGGAGCAGGTCGCGGCTGCGAGCACTGCCATCCCCGAAAGCGATCGTGGTTTGAAGTTGAGAACCATTGAGAAGGGGATTTGCGCCATCACCAACACGGGATGGGTCATCGTTGCCTTGATCATCGTTGGAGAAGGTACGCCATTCAGAGCGAGTGTCGACGATGCGATCACCGAGGACCAAGCCACAGGAAGCACAGACCATATCACCAGAAGAGAACTCTTCGACGAGATTAGGAGGATCTTCTCTACAGTCCTTGCAGATCAGGGACATGTTCAGATTCTCGCTCCATTCTGTCGCACCGCCCTTCTCAGGGAAAGCGTTCGGGGCAAGCATCTTTGGCTGATACGGCTTTGCGCGGTAGATATTGTCAAGTTCGTTGAAGACCGGGCGCTTGCTGGCCTTTCGACGCACTTGTTTGCGCTTCTTCGATACAGCAGATCGGTGTCGAATGTCCCTGGTTGGCTTTTCGCAGAGAAGGGTAGTGGTAAGCTTGCGAAAGAGTGGGGAATGCGTTTTGGCGGTATTGACTGGAAACGCCTGAGGTGATGTAGGTCGCCGATTATTCGACGGCCGGACGGAATCAGGATTTGATCGGAGCCTTTATCACGAGGAGCAAGTTGTAAAGATCGCGCGTTCGAGATGTCCGAGAGAACCTAGCTGATCTGATCGCTCGAGGATTGTAGGCCGATAATATGAAGTCGGAGTCGGGATGGGGTGTAGAAGATGGGTGGCGAGTGGAATGTAGTCGAAGAGAATTGCGCTGCTGCCGCTGACGATTGAATTCTTCTCAGAACGATGAACCAGTGAAGGCGTCTGTGAAAAATTTCGTGTCGTTGAAGTTGTCGTACTGTCGTTGTAGAAAGATGACCGGCAACTTTGAAGTTTGAAGCGACAGTTCGATTTTCTTCGTGGGCGAGAGCGAAGGTGAAAGGATGAAGATTCATGAGGGTTGAAGGTGAGCATTTGTAAATGCCTGGCCTTTAGCGGCTGACTAATTATAATCACGTGCTACGTACGCGCAGTTCTGGGCTGCCTTCGCGCTAGGACATGGAAGCTCCAAGTGCTTCGAAGCTCTGCTGAATCAACAATCTACTTTTGTGACAAAGACGAAGCGATTCCCTTCCTATCTCGACCTATCCGCCGTTCGCTTTGAACCACACACCTTCAATAATGTCTACGTTAGAAGATCTCGATGATCTCGAGCGTGAGCAGAAGGAAGACAAGAAGGATGACGGCGACAAGGAGAAGAAGCCAAACCAAAATGGCGATGCGGAGATGAAGGACGCAGAGCCAGAGGAGAAAGAAGAAGACCCAATAGATGAGGAGATCTACAGCCTAAGCACACAAGATATCCTCACGCGGAGACGGCTGTTGGAGAATGATTCACGAATTATGAAGAGCGAATTCCAGCGTCTTTCACATGAGAAGGCTGCGATGGGCGAGAAGATCAAGGACAACCTGGATAAGATTGAGAACAACAGGTATGGGATTGGAGATGCTATGACAAGTTGTTTTGATGGTGTGGCTTACATCCAAACAGACAACTACCGTACCTTGTTGGTAATGTCGTTGAACTGCTCGATCTCGACCCAACCGCCGAATCACAGGAAGAAGGTGCTAATATTGATCTGGATGCTACACGAGTTGGAAAGTCAGCCGTGATTAAGACTTCTACCAGACAAACCATCTTCCTTCCCTTGATTGGTCTGGTGGACCCCGAGAAGCTGAAGCCCGGAGATCTGATCGGTGTAAACAAGGACTCATACCTGGTATTGGACACATTACCTGCAGAATATGACAGCAGAGTGAAGGCAATGGAGGTTGATGAGAAGCCAACGGAGAAGTACACAGATGTTGGAGGATTGGATAAGCAGATTGAGGAATTGGTTGAGGCTATCGTTTGGCCAATGAAGGAGGCTGAGCGGTTCAAGAAGATTGGCATCAAGGCTCCCAAGGGTATGTCCATTTCTTCTATCAGACCTATAACCTTGCTAAACTGAATAGGTGCATTGATGTACGGCCCTCCTGGTACCGGAAAGACCCTGTTAGCACGAGCCTGCGCTGCCCAAACCGACGCCACCTTCCTAAAGCTTGCCGGACCACAACTTGTACAAATGTTCATTGGTGATGGTGCTAAACTCGTACGAGACTGCTTCGCCCTTGCAAAAGAGAAGGCTCCAGCGATCATTTTCATCGATGAGTTGGACGCCGTAGGAACCAAGCGTTTCGACAGTGAGAAGAGTGGAGACAGAGAAGTGCAGAGAACTATGTTGGAGCTTCTCAATCAACTGGATGGTTTTGCTTCGGATGATCGTATTAAGGTCCTTGCTGCTACAAACAGAGTCGACGTTCTCGATCCTGCTCTACTCCGTTCCGGACGTCTAGACAGAAAGATCGAATTCCCTCTTCCCAACGAAGAAGCACGAGCTCAGATCTTGAAGATTCACAGCAGAAAGATGACGGTCGACGATGCAGTCAACTGGCCAGAGTTGGCACGAAGTACGGATGAGTTTGGTGGTGCACAATTGAAGGCTGTCTGCGTGGAGGCGGGTATGATTGCATTGAGAATGGGGAAGAACAAGATCAGTCACGAGCATTATGTTGATGCTATTGCAGAGGTCCAGGCTAAGAAGAAGGACACTGTCAATTTCTACGCATAATGGGAGGTCTGGCTTGTACGAGGATAGGGAGTTTGGCATGGCTTGCATATTGAGCCCTGTATTCATAGACATATCATGGACAACTTTCATGGACGAACTTCAACTCCATTGAGAACGTTGTTGATGAGAATTTGATTTAATACGCTGTGGAGAGTTTTCCTTAATTCCCCATCACGGACTCATCTTCTTGCTCGCTGATACCCTACTCTGCAAAGATCCAATTCCGTACACGGGGACAATTCCAATTCCCACCAGCCCTTTGCAGCTTTCCTGCCCACGAATGCGTCGTAAATGTCTATGGGTAGCTTCTGGATATTGGCCATCTGGGCTCTCGTTTAAGTCCAGGCCATCCCAGTTCATGAGGTCTGGGTGCAGTAAGTGCCCCATACCAGCTCTCCTGCCACTTCCGCAATAATTCTGGTGTGAAGTTTGGTAGATCCTCAGTGCGTTCAAACCGAATAAACACTCGACCTTGGATCTCGTCTCGGTCAGGATGAGGCCTAAGAAGAGCTTTGAGGCGTGCTAAATCTTGGCTGCTGTAGACCTGGTTGTGCTCAGTTATTCGAACTTCGATGATAATATCAAGTTCTCTCAGCCTCTTGAATCGCCGCAGCAATTGCAAGACGGCGTACATGTCACCTTCATTTTGACTTGCTTCGGCAACTTGCTTTTCCATCCGATCCACTTGGAGCCTCTGGTTTGGGCTGAGCCAAGTATCGTTAGTGAGCTCGATATCTACCCAGTCGTCGTATTCTGGCGCCACCATAGGGAACATTCCTCCATATGCTATAAGCTCGACCTTGGTAGCATTGAAGTCTATCGGCTGTGGCTTCTTGAAAAAGTTGCCTTGGTGGCTTTGTCTATACACCACGACGAAATCCTCCGGCCCCATCAAACCGCCGCCTCTTCTACGGTAGAAGCCCGCAAGAGTGCATATATGCTCGTCTGGCGATCTGATTTTTTCGACTTGTAATTCAGCGTCAGCATTACTCAACCAGCAATGAATCTAGATTAGACTCACGAGAAGCTTTATTGTTCTGCCAGGGAGGGGGGAATTTCTCATCGTCCGTGAGAGGAATCCACAATCGCTTTGGCCCCCAAGGCCGCTTTGCCCAGGATTCTTTGATCTTATACTTCATCCCATTGACCGACCTGCGGATGACTGAACTTTTTTCTGGCATCTCGAAGTCCGATTTGGAGCAAGGCTCGAATTCGAGTGAAATTGCAAAGGAGCAATTGGTGAAAGATACAGTACGAGCAACAACCAATAATTGAAGCGTAAGAGAACGACTATTGGGTTTTGTATGACAATATTGATGATTTGAAAATATGAAGATGACAGGGTAGAAAAGAAATAGCAGGATTTATTCAATCATGGCTGAACCTGTTCGTGCCTCCCTCTTGCTACTTTTCTCTTGAGGAAGTCGCATTGTAAAGTGTACCTTGAAACATCGTCACAAAGATCGAAACCCAATTCGATCATGAAGCTCAAGACAGAGTAAGAGATAGTCACTTCATAAGGCATTTGAATGTTGGAATAACTTTTGACAATGATGCTTCGGAGGAACTTTGTTCGAAACGTAAGATGGAAAGGCCAGGAAACTTTGACGGATCGCATTGAATATACTATCATATAGCCAATATTGATGACTACCAAAGCTGGATGATGCTAACGGAGAACCAGAATATTCAGAGAAGAGGGAAGCAAGGAGGAGAAGATAATGTCGGAGTAGGTAATATTGAGAATCACGTGCCGGTAGACTAGACCCGAAAGAGATCGTCGGTGCAAGAACCTCGAAAATGCAACCCGAATCTCATCAACGACCTCCTCAATATCCCAATTGACACCACCACAGTCGTCACCATGTTCACACAAACTCTCCGAGCTTCGGTATATACTGTTCACAGCTTCTAACCGAGCTTTACTGACAATTGCAGCGTTCCTCGATCGCCCGTGTCGCGAGACAACAAGCTTCCGTCGTGTCAAGACGCACCTTCATCACTCCTACGGCAGTTCGTCAAGGTTCGTGAATCGCCCAGCTTTACTCTGGCACTCTCCTTGCTTCAGCATTCGCGGTCAGCGCATATGCAGCTCTGGTTCTGTAGCGTACTGAGTGCTTTCATTACCCCGGAGCTAACATACCTCGTTCCAGCGGATCTCGTCCAAGACCTCTATCTCAAGGAGCTGAAAAACTACAAAGCCCCAGCCGTCAAAGCCAACGATTCCGAAGGTCACGTCCAAAAATTCAGTGCACCAAAGCCACCCAAGTCTCCCGAAGAGGCCGACATCGCGAACGAGTTGAAGGCTTACGAAGCTTCGACTGTTGACATTGAGGGACAAGCGGAAGGGGGTGCTGTTGCGCAGGATGCTGATTGGTTTGAGGATGAGCCAGAGGAGGAGGCTGCTCATCACTAGATGCAGAGTTGGGGATGCATGGTTGAGGGCATAAAATGGAGGATGCGAAGACAGGATGATCTTGTGTGTATAGCATAACTTAGAGAGAATGGGAGCTTGTACAGTGAAAGACTTGGATCAGCACTCCTGCTTTCTCGAGAGTGCATATCCACAGGTCAAAAGGTTCGAAAAGTCAGACCCGTTTGCTGGATACATTTCGGTCTCGATTGGCCAATACTTGGAGGCGGCTAGAAGTACATGCATTGAGAAGCTTGTCTTTCTGCTCTCAGTGGGGCAACTGCCACTTTGAGTTCTCAGAGTGTTACAAGTACATCAGTACCACATTGTCTGTCCTAAATTTGCGTTCCAGTGAAAAGCTTGTATTTGCAATGCTTGAGTATGTTGTTTCCTTTGGCAATTCTGTAGTATTTGTCTTCAGGTGGAGACGTATAATACTTTGTACCATATCTGTTGCAACGCTTTCTTGGTGTTTTTCGCTAGTGTTCTGGATCTTCCTTGTCTTGAATTATGTACCCTTGGTCATTTGGAAGCATCTAATACTTGACAGAGTTCCAGGCCAGGACTGAGCTGATATCTTGATGCCAGATTCTGCACCTTCTTCGGCCATCTATGCCTTGTTATTGTCTCCTCGGAATCAAAACTTTATAACCTATTGAACCTGGGACGCTTGGTCACGTTAAATTGAGTATTCAAAGTATATCTACCCTGCTGAAAACAATTGAAATAATCCATATTCCTAGGAATACACTCAAAATCATAGTCAATCCAACGCAACTCAAAACTGAAGCTCTGTGCTGTTAGATTTCTTATTTCCGATTGTATTTTTACAACCTTGACATGCATTTACTCCTTCAAACAAGCTCTTGCCCTTTCAAATTTTAAAATTCTAACAGCGTTGAGCTACTTAAGGACGTGCGACTTTCGTCGATTGACTCAATTTTGGCAATACAAGGACCGGCATCGAAGCCACTGCCTCCCAGCATGTGCCCAAACGGAAGGTACAGGTAATTTCAACAACATAGTTTTCATTGCCAATATCCCCAAACTCAAAAACAAACCCTCGTACAACAGTATTCTTACAACCCAGTTAGCACCTCTTCCTTAGTCCCAAGCCCAAACAATAGCTTCAGCAAAGAATTCATGCTCGACACCGGCATACCTTCTTCACATCATCTATATCCTTCAATTGAGATGTGTTCGAAATTAACAAAGCCATTCAAACTCAACATGCCCTCTATCCAAACCTCAAACACCATCACTAGCAAAATCCCGATAACCGAGTCTTCAGCTATCTAAACGCGATTTGAGAATCTATTAATCGTTCCTTCAACCTAAACACCCACAGCAGCGAAAACCTCCCAAACCCGACCAGACATCCAGACACTTACTGAGTTGTTATGCGTCGCTTCTTTTTACCTACCTTGAATAAGAATAAGATTTCAGGGAACAGAGAAGTGAGAATATATATTATACACTCTCCACTAGGATATGTGGATATGGAGAACTCCCATTATATCCTCTACCAGACTGCCCTTCACATCTCCAATCTCCTGTCCTGTCTTTCACAAACACGTGACACCACCCCCTTCGGCCCCAACCCGAACGAGCCGCATTCCTCCCGACCCATCCCCTTTTCCTCCCCGAAATCACCCGTTGCTCTCGGCTCCCACCGCTTACCCATATCCTCCTCATCCTCACTCATCGTAAACCAACCACTCACCACCCTGTCCTCTCACACCCTCTCCCGGTTCGGACGTCGCGACGGCACGGCTCCTGCACATTTCACCTAAAACGAAAAAAAGGCACATGAGAACTCGTCATCATGATTACATTATCATGCTTGCTACTATGCTATCATCGATCGAAATCTCGATGACGGGGTTTGTGAATTCTAAGTACAGATCCTCCCTGCCTTCCTTGCAGTATTAGCACGAGGAGGAGAGACAAATATACAGCGAGAATGCATGCATCGTCGTTTCCGTGTGTGTGTATCCCTCGCTGTACCATATAGAATGAGTAAGACAGACTTATGCTCGTCTCCGAGAAGAAGTTCATCAGTCAGTCCACGCAGAACATTTCATGTACCTGCTGCGCTGCATTTGCCATATATAGCCATTTCGCATCATGATGAAAAGACGCAATCCCCAATGCAACCCATCCCATAAGACATCGTATGTCATATTTCGTGTGCATGTCATACTTTCCACCCAGTAGATAGATGCCGTGACCAGACTGCGAAGAATGGAAAACAAGAGCTCCTGCTCTGGCAATTTCGTACCACCCATATCCACAGGTCAAGGCAAGCCGAGTGACAATGATGAGAGAAACCGACCCAGATCATTCATCCATTGCCCTTCGTGATTGTCCAATTTGACCTCCCGCCCACCCAATTCATTCATTCCGCGCATTCAGATGACATGAAGACCAGACTCCACCCAATGCAAAAAGACAAATTCGACTCCGGCCCGATGCGTACTATGTAAAGAGGATCATATCAAGCGCAAGAAAACATGATTCGGTCTGTTGCAATTTACATGTCGAAATGTTCGCCGTTGAACATGCTGCTATCTTCGTTGGTGTTGGTTTTGACAATGCCGCTCATTCTGTCGCCACGGTGCTTGCCAGAAACATCAAATGGGTCCTCCCAGTCTTGGTCTCGCTTCTCATCTTCATCCATATCGTCAAACTCTTCCTTGACACTGGCTCCCATATGCTCATCCATAGCACTCTCGTCAACGAACGTGAAACCTTTGAAGTTGGCTTGCATGCCAGGCGATAGAGGTGTGGAAGTTGCAACGCCAGCTGCCAAGGCTGCTGCGCGAGCATTAAGTGATGATGCGCCATTGAGAGCATTGGTGAACTCAGGATCGAAGTTTGAAACGTCGATTTCAGACTTCAACTTTGGCTTGAATGGAGGAGTGATCAACTTCTTAGTCAATGCCTCCCAATCGATGTCAGCGAAGAATGGATGTCGCTTCAACTCCTCTGCATCATCGGTTGCTCCAAGTCGGTGCTTTGGATTCCTGTTCAGAAGACCCTTGACGAAGTTTCGGCCCTCGGTGGTCAAAGTATCTCTAGGAAATCTGACCTTTCCGAAGGCGATGTTCTTGTACATCTGTTGGGTATCTTCAGCGTAGAACGGGCTCCAGCCGCAGCACATCTCAAATACAAGAACACCCAAGGACCAGAAATCAACCATCTTCGTGTAACCGGCTTCATCCAGAAGAACTTCAGGTGCCAAGTACTCGGTCGTGCCACAGAACGTATTTGTGGTTGCGTTGTTGGTCAAGTTTGCCTTTGAAAGGCCAAAATCGCACAATGCAATGTGACCATTGGCGTCCAAGAGAATATTCTCGGGCTTCAAGTCGCGGTAGACAATGTCGTGCATATGAAGATGTTGAAGAGCAAGAATAAGCTCAGCAATATAGAACTTCGCACGCTTCTCGTCAAATCGTCCTTCCTTCTGCAAATGCCAGAACAGCTCTCCACCAGACATGAAATCTGTGACCAGGTATAGATCTGTTGGTGTTTGGAAGGAGAATTTGAGTCCAACGATGAAGGGTGAGTCGGCCATAGCTGTTCGAACCATGATGTTTCTCTCTCCAACAGTGTGTGCGACTTCCTTCTTCTGAACAATAACCTTCTTCTGGAGGACCTTCATGGCGTATATTCTCTTCGTATCCTTCTTTCTGACCTGGTAAACCTGACCAAATGTGCCCTTGCCAATAAGCTTCAAGATTTGGAAGTCCTCTGGTCCATAATGCTTCTTCTCGGTTCGTTGGAAGGTGATCTCTACATGGATCTCACCAGGATGGCCATTGTCGGTGTTATCTTTGCCTCGTAGTTGAAACCATCCCGAGAGGGGCGAATTCTCAGTCTCTGAGATATTGGCTTCCAAATCAACGTGACCAAGGAATTCTTCGGCGGCGCTACTTCTATCATAGATGGTGATGTTGACACGAGAATCAGATCCAACCACATCACTAGAGAAAGTCAGTATTACCATCAACAACCTTTGTTTCTGAAAACTTACAAGACGGCCTCGGTGTCCCATTTTGGATTCGTCATAGATTTTCGGCCTTTGATCTTGAAATCACGATAGTCAGAAAGACTAGTGTTGCTACTCTGTCGACTCTTCATGGGAATTGCCATTGGTCGTCCTGAATCGCTGCCAGATCGCATGATGGGGATTCCTCCAATAGCTGGGCTGCTAGTCGCATCTTCGTTGTCGTCATTATCCTCAGGTAAAGGTCCCTTGGATACCAACTCGTTTCTCTGGAACACAGCCACCACGTACGGGTCTCTGCTCTTTCGCAAACCTCGGGCTTCGGAGATCTTCACTGTCAGCTTTCCTTTTGGCGCCGGTGCAGGTGCACCGGTCGATCCCGACGATGCTGATGTAGTATGCGTAGATTCCGTAGCAGTCTTCCCGTTCTGTCCATTCGAACTATTCGCGCCGTTCGCCGGGTCTGATCCACCGCTCGCATCGGATTTGACGGTTTGGTTGGACAATGCGCGTGTTGGAGTGGGAGGGATACTCTTTTTACGCGGAGCGTCATCTGTTAGCTTCTTGAGTCGATCAACTGATGGAGACTCGTGAAATTCAGAACTCAGACGAGAACGTGAAGGGGTAGTTGGTGGAGAGCGATCGCTGGGGTTAGAGAAATGAGCAGCATGAACATTTGATGCCGTCACAACACTTGAGAGAGGATTCATCAAGGAGGCTCTGCGAGCGCTTGACGGAATTGATTCCGAAAGTCTCTTGTGATGTGCGGGAGATGAAGAAGCAGTGGTCTTTGCACTTTCTTTCTCATCTTCAGAGCCTGAATCGCTCAATTTTAATTTGTGTAGTGATGGTGGCTGGGAAACGGGTGGTGTCGGGTATGGATGCAGGCCACTTGTCGGGGTGTTCTTCGGTGCAAGAGACTCTGCACGCTCACTATCCGTGGGCGGCTGAGCAATTGGGTCTTTATCGTGGGAGTCACTCGCAGGCTCATTGTGAGAGTCTGGCGTGACTGACGACAGCACCTGATCACCCTCGGTTTCTTCCCGCCGGTGAAAAGGAAGGGGAGTTTGAGCTTCACTCTCCAGAGCAGGGGTTTCAAGGACACCAGAATTTGGACTTTGAGAAGAACCAGCACCAACCTGTCCAAAGTAACTGTGCATAATGCCAGGTAACCGCTTGTCTGAGGGATCAGGCTGTGGAGTAGCGACACCGGAGCGGGGGGTATCGGAAGCGTAGCTATCGTTCCCATCGTCCTCAGTTCTGCGAAAAACATCAGTAAGAGACATCATGAAGCGCATCGCTAGGATGGTCAAGTAGTGTCTGGAGGCATGAGGTATTTAACAAAAAGGGAAGGAAAAAATGCAAGGTGTAGAAAAATTGAGCAGCATAGAGAGCGCAACAGGTGCAGGGTAGGGGGTGTGTCAATGCTCGATAATCAAAAAAATTCTTTCTTTCTCGGTGCAAAAGTGCAAGAAAAAAGCCCAAAGGGACGATTTCTAGTGTGCCCCAAATTGAGACGCGCCAGTCACCGATTGCCGCTTCGATAAGCAGCCTGTGGGAAGGGTGGAAGGGGTAGGAAGTGCGGTGCGGCCGACCCCTCGTCACTACTTTTGACGTTGGGTTCAGTATTGCTTGCATGCATGGCATGTGCAAGAGACATGAAGAACCGCCGCATCGCAGAAATGAAAGTGAACGGGTGGCAGAGGGAGGCAGAGCACAACAATCGTGACCCCGTCACCAGAACCGGGCCAGGTGGGCAGCGGCTCTGGGATGGGATGAAGGGAAGGAAGGAAGGCTTCTAGAAGAGCCAATATGCCTTTGTCCACCCTGCGAAACTGAACTGAAGGAAACGGGGATTCTGCCATCGTCGTACCTTGCCATCATAGCTTGTGTAGCCTGCTTGAGCAAATCCATCTCGTTCCCTGCCATCGCGGTCGGCGTTCTCGTGGGGTTGCCAGTGTTGCTCGTCGCGTCGGGGAGTTGTACTTCGCAGGTTGCGTGGTGGCGGAGGGTTTTCGTGAAATCGAGTCTTCACAAACAGACTTCGCGACAAAGTACTGGCGGGTACTTCTAAAGGCGAGAGGTACCTCGCATGCGTCGAAGGGTCGAGAAGAGCTGCAGTGGCGAGACGGTATTGAAGGTAAGGTCGTTGGACTGCGCTGCGCGTGCAGTCGAAGATGTTCAATGGGCGGTCTTGGAATCGTGAGAAGTAGGCAGAGTTGTTGAGAGATTGAAAGTAGAGTCGAGTGGTGGAAGTAGGTAGAGGGAAGAGTCGGGACCCAAATCGCTAGCAAACTCGCTACGGTTAGAAGGACTTCTTATTTGCAGCACCGCACAGCTCAACCTGAGCACGAACCTGGCTAGAAAAAAAGAAGCCGGTGGATGAAGGCGAGCCCGAACGAATGTAATCCTGAATCTGAACCTGAACTCCTGACCGCAAGACGTGAGCCCCGACAAATGACTCGTGGTGATTCAGGAGATGGGGCGCCGCATCAACGTAGCAGTGGCAGCAGCAGCAACAAGTCGGTCTGGCGGTGCAGTGCAGTGCAGAACCTCAGAACATCTATCTATCCATTCGGGGGCGGACAATCGAGCTGTGACTCTGGGCTGGAAGAATTAAGGCATCAAATTAGATTGCTGGGACAGTGAGGCGCGCCAGAAGGGTCAAAGGTGGGCTGGCCTGCGCTGGGTTGGCTGCTGTCTATTTATTATTGGAATCTGGAATATTGACCGGTGCGTGCGTGAGACGTGAGCTCAAGTCAGAATCAAGAAGAAGGGATCAAGCAAACAATTCGTGAGGCGCCAGCCAACGACGTCGACGGCGACATGTACTGATCTTTCTTTTGGTGTACGTACAACTGATGTAGGACAGGGAGTTGTCTATCTGAGGGGCACGAATGGTTCATCACATATGTTGCTGCACGCAACCACAGCCAAGTATTGCCTTCATTCCTTTCTTTGTTGCAAATGTGAATGCTGGATCTAGAAGCATAGCACACACCATCCGATAACCGCCGGACCACCAGGTGTTTGTCCGCTCCTCTCCTCCTTGCCAAGGTACATACCGATACTAGAGAGACAGCTGCCGTGGGTCTGGAAGATACGTCATCAAGCGATTGTGCACTTCCATTCCATTTCCATTTCCAGGATCCCAGAGGTGTCGACGCCATGGTGCCTCATATCTTCCACTCTATTTATGGCAGCTGGCAGATTCGAGGGGTCGCAAAGGGGGCCCAAGAGAGGAAGGACAACGGCTGCTTAAGGGCTGGTCTCGAGGCAGATGTCACACAGCTCGAATCTCTGTCAAGCTGACCCAGTCCAATATATGACTTGCATTTCAGCCCCATCCCAACGCCTCTCTCGTCTGGTCACTTTGGTGCGCTTATCCGTCTAGCAGGGCTGGTGAGGGCAACCGAAAAAGCTGACCTAAGACTTGATATGTTGGCTTTGCTTCGGACATGCTTCGTTATTTGCGGCAGGGTCACCTCCGTTCATCTCGATAATACGAACTACGAAGTGCGATGCAGTCAGACATGCTCCCAGCAATTTCTTGGATCTCTGTCCTTTTGACCGGTCTTTGTCATAGTCAAACCGTTCTGGCGTAGACGGCTGCGTTCGTAGTCTCGTGGTGTAACTCGAGCCTGAATTCGGGATTCAACTTGAATCTCGTCGCGTCCTCACGGCTCTGTGGCAAGACGTGGCTTATGGCTGTGCACTCTCGAAGCCTTGTTTGAGGCGACTGTAACTATGTAACAAGGGCAAGTCTCTGGAACCGTGCTTGACATTCGTCCGGAGTTTGGAGGCGAACCTTGTACCAGGATGTGCCGTTCGACGCCGTTCAAGGTTTCTGAAGTGATTCGAACTTGGGGAAAAGAAAACATTGCGGCCAAAGTGAAAGTAGATTCGAAGTTGTGGCCTCAGGCACGAGAAAGTAGTAAGGCGAAGGCGCTAACCGGATTCGTCCAACTACTAGAGTTGTGCGATGCGAGCTCATCGCGTCCTCCAAAATTCGCGACAATCTGAACAACGCATCCAGCACACATCATACGTGGTGAATCAACTTGACAAACCCGGACTTCTTCGCCACAATGGGTAGACGACCTGGCAGGGCTGCGGCCAAAAATGCAGCAGCTGCTCTGAGTAAGTTTGCGCCCTCCACAACGCCCGGCGCATCAAGGACAGCAACTAAACACAATCATAGAAAATACCCCACAGGCATTCGATGACGGCGAGGACGAACAGATGCCAGATGCACCCATCTCGGATGCTGCTAGCCCAGCCGACATGGAAGAGGACAATGCAGAGGAGGAAGATGGCACGCCCGCAGCAGAATCCGAGGCTGATGAAGGACCAACAACTCCAGCGCCCCAACCTGTCGTTCGCAAGAAGAGACTAGGCAGACCACCAAAGAACCGACCTGCCGATTGGGATCAAGATGTTGAGCCTGCTTCGGAAACTGGAACACCCAGAAGAGGCCGTGGCCGAGGTGGCTTTGGCAAAGGCGGAGGAAGATGGGCTCGGAAGGGAGGTCCTTCACATGTTACACAACAGCCAATCGACAAAGAGGGCAACATGATGGATGTTATCAATGACGAGGTCGAACTACCAGAAGATGCGGATGGAGAGACCAAAGTCGATAAGATGGGACATCTTCAAGGAGGGCGAGAATACCGTTGCAGAACCTTCACTGTACTTGGCAGAGGTCAGCGACTTTATATGTTGTCGACTGAACCAGCCAGATGCGTTGGATTTCGAGACAGTTATCTCTTCTTCACGAAGCATAAGCGCCTTTACAAGATCATCATTGAAGAGGACGAGAAGCGCGATTTGATTGACCGAGAGCTTATCCCACATTCCTATAAAGGTCGTGCCATTGGTATTGTAACGGCTCGTTCGGTTTTTAGAGAATTCGGTGCACAGATCGTTGTGGGAGGCAAGAGAGTCATTGATGATTACGAAGTTGCCAAATACAAGGCAGAAGGAGCAGTCGCGGGCGAAATTGCTGATCCCAATGATATTATCAAGCCTGGCGAGGACTACAACAAGAACCAATATGTCGCATGGCACGGTGCTAGTTCGGTTTACCATTCGGGTGCCCCAACTGTTCCTATGCAAACTGGCAAGGCAGCGGATGGCAAGAAGAGGAAAATCATGGTCAATGATGTCAACTGGATGCTGGAACATGCAAGAGAAGCGAGGTACGTTGTTCTGCTACGTGTGAAAAGTTGCGAGGCTAATATTCTTCAGTCGATTCAATGCTGCTATTGCTGCTACCCGGCGACGAAATCTCAAAGGTGTCTATGATCCTCACACCAATGTCATGCAATACCCAAAGATCATGCAACCAACTCATGCCAGATGGGAGCAAATCGATGACCATACTGAGAACAGAAAGCAGCTTACCAATGGACATGTCAAGGGTCACGATGAGGATGAGGTCCAAAGCATCTTTACGCCCGTCAAGCCGATCTACTCCAAGAATTTCATGATCGTAGACACGGTGTATAACTCTGCACCTTCATCTCACATGGGTGTCCCGGGTCCAGATGGCGATGCACATGATCTTGGGTTCAATGGCTTGTCAAGCATTCCTAATGATGTCAAGGCTGAGTTGCCTCCCGAGTGTCTCGCGGCATTTGAGCAAGCTCTCGAGAAAGAGATGCAGTGGAAGAATCAATGGAGTACGGAGAGCTCGTCGACTTTGAGGAGAGCACCTGCTATTGATAAGGGTGTCGTTTGAGGACTTCACTCTGTGTATTCTAATTTGGCATGTTTGGGGTCTTGCGGCGTCGGGGAATTAGTCACATAACAGTGATCTGGCGGCGTTTTCGAGAAAAGTCTGGATTGCTCAGATAGAGAAGCAGATAGACTTGAATCAAGAATTTAATCTGAAGTGTCCTGTCGTCTGTTTGGTGCTACCTACAGGCTCGTATAGTGAAGAGCCTTGCGGGAACAGCCGCCGCTAACCAATCGAAACCAGTCGCGAATGACTCAAGGCCACACATTTCACAGTTCAATCTCAACGTCCAGGAATACCACCATTCACAACGCAACGCAAATCCAGCTCGAAACGCACAATCACGATCTCAAGTCTTCCAGACTCAAATCAGCCCTTTTTCAACGCTCAAACAAATCTACAGACTCTATCCAGTCACCTGATCAAATCTCACAATGTCTCCACGCAACGATACCTACCTCTCTCTCGCCTTGGCTCAGGCCAACCTTTCGCCACTTCACTACCGCCACGGTGCAATCATTGTTCGTGGTGGCAAAGTCATTGGGCAGGGTTTCAACTGCTACAAGCCCGGCTTCGATGGCGGTGCCTTGAAGACCGGCAGTTTGCCCTCCAGCTCCATCGACGGCCCAGCTATTGCTGAGCTCAAGGAGCGTTTGAAAACGAAGACGAAGCCTAAGAGTAAGTCTAAGCAGGATAATCAGCAGGACGAGGGTACGTTCACGCCATTCGAGTCCATGGGCTGTGGTCATAATGCCAACGCTCCTCTGAGCATGCATTCGGAGATGATGGCTATCAAGTCCGCTCTCTCCCTCTCTTCCGGTACCTTGTCTTCTCAGACCTCGGCTCGCTCAGCGAAGTGCTTCGAAAAACCGTGCTTCAAGTTACCGGGTGATTCTAAAAAACGGAAAGCCCGAGCACGCGCGCTCAAAGCCTACGCTGCGGCCGTCTGCCTCGAAGCCAGCACCGGCCAGGCCTACGGTGGCAAGTTCTCTATTCAAAAGCAGAGTTTTGAACCAGGCACATCTCAACCAGGTCAACAAGGAGAACAACAAGTGCAACGACAAGGAGGAGAGCAGTGGGTTTCACGAAGTGAAGGAGGACGTGGCGGCGAATCCGAACGAAAGTGCCGAGAAACACCTCAGGAAGAGAAACCGGTACGAGTATCAGTACACGTATCCGTACAAGGCCGGCTACTACCCTCACGGGCCTCAACACAAACACTATCAACATAAGCGCGGTTCAGAGCCGCATGCTTACAGGTCTTCAGACAACAGTGGTTCACTAGCTACGTGTCTATCTAGCCCTACGGATGATTTCATAAAATCTAAAACACCCAAAAACAAGGTAAGTTTTCTTGAAGACACATCAAGTGACAGGACTGATATCATTCAGAATCCTACATTCCCTCCTTCCGTAACACCAAAACCTCAGCAAATCTTAATCACCAAAAATAAATCTCTAAATGCCAAACACTCCGTCGCCGCCCGCACCAAGGACCTCCGTCTCAAAGGCTCAGACCTCTACGTCGCTCGCCTCGGCACCCACAACACCGCACCCCTCAAACCCAAATCTCAGCACCGCAAACCTCCCGACCAAGCACCACCTTCACCACCAACACTTAGCAAAGGACCTTCATCCCTCTACGACGAACTTTCCCCCCTCTGCCGCTCCGTCTCTCCTTCCACATCTCTTCCAGACCCCCCAGACCCAGAGAAACCCGAAATCCGAGCCTCGAGACCTTGCTATAGATGCGTGGCAGCTATGCATTCCGTCGGCATCAAAAGAGTCTTCTGGACCACGCAGGATGGGGAGTGGGAAGGGGCTAAGGTGAGAGATTTGGTGGAGGCGCTGGAGATGGGGTTGGAGGGGGATGGGGAGGTGGGGACGGGGCAGGAGAGCAAGGGGGTTTTTGTTACGAAGCATGAGGTGCTGATGTTGAAGAGAGTTATGGGGCTCTGAGTAGGTGTAGATTTCTGCAAGGTTTAGAGTTATTCATGTTTGTTTCAATGTCCTTGTGTGATTTGTCAATGGGCTTGTGACATGTACGAGGTGATCGAGTGGTGCTTAGATGATTCATAAGTATGGATATGACCTGAGGGCTTGGGCAGAATTCAAGTCCTGAAACAGCTTTTAGAAATTATAGTTTTCATAAGTGCTAGAATGACTTGAGAACATAAGCAGAGTCTAAATTCTGAAGAAGTTTTCAGTATTTATAGTGTTTATAAATGCTGGACTAATTTGAGAACATAAGTAGATTTTAAGACCTGAAATAGCTTTTAGGACTTATAGTGTTCATGAGTAATGAAAGAATTTAAGAGAAAGGCAAGGCTCATGTTCTGAACAACTTTTGAGATCATAAGTGAAGCTTAGATTCTGAAACAGTTTTCGGGACTTAATAATGTTTATAAGTGCTGGAAATTTGTTTTCAAAATTTAAATGTTTTATTATGTTTACACGTTTTGAAAACATAAATAGAGGATCACTCAATTCTTCAATCCGACAACAGCGGCTTTTTCCATGGTCAACGAAATCGATTTCAACAACAAATGTCTTGCCTTTCTTCATTTGTTGAAGCTTAGACTTGTAGACTCCGATAACGAGGTCTTGGTTCCACTACACTTGCTGAAAAGCAAGCCCATCGACAGCGATGACGAGAGTCTAAGTTCTGAAACAAGTTAAATATATCAGCGGCGCTTAAGTACTGAAAGCTCTGGAAACTTATGTTATTTTGCAAATGTTAAATTAGCTTCAGAACATAAGCAAAGCTTGAGTTCTATAATAGTTTTCAAAAGTTGTTTAAGCTAAAATTAACATTCACTATTATTATTGCTCAAGTAATAATAACCCCAATTCTTATTCATTGTCAACTTTTACTTAACTCATTATTCTTGTCAATCATATTTTTCTTGTTGTTAAGCATAAAACTTTTGTAATCAAATATAAGACTTTTATTGTCAAGTACAAAGCTTTTGTCGTCCAATTTAATCCCAACAAAAACTACACATTAATCCCAAAAATACAGCCGTTCTTGTCCCCAAAAACCCGCTGGCCCAAACAACGCAACACCAAGCCTGGTCCACACGATTGAATGTCCGTCTCAAAAGTTCGTCTCTTCTTTGTTAAAGACGGTTCATTGTTGCAACACTGTGGGGTATATATACCCACGATAGCTGGGAATCCGCGGCTTTCCGCCCCGTTCCGCCGACTCACTACTTACAGTGAATGATTGGAATCTGATTCCGCGGCGGACGCCTTTCCGCCGGATTTCACAGTGAATAATTCCGAGATTTACAGAGAAATCCGCGAATAAAGTTTTTTAGGAAAAAGAGGGGAAAAAAAGAGATTTATATATATGTATATAGCAAAAACTACGCCAGAAATCAAAAGTCCGAGAAATATTAGTGAATTCTTTTTAAACCAGAAAACGGCGTCCAGAGGTTAAACTTCCGTGCAATAGTTATTAGTAAATTATATTTTTATATTAACCCTGAAAACCCGTCCACCGTTTAACAGCTTTTTTTAAAATCTATATAAACCCCGACCGCCCAAAATTTCTCTAAATTCTTTAGCAATATTCGAGCGCTAAAAAAAAATCCTTAGTAGGAAATGTAAAGTACGTAGTGCTAGGTGCGAGGTGCTAGGTGCGAGGTGCTAGATGCAAGTGTTGTGGAGAGGAGAAGACTTTTCATGTTGGTAAATAAGTTGGCAAATATTCTGAGGTAATAGTAAAGTAATGTTATCGACTAATAAATATTATTAACTAATAGCTATTATTAATTAATAGTTATTATTAATTAATAGTGATTATTAATTAATAGTTATTATTAATTAATTATTATTATCGTATAGTAATATAAAGCTAAATATAAAAAGTAGAGACTTTTTTTTAATTAAAATTGTTATTAAAATAAGTAAAATAAGTAAAATATTATTTTTTATTTAAAAATTTAATTATATTATTCTCGCAATATTAAAAAATTATTTACTTAACAATATTCGAAACAAGTACACTAATTAATTAAACGCGAAATTACTTTTTTAAAACAATATATCATATTTACAATTATTTTAAAAATTAAAAATATCTTGAAACTTTTCAAACATTCTCGCCCCAAAATGTGTGGGAAACACGATTTGGAAAGTGGTGGTATTGACTATGCTGACAAGAGAATTACTCATACACAGCCCAGACCCATGACCCCTAATCTTGCTCAATAAACAAATCACTCAAGTCCTCCTTGCTGTTCTTCAACTGCTGCCTCAACCATGCAACTCGAGTCGAATCTTTCCTAAACGCCATGTATTTCCTAGCCATCGGAGCCTGCGCCCCCAAAATATCCAGCATGAACAAGACACCATCATCGGTCAAGCATGTCTCTTCTTGAACTCTGTGTAAAGTCTTCATGATGATTGCGATATCTTCCTTTCTCTCAGGGACTGCCTTGGGAGCCATCTTTGGAATCGTTGACGGAGAACTTTTCGACAAGTCCTCGGCGAGGGCCCTCAAGTCATCATCGGTAGCGTCCAAGGACTTCGTCTTTTGTTTCTTCATAGGTCGATAAGGGGGAGGAGGAGTGGTCTCAATGTGACGCTTCTGAACAGCCGGGGACTCGGAATCACCACTTCCTTCGAGGAAACGGGCGTGAAACTTGCTTTTGCGCTCCACAAGTGTCTTTTCGGGCTCGACGCCAAAGTCTTCAATGATTTGAAGAATCGAATACATCCACGGGAACCGAGTTGTGCGCCATTTAATCCTCTCTGGGTATTTCTGGGATACATTAGTCAGCTCATCATCAGAAAATCAGAGAGATATTACCTTCTCGAACTCCTCCCAGACCTCTGGAGCCGCAACAGGCAAATCGTCCTTATTCAGGCGGAAACCGGGCATTCCGACAAAGCACTTGAATTCATGATACTCTTTCTTCAACTTCAACCACATTCGTTGACAAGACTGCTCGTCTTTGAGGGGATCTTCGAAAGTCATGGCGATGGATCTCCAGGGTTCGGGTTCAAAGCCCACTTCGATGCTTTTACCTTCCGCTTTGAGTTCCTTGAGGTGCAAAATGAGGAAGGTGATATCATTGTAGTTCCAAGTCACGATTTGGCTGACCTCGGCCGTGGTGTAGGATGAAGCGGAGGAGGGCGATGCGCTTTGCGCCTTGGGCGGAGTGACAATTGGCATTGTGGGAGTTGTGGTTGATTCCATGTTGTTGAGATGTCGAAATTTCGTGTCGCAGACTTGAAGTTGCCATGGCGAAGGCACTAAGTCGTGGGCTGCAAGGCTAAGTTTCCTTGTAAAGGTGAGCGCGTGGATATCTGTGACCGATCGGGCTAGTGCCGAACGTCAGAAGAATGATAGAATTGTGTATACTGAGATCACGTTTGGCATTTCGCGCTATACTTCTTCAGCTCTTTATGGGTGTAGGGCAATAGACTAGTGCTTTAATCATCGCTAGGCTGGGCTGTACTCTGTGACGGAGAACAAGGGAACGACACTAGACGCAATATCCTCTTGTTAAAGCCTCACACGCAAGTGTAGCTGAGAGACGTTAAAGCACGAACCCACCCAGTTTAAAGTCTTCAACTATATCCCCTACTATCCCCAATAGTACTGCGGTGGAATCATCTCCTTCAGCTTCTTCTCCACCAGTGCTAAGCCTTCTATTTGCCCAGTGGCCATTACGAGCGAGGATTTCTCTTCCAGCCCCTCATCCAGTACCTGTATTATGCAATTTGAGCTGCTCCTCAATCCTTTGATGTTCGCCCCTCCTTTGCCTATTATACGGCCATGAAATTTAGTATGGAAAGGTATTTGCAAAGTCCTCCACGGACCTTCGATGAGTTTGCAATCGGGCATTTTCCAGCGCAGCGTCTTTTCCATGAACAATTCGACTTCAACTTTGACTCTTGTAGCTACGGCAGCAGCTTGAATACCACTGAGCTTCCTACCAGCTAGATAGTCCCATCCAAGGGAGAGGTGCCAAATTTGCTGATTGTCAAGAACGCCTGCCCGATCCTTGTTGGCTTAACGAATAGCCTCGTACGATTTCTCGTCCAGACAAAGTACGTGTTTGAAATCATCGAGGAAACTGTTCTTGAACTGAGCTAGTCTGTTTCCTTTGAGTCTGTTCAACAGCCCTTCTTTCTCTTTTGGGAAGTCTCTGGACCGGAAGTTGGATCTCGTTGGTGCAAGTAGATCTATGACCGAGCCAGGTTCAAGGATGGTTTCTTCATTCACGCAGAAGCCTGCAGATTCTACTCGATCAAATGGCCAAGTATTGTTCGCGTTCATTGTCCACAGTCTCACTAGTTCCAAATATGCTTTGGCCATCATGGAAAAGCCTAGTAAGCACAGATTAGTCTTTTCAAATCGTCAGACTTCGAGGCTTGTACCTACTTGTATTATCCCAGTCCACATACAATATATTGACAGGAGATCTATCGCCTGTAGCCAACCACTTCAGCTGGGGTATGGATGTGTTCTTGGTTCTATCACTGGATTGAGATCCATTTGTTGTTTTCTTGCCTCGATTTCGTGCACGTGCAACAACAGTCCAGCCCTGCGTAGTTTGAGGTTCTCGTAGAGACATAGACGAGAATTCACTGTTCAATTGCTGGACCGAGAGCCGGGCCGGTGTTCCGACCGAACTGTGGTTAACTGAACTGCTGCGCGACGCGCGCCTGGACGAGTTGGGTGATGGAGGTCGAAACCAGGGGTCAATTCGCTCTTTCCAGTGCCTTCTTATGCTCCCATTTGAAGAAGTAGATCTTCTTGAGTCTGCTTGATAGTTCTTTCCACTCTCACGTGAAGGATCTCTTGGAACAGTGAGGTATTGGCTCTTCAAGTACTCGTTCGTCCGGTCGCGATTTGTCGAGTAGCCTATTCTCGACCTTTCAGCTAGAGAATGCTCTTCTACAGCTGGACTCGAGTATTGAGGTGCTGGCTCGGGAGATGCTGTGTCCTTCAACTTGCTCTCAATTTCATCCATGTATTCTTGAGCCACCTCACGTCCTAAAGCACCTTGTTCAAGTTTTCGCAACTTCTCTTCCAAGAAAGCCTTGAGCTCGTCGACCTTCTTGGGCGATGCACGTTTTTCAACTTCCAAATTTTGCCATTCCGAATATCGATCTTCTCGCTCACTCCATAGAGCTTCATCCAGACTCAGCCTGGATTCTCTCCTCTTCTCAAACTCCTCAAACTTGGTTATAATATGCTCCATTGCATTGAGGACTTTGTTGTGGCTGTTGATACTAAGAATTTGAAGCATTTCGTCCAACTTCTCTCTATACTCAGCGAAGTTTGAGCGGATTTCTTTGATCTGGGGGATGTTGTAAAAGGCGAACAGGATCCTTTGCATTGCACCTTGAAAAGGGGATTTCTTTTCATGTCCTTTCCAGATATGGAGATGTGTCTTCAATCTTTTGACATCTTGGCCCACTTCTTCCATGTCTCCAACGAGTCGTTTCTTGCTGTAAATGTGTTCAGACCGAGATCACGTGCTACGATATGGTGGACTAGGTAGGACTTACATGCTATCATGTTTGTGAACAACAGAAGTCTTCTCTGATATGATCTCTCCGATGTTTTCCAAGACGGTTCGGAGTCGCTCCAGGTCCTTCGAGGCTTCTAGGATGTCCTTCGGCACTGCTGCAACTCTCTCGCAGGTCTTGATAATAGCGTTTATGGCAGAGATAACATCGCCAATTCCGAATCCGAAAGACATGGCACAAGTCACCGATCGTTGCTTCAGGCGCTGGACATCGGCAGCTGATCTTTATTATGAGAGTCATGATAGATGGCGAGAGAAGATGGGAGACAGTCTTTTCGAGACGAGGCTGTGGACAGAATATTGCCGAGGAAATTGCGTTGTCTTGGTGTGACAGGGGCTTGCAGACAGCCAGCATCACGTGCAGCTGAATATCAGAGAACATGTGGTACCTAGGTTCTTGCCCAAATCATCAGAGAAGATAGTTTCAAAAAGTTAGCACCAATAGACACTTTTTGTAACATAGAGACATCATGAATAAGACGCTCCATGAGAATTCGTCAAGATTTCCAGACAACGCCTGACTAGCGAGAAGAACGGCAACCTCTAACCTTACTTATTATCTTTCTGCCAGTACAAAGACTAATTATTGCCGTCTTGTCGCACTTGATCAAACAGACTACATAGGGATGAGAAGGATGTCCACTGGGAAGTGAACAGAGAGTAACAAAATTCAACAAAAAGTATAATGGTGGTTTGAATAGTTCGAGAAGAGACCTATATAATGAGTGTAGCAACCTCACTCTACCCATATCACACGACATTTGAGTACTACCCACTCTTCAACAAACAACTTCTCTCCTATTTCATCGCTTAGGTACATGAAGTAACGCTATCCATACTAGTCGCTCGCTAATTGCACCCCACTTCCCGCTAACAACCAAAAAATGACTCAAAAAGAATGGTAATGACCTTGGTGACTGTCATGTATTAGGATTTGATGAACTTGAAAGAATTCAAGGTTACTTACGACTCGAACTCACGACTGGGAAGATGTCAGTATTTGAAATTTCAGAGAGTATGACTCGTATAACTTACCCTTCGGATGGCCAAACTGTGGAACAGTTCAATCATATTTATCACATGAGACCGACGCTCTAACCACTGAGCCACAAAGTCAATGCTGATTGGTTGCTTAAAAAATATTTATTTGGCTCTATGGATAATGGTATCATCGGCAAGATTCCAAGATGGTTTCACCTTGGTAGCTGCGATACTGAGCTTTGAAACAAAAGGCGTCTGCCTATAAGTCTTATGCCAAGCTCAGAATACTCAATTAAGATAATATGTTCCACCTCTATTTCTACTATTTTCTGCATACTTTACGGTAATACTTCTTTTCTTACCTTGCTACTGTGCCCCTGCAGAATAACGAGGATCCCATGCCTCTATTCAAGGCGTTAATGTACCTGACGGCGTTAATGCACCTCACAGCTTTGAACCTCATTTAAGTCCGCTCATGACGAAGCAAAACGTCCATCATACATCTCGGGAGTCATAAATCTCCATAGGAAAGTCAGGTCACAATTTTGTTAACAAGAAAAGTGATTGGTTCTTCCGGAGTTTTGTTACGAATTAGGTATAGACTCATTAACCGAGAGTGCTGATCCCCGTCAATGCATCCAGGGGTACCACGTGATGCATTCAATCCATGATACTTTTCGTTTTCGGAGATATTGGACATTGCTAAGCAGATATCTCTAATTCAGTGATCATGGAATTGAATATAATGGGCGTCTGGCTCTGTCGTAACATCATGGTCAAGCAACGAGATTTCATTCATTATGACAGACCTCATCCGCGACACTGTCTTCGGACACTTCGTACGCTTGATACCTGGCATCAAACTGCTCAGATATCCAGATGAGTTGAACCCTTCTCTGGGCAGACAAGCAATTGAAGAAGAAGGAAGCGATGAGACAGAAAAAATTTCCAATGGTGAGGAGGTGAAGAGCGTTCACCTTGTGGCGTGGTATGGATCCGACGATCCTGAGGTGAGAAGCTCAAGCTGGATGGAAGAGGTTGCAAATTGTTGACCTGTTTTCTAGAGTCCCCAAAACTGGTCAAGCAATACGAAATTACTTGTCACAGCACAAATCTGCGTCCTCAACTTTTCGGTCTATGTCGGTAGTGCTATCTATACACCGGGTGAGGAAAGCATCATGAAAGATTTCGGGGTTAGCACAACAACGGCAACACTAGGACTTTCTCTATTTGTTCTGTAGGTCTCAATCTCATCATTCTGTTTAAGCTCAATTTGCTGACGAATTTGTTTCATAGCGGCTACGGTCTCGGTCCAATGCTCTTCTCTCCCATGTCCGAAATGCCTCAAATCGGTCGAAGCGGAATATATTTCTGGACACTTTTCATGTTTGTCATACTTCAGCTCCCAGTCGGCTTTGCGCCCAATATATCCGTATTCCTAGCATTCCGATTCTTCACAGGCTTCTTCGGCGGACCTGTGTTAGCAACAGGTGGAGCTACCATCGCGGATATGTATCCACCTACTATGATTTCATACGGGATTTGTATCTGGGGAGCATTCGGTATTCTGGGACCAGTGCTTGGACCACTCGTCGGTGGCTTCGCTGCACAGGCAAAAGGTTGGAAATGGACGATTTGGGAGTTGACTTGGCTGTGCTCGGTGGTACTCGTCGTGCTGTTCTTCCTCATGCCTGAGACGAATCCGGACAATATACTATACAGAAGGGCTCGAAGACTACGAAAAGCAACAGGAGACAAGAGATTGAAGAGCCAGTCTGAGATCGATGCAGCAGAACATACATGGCGTGACCACTTGATCGGGCTTGGAAAGGCATTTACCCTGACGTTCTTCGAGCCAGTCGTGTTCTTCGTCGGCTTGTATACTGCTCTCCTCTACGGCGTGCTCTACATTTGGTTCGAGTCTTTCCCACTTGTTTTTGGCAATATCTACGGCTTCAACACCGGGGAGCAAGGGTTGGCATTTCTCGGCATCTTCGTTGGTGGCGTTCTCACACTGCCCTGCTATCTGCTCTGGATCAAGTACTCGTTCGTTCCTGAATTCAGCAAGCCGGTTTTTGTACCAGAGAAGATCCTTCCACCAGCCTTCTTCGGTGCCTTCGCTCTTCCGATATGCTTGTTTATGTATGGTTGGACTGCGAGAGAGAGCGTTCACTGGATTGTACCGATCATAGGCTCCGGCATTTTCACAATTGCTATCATCTGCCTCTTCAACCCGGTACTGAACTATCTCGGCATGGCATACCCAACATATGCAGCTTCAGTATATGCTGGAAACACACTTTTCAGAGCTTCTTTTGGTGTTATCTTTCCTCTATTTGTAAGTCCAAAGAAATGACAGGGATCATCGCACAACCTAATCAGATGTGGTGATAGGCACGAGCTTTGTTCCATAAGCTTGGTATCGCAGGTGGCAATTCTCTTCTTGGAGGATTGTCAATACTTTTCATCCCGATTCCATTCGTTCTATACAAAGTAGGTCAATAATAGCCGCCCAAGTCTCGAAGTTACTTACTTTGCCACAGTATGGGAAACCAATTCGTCATGCGAGCAAGAATGCAAGACACGACATCTGAACAGTATACCATAGACTAGAAAGTAGAACCAAAAATGAGAGACGGGGTATCGGAGGTAAAGAATGTTGGCGTACTTACAACCTAAGTAAGTGGGAGAGTAATTCAGGGCATAGGAGGAGAATAACTCTATATTCATTCTTCATCTACATGTGCAAGTTATCCAAGGGTGCAGCATCTTGAATAGTATCCCACAGGTCATCAATCATCGCACAAACTGCATCATTTAAAAGACCCTTCTGAACCCATTCCTTCGTCTTCCTCAGCTGCTCGGGTTTGCTAGCACCAACTGTAACCATATCACCCTTCTCAGCACTCAGACCCCCATTCCAGCACACCCAGCGATAGGCCAGCTCTGCTGGACAAATACAACTCGCCACTTTCGCAATCTCACCCCACTTTTCCAAGGCCTTGACAAGAACAGGCCGCTCACTGTACAACTGTCGATACAGACCCAAGCCACCTTTCTTTCCTTCCGGATCTTCGGGATCAACAGCAAAACGTCCTCCAGTCTCAGCAGCAGAGAGCTCCGAGCCTGAAGTACGTGCCAGAAACCCGCCTGCGAGGGCAGAATAGGCTGAGAAGGAGATATTCAGCTTTCGAAGAATTGGTAGAAGTGCTTTCTGCATGTGACGAGCGAACGCTGAGAAGTTTCCTTGGTATACGGTAGGAAGTATCCAATCATTTTTCAGGCATTGAACATGAATAGACTCTACTTCCTCCGTGGTAAAGTTTAAGAGCCCAAAAGTGGAGAATACACCTTCTTTGTGAAGTTCATTCACAGTTGGCAGCCAGGTTTCTGGTGGGTACGCAGGATCTGATCCGTGAATGTAGAAAGTTGAGAGCTTCTTGATGCCAAGGGTGCGAAGAGTGGAGTAAGCACCTTCACGTAATTTGGCGGGGTCAAGAGATCCTGGTACCCATCCTCCTGGAGATTTGCTGTCGATGATGAAGTTTCTTTTGGAGACGTTTGTAGTTCCGAGAAGAACTTCGTAATCTCCGTATAGCTGAGCGGCGTCGATGGTGGTGATTCCGGTTTCTTCGAGAACATCGAATAGATTGTTGATGGAAGTGCTGTCATAATAGGCACCGCCAGTCATGATAGAAGCGGCACCAAAAATGAGGGGAATTGGTTTAGACATCGTGAAGTCTCAGATCTGGAGTGTAGTTGATAGTGAAGGTATGGTATCTTGCTAATGATTAGAAAGAAGCAGAGAATTTTCTGCGTAGTAGAAGAGTTTTTATACCTTGTCCTACATGAGAATCGCTTACTAGGAGCAATGGATCACGATAACGGCTCTGATGGCAAGTAAGAGACCCTCTCGCAGCATGTTCCCCACTCGCAAGGTGCTGTTAAGCGAGGTGCAGGAGACAGGTTTTAGATGCTGCCGAGACCCTATAATTTTGGGTGCACCAGGGGGTGCAGGAATTAGTGTCACACTAAAATTAAGCGAAAAGGCTCGAAAATTCATTATTATATCTTTCAACTACCACAACTCACTTTTAATTGCCTTCCCATTATGCTTTATAATATCAGAACACTTCTTTAGTATCTCAACTATCCTAGCCCATACTTCTTTTATTGTGATCTTACTCTATTTTTCTTGTAGAACTCGCTTAAGATCATCTAACGTATCCTACTTCCTTTTGTACATCCTCTCTTTTAAAATACACCAATATCCTTCGATTGGGTTTAAATTCAGGGATTGTATAGAGTGGGTGAAAAGGCGTATTCCTACTTCATCTCGGGTAGTTCCTGCAAGTGAGTTGGTTACATTCTTGGGCGATTAATGCCTGTGGCTTTAATTATTATTTTTTTGCAATATAAAGGGTAAATTGTATTGTTTTTCGACGTTTTTTTGATGGCAGTAATGTAAATAGGCAACAAGCGGTCCATATAATATTTTTAAATTATCGAATTACTTTGTGGTTTGGCTTTTATTGGGTATAGAAGCTCGGCATCCTATGCTTTTAGATAAGCCTGGAACTCCTTATTTGACTTTTTTTTTTTTGGCGAAATAGCTTGCGGCGTCTCTTAGGCTGATTAATATGTTTCTCCTCATTATGATAGAACTCCAGTTTCTTACATTTTAAGTACCAATTGATTTATCTTGCTATGTGTAATTTATTACCCTCCTTTTTTGCCTTTTCTTAAATATTATCGAGATTTAATTGCGTTCCTTTTTTTTTGAGGATAAACCTAGTTTTTATCAATATTGGGTCGATATGTACTTCGTTTGTGAAGAAGTGTAGATGCTAAAAATCTTTGATAGTCTTATGCTTATGCTTTTTCTCGTACGCAACCTTTTTGCTTTTGTTTTGCGGCGAAATTTCTTTCTTAATATAGGCCATTTTGTAGCGTTAGCCATTTTTCGTATTCGCTTTAAATTAGGTTTGTAAAGCTTTTTTTTTGATGGGGATATTGTAATGCGTAATCTGATATTTTAGTAATTGGTCCCGCATTTTATTCCTTTTATTAACTAAGAATTTGCATGTAGCCTTAGACACTTGAGACTTTTTCCCAAGGTTCTTTGACGTTTTGCGAGTCTGCCGTACTGCGCTGGGCCCTAGCTCTTTGCGTTTGTTCAACTATTTGTAGCCTGTACGAGTGGGTATATTAATGCTAGCGCATATGGCTATGAACGGCTTTTTGCCTTTAAATTTTCGATAATCTTTAAAGAAATCGCGTCGCTTTAGTGTCTGATATTCACCTTGGGTAAATTCGGTTTCGGGAGTGCTTAAGCGAGCTCTAGAACGCGTTTGTGGTACTATAATTAGGTAATGCAAAAGGTTGTTTATATTTTTTAATAAAGTTATTTACTTGGGCACGGGCCATATTTTGGTGCGACACCAATTCTTGCACCCCCTGGTGGCACCTGTAATTTAGTGGATAGTCACTAAATACCAGCACCAAAGATTATGTTGGGTTACCTTATGATGACTCAACTTACAGAGAGTCAAGATACGACGAGGGCGATTTCAATACCTCGAAGATTGCAATTACGAAAAGAGGGATATCAAGGAGTTGATGTGGGCAGAATTTTCTGAAAGGGTGGGGAAGGACATTGCTTTGCAGAATTGTGGTACTTGATGTTCCAATTCGAGGATGATAAATATGTAGTTGGTAGCTGGATTTTTGCACTAGCATTAAGTATATGTTTTGTCTTCTCTCAAATCTATGAATTGACAGCGGAGACTTCCTTCAATTCTGAAGCAGATAACACTGCGTTCAATTCAAGTTACTTGCAATCACTTTGGAAGACGCGAATCATCAAGCTAAGTCGAACATTCAGATAGTGTTCTGAAGCGTGTTTTGAGGTCTTCACAATGAATGTGTGTATCCGAACCCAAGCTCTTAGCAGAGTAAGGTTTCTATGTATCTCAAATATCAATAAAAGGTTCCACGCTCTCCCCACATTGTTGGCGTCGTTGGTCATGAATACGTGATGGATCTGTGATGAGGGAAAACACAATACAAAAAAGCGTGCTCGTATGGCGAGAAGAACAAAAGAGTAGTTATCCTTCAATGGCTGTGTCTTTCCGCTAATTTAAGATGACTTGTCAGAAAATTTGAAGAACAAAAAACAACGAGATAAATAAGTTGACAGCAATACGATATTACTTGACAACCAAACTTTGAAAACGACAACTCCTCGTGCAACCACCCACTCCAGCCATCAAAACTCACTGTCTAAACCGAAATTTAGGTACACAGGTACTACACGGCCGTCCCACCCCCAGCCCTGGACTACATATCCAGCGCCTTGACCTTCCTCTGAAGTAACTGAGGCTCGCTGTCTTCGACGTGGATTTACTGTAATAGGTATCGCGTGGTTTTGGGGGTATATATGCATGATTTTAAACGAGGTGGAGTTGGAGGTGCGGAGTGGAGTGAAGTTTTGTTGAGTGAATCATAGTTCTAATTCGAGTAACCTGCTTGTAAGATTCATGCGACTCTGACAACCCCAGCCTGAATTAATGAATATCCTCACAAGAGCTGAACAGAATCTGGGGAGTCTAGCTTAAATCAAATTTAGTTCAACTAGTTATAATATAAAGAGAAGACTTCTACCATCTAGAACCATCATCTCCTCAACCCAATATGATCCATTTCGTTTGTGCGGAGCAGAGAGCCAAGGTACGGATCCCGAAGGTAGAGGGAAAGAAGATACAGGATGGGATACACGCTCTTCTACATAAAAAGATTTTCCAGTCTATCTCCAAAACGAATGTTTCTTGTTGTTAACCTTTACTATTGTTGTTTCACGATTTCTACCATCTCCTTAGTGCACTTGTCACATAGTTGACAACAATACTCAATCAACAATAATCGTTTATTTTTAACAGACCATCTTTCATGCCTACAACATACATGCCCTATCTGAAAGACAATGTCCTGCCTTCTTGCCAACAATCCAAGCATCCTCCCGGGTCACGCCATGCTTCGGAGGAGATTTTGCGCAAAGCATCTCGCCGTCAAGAATCTTAGAAACAGGTCTTTCAATAGTCCGGGGTACCTGAGATCAAGTTGCCTAACGAACATGGGGACAAAAGTCCGTGCGTTCAGGCTGTAGAACCTCGAAATTAAAACTCTTCACATTAGGACTAAACTATCAACAACTCCACCATTATGGATCCTTTTACCACTCCACCTATGTCTCCACGTCTCCCAGGTGCAGAGATCAGAACCAAGCACAAAGAGGGCATACGCCGGCTCTTCAAATTCGCTAAAATAGGCCTGCAATAGCTCCAGGGCTACTACCACCTAGGAGACAGCACAGTTAGGAAGATCCTACTATACGATGTGCCTGAAAGAGCGCGCCCTACACGCACAGGGAGACCCAGAGAATCCCTCAATGAACAGGAGGTTAGAGATATTATTGAGTATATTTGCACCGACCATGCAACTAGAGTGCTGAATTGGATCCAAATACACGATGAATTGCAACTCTCTTGCTCTGTCAAGACCCTCAAACGCCGCTGCAAAGAAGCTGGATACTACTCTTGTATCTGCTGCCAAAAGCCCTACCTCACTAAGACCCAAGCCAATGCGCGGTGGCTGTGGGGGATAGCACACATGTTTTGGACTATTTGGGAATGGAGTCAGATACTGTACTCAGATGAGGTCACATTTCAAGTTGGAGGGAAGAAATGCAAGCAGAGGTGTATTAGGAATAAGAAGGAACGCTGTCATCCTGACTGCATTCAATTCCAAATGCATAGAGGTGGCACTATTCCTGTACACTTCTTTGGTGCTGTAGGCTACGGATACAAAAGTCCATTGATCAACATTCATGGAACTGGGAAGAGTGGGGCATTTACACAAACTGATTACCTTGCTCAAGTACTCAAGCCTTATATTCAGGATTTTTTAGCTGCTTTTGCGGCTGTTTTGGGGCCTGGGAAGACCCCTCAGTTCATGGAAGACGGCAACTCTGCTCACGGCCACAAGACTACTAGCAATATTTGTGCTACTTGGCGTACTTCTATGGGTATTACTCTATTCCCCCATCCTGCAGTTAGCCCTGATATGAATCCTATTGAGAAGTGCTGGAGGAGAATAAAACAAGCTCTCCATAGGCGCCTAAGGCAGCCAACAACTAAGGTTCAAATAGTTGTAGTAGTATTAGAAGAATGAGACAAAATTCCTCAGGAATGGATCAATGGGCTTATTGAGCAGCAGGACTTCTGGGTACACGACTTAATTAAGCGATGTGGCTGGTCTACAGCTAATTAATTAATAAAATTCATGATTCTGATGCCCTGAACGCACGGACTTTTGTCCCCATGTTCGTAAGCGCTTAACGCCAGGATCCCATCTCTGGCAACTTGGATGTATGAACTTGATTCACTACCTTCTGGCACCAAAGTGTGGATGGTGAATCACTGCTTTCCTCCTTCCTTAGTATTCCCTAGTGTCATAACACTTCCCCGAGTGCTAGAATGCATAACAGTATCACTTGATAAGCGGTCTATTCACAATTATTCCCAGAAATGTATGTGTGACTCCATCACTTCTTGGGCCCAACCGTCTAAATCCAAGACAATATATAATAGAGCTCAACCCCGGAAAAATGTTTTCCCGACCAAAAATCCTTTGGCTAAGAGACCCAGGGTCAAACATCTTGTTTGCTGCTACCTTGTAGCTACGCCCACCAAAGTCTTGAGGTAACAACATATAAGTACAAGATCTTCTTTGACAAACATGTTGTTGTCAACTCAAAGAATTATGTAACATCCATGATTGAAAGTTGCTAGACAGTTGACAACAAGAGTAGATTTTGTTCTCAACATAGCAAAATCGTAAAACGGAAATACACCAGGCCACAGTGTGGTTTAGTCTTGAGTTCATGTTCAACTTGCTCTCTTTTTGGTTATCGACCGGAACGCGCAAGAATCTCGAGTCTCGATTCTTATATAGATGAGCGATTTTCGACTCTAAGCGCTTGATTTCAAATGAGCGCCTCAGGTAACTTGAACACCTCACGCAAGTTGGACACTTCACGCAACCTGACTAATTGACTCGAATAAACACAAACTGATGAACCACAATCCAGACCCAACTTCTGAAAAAACTTGAATCGTTTTCGGATATATAAACGCTCTGCTAAAGCCAGAAGTTAAGAGTTACTCTTCTATGCAGGACGTCAAAATCGCAACTGAGCATACTGGATCCGGCCTACTCACACCAAAGGCTCAACTTCCAGCTTGAAATCCCTAGCATGAGTATAAGCGTATAGCGTGAAGCAAGACGACATCTTTTGCTAGAGTAATTGCTGTTGTCAACTGTACGAAAACGCTGTCAACTTGATTCTGACTATCATTTGAGGTGCTACAGAACAACATATCTCGATATCAACACTGGCACTTATTACCCACACTTACATCCTTAAACCATGTCAAAGCCTGCCCACAAGTTATCAACTACCCTCTTGTACCTCTTCTCATAATAAGGGAACCGAAACTGCCCACTCTAGTCCACGGCTCACCAGCTGCCAGAGGCATGAATCTATTCTGACCCCTCTGAAGCTTGAATTCGAGTAATTGCTTGAAAATGTCCTTTTTATGCGATCCTAAGCATAACCACAGAAAATAGCATCGCCAAACCGTTCAAAGTGAATGAAACAAAAAGCAAACGTAGAATTAAGAAACATATACTAATCTAAGAAAAGCTTGGTATAAAGCTGGTCCACACTATGTTATTATATACTGCATCAGGAACTGATCGAAGACATGAAAAGACAGGAGCAATGAGAATCAATCGCGCAATACTATATAAAACCTCAATAATTATTGAAACGATCATTGATATATATGCAACATGTATTCTCATAATCATTTCCTGAATCATTTCCTGAGGTCCTCCTCTTCTACGATAGCGGAATCGTCCAAATAAATATTTCATTCCGAGGGCGAGACCTGGGAGAAAAGCAGTCGTAATACTTGCACCTCGCCACAACAAATGTTCGGCTTTAGTCGGAAACTCGAAATTCCATGCGAGACAGTGTATGCAGCCAAATAGTAGAGAAGAAGCAGCAAGAATGCCTGAAAAGATTCCCGTGCCCCATACCAGGTCATTCTTTACTCTCTTGTCGTGGATGGTTATAGAATGACGCACAGGATCAAGCTGAGTCCAGAAAACGCTCTTGAGGCGGTTGTCTTCATTGGAAGGAATCTTTGTCGGCCCTTTCAGAATCGTTGGGCTGTTAACATCTTTAGGTTTCCACCAATTTGCCGCATATGTGAATATTGCGGTGACTGTGAAAGCTGTGGTAGCAATCTCAAGCTGAGTAAGGGGAAGTTTGCTAGCTCTGCGAGCTATAACCTCAATGAAAAGCCATCCAATCTGCAGAATTGCGAATGTCTTTACGAGCCAATCAGCCTTGCTTTTGTCCTCGATGTCCGCTTTATCCAAAGTGATATGCTCGAGTAAGGATAAATTGCCATCAGAAATCGAATGTGTAGTCAAGGGAAAGGTCGGGCGACCGTTTGTGACAGGATCGTACTTGTCGAAATGGCGATTGGTTGTGATATCGTTAAGGCTAGAAATGTGTAGGCCGCCCATGTTCAGGTAGTACGAGTGGAGTAGTGTCCAAGTTCGAATAACTTTATATTCGCAAACTCTTGGGCCAGCGACGACTTGGATCTCCCCCTGGCCAATCTTGTCCTGTATGTCTCCGTTATTGTATCTGCCTGGAGACTGTGTATTTCCCATGGAATTGACTTCATCGGCGTGTTTTTCAAGACCAAAAAGCCAGTGTAGGAACTTCAATCCTCCACCTACATCGTCAATCTTCCATTCCCACTGGTAGACCACCGTTCTAATACCGTCATCCCGCTCATCTCTTGGGAGCCAACTATCGAATACCCTCTCGAAAGTGACGATCTGCGTTGTTTTCCATTTTCGTTTAATCCTATCGTCCAGTGGTTTGGCCATAGTATGCATGGCGTACTGATCTGCAACAGCGAGCCGGAGTTCACAGACGGCCTTCGAGAGGACTAGTTCCGGAAATAATATGGTAATGGTCATCCACTTAACTTTTCGGATGAGCTTAACTTTCCAATCGTCGGTTGGGGCTGGCACGTTGAGGTGCAGGACGGCCCAAGTGCTTGCAAGAATAGTAGAGAGACAACCAAGAACAAGCGTTAGAGTTCCCCGCCTCGACGGGCTATCAATCCATCCGACGTTTGTGTGTGCCAGCTCGTCGGATCCTGCTGTCGTATTCAAACTATCCGTAGCAACAAGGAGGTGCGGCAGGTAGAATATAAGGTAGAACGTGAGACTCCACGACTTTTTCATGACGAAGGTATTCGATCAGTGATTGCTTTTGGAACGGTAATAATAAAGCAGTCGACACAGAAGAGTTGTTATCGTTGTAGTATCGAGCTGTCACTAGTCTCCGGACACAGTTGTTGTTAATCTCTCAGCTTCTGGCAGCTGAAGATAAGTGATACGAACAACCTAGCTATTGGTTGTTGGCGGTAACATGTACTTCATTGCGATTAGATTTTGAAAGCCACTTCATGCAGTGCATCTCACATTGTCAAGTTCAGCTGCCGCAAAATTGTGGTAAGGTAGAGCCAATAGAAAAATTTGTCTTGGTTTCTTGCGACCCTGCTCGATCCAAAGCAGTGTCACTTGTTGCCTCACAGCCTTGTCTGAAAATCTCTGGGATCACATTTTAATACTCTGGAAATACGGCTGCGGCTTTCCAATTTCATCTCAAAGCTGCGAACTTGAAGATACTTCGGTGCTACGCGCCCTCTGAGTCTGTTATGATCTCCTGAAACTTGACAACATACAAGCAGGACTCAAGACCATATGAAATTGCGGCGAGGGACAAAGCTTAATTTCCGGGTATATATCAAAGAGGCTTGCGTTAAACACTGATGGTGGGCCTGGCGGGTACTTGGCGTTAACTGTAGGAAGAGGAGGAGGGGAGGAATTGGGGGAGCACGGGGAGAGAACGGAGATGTTGAGGGGTGCTGAGAAGGAGAAACAGAAAAGATCCCCGTTTGAGTATTAGTACCAATTCTCAAAAGGTAAGGAACACACTTGCTCAAGACCACCAGGAAACACAACCCCATAATATTCGTATCAATCCATACGGTTTGGATAGTATGTGTTGTCAACGGGCTACTAGCACTAAAGTCCATGGATCCCATTACTCTCGCTTGCTGTCCTGAGCCTCCAACCCCATCGAGTACATTTTCAGTTTCATTCGGTCCGAACCATAATTGTACATTCTCTCAACTAAAGAAAAAATTCTCTTATCGCGCTTTGTGCTTATGTGACAGAACGGAGAGAGTGGTGGCAGTATTAGTGGAAATGAACATTAATTACTCAGACCTACCGGTGTGTAAATTGCCCCTGCATAGTCGCGAATCTTGATCAAGTAGTTGATGGGAAAGATAGCTAAACAGTAAAAAGGTCGCAATTTCTCCAAATATGAGCAATACTGCTAGAAGATGTGCTTATGAGAAAATGGACATAAGCACTTGCGGGTTTATTCGAGGAGAAATGGGCAGATGAAGACGGGCGTGCGAAGCGAGGAAAAAAGTCGCAGGCAAAAGAGCAAGCACCACAGACACCCATTCATCACCAGTTACACACCTTGGCTGTGCTCGAGAAATCTACCCCGCATAGAGAGAGAATGACACAAGAATACACACGTGCGCCTACCAAAAGTCCAACCACCGTCGTGCCGTTTCTGCACAAGGAGTCAACATGAAGCTCTCAACAGACATGTATCACTACTCGGGCAACTTGTCAAACATCGTTCCCATCCCTTGGACAGGAGCATACCATTGTTCCGAGATCCTACTTATCTTCAGGACTTCTTCGCTCGAGGGAACATCTACGAGCTTTGAACTTGCTATCTCAACGAGGAGTTAAAACGCTATCTCTTCTTAGGCTGGCCGTTGTTCAACGGAAACGGTACGGTGCTGTCCATAGCGCCAGGCAGCAACAGTGGAGCAACAGACAAGGCGATAATGTGAAGGATATCGTTGGAGGATGTCCTGCTATACCTAGACCAAGAGATGGATCGAAAAGGGAGCAAAAATCACGTTGCTATGCCGCATTTTCAACTGGCACCGAACTTTCGCGCAGATTCTAATTCACCTTTCAATCCAACAGCATCCTCCCATTAGAAGATATCTGCAATACTGTTCATCTTCTGGCTCTACAGAACCAATGCAACTTATAGGAACAGTTCCAATTGCAACATCGGGTTCAACATAGATTAGCGATACGGGCGTTGGCTGTGCAATTTGCGCAACCCGCGCATTCAGCGCTGAACGCGCTGGTCGTTCGTGATACTATGACAGTACCGCAGGAATCAAATCATGTAAATATGAATACAAGCACAAACAATAGCTCGAACCACTCTCGAGACGAGAGAAAAGCAACATATTATCGGAGCACTTAACGAGCCACTTAGCCTATCATGTATGGTAAACTTCCAAATGCTACTTTCCCATCTACCGAACTCCAAGTTCGTCTTACAAGGACTACTTACTATCTTTCAACTCGAAGGGCAAGTAGAATAGCAAATAACCAACAACAACGAAAACTCTCTCGAGACAACACACACGTACCAACATCCAACTATCATCGCCAACCTCAACCTCACCTCCCAACCCACAAATCCAATTGACCCTAAAAAAAGCTTCCCCACCCAATAAACCAACCAAACACCCTATCCCACCAAGTCATCTAACCCTCCAACTCCTCTCACAATACCAAAAATACCACCCCATCATCGCCATCACTTGACGCATGCATAATCTCACACAACCGCAAAAGTGCAGAAAAAAAAAAAAGGACAACTTGTCTCCAAAGACAACAAAACAACGAACCCTTCCTTCCCCTCTCCTTACCTAACCATAAACCCCCCCATCAACCCCCTCTCACCCAAACTCACCTTTCCTTCCCTTCTATCCCTCCTGTCCTCCCATTCCCCACACACCACCCACCAAGCTCCCACAACCCATTCCACACCTAACAACCCACAAAATCCCAAAAGCCTCCCTGCCCACTCACCTCTCACCTCCACTCCTCTAGACCTGTAGATCCACCCCCCCCCCCCTGAAGAACTTTCCAGGCTCCCGTCATCACTGATCACCATGGATGGCACTGAACGAAGGGAAAGGTATCAAGCCCTAGCCCTCCCTTCCTCCATTTCTATGACGCTACATCCATCATCATCTGTGTGTGTGTGCGTGTGCGATTAGCTTAGTCGGTAAGATATCCCTAGCTGCGATACATTCGATGCCAAGACCTTCGTTGCTAAGCCAAGCAAGCAAGCGAGGAGGGGGACCTTTGGTCTGAATAGCTGGAGGAAAGGCACGTGAGAAGAATTCGATGTCGAGGAAATTGGAACATTGGACGAAAAAGGGAGTTGTTGCAGTCATTGTGACCGAGTCGAGAATCCTAATTGAGAGAAGAGGGTGTCAGCAAGGCAGTACACAAAAATAAAGTTCGATGAGATACTCGTCGATCACGTGCTCATGTAATCAATTCATCATCAATCGAAGGTTCAACTTTCCATTTCCATTAATTCTAAGACCCATTATCCCATCCCATCCATCCACAGCCAGCAGAAGACCAGGCAGCGAGCGAGAGAAGTAACAGGCCACGTCTCATGGTGAAAGAAAAAGAACCTCTCGAAAGACAGGAATTTCGCTGTTGCCAACCCAATGGCTCGCGCAGTGAAGGAAAAAAAGTTATGCTAGGGGTTTTTGAATATTTGTTCACACTCATCATAACTTCGTATCCAGCCCTATTCGCTCGCTCCGAAGACGATTCCATAAGCTCAGCCCAAGCCATGCGAGGAAACGACAGGTTCATGCACATCTGACCCAAGCCAGGATTTCCCTCCCTCGTGTAAGAAAAACCAGCCCCAATCCACCCAAGCCCCATCATGTCTTATGAAAGGAAAATAACGAGTAACCACAGCAGAACCCAGATGTGTAAAGTTTTCCCACCCAGCTCCAGTCTTTCAAATGCGATGCGCGCGACCCCCAAGCGTTGTATGTGTTCGGTGTTTCGTGAAACCAGAGAGCCAGCCTAGACCAGCCATTCCGTCCGTCGAAGCGCCGTTGTGTCGAATCGAAAAGCAATGAAAGCAAAAAGCAAAGCCATGCAGAGACCATCCCATTTCCCACCCCGATTTTGTGCATGCCGCCTCTCCTGCGAACGAGAGCCAGCACAGAGAATCCAATCTCGAATCATTGTACAAGAAGAAAAAAAGGTTCCAAATGTCTTGAGACAAATGAAAGCAAAGAAATGCGCCTAATTACAAATTTCTGGGTGGCGAAGCCGAAGAAATTCGGCAGCCCATATGTTTTTTTATGAGACCCGACCGATCGAGTCCAAGTCTAAGCCGCAAATTCGTGAATGTGCAAAGAAAGGAAAACAAATTAATTCGCAGCAGAAAGAGCAAAGGGCCCTCTCCCAGAATCCCAGAACACCTGACTGGGTTTCCCTCCAGTCTTTAATGCCATCCTGTTTCGAAAGACAAACGAAAAATCTAAAACTCGCTGATGCAACGCCATTATCAAAATGAAAAAGGGAAATCGTAAGATCGAGGCAGCCACGTGTGGGAGCGCACGCAACTCGAGATCGTGATGGGTGCGTCTATGCGTATTATCATATTTTGAAGCCGCAGATTTGGTCGACACCTCGGAACGTAATGCGCGCTGAAATGACGACGCTCAAGGAAATGTAATTGCGAATGGACTTTTGTGACGTGCGCTAGGCATCGAAGGGTATTATGTCGAGGAATTGTAATAACGTGATCGAGAAGGTGAATGTTTTTCAAGAACGTATCGAGTACCGTATCTATGCGAGAATCTGTTGGTGGTATCCGTGTCCCATGAAGTGCTGTTGCTTAGCATAAGGGTGGCATTCGTGGCAGCCACACTCCTGAGGTACGTGGTCCCAGATGCTCGGGTTTGCATAACCGTTGTGGTAGATGAAGGGAGTATGGTAGCCAGCAAGATGGTGGGAAGGAATGTAAGTAGCATAGGTTTGTGGTTGATACGCAGCTCTCGCAGCAGAGTTGAAGACAGACCAGTCGTTGTATCGGGAAGGTCCACCTGTCGCGCTCATGTACTCGGGGGTGTTGAGACCAGAGTCAGGGGCGGAGGGAGGTGTGAGGTGGGGAGTAGGATACGAGTTGTTGATCCAAGCAGTCTGATCGTAGGCAGATTGGTAGCCAGACTCGGGACGCTCGTGCGAAGCAGTCTTGATGTAACCGTTGTAGTTGTGCGAGTATTGGCGTGGTCGTTGAACGTTGGTATCGATCGGTGCAAGAGGCATGGGTGCAAGACGCTCAAGAGTAGCCTTGCGTTGCATGTTCTTGGTTTCACGCCACTCTGCCCAGCTCTGCAGCCATGCTTGAAAGTCATCACTTGTTTCCAGATTGACATACAAGCTCCATCCCATTGCCTCCAACCAGTCGCGCTCCATGAGGTTCAGATCTGCGACGGCGATGCTGCTGACCTCGGACCAGGAGCGATTCTGGAACGTGTTGTCGTCCAAGAACTTGCTACCCAGCAGAAGACCGATGGTGAGCATACGCCAGACATTGCCATCGGACGACTTTGTGAGTCCACCAGCGGCATTCAGTATGTTCATGCGTCGCGCGAGGTAGTTCATACCGAGCAAGATGGTCGTGCTTGGGAGTCGAGTCGAGGAGAGCAAGCCAGAGACGAACTTGCGGAATGCTGGAGAGACAGGAGAAGTCGGTAGGACGATTCGTTGAGCCATCTCAGCAACATACTCCGTCATTTGGTCAATTTCGTAGTCGAGCACGGCGCACACACCACCGGAAGCCATCATGATTGAGCGTTCGAGGGGACGACGGAGACTCAGGAGAATCTCGGTCGTATTGGCAAGAAGAAGCTTCTTCTTGCTTGCGAAGGTCGAGGAGAGTAGCGAAAGGACGCAATGTGTAGATTCGAAGCTCGCGAGGTCAGAAGAATTCCGAAGAGTGTGTGGTTGGTGACAGGAAGAAAGTTGGAGAGAGCGAAGATTTTGAAAATTATTCTGCCATCGGTTGTCGCTCTATTTTCTCGAAAAAATTGTGTAAAGGCGGAAAGCTGGCGTGGTCGTGAAATTGAATTTTTGACCGGCACCCGAGAAACAATGGTAACGACAAGAAAGTCCCAGCGACCGTGCGTGAACACCGTACCGCGAGTTCAGTTCGTATTTACCATGCGGCGGAGGGTTTCTTTTCGAGTCTGGGGGTATCTGTATGTTCTTGAAGCTGGTTAGCGTTTGTTCCGATGGAGTTTCGAGCACAGTGCCAATTCTGTGACAAGGCTCAGACACGCAAATCGTGGGAAGTGAAGGAAAGTTTCGGAAACCCGCGAACGCCGCCAGTGCGGATGAAGCAAGGAGAAAACGAGAGTGGTGTAGAGTTATTTTCGTGTTCGAGGAATGTAGATTGGCTTGCAGACTGTTGTTGAATGGGCAGAAGGGCGGATATTATTCGAAGGGGTCGCGATCATAACAAGCCGACCAGGAGCGCCGAACCACAATTCCAGACCGATGAGAGGGTGCGTCGTTCGCCGTCGAAGGATGCTGTGGCAGAGTCTCTTCCTAATTGTAAAATTGTACACACCTTTTGTTCTAATGGGTCGTGGTGAGAAGACCGCTTTCCGGAAGCCCCAGGGCAATCTGCCACCAAAGAAGTAAGTCGGAACCGCAGGAAGTGTAGGCCTGCACCTGACGTCGAAAAGTCGGTGATCTCCTTCGAAGTCGTGAGGAAGTGGTAGAAGAGAATTCGTGAGGAGGCGGAGGGAGGAGAAAGGAGATTCGAAGCGTTGACGACTGTTGAAGACTCTCACCTAGGGGGAGGGAGAGAAAAGGTGAGGAGATGTGGTGGTGATGATGATGATGAAGGAGTGGTGGTGAGAGAGGAGAGAGGCAAAGTGGTAGGTAGGGCACAAGCAGGGAGCAGGGTAGGGTAGGGCGGAAAGACGAGTCGGTCTGATGAGGAAATGGAAGGGAACGAGGGAGCGATCGGGAAGCCTGGGACTGGACCAGGAGACCACCAGGAAGAAGGGACTGCGACTTGGGGCTGCGACCTTGGGTAAGTAGGGACTGGGGGGCTTGGTTGGGTGTGTGGGAGTAATATGTGGGACCGGGTCGTGTGGAGTGCGAGCGGCGAGTGCTGCGTCTGCGTGCGTGCTGTTGTCGGCGGAAGTGGTGGTTTTTGGTGGCCAGGAGACCAATAGTGGGCAGGAGCGTGGAGGCAGAAGAGTTTAGCTCGGGTCTGGGTCGAAAGGGTCGATGAGGAACGGAGCAGGAGCAGGTGGAGGCGAATGCAGCAATTTGTGCAGCGTTTATGTTTTAGTGCAAGAAGAGCTCCACGGACGGAATTCTGACCCAGCGAAGATTACTCCCTGACTTTGACTTTGACTTTGGTTTGAACTGACTTCCGTCTCAATAATTTCCTCCCTTTCCCTTTCCCTTTCCTTTGCTAGCTTTCCTTATTCCCATCCTGTTCACTGGTCCGGCTACTGATGGAGCACTGTTCGAGTCACCACTGAGTCGAAACAGCCAAAGAGGTACCAGAGAATACTGTAATGCAGACAGAGCCAAACGAGCACCAGAGAAATATGCACCACTCAGACCCGCTGGAACCTGGTGGCCACTCATACATTTACGCTGGTCTACTACTAGTAGTCCGAAAGTCACCCTTCGCTTCCTTCCTTCCTTTCCTTCTTCGCCCTGTGTGTGAGCGACGAGATTTTCCAGCGCTGTACGAGGTCCGTTACAAACCCTGTCGATGAGGAGGAACGACGTCTTGGACTCTTGGCCTGCAGTGTTGGGGCAAGGAGAAGTGGGAGTCTAGACAAAAGGATCCAGAAATTATGAGCATCACCTCACCTACAGACACCCTCACAGCAACAATCGAATTATTCTTAGGTCCCTCTCGTCGCAGCTGGAGATCGAGGGATACAGCACAGCACAGTCATTTCTGGGTGGCCGGCTCTGGAGTCTGATTGATACACACGAAGCATCGCCTCCTTGCTATTGTTCCCCCCCCCCCCCCCTACGTAAACACCACTCATACAGGATTCACAAGGAAGACTCGCTGCTGCTTGCGTCTCTCGCATCCCCCTTTGGCTGTGTTGCTGTGCTGACACTGCGTGCGTACGGGGACCCGTGGGACAGCCTCGTAATTTCAGCGTCGCCTGCTTCCTCCGCAGCACCCCAACCAGTGAGAGCGCTGCTCGCTGTATCATTACAACACCATCCCCATACCCATCCCACACCCCAAAAGGTCTGGCACACTCTCACGCTGCTCACGAACGCTCATCCGACGTGAAGAAAGGCGGTGGCCAACCCCTTCTGACCAACCACGCCTCCCGATCTCCAACAGAACTGCGACTATCATCCGTCATCTCATCTCACGATGAAGCATGACTGGATCGTTGGCAGGCAAGTTAGGCAAGCCGTGAAGAAACTACTCGCCATCTCTTCGTCACCACTTTCTTTGGTCAATCCTTTTGCACCTTTGTTATTCATCGGTAGCTGCCTACGGGAGAGTACCATCGATGGGAGGACCGGAAGCATGGTATCGTCTGTCGTATGGATGACTCGAGAGAGAGACAGTCATCAGCGATGGCAATCTCAAATCCTGTGAGACCTGACCTGCCAGACGACAGCCGAGGGAGACGTTGCCAGCAATCAATCAATCAATCAATAACCAATGCCTCCACGAACTCCTCCCGATGCATCCATCGATGATATCTGCGAGACCACGGCAATATTTTCCCATCCCATTTCTGGTCCCTTTTTCTAGAGACACTAATATCACGCCCACGCCCCATCCGTGGTCCCGACAAATAGGAAGCCATCACAGTTATTACACACCTCGTCCTCTTCGTGTAACTATCTGTACCATCCTGTCTGGATCCTAAATAGAACTTCCGAAAACAATCAACAAACCCCCTCACCCCATATTATTAATTATCTCTTCAAGGTCAGGAGTGCGGCGTGCGATGTATGGATAATAGATGGGGGGCTTTCTATTATTGCCTGTAAAGTGGAAGGGAGTTTCTGGAAGATCCATCCGGACCTGCATGCAGTCGACCCGGTCGGCACGAGGAAGCACGAGGTCATCCCATCCATCATGTGCAATTTTTTTCTTTTCTCCTCTCAACGGCGCGAGGAGCGGAGATGGCTTCCTGCTCCCCCATCTCTAAGTCCGAACTACGGCCACCACTCGCAGCAGCTTCGAGACACTGGTACGAAGTGCATACGAGTCGAGTAGTACAGTAACGCTCTGGTCGAGTATATGTGCAATCTTGGATGAATCTTTAAAATGAAGAAGGATGGAACACCTGTACCTGTCCCATCTTGTCTGATGATACACAAGGACTTTCCCTGAGTCCATCTATCCCCGACAATAACACACGCAACCTTCCTGTATCTTGGTAATCACCCAATCCGCGGAACGAAGGCCGTGTGGAAGGGATGGCAACCAACCCGAACCTACCCAGTCCCAAACCTTGAGCAAACCTTGAGCAAATTAGGGCTTCTATCCAGGTGGCGTTGAAGATTCTCCAAGCCACATCTCCAATCCTGACTCGTCGATACAGTACAGTACATCCGCGCGAATCTTACCCTCCTCATCTTTATCCATCACGAGATCATCAGTTCTCCAGGAAGAAGGAAATGTCTTACCATCAAGATGATTTTCGCCATCCATCTTCAACAAGAAATCAGGACACTTTTCCCCAACCCTAAAAAAGAAATAGCGCAGAACCCAATACCCAAACCCCGGAACGGAAAATGAAATTCGATCCGATCATTAAAAATACTTCGCCGCTACGCTTCAAACAGTCTAGCCTCACATCCACACTTCAGACGAAGATCTTTTTCTCTTTCTTTCGCTCTTGCCTCAGGCACCGATCGCAGACCGTTGAAACCCTGTTCGTTGAGACCACACACAGGATAAATTACAGCGTCACCGTTACACGAACCAGCAGTACCCTGAAAACGGAACGATCATCGATCCTACCAACATCGGCTTTAGAAGGCTCTCACTCAACGGGTCCCGACCGGGAAGCCAACCGCAGATTCCAGACCTCTTCATTAGGAAGCAGATTTGCAGCCTGACGTCGGCCTTGTCTCGAGTTGTACAGTAGTTTGAGAATAGTAAGTGAAAGAAAAAGCCTCCTCTCCACACTTCTACTTGAGTATTACCAATAAGGAATCTACTATTTGCGATGTCGGGGGAAAATTCTTCGAGCTACAGTATCAATGATGGGGGACAGCGGGTATGTCGTCACATGGTATGGTATTCAATGGTTTCGAGCCGAAGTATCACCCCTCTTCTGAGGTAGGAGTCGGATTAGGCTTCAATGAATGAACAAACAACCGCATCCGGTCGAGCGTGCAACAACGGCACAGCCAGAACATGCCACAACTGCGGCTTTGATTCACACGTATGCGGGAGGTAGGCAGTGATTTAAACTTCCTTCCAATTTAGTCCCAGCTTCATTCAGCCTTGGTGAATCCAACCAACCTACCCGATCACTAACCGACAATATCCGACCCTCTCTCTCTCTCTGTGCCTACCTAATTTCCATCCTACCTACCTTTCCTTGCTATTGTTGGGCCATCCCTTCGTTCCAGACGAATGCAAGATGCATGATGCAAGGTGACCTACCTATGCGAACTAACTACTGCAAACAACGAGAACAGAAGGGAAGTCGGGGCTTAATCTAGACTCCGAGTTTTGTTCTTGTGAGTACATAGAGTTTTCTGGGCGAGAATAATGTCCGGGAACTCGGGATAGACGGAGAGGAGGTGAGCCGAGGAACGGGTTGGGGTTTTTTCTTTTGTTGGATTCTTGGTGGTTTATTTCGGGGAGAGGAGAATAAGGAGAGGCGACAGCAGAGGAGAGGAGAGTCATGTGAGGAGTTTCACGTGAGAAGGCTGAGAGTTAAGTTTATTGAGTTGTTTGCTGTGGGTATTTGCCTTGTTTCTTCTGTTAATTATTGACGGACTATTAATGATTTCGTTGTTTGAGTTCTCGTTTCCAGTTCTTTTTAATCTCCAAAAAAAATCCCATCACGTGGTTCTCATATTCTACAATGAACCTTACCTACCTAGGTAGGTACCTATGTACACCCCCCGATTATTCGTCACTATATAAACATAATGCTTCAATTCCTTTGAGAAAACACATACATAAAACCCAAAGTCTGTCAGTGATCAGATACTTAAAAGCAGCATAAAATCTCTCCTCTGTAAGAACATCGAGGGGCAAGATGATCAGCGGGGTACACTGTATTCCTTGAGTCATGGGAAAACAATCAGTTCATCGTGACTCCTTTCCTGCTTTACGTTCACGAAGTAAAAAAGATCACTTTACTCTACCTAATCCTACATCTATCTCTATCTTCCCATTCCCTTCAAGTTTTAACTTGCACTCTAGAATATCTGTCTGCCTATAAAACCCCTACCCCTGTTACGGAAAGAAAGTTTTTTTCTGCTACAGAGCCAAAGGTTTTACAAATATGTGATGATACGGGAAGATGGAATTGGTCGGGGATGAGGTAAATGACAGTAGTGGGAAAGTTTAAGGTGGTTTGTTTAGTAGTTTGGAGTTGGGGTGTTGTTGTTATTAAGTTTTTAATTATCAAGAAGTTTTTGGTTACTATCAAGTTTTTAAATCGTCAACAATTCTCTGAATGTTATCAAGTCTCTAATTATCGTCGACCCTTTAGCCGTTCTGAAGCCTCTGCTTAATGTCATATACTTGGCTACTATCAAATCTTTAATTGTTATTAAGTCTTCAACCATTATCAAATACTACGCGATAAAAACTACTACCTAAAAGCAACAACTCCTCAACGAAACCCAACCTCCCCCTCCCCCCACCCTAAACCACACCCCTCCTCCCCATTAAACGCACTCCAATAACCCCAACAACATCCTATGTAATTGTATTACGGGCACTTCTCCTCTGGTTCTGCATCCTTTATCTTGGCGTCGCTATTGTATCGGGGAATCGGAGTTTGTGCTCCGGGGATGGGGGTTTATATACCTCGGAAATCAAGTTTCTGTTTTGCGGACAAACGGACAGAAGAGATTTTAACCGTTATTCTATTCACTTCGATTTCGGTCCGTTTTTGACACTTTTTGTGTGACCGTTATTTTATTCACTTCGACTTCGGTTTACTTTTGAAACTTTTTTGTTTAACTGTTATTGTATTTATTTCGATTTCGGTCCGTTCTTGAGATTTCCGTTTGCCCGGCAGTCCATTCACCTCTCTTTTTCCGTCCGTTCCCCGAATTTCCGTTAATAATGTTTTCTATAAAAGCATTCTTTCAGACGGCTTTCCTAGAGGTCAAAAACTTTTTGAAGGGAAGAGGGGAGATCCAGTGCCGGTGCCGGTACCGGGTGCCAGCCAAGCCATGGGCCCAAGTTCCCGTACCTGTCGAAAGGGGGCTAGTCACCCTGAAGAGGGGTATGATTTGAGACAGATTAATGGGGTGGTTGTTGGCAGTGAGTAGACGTGTTGATAGTGAAAGTTATTATAATGACGACGAAAATTATTTTCCTGATGATAACGGTAATTTTCTTGACAACAAAGCTTATCACTTTATCTCAACACAGATGTTTCCGCACACCCCAGGCACATCAAGCTAGAACTAAACCCAAGCTCAGTATCAGAGCGTCGGAGCCGGACCCGGAGCCACTATATCTGCACCGCAGCTACAGCTATAGTCGATATGCTAGCAGCAATCCCCTGCCTCAATATTACAAGCAAAGATTTCTCACTTCGTCTGTCCTCGATCTCCAAGGAATCGTTTCACTCATCGCTTGATCGTCCTCCAATTCTCGTTCTGCTGCTTCGATTTTCTCTTGAGCTGTCTTACGAGCCTCGACGGCCTCCTTCAGTTCGTACAATCTCCACGTTTTTTGCGTCATTATATTTTCTTTTCCATATCTAAATCGTCTATAATTCCGGGGTCTATAACCTAGCAGACTCGCAGCCTGAGCGCTTGTTATTGATGGTTGTACGGCTGGATTTGTTTCGTAGATTAGAGTAGGATGAGGGCAGTATTCTTTTGTTGTTAATTTTTGGGCAATCATTTTGAAGTTGATAATAGCTAAACCGTTGTACTAGGATAAAATACTCTATGTTGGGTATTTAGTTTGAGGTATCTAGTGGAGCGATATATTGAGGGAGAGAATTTTGATACAAGAATTTCCCGGGTTATCAAAGAGAATATTGGCACTGAGGAAGAGTTACATATTGAGTCCCTCTTCAGAACAAACCCCCCAGGTGCCGCGCGATGCGTCTTCTTTTCATGGGGTATCCTTATTCTGCTTTCAAGGGTGATCAGTCTATTGTTGTTGTCAACTTCCCAATGACTGTCAATTGAGACATAAACTTGAATTGGCAATAGCTATCAAATTACTTTTAGCTTCAAAACAGTCATGTCCTGTATAACTCTTCAGACCCGGGCACAATTCAAGTCACCCATCACAGCGGGAACATTAAAGGAAGAATAGTAAAGGGCTGGAGCCAGACAGATACGAAATTCATGAATAGAAAACAGCTCTGATATTTATAACCAGACTATCGTACTGTGACGTCAAAAATTCCGTCCTCAGGCTAATATCGTTGCGTGCTTCAAGGCGCTGCTGGAACTTAGATTTGATTCACTTCTGGCCCTCGGGGAAATGGGTTATGAGTGAATAAGTTCATGACGTTTTGTGCCACTTCATATCTTTTTCTTAGGGCTTCAAACAAGTATAAAATTACCTCAATCACGGATCTCGAGCTCCTTGTTCTTAAGTTCAACATCGAAGAAAGAGCAATCAAGGTCAGTGGTTCACTTGCGTGTATCCTCAAGTTGTGCTATGCGGCAATGCGGATTTACATAATCTTTGCATGGATGAGGATGTGAAAGAGTTGATTTTGTTGTCAAACTTTTCATTATGTTGTCAAATCATGTTACAGACTAACACAAATGATATTCTAAGACTTAAGAACGTAATCAGAAGTCCTCTCAATTCTAACAAGGCGACATTTTTAACAACTAATTCATCAAATTCTTGCCATAGGGTTGTAAGAGCGCCGACCGGGACAATCACACATGGATTGGCTTTGAAAGCTTGCTGTAATGCTGTTTTACAAGTTTGAAATCTCCTTGTATTTATCGTCTTGGATTCAGGCGCTTAAGCAGCGAGGAGTGTTGAGGCCAGTTCCATTTCTACACACTTGAGCGAACAATGGTGAATATCGCGGCAAGAGACTTTGTTGTTAATTTCAAGCGCCAAAGTGGGGAAGTTCGCTCTTTTGAATAGACAGCAATGAATATAAAATAACCGCTTTCCCATTCCATGGCAAGGCAAACTATACCAAGGAAAACTTCTGCAGAGAGCACAGACATTTCTCCATTCCGTATGATCTAGCTTTCATATTCCTCAGATGAGATGAGGCGGAACGAGACATTCATCATCGGAGTCTTCTTCCGAGGCTGGATTGATCATAGTCTCGGATCTTGGCTCGGGCATGATGGATTTATGTCTCGTACGTTTCCGTGGCCGTTGAACTGACGGCGAGTCATCAGTATCGTCTCGCCTGCGTTTGCATGATGATGTGATAACCTCATCTGAAGAGGTTTCGATGTAAGGGTCTGAGTCTCTAACTTTCTGAAGAGTCTGCAAAGTGGCCCTTGCTTGGGTTCTTGGAGCCCGTCGGTGATTGGATGGAGTAGTAGTTTTCCGTGGTGGTATGGTCCTTGTGTAGGATATATTGCCCAAGATGAAGGTGATTTTGTGAAGGGTGGCTCCTTTGGAGGAGGTTGTAGCACGTTGGCTATTTGGGGACCGTGGTACTCCTCCTCTACTCCGTGATACCACCCTGACCGGAGTCTTGTCTCCATCACTGAACTCAGATTCCGTGTTACTGGCTTTGTTTCTGCTGCTCTGAGTACTCTTGATCTCCTTTCGTGAATATAGTCTCCTTCTCGGGTCGTTGGATTGTGCACTCGAGCCGACATGATGACATCGTCTTCAGAGTCATTGGCAGAAGTGCGAGCTAAGTCTTGGGACTCAGGAGTCATTGGTCGTCGAGTGCCAAAAGTTTTCCAGGTGCTTCTCTTTTGCCTCGGAGTCTTGGGAGCAGCTGAATCCGGAGAAGAGCCAATATTCATGGCCGGATCGTCGCATCTGCTTTGCGTTCGACGATTCTGTCTTGCTCTGGATGTAGGACTTCTCCTTTGGTCTTTGCTCTTCTGCAGCAGCAAGTCATCTAAGGATAGCAGATCATTGCCGTCATCTCCACTTCCAGCTTCTCCAGTATCCATGCCCTCGATGCCTGATGTTTCCACCGTGGCAGAGCCATCACGACTGCCTCCAGTCTCGTTCTCGCTGCTCTCCCAATCTCCCCCACTACTATCTCCATCCTGAGCTTCGTCATCCTTTTGACTCTGGCCCTCGTCGTCTTGCTCGGTTTCATCACCCTTACTACTCTCATCCATCACAACAAATCCACCGTCACTCTCGTATTCGCCCACACTCTGACTCGCATCATCCCAAGGTCCCAATTTTTCTCCTCACGGGTTCGAGTGTAGTCCAACAATTCTTTTCTCCTTCAGCTTCCTCTTCGGTCTGCTAGCCTTCCATAGTCGGTACTGTTGGAGCATCTCCAGCAGCAGAGGCTTGTACTTTGGACAATGACTCATGTACCAATTCCACCTGTATGTGCTTTGGTATATTACTCGAAACTCATGGCCCTTCCACTTTCCCCAGTGAATGATTGTGGAGAGAGGACTGCGGCCTTTCGGGATCTGCTGCTGGATATGCGCATTATAAACCTTATTCAAAGCAGCGAACTTCTTGAACTTCATACACGTCAGTCATAGAGTTTCTGAGCACCAGGGATTTGACTTACAGTGTAGTGCCACGGCTCCTCTTCGAATCGCTTCAGAATGAATCGTCTGAAATCGTCGTCGGTCGTTTCGAAGCGCTCGTTCATATACTCCTTTCCAAACCAAATCAGTGTGGCTCCAGGGTCTTCGCGGCTGAAACCATATTCTTCAATAGCATCCTCAACTTCCTGCTTCTTCCGAGCTATTTCGGCATCGACGTCTAGAGTGCCTTGTTCCATCGTAGCGGCCTAGGCTCTGGGATATCAAAAGCAAAGAACAGACGTGTGTGCTTCCCTACACTTGGTAAAAAGCTGTGTTCGAGAAAAATTGATATTTGCAACGTTTGGAATATATATATCAAAGCAACGAGCGAGCTAGATATTTCAAGTCCCACCGCACCCACCTTTATTGCTGACATTTATTAATATTCTGATGCTTTCAGTTTGCTTCTAGAGATGCAGGTAGCCGTCACACTAATGGAAAGCCACTGGTCGAGTCAGGGATACCCCTCCATGGATTAACGCATTGTGGCATTGAAAAGCACAGGGAAAACGGAGAGATAAAGGCAATTGAAATGCCTTTCCTTTCTTACAGACCTCAATCATAGTATGTTGCCAGCTAAAACACTTATACCAACCTTGTTCGTAACTTTCTTCAACTTGCGAGTAGAATCCAACCACCTGAGATCATTAGCCAAAATCCTAGGACATGGCGAGTTCTGTCGTGATGTGGATATAAGATCTTACATTCTTACCATTGTTCAAGAAGCATAATTGACGAGGTGTTATTCCAAGCCAGATCGTGGTCTCACTCGGATCAAAGATGTGTTCGAGACATTCTGTCAGTTTGAGAACTTCTCATCTCGTGCGCTTGGTCGCAGACCGTCAAAAACCAACTGAGTGTACTCAACTCGGCCGTGCTTTCCAAAATGTCATTCCACTCGAGGATTGAAATATTTGGGGGTGCAGCCAGATTTTGGAGGCATGCTATGCACGATCTTTCCGGTTTTGTTCTTCCTACCCATTCTTTCTTCGTTTCTTAACCGGACTTGAATCAACGTGTGATACAGCACTTTTGTCGTGCAATACAGTCGGCTTTCGGAGCAGATGACTAGGGACAAGACACTCGTCGTCTGAATCTACTTCGAAACCTATCATGATCTCGGGTTCTGGATTCGAAGGAAAGGGCTCAGGACTGTGTCCTTTGCGCTTTTGTAATAGCTTATTTGATGGCAAGTGATTGTACTTGTCGTCACCTAAACCCAGAGGCTGGGCATGGTTACCTGGCTTTCGCTTGCGGTTGGATGTGATTGCTTCGTCCGAAGAAGTGACACTATAGATGGAGTTATCCTTGGCTTTTGCTGGTTTCGCAATAGAAAGAGAGAAGTCTATTCCTACCACTATGAAAATGGATCTTGCCATCGATAGAATTGTCTGGTCCTTTCCGAACAAGGTCAAGGTCAAGGTGGTCTAAGTGCACATTCGAGAATCGTCATTCCTTGTTCATAGCTGATGGCTCACAGATGTTAAAAACATGAAATATACCCCTCTATTCCTACATGCTTGAGACACCAGAAGTTACACTTCCTCCCTCTCATGGCGCTCAGGATTAAACAATTCTCAAATCAATCAAGAAACCCCGCATTCCTTCCAAATGGGTATCATGAACAGGCCTCGCGGTCCAACACCTATAAATACACGACGCATTTTCCAACCTCCATTCCTCAACGCCATAAATCACTGAACATAGCCCCATTGCCAGAAGCCATTTTCCCATTCCATCAATCAATTGTTGCACTTTCCCACTCAAATCAGAGATCACGGCCATCTATTACCACAATAGGTCTGAGACGACGCCAAGGAGAATGTGCAGAGGATTGGCTCGACGATATATCTTCAGGTATGGGCTCCGGCCGTTGGGCAGTCTTCTGCCGCTTTCTTGGCCGAGATGTACAAGCTTCGGGACTACTTGGAACAAGTTCTGAAATTGCCTCTGAGGAAGTTTGAGGTACAGAAACCTGAGCAGCTGGAGTTCCCTTGCTTGATATCCTGCCTCGAGGACTGTCGTTCTTCGAAGTTGATAGCATGTTACCAATTTTACTTCTGTTTGCTGGGACGGACCCTCTGGTAGGGGTGATGGACTTCGGCGAGCTTCGTCGGATCTTGGTGTGTGAAGGTGTCCTTGTTCCTGATCTAGGCATTGGAGTGTTGACTGATCCGTTGTTCATAGGTGTTATCACAAACGGGAGGTGAGTCTGCCTCAAACGTGGGCTCTTCTGATCATCTGTTCCTCCTTGCGCTGTCTTCGGTAGAGTGTTTTCTCCTGCATTTGGTTTGTTTCGATGTCGTTCTTCCTTGTAGCTGCAACGCTTAATCGATGATCATCAAGTGATTTCTTCTCCTTGACCAGGAAACGAGGATTGAAGCTCGCGTTCGAGTTCATTGGCGGAAGAAAGGGTGTCTGATTTACCAAGCTCCCAGGATGAGCTGGAGTCGTGGTAGCGTTTACTTGATGATTTCCAAATGATTCCTTCTCCTTCAGCACAGACTGAGGGACAAAGCTTGGCTTCCTTGTGTTTATTTGCTGTAGCATCGATTTCTGGTCTGTCATGCTCTCAGAGCGAGTCGAAGTTGTGCCAGACTTCATCACAGGATTCTGCCGAGTCGCCAGCCAAGCATTGTACTCATCGTGAAGGCGTTTGAATCTCGTCAACTACTATCCATCAGCTATAGTTCCAATCACGTTGCAGGTTGTGTAATAATGTTGGGGTCTACATTTGGTGCCTTATTCGTCGTTGAGCGGTCCACAGCCCAGAGTCGATAATCCCTTGGAACTTTATCGAACCTCTTGTTTGCGTGCTCTCCGAACCATACTTTAAAGGCCCCAGGTTCAGGACCGAACTCATAAGTCCTAGCTGGTGTTTGTATGGCAGGATCGGGTGTCTCTTTGGCGAACATAGTCTCGGTTCGACACAGTGCCGCAGTTGAGATGGTTCAATGGCAAAAATGATCGAAGAAGGAGCCTTGAGATACTGAATACAAAAACACAATGGCCAAGAGGTGTCTCTCAATTCCCCTCATCACGTCGCGCTCGACGCGTGAGATTATATCATAGTGTTCCCATGATGCCGGAACCTGGCATGATGCGCCTCGGCAGTCAGCCAAGGGAAATTGGATGCAACTCTGGGCAAGGTTCAAACAGGAAGCGGGAATCCGGTAGCCGGTACCGAATCGGATCGGCTTCCGACTTCGCATTATTGCTTCACATTTTCTGCGAGAGGATTAGGGCACACTCAATTCAAGGTCACTTGATAAGGAACTCCAAGTGGCGTTGCTGCTGCCTGAGCATCCATGTTTAACCCCCACTGGAGCCTCAAGCTGAGAGAATTGAAGCGGGAGGCACTAAATATCACAGCACCCTAGTTGGGGCAATTGCGGCACCCATGGTCCTCAATTATCTCCATACTCTCAGAACCTCATTCTGGGCATCAAATGGTGCTTCTCGGGAGGTTAAACTTTGTCATTCAGTCTGCATGCTCAAGGCTTCTGCTGGGGAGGACTGCCATTCATTGAGCAGTATGATCGTTTTGCAACATTGACCTATCTTGAAGTGGTACTCGCTATCATTCTCCCAGGCTTTTTCTCAATGAGAGTCACTATCATTTTGGGTCGACTTCAATTTTCCACGAGCCAGTATTGGCCGAGACCTGAAAACATATTATGCTGGCAATTGTACTTCATTAATCATTACTCATTATGGGTATCACAGACTCGTTAATCCAAAAAGAATACCCAAAACTCTCGAATCAGTACAATCAAAGTTCCCTCTTTTGCATCTCAAATTACCCATACGCCCCAGAGACGCGGACTGCTCAACCATCATAAAATTTGCGCCTCTGAAAGAAACCTTCCTTAAACGCCAGAAACATTATGTAACCTAGGAACGCAGAATCATTTTCTCGCTCAACCATATTGACTGTTCATCCAACAGCAAACGCCCTGCTTCTGAACGCAATCATCTCCTCTCCGGCACCAGAGGCGGAACGGGCACAAGAAACCTCCAAGGAGAATGAACAGAAGGCTGACTTGACAACGGCTCCGCAGCAGCAGCTTCCTTTTCGTTTCCCTTCTCATCATCTGTAGCCTTCCTCCTCATCGCAGCAGGAGGGGTAGATTTCGGGGCAGCTGGGGAAATGGTAGTCGGCTCTGAAGACGTCGGAGGAACCTCTTTGCGTTTGTCATATGAGACATTTCGCTTCGAAGTTGATGAGACCAAATTCGTTATTTTGTAGCTGCTTTTGTTCTCCGCATCCATCTTCCTCCTGTTCTGTGTGTGTCTTCGTCTTCGAGGCATGGAGGACTGTGCTTTTGTATATTCAGTCTGCGATTGCCTGGTTGGGTTTCTTGATAGCTCGCCGAGTGGTAGTCGTTTCGTCTGCATGTTCGTTTGGTTGACATCCCGCTCTTCTTGCAATTTGCGTTTGTTCGTCTTCTGCTTTGGTAGGGTTCTGGAACTTTGCTGCTTGCTGCGAGAGACGCCAGCAAGTTGCTTTCCTTTCGACTCCTTATCTATATCCGAGGGGAGTTTTCCAGGTGAAATGCTCTTCGTAATCGGTGTCGAGGCAATTTCTTTGTCTCCATGACTACTCGATTGACGCGGTACAAAACCCTCGATGAAGCCCTCATTATGGTCAATCTTGTCGGATTCTGGCGAATTCGGATCGTTTTGGGCTGCAAGCCAAGCTGCTATCCATTCACTAGACATGATTGCAATAGCCCCTTGACAGCAAACGAAATGTAAAAAGGATTGTCCATCTCTCGAGGCTCAGGAAGATTGACCTCACCTGGACGACGCGCCCGACGCGTTTCCCAACAGCTGAAAGATAGCAGGGGTTCCCTGTATGTCCGTGCGAGAGACAGACCGCCTCAACATTTTAGTGGGTTTAGAGCAGCGTGCCGGGCCTGTTCAGTGGGGTGTCTCTAGTGGCCTCGTTCCGCGCCGTAGTGGCCGTTGGAAGTGGAGGTGTGGGGAAGATGGTCGCTGAATGCCTTTGTTCCTGCTTTGCGGGGTCCCACAGGAAGTTTTGGCTAAACGCTGATTTTGCTATGAGGATTTTTTGTCAATATGATAGATAATATAGTGCCACTGGCAATTCAAGGTGGACGTTGAGCTCATCATTCATTGTTCAAGATCTCGACGTGAAAAGATATTCGATTGGTTTGGGTATCTATAGACACCGAACTCCATGGCCAACCGACCAACACCAAGGAGGAGTTGTTACTCAATATGCAGCCAATTATCCAGACAGAAGAAATTCGTACCCAAAGGTCTTTTAGTAGCGAAAAGTCTCTTAGTCAAAGAGTAATAACTCAGCACCTTTCACAACGCTTTCTGTCGAGCTCTCCAGCGAATGTCCACTGCTAACACCTCTTGCGATGAAGGAGAGTTGGGTGCTTGAGACAGGACTTTTGACTCCAACTTTCTGGGCTGCTCGCGAACAGACGCTTGACTTAAGACCGAGAGGGGTGATGATGAAAAGGGTCCGTCAAAGTCCGCGCCTTGGAAAATGCTGGTTTGTCCCTTTGGACGGTGTATTTCTCGACCGGACGAGGTTATCCTGCAAATTTGTTTCAGCGTATTGGATTGTGCGAGCCTCTTTCCTTTCTCTTTAGGTCCAGCCTTCGAGTGCCGCGGTTTCGAGGACGAGGCACGAACGTTGCCGGACGAATTTCCTAAAGCTGTGCGGGTGCTGGCGCTGGGCGATTGTGTTTGTTTGATGGCAATTTTCCTCCGCTTGACATCTCTGATCAATGGCACCGTCTCCATAGAGGAACTTGGATGGGGATCGATGTGATTATCTTCGAGGTCGTGGTCGATGTTTGGAATCTTGTCGCAGGAGCTCGAAGCCGTTTGATCCTCTTCTTCCGAATTTGGGCGAAAGCTACTGTCCGGATCAGGCTCACTATCTTTGTCGACAAAATCCGAATCATATTTATCGTCATCCGATGGAGGTACGTCGTCGATTGGCCCTAGTATCCTGCCCATCTTATTCAGGGTCACTCGAGAAGTGCTAGTTGGCTCAATTCGTGGTTGTTGCAGAACTCGCCATCGCAGATACCTCTCTTTGATCTCTACCATGCCTCTTACATTCTCTTCATTGGCGTGTTCCAATCGAAATTCCCACTTAGCCTTTTGCCGCCAAATGACGCGCTTGAGGGGATACTCCCCGAACCACACTTTCTCTGTCAATGGCGATTCCTTCGCATCCCGCCAAGTGTTATACGCATGATGTAACGCGTCGAACTTCCGAAGCTGGAGAACTTCAATCAGCACTCGGACTCGTCGTTCATCGATACTGGGAATAGCTCCTTACGTCTTCGCAGTCGTCAGTTACTCGGTCAAGTATGCATCTCTGTCTGAACCCCATATCAAGTTTTTCGAAGCGGTCTCCCTTGTAATCACCGAACCACATGAGCGTCTTGCCAGGTTGGTCTCCAAACTTAATCGTGCCAGAACAGAACTCAGCATGATTAAAACCATAAGCATCGCCGGCATCTTGGATATCTCTATCCAATCTGGCTTCCAACTGGCGTAGCGATAATGTTTCCATCTTTCACAATTCCGCAAATACTGAGGATAGAGCAAGTAGGAGTTCAAGATATTATCGGTGGACTCAAAGTTCTTTCGTTATAGATGAAGAAAGGGGTAAGATGACCAAGGTCGCAATCGGAGCATCGAGGGTTTATATAATAAACCATGGTTTGACCATATCACGAAGGCCTCGCGTTGCCCCGTGACTTAATTGAAGCTGATTGACATGGGATGAAACGGCCGTGCATCGCTTCTGTCGGGAATTCCACGATTGGTGGGGACATGGGTGCGTATGACATCTTTTGACTTGGTTTTTGAGACAAGATAAGGAACTTACGAGGATCTCGGTGACTTAATTAGGGCAGTGTAGAGTATGATCGTGGATCAGGAGGAGCTATTGGAGTATATCTTTTTTGTTTTGGGAATTATGGTTTCTGTGGCGCTGCGGCTGAAAGCCACGGATCAGCTGGGTCTGTCTTGTGGCATTCGGTAAAAGGAGGGGGGTCATGGAAAGGCAGTTAGCAAAGGAGATCTGCTAGGCAGTTGTATTCCTTGAGCTTTATCGGTTGCTCTCTGTTTTCTAGATCACTATCAAGAGATCCAATATGGACAGTACATTATCAGCTGGTCATGCCAAGTAAATCCTTCCCTGGGTATCTTTTACCCCAAAATCTGTAACGTCAGCACATAATGTTACTTAACAAGTCCCATTCCTATCCCAGAAACTGCTAACGCAGTGAACTAGAATTCTTTCATGAGCTTCCAACAAAGCCCACGTATATCCTATTCGAAGCAGATTCTCTCCGACTAAAGGCGGCAAAAGCCAAAAAATGTCGATCGAAATAGTGAAAAACGTCCAAGGAAAGTAAGTATCCATTTTTTGCAAGCCCAGTTCACAAATCAACTTCGATGCTCTTGAGAAAGACAGCGCAATCAGCGATGAGAATACTCGTACCAGCCTAGGTCAATGGAGATTCCATCATTCTCTTGAAGTTCTATGTGAAAATTGAAATGTAATGCCACATTGAGTTTCTGTTTTCGGATCGTAGAGGGGTCAAGGGGCAAGACTTTGATGAGCTCGTGCTTAAGCTTTGGACAATATACTAGTATCATTGTTTCCCATCTCATCCTCTCTCTTGCTGTTGAATTCTTGACAAAACAATCTTCGAGATACGACGACTTGAATAAACCGAGTAGGGAAAGATGACTGCTCTGGAAGAGCTCGGAGGCGGAACGAAAATATCAGAACTCTCGATAAGTCACTGTATTACACACTCGTCAGAGTCCACGTTGCTTCTGGTAGCAATGTGCTCAGAGTATAGCTATATGCATGTTTTTTCAGCAGTCGACTCCTCGTGACGGCTGATCGGCTTCGACTCGCTAGCCAAAAGAGCCCCCCTAAATTGACCCACCTCGCTTAGACAAGCTTAAGAGAGCTGCTTCCGTCAAGGAGAGGGTCTAAGCGACAAGACGACGTGGAGATACATGCCATTCAGACGAAACGGTAAAAAATACACATGGGAATGCAGTGCGGCATCATGTAGGAGTGCTGTCTTGTCTTGGGATGTGTCACCATAGCATCCAGAGTGGTGTTGGACTCGGGAAAGGTGCGAGAAGGATGGTGCACACAACGATAATGATGCTGGGAGTCTTCCATGGGAAGTCTACATTATGTATCGTGTTTATGTACTCATAATGCCCAAGTGCCCGATGTACTGGCTGATCTAGCTAGTCCCAGATTCTTTGCTGCCGCGACTACCGTCCCCTTCTCACACGAGCTTGAATTGAATCTGCTGGTGAAGACACACATATATACAGTGCTGGTAGTAACATCTCCACGATGACAGAGAACCAATGCAATTCCGGAAGAGACTACCTTGTTGTATGTGAAGCACTGGCCATCCACCAACAAGTCTTGAGGCCGTACAAACCAATATCCGTAGCCTTAGTAGACCGAACCCTTAGTACTATTTCGTACTTTCTCCCGTCCATCATGCTGGATGCAGATCAACTGCCACGTAACAGTAATCATATCTCCCCATCCAAACTCCCAAAGCTCCACTCAACAAGACCCAAACTTCCCACCCGCAAGCACGCTAATCTCATCCAGATTCGGCGACGGCTCCAGCGACCTATCCAACAAAAGCATCGTACAATGTTTCGTATGCTCATAGTCCAAAACATCCATATCCCTCCTCCCTCCCTTCGCCGCAACCTCCGCAACACGCATAAGCAGATACGCACAATGGGCCAGATGTTCTCGTTCCGTCGTCCACCACATATGATTTGCGCCCAGCACAACAGATATATCCTCGATCACCGCACCGCCTTCTTTCGCGGTGTAGTATTTCCATCCGCCGCTCAGGTTCGTGTACCCTTCGATTCCGGTCCGAGGACATGCTGCTGGAAGCCATAGTTTCGTTACGTAGTCGAATGTGCAGCCGCGCGAGATGGCTTCGTGGATGGATTTTCCGCATTCGAGTTTTGGTGGGTTTATTTCGTGCAGGAGACGAAGATAGAGGGTGAGGGTTGTTGCGAAGGCGATACCCAGGATACAGTTGATTATCAAGTGCCAGACCCATCCTCGATATACGTTTCTTGGTGCTTTGAGCTCACCATGAGCCGACTCGTCTTCGAGAACGTCGTACTTGGGCTCTTTTTGCCCTATTGCTGAATACATCTTCTCTCTGAGTGATTGATTGATGAGAGCAAATGTTTGCGGTGAAGACGCATGATTACTTGAACTGCCTGCCTCTTCAATTCGCAATACGGTCTGGTAAACGAACAACCCAATCAACACCTCTTTCCTGCTTCCTTCAATTCTTCCGTACGGCGCAATCTCTGAATGTTCCAATTAACATGTTGTGGCTGCTTACTACATTTTATCCTAGACGGTGAAGCATCTAGACGGGCGCAAAGGCATGGGTACGAGGGTACCTCTAACTACAATTGCATCTCGTGAGACGGGTTTCTTGCATCACCTGCCTGATGCAGACTCTGGACCGCTGTCAGGTTCGGTAGCGAGTACACTAAGATCCTTGCGCTGTAATGGGCGAATGTCAAGTACAGAAGAGGGGTAAAATTGCCCCACCAAACTTCTTTTATCCTTGTTTGATTGGTATTGCGGTAGCTTTTCAAATCGAGACGGAGAGTTTGAGCCGCATGTGTATCTGATTACATATACCCGTCCTTTCTCAGGTCTGAGTTCCGAGTTCGTTCGAGTTTCTATACCCTTCTTGCGCTCTGGAAGTCTAAGTCTAAGTCCTGAGCGATGCTAATTTGAAGTTGTCCTGCAAAGGACTCGATACTTCCTCATCAACTCTCCTTGCTCTTTGTTAGAGGCTTCTTAATTTCTCTTATTCGACGATTACTTATTACTTATTTAATTGAGCGACTGCTATGCATGAGAGGACTGCGAGTTCTCTCTTGACTATTGCATCTGTCTGCTATTCTTATGGGTCATGTGATCGCATGAAAGTGTCTGGAGATAAGTTAGTGCATTGATACTTCTTCATCATTCAGCGTCTAGACTATATCGCAGATCGAAAGTTGTCCAACAATTTTCATACCTCAAATTTCCCTCACACAACTTCTCTCAGATCACTTCCTCTATTGCCGTTATCAAGAGGCGTGGTGAGAACATAGTAAACAGCAAACGAGCTTGATTCTTTGAGATACAGCTAACCTTAACCAAAAATCCACACTCATCCCCCAAACCCTACCCAATAACAGTAATAGTATGCACATACTTAACCTTCCCATCCACCACCCGAATCTCATGACTATCCGGCATATTCCCCAAACTATTAAACGCACACAACACATCCACACTCCCCATCACTTCATCAACCACATACCTACGATCATCATTCTGCTTCGCACTCCCCCCAGGCGGCAAGCTCGCACCACACGGCTTCGTCAACCGACTGCCCTCCACGCGCTCACAGTTCGTGCCCCACGGAATCGTATCCGCGGCCTTCGCATCGGTCCACATATCCAGATACCCGTCGCCGACCTTCTTCAGCAGATCGCGACCCGGCTGGCTGGCTGCGGGCAGCGCGCTCCAATCTTCCGCTTTGATGTACGAGAGCGTCAGGCTGGCGGTGAAGAATAGGGAGCCGGTCGTGGCGGCGATGGTGTCGATCGTGGAGATCTTGCCGGTGTCGTTCCCGTCGTGGCGGATCTGGGTTGCGAGGACGTAGGGCTTGGGGCCGGAGGTCGAGATGAGCATTGTGTAGGAAGCGCAGGCGACGGTGTCGGCTGTGCTGCGGTTGGTGTCTATCTGGAGGGGAGAGGCGAAGACACCTTTGGAGAGGGCGAGGGCTTTGTTGTTTTCTTGGTTGGTGAAGTTTGATGTTGTGGGGAGGTTGTTGACTTGGCCGGCGATGACAGCGGTGACGAATTGGGAGGCGGTGGAGAGGAGGCCATCTCGTGTGCAGTTTGCTGCGGATGTGGAGGATAGAGTCGCGAGTATGGAGGCGATTAAGAAGATGGAACGCATGTTGGCTTTAATGTTGCTCTTTGGTACAGAAAATTGCAAAGTTGGGTCGAAGACACAATACGGAATTCCAGCGCACAAACACAATTTTCAACCTTCAAGAATTGAATCCCCAAGCTTTCCCAAAGTTCAGGACTGGGATGACATTTAAATAGAACTCTCAAGGGGGGAATCCCATATGAAGTTACATGCCGTTGTTAAACATATACCCATGCGGGGTATCTTCAAATCGGTAAAATAGGTTTGTTCCTTGCCGCGACCTTAATTGATTGATCTCAGTATTTAAACGTCCCCTTGGAAACGGTTTAGGCAGATATGTGTATCTTGAGCCATTGTATCTGTGTAGTGGCTACTTGCCTGTCGATGACTTTGTTTGAGCCAATGGCTAGAACGAGTAGAGATACCTATTTAGGAGATGCATCCACGTGACTCGACAGTGAAAATGGAATCATTCAATGGGAAATCCAACGACAGTCTTCAGAGGTAGCAGGACAACTAAGTGTTAAATGAAGCAGGAGCCTGTGGAAAGTGGCAAAATACAAAGAAAAGGCACCAGAGTCACTTGACTAGCTATGCTCGCAGATCAATAGTTGCAAAAGTCAGAAAGAAATAAGGAGCAATTCGCAACGTCATTAAGGTATTCTTTATGTGCAGTGCTATGCAGCGCTCGGCTCAAAGTCATAATCAGAAAAACCGCCCATCCACCATGAAAGTGTTCCGGTCGCTTGCCCAACGCCGTCCTCGTCAAATCAAGGATTCCTGTCCAAGCAGTCTATCGTATCCAACAATCATACACAAAGCAAGATCTTGGCTCTCTCTTGCTCCTATTAACATCATCCTGTGGTGGTGTCATCTACTTCACCCTCGTTCGCAGCCGCTATTACTCCGCTATTAGTGTCCGACTCCACGATGAGTGCTTCGGGCATACTCGGTCGGAATTGTACAACCGGGACAACTTTCAGTTTCCGGATCGCTCGCTTCATGCCTTCCAAGGCCGTTCGTTCTTTGATCAACATAGATTTCGCTAGATCTTTGATGGCTTTTCGTCCCATCTTCTCATGCAGATCTTGCCATCCAGCAAGTTCAGCAGCGACAACTTGCTGAGTGTACCTCAGTTCCTTACCAAGTCCCTCAGCTTCTTCTCTTGTACGCCGTACCTTGTCTTCCTTTTCTTCGTTGAGACGTTGCCGTGTCTCGTCTAGGAGACCGAGCGGCCAGCGAGTAGAACGTGAAAGCGAGTTGTAATTCCGTTCAATGGATTTGCGAGAGGTGTTGATGGACGATATAAGGGATGTCGGTCTAGATAACGACAGAAGCATTGCGATGATGGTGCTGTGGATTGAGAGAATAGCCGAATGAAAAGCTGTGTACGGTGATGAAGCTGTAGGGGCAAGCGTTTGAACATATGTTTCTAGGGCTGATACATGAGTTAGGGGCAGACATTCGAGAGTCGACAAAGCACGTAGTGCTAAAGAGTATGCATCATAGAGATCTGTAATCATTAGCATATTCGAGTGAAAAGAGTATTGCGACATACCTTTGGTGGCAGATCGCACCATGTTAGCCCTCCGTGCAACACTCTTAGTAGAGTAATTGACACTTCGGACCATGTCTCTTGCGTGATCAACGAACTGTTCGACATCTCGTATATCTTCGACTGGCTCATACTCTTCTCTCACATTATCAACTCTAGCTGCGGCCTTTGCGTTACTACGTTGCTCCATCATATCCGCTTGAATGTCTGGAACAAGGAAAAATTCCCAGAGCATCTCGTGTGTGGCAAATGTTGTATGGGCGAGAAGAATCTTCAAGAACGCATCAAGTCGAATCTGTATGTCTCGCAAAACAGCTCTTGAAGGCTTCGAGGGTAGCTGAAATGGAGAACGCATGCCCGTGATAGACGGTAGCCACGAAGCGGGATTCTCGAGGGCCAATAGCTTTGCGAGATGCTCAAAGTCCAAGAGAGAGCGTCTACAGGTCGTAACCGTATAGCTTTGATTTGCTGAAGGTGCCCCTGATTTCACTACAAGTCTTATCGTCGCGTCTTCGACAAAGAATGATCGCACGACAGATGTAATTCGTCCATCAGCAGCAGGTTGGCCTGCAAACAGGATCAGATCGTCTATCCTATTACGGACTTCATCATCCTTGGCTAGTTCTACTGCAGTGAGTCCACGCAGTTCCTTGGCGAATAGGTCAACTCTAGGGTCTCCAAATAACGCGCGGACCATTTCTATTCTCCCATACTTGCTGGCCACCATCAAAGCAGTGAACTTCTTGTCGTTGACGGCGTTGACATCGGAGTCGCATTGAAGCAGGATCCTCAATGCAACTTGAGGATCGTTGACAATGTGGAGAAGAGTGTTGCCTTTTGCGTCTACATGATCATCGAGGTGTAACGGTTGGCCATCGCCTTGTGAGGTTGTGGCTGCAGCCAGGCCAGCTTCAACCATGGCCCTGTAGTTGCCATGGTCATAGGAACGACACATTGCGAATAGTGGGGTTTGGCCATTGCGATCTTTCTGCCGCCACGGTAGTAATCGACCAACGCGTGGGATTAGCATTGGTGCATTGAACAAATAATGTGCAACACTTCGACCTCTGATATCCTGCTTCGAAAGGTATTCGATGATGATAGCTTCAGATTCCGCGCGGTAGACGAAATCAAGGATGATGTCAATCAATTCGGTGTGCCCAAGCTGAACTGATGCGCTCAGAAGTGTGGTGCCTTCGTTATTGCGATCTTCAAGGATTGATTCTAGCGGGTAGTACTGGCGTAGGGACAGCAGGTACTTGAGTGATTCCGGTCGTTCATTTTGAACTGCCATCATGGGAACCGATTCGCCAAAAGAGTCTTCAGTCTGGGAAAGACGTTCAATGGAAGTGTCACCCTCGATGCCACTGCTCATGGAATCAATGGTGGTCGCTCGTGAGCGGAACGATACTTCCGATCCACTCGACATGCTTCTGGTGTCCATCGTAACAGTCTTCGGCCTTCGCAACGGTGGTAGTCGTTCTTCATCATCATCTTCATCATGATCTTCATGCTGATTCTGCCATGGAAACACATGAGTGAGGGTGGACGCTTGTGAGAATCTGCTCTTGCTTGATCTACTAGATCTGGTAGATCCCCGCCTGGAATGCCCATTGGACGAGCTCCAAGGAGTGTTCTCGTCGATAACTTCGTCGATGATTGCCTCGTCTTCCTCATCAGAGTGGTCCTGATCAGGTTCCATAATCTTCGACATCTCTTTGATCTCGCCTTTCTTGGTAGCTTGCCAAAGCTTGTTGTTTCGACGTGAAGCTTTGCGCAAGCCCCCTGAATCCCGAGCAAGATATGATAACACAGCTTCAAGGGTACTTAAAGCATAGCCCATCTCTCCACTCTCGATATCGTCGATGAATATGAAGTGGCGCATATATAATAATCGTGCCTGGAGATAGCGAACCTGTGATCTGATCACAACGATCAAAAGCAACGATACTAAAGTATCTGCATTGATGGTCAGGACTGGGCTGACTTTCTCGGGTTCTCCTGTCAAGCTTGCAATCGGAACATCAGTGAGTTGCGTGACAGTCTTCAGCGTGAGAAGCAGAATATCCATCATTTGTTGCGGACTTCCTGCCACACCAAGCTTTCGAAATTCTTCAACGGCACGACCAAGTCTCAATGTCAATTCGTGCTTCCCTCTTTGTCCGCCTTGAATAATGATGCCGACCTGTGAAATATCGACGAACTCCATTTGCCGTATCTTGAATTCCAGCTCGAGATCTTCTGCTCGCTTCATCGCACAAAGCCTTGGGTACAAAATGGTATCATGAACTTGCTCTGTCACATAGCGTTCAATAAGGCGTTCCACAACAGGTCCAGTAAGGTCGGTCGTTGCGCCTAATAACGACAGTTGTTGCTTATCAACCATCTGAAAAAGGTCGATTGCAGCTGTAACAGCGGTTTCCAAAGCGCCTCTCATAACATCTTCATCGTCTTCTGCAAAAAAGTTCTCAATCGCTAATCGATCGGTATGGCCATTTGGTCTGGTGAGAGGCGCAGAACTGGTACTGTTTGATCGGGCTTTCTTCATAGCTGTGGCTATAGGTCCGTCTGGTACTGGATCGGGTATGACTGAGGCAGAAGGTGGAGGTGGCAATGGTTTATCAAAGACTACCGTGAATTCCTTGAATAGCTTCTCTAATCCAGGTTGCATCTGTCTTGCGATCATTGGGAAGTTGTTCAGTAAGTCATTGAAGCTCTTGATGTCTTTCTTCTTAGGTAATATACTACTTGAACCAATCGATTCTCCCAAGGACGACGCTCGCGGAGGTAAAGGTGGTCGTCCGTTGACACTTGGCAAGGTTGCCGGAAGAATAGCTGGGGTGATTTTGACCTCGTCGTACACTCCTACTAAAGGCCTTGAAATATAGTATATGAGCCATTGCCGCGGTTCAAGAGAGTCCGGGTACCATATTGTATCTGTTAGCAGTTGTGCTTGATTGAGAGTCTTGAATCCTATGGATAATCAGCACTTCACTCCTCCCTAGCAGACCACCAGCCCACCTTTATTGCTATACACATAGGCATCCTTCACTACTACCGTTCTGCCATTGAGGGTCGTATATTGCTTGGCCTTCCCTCTATTCTCTCGCATATTCGGAGCATCCTTCCCTCCCGCCGTCGCAGCATGGCTCGCTGGTACTCGCAGAACATGGCTACCGAGGAATTCCTCAGATCCTGCGAGATCTGCGTAGGAGACGCCAGACTCACGATCGCGGGAGGTAAGGAGGACTTCAGTGGTTGGAACTAGAAGAATCTGGAGATGTTGTCAGACTTGATGTATGGTTCGGCGCAAGATGATAGCTTCGGGAGCTTACATGGTGATGAACGGGCGTACACTGCGACGGCAGAGCGCTCTTGAAGAAAGCACACAGGAATGGATTTAAGGGTTGCATTCATTCGACATTCGCGCGACGCATGAACAACTGTACGGCAGGACAACCTGCTACACAGAAGTCCAAGGATCTTGAGGTTGCCGGATATGTTGAGCGGGAAGAAGGGAAGCGGCCAGGGTCTGCGGGAGGCTCGATGGAATCAGATCATTGAATGTTGTTCTGCGAAGTTGGTGCTGTCGTGATCGCGAATTCGAGGATGGTGAAGCTGTGGGAAGACTCAGATATTGAAAGTCTGTCAATCGTATGGGCGCCTGAAGTACTCGTGGTCGTAATTCGTACCTGAACTGCTCGCAAGCGATGAGAAGCGCGAAAGCTGGTACTGGGCAATCAAAGTTGACTTTCCAGCATGTGAGTGGACTCTCCGCGAAGATAATCCCGGTTGCCTGGACGTCTTATCTTGGAAAAGCTGACTAAGATCCAAGCTTATCGTCAAATATGAGTGCATTCACTTCGACATTTTTTCATCAATGAGGCGGTCAGAAATGGATTTGCTGGCTTTGGATAATTTGACTAATGCAAGTGTTGCTCAGTTAGCCCCGTCCCGAGAAGTAGCAATCTGAATAGATGAAGTCGATCCCGAAGGCTATAAACACGGATGGCTTCCGAACCAGAATCCCAATGTTAACCGAAAGAGCCTCAGAACCTTGAATCAATTCCTATTGCATTTCTACAATAGCCATCTGATTATTTATATCTTTACCAAAGCTTGACTCTACTTTCCTGTTAATGTGAGACATATGTATGCAATAGCCGAACTCCAGGAGCAATAGCTGACTGCATATAGCCTCGACAGGAGCAAATTAGAAGCCTCTGATGCCATGCAGGACTGGATATGGTTCTAGCATGTATACATGCATATAACTGCATGGGTCGTCCATTGTTGAAGTTTTTCGTACCTCACACGATGTCTTCGTTTGCATCAAGCAGCCTTACATAAACTAGCAGCTTGCCGATATCTCAATGCCCAACTTTGACAGCATCATCACCCCACTATTGACATCTTCCCACTCTTATCAACACACACTGTTGTACAACGAGTCCCCGCTATTCAGGTACTAGATATAGGGAAGCTACCCCTCACTACCAACAAAATGTTCAAGCTCTTATCTCTTCGCCGCTTCACTGGTCTCGGTCTTCCATAGATAACTAGCTGCTATTTATCTTCTTTTCTTTGAATTTTTTTCTCTTACTCCTCCTTCCTTATTTCCTCTTCTTCTTGATCATCCAGAACCTCTAACGCAATGGCTAAGAAGCGTGTACTCGTTGGATATGGAATTGATATTGATGCCGTTGCTGGTTGGCTTGGAAGTTACGGTGGAGAGGACTCCTCCAGTGACATCAGTCGAGGTATATCTTCAATCCTACCCTGGTCTTTTGAATTCTACAATTTATTTATTCAAGCCCGCCACCTGAGATATTTCACACGCTCATTCAAGCTGCTCCCCATTCTTGCATAAGAACCTCAAGCACACACACCATGTCCAATTCCTGTCTAACACCCTCCAGGTCTCTTCGCAGGCACAATCGGCGTTCGCCGCCTCCTCAAACTCTTCGAAAAGAACAACATAAAAGGAACCTGGTTCATCCCGGGCCACTCCCTCGAAACCTTCCCGGAAGAATGCGTCCTGATCCGAGACAGCGGCCACGAAATTGGTCTGCACGGCTACTCGCACGAGAACCCCGCCGACATGACCCTCGAACAACAACGCGACGTACTAGACAAAACGTACAAAATGCTCACGGAGTTCTGCGGTAAGCCTCCAAGGGGCAGTGTTGCGCCGTGGTGGGAGACTAGTAAGGAGGGTGCGGAGTTGCTGTTGAGTTATGGGATTGAGTATGATCACTCGATGTCGCATGATGATGCTCAGATGTATTGGTTGAGGATCGGAGATGAGTGGACGAAGATTGATTATAAGAAGAAGGCGGAGGAGTGGATGAAACCATTGGTCAAGGGGAAGCCGACGGGACTTGTTGAGATTCCGGCGAGTTGGTATATTGATGATCTACCGCCTATGATGTTCATCAAGACGGCGCCGAATAGTCATGGATGGGTTGACCCGAAGGTTGTGGAGCAGCTTTGGATGGATCACTTTGATTATTTCTACGAGAACTATGATGAGTTTTGTTTCCCGATGACGATTCATCCAGATGTTTCTGGGAGACCGCATGTGTTGAAGATGCATCAGAGGTATGTGTTCTTTCAGTGAACAGGAAAACTCGACCTGACAGTTCATTTAGGATCATTGATCATATCAATAAGCACGAAGGCATTGAATGGGTTACTTTCGAGCAGATGACGGATGATTTCAAGAGTAAGAATACCCCCGAAGAAGGTGCTGTTATGCCAGCACCAATCGGAGCGATGTTGAAGAAGTAAAGTAAAGAACGGGAAGAAATGGAATAGACTTCAACTCATTGTATCATTTGCGTTCTTCTCTACTTCAGCATGTGGAACTATGTTCAGGATTTTGCTGCCTGTCTAGTGTCATTTCTTCATTTCAATGGAGCCAGTGCTCGAGTAAGAGCGTTGAGAAGTCTAAGCAACGTGGGGACTTTGAGATCCCTATACGAGCATCGTTTCTCTTTTTGTTGCACGTCGCACTTGGAGTGCGTGCCGTAAAGTTGGAGTACACACCGTAAATTTAAAGTACGCACTGCAAACTTGGAGTACGATTTGTAAACTCGGAGTACATACCGTAAACTTGGAGTACGTGCCATTTGGAGTACGCGCTGACCAATAGAGTGTTATCAGAATCCTGGGAGATAGTTCTCTGATTTGTACAGATCACAAGGAGAGTTCCACCAAAACCTCCTCCTATTGCTAGATCTAAAAGATCCCCTGAAATATGGAGGATTCTTTTCCTGGAACAAGATCTATACCCCCACAATGGAAAAATCACCCAAGCCCACTGTTAGATTGTTGCGAATCAGATGCCTTTGTAGTCGCCAGCCAATGGCTGTCGTACTCACTAGCCAATCACTCGCGTATGGTCGGGAACTTTTACAGCCCAGAGAGCTATGGATAAGGGCTCCATTGGACAATTCTTGCTTTGAAGCCTGTCTCTGATTTGTTGCAGATAGCACTTAAAGAACTCCATTGGAGCTTTACTTACGCTCTCTGGAGATCACGTTGCGTGGAAGAGGTGCCAGAGAGCTCTGGACTAGTCTAAGAAGGGTCTGTACAAGATCTGGAATGCTGGGAACAATCTGGCAGAGCTCTTTTGGCCGATACGTCTGCTCTATCCAGAGATCTGAAGCTGCCAGGAAAAGTCTGCGTTTGGGTCTGCGAGTATTGCGCTGACAGCGCGATTTGCGCGATTTGCGCGAATCGCGCTACTCGCGCATATTGCGAGCGAGGTGACTTCAACACCCTTTTCGACCACCGTTCTGCTGTATCTCAGGACTTAGCAGTAGGAGTAGGTTTTTTCCGCGGTCTACCATCCGAGACAGGTGCATGATGGGTATGTTTTCTTCCCAGGGACGGGATGAAAGCTCTATCACTCTGGACAAGTATTATACTTTAATGGTGAGTTCCCATCTTAGTTTTGTTGCATTTCGTATTTTTGCTTGATCGTGGCCCACGATCGTCCGTAGATGATGATGATAGATGATATGATCATCTAGTAATCTGGTAGAAGAGAACGCTTCAGATCAGTCCAGAGATGATATGATGGCCTCATATTACCTTTCTAAAGATTTATAGATAGTCTCAATCCAGGGAACTCCGTTGCTGTCGACTCTCTGTTTTGTGATCCAGATCTCGAGAAACTCTGGAAAGCCCAACACAGATCTCGTATCCTAATCCAATACTACTATTTCTCTCACTGTACGATGTTTCGACATTGTCAAACATCACATTCTGAAAACTCAACTGGAGCTTTTTTTCGAGCCAAGAATTCAGTCGAAGGTTTCTATCATATCAAAAAGTCAGTGCTCTGACATGATTCAAAACAGAGAGAGTCCAGAGGCAGTTTGATGAAAACGACCCAGTCGGATTCGTGGCACACCGTCCCAAGCAGGCTTCATTAGAACTCGATGATCTATCTTAGAGTTGGACATCTCGTCTGTTAATCCCTTGAATGGCCAAGAAGGATATCACAAGAGACCTCTGGAACAGTTCAGCATATCTTACTCTATGAATGGCACGTGGACCTCCATCACGGCCATGGTAGCAAACTAATAGGGGCTACCTACCTTCTTGTGATCTTGATCCCAGGAACTCTGGCTTTCCAGAATAATCCACAGACGATCTGATTGCCCATCTACTGCGGAAGAGTAAGTATATCAGCGTTTGCTGCATATCGCACTTGGACGGATTCTTTACCTCCCCTCTACTTGATCTAGAGCAGCAAAAATCCCTCAAATCAGTGTTTGAATAAAGATACAGGTCTCGGAAAGCCTCCCTTTGTGTGATCTAGATCAACAGAAAATCCAAAGCATTTCGTATAAGCACTAGTAATACAACTCTATCAGAAGGCCGGCGAAAAGCAGATGTGAAACTGCGATATGCAACGAACTATTTTCCTTGGCTCTTATTGTACGAGCTACAAGACGAGTAAAATAACGTACGTAGTCGATGGACAATAAGAACAGCCAAAGACGTCATGAAAGATGGAACAAAGTGCTTCATGATGCAACCATTCGGATTGCGATGTGCAACAAAAGACAGGCAAGTTAATTCAATGCACATCGCAGACCCACTCCGGCTTTCCTCCGGAGCTGTATTACTATAAAGGGCTTCTCAAAACCTTCAACACTCAAGCTTCGCTATCCACTCCTCCATTGCCATTACTACCCACATCCTCCAGCATAGAAGGTACATAGGATCAGAAAACCGTAAACCCTTCCTCATAACCATCCCAACATTTCCCTACCTATTCAAACCTCAGCACCCTCCCCTCACTCACCCATCTTTTGTTGCACATCGCAATTTTTCAACTTTCCCTCCTGGTCTACCCACCTCTCATTGGCTACCCACAACCAAAGTCATATAGTGTTAAATAAGCGGATTTTCTTTCGAACGTTGTGATGGAGCACTGACGAGTCCCCCTGATCAAGGTTTAAAGTTCTCATCCATCACGAGGAGGTTAGTTCGCGGCTAACGTTCTGAGATCGATGCGTGGGGTAATTTCTTTTGTCCTGGGTTCTTATGCAGTTATAGGTAGCTTGACATGATGGTATTCTTCTTTTTGAGGGAATCGGTGGAATCCTTTTTTTTTTCTTGGATATTTTTCTTTGCTTGATAGAGGGTAAGCAAGGAAGCGAGTCCCTATTGTCCAAAGTCAGGATTTGACTTCGGACTTGGTTGAATGTTGGACAGAAAAGGCGGTGTCTGGTGTCGGGTGTCGCTTGAGAAGCGGGCAAAGCAAACGGCGGGTTGCGATGTGCAACAAATCTAAGCTACAGCTAATGCTTCTCATTCTAAGAAGACACATGTGCAGCACGACGCGGGTGAGCCCGACCAAGGAAAATCATACAATACAGGATGGCTCCAAGAACACTGAATGCGATTGCAAAATGATCGTAAAACAAAGGACTCGAGCAGCAAAACATTGAAAATAGCATCGCCGAGCTAAGAAATATAGGTAGAAACTGTTAATCTCAAGCAAATGACTTGGAATGTCAACCGATTCTTGTTGGTTCGAGATATCGAGTAGACTTCAAGGTTGAAAACAATGGCAGAGGAACGTTACATCAGTCAAGCTTCAAGGAAGAAGTGAGGCTGGGAATCTGTAGTAGAGGTCACGGTGAATTAGTACACGCACAGATGATGATGTTGCAATTATTATTCATTTCGTGATATTGACTCTCTATCCCTTGGCAGCACCGGCCTTAATGAGTAAGATGTCTCCCTGCGACTTGTTAGTATGGTCTCAAAAATTTCCAGACAACGAAGCCCGTGTTGGAAGACATCACTGATTCCGGAGAGCAAGATAAATAATATTTGACTTACATCTTCCACAACGTAATCCTTGCCCTTGGTCAAGATCTTGCCCTTAGCTTTTACTTCGGCCTCATCACCAAGCTCCTTCAGCACCGAGTAGTTGTATACAATAGCTTGGATGAAGGTCTTTTCGAAATCACCATGAATAACACCAGCTGCTTGTGGAGCCTTCGTGCCATTTCTGATAGTCCATTGTCGGACTTCATCAGTACCGGTTGTGAAGAAGCTGCCCAAGTTGAGAACCTTGCGCATGGTGGTGATGATCTTAGGTAAAGCTGAATCGACACCAAGTTCCTTAAGTTCCTTCTTGACCTCCTCCTCGGTCTCGAAGCGGGTTAGACGTTCTTCTAGACAGATGGAGATGGGTAGAATTGGGTCGCCAGCGGCGTTGTCCTTGATCCACTCCATGACCTTGCCGAGATGCTTGTTCTTCTTTCGGATATAATCTTTCTCTGAGAGGTTGATAAGGTAGACGACTGGCTTGGCTGTCAAGAGGAACAAGGGGTTGATGAACTCGACCTATGAGCACATGACATTAGCATCTGCTTGTAACGAGTTCTCAAGTAAGAATGGTTATGTTAATTTAGTCAGATCGGGTTTCGTATCTCATAATGCTCTCTGCGTTTATTGTGAGGCATTCGACGAGCTGGGATTATCAGGCCTCGTGGCCTTTTGTCATCATGAAAAGGGTGTTGGTGAAAGAAAAAAAGTGTACATACCTCCTTGGGACTCCAGTCACCTTTTCGGACATCACCACCGCCTTGAAGCAGAGCAAGAACTTTCTCAATGCAAGCTTCTTCCTCCTTTAGCTTCTTCATCTCAAGACTTTGACCACCTCTTCGAGTAAGCTTTCTTGAAGCCTCAAGAGCCTTCTCAGTAAACTCGATATCCTTGATTCGCAATTCCTCGCTGATGATTTGCAAATCTCGGACTGGGTCAACATCTCCTTCAATGTGGATAATCTCAGCATCGTCGAAGCATCGCACGACTTGAAAGATAGCATCGACTGCGCGAATGTGGGACAAGAATGCGTTCCCAAGACCAGCACCAGTAGAAGCACCTCGAGTCAGGCCAGCAATATCATAGATGGTGAGATGTGCAGGGACTCGAGATTTTGGGTTGTATTTTTCGCAGAGCCAGTCGTATCTCTCGTCAGGAACGATGACTCGAGACTCTTCAGGATCGATAGTAGCGAAGGGAAAGTTCTATCGCAGGTTAGACATTGTATACTCGAGATTGGAATTTTTGACTCACGGCAGGGTTACCAAGATGGCATTTTGTGATAGCCTGGAAGAGTGTTGATTTACCAACGTTTGCAAGACCGACCTGAAAAGCGTCAATAAAAATTTGCACAAAATGGCGGGAGAGCATACAATTCCACTCTTGAGGTTATTGCCCGGCCTGCCCAGCAGGATCTTCTCCTCCTTGACTGCTTTCTTGGGACCCATCTTCTTCCTTTTTGCGTAGGAGCGTGTTGTAGTAATGGCAACCGTGCACTTAAGCAGGCTCTGATTTTGGGTCGCAGTTCTTGCTGCTGACCTTTGTAAAGTGAGGGAAAATGAAGAGAAGATGCGCGGGGCACCGAGGGGGAACGACGTGGTGGACAGCCTTGTGCGTGAGAGAGTGTTAAAGCTCTCTCTGCGTGCGACGACGAATCATTGTAGGGCTTCGACGGCGGGTGAATTCCAGCGCTGCAAAATTTCGAGAACAGTGGGAGCCAGCACGTGATCGTCTGAAGGTCGGCCTCAGATTCGCCGATGCCCCACTTAATGTCTGATAGGCATAGCCGTCATTTAAGGCAAGAGAGTCCGACAGAGTCTGGGCATCTGAGGTGAGGAGCAGCTACAATGTCCTCGAACCGATAGACCATTGAGTGCGGAAGCTTCATTGCCTGAACCCAAACATTATTTCTAACCAAATCATCCAAATGGCTTCAAAAAAGAACAACAGCAGAAGCTCAAGAGCCAACCACAGGTCCACGCTCTCTCTTCAGAAGACTGAGATAATCATCAATGTCTATGATCTGCTGCCTGTACGTACAAGATACGCATCTACTATGATACCTTTCAGATCAATCATGGAGAGAACTTATCACTGACATTTATGTATAATAGCCCGGGCGACTATCCTCAATACTATGGACTGTTGGTACTTCACTTCTACATTCTGGCGTGGTTATCAACAATCGAGAATATGCCTACGGAGGACATGACAAGCGTGGTATGACTGGAGTATACTTCACACCTCCCAAGACAGTTCCTCCAGGAGGGACTTTCAGATGCGAAATTCTGCACGGCTTTACTGTTTCGCCTCAAGCCGAAATCGATGCTATTGTCAAAGAAGCTTCAGATGCCTTCCAAGGCACATCCTATAATCTTCTTACCAAGAATTGCAACCACTTCACAGCATATCTGTGCGAGAAGCTCACAGGAAGAGCTGGTCCGTCATGGTTGAATAGAGCTGCAAGTATTGGTGTGGCCTTGCCTTGCGTGGTACCCAAAGAGTGGATTGCGCCTCCAGACTTTGAGACAGCAGATGGAGAGTTGGTAGAGGAGGATGATGATGATGTGTCTCATGAACGGTCTAGGATGCTAAGCAACATGGACTCAAGTCATCAAAGACGTAGCATAGATTACTCCGAGGACGCTTGGGACAGTGAGGAAGAGCGACGACAAGGTGGAACTGGCAAAGGGAAAGGCAAAGAACCGGTGAGGGATACGTCGGGCAGAGTTGTTCCGCCAGCGGAGAGAGCACCAACGAAAAAGGGCAAATCATGCGATTGCCCGTCCTGAAGTTTGACAAAGCATTTCTAGCGGGTTGGGTAGCATTATGCTTCATGGCGTTGAGGTCTTTGGATGATACCATACGGAACTCCATATTATTGTACAGATTGATACAAAGTTTACACAACGTGCAGTGATGCGTCTCTTATATCCCCACAACCATCTAACCCAGACGTCTAGGTTTCTTGCTCCTCGTGCCACCAAACTTCAACCTCGTAGCATCCGAAACCTTGATGACCTTCCCTCTCAAGAACCTACCCTCCGTTCCAAGTAAGGCCTTTGTAACAGCCTCTCTTCCAGCCCCAAATCCTCTCAAATAAACCTCCAAGTCCCCAATCCAAGCATTCATGCCAGACTCCTGCATCCGCCCCATAACGTACGACGCCAATTGGAAAGCAGAATCGTAGTGTTTGCGTCCCGACTTCCGGAATCCCAAATTCCCAGCCGCCAACGACAATGCCACCGTACGGTTGTTGTGTGGTGCCTTGGGATATCTCCTGCCAGTCTGTGGATGTATCCATCCTGGCGGGCGTACAACGGTGATATGGACATTGTGCCTGGTTGCATAGATATGTAGCTGCCAGCTCTTCTCCAACCCGGGCTCAGAATGATCTAACAAATTACCACTGCTACCATCTGATGCGAATCGTGTGTCGATTTGTTGTCGTTGTTTGCGAGAGGCTTGATTTGGAGCGAAGACGCTGCCTTGTAAGAGTTCCGCCAATGCACTCATGCCTGAAGTTTCAGATCTGGGATTCATGGATGGGGAGACTGGGGCTTGCTGTGCAGGTTGGCTTCTTGACTTGAATGCTGAGTTTGAATATGGGACAGTCGCTGGCTTCGAGATCTCATCATCTGCTCTTCTTCGGGGTGTAGTGGAGAATAATCGTAGACATCGTGTAGGTAATTTGTAGCTTGGTGTAAGGTCCGAAAGGAAGGTGAGAGGCGATTGAGCCAACAGGCGCCTTGGAGCTGTTCGACTCATGGCTTTGCTGTTGTCTGGCCCTCTATTCTCAAAGTTTGGATGGATGTCGAAAAGTTGTCGCCAAGCCCACGGAGTTTGCCGGGACCCTTGTATTTTCCGATCGGCGAAAATGTTCAAAGAATCCGCTGGATTTTTACACACTTGGGCCCAATCTCCTGTCAACAAGCCTTTTCTCTTGTTTGTTGACACACTCTTTGAATACTGGGAGAATAGTGCAGAGTGTAGAAATGAGCGGTCTACGAAATGCAGCAACGAGAACATCCCTTAACGGGCAGTTCACCCCGATCTTGAGGCCTTCATTGCGGACGGCAGTCTACAGACAATTATTTCAGCATATCAAAGCCTCGAATCTCCACTCCTTTTCAATCCATTCCTCAAAGTCTACATCTTTATTACGGCCAGCAGCGTTGCGATCACAGTTTCTGCCACAAGAAGTTAAAACAGGCTTTGGACCTGCCTCTGCCAGAAGCTTTCATCAAGGGTCACGGCTAGGACAAGAGAAAGAAGCCAAGTCTGCGCCGAAGGAAGAGACTGCTACCGAAGAAGACGCTGCGAAGAAAGCTTCAAGCGAGAACGCAGACTCCGCCACTGGGGAAGAGAAAGCCAAGGAAGAAAACACAGGCGAAGGGGAGGGCGAGGGCAAGAAGAAAGAAGAGAAGGAAGCGCCACCTCCCCCACCGCCTCATGGAGACAAATCCCCATGGCAAGTTTTCACTGAGACTCTGCAGACCGAATTCAAGGCCTCCAAAGAATGGAACGAGTCCACCAAAGCTCTTGCTGCTGGAGCTCAGCAGTTCACCGAGAACGAGTCTGTACGACGAGCAAGAGAGGCATATGAGAGGTCAACAGGGGCAGTATCATCTACCACTGCGAAAGTTCTGAAAAATACCGCTGGTGCTGTTGGCAAAGGTGCTGCTTGGACTTGGGAGACACCTGTAGTGAAGGCCGCGAGAACGACTGTCAATGCGACTGCGAGTGTGATTGAGAAGGGCACGCGACCAATCCGAGAGACAGAAGCGTATAAAAATGTCAAGAACGTTATCGATGATGGCAGTAGCTCAAGATACGGAGGTTGGGTCGAGAAGGAGGAGCGCAGAAAGAAGAGGGAGCTTTGGGAGAAAGAGGAAGCAGAGAGACTGGGAACAGGCGGCAAGCGGGCTGAAGTCGCACAAGAAGATCCGGAGTAAGCATTCATCGTTGTTTTCATCGAAAATATCACTAAATTTAGCAGTGCCGGTACAAATGTTACTCTCCATAAAGATGCCGCTTGGAAGGAATCATGGCGAGACTTCCGCGACTCTAACAAGCTTATGCAATCCCTCTTCTCTCTCAAGTCGAGCTACAACGAATCGGAAAACCCGTTGATCTCCACAGCACGAAGCATCTCCGATCGCGTTGCTGGCTTCTTCGCAGAGAACGAGACAGCAATGGTTATCAAGAAATTCAGAGAGATGGACCCATCTTTTCAAATGGAACCATTTCTCCGGGAAATGCGCGAATACATCCTCCCCGAAGTTCTTGACGCTTATGTAAAGGGTGATACCGAAACCTTAAAGCTTTGGCTCTCAGCTGCTCAATTCCAGGTTTACGATGCTCTGACCAAGCAATACACTACAGCTGGTTTGAAATCAGATGGGCGAATTCTTGACATTAGACATGTCGATGTCTTGTCAGCGCGTATCCTAGAGCCCGGAGACATTCCAGTGTTTATTGTAACATGCAGAACACAAGAGGTACATGTCTACAGGAACGCGAAGACCAACGAATTGGCCGCTGGTATGGAAGATAGGGTTCAACTGGTCACATATGCCATTGGCGTCACGAGAGTGCCAGAAGATGTCAACAACCCCGACACAAGAGGATGGCGACTTATCGAGTTGCAAAAGAGTGGAAGGGATTACATATGATCTCACTACCACACTTAAAAGCACAAGGACCTAATGAGAAGGTACAGCAAGGATTGATTCAGCATAGCGTTGAAAATACGGCAGTGAGGGCTAATTGTATGTGTATATGGCGCACGGTGTTTTGATTCGAGGTTCATGAGGTCATCTTGACCCTGGATATGGGATTGCCCGACACTGGAACTGTTTATTGATCAGATCAGAAGATCTTTTGTATGCTATGGGATGAGATCCTGCACGCCACTCTTCTGACGCCACTCTACTAAAGTACCTACGGGCTCTGAAGTGAGCCGAAAATAAATGTATCATATTGTAATGACTGTGCTCTCTTCTCATCTCAGAGTATGTGATTATCAAGATTATGTATCTTGTGCCTGAACTTGCCGTAGTGCTAAATCCGGTCCCACCATAGTAATATCCCACGGCACACAACCTTAATTGTGATATTGACCAAGCTCGCACCGCAGACTATAAAGTATCTCGAAATCTTTTGGAATTTATGAATAGTATCTACATACATGTGTTTGCAGTTTGCAACTCCCTCGAAATCCCGAAAAACTGCAAGTGAAAATCAAGCGAGAACCCCTTTTCCTCCATTTTGCAAGAAGAACACCAACCCTTAACACCATTAACAACAATTGAAAAGCCAGAAATACAAAAACATGAGAAATTATTCCACGATCTTCTAAGCCCTGACTCACCGTCCTCATGTCCATCAACAAGCCCTTTGAATCTAACCTTCTACGTACCTAACCGGCCCCCGAACCAGAGTTGAAAAAGGGATATACGCTCTAATTTCAAGGGCACACAGTCGAAATCAAAACAATACCGTGTCAACAGAAACGGATAGAACTCACGAGTCAGAAGCAGGGTATAACTGCCCACACATCCTCCCCCAACATCGACCTTTTTTCTTCACCCACACACACATACATTTTACAATTGCATACACAACATCCAAATTCATACAACAAACACAATACAACTCACAACACACGCAAAACCCGGCAAAATAACATATTTTCAGCAATTCGACAAATAATCGAAGGAGTAAGTTTTTTCTATCTACCTTATTGGCCCTGTTAACATCTGGACTTTAGTTTACGCACACAAAAGTTGTCAAAAGCAAAAATATCTACCACAATCACAACTCAATCAACTTTCGACCAAGATTGCAATACTTTTGCATTCAACTCAACACGAGTGAGTCCATTGTCCCATTTCTTAGCTAAAATTAACATAAACACAGATATTCGACAAGAGAATCAGAACCGCACACAACTATTTCGCCCAAAACTCACCAAAATCTTAAGATTTCTGCTTTTAAGTCGACAATAGTATGATCTCTTCTCTGTCTCAATGAACGTAACTGATATTGATAGAACAAAATCTCCAAGAGGACTAGAAACTCGAGACTATTTCGCCAAAATCCACCAAAATTGTAACATTTCGGCATTTGAATCGACAACCGTAAGATTTCTTCTCTATCCCAAAGAAGATAGCTAATATGGACAGAACAAAAATCGTCAACAGGAGCATAAGCTCAGAACTATCTCACCAAAACCTCAACATTTCGGGAAAAGAATCTCAAAGGTATCAATCCACCATGGATCAACTCAACCATACCGAAGGCGCCACTATGGACCAAACCACGGCCCCCATGTGGACAACCTCCATCTTCACGAGACCATGCAAGGTCGCACCACCAACCTTCACACCCTATCCCAAGAAGGACTGTGAACTCCTTGTCAAACTCTGGACAGAGAACAAACTCCCAATCGGCGCCCCAATAGAGATATACGGCGGCACATCATACATCCCATACCACCGACAACTCAAGGCCGGAAAACACGCCTTCGAATACCACCCGCTCACCAAAGAATACACCTACAAAGGCAAACGCCCCGCAGAGTACGCCGACCAAAAAACAGAACGCCTCACGGACCTACTCGCCGACTACGCTGTTCATCTCCTTGACACCATCGCCGCCGGCATCACCAGGTATCAAAAAAGCGACCAACCAAGAATTCACATCCGACAACTTCTCGGAACGAGTCCCGAACAGGCTATTGCGAAGATGCAAGACCTTTCAAGAAGAATTTCCAAGCATCGAAAGATCTTCGCCGGAATATTGGCTCCTATGGAGGAATGTCTCAAGATCTGGTGCAAAATGCGCTGCCAACTCAACGAAGAGCCGATTTTCGACCTTAGCGAAAATGTAGTTGAGATGATGGAACTGTTGAGAAATGAGGAGAATATGGATAAAAGACAAAGACAGTATTGGGAGCTTATGCTCCACACTCATACCAGCAAAAGACTTGAGGCTCTGCTGGCTATGCCGAGAGATCAGTTTGTTGGTGGGCAGAGGTCGGATGAGGAGATTGCATGGTTCCTGTTGAAGAACAAGGGCGACTATAAGGATATCTTCATCTACTATCTCAACGCAGACGAAGGAAAGACCGCCGCAGCAAACACGACCGAAGACAACCACGATGCCAGGCTTGCCGCCGAAGATGGATTCGACGTCGTCATGGATGATATCCCGAAGAACGACACAGAAGGCGAAATCTTGGCTCTTCGAGCATATGCCGAACAGGCTGCCGTCATACTGCAGTATAACTTCAACGACTGCAGAGAAGGAGACGCCTACTACATCGACGTGTTGTTCTTCTACAGATGGGTGGAGAACATCATTGGCGCCACCGACGAGGAGCTGGCTGTGTATCTGAAAGCGCAAGAAGTTGGCGATTTCTACCTCTCGGCTTGGGTCAACGCAGCATTCAACCTTGATACTCCGACCTGGCAGTTATTGACGATAAAGAGCCAGGAGTTGAACGTGGACACGGCATTCTACGGGCTCCCAAAACGACTTGGCCTCCATGGACCACCAGCACTTGGTCGAGTCCGTCGTCTGGAAATCGGCAACGAACGAGGAATCAAAAATGGACGGGAACGAAGGAGACGACAACGTGCCATGGGTGTCGGACAAGCACGAATCAATCGAACACAGGCAGAGAATCAAAACCCGCCTCGAACACGAAGCACCACGACAGGAGAAAATCAACAACGGACGCAAACGGCAACCAGAAATACGACAATAAACCGAGAAGAAGAATTCGATTGGGGCCCAGTGCAAGAGTTCCACTTGTAGGACGCTTCAGATGAAGTGGGCAATTGGTATGAGGAGGGAAATGGAAAGGCAAATGTATTCCGAACTTTTGTATCAAGGGATGTGAGACGGAAAATTGACGGGAAGCATCGGAGAGCGAATGTTGGAGCAACAATAAAAACAATGAACAACAATCATCGACCATCAAATGCCTCTTGAAGTGTGTGCATGGTGTAATGTGAAATTCCTATTCAATGCTCTGTGACATGTGCATGGGATGAGAGATACTGAGATGCTTCCAACGTAAATTGCACATATCTGATTCGCTGACTTTTATTCGACAGAGAGATCCTCAGGAACCAGGCATTATATACTCATTTGAGTCCTTCGATGTGAGAAGAGGTGAGAAACATCATATATGCCTCAGGAAAAGGAGCATTTCTTTGCTAAGGCGTCCTTCCTCTTCTCTTCTGTGGTGAAACGAGCAGAGGAAATTATGACATTGAAACATATACTGCAGTAGAATGAATGGAACTTGACGAAGAGAGGTTGGAGACAAGACAATCCGAATGGATCTTTCCCTACAAAGAAATATACATGTACTTCGTCCACTAGCTTCTGATTCAAATTCTCTCAGGGTAGCTTGACCTCAGAATCTAAAATTCTCAGAATACCGAGTCTAATGTCAAAGATTGAACACAGCTTTTCATACAAGGCTGTTGACACAGCACTTGCTGCAAACACCGGTTCAAAGAAGACAAGACCAAGGAAAGAACCTACAAAATCCTGCAGGTGAAGCAATCCGGAACGGAGCTTCTTTTCCCCGAAGTCACGTTTTAGACTACCCGCTAACGATCTGCAACCCCACGTTGTTTCTCTTCGACATTCTTTCCGCTTCGTCTCCTCCACGACATCCAGTACATTTACTATTCGTATCTGTCCTCAACTCCTCATTCATTCTTACATTCGGAGACCTTTCCGTGGCTATCTCTCCGTCCTTTCACTGTCTCTGACAATCACACCTCACCCATCAATCAAGATGGCGACCACGAAACAGCGCCTCGCCCTCTCCATAATCGACTACCTAACCACCTCCCTCACCGATGGAACCCTCACCTCCGAAGAGCGTGAAAACATCGAAGTAGCAAGCTCCTGCATCGCCGACGCCTTCAAAGTAGACCCCACGGACTCCACCCCGAAAGACTCCCAAACCCTCCTCCAAATCTACTCCGTCTACGAGAAGTTAAAAGGCAAGGCGCCAGCCACTCCCGCTGCCGCCTCTACCTCGACAGCAGAAGCAAAGATAGAGCCCACCGAAACGCAAAAGAAAGAAGCCGAATCCCTAAAACAAAAAGGCAACGCAGCAATGGCCAAGAAAGACTACCCCTCCGCCATTGACCTTTACTCCCAAGCCCTGTCCCTCGTCCCCGGGAACCCCATTTTCCTCTCCAACCGCGCCGCCGCCTACTCGGCGTCCAAGGACCACGAGTCTGCACGCGCTGATGCAGAAGCTGCCGTTGAAGCAGACCCGAAATACACGAAAGCCTGGTCACGGCTCGGACTCGCACGGTTCGCGCTGGGCGACGCGAAAGGTAGCATGGAAGCTTACAGCAAGGGAATCGAGTACGAAGGCAACGGCGGCAGCGACGCAATGAAGAAGGGCTTCGAGACAGCCAAGAAAGCCGTCGCCGCGCAAGAAGACGGCGACGACGAATCCGACGAGGAGGTTGCTTCTCGCGGCGGACCAGCAGGTGGTGCGGGCGGAATGCCCGATCTCTCGTCTCTGGCCGGCATGTTTGGCGGCAGGGGAGCAGGCGGTGCGGGCGGGGGAGGGATGCCGGATTTCAGTGCGATTATGCAGAATCCGATGTTTGCGAGCATGGCGCAGAATCTGATGAGTAACCCCGAGGCGATGAATAATATCATGAGCAACCCGCGCTTGAGGGAGATGGCGAACCAGTTTGGTGGCGGTGGTGGTGGAGGAGCTGGTGGTGCCGGGGGAGCCCCCGATCTCGCGAGTTTGATGTCTGATCCTAGTATTGCCGAGATGTGAGCCCCCCTTTCTTCCCTCTCTTGCCATCATACTAATCATTATACCCAGGGCGCGAAACATGATGGGGGGCGCAGGACGAGGAGCTGGGCGCGGAGCAGGCAATTGAACAATTAACCAATCAATCAATTAACCAACCACTTTGCTATCGTACCGTAGGATAGATACCGTCATCGCACTTTTCATAGCGCCGCAGGATAGATTCAGGGAAGGATAATAATGCATGCACCGATTTCTCTCTCTTGCTTCTACTTTCCACTATGCCGATATTGTGAAGAAGAGATCTTATTTAAATGTTGTTTTGTTGAATATTCAAATCGATGTACCAGCCAATGGAGGACTAGTTTTCTCCGCAAAGTTGTCCGTCACTCCCCTCTCACTTCCTGGTTTCAATTGAACCTACCCCCACCGTGCATTTTCATCCCATCTTCCCTCCACCCCCTAAAACGTAAATAACCCTTTCCCACACTCCCACACTCCCACTCAACCTCATAACCCTCCTCCAATTCTCAACACTTCACAACCCCTTCACCCTCGCTGTTCATCAATCAATCAAACAAAGATCTGATACGCAGCAATTCCAACTCCTTACCATATCGAAATATTACAGTCATATACCTACCTCTTTTCCTAACGAGCAATCTAGTTCCACTCCGGCTTGATCAAAGGGACATGGTCATGATGGGGCACCAACCCCTACTTCATATTGACTATTACTGATTTTGTATGAGATTGACTTTGGATGGGCAAATGTGGTAGGTAATTGAACTGTTATGCTGGGAAACACAATTGTAGAAAGTTTGGTACTTGTTTGTGACTTGAAATCTCTTCTATTTTCGAAGCATTTTTCGCGTTTCGCGGGTTTCAAGCGATTTGCGCATATTCCGCAACTACGGCTTCACCTCAAGACAAATTTTCACTTGGTTCCAGGCATCTAATGAGAAAACAGTGTGTATTTGAATACCTACACTCTTGAGTCCCCCCAAGACAATCTATCAATACAACCAATTGATATTCTCTCAACGTGAGAACAATTTTTCAGACTTGAGTCCCTTGAAAACATCTAGTAATGCATATGTATGCTCCTTCAACGACGTGGGCCGCCAAATTCTATCAATGCGAAAACGAAACCTATATTTTGCCCTTGCACCCAGTTCGTGACAAGGAGAGTGATTTGTGACAGAAAGAAAAGGACATAATTGTGTGTTGTGAAATTAATGAGGTAACGTAATTGTAGAGTGGCAAAGACTGTGACAGTGCCAGAATAATCGTAACATCATTCGAATATAGATGGACCTTCCAAATTGTTAGATTGAGAGACACTGATAGAAGCAAAGCACATACCAGGAATCAATAACCGGAGCCGAAAGAACTTCAAGAGCTTGAACCAGTACCATCGAGGTGAGAGGGTGCAAATGTGACTCTCGGAGTTGTAGTGCTTTTTTGGGGTACCCCGGCAGCAGGAGACGGAACTGGAGGAGCTGGATGACCATGGATTTCGTCTGTGGATGCTTCACCAGAAGCACCTGTGGATGTGTTGCCAGAACCTCCGCTGGTATTAGTCCTCAATCGCCAGTGACGGTGGTGGCGACGTCGATGGCCGCGGGCTTCCGAAGTCGTTGGAGGATCGTTTGGGGCAGAGACGCGACGTCGTTGCTACGGCTGGTGAGAACTGTATTGCTAGGAGGGGAGATGACATACTATTGCAGAACCCTGGAAAGCCTGTCCCTCTCCAGAGCTAACAGCGGTGACATCCGAATCTTGCTGGCCATCGGTCTGATCGATACCACGATTGGACGGGTCGCTTCTAGACAAATGTCTCTTGTAACGACTAGGGCGCTTTGGCTTTGATTTATCGTTGGTAGACAGATCACCCTCGGTTAGTTGATCATTCGAAGGGCCTGCAGATGATTCGGCTCCGGTCGAAGAGAGGGCATCTGACAGAGTCAGAATTGGTTCCGCTCTGGATAGTTTAGCTACTTACCACCTCCAAGCTTTGCAATCTTCTTCCCGGCCTTCTTAGCAAGACTCGCAGACTTCTTCTCATCCCTTTCCTGCTTCTTTTGAGCCTTGGCGGCTTCTTTCGCGGCCTCTTTAGTGGTTGTCTTCGTGAGAGAATCTGTTGGTGTGCCGTTCGAGAAACTTGGAATGAATTCAGGGGCATCTGGCTTGAGCTTCGAGCCCTGGATCAGGTTAGACGCAATATATATGAAATAATGAAGAAGTTCGGAAGTCACTGGCACCCGTCACAAGATATTGATGTAAAGACTTCCACACTGTGGTCATAGAATGAAGACATTCATAGTATCCAAGCACTCAGAAACTACTCCCCCATCCTGGCGGACTTGCCAGCAGATGTCTCGGACGGTCAATGTGGACCCCTCGTAGGTCTCCACATTGATATCTAACACGAGCGAGGAGGTTATTCGAATGTCAAACTTACCTCACGCTTGTGACCACTGCATTCTGCCTTCTTACCATCCTTCTTTCCAGTGTTGTCCTCGCCCGGTTGTTGATCATGTGGTATCGTCTTCAGAACCTTTGCAAGCTCTTTGGTTTGGCGTTGTGGAGTGAGATCATTGACGAGAGTGGCATCTCGCTTCTTGGGACTGGATGATCTCGAGCGATCAGCGGTAGGTGAAGGCTTGACGAAGATCTGCTTGGACCAAAGATCATGGTATTTGCCACCAGAGTGGAGAAGCTCATCATGAGTGCCCTTTTCGACGATTTCGCCGTTCATGACAACAATGATGTGGTCGGCTTTCATGATAGTGGAGAGTCGATGGCTAGAGAAGGTTAGAAATGATCGAGTAGGGTTAATAGGATCAAACTTACGCTACAATGAAAGTAGTGCGGTCCTTGCAAAGAGTCTTGAAACCTTCTTGAATTAGTTGTTCAGTCTCGGTATCAACAGCGCTTGTAGCTTCATCGAGAAGAATAATCTCAGGCTGCTTCAAGATGGCACGAGCGATGGCGACACGCTGCTTTTCGCCTCCAGACAATTTCCTATTTTCGGTCAGTTTAACTTTCCAAAATTCTTGAAAAGATCACTTACACGCCACGATCGCCGACTTTGGAATTGTAGCCTGGAATCGCCAAGTCAGTAAATAAACTGTGTCACCTAGACAGTGAACGTACCATCTGGGAAAGACATGATCTTGTCATGAATAGCAGTAGCCTTGCAAGCCTCGTACACTTCCTTGTCGGTAGCAGTAAGTCTTGCATATCGAAGGTTGTTCATGATGGAGTCGTTGAAAAGCATCGGATCTTGAGGGACAACGCCAATCTTTCCACGGAGACTACAACATGTATTAGTAATGGCTACGAAGAAGCAGAGACGTGGCTTACCTGTCGAGTGTAACATCACGAACATCTTGGCCGTCGATAGAGATGCTTCCACTCTTTACATCATAGAATCGATCAATCAGCTTCAAGATGGTCGATTTACCGCCTCCCGTCTCACCGACGAGTGCGACAGTCTTTCCAGAAGGTACCTCAAAACTGACGCATTTCAGAGTGGGTTTACGCTCATCATATGCGAACGAGACACGATCGAATTTGACGAGTCCTTTGCCCAAGATCAAAGCCTTCGCATTTGGAGTATCAGTAACCGTAGGCTTGGTTTGGAAGAGTTCAAGTAATCGCTCGGCGTCCATGAGACTGTATGAGATTTGTCTGTACATGCTCGCAAAGAAAGTAAGAGGACCTAGTAGCATTAGCAGTTATCACGGCATCATGACAAGCTAAACTTACTTTGCAATTGCGCCCAATAAATTAACAGAGTAGTGAACTTTCCGATACTTTCAGCTCTGTACACGACCTGGAAAACTCCCAACCAAAGAGCACCAAGAAGACCAATCGACAAAATCAGTGATTGTGCAGCCCCAATTGCTTGGGATGACATCTCGTAATCTTTCTTGGAGCTCATGTGTTCTTTCACAGCACAAGCATATCTATGTCGTTCGTATGGGATCATGTTGAACAAACTTGCAGTGTTCCAGCCGTCCAGTGATTGTTGGCCAATGGTCCACTCTTTTCGGTAAATTGTAATATAGTCACGACGCTTGGCGGCTCGCCGACTATAAAGTTTTGTCGTGACGTAAAGATAGGTGACCGCAGTTGACGCCATCAGTAGTCCCATGTATGGTCCATAAAGAGTCCAGAGGAATGCAAAGGCAACGGCGAGATCGATAAACATAGGTAAAACCTGGAAGCAGACAGTCTCCAGTAAGTCTGTCACAGACCTGCCGCCATGAACAGCCTGAGTCAAGTCGGATGATGTTTTGTTGTCGTGGAAATCAGATGACAAGCTCATGAGGTGGGCGTGAGATGCGGTACTGAGAGCATCGTATGAATACTGTTCCACTGGTAGCCACAACCATTTCTTGAGCCAGCCAATACCTGCACCACCACTGACAAAGCGCAGGAGAGCATAAACAGCAACTGGAATCCAGACATTGGGTTTTCGAGTAGGATCCTCTTCGAGTAAATAACCAGTCAAACTGTCAATCATTCGACCCATCTGAGTGGGAACCAAGACGTTGAATGCATTAGATGCAAGTAGACAGAATCCGACTAGGACAGCTCGGAACTGCAGAGTTCTGTCATGGACTGGCCAAAGATAGGGGAAGAAGATCTTACACGGGTCAGCAGGGTTTATTTGTAGTGGTAGGAACAAACTTACAGCGAAGCCTCTAGCATAAGTGAACCAATTACCATCCTGCTCCAATCGCTTTTTGATCTTATCCTCCGCTTCGCGCTGACGAGCTAGCCATGAATCTTCAGATCCAGCATCGCTTGCTTCTGAATTGTCTGATTCCTGGTTGTTCGTATCCGTGGTCCCACCATAGCTCTTGGTCGAGTCTTCGCTCCCCGGCTTGCCGGAGAGCTTCTTTTGGAGAAGAGACTGGCGTTCGGCATCCCCGTTGTCGTATTCCTTCTTATCGTTCCTCAACGCAAAGTACAACGACGGTAGGATAGCGAAAAAGCACACTCGAATGGATTGAATGACGATATTCGTGAAGGCGAAAGGAGTTTCAGGTGGGGCGAAGACATTGGGAATGACCAGAAGAATGAGCTCCACGAGAAGACCCAGGAACCAAGTCACATAGTACGGGTACCAGACTGGGAACTTGCTGTCCGTCAACGCAAGACACTGTGCTCCGAAGCAAATTGTAGATGCAATCAGATAGACCTGGTATCTGTCAGCGGGTGGCCAAAAGAAAGGAAACACTGAGTAAACTTACTGTGCAGTCTTCAGGCGGAGACTCATTGCTGACAATGACCTGAATTAGCAGTACGATAAGTTCGGCAAGCTATGGAATTGTCAGCATTCCGTGGGCCATGTATACATCGCACAAATCGACTTACATAGGACAGAGTGACGCCAAACATGAGGCCAAGAATGACATCTCGACGGACATGTTGATCTTGGACTCGCAGACGTTGTGTTTGCAAGGTACAGACAGTGACCATGAGTGCAAGTACGAAGTAGCAAAGGAGCAGCCCTGGGTAGGCATAGTGAATCGCCTTGATGGCGGCCACAAGCTGTCGCGAAGTTAGCAACATGTCAATGGCCTCAATATTAGAGAGGATTGCAAGCTCACCTGTGGAGGAGCGGTCGGAGCAATCATCATGGATGTTGTTGATGATCCAAGAAAAGCGCAACCATCAACGGAAACAAGATGGCGAGGCGCAACTGTTGTGACCGAATATGGTCAGCTTCCTAGGTAGAATGGCTCTCAAGAGGTGAACGCGTGAAGTTTTGAGGAAGAGGAAAGGAACGAGGAGCCTCAAATTTTTTCCTGATCTTGAAAGAAGTCGCCGCCTGATACACGCTAGCGCTAGCGAAAAGGGCAAGAAAGAGGAGGAGGAGAGAAGAGAGGAGGGAAAGACTGACACACACTTCCATCACCATCAAAGAAAAAGTGACTCAAGACGCAAACTCAAACTCTGACCCATTGTATACCATGCATGGTAATTCGCAAGTGGCAAATCAATTCAGGTAGAGTATGGAACCTCAGCGTCGTCGGTGCCTGGTACACGCTGACACCAAAAAGAGAGAAAACATAACTGAATTCATCTAAGCCGTTGATACACGAGCGAATGAAGAAATCGGGTACGTACCTCGGGCTGAGCTCAGACGAGACGATGCAGGAATCCTGTATAGGGTTTGTATTCGGTCTCTCGGTTGGGTAAGGCCAGACCAGGTGAGGTTGCAGTCGACGAATCACCACTCGATTTCTCTCCCCTCTCCACAACACAGCCTTCTCTCAAGACTCACGTTCCTGCGCAAGCTGCGAAATTCTTCTTCCTCGATGACAGCAATGTGTCTGCCTTATGAAGAAAAGGTTGGTAAGAGCTGGTCCGCATCCATCTAGCTTTTCGCCCCCAGCAGTATCTCACTCGAATCAGATCCCGTCCAGTCCGTCAGCTGCCCTTCAGATGATTCCGCGAGCAATATCAAACTTGTTCTGGCTGGTTACACGATCGCCGTTAGATCGTATCGAACGTCTCGTGCGACGCACTCACGATATCGGTATCGACTTGGGCCAAGGAGTGGGGGATGGCGGGCATTTTTGTGTTCGAAAAGTCTTGCCATCCCAAAGAGGCAATCATGGTGACGGCGGCCAGAAACTTGATCGTCCCTGGTCCGGCTGCTTCTGAGGGCCTGCAGGGCGTCTATAATCGTTGTCCGATGACTTGATGGAGGAGCCAGTGCACCGTGCAGTCCCGCAGGTGCAGCAAGTGAGGGACCTGGACGATGGATAGTGAGGGGGGTAGGAGAGTCAAAAGGAATATGGGAAAATGGATGGTGCAGCAACAGCAACACGATGTACGGTACCAAAGCTGTTCAAGTGCGCCTGTTGGCCCCGCTCAGCGTGTGTCGCTTCAACGCTTGCTACGAGTAGGTCTAGGTAGAGTGGCGGTCAGTCCGGGGAACAGGGAAGGGAGATGTCAGGCCTGCTGGGTTGAAGACGGTCCGTCAGTCAGTCAGTTAGTCAGTCAGCAGCCACCAACTGAATGAACACTGGTACGGTACCGGCTGGACTGGACACAGCGCGGTCCTGTGGTGGCCGAGCGGAGACCGGAAGGGCACGCTCCAGGCGGTGTTTCGGTCGTTGTCATGGTGGTTGAGGAAGAGGGAGAGACATACAGTACGCAGCAAGAGAGCGACTGTTGTTCTGATTCTACAGTACAATATGTGCAGGGAGTCGTCTCCAGAGAGGTGTCACGGCAGGGTCCATTGCTGCTTGGGGAGGACAAGAAAAGCATACTAGAGGCAGAATGGTACACGACCACGAGCAAAAAGGAAGCTTTGCATGTGGTTTCACTGTTTTGTGCTGCCAGACAGGGCGTTGGAGAGAGGGAAGAGGCAGGTTCTGCTTGGCGATTGGGATGGAGAGCAGTTCCGAAGACACTATCCCTGAACCGACAGGAACCCTTCCTTTCCCTTACCCTTCCCTTGACACCTTTCCTGTCCAGGCTGTCCTGTCCTGTCCTGTCCTGTCCCTCACCTCCTCAACCTCATTTCCACGCTTCTTACCCTGACACCTTTTCTTTCATCTCGCACACTCCTCCAGCTCGTCTCATTTTAGATTTTCTTTTCTTTCTTTTTCTTCTCCATCAACCAGTTCAAATCGTCACGTCGCAATAGGTGCCGAACTACAACCAGCCCTCTGTCCACCGAACACGATTTCCTCCCACGCCCGGCTCAGATCGTCGCCGTTCGATTCGATGTCTATCTACTCCATCTTTTGGTGGCTGTTCCTGCAGCATCGTCGTCTGCTCCCGCGACCTACGTGCATATGAGCGCCATTGCAGCTACTCTTTTTTCTTCGACTCTCGACATACCCCTCCTCTGTTCCGGGGGCTTCAGATCGCTCTCTGCATTGGAATCTGGTAAAGCTGGAAGGGTGAGCGATGTTCCCGCTTGGAACCACAGATGGTAGATTTCTTCTGCGCACTGGAGCACACCCGCCGCCTCCGACTGGCCATGCATCGGGTCTCCACTCCATGTAACCATACTGACAGCAGCATTGGTAATGCGACCCTCGAAATCTTGTCGCCGGCGCATTGGATTTGCGACTATTGTGCGGCGTTGTGCATCCCTCCCTCGATAATGGCAACTCTGTCCTGACTCTTTCATAGCGATATCGTCAGTTCCTCATTGGCACGGCATGACGGAGGTGCTGCTATTTGCAATGCAAAGATGAAGCCACCGTTCCACAGCTAACGAACTGCCGAATATCTCAATCCCGGCCCTCTGTGCGACGTACACATGTTCAACCAAACGCACACTTCACCTTACTCACACCTGAAATGGACATGATACGTGATACGGCGCAATATACCACGGTCGGTCAGCGAATGGCAACCACCTTCAAATTCGCCGCAGTGAGCTTTCCTTCTGCAACAAAACATCCAACAATCACGAGCCAACGGCGTGGCGACGCCTGACCCGTCACAATGGTACTGTATTGCCTACACATGCATATCGACACCGAGCCCTCAGTGGAGTCCCAGCGCCCCAATGGCTTCAACTCGATCGATTGACAGGTTCCCAAGTCCTGCACCTAGACTTCTCTCCAGCAATCCACCGAGATGGCTTTCGCTTCTCGCATAATCTATGTTTAGGACCCTCGTCATTTCACAGCAGCAGCAGCAGAAAGATATTTCTTTTATATTGCTAACATACGTGTCCGACATGAAGCTCTAGAACCAATCCATCATCATTACCATCGAATAATTATCTGCGAGTGATCATGAGACGAAGCACTGGGGATAAGGCATACATCTTCGGCTTAATCCAGACCGTCTGTCAGCTAAACATGTGGCCATGTCCATGTCCAAGTCATGTCAAAGTTGCATATCTATCCATGCTGCCATGTTGAAGAAAATCGTCAGAACACCACTCACCTGATGACGAGTATATTTAACCTTTTTCGTGTTTATTCACGATGTCATGACTCGCCTCAGTAGCTGCAGGTCAAATAACAGAATATCACGAGCATTTGGGTTTTGTAAATTAAAGTTTTCAATTGGTTCGTGCTGTAGTCAGCAATAATCCTGACAAAAAAACAATCTGAACGCCATGCTATCGTTGTAATCCCATTTTCATCACCATAATGCCAGATCCATTCATCGCCACCACATATGTATGCAGCAGCAGTATGATCGAACCCTCGCTCGCAGTGTGAGCGCTTTTGCAAAGAAAAATCAGAAGAAAGCAACAAAAAAGAGAAAGAAAACTCCTTGCCTAATCTAACATTCCAATCTGACAATCCAACTGAGAGCAGATCAAGATATGAGAAGGTCCTATATCCATCTACCCCGTTGATCTCCATCCAACCATTCATTGATAGCTCGTTCGTTCAATCAGCACCGTATAGGCCCTGCTCATGAACACAATCGTATCCACCGTTGCCGTTATCACCACCAGCACCTGCCTCACCCGCTCTCTCCAAAGCACCACTTCCAGCCCTAGCTCTGCCATCACCCGCACCACCCATCTGCACCAAACCACCCTCACCCATCGCATAAACACCCCTCAAATACGTCGAAGTAGCACGTTCCCTACCCGGAACCGGCGCCACAAAACTCTCAGACTCACCCCTCAACACACTATCAGCACGAACACCACGAGTCATCATCCCACCGGTCGACGGACGCACATTCCTCGGCATAGGCAAAACCCCACCACTTCCGTTCCAGCCTCTCGATGTACCGGCCCCGATATTGATCAGTCCCGGAGGAGGAGCCATTCCCGCACCGCCGCCAGCGTAGTAACCGGCCCCGCCCTGATCGAACGGTCCATAGCTATACGCAGCCGGATCCTGAGTTCCTCCTCCTCCTCCTCCATACATAGCACCACCACCACCACCACCACCAACAGCGGGACCGGCGGCGTAGTTATACCCACCACCGACACCAGCCGGAACAGCATAGCCACTCATCATCGTCGGCGAATTAAAAGCCCGCGACATCTGCGCTTGCGTCTTACCGGGCGAGATATTGTTGTTGTAGAGGTGTTGGGCTTGCGGCTGCGGCTTGATAGGCGACATGTGGTGGTTGTTGTTGTTGTAGAACTGGGGATTGTGAACCTGGTTTCGGACTGGAGACGTGCTGTAGAATCCTCGGGAGGCGGGAGCGAGCTGGGCGCGCGTCTCGGCGTGGGCGGCGTTGAAGGAGGTGAAGGACTTGAAGGCGCTTGGGGGGCGGAAGTTGAGTTGCGATAGGGATAGGGGGGTGGCGGGGCTGGGGGTGCGGATGTCGTTGAAGGGGCGGGGTCGGGGGTGGAAGGGGGCGAAGTTTGCGAAGGCTGATGGGTTTTGGGACTGGGTTGTGCTTTCGGGGCGGGTGGTGTAGGGAGCGGAGGGAGCAGAGGGAGCGGTGTAGAGCGGGCCTTCGTGGGGTTGTGGTTCCGGGGCTATGGCGTTGACTTGGCTTAGGATGTCTGCGAAACCTGCGCCGAGACCGAGGCTGATTGGTCGAGGTTGGCGGATGGGACTCTCTTGCTTGGGGACGGCGAAAGCTTGCTGTTGTTGCAATATGTTGGCTTGTTGCTGGAGAGAACCAGTTGGTTCATCTTGTCTTGGCATGTTCAAAGCTTGTTGTTGCACAGTATTGCCATATGGTTGAGGACCACCCTTTTGACTTGGCATGCTCAAAGCTTGTTGTTGTTGCGCAGTATTGCCATATTGTTGCGGAGCATTCTCTTGTCTTGGCATGTTCAATGCTTGTTGTTGTTGTTGCACAGTATTGATGTTTTGCCGAGGAGGACTATCTGGGTTTCGGAGGGTGAAACCTTTTTGTTGCAGAGTGTTCTCGAATTGCTGCATAGCACCAGCTTGTCTTAGCATGTTCAAAGCTTGTTGTTGTACAGTATTGCCGTATTGCTGGAGAGGGCTCACTTGTGTTTTACGCTCTTCATCGAACTCCGGAAACGGCTCGGTGGGTGGCGGTGGATGAGCGTGAGGAGAAATGGTAGCGGGTTTTGGCTTAGGTGGTGACAAAACGCCTAGCAAGAACTTATCATCGTCACCCTCGTCGAAGCCGACAGCTGCCTCCTTTCTCTCTCTGTACGCAACAATCTTTCGGACTTTCTTGTCATCCAAAAACTCCTCGACGAGGTCCGGATCAAGAGCTTCGTATGGTTCGAGGTCCTCTGGCTCAATGTCTTGCGAGGAATCTGCTGATGTTTCCGATTCGTCAACTTCAACGTCTTCAACGTCTTCACCGGCAGGCATGAATTCGTATTGCACGTGCTTGAACGGGACGTCGTCCAAGGGAAACAGCTTGTGCATCTTCGGATCTCCACCCATGCGTTGGTAAGTACCCCAGTTCAGATCCTTTCGGAGTGGCTTCATCTTCCGATTGGGATTCATTTCGACAGGAACCAACTTTCGCAGCGGTGGTCGTCCAGCCTCCTTCATGTCCATGAGGACCTGCTGAGCGGTCTCTGCTGTGCTCAGCTGCTCATCATCTTGTTGATAAGTACTCTTTGCGATCTGTACAGCAAATTCGATCTCGGAAAGAGAGACTTCTCTACGGAGGGCTGGAAAATTGCCTCGAATGTGTTCGTGGATGGAGGTGACGAGTTCGCCATCGTGATCTGCTTTGCCTTTTCCCTTGTTGGCGGTACTGTTTTCCATGATTGGACTCTCCATGACAGGAGCTCTCTTCTTCATGACTGGACTCGGCGGTCTCTCGGGAGGCGTCTGGCGGTATTCAAAGGCATGTACTCCCACGAAGTGACTCAGCAGTCCAACCTTCTTGACAGTCATGACCTTAAGCATAGGCTTCTTGTATGCCTGCATGGCCGATTCTTGCTGTACTGCCTTCGCCGCAGCAATCTGTAGCGCAGTCCGAAGCTGCTCCCAATACAACTCCTCCTCAGATCCAGGCCCAACAACCCAGTTCACCGTGTCAGCACTCGGGATATCCTCATCTCCCAAATCTCCGAACTCATAAGCCAGCTGTAACTCCGTGTGATTCATACCCTTCGAGTTGGGACTAGTAACACTCTCCGCCCGCACCGTATTACCGCCCTTCCGCTCTCCCTGGATCTTCGGAAATCCGTCAAAGAACTCCTGATTGAAGATCTTGACCTGGATCACACTAACTAGAAGCGGACCGTGCACCTTCTCCTTCTGCGTCTCAGCAATATGATCAACGATCTCTTGGATAGCGGTAATCAGCTCTCTCAGCGTCGTGGTGTTGCCAATCTCGATCTCATAGCAAGGTAAGATGAATGTTCCGAATGGGTTGTAGACCGCGACATCGATCTCGACATCGGGGAGCGCCTCGAGGAGTTCAGCTTTGATTTCGGGCAAGAGCACTTTTCTTTCCTTCTTCTTCTTCGGAGCCATTCCTAACGCCTCCTTTGCGCGTCGCGCCTCTTCTTGAAGTGACGCCTCGTTGCTGTCCATTTCTGAACGCTTAGGTTGGCTGTTTGCGCGCGATGCGAGAGGATCGAGGCTCGTGTTGACGTAGCGTCCGAAGTCACGGCCTGGAAAGAGCTCGAGCGATACGGAGGGCTCGGGCATGGGTGCGGTGAGGGGCTCGGTGTCGATATCTTCTTGGAGCAAGAGGTCGTGCAGCTCGTCTTCGTTGTGGTATGTTGATTGCGAGGTTGCGGTCCTGAGCGATGTGGAGGGTTTTGGGGGACGCGGAGCTAGTTGGACCCAGCCTGCGCCGCGAGGTGCGGTCGCCGACGACATCTTGGATGAGGTTGTCGATGGATCGAGAGGGGCTGATGGAGCGGGAGTGAGGCTCTTGGGAATAAATGCAATAGACACGAAGCGAATACTAGCGTTGTTTTGCACTGCTAGCGTTGTTTTCGAAATGCTCGAATAGGTTGTTCGGAAAGTGTTTGGACATTGGAGGATGTCCCAGGAGGTTTGGGACATTGAGGTGTGAGTTGAGAGGCTAAAGGGGGGCTTCCCGCAGAGAAGACTCTTCCTCTCTTTGCGTTACAATATGGGCTTGAGCTGGGAACAAGATGCGTCTTTGGCTATGATGTCCCAGGAACTTTTGGACATTGTGGTGTTATTGGACAGAGCAATGGAGAGCTTTACTAGAGGTCCAGTTTTTCCTTCTGTTGCCGTTACAGCTTGTCTTTAGCAAAGATTGTTCCAGTAGTTCCGGAACATTGGGCTTTGATTTGAGAGAATAAGCACAGACGTACTGGAAAAAGCAGCGTCTTCCTTTCAGATTAGAATACAGCTTGTCTTTGATAACGCTATGGTGCTATTTGTCTTTGCTAGTATCAGAATGCCGTTTATAGTCACTAACACGAACTCTGAGAAGGCTCTAGCTCTTTCCACAATGTTGTTGCTATTGTTTCTACCCTCAACAGAAGTCAATGGGCTTTTAGCTATAATTCAAGTGAGTAATTGGTCTTGTGTTTTCTGTCTCACCAGATGTGACTTTGCTTGTTCTCTCATGTTCTCCAGCTCTGGATCTCCAATTTTGGTTGAAGTTGATCTGCTTAAGGGAACAAGTAGTTCCAAAATGAGAAGTACAAGATGCTGTGAGTCAGATGCAAAGGTGCAATACAAGATCTAGACTTTTTATTGAAACACTCTTTGATCGAAAATTGCCAAATCCGGCTAGGAGTCCCTGCTTGTTCACATGACATGGTCATCTTCTAGTTCTGTATTGAGTTCTGCAAGAGGGACAAGAAGGAGCAGGAGGCTTTTCTAGCAAGTGCTTATACCAAGTCTTCACAAGGCTCAACGAAAGTGGATGCGTAGCGGACAACGAAGACTGTTCGCTAAGCAGAAAATTGTGGAGAGAAATGTTTGCAAAAGCTTTACGGCAGTTATTTGTTCGCAAGAGAATTCAAGTTGAAGATGCAGGTTAGAGGTACAAAGTTTCGAAGTTGTTAGTTGGGATATCAGAGAAAGGACTCGAACATATTTTCTTGAGCCTGTCTTGGACTTGTTCTTGAAACAATGCTAATGATCGAATATTCGAAAATTAGTAGCGCAATGAAACGCTTTCAAAGAAGCAGGTACGAGGTCAATCGAGTGCTTTCCAGTTTAGTGTGATTCAAATCAGAGTATTTCGTAGTTCACACCAGAGTCGAGAGACATGAATTTGTTTTCGAAATCAAGTGCTCTGAATAGTCTGATCCGGTTACTTCCAAAATATGGTAATTCCCTCTCCGAAATAGTTCGCTGAATGTTGCACACCTTAATGCCACAAGCATGAGCCTTAGAAACGTGACATCTTCTGAGCAACATGTCTTTGCTTCATGCTTTGGCCCTGAGTGGGGCAACATGAGGGGTTCAGGGGCTCGCTTGCTGACCCTAAAAGGGAATGGATTTATACTTGGGCAAAACCAACATCATCGAAAGTTATTGATACGAAGTTGCGTTACTGTACACTAATTGAAGATTAAGCATTCGCCGAGGAAAAGGATGCAAAGCGATACAAATTGATGTAATATGCCAACGAAGGCGATGCGAGAACTGTAGTTTCTTTGGTTGTAGTCTTTTTGGTTGTAGTCTGGCCACAAGGAATCGACGGCAGGCTCGAGACATGCTGATAACATTCTCACGCTTCTTACGAATATATGAGTAGTAGAATTCTGTTTGCAAAGTTCACGTTGGCAATTCCCAATGGTTTTGAGGTATTCCATACAATGGTACGTCTCACATGACCTTTGAAGCTTTTGCGTCTTCGAAATATATGCCAAACATTGTATACCACACGCATTGCGATTAGAAAAGCCAGGTAGAGAATCATTGAAGAGTCGCGATAGTCAAGCTACGGATTCATCCTCTCTGCAGGGCATGTTCAGAGGCCACAAATGCATGGTCCTCCGACACCAGGAATTCGACAATGCTTCATCAAATCTTGCGTGCGGTTCATTCTCATTCAGACACCGAATGCAAATCTGGGCACTGTTCCGCTCTATACAGAGTTCAATTGAGTTGCGAGGCCTCACGGCGGCCGCCAATCACTTCATCGAGAATCAACCTTGTACCCTGTGGTACCCAGATTTTGAGGCTTCTCCATCTCGCCCGGCTTCTGCCCAGTTCATGCATGCTTTGCCGTGTCTTGCTGCAAGCCTCCTCTATTGGTGGCCTTCGAGACACACACCGAAATCTAAGTTTGGGGGAGGAACGATACGTGATTGGAGGCCTTCGATATACCTGCATGCTCGAGCCACACATGGCTCGAGCTGCCCTAAGATATAAGTCAGCAAGTTCATCCCCAACTTTCCACTGATTAAGACACTGCTTGATACCACAAATCTCTTGGGACAGCCATCTTCTCGCCGTTTGTGCGGCTTTAGGCCCTTGAATAAGCGCACGACGACTTTGTTTGCGGGTGTGGTCGCCTATCCTGGGTGGCATACACCTGCACAGCCTTCTCCCTCCAAATTCTCCACGACTTTTGTCTCGATTGTTATTTAGCATCAGACAATCCGCCAACTTTGGCTCCTCAATCCATCCACCTACAAGAACCAAATTATGAATTAAACACACCCTCTCTGAAAGACGTTTCCAAGTCTTCATGGCCCGATGAGACTTGGGGAGAAGCTGCTGTGGAACCTCACAATGCCAGCCCCGACCCTATTCGAAGCGATCGCGAAGGGTCGGTCTCCGATGCAAGCCAATACGTCACAGGTGGATGTGCAGTGCGATACATTTCCTTTAGTCCAACCAGATCACCCTCTCCGTCAGGGTCGACGATCTTCGAATCAACAGCCGCAGCATCCTCAAATCAGCCCACGCCTTCCACTCCGAGTTCAGATGCTAGTCCGAGGCCTCCAATCGTCACCCCTCAACCTCAAGTACCCTCGAATACAAGACAATTCAAGTGTTCGGACTGTCCACGAACTTTTGCTAGCCATGCGAGACTAAGGTTTGTACTTCTCACTACCCTCAAATGTTTCTATAGATATCTAACACATCTGATTAGTGGACATGTTCGAATGTATAAACATACTCATGTCTGTCGTCCAGCCAGATCACCTTCACCCTCTCCGGAGCCATCTCCCACTCCAAAACATCAACATACAAGCTCCCACCTCCTCCCACCGTTCCACCACCACAGGCTTCCCCCCCTTACAAACATCATCACAAAACCCACCATCAACAGCCTCCTCGCCCGCCGTCATCCCATACGCACACATACAGATCCTAGAGTGCATAGCAAAGTAGGGAATCATCCGCGCATAGTTGTCTTGGATGTAGTGAGAGCGAGCTTGTTGAGGACTCTCCCCCAAGTGTGATTGTAGATACCAAACCCGAGAAGATTGATAAGGAAACACTACTCGACAATATAGTCAGGCTGAGAACCATCGATGAGCTCACGATTGCTGGCCCAAAAAAAAAAATAACAGCTGAGGATGAACCCACAACACCCAAAAAAGACCGAAGCAAGACCTCCAAGCTCAACAGTCCAGAAGAGATACCAGACATCTTCGACGCCTTCAAACTCACAACCCTCATCGCCAACCCACTCTCGACGACCACCTTCTCAACACCCAAAACAGTGATCGAAGTAAAAGTCAGAACCCTCAGCACGACATCCGTCTTCGTCGAAACCGGTGCCGGCACCGTAGTCGCAACAGCAGCAACGCTCAAGCAAGAACAAGCTTCCGTGATCTGAGCTGGACTATATGGCGGTTAGCAAGTCTATAACCCTATAGCTAAGGAACTACATCCCCTTGCCACATTCCAAACCAAAACACCTCCATCAAACCGCCTCCACCAAACCCTACACAAATCACAGACCAGCAACGCAGACCGATGTTGCTAGCCCAAAGAGGTAGGTAGGGCTGAGACATAATCACTCAATCACTCGGCTGTACTGTGGAGGCTGCGGAGAAGGCTCGGGCTGTATCTAAAGCTTCATCTCTCTGCAATTATCAACTGTGTCTCTGGTCGTTGTTCCGAAATTGAGGCAGACTGTCCCGTAGGTGATGATTAAGCTCGTAGAAGTCCATTTTCCACAGATGCACAGTATTCTAAAATCTCCAGACTTTGAGTCCAGGAAAAGTGTAGCAACGAGCACGATCTTTTTTGGAGAATGATTCTTTTGCGAAGCGTTGGTACGCTCAACTTACAACGAACAAAGAGCATCTGACCCCAAACTTTCAATCGATTATGAACTATCCCGTTCCAAGACCAATACATATGTCTCGGAATCTACTGTACCCAGCTAAGGCAACTATTCGGAGATTATATTTAGATAGGAGATATGACTACTTAGCTTCTAAGCCGATCGATATTTTGCTCTCTACTGAAATATCAAGAAGAAGAGAAGAGAAGAGATCTGTGCGAATTGGAGCAAAAAGAAGGAAGTACGGTAGTCCTCGTGATTAGCAACTCTCCACCTCCACAAGGTGAGGCTTCGGCACGTACTCGGGGGATACTATCACTTGATGAATATCAAGCACTGGGTCGAAGCTGTGATGTTTTTTTTTTGTGAAGAGCTCCCGTTGCGCGTTTCTCGAGGTTCCCCTGCCCCGCTCTCCGCCCGAGCCCGCTCCCGCTTCATGCGGTAAATTGGGGCTAAAAATACTTCTTACTGTATGATTAGGCTCTGAGTGCGAGGAGGAAACCTCCGAGGCTCCCGACGGTTGATTGTGCCGCATACCGGCAGATTAAATGCAGGGTGTGGATAACATGTTTGAAAAAGGGGGGATTTGATGGGATGTGTTTGGTGCTTGGATTGTGAGGTTGATTGAAGAAGCTAAATTTTGTGGACTCACAAATGACAAGAAATGCTTGTATGGGTTCAGGAAGGCTTGCAGAAGTGAAAATATCTCAAGTTTTGTAGCTTGCAACGCTCAATATCGCAAACACAATGATTAAACACAAAATGGGTATGACGCCAAAACCCCGTCATCCAAACACCAAAAACGCCTTGTTCCTTCATTCCCTAATATCTAGTTTCTTGTCCCAAAGCTCCCAATCCTTGATGTAATTGTGGCGCATTCCCTCTGCCCGCTGGTGGAGTCACAGAATTTCCTCCTCCAGAAGATTGTCCAAAATAATCTTGTTGCGGTTGATATTGGTCACTTCTCGTTCCACCTGGTGTGATGAGAGGAAGAGCGGCTTCGGATCGATTCGCGTTCGCAAAGGATTGTGATTCGACATCTGCGCCTTTGGTGCTCGCTGCTGCCATTTGGTGGGCATATTCTTGTTGCTTGACTTTCTTGCTGTTGCGAACTCCCATGACGATGAATGCGATTATAGCTACACCGATTGCGAGGCCGAAAACGATTGTGACGATCAAGCCGGACGTAGTGAGGGTATTATCTCTCTTCATGCATAGCGCTGAATTTGCACTAGCCGTGGCGGAAAAGCAAATCAGTCCTGGAGCGCACGAAGCAGACTCTACTGTTGTCGAGCTACACGTTGATGTTCCTGATGTGGTCTGGCAGACTTTGGTCGATATTGTGGAGGTGATCGAGCAGACTAAGGAGCCTAGAAGTTGTTAGAATGATTCAAAGGCTTCCGAATAGCATCACAAACCTGTTGTGCTCCCAGAAGTGGTGCTGCTAGTTCCTGTAGTCGACTGCGAGCTGGACGATGTCGTAGATGAGGTCGTTGATGAAGCCGTGGTCGCTGAGCTTGTTGTAGATGAGTCTGATGAAGTGGTAGAATCGACTGTCGTTGAGGCAGTTGTACTTGACGGTGCCGTTGTACTTTTGGCAGTTGTAGACTTGTCGGTGGATTTCGCGGTTGTCTTTTCTGAAGTAGTACTTCCACTGTCCGTCGAATCTGCTCTCCTTTTCAGGTCCCCTCTGCCATTCTCAATCTGCAATGGTTGACAATCTTTCGCAAACCAAACAGCCTCAACAGTCGCTTCCCCAGCCGAGCATCCATTCGAGGTGTAGCATCGTTCGATCTCGTCCAGACGTTGTAGATCTGCTGTCCCGAGACATGCCGTAATGGCGTTGACAGAACCACATGAAGTTTCTGCAACAAGGTCCTCAATACTGTTCTGCGCACAACCACCGGCAGAAACAATTGCGGCTGACGCCAGGACTGCGAGAACGGTCGACCGCATTTTGAACTGATTCTTGTTTCAGGAAGCCAACGTGCGAATCAAGTGAGTGATGGCTGGCTATTGGCGCACAAGAACCGTATTCAGCAAGATCAGTGGAGCTTGAGGTCGCAGGACAAGAGAAAGATTAGTGACTAGAATATTATCGTGAGAACAAAATGACCTGAACGGGAAACATGTTGTAGATAAATAAATGTGCAGTTAAAATGAGCCCGACACCAAGTGCTTATTTTAAGGATGGGCGAAGTTCATGAGGCTACCGTGAAGCTGAACCCATTAGGGGTCTGACGGGGGATATGATAGGGTGACATAGCGAAAGCCAGCCACTCAGACCTTGTCAGACACTTGCGCAGTGCGTCCGGCTAGCCTTGCGCTCCCGAATGAGGTTTGTGCTGCCCGCGCCGTTGTCAATAGGAGGAGCTGGAGACTGTAGTCAGCATGCATCTGTTTTTGGCAGCGGGTCAAGTTGGACATTCGAATGTGCAACGACGAGGACGCGCATCCTCTCATATAAAAATTGTGAAAATGTTTCGCTCGTCCACACGCCAGAGGCTTTTGAGGCCATACCGATCCACTTGGTCAACTTGCGTCCCCACAGACGTGACGAAGCGCTGGAAAGAATGGCGAGAGCTCTGAACTTCCATGGGCATGGGCTCGATCGGGATTCGTGGTGGCTGAGTTGAAGTGAGAGGGGCCCGGCAGCGTGCAGGCTTGACTCTTTTTTGTTTGCTCAAAAGGTTCGTCTGAAACCGACAAGCCAACGAAGGATGAGGCCGGGCCTTCCTTCCATTGGAGTGGCTTCCGAGGCTGGAAAAGGGGGCGCAATGTTTCTGAGCGTTGTCCGCTGTGAGCGCTGTGTGAGCATGTGGTGAGATTTCCGATCAAAAATCCACCGTGGAATCTTTTTGATGTGAAAACCGCGAAAGCGAGGCAGAGAGGAGAAAGTGAGGAGAAATGGTTCTAGAAGGCTCAAGGAACAAGGAAGGGTCAGCAGTCTTCACGTGACTACGCTATCCAAATACGTCATATTTGTTTCCGAGACAAACAAGGTTGCCATTCATTGTCTTGACTGTACAACTCTATATGAACGTTAAATCTCTTGTCTCTTTCACTTCGAGACCTTTCAGAAACTTAACCATATTCAAGAATCAACTACCTCAATACAAAGCTTTCAGTACCCATACAATATCCAATATGCCTCTCGTTGTCCCCGGTATCAACTCAGGTGGAGATAACTCCAAGACGGAAGAGTGGATGAACAAGCTGGTTGGCAAGAAGTTGACTGATGGTCCATCCGATGCTACGGTATGATTGCATGTACGCATGCAGGAAGATCATACTGATCAAGAACAGTCATTCGCCAAACAAGATCTCCCCAAGGAGACTCGAGTTATTGAGCCCGGATCGATGGTCACCAAGGATTTCAATGAGAACAGGTAAGCATAGATATGTTTTGAAGAGGTGTAAGAGGTGCTAATAGATTTAGATTGAATGTTCATCTCAAGGAGGATGGAACTGTCTCACATGTTGATCACCAATAGAGATGCTGCTTATCATGCTCTCTCCTCGTACCAATGAATGAATCAATGACTTTATGAGATATTCACCCTATACGTGCAATTTCAATCCTTTAACTCATTATCCATAAGCAAAAAGCATCTCACAACAGAATAAGAATATAATAGGAGAGACATCCTACACGTGATTACCCCTCCACGCCACTTGCACGTCTGGTCTACCACGGTCACCAAATCGCGGGGCACCTCCACATTTCAATCGCGTTCAATTCTAGGTATTCTTCCTCAAGCCTACACAACACCTCTCGACATCAAATACCCCATCCAATCCTCAAGATGTTCAAGAAAGAGTGCGCATAATCCCACACCCCGTCTGCGAAGCCCAACCCTAACAAAATAGAAGCATATCCCCCGGCTCAAAATCCAAAGTAAAATCCTCCGTCCAACGCGCAATCCGCACTCAACTCGTACAAACATACCCCCTCCTCGCCCCGCACATCGACGAAATAATACCCAAGAAAGAGCAATTAGATGCCATGAAGATGTACTACCCTTCCTCCTCCTCCAGAGTTCAATGCTAACCGGAACCACAGCCCAGAACGAGTAACACTCTACCTCATCGGCCTAACCCCTCTCTTCTACCAACACATGACCGACGCCCTACTCCCACACCTCAAACTCGTACATCGATTCCCGACCTGTTTCCCCTCTCTCCGCATCGACCGCGGCGCGATCCGGTTCGTGCTCTCGGGCGCGACGCTCATGGCGCCGGGTCTCACGTCTACGGGTGGACGGCTACCGACGGGAGCTGATACCGAGAAAGGAGGGTACGGAGAGCTGGGCGGGAAGGGAGAGGAGGGAAAATTGTATTGGGATGGAGAGGGGGAGAGGGAGGGCGAGGGCTGGTATGGAGGCAGGGAGTTGGAGAAGGGGGAGCCGGTTGTGGTGTGTGCGGAGGGGAAGTTGGAGGCGTGTGCGGTGGGGTTGTTGAGTATGGGGACGAAGGAGTGTAAGGAGAAGGGGAAGGGGCCGGTTGTGGAGGAGGGGCATTATTTGGGGGATGGGTTGTGGAGGTTGGTTACTGAGTAGGTGGTGGTGGGATGTGGAGAGTTGAAGCAACAATGGAGTATCTGTGCTCATGGTTTCTCGGGTTTCTGGCGCAAATGTCTGGAATTTGAGAGGACGTATGTGCGGTACGGTCCGCCGACAGTCGAAGTCGGTTCAATGAATCTGATGGTATCGGATATTCAGCCAAGTCTGAGTGGCTGTAGAGGTACCAAACATTGGATAAGTCCGTCCACGTCATGAAAACACAAACATTACACAGCGGAAGTTTTTTCGAATTCACTCAGTTGCATTCACCACATTCTCCTGATCCTTATTCACTCATACATTCGCTCTCCCTTTCCACTAGACACAGGCCCCTCGTAAGTCCCTCTACCAGTATATAAACTCCCCATACTCTCCTACTCTCCTACCCTTCTATTCTTCAAACAAGCGATTCAAGTTCGCCTGCCGCACCGCCTTTTCTCAGGTAGGATCGCCGTACTCGTCATTGTCGCACCCGGATTTTCTTTATATAAAGAACCCGGATACTAGGGTGTACCTATTGTCAATCTTTCTTTTGTTGTCGACAGTTGGAGCAGTCAGGCTTTAGATGGGAGATTAGATGCGATGAAGAGGGTGGGGGAGATTTGTTGATCATGTTCTAGTTGAATGAGTGTGGGTTGAGTTACTTGATTTTTCAGATGTCATGAAGTATCATTGCTTTGTTGGATGTCGCGGATTTTATTCTGAAATAGTTTCTCAAGCTGGGGAGCTGAGAAAGCGATATGTGGCGTGATACTTGAAGAGCCAAGTCGACGGTTTCGGCTACAAAGCTCTTCGTTCAATCGCTCTCCAAATGCACTAAATTTGTGTAGGGGAAAAGAGATCAAGAAGTCAAGTAACTGCTTGTCCGTCTGTTTACTTCCTCATAAACAAAAAACACCAAAAACCATCACCCAAAAACATCAGTCCAGCTCGGATTCACCGTTCCCACCTCCTCATACAAAAACGCATACCACAACCCACAACTCCCCAAACCTCCCAAAAACACCCAAAAACATAGATACGCATTCTCATCAACCCTCACCCCCCTCTCCTCCTCCTCCCCCCTAGCATCAAGTAAAAGTACCCTCCCCACCGCCTCCCACCTCCCCACAACCCTCTCCAACACCCAATACCCACACCAAATCATCCCCACCAAGTACGCCCAAATCGCCATCGCGCTCCCAGCTCGATGCACCCACCCCGGCGGCGGCGGGATCGTGCTTCCAGTCCCACTTCCACTTCCATGGTTCTGGCTCGGCGGATGCGGTAGCAGCGCAGCCGCAATCTCAGCTTTCCACGCCAAAGTCCAAAATCGGGCTACATGGCCCTGGAGCCCGAAACAGGAAGCGACCAGCCAGGCGAGGGACGTGAGCATAAGATAGAGGCTAATGGCGAACGTAACCCAAGTTACAATGCCGCGCGCGAGCGGCGCGGTCTCGAGGACGCGGGAGGCGGGTTGCCAGAGGGTGTGGATCGTCCAGATCTGGAGGCCGAGGTGCGTTAGCAGGGCGGTGAGGAAGAGGGTTGTTTCGAGTTTGGAGAGGGTTTGGAAGAGGGAGTGGGTTTTGGTGCGGATCGGGGCGTGGGTGGAGGTTTCCCATTGGAGGGTGGAGAGGGCGAGGATTGCTTCTACGGTGGAGGTGGAGGTGGGTTGGTCGGAGGAGGAGGGGTGGGGGTGGGGATGCCCGAGGAGGGTGATGAGTTCTGTAACGATGAAGGAGGTGGCGAACATCAGGCCCCAGACTTGCGTCCATGGTGTTCCGGAGAAGGAGGATAGTTTTATGGCGGCGGGCAGGGTTCCGAGGATGAAGAAGAGGTAGCGGGGCCAGGTTTGGGATTCAGGGGGTTTTTTGTCTTCGCTGTTGATGGGGTCTGATCTTGCGTGGACGACGAGTTGGAAGGCTTGACGGGGCTTGATGGGGAGACGGATGGATAGGGTGATGAGGCGGATGAGGGCGGAGAGAGCGTCGGCGACGCAGAGGATGGGTGAGCTGGCTAGGTAGAGGCGGTAGCGGGAGGGGATGCCGCAGAATTTGCTGGTGGGTTGGGCCATGGAGTTTATGGAGAGGGAGAGGAGTATCCAGAGGATTACGTGCCATGTTACTGGCGAAGCAGTTGAAGGTTCAGGTGGGATTGCTGCATCATCGGTTGAAGCTGGAGAAGTTGTCAGTATCAATTTTTGAGGGAATTGAGAACTCACCTGAACTTGTGAGACCGCGAGACAAGACGGTGATAAACATGAGGCTCGGAGTTTTATTATTAATATACAATACCGATCAGACAGAGGGAGAAATTATGAATTAAAGATAAAACCAAAGTTGGCAATTCAAGAATTGAGGTTATTGATGGTGTGGCTGAGTGCTTTAGCGTAGACTATGCAGGCTATGGTCGCCCTACTCGGCAAAGCCCCTGAAGCATCGCCTAGGCTGATTTGCAGGCAAGAATCTCTCTGAACTTCGTAAATCGCAAGACTGCGATCAAGTCTTCATTCATCAAAGTGGTGACTAGATCGACTTAGGTAAAACTAAGGAAAAGACTTCATCTCTCATAAAAACCCCCTCATATACGCATCATGAATCTAGCTTGTTGAACCCTCATCTGTGTCAACGATAGAATTGCCCACTTCTGCATTTCAATCAGGTAGTCCAAGACCCCTCTTTTCCGAGAAGAATTAGGTAGAAACTATATATTCCATAGATTAGGTAGTCCGAAAGCTGAAATCAACCAATATGCGGAATATCTGCTGCAAACGTCGCCACCCAAGCATCTGGCGGGAGAAAACACAACGACCGAAAGATCTCAACCAGAATAAACAACCGTGCTACAACGTACAAAATTATGCCAATATATATCACACCCTTTAAACCCGTGGACGCCGCCTTATCAAGAAAGCTCCCAAGTGCTTTCGAAAATCTTTCCTGCCAATCATTCAAGATGCCACCTTCCTCCTTAATCCGAAAAAGTTGATACACTGCTGCAACCATGACGAGCAACAAGGCAGGCAAGGAGACAGTAGTATACAAGCTGGCGACTCTCCACCCGATCAATTCGATGTTGGTAGGAAAATGAAAATTCCATGCCGCGAGATGGATTCCTCCAAAAAGGACAGCGCCGGCAATGCCCATATAAAGAAATCCAAGTCCAGCATACCCATCCGGGATATCGGCCAATTCTTTATTCCCACGTAGCGCACTAGGTATGATCTCGTCAAAAAGAGATCTACCCCTCTGGGACCTCGCTTCGTTCAATGCTGCCTGTATCTCTGTGACTTTTTTGTCAAATGAGGATACAGGAATCTCGATTCTGATTGCTACCGGTCGTAGGATTTGTTTCGGTCTGTTCCAATTGGCTATGTAGGTTGCGATCGCACAGGCAGAGAAAGCTATTACTGCTATCTCTAGCTGAGATACAGTCAACCCTCTTGCTCGGCGAGCAGTGATCTGTATCGTGATCCAAAGAATTTGACCTCCGGCAGTTGATAGTGCAAAGCTCTCCCCGCTTCCCCTATCCCGTTCCATGATCTCCTCACGGGAGATGGATGGAAGTCGCGGTATAATACGTTTGATTCGAAGTTGGATGATATCTTGACCTGAAAGGAGAAAGTGCCGCGGCAATTGACCCTGTGGACTCGAGTAGAATTCTTGCAAGTCGATGGTATTTTCGGGCTGCCCAACAATCTCCAGCCAAAATCCTCCCATGTTCGCATAAGAAGCATGCAGCAGTGATCCAGGAACACCATCCTCGGCAGCAAGCTGGCTCCATCCTCTCCGGACTTGACGGTCTGCCAGTTGGTTCCCGAATGCCTTGCCGAGTGTGACTTCCGGAGCAATGACAGTGATGAATGACCATTTTAACTTGGGCCACATTGTTCTCACCGACCATTTGATGTGTCTTTTCCACCCCGGGTCGAGGTCTTCGCGTTGCTCGGGCACATTGAGATATTGTAATGACCACGTACAAGCCACGATTGTGAGGAGACAACTCCACAGGAGGTCGAATGTTCCTCTCGTATCAGGACTCCCGACATAATTTACTGTCTTATTCGGGGTGGTGCATTTGGGCTCGAATTGAGAATAAGCTTGAGTCGATGCTGCGAACGTAAGAGCCAGGATTGAGAGTTGAAGCAGCGCAGACATCTCGCTAAACGACAGAGACTTATCGAAACAGGAACAAGGGAGACCATAGTAACCTTTAGGGGAAATCACCAGCTTTGTATTAGATTTACTGCTGGACTACACTAGAACAGAGCGAGAGCGAGGTGCAGCTCAGCCGCAAGGCTCAGCGCACCAATCTCTAATTGAGTGTTGGTTGTTTCTAAGCGAACCAATGAATCACAGTGCTTCAAGCCTTCAACGCCACATTCTCATTCTGATTCCAGATAGCCACTCACTTTTAGCTGGGACTGTAATCGTTCTGAACAGTACCTAGGTACGAAGCACATCGGACGGAATCGACATTATCAAAGACGACTCGGCTCGAGAGCTATGGTTACTTTGACCTCGAACGTGCTGCTATTTGCACAAATGCAAAGACGGCGAGGGAGGTCTTGGTAGAGTTGAAAGTTGAAACTAACCGACTGATCACTTAGATGCACGAAACTCAATTCCTTATCCCCAAATCCAGATGACCAGGACTGGGTGGGACATCACCCACATCCCACTCCGTCTGCTCACCCCCTAGCACAAAGTGAAGGCTCCCCCCATTGCCATTGATCAAATCTCCATGCGTAAGCCAGCTTTTATTCCAGCTCTCGCCGTTTACTGTTAGGCTCTGAATGTATGGACCCTGGTCTAGCCCTTCTGTCGTGATCTTGAGGGTCTTGTTGCATGCGACTGAGATGTTGAGATCGCTAAACCAGGGGGAGAGGATGAGATATACATCTTGTGTTACCATGGGATAGAGTCCTGGGAGTGTCAACATGATTCCAGGATTGGGACAGGAGGGAGCATACCGAGTAAGTTCCACACCATCCAACTTTCTAATGCTCCGGCATCACTGTTCCCAGGGACTCCATCTCGTCCATTACTATAATACTGATTGATGATCTCCCCGCTCCTCATGACACTCTTCCATTGTCTCTTCTCAAGATAGTTATACAAAAACGGCGTCCCAAAACTAGGTTCATTTCCAGGATTGAAGATAGCAGTGCCGGCACCATTGCCAGCACCAACACTCACGTCTTGCAACCCAGGAATGAACATAGCGTCGAGTCTCGACTCTGTAAGTTCTGGTCCTCCCATGAACGAAATGAGTGTTGACATGTCATAGGGAATGGACCAGGTGTATTCCCATGGTAGTCCCTCGTAGGTGACGTCTAGCCAGGAACACCATACACCGCAGTTGAGGGGCGAGTATGAAGGGTCGCGTGTTCCATTTGCATAGAGAGGAGCGAGGAAGCCCGTGAAGTTCAATGAAGTAAGATTGTGCTGCCAGATTTGTTGCCATCCCCTGTTTACTCGATCAGCCAATCCTTCGAGGTCATAGAGAGAAGTAGGACGTGGGCACTTACGCGGACCGGTTGAAATACTTCACATAATCCTTCGGCGCCAAGTCTTTCGCCACTTGACTCAAAGCGAAGTCATTCAGACCATATTCCACAGTCCGACTGATGCATCTGCCAAAGCCTGTTCCCTCATCAGGATCATACATACTGACATAGCCTAAACTCAGCCAGTCTGGTAGTGCTCCTCGACCTTCTTTTACGCTTCCAGTTGGGTCACCATAATCGAATGTGTTGTAAGGAACCAGTTCTGCATCGGTTTTCATTGCGGCGTATGCATCTGTCCAGTTGATTCCATACTCCGGAGCAGAGAGCCCCTTGATGTAGGCATCTGCCAGGACATTATCGGCATTGGAACCTCCTTGTCTGCAACCGGTCAGCTTCTTCTCTATTTGTCTTACCAAGAGTGAACACTTACACTCTACCATTGTAATTCCCACTTCTTGCATCTGGCATGAATCTTTCCCAGCGCCATACATCAATCAGACTCCGCACGATGTCAGCTGCACGCTTTGGTGCCGTTAACAAATAGTAGCTGTTCAAGCAACGAAAAGTGTCCCACAGCGTGTAGAAATCATCATAAGTCGGTTCTTCCGTATCCCAATTGGGATTCTCGCCAGTGCGGTCGCTGGGCATGAGATGCATCTTATACAGACTTGAATACAGCATTTCAAGGAGTGTGAGATTCGACTTGTCAGTTGTGGTGACCTTGGACAGAACCTCCGAGTTCCATTCAGCAACCACAGATGAGATGTATGGTTCCAGTGACCAGGAAGTGAGCTCAGATGCGATGTACTGGCATGCTTTGTCGGAGTTAATGAGCGAAACACCGATCTTTGATTTCAGTGTCGTCGTATTGGATGGGAAGGTGAACAAGCCACCAATCCGGCGAGCATAGCTATAATATGTCTGCCCGCCAGAAACCGAGGTTGCGTCAGTGAAGACGGGTGGATCGATGTGCGGGAGAGTGCTGTTGGGCCAATAAGGATCTGTGTAGGGTCCGGAGAAAAGAGTGACTTTTTCTGGGGTTGTATCAAACTCTGCACAAAAGTATACTGGAGCATCGGGTCCTGAGATGTAGATTAGTACTGCCTCATATGGTAAGGAAGTGGAAAATAGAGAGACGCACGTGAGCTGAAACCACCTCGATAAACTCCATATCCTTGATATTTGGTTCCATGAGGACTTCTGGCAAGGAATCCATTGCTATAGAACTGTGAATGCTGCGCTTCTCCGGAAGAAGGAAGCATGTGAGAGACGTCCACTAAGATGTGTCTTTCACTGCCACTAGTGAAGTTGTATTGAACGAGCCCTGCGTGAGCCGTCGCAGTGAGTTCTGCAGAGACGCCATTGGCTAGAACTGTCTTATAGTAGCCGACACTCGCAACATCTGGCTCCACACGCTCTTGCATATAGGTGAAGTTGTCCAGGACGTTCACATTCTCCAACGTCGAGAGGGGCATTTGATGAACAAAGCCATATGTCGGGGCTCCCTAGGTATATCAGTGAAGTACGATTCTGGATGTAAAGGTGTACTCGCTCCAGTGCCACTTTCGTGAAGCATACTGACACCAGTGACTGAGAAGTTAGCTCAAGAGCAGAAATACCAAGGCGACCTACCATATCCATCTGGCGTATATCCTGCATTTGCATCTACATTCGTCCAATCGAATGCTGTGGTATCTATTCCAAACTTCACGACGCCAAATGGTAGCGCTGGGCCAGGAAACACGTTGCCACCATTTATAGCTGTGCCGGGGTACCCTTGGCCCTCAGTGCCAATGAATGGATTGACATAATTTGTAAGGTCCTCGGATGGAGAGGAAGCTTTGGTATGGCTTGATACAAAGAGGACATACAGAGAGACGTGAAAAAGTCTGGAAATCATGATGACGAGCCTTTGTTCACCTCCCGACAGGATGGTTGCTGGTAACCAATAGAAAAAGACACGTAGTAGAATTTACATGTGGCTTGATCATACTTATATGCAGGTACATGAATGCGTATATCTTATCTTGCAATGGCTCCTCAACGTTACATGCCGACTAAATGTAACCAAGATTTGGGCGACACCCCACTTTCACTCGAAAATTAGTGCGGGGTACTGGGGATATGTTCGGCGAACTTTCCGGAGATCCAAGGAATTTCCATCAAGCTCTAAAGTTGAACGTCCACCTCTAGAGCTGCTTCGCAAGGTGGTATTAGAGGGTGCTTCGAAGTCGGTATTCGCTCTGAGATCATCTGCACTCACTCGAGTCGGAATATAGACGTGGACCTATCCATAGTTGAAAGATATTAACCTCCGCTCATATAGTAGAGAGAAAATGAAGGTACGATGCTTGTAATCGAGTTGAGGCATATGAGATGCAGGGGGAGGAGGCTAAAGACTGAGCTGAGGAGCTGTATAGAGTTGTCGGTCGCGAAGCAATTGTATCCGGGGGTGAGAAGAGCCATACCTCCGTATGTCTAGCAGACTTTGTATCTTAGCGGATCCTGGGAGCTATGAAGCGGGTGTAAATACAGGTTGTTGGTTCTGCTTCCTGCTTCCTTCCGACTTCGTTGTCTGTATGATGTCTTGTGAAAGAGATTCTTCGTCTTCGGTGAAACATTTTCCCGACGATCGAAAGTGGGCCAAAACCTGAGTCACTCCAGACATCAATTTATCTCCCCATCAATCTCACTCTTCCGCAATACACATGGAACGCTGCTCAACCTGGAGAGGGGACTTCATATGCATCAATGCTTTAATACAGGCACGAATGAACACAAGTCCCGACGGCCACATCCCACCAAATTGCAATCAGTCCTGCTTCACGAGCCATGCAGTTAAAAAGCTCAGAAGCAAGCAAGCTTGTGAACTCTCATATTGCCCTCAATCAATGCACGTTTCTGCCTAATTTGATGTCTTACCTGCAGTTCATATTGTTGGTTTCGTTCGTTTCTGCAAGCTTATTCTTTGTCCATCTCAGCAATATAGCACACATGAAGCTTACATGCATATGAATCGCTTAGTACGATCCAGTATAGTTCACTCATGATGATGTGCTTGAGAACCTGGAGCTGTTTCTGACAGTCAGCACATTGAATGAGGTACCGTGAACAGTCAATCTTTGCTTCTTACTTGAGATTTCATTCTGGTGTGGTCCAGTCTGACTCTCACCGCATCTGTGCGGCCGCGGGTCGGATCGAATTGTGGAAGGTCAAGCTTGGCAGGCCTGTGGTCTGACATGCACAGCATGTAATTCGGGAAAGACCCCGCATACATAAAACCCCTGCATGCAGAATTCTGAAGTGTGGGAAAAGATCCCATTTGCTGAGTATGCCGCAAGCGAACTAGAAGGCGGAATATTTATGTTGGTAACCAATATTCTCCAAGCCCTGATGTGACCTGCTCTGCAGCAAGGCATGCATGTTAGGTTCGTCAACCGGGACATCCAGAGAGAAAGCCCTAAAGTAGTACAAAAGGGTGCTCCTCCATTCACTTGAAAGACCTAGCTAGTACTATTCACGCTATCAATTTGCTTGTTATTCAGATTTACGAAGATGAAAAGTCTATGGCCTTCACTTGCTCTCCTATTCGTCCTCATCGCAACAAAAGTCATTGCAAGTAATGACACTTACGATTATATTGTTGTCGGATCTGGGCCTGGAGGTGGCACTTTGGCAGCCAATCTCGCAAAAGCTGGACAGTCCGTTCTCCTCCTCGAAGCTGGTGACGACCAAGGCGAGAATCCGGACGAACTAATTGCAGGATGGGCCTTGCTTGCTGATGGAGACCCACTTATGCGATGGGATTTTTTCGTCAAGTATCATTCGAATGAAACGCTGAACGACGAGTACAAACACTTGACTTGGAGGACTACTGATGGCCAGTTCTATGTTGGCTTGGATCCTCCTGCGGGAGCCGTCAAGCTTGGTGTTTAGTAAGTCGCCTTTAGACCCTATCTTTGACGGTCTTGAAGCCCATGACTTTAGTTTCCAAGGCTCTTAATATGAGCATGAGGCTGATGGTTAAGTTATCCTCGGGCAGGGACCCTTGGTGGTTGTTCCACGCACAATGCTTTGATTGCTGCACTCCCTAGCAATAGTGATTGGGAGTACATCGCAAATCTGACAGGTGATCAGTCCTGGACGTTAGTCAAAATTCCGACCGCACATGAGGACATGCTAATAAAGCCAGGCCAGAGAATATGCGCCAACATTTCATCCAGCTTGAAAATGATCACGTGGTACCCGTGGGAACTCCTGGCCATGGATTCAGTGGCTTCCTCGACATTTCGGTCAATACTGCTGAATTGTACGTCGAATATTACCCTTATTACAACCTGTTTGGATCATCTCCCAGGACACTTCCTCCAACAAGATGTGTTTTTACTCTACAGATGAGCTTCCTGGCTCTTATCTATCAAGTATTTTTACTGACTTGTCAGCAGCTTGCAGAACCAAAGCAATGCTGTAGAGGTCTTTAAAGCCACTGCATCAGTGATAGGAGAAAACCCTGCCAACATTTTCGATCTCCTGACAAACGGCACGGATCTCAACAACGATGATCCGAATCGTGATCAGCAACTTGGCTGGTTTGGACTTCCATCTCATAGAGATCTGCTTGGGAGACGAGTCAGTGCTCGCAATGCCGTCTTCGATGTATTGAACGCAACAAATGCCGGCGGGTCAAAGAAATATCCTCTGACACTCAGCGTACATTCGCTGGCAACTAAAGTCCTTTTCGACACGTCTCAAGATATCCCTAGAGCTATAGGAGTAGAATACCTGTTAGGTGAGAGCATGTATAGTGCAGACCCCCGCTATAATGCCAGCAACTCAGGAATTACAAAACAAGCCTTCGCCCGCAAAGAAGTCATTGTGTCAGGAGGGTCATTCAACTCCCCACAACTCCTTAAGCTGTCTGGAATAGGTCCGAAGTCAGAACTGCAAAATCTTAGCATTGCAGTCATCGTCGACCTTCCGGGAGTAGGCTCAAACCTAGAAGACAACTATGAGATGGGTGTCGCAGCCTCTGCTAGCAAGAATTTCACATCAATTGGCCCCGTTTGTACCTTCGGAGCGCCAGGTGACCCATGTCTTCCTCTTTGGTACGAAGGAAAAGGCCCATACACGCAAACTGGCCTCGGAGCATTGATGCTAAAGACCAGCCATGCAGCGCGCGACGAACGTGATCTCTTCGTTTTCCCACTTCCCGGCGGAGTGTTCCGAGGCTACTGGCCTCAGCAAACAGTCAATGTTGTGCCAAGCGATCCACCCAGCTCATTCGATTTCTCGATGGTGAAGATGCATGGAAACGGTCGCCTCGGCACAGTGGAGCTCGCATCGAACAACCCTCGTGATACTCCCTTGATAAATTTCCGCTTTTTCGAAGGGCCAGGTGCTGATGCAGATTTGGAAGCTCTGTCGGAGGGAGTCGATTTCGGACGAAAGGTGTTTGCTTCTATGGCTGCCAATGGCAGTGATCTTGCGCCCTTCACGGAAATTTCTCCTTGTACAGGGACAACGGAGTGTGATGTGAAATCGTACATCATATCCCAGGCTTGGAGTCATCATGCTACTAGTTCGTGCTCGATTGGCGCTGACGGCGATCCTATGGCGGTCTTGGATTCGAAGTTTCGTGTGAGAGGGACGAAAGGGCTTAGGGTTGTCGATGCCAGTGCACATCCAAGGACACCAGGTGGATTTCCTGTGCTGCCAACTTTTATGCTTGGCATGAAAGCCAGTGACGCAATCTTGGAAGATGCGGAGAGTTGGTAACGAGTAAAGAATGAATTCGGACACGCCTTTCTTGCTGAGTCGCGAACCACGTGATCAACCGTCATGCTTCTCAAGGCACAGCACCCATAGCTTTATCACTTCTTATTCTCTAGTAATCTCCCGGAAAATGTTAAATTTGAGCTAACTATTGTTCACATTCTCCTGCATCCGACTCCTCGCACATCGTCTGCCATGAAACCAATCGAATCAGAACTGTTATTCTCCCATCTCTCCTGGGTAATGAAAAGGTAGTGCTGCAATAAGCTGGCTTCCCCAAGTATTGTATACTTCTACAATGTAAGCCACTACAGTAGTATAGGTAGAGTTCGTACATCAAAGAAGACTCTAATGAATAATTTCTATTAGATAAGACTTTCACAGTTCTCTTCCAGTTGAGACTGTTCAGACTGGAGGATATCCTCGCAAGCTTTCCAACTCTCTCGAATCCATCACTCGAGCCTCTCTTTGGGATCTACCTTTGTCCCAAATTTCTCAATATCCTCCTCCGACCCCTCAACGCTATTATTCTTGAGACATTCTCTCCGAATCTGTCTTGCAATACCACCCATCTTCAGCACCCATCCAGCTATCCAATTGAATTCCCAATCAATGTAACACCAAAAGACGACAAGACAGCAGCCGAGTGTTTGCACAAAAGCTCAACACCTTCAGTAGTTTGGACACCAGTGTTCCTAGACCAATGGCTGAAGGGTATGCTTGCAAAGCATAGTGCTGTCACTATACCCCACTGCAACGCATAAATCTGTCCTCTCCTTGAAAACAACGAAATTTCAACAGGACTTGTTTGATATGGATCTGCGAGATAACTGGCAAAAGCTATCTGTGCGTGTTTGGCGCGCTTTTCGGCACCCACAGAACCTTTCGACGCGATCCTCCCAAAGTTTTTGAATGCTGATTCTAGAGCAGCAGCCCATTCCTCCTCTTCTTCCCTGCTGGGAACTTTGATATTGTTGGACCTGTAGCCGCTTACCATCGAAGTGACGGAAGGTACCAGCATTGATATGGAGATGATTATCGACTGAAAAGGTATTTCAAGATGAATTGGTTTTGCGAGGATGCCGGGTCCGAATAAACAACCGGCTAGAAATAAAAGGACTGCTGGGATGTATACTAGTAGAAAGAGTATGTAAACAGCGATGTAGGTAATGGAGGGTCATTGGCGAAGATTCAAATTTGGCGGAGAAGTATTAGACATGGTGGCGACTGAAACTTGTGCAAGATGATGTTGTCTGGATATTAGATAGAATGGGGGCATAGACTAATTAAATACAAGATGAAGGGAAGACGTTCAAACTAGCGGCAGAAGGGTAAGACATGACGTGGATGTCCTATCAAAAGTTACACATTGTGGATCACTAAAGACTCCGCCAGTAGACTAGACCCACATAGTATGCCACGATGTAAAATGATACCCAAAAGCTTATCGGAACAATAAAGAATGTCCTTCTCTAATAACAGAATTCTGCAAAGATTGGAGCCATGGAAAGAAGATGAATTGTATTGTACAGATGCGCCGGCCTTTGCACGTGTTGCGCGAGCATTCGACAAGTTGCATGGTCTCTCTGATACTTTGAACGAGATCATGCGCATGATCAAGGAAGATGAAATACAGCAACTATTACAAAGCTCTAGGCGTGCTATGATAGCTATTCTCAAGCCTCGCGTTAAGCGTTTGGCAAAATCAACAGTTGATGGTTGTCGGTCAATTGTTCCCAAATCGCAAGACTTGCATACTCTGGACACTGCTAGTACTAGAGCTCGAGAGTCTGATTCGAGTTCGGAGGTCCAGAGAATGAAAGACGGTGCCATACGCGAGGGTTTCCGACGTCGCTGGTACTGAGATTATGAGCACTCCTTCATCAAATGTACCTAGAGGACCAGTGACCGAAGATTGAACTGAGGATGGAGAGTTTAGTGAGGATTCTGAAGCGGGTAATATCACATTCACACCTTCTTCGAGCGTATTTGGAGACGATGATTACATGGATCCAGAAATGTGTTTGGATGTTAAACATGAAGCGCTATTCTATATAGTGTATTGAGATCTGGCTAATGTGGGAACTTATCTTGGATTTGGGGGTTTACACGTTCACTCTATGGCGATGAGTAGATCGAGATAGACAATAATGGCATAACATCGAAACATTCCCTGAGTGCAAACGAGTAAACGTAAGGTGACATTACCCAGAACGTTTCAGTGTGGCGAAGTTAAGGATCCCGAAGCAAGGTCTACATTCCAGTGAAGATTATCTTCTTGGCTCTCCTCTTTTAAAGACTCGCAAGATTTATTATCGCATGAGACGCGTGGCGAAAGTTCAGACGCGTTCCGTGGAATGAAATGTGAAACCCATTTCAGTCACGTAAAGCACTTCTCATATATGCACGCGTCTCCCTTTCCTCATCGATTGTTTTCTAATTCCGAGAGGTATATTGAATATCACAAGCATGTGGGCGCAAATATTGATTCCTTCTTTGCTCGTTGGCACCGCGAGCTGTATATACATTCCTTCACAAGCGACAAATATCGTGTCCAATGTTCTATCGAGCTCATACCCAACGAGCAGTTTCTCCAGACTTTCATTCAATACAACTTACAACGGCACGAGCTGTCTTAGCAATGGTACCTATTCGAATAGCACGGGGAGCTTCAACAATAGCAGAGCCTTCTGCAACATATCATTAAGTTTGAGCTCAGCAAGTCTCGCTACGACTGTAGATCTGTCAAGTTTCTTTCCTTCGAGCATCCCAACACCAGCATCATTCATTGCGCCAAGAAATCTCACCACAACACAATCATTGAAGACTCCGCCATCGAGTACTTCCAAAACGGACAAGCCAAGTATCCGAGGATCAAGTGTGTCGAACGTCGTCTCGGTCAGCATTCCAAAAGTGGAAACATCAAAACTCAATTTCACAACAATAGCCAGCATAGAGGCACTAGCAACAGGATTGCATGCGAGTAGCGGAAAAAGTCTTGTCAGCAGTATCTCGGAGTCACCAGCTCCAAGTCCTACTAAGCGTGATAATTCGAACGTTCAGACTCTCAGGTCCAGGACTTCCAAGGGCATGCCAACATTGCAAGCCACCCCGAAGTCAACAGCATCTGCTGGGTTAGATACAAGAACAGGAGTTCAATCAAACCCGGTCAAACAAACTTCAACAACATCGGGAGAAGTCTATCTCACCAACCCAGTCGCTTCTCTTCATACTTCACTTCTCAAAGTGGGAACATCAAATCTCGGAGTTCCAACTCTATGCAACATACTTTCCTCGACGTCATCAAGATTGGATGATATTAAGTCAGATGCCAAGCAGGGATCTTCCATCGTATCTGTGGGCACAGCAAAACTTGGCAAAACCATTCCAGCCAATACTCAAAGCACTTCAGTAGTGAAGGCTAGTGCTTCTGGCTTGGTGGTAACGGGTTTTTCTCCAGCTGCAGCACCGACTGCATCAAGAGATGTTTCATCCTTTTTGGAAGTGAAAGCAGTGAGCTCCTCGAAGACGTCCAATCTCGCACCAATAACAGTCCAGAATATTGGTACAAGTCCCTTGGCCGCCTCGCCAGGTCTTCCTACGAAGAAAGTCACAAGTTCGAACTTACAAGTAACAGCTTCGTTGAAAGGCCTGTCATCATCCTTATACAAGGTTCCGCAAAGTAACACTGCATTGCCTTCGAGTTCGTCACGGCAAGGTGATCTTTCTGGTTCTGCGAATGGTGCATCCGAGAAGATTGTCAGCACCCAAATCCTGGCTAGAGGGGCTTCTTCAAGACTAGACATCTCAAGTACAGTGAAAGCCGGGCTCAATACCGGCACTGCTTTGAGAGCTTCGGACGTGACACCAAGCGCGTCGAGACCAGATGCTCTTTCAACCGATATTAAAGGAGTTTCTACCTCGGATGCTGCTCATCGTAATTCAAATCTCCTGGTGACAGGCATTTCAATCCTCAACGTCTTCAGTACGGGAGATACTGGCTTTGGAACAAAGATAAACTCTGCCAGTTTACCAAAACTGACCTCTACCAGCATCACTCTCATCACATCGAAAGTTATAGGCAACACTCAAGCTGCAACTCCCATCATATCACCAAGGAAGCCAGATCTCAGCACATCGATCATAAACCCACTCTCGTCCAAGGGGGATGTGAAGAGTCAAATTCAGTCCATTATAGCTGCATCGAAGAAAGTCGAGTCAAGCACAGACCAAGAGGTCGGTTCATCTAAGCTTGTTGTCCAAACCCGCTTGGTATCATTGATCGTACCTTCGGATGGACCCGAGATCAAGACCTCAAAAGTAGACACAATGTTGTCCAAGATCAATGTCAATACGGCGATACCCTCACTCGTAGCATCTTCTAGAAAGGCTGATGGAGTCACTTCTAAGTTGGATGCACCTTCATCTAGGATCAACGAAGCTACACTAATCACATCCTTCGTGGAAACTTCCAAGAAAGGTGTTATGGGTAGTTCAAAATTGAACGCAGCTTCGTCGGTACTCAATGTCAACACACCACCAGCATCATTGGCACCGTCTTCGAAGAAGGCCGACAAGAGTACCTCGAGAGTAGACGCAGTTTCTTCCGACCCTGGCACCATGACACAACCCGCAACTTACCTTGCATCCAACAGGAAAATGGAGACTACTAAATCTGAGTTGAAGCCTCTCTCATCTGGGGCTGATGTCACTACGCCTGTTGCCACTTTGATAGCCTCTGCAAACAAGCTGGACACAAGCACATCAGCTATTAAGCCACTTGTTTCGTCCAAGGCCGACGTTGACACACGTTTTGCCTCTCTTGTTGCATCCAATCCAAATTTCAAGACTAGTACCTCAAATATAAAAGCTATTTCTTCCAAAGCAGAGATCAGCGCACCGCACATGTCTTTAGTGGCTTCAGCAAAAGACCGAGAAACCAGCACATCAAATGCAAAGCCGGCCGTATCCTCTAAAGCTGGCCCAACTCAGGCTGCAAGTCTCGTGGAATCAAACAAGAAAGCTGAAACAAGCACATCAGATCTGAGATTTGCTCCATCGTCTAAAGCTGAGATCACATCTCAGCCCGCATCTCTTGCAGCTTCTGCAAAGAAATTTGACCTGAGTACGGTAAATGTACAGCCGATCTCGTCAGACGCGGGTTCCGCTATCGAATTTCGTCTACCTGCACCGACCTTAAGGAAACCATACACCACCAGCATCTCACATCTATCATTTCATCCATTTACCCCAGCTTTGAGGAGTGCAGACGTCAGAACCTCACATGTGAAGCTAACTTCTTCCGAAGACGCTGTTATAACTCAGCTTCCATCAATTGTTGGTTCCTCCAAGAAAGTTGAGATCAGTACATTAGACGTGAAGCTAGTCTCTTCAAGGGAGGACATTCCAAATACTCAACCCACCGGGATGCCCGGACGATCGACGATGCTCAAAGTCAGAACTTCAAATCTTGTCCCGACGTTGTCTCAAGACAGAGCCAGCCAACAACCAACTGCGGCAATGGAGACGGTGAGAGATATCACCAGCGCCGCACGCCTGGTTACGACTATGCTGAAAGTCGAACTTAGTACAGCAAAAGATGCTACAAGCGATCAAGTTTCAATACCAGGGGTCATCAGTACCGTGGCAGAGGGAACCAATGCTCAGTCACCATCACCGCTGAAGACATCGATGGCAATCGTAGCAAGCACACTGGTGCTTCAACGAAGTGGCAGTAAGCCAGCCAACACTATGTTAGTCTTGACAGAGACTCAAAAGCTCGACATCAGTACAGCAGCAGACATCACGAACGGTCAATCGCCATCTCCCGTTAAACCATCTCTGGCACCCCTAATCAGCACTGCAGAATACGCCAGCAATGCTGAATCACCATCACCTGTCAAGACAGTGATCCCGATTCCCACAAGTATAGTCGTCCACGTCCCCAAAAGCACTTTCATCAAACCCCCACCGCCGCCCCTCAAGACAAGCGGTCGCCATTTCGTGCAAACGTCAGCAAGACACGAAGCACACCACAGCTCAGCTCCAGCCATACTAAGCCTCCAACCCGCTTCCAGCATCTCAAACCCTCAACCCACAAACTTCATGTCTTTCGAACCCAACCTTCTGACGGGCAGCATCCTCAGCTCCACAACCTCCCTCATAAAAGGCAGCACAAACGCAACCAACGCCTCCCCGCAGTATCCCCAAATCACCTCCTCCTCAAACGCGACCACCCACCACCACGGAAACGGGACCTGGAGCGCGCCCTCGAATTGCAGCTCCGTCTCAAATTCAACAGACTGTGTGATTGGGAAGATGAGTAATAACACAATGTTGTTGAACGCTACGAGCATCTCGATGAACGCGACGAGTAGCACGGTTATGTTGGTTCCGACGCCCGCACCAGAGGGCGATTGGATGAGCCTTGTTCCGAATCCGGGCAATGGGTTTGCTGCTATGGGGCTAAATGCTCCTGCGCCGCCGAGGGATTGATGGTGATGGTGAGTTTTGTGTCCGGGATATGGGATAAAAGCTAATATCATCTTAAGGGGTCTGAAGGATGGATAGATTCATGTATGCAAATTTACACGGTATATGAGAGCGTTATAATGTTATAATGGATAGAAAAGAAGAAACAAGAGAGAGATTGGGTCATTCTAGGAGTTCGTTTTGCAATTATCCCAGCTAGTGGATGATAGGGCTGAAGAACGCCGAGATTTCTTCCATGTATACAATTATTAAACTGCGGAGGCATTCTCTAGGCGTTTTGGGACCTGTGTTTAGACATAACAAAGATAGATTTGCAAACAAGCAATAAGCGCGTGACAGGCGTGAGCGAAACGTGATGACCGACATTCCAGTGACACGAACACAGCTCTGTCTACGCGCGTGCCTGGATGACGCGAGCCTCATTCTTGATCCTGTCGGATGAGCTGATGATACTTGTTCTGTAAAGCAAGGACAATCTAGATCTCGGCTCCTTTGCCGGAACTCCAGAAGGCCGCTCGCCAGAGAGTTTTGTTCCATCCAAAGCGTAATGTCAAGTAATTTCAGGAGAGCAAGGAGCAAGCCGAAGTGAAGTCCCTCTGATTGTTAAGGGAAAGCACTTGCTTCTTGACAACCAAAACCCAAAGGCAAGACTGGCAAAATGAAGCTCTTCGTCGGTTTCTTATTTCTGCTCTTCAACGCGGCGAGTGCCTTGGCTCCTCCTAGCCTACCTCCTCCACCGCCTCCTCCCCCGCCGCCAAAACCCACTCCATCGCCGATACACTCCAATCCATTGCCAGTGCCTTCGGAACCTCCTCCAGCTCCTCCACCACCAAGTCCTTCTCCCATAAACTCGGGCTAGCCCAGCCCAACCCTGCTCTCCCGGTCTTTTCTGGACTTCAGCCGCCGAAATCTGGACTTCCAGTACCACAGCCAAGTCCTGCACCATTAACCTCTGGATACCCAGCTCCGCCGCCGTATCCTCCCTTGAGCTATTACCCACAGCCACTTCATCCAAGTCCTCTGTCCTCAAAGTCTGCCAACAACTTACCACCCGACCCTACAGCAAGCCCAGCTCCACCTCCACCGTGGATGAGCGCTCCTCCCCTTCCGCCACTTTCCTCAACGCCTACTAAAACCCTAGGAGTTGTTCAATGGAGCAATTCAACGAGCTTACTGCCTTCGTCGACAGCTTCAGCGTGTCCCATGCCATCAGGGGTATCCTTTAATAATACTGCCATTGGTGAGACTGCTCACCCATAAACAGATACAAGCACTAACTCGGTACCAGAATACGGACTCTGCGCCGGAAATTGCTCAACAGACACTGCTGCAAACCTGACATCGACTTTCGTCCAAACTCTCGTGACATCCGACTACACCAGCAACTCCTCGACGTATTTTTGGGATATCCTCAACGCCACCTATCCTCAGTTCAACAACTTGAATGTAGCAAGATGGAAACCGCATAGTGTAAGATTTGGACAAATCAAATGATATCAAAGAAATAAACTAATGGTAATGTAGAATATAACAGACGACGCCTTTACCTGTACAATAATGCAAAAGATTGGGACGATATGGGTTTGTACCGCATACATATATGTACCAGGCATGCCGGTCAATGTTGTTGGACTGCCGCCTCCGCCTTGGAGGTTGGGACCCTTTCCTCCTGGTACGGTTGTGGTTATTGTGTGTAGATTGAAGCTAGCCCCATTGCTTCCCAGAAGGGGGTTGATTGGGTGACGGAAAGGAGCTATGGTGTTTGTGGGAGTTCTATTCTGTTGAAGGGATTTGCAGTGAATGCCCAATATGAGACTAGAAGGGCTCAATATAAATGGGGAATACAGATTGAAATTAAGGCTTCGTTGCGCAGTTGCCACTCACTGAGAGCTTTGAAGTGTGCCACAAGCAGTCACACATGAGCTATTCCTTTCTTGCTTCTACAACGCCACAGCGATCACACTGCAAACATCAACTTTGATAGAGGGAGCCTCGACTTTGAAGATCAAAGTCGAGGTTGAGATTTATCAATACCCGGAAGACCGGAGCCGAGACTCACTGCGCCGCACTAAAAGTTAAGCTTACTAACAATAGATTTCAGGGCTTGCGATAGCGTTTCAGGGTCAGCATCGGCCGTGGATAACGCCGTTGAATACGAGAACACGAGCTGTTGCCTTCTCGACGACGAGTTCGAGATATTTTCTCAACAGTGATTTTCTTTCTCTTTTCTTACTCTTTCTCTATCACCCACCTTCACTTGATCCATCTTCCTCCCCTCTCTGTCCAAGATGGGCTCCAGCAAACTGAGCCAGCCTCCGGCAGCTTATCGAGATGATCCTGACTATGCTGAGACAGCTTCAATGAGCTCTGCAGTTCTTCTCGACGACGTTGAATCCGCCTTTCCAGAGGAAGAACTACCAGCATATACCGATGAACCATCTGCCCCTCTCGTAGACCCCTCTTGCTCCTCAGAGTCCGCTGCCCCTCCTCCTGCTTCCGAACAAGCAATTCTTCATGGCTATTACTGGTATGCCCCTCTCCCAACACCCTTTGGCAGCATTAACAATGGTTAGCCCACCTTGCGAACTTCCATTCTCGACCCACGATCTCAGCTACACCGAATACCGAACCCGATTCCCAAATTACTCCACAGACAGCAATCAACTCTACAAAATGATCCGTCACCAAGCTGCTCACTGTCCCTCCTACTTCGTCACAATCTACGGCACACACACTGAGACTCGACGAAACGGAAACAAGGAAACAAAAGACAAGATCACAGATTTCCACCTCCGAATCAACATCTCCTACCTCCTCGGCCAAATCGGCAGCGGGAAAATGGAGCTCCTCGCAGACAACAAGCGTGGCTACCGCGGAACTCGTCTCGCAAGCCTAAAACCCTCCGTCTCTGCAGACGAAGAGAATGCCCCAGATGAACTTCGTCGCTGGTGCGATCGATACGTCGCCGATCCCTCTGGCGTGAAATCCTTCCTCCTCAAACGCAAAATCCTAAACCACGATACCAAGAAACTAGAACAGCTGATCCGCTCCGCCATCTCCGAGACGAATTACCGCGGCCACGTCTCGATCGACTTCCCCATCCAGCACCAAAAAGTCCTCGTCTACTCCCCCGGCCGACTGAACGAATGGCGCATCACGGTCTGGATCAGATGGTTCTTCTACCTCACCTTTCTCTGGATCTTCGCCTGGCCGGTCCTCTTCTTCATGACGGCCCGGTACGAGGTCGTGAAGGTCAACTATCTGTACGCGACTGAGGAGAGTGGACATCCGGCGAGAACCTGCTCGGTGATGTCCGAGGTGGAGTGGTATTATCGGTGGCAGAGCGCGATTAAGAGAGCGGCGTTGGCGAGGATGGTGTGTAAGGATACGTGTCTGGATGAGGAGTATAGGGCTCAGACGCAGTTGGCGGATGAGAGGGGTGAGAGGGTGGGCAGGGAACCGGATATTCCGAGGACGGGCAATACGTGGGCGGATGGGGCTTTGGGGTTGCTGGGGCAGGGGTTGAGGGTTGCGGAAAATTATAGTAATGCGAGAGGGTGGGGTGCTGATACTTGAGGGGGTGGAGGGATGTTGTAGCGGGTTTTGGCGTTTGGGTTGGATATCCGGAGTGGGAGTCTCTTCTGTTGAGCTACGGCCACAATGATGCCCTTGAACTTTTTTAAAAATTTTCATATATCGCATGAATGAACGCTATGGACTTCAATACTTAACTTTCCATAAAATCCTCACTTCCTCCTGTGCCTTTGGCGAGTGCCAGGAAAATTGTCCCCAAGCTTATTCAACAGTTTACCCGCCTGCATTGCTACGCTATGTCTGTTCTTCGATTGTTGAAATTCATTGAAGGAACTACCCTCAAGTATCAGCAAAGAGCGAACAGATTACAACCTGCTACAAACAATCAATCGTTGAAGGGTAAAGGATCACGGAATAGCGGTACTTGCTCAATCTTTGCTTCAGGAGAACAAGAATGCCCTTCCTCAATCGCGAGCTCAAATGCTGAAATAGTATGTATTGTATTTCAAATACGCACTACCAGGGCCCCAAGAGGGAAACTTTGTCCGAATATGCCCATCCGGGAAGCACCCGAGGTGAACCAGAGGTAAGCATGCCATCAAGCTAATTGGATGATTAGAGACGAGATGTTTGTAAAACTCACAGCTATGATTGTATTTGGAGCAAAACAGTGTCTCTACCTACGCCCTCGCTTAATCCTCGCTAAACCCCCCTCAGTGCCAAACAACCAATGAAAAAGAAACAGCAATAAAAAATTCCCCTCAATCCAAGTACAAATCAATAGAACCCAAAGACAAAACGTTTAAAGCACCCGAAGGTGCAATAAACGCCCAAGTGCGAAACTTGTCCGATCGAAGATGCCCCCGGGCCGGGGTGACCCGGGAAGGGAGGGGGCATGTTACAATCCAGCCCGGGTGCGCCAAGTCGACAAGGCGCTTGCTGGATTGATGGGTGGGAATTGCTTATTCGAATCTATCTATGGTTACTGGCAAGCGTTCGAAATGGGACTAGCTTGGATTTGCAGCTAAGAACTTGGTAGTGGTGGGTGACGAGTGAACGCGAGTTCGGGTATTCATTTTTTGGGGGTAAGGTATTGCAACTGCCTGCAAGGGCTATGGAGTCATAGGTCCTCGTGTATTTATTCACAGTCTTGTGGAACTTTACAGCTATTTTGTTCATAGCCTTTTGGTATTGAATGGATTATGATTGAATTTAAGTGCTATTGTCGAGCATTTCTTAGCTTCAGTAATATTGATATCTTTCCAATTGGTGAGGAAGGAGAGGGGAGAGAGGATCCAGGCGTCGGCGGTGGAGACGTGGAGGGCGTTGTTGCCGGATGGGGAGGAGCAGAGGGGGAGGGACGAGGGGATTAGGGGGTGTGGAGAAGGGGGGAGGAATCCGGATCTTTGGGCGGATGGGGAGTGGCAGGATTTTATGTGGGGGGTGGATGTTATGAGGGAGTGTGTTGAGGGGTGGGAAGGGTTGGTTGAGAGGGTGTCTTTTGGAGGTTTGGAAAAGGGGCTTTAGTGAGGGTGGTTGGTTATTGAGCGATAGAGAGGCAAAGGAGTTTTGGGCGTAGATAGTGTGATGGGTTCAGAGCTTTGCAATTTTGGTTTATGATACGAGTCTTCATTTCGAGTGAGTGCTACCGTGACCTTAAAATCAGTAGCAGAATACTCAAAGCCGCATTCCCATCCTTGTCCTTGTCAAAAGTGCAAATCATAACCCCTTAGCATACACTGCGAAGAACATTCTCCCCATCCTGCCTTCCTCGCTCGCTCAATCCTCAATGCCATCCCACTTTTTGAAGACACCAAAGCCTTGCTTGATCTTAAGCTGTCTATCCTTATTCAAATCTTCTTTAGTAACCTCAAGACTCGAGGGCGTAGGCTTGAAGAAAGAAGGCGAATTGAGACCGTGGGGCGTGTCGTCCTTTTCCTTATCCTTGCTCTTTTTCTTGTCCGCCTTCTTGATCTCCTTCTCATTCTTCTCCTTCACGCCTCCATTTAGAATCTCACCTCCTAGTTTCTCCAAGAACTCGTCGGCCTCCTTGAGATGCTTGGTGCCCGCAACATGATCAGGTGTGACAGGCTCGGCAAACATATCGAGAAAGCGCTTGTGAGTCTTTTCGAGCTTCGGCTTAACGTTCTCTTTCTTCTCACCAGCCATACCAACAGCACGTCTCAAATCCTCCTCTCGAATAACCAACTTCTTACCCCTATTCTTCTCAATGAACTTGGTGATGCCAGGATCGAGGTTGCTCTCGCTCTCATCATCGCTGGAGGTTGAACTTGAGGAGTCGTCGTCGGCTGAGTCAACGCCAGTAGATGGGATTTCGATTGGGGCTTCGTCTTCATCTTCATCTTTGGAAGAGCTAGAAGATGAAGATGAATGTTCTTGGATTGCGAGTCTGGTCGTCTTTGATGGGGATGCCGTGCCGGAGGATGAGGAAGACGAACTTTCTTCGGTGGCGATCTTGACTTTCTTGCGTGGGGGCCCTGAGTCAGAGGGGGAAGATTCGTCTTCATCAGAGGGTGATGAAGAAGCGTCAGAAGAGGGGATAGTGTGTTTCTTTGAGAGAGGTTTGGCTGCAGGTTTCGAGGGAGAGGCACTTGGCTTTCCGATGGCTGCGGCGCTCTTGAGCGTTGCGGCGGCGAGCATGGGATTCGATTTCTTGTACATGCTGCTTGCTGTTCTTTTGGTTCCCATCTTGAGGGAGTTTGTGGGTGTGGTGGGTGTGGAGAGGTTGAGGTTGGGTCGGGGAAGTGTGGGAGGTATCGAGGAGAGTTGCGGGTGGAGGTGGAAAGAAAGCGATCTAGTGGGAAGGTGAATTCATTACTAGTGATCGAAGCTGATATGCTGTTCAACTTTGAAAATGATACATGATGCATGTTTTTTTCAATTTTACTACCATGGCTTTTGGAGGTCTAGGTCGCCTAAACCAAGTAGTGCTCCTTTACCTCTCCTCCCGTATGTTTCATCAAACAAGATCCATGTCCGAGTGATGATAGAACCAACTTAACCTTCTCAAGCTCACGGGAGCCTCCGTATACAGAGGTATACCATTGATCGCAAAAGCCTGGATGAGCTTCTGACCCTCCGCTTCAATTACCCATTCTAAGAACTCCTCTGCTAGCTCCTTGTTCGTAGCGTTAGTGCCTACCAGAGCATGAACCGGACATAACAGGGGATCTTTCTCATCATCTCCGCCTCGTTTCTAGGTTCTTTGTCAGATGATTTCTTGCAACGGTCTCGGCATATCTCTCAAAGCAAGATAAGATGACTTACGAAGACCATCATGTTCTCCCTGGTCTCTGCATCTGCAGCGAGCCAAGTGCCTCCTTCAATGAGTGTATATTCTTGCATTTGCGCAGCCACTTCCAATGCTTTGGGCGACGTGTTGACATATCTGTGATACCAGGACGAATGTATGTCTGACCACGGAGCCTGGCCAATCGTGGACCACAGATTCGACTCTTTCACATTGGCGGCCGATGCGTCAAATTTAGTCAAGAAATGAATCGAAGGCGACGCTCCTGACGTGCAAATCCCCGCAATGAAGAGCGTGCTCAGCAGTTCGAATATCGATTGGCTGCCATCTGTAACCAGGCCCGCGGGATTCCTTTTCGGACCTGTTATCTCGATTGGGGGCTTGGGGGGCATCTCACGCATGGTGGAACTGCGTACCGCCCAAGACCCAATGATCGCGGAAGCAACACTCGCGTCGGCTTGCTACCCCTTGTGCGAGAGCGGTCTTCTGAGATAAGAGGTGACAAGTTACCGATATATCAATGACATTTTCGGCCAGGAGGTTGAATGGTCGCGCGTCCACTTCGTACCAACCTACGGCGAAACGTCCCAGCTTGCGATCACTTGCTGTCGAACGGACGAGATCTTCTGCGAGGCCTTTCCACAAACCAGAATAGCCGGAGCTCCCAACACCAAGACGGAGTTTGATGGGCGAGTTTTGTTGTCCGTACACTCCTGACGGTGCTCAGAAGGACGGCGCCTCTCCGTCTCTGTAGATGTATGAAGCCATGTGGAAGGTTCGAGCTCGTCCAAGTCGTACAAAGAGAGAGAGTTCGGATCGGGTGATTTTTGACAGCTGTTGTGTTAAGTCTTACAAGGTACAAGATCAAGGATATCATGATAAGGCATACGGCATAGGATCCTATCGTCGGGTCTTTCCTGGCGTCTGGTGCTCCTTTTGCTTTCTACCTTGTAAAAGGATAGAGCAATTTCACTGAGGTTTCATCTCTTGATGTTTGTGTAACCCTCAAGGTCTAAGACCCCGCATACGCTGGAGAGCTGCGCGCGTGACAATTGTGGAACCTGAGCAGGAAAGATGAGGCTGGAAATCAGACGGGATGAACTATTGGGTGCAACTTCAGGCAGCAGCAGCAGCAGCAAGGAAAATGTGAAAAAACAAGGTCAGACATTCTTTTACTTGAGGTAACACAAGAGATTGCTGGGGCTCTGAGCATCGACGCCCGGCTGCGTTGAGAGAGCTCATGTTCCTTGACTCATTGCTGTTGAAAGCCCTGGCCTGTAGCTAGTTGCGCTTCGACTATTCATTCAATTTATCGCGCAATTTATGGTCTTGTTGAATAGCAAGTGGGACATTGCACGAACTTTTGTGAGCAACTGAAGGCTTGAATCTGGGCAATGTCCGTCTATTAAAAGCTCGTCAGAAGTAACTAATAATGTCAGGTCTGCGTCTCACCAAGACGCTGCTTGCGCAAGCCTCTCCTCCCTTCCGACTGATCGCACCCAAGACACAGCTCTGGAAGAGAGGGATCAGTCGAAGGATTCGGCTGCATCATCTGGAGCTCAAGCAGAGAGGACCCCCGGTATGGCAGAGGAAAGATATGTTGGTTGTAAGCAGATTCAGCGGAGACAGACATGGAGGGCCTTTGTTCATGTGGTACCTTTCCAGCAACCAGACAACTTCCGGTTGAAGGATACCGAAGAGAGTAGGCTGGGAATCAGATTTCTAGATGCCGTTCCGGCCAAAAAAGCTAAATAAATGATTCAATTACACAGTTGTCCCTTCTCGATTTCTTTTTGGCATGCAATCTGGCGACAATGTTCCCAGGCTTTGAGACCTCGAATCATTCACGCCTCCACTTCAAATGGTCTCGGGGCAGAAAGCAGATCATACGGACCTCTACACTCTCTCGTGGTATTTCCAAGACGTTCTGCCGGAATTCTGTCCCGTGAGGCGGATAGTCTGTCTGGTAGTTAGCGGCTTCGAGCAACATTTTTGAAATCATTACATGGCTTAAGTACAGACCCGCGATTTTGGACCCCTCGTTGGACTCTGGCATCCAAGATACTGACATGGTGACTTCTGTTGGAAGCTGGTGTGATAGATAATACCACTTATGCCATTCCCGGTGGTGCAAAAACAGACCTTTCTCAACCCTGTCAGGCATCACTTTGTCAACCTCTTTGAGATCTGTTTTAAGCGCCGAACGACGATCGCAAAACATCAGCGGTGCATTGATGACCTCGCGCAGAGGACGCCAGCAACTATATCTCCTTAATCGTGCTGTTTTGAGAAAATTGGGAATCAACGTGCCGTTACTTGATAATCATCATTTGATGTGTCCCGGACTCTGCTAAGTCCATTTCTTCTGGAAGCAGGTGCATCCTAAGCTGATCCCATCCGCCACCACAAGAATAATCTGTGATTGTCAGTGATCCAGAATTCGAACGCATCAAGTTCAAAGAGCCTCTCACCGCAATGAATCGTGCTGCCTACTCCTCGTGCTTGGTTTCTGATGCCCTTCTTCTCCTTTGATGTTGGTGCGTTTCTTCTGAGCTGTGCTACCCCTAAGAGTGAGTATTGGGCTACTACCTACTGGGTAGTTTATGCTTACTCGCCAATCAGATAAGAAGACTTCACTCGAGCCTGTTTCTTGCTTCACGAGCCTCATCATCTTGTCCAAATACGGCGTGATTTTGCATGTCTCTGCTGGAGACTCGATATCTTCAACCACAGAATCGACGGAAAAGCTTGCCACGTTCATCGACAAACATCAATTAGTGCCTCCCCAGCAAGACTTGCGCCAGAACGATCGATCCCCCGAGTTCCCCTTCAAACTGAGGAAGCGTTGGGTTTTTCACGAGACTAGTCTCCGCCAGCTCGTTCGCCGAGACTCGAGAGATCCGCTGTAGCTTGAGCATTGCTGTGACCGCAAGGGACGCGTGAGTGTGTCGCGAGAACGAGCCGTCGGGACGTGGAATGAATGCTGTGCTGACGAGGAGACGGCCCTAGAATGGAAACCCCTCGAATTCTGGTCACGCTGAAGGAGCTGGTGTGTCTTGGGAAAGACACCAATGCCTTTCTGCAAACCGTCGACGAAGTTTCGAGGCGAAATCGCGAGCTGGAGGCAGGGCTACTACTTGGAAATGCTGCACGAGAGCTAACCCTACCCGGCGGTGGATCCGCAACGAGCGAACAAGCAGCATTTCATTTGCGAAAGCCGCTGAAGAGAGAGATGCTTCTTCATCCGCACTCGTTTCTACCGCGCCTGTGGACGTTGTCCGCATCAATCACTACGACAGTCCGCCGCATGCAGTCGTGCCTAGCCTACCTACTGGCCTGCTCCTGCCAATGCCATCGCAGCTCGTCATTCGAACTGAACAAATGGCTCTCTTCGGTCCTGGGCATTCTGTTTGTTTGTGGGCTTTTCAGGCCCGCCGATGTTTGGAGGCGCGGAATGCACCGATTCGAGATGCGCTCAGAAGGATGATCGTCAGTTGCGGGTAACGTTAACGTATTATTTTCCCACTTGGATGTTCAATCTAGTCATCACTTTCATGGCAACGTGGACGGCGGGTGGTCCGGCGCGAGGCTTCTTCAACGTCGCCCGAGTCGTCAATCCTGCTTCCGACATCTTCACATTCGCACAACAAGGTCATACCGAGGGAATCAAATTGCTGTTCTCCGAAGGGCGTGCATCGCCGTTCGACGTAAGTGCCCACAATGGACGCTCCGCGCTGAATGTAAGCCAAGTCTCATCATATCTCTGCGCGCGCTCGGGAGGCACCTCATTCTAATACAACAAAGTACGTCCGCTAAATGAAGGAATTTTCGGTTTGCAATTACACATAGTCGAAACGGAAAACCCTCCCATTCAACAAAGCACCCGACCAGAGATATACACTTCAGAGGTATGCTCATACTACATCAAGATACCTAAGATTAGTTTATGTACCAATCCCAATTCTCACTCAAGGCTTTATGGACTTGCTTCGCGGCCTCCTGGTCCAGCTCATACACTTTATTTTGTTCTTTAACATTGCTCAACTTAAGCTATAGCTACATACTTAAAGTCATAGGTCTAATATCCTCCTATTTATTAATAGCGGCTATTAATTGTACCGATATATAGTTTTATCTAATATTATAACCAAAAGAAAGAAAGCAACTATACTCGACTAAACAAGATGATACGAACTATGAAAGCCTCTATAATAAATTTTCAATTTAAATAAAATAAAGCGATCGGAATAAATTATAATACTATTTTCCAAAGAAAATAATACTAAAATTTAATAATAATAACCTAATTATTATTAATAATAATTTAATTAATAATAATAATACCTTATAACCTTTTATAATAAATAACGCTATAGAAAAAGCGTAGCATAACAAACAATACTAACTCTACACAACTAAAGCCGCGGCCAGGATAACACTCTAAACACCGCCGCCATCCGTTCCTATATTCGTCTCGTTTAAGGAACGTCTTTGTGCGGATTATAGAGAGGCTGGAGGGGAGTTTATATAGAAGGGACGGAGGACGGAGGACGGGGGCCGAGGGAGGTGAATGGAGGGCGGAGAGTGGAAAACGGAGAGCAAAGGACCGAAAGAGGTGAATTTATAGATTTACTAGCCGCGGAGAACGGTTCGGAGAGTGGTAAGGCTAAGTAAGTGAATTAAATTAGCAGAGAATAAGAACAGGTTGGAAAATAGCTAAGCTTTTTAGTCTTATGGTGAATAAAAGCACAAATTTGTCACACTACTATCCACATACTTGTTCTCCGTTTGTTCATGCGTTGTCGTCAGATACTGCTCATTCTGCTTCGCGCGTCTGCGATATCGCAAAGCGAAGAAGAGTGCAGTGAGGGCGCCAGTTCCTCCTGACTCAACACGCTGATACTGAACACGAAGACAAACAAACGCTGTAACAGATCCCTACTTTGAGCTGCAATCACTGCTGATTCCACGTAGATCCTCAATCGATTTTGTCTTGGATCACTTTCTGTCGGACCCTAGTCTGCCTGCCCCTCAATCAGGAGCTCATGCGGGCTTTCAGCATAGACATCAAAGACGATGCCAATCTTCGCAAGCGACGTTTCTCCAACATGCATCTGGTAGTCCTCGGTCTTGTCTCCGTTGACCCAGAACAACATCTGGCAATATCTTCCGACAAGGATATCAATGCCCAAGATTCACTCGGCAGGACGCCATTACACTGGGCCTCTGCTCTGCGCGAGGAGATGTCGCTGCTGCTTTCTAGAAGCCTTCTCGATGCCAACGCGTCGACTACAATCCGAGATAGTCGCAACCAGATGCCAATCCATCACTGTGCCATGACCGGAAATGCAGAGGTCATGAAGCTACTCATTGTAGCCGCTGCTCTGCGAACCGGGACCACCAAAACGTGGCGCCCTCGCGTCCTTTGAGGAGAAAATCCAGCAGTTAGAAGAATCTCTCGAAACTCACAAGTTCTACAGTCCAGGCTTGGATGACACGAGAGAATATCAAGGCAGCGCCGCGTTGCATTTAGCAGCTCGGTGCGACCACATCGCAAAGGTTCGGCTCTTGTTTCACGGGGCTGACATCGAGAGACACGACTCCCGACAACGGACTCCCCTGATGATAGCTACGTATCTACTGAAACGCACATGCGACCATCTCTTGCCTCGTCGAGAACGGCGCACGGACTGACCAGGGTTACGTCCTAAGAAATGACTACTGTATCCTCCACTACGCTGCCCGGTTTGGCGATGCGCGAACGAACGTTGATGCTTCTAAAAACGGTGAGGATCACAGGTTGCAATGTCGATGCTCGCGACAAAGATGGAAGGACGGCCGAGGAAACGTTCCATGCTGTACGACCGGATAGGATAGCCTTGACAGCGATGAAAGCATGCGTCTGGAATCCGAAGCACTTTTCCTGGGTTTGCTAGACTAGGTCCGCGAGGCCGAAATCATTCATGGTCGATGACCATTTTCCCGATGAAAAGAGTGGAGATAGCAGCGACGACGAGCTGGAGAAATGGTTTGATGCTAAAATGAAGCTCGAAGAGAGTTCACTAGAGAACCCAATAGCGGACTTGGTTGGAGATTAATTTAATGAAGTAGTTGGGAATTGAGGTGTTCTTTAGGTTCGTTTATGTTTTACGCCATCTTACGAGACACGACTTCTTGGGTTGAATATTGCATGTTCCTTGGTACAGTTATTACGTGGAAGTACCGTCTGACGAAATCATCGATTCAAGTGTGCTCTTCCTATCTAAAGCTATCAGATAGATACACTGTAGCTCTCAACTAATTTTCATCTCCCGATTAAAGTTGTATTAGCATTTTCCGGTAATGGGGCAAGCCCACTAACAACCTCGAACCAACAGCTCAACAGGCAAATTCCGGGGATCGATGAAGTCTCGCTGATATCTCAATATAGTCCTTCTCGTTCTCGCCCGTGATGATCCCGTGCCGAATCAAGAAATCCACAATGACCAGGGCACAATTGGTCTTGAACTTGCCTGCCGTCTGCAACTCCGCCACATCCATCAACTTGAAGTTCTCGGCCTCCATATCCTCCGGCCGAGGAATCAAGCTGGCCGGCAGAGGGAGGTCGTACACATAGATGCATTCCGGTTGCAGCAACCCCGTCTCGCCGCCCGCCCTCTCATCCCGGACATCGAAATACGTGACGACGCCCACGGCCTTCGCATTCTGCCTCACCAACCCCTCTGGAATCGCCGCCTCCTCCACCGCTTCCCGCACGATCGACTCGAACGGCATCTCGCCCGTGGCCACCCCGCCCCCCACCGTATTGTCCAGCATGCCCGGGTACGTCTGCTTGTTCGCCGCCCGCTGCGCGACCTAGTACTTGATGCCGCCGTTGGCGTCCCGCACGTAGGCGCTCATGTGGACGCCGTAGATCATGATGCCGAACAGGGGGCTGGCGGCGCGCTCGATGCTCAGCAGGAGCTGGCGGCCCGGTCCGTAGACGGGGAACCGCTCGTTGCGCCACTTTTGCAGGACCTGGAAGTTGCCGCGGGCCGCGAGCAGCGTCTCGGCCATGCGCGCGTCGCGGACGGCGATCGAGGTGCCTGTCAGCAGGACCATCTTGACGGTGTGCGAGACGATCCAGAAGCTCGGCCAGGCGATCTTGGAGACGGTGGAGGGCAGCAGCCAGCCGAGGACCGCGTCGCAGCCTTCGACTTGGAACTTGTAGTATGAGGCTACATTGGATTCGTAGAGTTCAGGCTCGCGGTGTCGGTAGGGAAACCTGTTCGCAATAGGACGGCACGTGTTAGTTTGTTGATCATCTTGTTCTTTGATAGCTCTCGAGTGGTTGAGAACGTACTTGTCACACTGTTTGATGAGATCCAGATTCGACAACATGATTGGGCGTGTGAGTTCGAGATGGAAACCAGCGTCTTTCCTTCTGGCTGGACGTATGCTAGATAGGTAGGTGGGTAGGTACGTAAGTAGGTACGTAGGTGAAGATTGAAGATTGAAGAGCAAAGATCACGAGTGACTGAGTGACTGACGCGGTAGCAAAAGCTAGCTGTTTCCGAAAACGAAGGTGTAATGGAGTGGAGCGGAGCCTCACGATGGAAAGGGAAGGGGGATAGGATCAATGGCAATCAATCAATGGACATTCAGATTCGGGACTAGCGTGAAGTTATTCACCGCTCGCTCAACATCAATGAGTTGGGGGTGGCTGTCTGTGCTGCGTTTGTCTAGACGGTAGGTACCTACGTATGTATGTGTGCAAGCTCTCCACCACCCCGCTCTTTGCAACATATCAGTTTTGTGGCATTTTAAAAAAATGCAGAGTGTGCTTCTATCTTGCGCGTCAAGTTGTGAGACCTTTCTTATTTTTCTGGTAATGCAAGACAATTAATTCTATTCCTGGTAGTCTGGATCGCCGTTTCCCTTCTCGAGTGGAGCGTTTGGTATGGTATGGTATTCGACATCATGAGACTGGAAGCGATTCCGCCCGCAACTTCGCTTCATTACAAGAAGCATGTATGTCCCTTAGATGGTATTGCCATTGTCAATAGGAACCAGAAAGCCATCTGAATTATCTTGAACGCCGCCATGAAGGCTTACATTGCGCTTCCTGCTGTCGCAGCGTTGGTTTATCGAGCATACTCAAGAAAGTCCTTGACCCCTCTAGGTATTGCATCTGCTGGGATGACCGGCCTTGCCCACGCCCTTCATCCCTTCAGTCTCCCGTTCGCGTTGCTGTTCGTTTTCTACTTTGGTTGTATGAGAGCTACGAGGGTAGGTTTGGACGCTTCACACCGGCCTGCTTTTTTGTTGCTGATGTTGTGAACACCAGGTGAAGCATGAAATCAAGGCAAAACTCACCTTGAACGCTGCTGGTGGGACAGGCGGCGAAGGCACGCGAATCCATACCCAAGTCTTCGCGAATTCGCTCTCCGGTTCACTTTTGTGTATCATGTATGCATTACATTACTATCTTGACGTCGACGAGAAACCTCGATACGGTCAATGCTGGACCTGGGGCGCTGGCGCAAGCACGCAGGACGTTCTCCTTGTGGGAATCATAGCGTAAATTTCTCCGACTTTTCCCTCCCAACCCTCAGGGCATAATATCCTCAATGGACAGAGGAGCTGACAACAGAATCCGCAGAAATTACGCTGCGGTCACGGCAGACACATTCTCATCGGAGCTAGGAATTCTCTCTACCAAGCCACCCCGCCTCATCACGTCGAGAACGTTCAAGCGTGTGCCACACGGTACAAACGGAGGTGTCTCCAGCGTCGGGACTCTCGCTGGCGTACTAGAAGCATTTCTGATCGCCGTTGCAACCGTCATCCTCTTGCCAGTTTGCGACGGGTGGAGCGCGTGGCAGAACCTTTTCTGTCTCTGCACCGTCACTTCCTGTGGCCTGTTCGGCACCCTCATCGACAGCTTCTTAGGTGGCTGTCTGCAGGAAACCATCATTGACTCCGACACGGGCAAGGTCCTCGAGGCAAATGGCGGGAAACGGGTAACCCCCCCTTCCCATCATATACACAGAATGGCCTTTTTTTTTTGGCCTCCCACGTTGTTTTTGTTCTAACTTTCGGCTCCATGTAGGCACGCCTGAATCTAGCCAGCGAGTTCAAGAAGCAAACGGTCATAGGTAACGATTACCTCGACAACAACGACGTCAACTTGCTCACCGGCCTCCTGACCACACTCGGTGCCATGTTCCTTTTCTGCGCCTGGTGGGATCTACCTCTGGATCCCCTTCTCCCCGAAATCCTCGTCCTGCTATGCGGTGGCTTGCTCGTCTGGAGACTCGGATAATACACTCCCGTGTAAAATAGTAGTTAGGTTAGCTTCTAGCGTAACCGGAAACCGCAACAGAACAATGCAAAATGAGCCATTCTCCTCCTCACGATGCAAATAAAGAGAGCGTCTAGTAAATCTAGCATTCCTCCCTCCCTAGAGCGCGGTAGACCCCCCATCAACCCTCAAATCAGGTCCAGTGACATACCCCACCGCATCACCACTCAACAACAACAACAACAACGTCCCCAAACCCCGCCAAATCACCCAGCTTTCCCTTTCTCCCCTGAGCCACACCACCAACCAACCAATTGCTGATAAATCTTCGTCTCCCTCTCTCTCCATGACTTCTTTCATCTCCCCTCTATATATATGTATATATCCCGTCATTCCTACCTACCCGTCTCTCACCAAAACTCAGAACTTCAAAACCCCACAAAAGCCGTAACCATATACCGACCCCGCACTAACACAACTACCCTAATCCCAAACTCCGTCCCCTCCACCGCTATCCGCCTTCGAGGCATCATCCAGCGTCTGCCTGCCGCTGCGGCAAATTCACAATAGCGGCTGACATGCTGCCGATGAAGACCATACTTCCCGTAGTAGAATTGCGGGAAATGAGATGTTCGGAAAGGCGAAGAGGGGAGTCCCGCCCGTCTACGTTCATTTCACGGAGTAGAGACGGTGGATGGATACGATCTAGGGGGTAATTACGTTAAGGCGGGGAGGTTACTAGGTGGTTACTAGGTGGTTCAACCGCTTTTGGTGTGTGTGTGAGAAGAGGAAGGATCTCGGTGACGGGATGGCGGTCGGAGCTGGAGACGTACGTCGGTGTAGTGGGTTTGTTGGTTTGGGGATACTTTCATGATATCATTAGCAGGAGGTTGAGGTGAAGAGAGATGTGAGGTACGTACTTCACTTGTTGGTGTGAGGATATGCGGCCTTGAAGTCTGAGATTAGGTTTCCTGCTTCTTTTGTTACTTTGTCTTCTGGGGTGGGGGAGAAGTTAGCGATGTTTGGATAGTGGAATGGAGGAGGAGGGAGAATGTGCTTTGAATGTCTACGAGAGCTACACTTGCACCGCTGAGGATCAATGCTCGGCTCATGACGAGACCGAGACTTTGTGCGCCGCCGGTGATGACGCAGATTCTACCTGCTAAAGAGAAACTTGGTAGAGTTGGGGTCTTGTGTTTGCCATTCTGAGTGAGGTCGACGTGAACCATGATGAAATTGGTAAGCGCGTGTTAGTGCTACAGTTTGAATGTTGTGGAGGTTATGAGATGTCTCGAGCTTGGCGAGAATAATGAATATATATGTCCTGCTCATATATATGGCAATACTTTACACTCGTATCGTACCACTTTTATTCGTGGAATCAAAAGCTAGAGGCTCTGGGACAGCATCTGATCGTTCCTTAATAAGTGGATCAAAGGGTTTCCGAAGAACGGCGAGATAATCCAAGAATCGTCTAGTACAGGTACCCGTAAATGTATCACGGCCATAAGCTCTATTAGCCAGCAGATACCGTGATCATATGTCATGCAGGACTATATAAAAGAGAGCAAATGAAGAACTCAAGGCCGTGGATGCTGTCTACAGCGTCATCTGATCGGCGCGTTAATAACAGGGGCAACTGAATGTGAGGCTCGGGATTCCGCCCATCGGAGTAGGTTTATATCGCTCTTTAGTGGTATGATACATCTATGATGACTTGTAGCTGATAATTTGTGTCTGCAAGCACCCACATGCCTGTTGGAACCAGCATCAAAGAGATGTCACACAACGATTCATGTGACCCTACCAAATCTCTACCAAATTCAGATCATCGGAGTGTTATGATGATAAATTCTCAAATCCACTTGCACCTTGGATGCCGATGGGGCTAAAAAGTAGTACATTACATTTTCGCGTACTATTTACACCTTTGTCTATGTATTTCCCAAACTTGATATCCGATAATCCCAAAACCCATTTCATATACAAGTAATTCTCATATACCAACCCATTACTCATCATCTCATAACTCCATGTAATCATCAATCCCCAATCGACCTCTCTTCCACTGGATCCAGCCCATTCGGGCCTTCACTTCCATGTATCCCATTCCCCTGACTCAACCTCCTGCGAGTCAACCTATCCCCAGCCTTTTCTCTGAACCCTTCCCTGATCCCAGCAGGAACACGTTCACTCAATCCACTCCCCTTCCACTCACCCACCCCTTTGTCCCTCACGGCTCTCATTCTCTCTTCTTCAGCCGTATCATGCATACCCCTTGCAATCGTGGAGTTGACGGTTCCTCTTAGCGCTTCCCCAGCACCATGCAGACCTTTAATAGCAGCCGTTACACTTCCTCTCTTTCTTTCTAATTTATGTTCCTTTGCAGGTGTCGTTTCAGTCGTAGTGGCAACAGGAGAAACTCCCGAGCTAATCGTCGTCGTATTCCCCATATTGCTCTGCGCAAGATTGGTCGTAGACCCGGAAGGAGAGTGCACTCCAGGCCGACTGAAGTTCGGCGTCTTAGGTCGTGCGGCGTTGGTGGGAGTTGTTGGCGTCAACGGCTGTTCATGATACGAATTTCCTGGCAATTCAGACACTGGGTTCGTGTTCAAGGGAGCGACTAGTCCGTCTCGAGAGTTTCGCTTCTGGGAACGCAGAGGCATGGGTGGTGAGTCGATGGAGGTGTTTTGCGTGTTGATTGGGCTCGGTGTCGTGTTCGCGGGACTGTGGCCGGGAGAGTTGCGGAGCTCGGAACGAGGTGGGATGGATCGGCCTCCTGATGTGGTTCCTCCGCTGGCTGTTTTGTAGAGTGGGACTGGTGGGACGTCTTCTTCGGGTCGGCTGTACGCTTGATAAGTTGGTTGAGTGCCTGCAGATTGGCCGTTGTATGCTTGATTCCCGCTGTGCTGAGGCTGAAGTGTTCCGGGAGGAGGTGGGGCTGCATATTGGGGTTGTGTCTGCTTTGGTGTGAGTCTGCGAGATGGTGGTTGAAAGGCAGATTGATTTTGATCGGGAGTCGGGTTCGTCTGTTTGATAGTTGGAGGTGCTTGATTGTACATCTGCTGCCCATTTTGTGTTTGGCTCGGAGGGTTTGGTGATATCCCAGTGTTGGTGCCAGCATTCGCGGGAAGACTCTTGTCAACTGTTGTCTCGGAGGCTTGAGGAGGTGGGTCGGTTGACGGGTTGTATGGTGCAGAGTAAGTATGTGTCGTTCCATCTGGTGCAACTGTTGTCGTGGCTTTGCGCCTATTAGCATTTGTACGATTGTATCTAGGAGAATTGATTGAACCTACTTGTTGTCGTGGTCGTCGTTGTAGTTACTGTCGTTCCAGGAGGTTGGTTCTGGCGCTGTGGAGGAGGTTGACTCGGTGCAGCACTTGATCCAGCATCAGCGCTTGACGCATTGCTGTTCGAGTAATAGGCCGAATCATGGTAGCTATTGTTATGCTGTGGAGCTTGCCCAGGACTCAAGGTAGAGGTGCGATTGCTGCTTGGTTCCTCGCTCACGACGTCTGTCCTCGTTTTATCTTTATGTTTGAACAACCCCATACTGCTTGATTTTCGTAGTTCTGATGGACGAGGTTTGGTAAGTGGCATCTCAATTCACAATGACTGAGGTATTTCTTGAGGTTCGCAAAGCTGGGACTGGGGATTAAAGAGGGGTGTGGCTGAGGTGCCTGCAATGATGTAATGGTGAACTAAAAAGCGTGCAGAATCCTTGTTTCAGGGAACGATATGAATGACTAAGCATGATCGACAGAAGATCTACGCGAGAGGAGGTGGCTGGTGACAAAAGGGGAGGCGAGATGTGAAGCGAGCGAGACAAACTAGGTGAGGAAGTGAAGCTTGGCAGGCCCAGGCAGGAAAAACCTAAAATTTTGATTAACTTCAACGCATAGCTAATAGCACGAAGAATCTATCTATCCATCCTTCATGCCATCCTGAATCTCTTAATGCTTGTAGCCATGGCCTTTCCATCCTCAAATGACATATACTCGAACCCAAAAGATTTGTCAATCAAGCAGTATGCTTCGCCCCCTGAGATATGGCCATCCCTATCTTTGGTAGCCTTCTCGTCGAGAACAGACTTCTCTTGGAAGAGTTGTAGGTCTCCCTTGAGATTCACTAGAAAAACCTGGTCTTCCATCATAGTCGATGCGGCTTGCTGGATCTTTTGCCAGAAAGTTGCTTCCAGAGAAGTCCATTCACATACGTTCGCCCAGACGATGAGTTGAAGAATGCCAGATGTCCGGAATCTATTGTAGATTCGACCCACGCTTTGCATGATCCTAATATCGAGGCTTTGATAAGTATAAGCCCTCATCATGTAGCTAAACCAGGTCGCTGGATGCTGCTTGAAGCTGAAGAGGCCATCTGTTGGTTTATCTGATGCGTCCGACAAGTCTGTGATAACGATACTAACGAGTTGGATCTTTGGAGTTTGCGATTGCGTTTCTTCCTGCACTGCCGCTGGCACCGTTTCGAATTTTACTTTGGTTTCTCTTTGGGTCTCAACCCACTCCGATACCCTCTCTGCTGTGCAGTCCTCGCTCTCGTTCTCAGCTGCGACAGGATGATCGCCCAAAGGGTGTTTGCAATTGTCCTCGATAATTACGAAACTATCTTCCGAAATTGTTGCGACCTCTTCCTCGATATCACGTTGGCTGATGATGTCCCAGTCTGACATTGTTGAGATGATCTTGCGTGAGCCTCGTTTTCGGTGTTTTGGTACTCGAATGTCTTAAACACTATTAGCATTATTCTATAATAATGGAGATCTTGACAGTCGAAGCGCCGGCAAAGACTTACCTAGTGCGGTCATGCTGGCTTGTGACCCTCAGAAATATTGTTGTTTTCTTTCGCACGGTTAACAATGAAGGTTAAACAGCAGTAGATGGAATGAGTGTGTGTTCGTTCTATGATCGTAAATTTGTGACTAATATCTTTCGGACGACTTCAGATTTATATGGTGAATAGGGAGAATTACCAGATGGAAGAACATATTGATTGCAATTCGCTGAGACCGGCTTTACATTATGAATCAAATCTCGAGGAATGACACGATTGAACTGATCATCGATGAGTAAAATGGTGGTCACGAGCCCCAATGGCCTCTGGCTCATCCAAGATTATTCTCTATGATAATATCATCTGTACCTAATTACAAAACTCTCAAGCGCCTCCAGTACCCCAAGCAATTTTTAATTCCGCTTTAAGTGTTTCTATCCCCTTCAAAGAATTCAACTCTCTAATACCTTTAAGAAGAGACAGCAAGATATCTAGCCTTTCCCTCCTCCCATGCCAACCACTGAAACGAGGCCTCTGGACCCATCGTAAGATAGCAAGTACCATGCCGGATAACGTTTCCGCTCTTCAATTCTCCATCTTCTCTATTTCCCATATCAATCGCGCCACGAATGGCATCCATTTCGTCTTGGATTAACACAACATACTCTTTGCTACCAGCTTCCAAAAATGTGTGAATAGCCTTCAACGTTGCAGCGTAAAAACCATGCTCCTTATAAGCCGCCGTCCTCTGGAGAATATAGCACCATATGGCAGCCGAGACTAAGAATGGAACTCGTTGAGATGCCAAGGCTCGATGCAGCATTCTTTCAGTTGCAGCTGCGGAAGGATCGTTCTTGAATCTGTTGCCCATGATTGTCCCATACCATGTTGAAGGATGATCTGCCATTGAGACCATGTCTCTGGTGTTTGCGGCGCTCCGATACTTCTTTGGCTTCTGGTTTGTGAATATGACTTCGACTCGGGTGGGCTTCGAAGTGCTGGGTTTTGGTCCAACTGCTATAGAATTTGTGAGATTTTTACCACTAATACGCGGTGATGAACTAGGATTAGCTGAAGAGTTGACTTACCAATTTGCGATTGGCTCTTAAGCCATTGAGCGACAATAGATTTCGACTTGCTGGAGGGATTGCCGCCAAGATTCGCATTGCTTTTGTCTTGTGAATGCGAAATGATTTCGAAGCCATCGGATGACAGAGGACTGCCATTTGCGTCCCATTTTGATCCTGCTGACACTAGTGACCAATCCGACATTGTTGAGTAAGTGTTGAATTGCGATCTTCTGTAGAATATGTACAGAGAAAGCGAATTGATTTGTATTGCTGGAATTAAAGATTCTGGGTGGCCAACTTTGCGCTTGCGCATCAACTCTAGCTCGATGCTTAGTGCACTAGTCGGGTTGAACTGCACTCTGCCGGGAAAGTAAGTCATGGCCAACGGACATGCAGAGTTAAATCTTTCTCACGGCTTCTACTTGTAGGCTCTAAAGCTTCACAGGTCATACTTTATTGTGAAAGAAACATATTCGGAGTGTATATTCCGACTTAATAGGCTGGCTCAGATAGCTGTCGAGTAGAGTGTTTACATCAAGTACACGTCAATCTCACAATCTTGTTGATTCTTACCACTAGTATCAGTCAAAGTATAATTCTCAGCCAAATTTATTTATCTAGTTGCTGGAGATGCTAGTAGCTGTAAGTAGCAATTTGTCACCAAGCTTATGCCTCCACTCAAGTCCAAAAAGAAATGTGCAATGATTCGTTTCCATTACTTTCCCTCAGATGCACCTTGTTCACTCCATGCCCACCCAAGTCCTTCATATTCTCCTCGCTTCCTCATATACCTTCCTGGCGATTCATATGCCCAGCATCCAGCCATTACCCTTGCCCTCATCCGTAAACTCAAGTGAATCAGAGATCATCAACTCCAAGCATCGATAATCCGTCCGCATACGACTTCAATTCCAAGCCCCTCCCAGCTCGATACTCGAAGAAACACTCTCCATCCACAATGAAAGGAGTGCCGTCATAGAAGGTTGGCTTGCCGCCAAGCGCTCTCTGTAACTCTAGAAGGCATCCCTCAACTAGGACGAGATAGTGCTTCCCCTTCACATACTCTCCGGCAAGCTCCTCAACCTTCCTCCAGAACACGCTTTCGCCAGACTGAAAGCGGTAAGCTGTGGCCCAGAGGATGACCTGCAGAATACCCTCTACACCATGGTCCTTGTAAATCTCGGCTATGCTTTCGGCGACTCGTGTATCGATTGTGTCAACAGGTTGGTTGAGCAACATGGTTCGATACCACAGCTTTGCGGGTTGGTCTAGTGAGAAGCGTTCGAATTGAACTTGTTCAAATTCGTCGGACAGATTCTCGAGAGGGAAGACGACATGCAGGAAGGATCGAGATGTCGATGTCTCGGTTTTGATGTCGATTGGTGGCTTGGCGGTTTTGCGTTTTGTTCGCGCTTCAACCGAGTTGTTGTCGACTACCTGCCAGCCCTCGGATAATGGCTCCACCTTGGGCTTTTCGAAGAGCGCAAGTGCCGTTAGTGGTGCGAAGCTTTTATCGTTGATAGCTTGGGCGGTGGCTTCTTTGACAAGGTGCTTGGTTCTCGAGATGAGACCCCAAGAAGCCATCTTCGCAGAGTCGAAGTATTGGGACGATCTAAGAGGTGTTAGTTACCGTGGGGAGATGTAACATGTAATAGAGGGCAAGAAGAACGAAAGCGGATGTTGGGCGCAAATGCACTTACTTTCCAGAAGCTATTGGTTTCAATTGTGATTGGGTTGTAGATACTGTGAATGAATTGTAGTTATGATAGTCGTTATTTGGGAGTCAAGGTTGATGGTGTTGCGTTGATGGAAAGGTAGGAATGTCAGATGGAGTTGGAGTTGTTGGAGTTCCGACAAGTTGTATTTATAGCCATACGAAAATGATGCTGGCGCACTAGGCCAAGCGCAAGTAGACACTGTAGTTGGGATGAAAATTCCGAGTCATTCAATTGGATGGAAATAGTTCTGTTCAGCGGTGGGTGGTTTAGGTTGCCCCGTGTTAGATTATTTGGTTAATTTGGTTGTTATACAAGTATTAGGGCATGTGCACTGGTTGCGAAAAAGTTTCATTCTGGTCAGCATAGTCTATCTATTTGCTAATGATCCAACAACCAGGAAGAACGTGGCAAGAGTTATCTACATTGCTTCCATGCTCCATTCTCAAAAACCCAAACTCTATGCACCCTATGTCATACCCACGTAAACCCCCGTATGCTTGTCCTTATTGTTTAATATTAGAGGTACCGAGTTGTCGACAAGTTCGAAGGTAATCTAATTGTCGACTTCGAGTCCAAGCATCGACAGAGCCTTGGTATAGCCGACTAACTCCATTCCTTTGCCAGGCCAACAGGAAAAGAAGCACTCTCCATTGACAATGTATGGTGCACCGTCACTAAAGCACGTATTTCCACCCATTGCTCTCTGAAGCTCAGCGATATTGCCGGTAACACGCACTAGGTACTGCTGTCGACGACCCAGAAGATCACTTGCAACACCCTCAACTTGTCGCCAGAAGGATGACGCGCCTGACTGTAATTTGTATGTCGTAGCCCACATGATAACCTGCAAGAGACCCTTGCTACCATGCTCCTTCTGAATAGCCAAGATACTCGCGGACATTCGCTCATCTACAGTATCAAGTGGCAGTCCTGCAGATATGCTGTGGTACCATTTGGTGGCTGGTTGCTCCAACGAAAACATCTCGAATCTAACCTCTTCGAAGTCGTTGGATTGGTTGTCCAGAACAATCGTTGCGTAGTAGAAGGATCGCACAGGCGTTGTAATTATTCGACCCGCCACATCCGTTAAGCTTGGTGTCTTTTCCACCATTTCCCAACCATCCGAAAGCGCTTCTTCAGTCTTGTTGTTGGCGCTGCTGAGTCCGTTCTTCGAGAGCACAGGAGCTTTTCTGGCGATGGCAGTGATAGTCTTTGACACGAGGGGCCAACTGGGCATTGTTGCGTTTGTTTGTAGGGGTCTTACTTGGTTATTAGCTACGTGGAACAGACATGCGCAAAAGAGAGATTTTCAAGAATCTAAAGGCAGGTAAAGCGCAAAATTGACTTTACCTTTTCGTTCTTGTGAATTATTTTCGTCGATTAGCCTGTAGAAGAGGAGGATATTCTGTGATTGCGATCCTGTATGCAAGAGATTGTGTTCTTGAGATCAATGGCATGAAGGAGTTAAAAGTGGATGATGTAGAAGGATGTGCGGAGGTGTATATAAATAGTGCTATAGAATGGCGCTAGTGCGCAAAATTGAGCACTACTTCAAAATAGGATGCTAACGTGCAATTTCTCAAAATAGTAGATCCTATTGAGCTCAACTTTGTGATATGCTGAAGTGATCACATGGCTTCTGATTATCATACAGGCTTTTGAGAGATTACATATATTGACAAAACACTGTTTTCTCCAGACCCGCGAGTTCTCAATTATTAGAAATGCAAATTATCATCTATTGTAGTGCATCACCGAGCGGAAGAACTTATACCATTAAGCGCAGAGAAATCAGATCCAGAAATACCCCACGCCTCAAAAATGTTCCTGAATCCTTGCCTAAATTAGGAACAATTTTTCAGAATTAGACCGTTTCTTTAAATCCTCAACCGGAAATGATGTCGCAACATCTAGATCGCCCTTAAACCGAGAATGGAGAGCCCGTCCGAGTACGCGATCGGTCCAAATCTTCGTCCAAATCTTCCCTTTCCCATGCGGAACAAGTAGAAGCACTCCCCATCATTAACAAAAGCTGGAAAATCATGACCATTGACCGATGTTAATTCATCGAGGTAGCCGTTGAACAGAACAAGATAGTTGCCATCCAGCAATTCCAAGCTGAATTCCTCTACCTTCCGCCAGAAGGAAGATTCATTGATGTGGGCCTTAAAGGTCACAGCCCATAGAAGGACTTGAATAATCCCAGCAGTGCCATCTACCCTGTTGATTTGCGCTACACTCTTAGCAATCCGGTGTTCTAGGGAGGAATCAGGTTTGCCAGAGTGCGTTGTCCGGAACCAGCTTGTTGCAGGTTGGCTCAGGCTAAAGACTGCGGGTATGTAGGGTTCAAGTTGATTTATATGACACCCAAGGCTTATGGTAAGATACTTGAAGCGTCCCAACGGATGTGAATCCGCTGCATCGTCCATGGTTTGAGTGTGGATCTTCGGCGAAGGATTGTCGACGAGCTGCCAATCATCGCTGATTGAAATCGGTTCCTGCTTTTCTTTTGTCTTGAGATCGAGATTGGATTGCGCCATATTTCTTGTGCATAACTTCGAAGATGCTTCTCGTAATACTGACCACGATACCATCTTATTGTTGAGGCTCGAGTCTAAGGTCCTGTTGCGCAAGTTAGAAATCCCTTATGTGAAATAAGAATGATGAATAGGTTCGCGCCTAGTATTTCAAGGAAGTTCGATGATCTCTAAACATCAAAAGATAAGGTTGTTGACCAGAATGCGCCCTAAAAGTTTATTGGAGATGGGGCGGTGGTTTCGTAGGTGGGACGAACGCGTATCTGACTTTCGAAGCAAAATTAAGTGTCTTGCGCGCAACTCATATATTTTGCGCGAACTGACAAATCCAGGTCTGTGACTGTATGGAAAACTTGATGTGGCATGTCTCTAAGCTGTTGCATAACACCATACACGCGTTAGGATGTGCGTTAATAATCCTCGAAAAACTTGATTATTCATAAGGCAGATGCGTGAATTACCATGAAGATAACCAAGACATTGTAAATTTTCAGCCATAGCGCTCAAATTTATCTCAACGCTAATTATCTCTAATACCCCTTTCTGCGACTCACCTCATTGAGCAAACTCTTTCCTTCCGCTATCCTGGTGAGATTTTGTTCTACGATCTGGAAACTCCTTTGCACGTTTGAGGATCCGCGTGCGCTATGCGTGATATTAGTAAGTATATAGAAATGCCGCTCGTGGGGTTTCAAGGCATGTAGAGCCAAGAACAAATGGATATTCTTACCTGACATGGGGTGTAACAACCACATTCTCCAGATCCCACAACTCACTATCTGCGGGCAGAGGCTCCGGATCAGTGACATCCAAGGCTGCACCGCGCAGTCCGCCAGCTCCAGCAGTTGCTCCTCCAATGCCGCCACTTTCTGAGTACTCTTTCAGGGCAGCAATCAGATCATTTTGTTCCAACACTTTCCCTCGTGCCACGTTAATGATAAATGCGTTATTTTCTCCAAGAATCTCAAATTCAGGTTTCGCAAGCAGATGTGTCGTTTCTGGCGTCAAGGGCACAGAAACTAGCAGCACATCGATCTTTTGAGATAGGAATTCATGCAAAGAAGCCTTATCCAAGCCACTATACCAAGCAGAGGGAATAGAGCCATCTGGATCTCCAGTTCTAGGCACGATATAGCCATGATCTCTCTTGCTTTCAGGCGTCTTCTTTGGGGTTGCTGTAAAAGCAATGACATCGAAGCCGAGAGCATGAGCAGCTCTAGCTGCCTGTCGGCCAATAGCTCCATATCCCAAGACCCCAAAGGTTTGCCCAACTCCGTCTTGCTGCTCACGGGGCACTTTGTTCGAACCCCAGACGTGTTGGCGCTGGAGCTCAAGCAATAGCTTTTGCCGATGGGAGTGCGATAGGATCTGCAGGATGACCCATTCTGCAATCTGCGGTCCGTGGACACCGCTGGAATTAGTGAGTGCTACGTCTGTCTCATTCCAAAATGGACTTGAGTAGAGTCTATCTACCCCGGCACTGAGCACGTGGATGAGGTGGAGGTTGGGCACAAAAGATGGGTCTGGGGGCAGTGTGAAGAGCGTTACAAGGATGGTTATATCCTTCCAGAGGTCTGTAATTGACACATACGCTTAGGATGTATTGTTCTGCTTTTGGAGCTCTTGGGAATCCATACCTTCGGCGATCGGGTCCGATATGACTTTTCTATCCACGCGTTGCTGAGCATGAACAGTGATCTTGACATATGGAAACTTTTTCTTCAATTCATCTAGAATATCGTCGACGGCATATGGGATCAGGACGAGGAGGTGCTCTCTCCGAGGCGAAATGTCTCCCATGATCGATGAGGCTGACAGCGACTGCGGCAATTCAAACGAGGAGACAGATCAGGAGTGGTGTCTGAAGTGGGGTGTGTTATTTAATTAAGGAAGTGAACAATGTTTGAAAGCAAGAGGCCTTTTTGAAGTTAACCTTTGCCCGATGTGACCGGCGCCCGATGGCACAATTTTGGGGCGGCATTCGATGATAATAACATCATAAAAACAAAGGGAGACGTCAGTGCTTAGATAATGCCCCGCGTTATGTCGGGCACTCGAAAGTGGGGGTACAGACTTGAGCATATATTGCCAGCAAACCAGTGGTTATCACCAATTACCGTACAGCCGCAAACCAACATTAGATGAACCTCAGAGGTTCAATCGAATGAAGAAAAGCATGTTGGTATCAGATAGAGCCGTATAAATTGAGAGTTGACGAATACCTGGTATTTAGCCGCAGCCGCTTCGGGATTGGGAAGTCACAAGCATGCAACTTGAAATCTCCGAACGTTCTTCTACAGCTCAAAATCTTCACAAGGGCTGCTCAAATCGCTTCTGAGATCCATCAATGATATGCTATGCTATGTAGATCTAATGAATGCCAAAATTGCCAATCCCACGAATCCATAAGCGGTACCCGTGCAGACAGGTTGCACCGTCAGATCGAATTGCATGCATTTTAAATTTTAGTTGATTTGAGGATCGCCGAGTCAACTTTGCATAGAGTCAGCGAACTCCGTGACCCAAAGCTCCCAAAGTGATCGTCAGAACTAATGCTAGAGTCATCGCAATAGGCCGAACCAAGACAGACCACGCAAGGCGAAAGAGATCCCTAGAAAAATTCTTTCTAAGAATTAGCATTTTCGGAACATGAAAGAATGCTGAAAGGAACTTGGGTGCCAGAGCCGTAGTCACATTATGAACAAAATCCGGATAAATGTTAAGTAGAATGGAGGGAGCTCGCCAATGACTTGGCCACTCATAGTCAAGCCCTCCGCGCACTCGATCCATTCGACATTCTCCTTGTTGTCGACAGTGAAGAAAGTACCGCCGTCGTGAGGTTCGATGTCCTCGAAATAGGTCTTCTCTCGATGGATAACTTGAATCCAAACAAGGTACTTGCTTGGAGCGTTGACCATATTGAACAAGAAGGTGCAAGCCCGGTCACGAACTTGAGTCCAGAAGTTGGGGTTTCGCTTGCCTATGATCGCTGACCACATGATGGCAACTAGGAGACTGGTAGCAGGTTTGGGTCGCTTCAAGACACCATCCTCGACTGTATTGGAGAAACTGCCATCAACCAGAGGCGATAAATCCCAGTACAGTGGGTCTGCCTCGAGGTTGAAAGGTTGCCCAGTAGCTGGTCGACGGAAGGTATTGAATTGGTACTTTAGGATGCATAAGGCCATGTCCCGATGTTGAGGCGTAATAGCTTGTGAGCTGGCGACAGTCGATTGCAATTGCGATTGCGACTTTGATGAAGTCGGGGAGGTTTGGTGGAGAAGCTTTGAGTATTGGAAAGGCGCTGCGTGTTTCAAGCGTTCTTGAAGGATGAAGTTGATGAAGTGAAGAAGTGGTGTGAAGGAGTTGGGAATTGTTGCAAATAATGTTGTTGTGAAGAAGAAGAAAGAGTAAGGGAATAGAGAGGAGAGGGGTTGGTACTTATATATAGGTTCTAAACAGAATTGAACGAAGCTATAATTCCAAACCGGAATTGGTGAATAGGTTAGGATCAACAAAAATTAGTCTTATGACTTATTCAATTTACTGAAAGTTCAAGTTGCACAAAAGCACGACAGCATAGCGCATATCCAGATGTTCTAAAAGCCACGACAGAAAGAGGGTCTTAAAGTGATACATTTGGAAGTTGTTATGGGAAAGTAAAGGAGCAAAATTGTAAGAAATAGAGAAAAGGGATCAAGTCTCTGTTTAGTATTAAGTCTCTGGTTCAACATAAATTTTGCTTCGATTGAAAAAGGTGTTCATATTTGTTTTCCGAGTTTAACAGTCATTTTAGTGTTTCACTCTCTTTTATATGAGCCACTAACTTTCTTCTATTATTAAAATCGGAGAGTGCCCTCATGGCTGGGAAGCCTCGTTTTTTAAGCTTCATTAGTCAGTGTTTAACTGCATTTCTCTCACAATAGCTCAGTTTCGTTCACATCCACGAAATAATGCAGGAAAGGAGGCTTTCATTAAGTTGCTAAGCTGCCCAGATCAAGTTGAATGTCCAAAAGTCTTGAACCAAAAGATCCAAAAGTGTTGACCATGGTCTCCAACCCTACCATCGGCTGCCAAATGCAAGAAACAACGCAGGATGTCGATTTGTGAAGTCCAATCATCGAGAGAACTTGATAGGCAAGCTCTTTTTTAAGACCTCGCTCTTAAGTTGTCCCAAAGTATGAAAAAGAAATCATCCAGGGACCAACTCAAAAGAGGAAGTGATCAGGAGTTATAAAAAGCGAAAGAGAACCAACAAGTCCACTGGCGCATGTTAGTAGCTGTATGAAAGACATGGGAATGTTACCCACCTTGCATGCTAATCTATGACCGTGTCCGAATTTCAAATAAACCGAAGTTGGAATGGTGGCAACTCGCCGATGACCCGACGACTTGAGGCAATTCCATCGGCATACGGGAGCCAAACAACCTTCTCCTCTCTGCTGATGGTGAAGAAGGCAGCTCCATAGCTCAAAGTGATACCGGCGGTTTGAAGACGGGAGTCTGAGCGATTCACACCTTGAACCCAGACCAGATACTGCGCCGGAGCACCCTCCATCCTAAAGAGCATCATACAAGCCATTTGTCGGACCTCGCGCCAGAAAAACTTGTTTTCGTCCTCCAAGGCACTAGACCACATGATAGCGACGAGGAGGTTGGCGGCTCCATTTTCTTGATTGGCAAAGTTGTCTTGCATGCTCTGACCCAAGATTCCATTGTTCCCCAAAAGGTCAGACCAGAGGCGAGGATCATCAGCCATGGAGAAGGAGCTATTGTAGAGGCTGGGTGGAATGGCGAAGGTAGAGAACTGATATTTCAAGATGGCCAAAGCTCTATCTTCAGAGGTGCGAGAAGCCATGATGAGTTGGTACTATCTGGTGTAAGCAATGTCAATCATGATTCAATCTCGGATAGGACTATTTTATATTGAAGATAAGGACTTACGAGTCGATGAAGGACAGATATGGATAGGTTGGGGGCGAGGACTGCGAATGTGTATGGTCGAAGTTGTTTGGGAATGTCGAAGTGATCTCAAATGAAGTTGGAAGATTGGTGGTGTGGAACGTTGTTGTAGGAAGAAGAAAAAGAAGAAGAGGAAGCAAAGAAGAAGGGTTGTTTATATAGTAGTTCTCGCTTGCGATCAAGAGCGCTAAAGCTGCGAAACGTTCCCAAGCAGGTCAGATCTAGGACTCGAATCCGATTCACCCAAAGCTTTAGTACGCTAATGAGACCGTAGGTGGATAGGATATATAGTAATGGAAGCGATTCACCTATCGGAAGCAAAAATAAAGAGATATCCAAGGGATTGTTACAAAGTTGAATAGTTAATGCTTTGATTGGACAGGACTGTGACAAACAACTTTGATCAGAGGCAAAGAGTTGAGACCAACTTAGCTTAGTTGAAAGCAATTTCAAGCGTTTTTTTGTAAGATCTTATATTCTTATAATTGTTGACATTGTTGCAAATCTATGACATTACTAACACAGAAAATGGCTCTTTGAGGGAACAATCCGTGTGTGGCTGTACCGTATTATGTACAAGTGTCGGAAAGGCTTAACGTGTTGCCAAAAGATATACATTACCAAAAAACGTGCTATGAACACCAGACTAGTTTCTGGACTCTCGAGAACTTGCTACAGTACCTGCTCTCTGAAGTCTAAGATCTGGCACGGTCATCTCGCTCAATCATTACGATAACATGGACCAAATACCAGAGTGTCTACAAGACTGTTCATTCGGGTGGCGTGGCTCCCAAAAAGCCCCAAAATAAAGTGAAGAGTAGGCGCAGAGAGTACTGCAGCGAACAGATGATGACTGGAAAGTGTCTTAGTTCTCGAATGGTCTGTTGTCTATTGATAATAAGCCTCGCATGTCAATCTCAGCTGGATATTTGCCCGGCTAATGAATATATCACAGCTAAATAACCGGTAGTCGATTTAAGATTTAGTTACTTAAATTCTGTACATTATTATATCTAACCTACTCTACTTCCTCATTCGCACCAGTCAAAATAAAGGCAACATCCTTATGAAGCTCAATGTCTTTGAAGTAAGTGTTGTTAGGACGATTCCAACTTTGTAAACAACGAAGATATTGCTTTGGCGAGTCGACCATGCCAAAAAGACCCCTGCATCCCGGACATCGAAGCTGGCTCTAGAGCCGCTTCTTCCTTGTTTCAAGGAACTCGAGTAGATGATGGCAAAGAAAAGAAGCTCTCTGTGGATTTCGTGCAAGTGGTTTGCGCCACTTTGAAAACGAAAATCTGGATGAGGAGTCGCACGTTCTGTGTGAAATGCAATCCAGAACCATGCCAAACTATAAATGCTAGAGGACATTAGTCTCAAGGATTCGAGAATTTAACCTTAATACGTAGTAGGCATGGTTTGACGAATGGGACAAGGGGAAGATGGACTTATTTGGCACTTCTATATTTGTCTATATTGAAGTTGATGTTCCTGCGAAGAATTTCCTACCTTCATGATCACGAGAAGCAGATAAGTGAGTTATTATCACTAAGCCATGCATTGAAGAAGTTACCTGTGAGGTGCATGACCGAAAAGTTTGGATTAATGCTTCAGTTTACACAACTTAAGTCCAAGTGCCCATGTCCAGATCATGCTCCACCAACCCCCTCACGCTCAGGAGTAGCACCAAATGAATGATCAGAAAATCGGAGGGGATAACAGGGCCTAACGAGCGAGGAGAGAGCCTTCCCACAGAAGGCGGATCCTAGCATTCCGCTTTCCACACTTGCAATATGGTATGGCATAACTAGCGCAACAAGTAACAGCATTAACCCCCAGATTGATTGAAGAAAGCCGTAAGAAACTGTCTGTCACATATCAGTACTCATAACCGGCCCTGAAAGAGTTCTGGAGACTAACCTTCTGTCTTAATCGCTTGGGATGTGAGTCTTTACTCAGATGTATAGCAATTGGATTAGCGGAAGCTCATCACCAACTTGCGAGCTCCATGCCTTGCCCTGATCATAAGGAACCCACTCGACCTTCTCATTAGGGTTGATCAAGAAGAAGCCAGCACCATCGGTCAACTCGACGTTCTTGAAATACGCACTTCGACGGTCGATGCCTTGGACCCAGCAGAGGTATTTCGCAGGTGACCCTACCATACTGAACAAAAATCCACAGGCCCAATGACGGATCACACCCCAGAAGTGCCTGTCTCTTTTCCACAGAACGCTAGAATAGAGGATTGCGAGGAGGAGGTTCGAGGCGCTATTGGGAGATCGGGCGATATCTGCTAAGATGTAGGTGACTTCTCCATAACGATCTGACCAGGTAGCTGGGTCATCTGCCATGGTGAATTCGCCGATGTTGCGGGAACGTGGGAATGGCGTGTACTTGATGATCGCAAGTGCCATTTCTCCTTGTGCTCGAGCACGAATTCTAGGGAAAGAGGCAGCCGAGAAAGGACTGGAAGTGGAGCTGCTGATGTTTGAAGGAGTTTGTGTCAATTTTAACTTCAGATTAGCACCGGCTGGTGAAATTTGGTCCTTGTCGGCCGTCAAAGAGAGGTCCTCGCAGGCGGCAAGAGCCATGATATGCCGATCTGGGACTAGAAAACATCAGTGGATATTTTTCTAAATACGCGTCTGGCACTTTGAAGTCGACAATCAAAGGACAGACAGGGGACAATTGACACTCACAGTTGTGGCTGGGTTAGCACAAGGAATGAGATTCCTCTTGCACTGTATTTATCGGGATAGTCTGAGTACGATTCGACTAGAGATCGAAAAGAGATTGAAGGTCCTAGTTGCAAGAACGAAAACGAAAAAGTGGACCGACGAATAAAGGCTCTCTTTCCACGAGATAACCGCGCTAGGGGTAATCTACGGTCGCGATCGGGCAAAGCGCGTTGTATAGAAGACGGTGAATAGGGACAATATCCTAACACCAACTCGACTTCATATCAGAAAGGTTCTCAGAACCTTAGAGAAGGTAACCGAATCAAAGGAGCACAATGGTCTCTCGCAGAAGCCTGTCAGCCTTCCACTCAATAACAACCATACATCATTGCGTATAAACATTCGGCGACCAAGTGGTGCATGTATGGTTCAATTTCTTTGAAAGTGTAAGCAGAAATACTGCTAAATACCACATGGATACCATCATCAGGATTCATTTGTGCGGGACCAATCCATTCCTATTCAAAGACTATCGCGAAGTGTTTGTGGAGATGACAGACTTGACGCGTTCGTTTCTGCTTCAGGAATTTGGCGCGGACGAACTATCTTCCCTGCCATTAAGTGGTTAAATGAGAGTAGATGAATGGCTGGCCCTTTTGAGTCCTGAGAGCTTTCATCGTATATCGCGAACTTTCGTGTCTGAGTTCTTTTCATTAAGCTGAGTCTCGCTTAAGGCTCAGGGGCAGTGGCTGTCCAAAGGCAAGTCGTTTTCGAGTCAGAACCCGATAGATCATATATATCAAGATCTCTACCAAGTTCTTGCATCCCATTTTATATTATTAGACGTCTCTGTCGATCAAAGTCCAAAGCTTCGTGAGGTCGGAGAGTTTTGATACAGCTCCGATTTGTAGTTCTTGAATCGCAAGGCAATTTTCTTCAATTGCAGGCACGGGACACCGAAACTTAAAGATAAAAGATATAAGAAGAAAGAATAAGTGGCGGAAGGAAAGCTATTTATCGTCCCAAGACCTGTTTGCTTGAACCTATACAACCATCACGCTAATCTGGCACATGACATTCCATCGTCGTGTTTCCAAGTTTGCCCACTGATCACTCCAAGTGAAATCCGCATCAACCCTCACTCCCCACAGCGCCATCCTACAACTCCTCCTCGACCCCCTCCCCAACACTCTCAAAAACATCCACAAGAACCCCACTCAACCTAACCCTCTCCCTCAAAATCTCCTCCCGCTTCTCCTTCACAACCCGAATCCGCTCTTTCAACACCAGCCCAAAAACCATCCACTTCATACTCGGACTACTCCACTCCCCCTCTTCCTTTTTTCCTCCCGTAACATCACAAATCTGCGTCCCTCTATGCTTTTTCCTCCGCTCTTTCTCCCATTCTCCTATAGACAAATCAGTCAGTATACACTCCGCCAAGATCTCGGAGCTCAGGAATTTTCGACCTCCGAACTCCCAACTCCTCAAGAAAAAGGCAAGAACACCTACGCAAGACACCTAAAACCTCCTCCCCCATCCCCTCAACCACACTCTCTACCCCCTCCCACCCTTCCTCCCCGCCCCCAGCCTCCCTCGCCAGCCCCCCCAACAATCGAATCATACCCAGCAATAACCCATCCCTAGCCCTCCTCTCCCCTTTCCTTCTCCTTAAATGCCTCACCACATCACGTTCCTGCTCTTCTCTGTCTAGACGCGAGAATTGGATCCAGTTCCGCGGTAACAAGGTGATTAGTGGCCAGTACCTTTCGGCGAAATGTGCGTGTTGGAGAGAGTACGTAGTTGCGAGGGAAGAGAGGAGGGGTGTGAGGAGGGTGTGCGTTTGGGAGGCGTGGTCTGGGTCTGGAGTTTCTTGATAGGCTTGATATGGGGGAGTTTCGATGAGTTGAGAGGAGGAAGAGAGGGGGATGATTTTGGTGAGGCGGTTGCGGTGGGAGGTGAGGAGCGAGATTTTGGTTATTTCGTTACTGTCGATTTTCAGAGGTGGAGATGGAGGTGGTGGAGGAGGGCGAACAGGAATAGGAACGAGGTTCAGGATGGTGACGATATCGGCATTGAGCGCTGAGTGGGTTTTCTCTATGAGTTGGCCGTAGGTGGTGAGACTCGAGACGAACTTTGTGATTTGGGTTGTGATGGCTGTTATTTCTTCTTGGGTTAAGTGATAGTGCTCGTTTTTCTCTGGCGTGGGCGGCGTTTCGATGATAGTTGGTGGGGTCCGGGGCGGGTCGGAGGATTCGGAGCTGAGTTTGGTGATGGAGGGTGAGGGCGTGGAGCGTGTTTCGTCGAAGGAGTAGGAGGACGTGGGACTTTCGATCAACTGGGGTTTAGAAATGGTGCTCTTGCGGATGATGCTTCGTTTCGTTGTTCTTGCGTCTGAGATTTTGGAGGTTATGCAGCCCATTCTTCGTCTGTTTCCGTCTTGCTATTCAATACTAGGTAGATCGATAAGCGTAAGAATGAATGAATAATTAAATAAGAATGGGCAAGCGGGGTGGGGTGGGATATGCGGCTTATCACTGATTGTGAAAGAGGCGAAGTGAAGGGAGAAGGGGGGCTAGTGTGAGGAATGTGGGAATATATTTTTCTTGTTATGCTGTGGACCCCTTGCTTTTTGTACAGATTCATGATATCCGTTTCTCCGTATGAATAGCAATATATCCCAATGTGAATCATAAACCGTAACTCCGAGCCCTGCCTTCTAGTCTTGCCGATAAATGAGATGAAAATCAGTCGTGAATCGTAACGCGGCACAAGTTTGTATGGTGAATGTTTGGTTGTTTGCAAGACTTCGGAATGTCTGTCTGATGGATGGCTGAAGTTGAAAGTCGTAAAGTCTGGGACGTTCGTGGAGGACTGTTGTCGAGTCACGTGTATCGCTGCCCGAGCCCGAGAGCCAGCTCCGTCGATATCCACAATTAGCAACCACCCTTACACATCATCAAGCCAAACTCTCAATCAGCTGGAATCGTTCTCCGTCACCAGTTCTACTCTTCACCTGTCCCCATTCTCCCTCACGTGACCTACTTCCCCTCCACCACTCTCCCTTTTCCCAGCTCCTCAACTCTCCCAACCAGCACCACCAATCGAACATCACACTCTTCCATAAGCTGTATCCTACTCTCCACAAAAGACACAAACCTATGCATCATAATCCTATCATTAATATTGCCCTTCACATTCCCATTAAACCCACCACCGGGGAGTCCGTTCCAACGAGAGGACAGACAAGAGGTATAGATTGTAGTCTTAAATTCTGCATTCAGGATAGAGTGAAGGGAGAGGTCAGATGAGAGGGTTGCGGTGGTATCTGCGAGGGTGTTGAGAGGAAGCGTGAATGTCGGGACGGAGCGGGGTGAGATGGAGGGTGCTGTTGTGTAGGAGGCTGAGGATAGCGTGGAAGGGGAGGATGATGATGAGCGGCGGGTGACGGTGCTTTGGGGTGTTGATGGCGCTCTAGTTGCGTTGTCGAGAGCTGTGCGGAGGAGGTTGAGGGCCTGGTTTCTTGTCAGCGGTCTGTACATTCACAACCAGTAGCGAATAACTTCTATCCCGTACTCGCTAATATACAGAGAGAGGTCAGGAGGAACACTTACACCCTCACTCCTTCCCACAAGCACACCTCTCCTTAAAAAGCCCCTACCAACAACCTCTTTCACTCTCCACACTTCTCTAGCACCTATCTCTCTTTCTTGCACTCTCAATCGTTTCATGCTATGAATCTGCGCCTCTTTCCTCCCAAACAGAGATACTAGATTCCCAGCTAGATGGTTCGTTAGATATTCCTGTTTCTTCAACTGTCTCGCAATCTTCCTGATCAGACTCTGTAGGAGTGCTAACTCGTCGACAGACAGAGATAGAGAAGGACCCGGCGACGAGGTACGAGACGGATGTGGTAAGAGAGCGAGACTAGCGAGAGAAGGCAGGGACGAGATGGAGGAGAATTTCGAGTCTCGAACACTGTTCGCTGCAGTGCTGGTTCGCTTGCTGCTGAAGACGGACGAGGAAATCGAGGCGGCACTTGATGATGATGATTTATGGAAGAAGTCTCTTCTTTTGAAGGCTGGAAGAGGTTGACCCGGCGGAGCCACGACGACGTTTGAATCGGTTCCCGATGTCCTGGGGGACTTCTTCAGTGTAGAGGTTTTCTTGAGCGTGGATGATGCTTTCGAAGGAGTCTTGGTGATGCTTGAGAATTCGCTCCAGACTTGTTGACTCAGAGCGGAAGGCACCGGTTCTGCGGTTTTGATGAGAGGATCGGTCGTTTGTCTGGGTATACCAAACAACTTCTTCAGCAGCTGCTTCATCGTTGTTGACTTCCGCTTCCCTAAGGTGTTAGGATCTGGGAGAGCGCCCGACATGCTTGTGTCTTCAGGCGAAGGAGGAGTGCGAGGAGGTTGGAAGAAGAGTGTTGAGAAACGGTGATCCATCGTGAAGGGCGTTGAGATTGATTTCTGTGAATGATGGCTGTATCACCTATGGGTGAGTGTCAGTGTGTGTGAGGGTAGGTGGTCTTGTGATGGTCGAAGGAGCAATCAATCCGCCGAGGTAGATGCTCCCCTAGCAATCCAGAGAACTAGAAATGTCCAGCTGAGCCTCGAATTTCCCAGTCCACAAATCGAAGTCAGACAATGAAATAATCCCAATGTTCGTCTGAAGGAATGTCGTCACGAAAAATATCGCTTCCCAACAATGCCCGCTCCCAGATATCGAAAATCTCAGGACAGACAACGAACTATAAATCCCAAATACCCCAGATAACGTTTTCCTCTTAGGCCCGAGACACAACGAGCTTCGTGATCAACACCCGTCACACTTCCCTAACCGTATCGGGCTCGTCCGGCGAGAGATCGCAATCTTATTCTCACCTCACCTCACACCTAAAACTTTTCTATCACAAAACAGAAAACAAACAGAAAAGAGAAAGAGGAAGAGGATAAGAAATTCTGGAAGGAAATGAGAGAAGTGATCGACGAGAGATAGAGTGGCGTTGGGAGCTGAGAGCAGCATTGATTGCGGTACGTGCTTGTAGGGGTCTTGTTCGTCTCAGATGGTAAATCTGAGACAGGTTGGCGGGATGGACCAAACGCTATCAGCCTTAATGCTCCAACCATATTGCCTAGAGAGGCTTTTGTACGCGTGGAGAAGCATTGGATGGGATGGAAAAATATAATTGATTGCGGACGATCTTCACAGATGAATATTTCACGAGGAGAGATGGAGAAGTGAGGTTTGAGGATGGAGATGGGGGTTATGCAGAGAAGGGAATAGAATGGCGCTTGTGGGAGATCTGATGCACGACGCAAGGATGCAAGGTTCCCGTTTGTTCAGTCAGCCACAGTGTTGGGTTGGAGGCGACGGGTCGCAGGAATGGCCCGTTCGACCTAAATATATACCTCCGCGATTGCGGATTGAATATTGGTCCTCGATTTGAGAATGTTGGTTCTTCAACGAGAGAGGAGTATCAGCTAGAAGCGTCCACATAAACAGAGCAAATTGCTTTAATGAGTGATTAGTTCTCACGATCGCGAATGGAGGCCTACGTATCAACCGAAGAGTTGGGAAGAAAGCAGAAATCCAATAAATAAATGCACGACTTACTTTTGATTGAAAAGCTAGCAGTCAAAGCCCGATCTTCAGCTAGTACTTTATTGAAGTCCGACAATACGCAAATGAATACTTTTGTTAATTGAGTTTTGAGAATGGATCAGACACTGAAGAGATCTAAACAAGCAGATTCCCCTCCCTTCCTCTTGCCAGCCAAGCTCCAACACGAATCTTCCAGCCCAAAGTATCCAAAAATCCCTACACCATTATCATGTATCCCATAGTTCGTGCATAGCCATGCGACAAAGATCTAGTCATCATCCTCGTCGTCATCTGCGGCGACAACCTCATCAACCTCATCCAAATCATCCGCATTGGTAGCCTTCGCAGCCTTGACCTTCTTCGCAATAGCAGCGGGACCAGATTCAGCCTCCTCATCGAACTCCTCTTCTTCCTCGTCATATTCCTCTTCGGCGCCATCGTCGTCTTCGTTGTCTTCGACGGGGACAGGGGCTTTGGCTTTGCCGTTGCCGTTATTGGCGGGAACTGCGGCGACGGGGACTTTCTCCGTTGGTGCTGGAGCAGTTTTGCGCTTCTTTTTGGCAGGTGGTGCTTCTGGTATATATTGTTAGTTTATGCTACAACTTTGATACGAGGAATTGAGAATAGAGACAGGAATGCAGGGGTGAAGTATAAAATCGCGCATAGAAAGAGAGTATACATGCCTTCAGGTTCCTCGTCATCTTCTGGCTCTTCTTCCTCCTCCTCTTCCTCTGATTCATCGCCAGCAGCTTCCTCAGGCTCAGAGTCTTCATACCTGAATGCGATGCAAGCGTTAGTGATGTGTTCCGGTTGATGATTTCATCGTTTCGGCGCATTTCAGCTGACGATAGCCGCTTGCGCCATGTAGCCTCGTGCATCAACTATGATGCGCATTGAGATGTGAATAGCTCTTGTGAAGCTGAAGAAATGCTAATTGTATCTATATTGGTCACAGGTGATGGAATGGAAGGGTGGTGTGGGTAAAACATACTCTTCTTCCTCCTCACTCTCGTCACTTGGGAGAGCGACGAGCTCCTCGTCTTGCTTCCTCTTTCTAGTAGACATTGTGAACTTTTAAATAATGAGATAAAAGAAGATTAGATAGATAGATGATCAGAGATGATGCGCAGATGGGAATTGAGAGGGAGAGATGAGAGTTGTGATGGTGGTTGTGGACAGATGAAAGGGGGAAAAGGAAGGGGAGCTGAGAGTAAGAGAGAGAGGGGGATGGATGGGCGACTGGGTGGTCGACGGACAATTGGTGTGATGGCAAAGCAAGCTCGGACCTGGAACAAGGGAAATTCCTGGGGGGGAACTTGAGCTGCGCGCACTGTGCACGTCATAAAATGAGCTAGGCCAGATGGAGTTATTCGTGTGCAGGGATAGCCGTAAGACAGATAGAGCTTAGCGTTCCACGTGGGGAGGAAGAATCGGATGAAGGTCTCCGTTCATCTTTGGGACTTCTCTTCGTCTTGTTGATTGTTGATTGTTGGAAAAGAGTATAAGGAATGTTTGCTCCGATATTGTGTTATCAACAAACTTTGAAGCCGGTTGCTACGTGGCCGCCGTTTTGATCTTGATATCCGGCTAACCGAAGGAAATGGAACGGAAGTCCGGAACATCCATTGTCGTTAGAATTGTACTGTCTAAAGGATTGATTGTCGGTTGTATGACATTTGCCTGTACTGTTTTGTCTTTTTCGCTCCCGATATCGCGCAGTTGGATTTCAAGTCTGTCCCTGGAGCTTGATCACGTGAATATCACGTGCAAAGTTTCTTCTCGGACTTCGAGGCTCTGTTTTGCACGATACTCTGTTACATTTGGACTGATAGAAGCTCTGGGGACCTGGCTAAGATGACTGAGTGAATTGAAGCCATTGCTAGCAGAGTTGCTTATGGTGGAAGATAGGTACAGCATTGTCGACTGGATTTGACCAGTGACGTTGAGATGTTGAAATACACACCTCTCGATTGGCAACATACCACAGCAGATCTTGTTTCTTGTTTATAGACATCGAATATGTGTATACCCAAATACTTTTCTAAGGTTGTCCACTACTTCAGAATTTGATCACGTGAGAACAAACACAACTATCGAGTTGATTATTTCATGCATTAGACACCAACAACACCTCATTATAGTCGGAAAGCAAGTACATACGATTCGCGAAGCCGCTCTTGTATGCAATAGTTCTACTATTTGTCCACGTGACAGAAAATTTCATTGGAGCGGGAGTGGATAACATCACTCCAGCTTCTTAAAGCATGAAAGACATAGCTTGAAACTTGAAAGACATAGGGGGCGTCCAGTTAACTATAACGGACTAGATTTAAGAGTATGGTATTCTGTTTTTGCATACAATTCCATCTTCACTTAATTGCAGCTCAAACATTCAGACTTCATACTGCTGGGCTTGGCACTAGCTTCCCTGATGTGGAATGCTGCCTCCCTCATAGCACTATATGCGAATGCATGAAGTATAGGCTGATGGGTGAGTTTTATCTTGGTATTTATGTGTTGCGATGTAACAGTATTCTCTCAGGTTGATTCCTTCCGCAGCAGCACAATTGATGACGCACAGTGTCCTCTGATCGCTGACTTGAGAGCATGAAAACTGTACGCTCTATTATTCCACACAATTTAAATTGTACCATACTGCATCAAGCATATCTAGGCACATATTCAGGAGCTTTTCATACAGGCTCTAAGATTTGGGTAGTGCAACTGCTCCTTCCTCTTCAGAGATGTGACGTAGTATCTCATTACCTCCACAATGCTCATTGTAAAACCATGCCAAACTTAACATATTCTCATTGGTCCCATCTTGGATGCTCCTGATATACTGCAGTGCTATCCATTATCCAATCAGATTCCGATACATTGGTCGACTTGCAAAATGGACCGACTAAGAATCCAAGCCACCATTGGTCATTAGCTCTTACACCAAATTAGCGTTTCAAATCTAAATCAAAACGAGTTCTTGAACTTGTTTGCGGCCTTGTCCACTCCCATCTCTGCTTTCCACACACACTTCGTCGAACGTTAAGGACTAGACGCCAACCCGAAACCCCTCGTGGACGCCAAACATGGCTCCCCAAGGTGCAGCAACTGCTGTGCAGATCGACGCTGATGAGGTATACGGCTTCGAACTCCTGCGGAGAGCTTGGGCCGATATGCTCATACGTTCTCAAGGAGAAGGTAGCACGCCATTCGCTGACACTTTCATGATACCGACAATCCGTACGTCTCGGCGCTTGTATAACAAGATTGCCAAGATGGAAAAGTCGTTTGGAAAATCGATCTTTGATGACTTGGAGCTCTTGACCGCATCGTGTAAATTTTCGGAGGAAATCACAAGGGCTCGAGAGAGCAATATCCGATCTTTCCTGCCCTCTACGACATCGTCAGCCCTCGCGAGGAAGCTTAATGACCTAGAACTCGAGTTCCTGGCTTTTCTCGACCTAATTCACGACAAACTCCTGCGCAAAGAAATGGGAGTTCGCTTGGAGAGTTTAACACGGATTTATCAGAGGCCTACAAATATCATATATTGCTTTTACTATGGTATCTGCAAATTCTCACGGCAGGGAAAGTGGGAATACCTTCTTCTCACGGGAAAGGACCTCGATAAAGCCCTACTCCGTGAGATTGCATGTGATATTGCTCCCGAGATACCTAAAGTCATCCCATCAGTCATTGGCACGGTTCTCCAAGGTCATATCGGAGAAAATAAGTGGTACAAAACGGCTCTGGACGCCACTGTCGACAAAATAAAAAAGCAATACGGAAAGTATTTACGAGCAGTGCCTTGCTACATTGCCAGCAGATTCGGCGAGCGGGTGGTACAGGACCCACTATCCGTATTCCATCGTAGGGTCGAAGCTGCCAAGGCTGAGGCTCATAACCTGCTTACCGCCATGCAGCCAGGCCCCACTGAACAAACGATGCAAGCCCTCTGTCAAATCTTCTCAGGCTGGAGCATATTCGTGGCACAACACTACGGTGCTCTGCTAAAGGATACTGTCGAACAGAGACAAGAGCAGATACCTGCTCTTTATAATGGAAAGACGAAGTCGATATTGGCATGGCCTGAGCTCGTTAAAGAGTATAATCCAAGAAATTGGCGCGAGCATTGGCCGGCACGTGCAGAGGAAGTGGCAACTTCAGAGCAACGCGCTCTGCGTAAAGAAAGCCTGCAGAGACGTATTCCACGACCATTTACCTTTGTTGCCGATTGTCAAGGCAAGGAAAACTCGGTCCATCCCGAGGGTCTTCTCGCCGAAGCCTCTGGAGGACTTCACTTCGATCCTTGCACGGACAGAGAGCTCGACAGCAATACGGAGGACGAGGCCCCTCATTTTCCCGAGCCTGAGACCGAGCCTTATGACCGCGCCGCCGATCTCGCACTCTACGCAAAGATCAAAGCCGGTTTTGACCCCGCAGGTACGTCTAGATCTCCTCTGGGAGAACAACCACATTCCTAATTGCCAAGCCCTCCAAGCCAACCAAGTTCTTTTCTAGGTCAAGCTTTCGAGGGCACGATGTCCTCTCTCTCATCGTCGTCCTCTTACCTGATAAGCACGCCTGGTTCATCCAACTGGGAGGACTCAAACGCTTACGAGACGTACGTCGAGTATATGGAAATCGATAAAGCGGCCTACGTTGCTCTGCCTTTTCCGAATTCCCACAACTCAGCACCTTGCTCGCTGTAAAGGCACCAACGATATACGACCTCGAAACTTTCGGACGCCGCATATACCGCCGTGGCACTGATATCGGGGTGATCGAACCTTTGCCGCAGCTTCTCGATCGTGACATTGTCTCGACAACTGATCATCATCATCTCCGAGGTCCATATTGTACAACAGACTCGAATGCGATCGTACTGATGCCAACTTGATCGAACCTCTGCCGCAGCTCTCTTGCTCGTGACATTGTCTCGACAGCTGGTCCCTCAGTCTCGCAGCTTCAGTCTGATGTTCATCCTCGACATGAACCTATCGTTGACTCGCTTTGATCGAACCTCTCCCGCAGCTCCATCGCCCGTGGTAGGGTCTCGACCGCTTTTCTACATCGCGTGGCTTTGTCATGATGCTTCACCTCCTCGCGTGCGGCAACGGCAAACAATCCTTTAACTTGCGCATTTTTCAAACTGTTTTTCCTTGCATACTGGTATTCCCCTGGAGTTCAACGATAGATAGATACCCCTCCGTTGGAAACTTTGAGTATTTACCTATACCCATCCCTGGAAGCACTTGCCTCCATTCCCTTTATGCCTTCCCCAAAGACCCTACCATATACTTACTCCCGACCTCAAACCCCCCAGCATAACATCCCCCTTAGAACCAAACGATCCATCTGCACACCTCCGATCCAATCCCCCGATCAGCTTCTCTCTCCCTCGATCTCCTCTGCAGAGGGGAACGGGATATGAGTACTGAGACGGGAGGAAGAGATGTTTGCGCTTCGTTTGTTGGCCTATCCTATAGGCTGACTTGATGGTTCTGAAACGATTGACTCTGGTTTGAGTTTGGTTGAGGATGGTGGGTGGATGGATGGGTTGGTGAGATGTGGGGTTTGGTGGGTTGGTAGTTTAATGTAATCTTATAGTTTTACCTAGGTACTATAGTTGATGTGCTGTGTGATGTCGTGCTGTGATGTTTGAGCATTGTTGTTGTGACGCCGATCGTGCTGGGATCTATTTTTAAATATCGATTCGTGGTATGAGTGAGAACAGCAGGGCTAGATGAGTGCTTGTGCTGCCTTATGAAATGAGTCGTGGTTTGTAGGGGCTTGGGAGGTTATGGTGAGAATGATACGAGGAGATAGGACTTGAGTACATTTCTTTGTATTTCAAATTCTTTCCTCACTCATATCGTCCCATAAACTCTACAATAACATTATCTTATCCCGTACTAGTACTTTGTGTTCTACTAGTATTACCAAATAAAGAGGACTATTTCCATCCCGGCTGTCTGTTTTCTATTCTTCCAAGACACTATATTTGTACCTATCTTTACCTTTCCCAAGTACCTAGGTATTTTACGTATACACATGACGTTGTTGTGTATAAAATATTAATGTTGAAATCAGACATAGTCTCTCTGCGAAATTCTTACCTTTTTGGCTTGAAGCTTATCAGAATATATCGGAGAAATAATCGATAGTGTATTCCAATTTTTAAAGTACCCGCTACGAACCATACATCATTCTCCTGCCTTCAAAGTCAGGTAAGTGTCGAAGTTGTACCACTATGCAGCAGGCAGTTATCACGCGCCAATGCTGACGTGAGGAAATCCAGTTCGGTCTGAAATTTGAGCAAGGCTGTTTTATGGGCATCACTGAGCCTTGTGTTTTTGGTGCTGAAATCCGCCTTGCAACAAGAGGCTCGTCCACTGACAACCCTTAGCCGCCCATTCGTGCATGCAGCGGGCGGTGCAGAAGGTGTACGGCTGACTGATACGCGCACATGCAGCCACGCACTTCCGCAAATTTGTCTGCGAAAGACACCGTGAAGCGGAGTTCAAGAGGGAACCATTACTTGCTCTACAGCGGACCAGTTGTTGCAGTAATCATTCATCATCGGGAAAGTAGCGACCTTAGCACTGGTTTCAAGGCTCTCGACTAGTTCATCGTGTGCTATTGATTCACAGCCTCGTTCTTAAGCGGCGATCCAGGCCTTACCCCTTCGCGCATCCACAGAATTAACAGTACATCTCACCTGCGTCTCATTCGAGTCTCCGAACACGCACAGGCATCATAAAGAATTGTCATACTGGACCGTTTGGCTTGTTGAAGAGAATGGACGCTGCGACTGACGATCATGCTCACCAGCCCCCTCAGGGAGATCCGACTGGAGCTAGCAAGAATATCAAGCACCTCACTGCATTGGAGATATTCGTTGCTGTGGCACGCGACTTTCGAGACTCGCTTCCTTCTAAGGAACAAAAATTGTTCCAAACATTCCAAACACAGCAGTCGATGGTAGAGGAGATACAGAAGGATGTCAGGACATATCAAAATAGTCGCAAGTTATCACTTTTATGCAAAAAAGTTGAAAGATTCTCGACCCCTTTGGCTCCTTACTTTGAAGTCGTTAGCATAACCATCCAGTCCAACCCTGAGTTTGCGGCACTTGCTTGGGGGGCGATTCGTTTGGTCTTTCTGCTAGGGCTAATCCGGTACCCATCAATGCTCCATTAACATACATCAGTTGGGGTCTAACTACACCATTTTCCTGGAAAAGATGATCAATATGTTCGAAGAAATCGGAGACAGGCTCCCAGCCTATGGCGAGTACTACGAACTAGTCAGAAAGAGAAAGGAAGCAACGAATGACAACAGCACTGGTAAGTTGGCCACAGAAACGAGTAATGATCGATTGTGCAAAGCGCTCTCATATCTGTATGCCGATATCATGGAGTTCTGCCAGGAAGCATATCAATTATTCTCCGCAAACAGAAAAGGTATGTAGTTGCAGGGATTCTTTCTCTGGCACATACTAAATACTTTCTTAGGCGTTCGACACAATCTTAAAGTTATCTCGAACCTGTTTTGGAAGCCATTTGATACCAGATTCTCGAATTTATTGGGAAGGCTCAAGTCTCATCAAGCTCTCTTTAGAAATGAGATGCAACCAGAGGAGTCAAGGTTCTTGCAGCTTCAGTTCGCTAGAAGAGAGAGCGAAGCTCAATTTTCCAAGGACATATTGGAAGATCTACGAATGCGGATGAAAAAAATCAAGACGGAAAATGATGAGAAATAATCTGCACTCCTGGCCAAATTTGAGAGCTTGGAGCATAGACTGCAGTCCGCGGGCATACTCGAATATGGTAGTAGAGATGATGGGACGAGCGAGCCTATGCAATACGGTACGATCCAGCGATCCAAAGAACTATCTCATTTGACAGTTGAGGATTCAGATTCATGTGTTGTCAACATTAAAGAGTGGATCAACAGCCCCGAATATATGCGAGAGTTTGAGAACGCGAGAGGTAAGCGCCTTCCAGATACTGGAGAGTGGCTGCTTGCGTTGCCAAGTTATCAGTCCTGGAAGATGTTCTCTTACGACTCGGTCAGTGAGAATAAGCCTCTGCCTGCAGATTTATCTAGATCGATTCTTTTCTTGACAGGTAAGTTGTAACCTTCGCGGAAATGGACACGTGCTTACGCATGGGAGCGAAACCCGGATACGGCAAAACGACCTTATCGTCATTAATAATTGAAGACTTAAGAGCCACGTCACCTGGTGGAAAAGGATTGATTTTGTTCTATCACTTCACATCCGACGATTCAATGGCTGCGACTGGTTCGAAAGCGTTCAGAGCAATATTGGTTCAGCTCGTTCACGAAAACCGCATCCGAAAAGAAATAATTGACACTTCCTGATCGACACTAAAACCAGTGGCCAACTTATAGCTTCCGATAATGAGATACTCGAAGCCTTATCTCTGCTACTGGTCACGTCAGCTTACGCCACACTCATTTTTGATGGCGTGGATGAATGTACAGCCGCAAAAGACTTTCTGACACAACTCTATGTGTTATGCTCGAAATCGCACTCGAAAGTATTACTTCTGGGAAGATCAAATATAGAAATCCCCCGAACATTTCGGGATTTTACTATGTGCTATCTGGAACAATCTCAGAATCAAAGCGATATTGAACTTTATCTCAGAATGGAGATAGCGGAATTACAACAGGACGGGCTGATTGGGTCACATTTAGAACTGGACAATATTGTGTCAACCTTGTCAAGTAGAAGTCAGGGAATGTTTCTGTGGGCAAGGCTAATGTCATGCTACCTCGAGTGCAAGGCATTGTCACCGGATGAACGAGAAGAAGCCATTTTTACTGTTGAACTTGTCGAAGGCTTGGAAAGCCTGTACCAGAAGATTCTGTTCATGCTCCGAAGGGGGTACCGCAAGTCCGGAGAAAGGCTCAAGAGGATATTCTCACTGATGTCCACCTCCACTTCGCGATTGACGGTCACTCAACTTCGGATTGCGCTGGCAATTAAACCCGGGAAAGCTACTAAGCAATCCCAGCTTATCGAAAATCTGGAACGAGACCTTCCTATTATATGCGGATCTCTCGTTGAAGTTTACCATAGTCGCGTCCAGTTTGTCATTACAACCCCAGAGCTACGATTTATTACTGAACCATTCTTTGTCGATCGAAGTCAAGCCTATCAAGAGAACGCTAATTTGTGTCTCTCGTATGTCATCTACGATATTCCAAAAGGACCACTAGGCAGCACTCGAGCTAAGGAAGAAACTACCAAGGATTTGAACAATAGATTCCCGTTTCTTGAAAGATCTCTTGCCTGGATGCAGCACGCAACAGCCAGCTTGTCAGAACGATCCAATTTGTATGGAGGGAACAACTATGAGAAACTGCGGATCCAGTTCCTGTCATTGCTTTCCGCTTTCATGGATGACCCACTCTCCGTCACAACTTGGATCGAGGCTGCATGGTCTTTCAATTCCAAGCCTGTGATTGATTGTCTTGTGTACAAATTATCCCCTGCAGACACCATGGATTCTACTCCAAGGGTCCTCGAAGATGCGACCTATAAGAAGCTTGGAGATTTTGGCCACGACCTCAGAAAGTTGTGTGATGAGTGGGAACACCTGCTGAAACACGACCCCGGCTCTATCTGGCGCCCTAGTATTACTGCATTCACTAAATCTTCGTTTTGGAGCAACACGACTGATACAATAGTTTCATCCCTTGCCCCAGAAGACGTCATGTCGTCATCAAGAGATAATACATCGAGCGTCAGTGGTCATGCCATTCTTGTGCAGTCTCAAATATCACACCAAACAGGAGTACTAGGGATTGTGATGGTTCTTCCATCTAGGCAAGTTGACCAGTGATCTTCCTCCTCAAATGAACTTTTTGGCTCATGATATGTAGTTCATATATGGCACTTTTTAAGAGCTTATTTCCTTCACCGAGAGAAAAGTCAACTCTTTCGCCGCTTACCGAAGCTGAAGAGTCGAATTTGATTCAATTTGCAAGTAAAGGGTGGAGTATCAAATACCAACAACGATCTATCCAAACAGAAGGCTTAATACTCGAACTTGAGCATGGTCTGTGCGAAGATCAGGTACAAGAGTTACTCACACAGAGCATTGCTTCCGGTCAGCCAGATCGCTTCCCGTTCCCAATAGCATTCAGCAAGAGTCTCAATCGTCTGCTTGTCCTTCGTACGCTCCTCACTCTGGATATCAATACCTCGGATGGATATTGTCTGAAAGCCCAGACGTTCCAACGGGACCCAAAAAACACACATTCATACTGTTCAATCTTTTCTGACTCGGAGAAAGCACTCGCGTTCGTTTCGGGAAGAACCAGCATTACTCAGGTTATGCAACAGAATGTTCAGATCTGGAGTGAAGAAGACGATTCCGGCAAAGATGCCGAGTTCAGAAAAAGAGGTACAGTTACTGTAAGTTGGTTGAACCCTCGCGAGTCTTCGTCCAGTATCTGTACTCCTGGCTTTATCTTCCACCCGACTTTACCCTTGATTGTGTTTGCTGAGTGGACGCATGTGTCCCTGTGGTGGTATAATAAGCATAGTAAGCTGGCAATCTCCTGATTGAGTCGCCTGCTAAAATGGTGTGCAGAACGAAGTGAACGAACTCCAATAATTAGTGGCCCGGCTTCCCCACTTGAGTTCGTTGACAAATGTGTACTTCTCTACACAATCTGGATTCAAGAGCAGGATCGTCTTACGGCTGACGAGAAGAAGCGAAGTCAACGGATGAAGGACAAAGGTCCCTACAGCGACATTGACTATGATGACCCTGCTTCCTTTGACAACTGTGCCCCCTCGGTTCAGTCATTCCCGGCCATTGACCTTACGGAAGTGATTAATTCGGTGATTTCTGTTCTCAGCATCAGCTCACTCACGACCTTGCCGGCAGCTTCAACCCCAACTCTATCAACGCACTCGACAACGTTCAGTTCGAAGATCTCCGGTCTCAAGCTCTGGCAAGAGTCTTCCAAAAATGCAGTCATCCTTGAGATAGGTGAGGATGATAGTTCAGAAAGCTGTCTCCTGAGCCATCTCCCAAGGTTGACAAGTGGAGAAAAGACTTTTATTTCCCTCCTTGGCTTCATGGAAAATGACAGGTGGTTGAAACTTGTTTGGAACAAAGGTCCACAAGAGTCATACTGCCTCGGAGATACGCCTCATCCATACTTACCTAGCATCATTTCGAGAAAACCAGAGTCAATTGAATACGAGGATTGGGGCCGGAAAGCAATCGAAGGGGCTCGCCCGCCGCTGAAAGCTTTGTTAGCCAACCCTATGGGGACTTCTGCCAAGGAGCAAACCGAACAAGGTAGACAGTGGAGCACGTGTAGCAATTGCAGGTATGCATGCCAAGCCCATGGAATTGGGATCTGTCTTAACAATCTTATCCAGAATGAGGAGAATTAAATGTGATGGAGCGGAACCCCGCTGCCTCGAGTGCACATGCACGAGGTGGATGGATTGCACTTACTCATATTCAATTCAAGGCTCAAATGATCTCCCTACAGAGGCAATGGATAGGTTTTCATCAGAATAGTCCAGAAATCCTCTGATGGATATCTATGATGATTTATGTCAGGTGGAGCAGGATCAATCCCAGACTATACAAGCCTCCCGTGGGGCATGCGGACGGGCAAGCCAAGGAATGAAATATAACGTTCCACGGCTGACCGTTAATTAGAATGCTCGGAAACTGTGATTTGTCTAATAACTCGCAGAAAAAACTGTGATTTATCTAGCAACTTACGAAAAAAAAAGAGCTTTTGTTTAAGAAGTTTTTTTTAAATAAAGTAAAGTAAAAAGGTTTATTCATCTAATATTTCGAATTATATCACTTTACTCATTGTTTGTACATTTTACCTCATTGCCACCCATTTCATTGCTGCCCACTTCACTACAATTTACCCCACTAATATCCACCTTAGTACTACTCACAATAAAAAAAAATAAAATAAAAAAAAAAGAAACAGAAAGAGTGTTTCAGCGTTATTTGAAATTTTTAGCGCTAGTAAAATATCTGTTTGCTTACTCCCCCTTACTCCCCCTTACTCTCATTCCCCTCTCACTCTCATTTTCCTCTCACTCTCACTCTCACTCCCCTCCCAACTCTCACTCCCTTCTCAATTCTCACTCTCTCCTCACTCTAAATAGTACTAAAGGCAAGCAGTACTATTATAATAGTGAAGTAAACAGTAGTAAAGTAAGCAGTAGTGAAATAGGCGACAATAAAATAGGCGGGAGTGAGGTGGGCGGCAGTGATGGCAGCAGTTAGGTGGCTAATTATATGTGGGCCGCAATACGTTCTTGGGTAAGGTAAGCTTAATTATAACTACTAGACAAATCATAGTTTTTTAACTTATCGCTAAACAAATCCTTCTTTTTCACAAATTGTGAAACAAATCACAGTTTTTAAACATTCTAATTAACGGTCAGCCGTAGTTCGGATAGTACTCGATAGGAAAATTTATCAAGAATAAAACTAACAAGAAAGAAAACTAAGCTTCCACAACATGCGAATCTAGCACATGAAATATGAGTCATAAAAGTGCAAGAAGCCCTCAACTGACTAATCAGTCGTCTTACACTAAGCATATGTAGCTTAATAACTCGAGATTATGTGTGACTATGCGACGATTTCGTTCCAATAAAGCCGTCCTTTCCGGGCTAAGACAAATTCGAACTAATTGTATTGACTTTAGCACGTTATACTTCAAAGCTGTTTTTATACCATTTCATCTTTCAATTCTTAGTTCATATTTAGGACTGTCACAGAGACTATTACTCCACAAAGTCCGGAATGATGTTACCTCATAACCCGGATTGATATCTATCATACTTTTAACCCAGTAACCTTGATTCCCACCCTCTAGGCAAGCACATACTCCAACACAGCATCCCTCAAATCACCCGACATCTCCAGCGCCAAAAGACTCGAAACCTTCTGCGTAACCGGTGCCTTGCCAGCAACAACCTTCCAAATATCCTCTTTCAGATCAAACCGAATCTGCGCATCCACCAAAATAGGTCGAATGAAAGCCTCCACGTCATTTTGAATGAGCTCAGGATTCGGACCTAATGTGATCTTCGCTCCAACATCCGCTGGCACTTTCCCTAGATTCACTCTTTTGAAATGTTCCTGTTTGCCCCGGATATTCAGATCGCGGAATGCTAGGAATCGTACAGTCCACACGCGGTCCTCCGAATGTCCGACGCTGGAAAGGATGCTCAACGTCCCATCCGCTTGCGTATATTTGATGGACGTTCGTTTGAATGTACAGTCTTTGGCCGAACTGCCAGTTCCGTCGTCTTCAATGAGTTCAAATTCACCGTCTGCGCCAATAACCACGAGAATTTCAATGCTGTCCGGATTCTCGCCTCCGTTTCCTGGCTCGGTGGATGCGTCTAGGGGGATGATGGAGCCTGATTTTGCGAGGACGGGGTATTGGTCCAGTTTTCGAGAGAGGGACAGAAATCGATCACCCTCGTAGACAGCTCCTGAGAAGATATCGACGTATCGACCGGGTGGTAGCCAACCCTTGGTTCTTGCCATCCTGAGTTTCGGGTCTTGTGGAGCAGTGATCGGAATAACAATGAGTTTAGTGCCGAACAGATACTGATTTGGCACCTTGTAAGCCTCGTCTTCTTCCGGGTACTCCCAATACATCGGCCTGACCAACGGTATCCCTTCGGTAGCAGCCTTGACGTTCATCGTATACAGATAGGGTATAAGCCTATGTCTGAATCTCAAGAACTCTGTCATGACTTTCTCGGCCTCAACTCCATAAGTCCATGGTTCCTTTCTCGTCCATTGGCTGACCGAAGAATGAAGACGTAAAATCGGGCTGAAACACCCAAATTGCAACCATCTTGTCGCCATCTCATCATCTTTAACTCCTCCCATATGTCCACCAATATCATGACTCCACCATCCATAACCGATATTACTTGCTGTTGCAGTAAATTCTGGTTGGAAAGCAAGGGAATCCCACGTGACAATCGTGTCTCCTGAAAATCCAACAGGATAGCGATGAGAACCTGGTCCGGCGTAGCGACTGAATGTCAAGGGACGTTCATGATGCAGTGCATTGTCCAGGAAGTGGAAATGGTTGAGTACCCAAAGTGGATCAATGCCTGGGATCCGTGAGTGAGAACCTTGCTGCCAGTCAACCCACCAGAAATCCACTCCTTGATCTTCGATCGGTCGATGCAGAACATCAAAGAAAGCATTCAGGAAATTCCGGTCTGTGATGTCGAAGTGAATTGGGTCATTGTTTTCCGTGGAATGAGACAGTGCTTTTGCCATTGCTGGATATAAGTCTTCGTAGTTCTGTACACCATCGGCTGGGTGATCGTTGACTGTGACCCTCAATTTTTTCTCGTGCAACGCCGATAAGAACTTCTTTGGATCCGGGAAGAGTTTCTTGTTCCACGTATACCCCGTCCAACCTGTCTTCCCACTAGCTTGCACTTTCGGATCATCGGTAATATGCCAATCCATATCAATGACCGCAACACTGAACGGGATCTTCTCCTCTTCAAACTTGTCCATCAGGGTAAGATACTCCTTATCACTATACGCATAGTACCGTGACCACCAGTTCCCCAACGCCCACCTAGGCAACAGTGGCTGATTTTCAGACAACGCATACAAAGCCTTTACAGCCCCAGCATAATCATGTCCATAAGCGAACAGATACCCATCAACCCTTCCAGCACCAGGACGACGGGTAGCAACAAACCCATAGCCGTCAAACAACATACTAACCGAGTCATCAATCGTCGTATACCCATTCCTACTCACGACTCCCGGACCAAGCGCACACCGTCCATCAACCTCATCCAACGTCCTAGCCGTCCCACCCATATTCCCACATACCTCTCCATAATGCCACACCGAGCTATGACACGAGAAATTGCCGTTGACGCCGGCACTGAGACTCGAGGCGCTGAACTCGTGCCCCTCTTCATACGTGAGATGGAATTTCTGCGTGATGATTTCTAGAATTCCGTTTTTGTTGATGATGCGGAATTCTGGGACGGGGAGATCTCGATTGATGGCAAAGACGCTAGCGCGGTCTTCGAATTGGGTGTCTGGGGCCCATTCGTAGCGGAGGAGACCATCGGTGAGGACTGTGAAGCGGTATTTGTGGGAGCCACCGCCAACAATAGCTTGAGGGTTGGCGATGGGTTTCACAGGGAAGTTGGAGCGCGGGGAGAGAGCGCTTTCGCCCATGGTGGCGGCTCGATGATACACGTGATAACTTCGAATTGAGGTCACTGTTACGAACCGGGAGCGGAGTGAGTTGATGAAAGCCAGTCTTATCTGGTGATGAAAGAAGTGGCTGAAGACGAGCAATGAAAGAACTGGGAAGGTTTGAATTGAGACGACAACGACGACGTCGTTGTGTTAGGCACGACCCGCTTTTTCATGCAGTCGCTGACGAGTCAGGGGGATTCGCTTAAACTCTCGCTGAAATGGGAAGTGATGAGGTAGAACATCATATGTTCTTGAAATGATTCAATCGAACGAAGCGTTGTGGAGTTATGATAGATGCTACCAGAAAGTATAAAATCCAAACTTACCAATTTTCTAGGCTCAGGAGCTAAGATAAATAAGATTATCGAATACACTCGTCGCGGGGTAATGCGGGGTAATCCTCACGAGGAGACTCCATTTCAGCAAATCCAAATTCCTGTACTCAAATCTAACATCCATGTCCAATCATCCCCGTAACCCCATTCTTCGCCGTATAATCACAACTTCCGTACGCCTCTACTTCCGTGCCATTCTTACTCGGCGCCAGCGTAACGTTTTGCAACGCAATATTGAAACATGGATGCACATTACTGCAACTGATACTAGCTGTTTCATTGCTCGTTGCCAAAGTATAGCCTGTGAAGTTCACAAAAGCGATATTAGAGATCTCCATCTTGGATGTCCCGGCATAGGATCCGTTGTCGCCGTTGTCTTGCGTGATGCCTGGTACGAATTAGTGAGTCGAAAGGCATAAGTGGTGAGATGTTAGGTACTTGGTCCTAGGGCTGCTCCTTGAACCCAGAAGTTCTCAAAACGCAAATTTTGCACAACACCCCTGCGAAGAAAGATCAGGTAAGAAGAGAGGTGGAAAGGGGAGGCTTACCATCCGCCTCCATTCGGAAGACCAGCACTATTATAGCTAGATTGAGGCAGAGAGGCTCCCATCCACGTCTTGATATACGCCGAATTATGCATATCAGTATTACGAATCAAGATATTGACATCCTTGATCCAAGCATTGATAACAGAGGAGTCTTCTTGATACTGTCCCAAAGATCCAATTGCTATCCCATTGCCGCCGTGGCAAGTTACCTGTCACATAACTCAGCAATCGTCTAGTGTCGGCAAAAGAGGGAACCTTACATTTTGAACGTAGGTATTATACGATCTCGGCTTGATGGCAATACAATCATCACCACCTTGATACACGAAATTCGTCAATTTCACATTATTACAATCTAGTGTATCAAAACCATCCGTATTCTGGACCCAGAGAGCATCGTACGGCGCATTGACGGCCGTGGCATTAACATAAATGTCGTGAAACCAAGCATTGGAAACATTCATCAAGTTGATAGACCACAACGGAGGATCGATGACCGAAACTGCAGATTGCTTAAGTCAGTGTACAAGAGACAAAATTAGAAAGAAAAAGATCTTACAATGCTCAACCAAAACCTCACTCGCGTTCCACCACACAAAATTCATCGGTCGGACCGGCTGCGTGACAGCCTGCTCGGCATCATACCACGCGTTCCCATTAACATCCAACCGCCCCGTATCGTGTCCATGGATATGAATATGATCCCCCGAGATCGTAAACTGGGCGTGGTGATTCTGAAAATGTATCGGAATGGTGTTGTTCGTGTCTCTCCAATGGGTTAGATTATCGGACAATGTCCAGGTCCCGCGCCATTCGATAGTTACGTGCGACAGGATAGGGTGTAGTTGAGAGGCTATGTAGTAGTTTTCGGTGGAGGGGAAGATGATGGTGCCGCCGTTGTTGCAGGTGGTGAAGGCGGAGAGGATGTTTGGGACGTCGTCTTGGAGGGCGCCGAGGGCGTGGACGGTGCATGTCTTTCCGTTTCTGTGGGACAGGGTTGGGTTTCGTCCGAAGAGGGTTGGGGAGGCTGTGGTGGTTGTGGCTAGAAGGGCTATGGGGATGGGGAGGAGCATGATTGTGAGGTGTGGATAGACGGGATGAGAATAGAGTAAGTGTTTACATCAGATACCCAAAAATAGACAGTTGCCGAGGACTTAATAAAGACTTCTTGGCCAGATCATCACTACATCAAACCGACTTCGAGGGTAGAATTAGAAAGCAGAGTGATCATTGGAAGACCCCACTCATGCATTTATTTGACAGAAATTTACAAGGGTTAAGAACAAAGCATAGCTCGAGGCAGGACCACCGTTACTGCATATCAACAACTAGGTACAAATGCACAATGATGGAATTTCTATCCCACCAACGCTCATAACGCTTGATGTCTCGGTGAACATTCAACTGTCACCGAGCTCATGTAGTTTTGCCTCCAATCAGCCTAAGCTTTGATTTTCGCGAAATGGCTGCAGGATTGACGTGCTCACTAATGCAGGTCCCGCATTCTCATAAGACAGTACCAGGAATCACGTAAAAGGACGTAACGTTAAATTTCGGGAGGGAAAAGTAAAAGTGGGGTGCTTTTTCGACGAGTTGGATTTGTGAAATTGGGGCACGAAGTGATCAGCTCAATAAATTTGTTCCTTAGATACAAAAATTACAGCAATCAATCTATCTACAACGGAATCTCAGTCTGAATAAACGGGAGAAGCTTAACAGGCCCAAGCAATCCATATATCTGTGTCCCATAAGACGCAGAATATGTCGCCTGCTCCCAAGACTGTGTCACATTCACCTGAAGCAATCGATTCCTCAACGTCGTTGAGACCTCAACTTTTACGTGATTCGTGCCTTCAAACAAATACGGTGTAATGTCCACAACCGCATCTTGTACATCGATAGGCCCCGTCCAAACTTCATTAACCCATAGTCGAATCGTCATCAAGACAGGTCCTAGATCAAGATACACACCAGCGGTCGCTGCATCAGGGGCCCAAGTGAAATGTGTGGTGTATGTTCCAATGCCTGAAGTGTTCTTTAGGCCGGTGATGTTCGCCCACGGAAGGAGGTGAGTGAGATTGTAGTAGTGGTGCGTGATTAGAGAAGTGTAATTGTTTTTAGGATCTGGACCAGGCTGCCAGTCTTGGACCTCGAGATTCCAAGCCGAGAGTTCAGTCGGGGCTTGGAGTTCGCGTGCAGATTCCAAAGTGACGATAGTTTCGTTACTGAGAGTAATGGCGTGGTCAGTATCTCTCGTGTCTCTTGCAATGATTTGGTTGTTCGAGGCTGAGAAGTTGAGGAACTGAACGGCAGTGGAAACCACGTGGACGTCGGGCACGACCACATTTGAGAAGAAACCTTTGGGAGCAAATGCGATGATAGTAGTTTGATTTGACCTGAGCTGTATCCATAGTGTATAACGATCACCTTCGATCGTGTAATTGAGCACGGGAGTAATCACGCCTGTCCAAGCATCAAGGTTGTAAGGCGTGCCGTGGGCTTTGATGGAGACTTGAGTTGCGTGATCATTGTAGATGTCGGAATTGTAAGCCCAGAAGTAGTCTACATCATTCGGCTCATCCCAGCGATGGACATAGATGATCGGACAAGGCTGCAGATTTTGGGCCGCAGGGGTGATGTTCAGATTCTGAAGAGTTGATACGACCTCAGACTCCGAAGAGAGATTTTTGACAGATGGGTACTTCTGGAGACTTTCGATACCAGCCTTAACGTCCTGATCACACGCTGGGCAGTAATAAGGAGTCTCTTCGGGAACACCGCCAACGAAGAGGATAGGAAACCCTTCTTCAGCATATTCGAAGAAGCGTCCAAGAGCTTCAGAAGTGATGTTTGTTGAATTATCGACAATGAAAGCAGAAAAGCCAGGTCCATAGTCGGCAAGAAGTCCGTTTGTGACAACAGCATTGTCAAAGATCAGGTTTGAAGGACTGACAGAGACGTCTGAAAATCCATTGTTAGCAAGCGAGGGGTGACCGAAGATGTTTTCAGGCATGCCATAATGCTTGATATCAACGGATATGTACTTGTGGCGATAAATGCCGAGGTCCACTCGAGGGACGCCAGTCTGTAGGATCAATTGTGTTCGTGCAATCCAATCCCCAAACTCCCTGACGTGGGACCAGCTAGGTTGCCTCGGACCCCACATCTCGGAATAATGCCACTCGAATGTGGTGAGTCCTGGCCATTCGGCGTCAGGTCTATAGCCAGAGTACGGATACCCGTGACTGACAATACGATTAACACCACCTGCATAGCTGACCTTACAGTCGTTCAAAATCCAAGGCCAGGTTATCGCATAGGCGAAATATCGATGTGCGCCCAACTCCGATGAATATATCTGTTTCTGGCCCATCATCGCTCCACCTCCCATAGCCCTCACTGCATCAATAATTCCATCGAAGTAGTTTGACTCCGTTTCCGGAGCATCAATGTGGGCTGCTGCCGAGGTCATATCCCAAGGAGGTGCAAGATTCGGAGCGGTCGCGTAGGGTTGAACGCTTCCCTGAAGATCCCAGCTGGCTGACCAGGAAGATAATCCGTCGAGATGGAACTTCTCGTACAGTTCTTGCAATACCTGACGGTAGTCATTGCGAAGTTTCTCTCCAATATCGGTGCCATTTGCGTCAGTGAATGAATAATAGTAGTATCCGTTGATTAGAGTGCTTGGCGGTACTCCTGTGGTACCGAAGAGACTCGGCAGAGAATGGACGACGCTGTAGTTTCTTGATTGCTGGAAATATGTCTGGAATTTATCAGTCCAGAAGAGCGTTGCCCTAAATTCTGCTGAGTCTTCCCAAGCAAACACTCCAAGCTGTCGCAGCAGTTCACCATTTTCGCCACCCATCACGTATTTCTCTGTGAAAGAAGTCCAAAGATCCGTGCTTCCTTCGGAGTTAGCCAATAGACGGGGAATCATTCAAAATGAGGCTTACCCCTCCTGACTAAAATGATCCACCACATATGCGAACCATGAAGCAGGGTTATCTGGAGACGTTGCGTTGTTGAATGCACCTTGTGCTGCAAGATATCCTGTTCGCCGTTGCCAAAAGATGAGAAGCACATATTCGGAACCATCATTGGGAGCAATGTAAGTGACTTTGCCATCGACGACAAGATGTGTAATATCTTGTACGCCGTCATAGTCAAGCTGAATGACTCTTGGATCAACAGAAGGTGCTACTGGATGTGAGCAGGAAATCTTGAACTACCTATGCAAAGAGACTTACTTGTGCTCTTCCGTGCGACCACCGCTGCGACAAACTTGTTGGTGTAATTGATGAAGGGAGGGTAGAAGTCGGGAGCATTGGCGTACCCAGCATCAACATTCTTTGGAGGTGGCAATGTCCCATTAAACGCCTGTCCTGATGTGAGATTGACAGCACCATATGCTAGTTCGGTGTTCATTCCCGGAGAATCTGGGTCGAGAATCGGGATGGAAGCACCTTGCGTTGGACCAAGTGCGAAGTCCACAATCATGTTGAGCTCCTGAGCTGTATGTAACATCAAGCCAAACTTCCCATACCAATCTTTCCCGCCATAGCCATATATAGCGGGGTCAACCACAGCCAACTCAATGCCGTAGTTCTCGAGACATATTATTTCAGCTCCTCCCCAACCCGAAATCTTCATCTGCTCTAGATCAAATGCGAGGACGTTGTCGTCGACATCAGCATCTGGGACCCAATATCGAAAAGCTGGGCGAGCCAGACCACTTGGATTTTGGAACTCGTTCGGAACATCATAAGTGATGCATGATGAAGGACGATTCCCAAAGCCAGGATCAATGGTGTTTGCTACAACACCACTCTTATGGATCACCGCCGGTATCAAGAACAAAGAGACAAACTTCATGATGGCCAGGGAAGTCGTCAAAAACCGCCAACAAGCGGTATTCTCTGACTTGGTAGAATTATTGACAGAGTAGACATGTTTTCCTGCAAGAGATCCTGCATCGCTTTTTGATGATGGTGGTCATGGTGGGGCTCTCGACAGGCGCAGGGCCCGAAGATCACTTGAACCCAAATCATACGAGGGGTAAGCATTGCGTCTAGCGTGCAGTGGAAGCAGAGACGCAAGTCGAGGGCGGAATTGGGCGATGAAGAAGCTTGCATCTTCAGGTGCCTGGTAAGCTTAACGTAAGGACGAATGTTCTGATGCTTAATACGGAGCACAGCGGGGGCCTCGGTCCACCATTTTTCCATCAATGAGCCCCATTTACGAGTACCTCTTCTGTATCCTCCACCTCCAAACACGACGATCATCAATTCATCCTATAATGCCATTGACCTCGGAGTCTTCCGAGTTCATGTTCCAGCTGCACCATAGCATGTATTATCAATCACTGCAGCACCTGCAGCTTGCATCGATTGCACCATCCCTTCCTTTCGGATGAGCTTTCGAATAGAGGCAAATGCCCCGAAAGCTTGTCTCCGCAGCTGTCACGGTACGTGCTGGAAAGTAGCGTTCTTGGAATCTAGGACTTTTATCATATTATCTAACAAACTTCGAAATATATGAGTGTCACAGTCATGACAGACGGAAACAAAGCACCAAAGAGGCCCAACTTTCTCCTAGTCGTCGCAGATGATCTGGGCTGGTCAGATGTGGGCGCCTTTGGAGGTGAAATCCAGACCCCAAATCTTGACAAATTGGCACACAATGGAGTACGGTTGACGGATTTTCATACCGCCAGTATGTGCTCTCCCACGAGGTCAATGCTCTTGAGTGGGACAGACAATCATATTGCAGGTAAGTGGCAACCCACTCCCAGAGATTCAAAGTTTAGTTGACCCAAGCATGTAGGTTTGGGCCAAATGGCGTAAGTTTCCAGACATGAAGAAGGTGTCACACAAACGTGATCCTAAAACTCACAGGTACTGGGGTGACAGCGACTCGCCTTGGAAAAAACTTCCAGGCTACGAAGGTTATCTGAACGACCGCGTTGCGGCTCTACCTGAACTTCTCCAAGACGCTGGGTACTACACAACGATGTCTGGCAAATGGCATCTTGGTCTCACGACGGACCGAACGCCTCATGCTAGAGGATTTGATCGCTCGTTTGCCCTTCTACCTGGAGGCTCAAATCACTATGCATACGACCCAGTGCATCCTGACGGGCGTCGTGTTTTTGCTCATTGGGCATCATTATACGCTGAGGACGACAAGATAGTTGATCCCAAGACATTCCCTGCAGACTTCTACTCGTCAGATACTTACACATCACGGTTGATTGAGTTTCTGAAAGAGCAAAAGTTCGATGTCAAGAAGGCAGATGCTCCTTGGTTTGCCTTCTTGCCTTTCACAGCCCCGCACTGGCCCCTTCAAGCCCCAGCTGAAGTCGTGAAGAAGTACCAAGGAGTTTACGACGAAGGTCCTGATGTATTGCGAGCAAAGAGGTTACAAAGTCAGATCAAGCTTGGACTGCTCTCCGCTGATGTAGAACCTCATCCGGTTGTTGCAACCGACAAAGAATGGTCAGCGATGGAAGCGGATGAGAAAATGTGGTCTGCCAAAACTATGGAAGTCTTCGCTGGTATGGTAGACCGCATGGACTGGAACATTGGGCGAGTTGTGAAGTACCTTGAAGAGACGGGAGAGATTGACAATACCTTCATCTTTTTCATGTCGGACAACGGTGCCGAAGGTGCGATTATCGAGGCAATTCCCATGACTGGAGATGTTATCAAGCAGTCAATCAGCAAGCATTATAACAACGATCTCGACAATCTTGGTAATGCAGATTCATTCATATGGTATGGGCCAAGATGGACGCAAGCTTCCACTGCACCATCGGCACTGCACAAAAGATTCGTGACCGAAGGCGGAATTCGATGCCCAGCCATCGTTCATTATCCACAGCTGTTTGGGGCTTCAAAGGATAAGATCTCGGGAGCTTTTACCACCGTAATGGACATTCTTCCTACCATACTTGATTTAGCTGGAATTCCGCAACCGCAGGGCCACTTCCGAGGAAGGGAGGTCGTTCCGGTCAAGGGCAAGTCCTGGGTTCCACATCTGTCTGGAAATACCTCGAAGGTGCATAATGAAGAAACGGTGACAGGTTGGGAACTGTTCTTCCACCAAGCTGTCAGGAAAGGAAAGTACAAAGCCGTATTCACTCCCAAGCCAAAGAGGCCGGAGAAATGGCAGCTCTTCGACTTGGAAAAAGATATGGGCGAGATCCACGATCTAGCAGAAGAGAAGTCGGACATCTTGGACGAGTTGGTCAAGTATTGGATGATTTATGTCGCGGAAGTTGGCGTTTTTCTGTGCGTTTCAAATCTCTACCATAGCATAATCATGAATTCAGCTGACCAACATCAATTACAGCAGAGAGGACCTCCCAGAAGGATATGTTCTGCCAAAGCAATGAGTGCTAGTAGTGTTGTTACAATCGGACTATCGTCCCAAATCGAAGCTTTCTCGTATCTGTGGGTATGACCAGACGAGAGTCAAAATATATGAACTTCGGAGTACAGTGTGTTGAGAGCTTGCATAATGGCATACCCAGTCACCGCAACGAAGCTTGTGGTACTGAAATATTTTCACAATTTGCACGTTTTAATATTTTACAGGGCCATGCGAAGATACCCAGTGTGGGCAACTCGCTTCTTTCAACTGTCAGCATTATTTTACAGTTGATGGTTTATTAGAGGTCTTTCTCGTGATAGCGCTAACTGTGATTTGCTTATTATGCCTCACTCCACATACTCACCATGATGGTACCATACTACGTGAGTCACAGGTTGGAAAGGCGACGAAGCAGTTTGTCGAAGGGCTCAGTTCAATGAGGTTAACCAAGTCAATTGTGAAGTGACATATATGGGGCTGTTAGCTTTGGTATTTCATGCTTTATTTTTTTGGCTGAGAACCATGCTACGTTGTGTGGTTTTAATTACTTTCATCGACGTTGATAAGGTGCAAGGGTTACGATTCGCTGGCATGGGGTGGAGATGTCACGTGGAGTCACGGATGATGAAGAGATGATTGGGGTTTCTTGTTTTTGTGTTTTTTGGCTTTCTTTTTCGCTACGCTATATACATATGAAAAAAAATGAGAAAATGGGGAGATGGGTGCTGTGTGCTGTGTGTACCTCTTGTCGAGGTGATAGCAAGCAAGAGAAAAGTTGGCGTGTATGGTTTTCGTGTTGGGTTTCTTTGCTTGTTGTGCTAAGTAGTTGTACAGAGAAACTGAAATCGTCCGATGATGTGTGTTTCGCATCTTCTAATGAGGTAATAGAAGGGAAAGGTGTGTACGTGTATGTGTATGATTGTCCAAGTTTCGACACCTATGATATGTCCTCCAGCGAAGCGCTTCGTCGTCTTGCCAGACGTTAGGCATGCCTTTCGTTAAGTGAATCAAATCGTGGATTGTGATGCAGAGTTCTTCAGGGGGCGGAGTCGTCCAGAATGCCTATCCTTTGCTGGCTTTGGAGCCTCATAGTCTGGTAGAGGACTGCCCAACTTCTCCGCCTCGATGAATTGGTCCTCGAAGCGGTACTTGATAAAGGGAAAGTTCACGTTGGGATGCTTCCACTTCAAAGTGGAAGCATCTAGGTCGAAAGTATAGGCTCTTTCTAGTATTTGCATGGCTTCGTTTGGTGGAGCAAGTTATTGGAAGGCGTCAGATGTATAGATCCTACCTATGTAGTGCCTATACAATCTTGGTGCTAGCGCGCATACATAAGCGAGTGACTAACGGCACAATTCTGTAGCGTAGATCTAAATTATCGAAGAGATTGAATTGGGATGAAAGCAAAGTCTTACGTATTGGTCAACATATACACAAGTGTACGCCTACAGGTCTGCTCGTTCTCACTCAACCTTGAATGGCTTTATAGTTGATGATGTGGCGAGTGGTCAACTGGATATTGATCAAGTCATAAGTTCCCTAAGATCAGGACGATTCGTTTTTACCCTTGATTAATCTTTCCTGGATCTGCATTGTGTTTGTTGTGGGAGCTCTTGACTAGAATCCGAAGTTGTCGTTTCGAACTTTGATGAACCTTTCGTACTGGGCGCCGCGCTGTTTTGGTAGAGAATTTTGTGTCGAAGTCGTGCTTTCCGAAGCTGCGCAATGTGCAGAGACTGCACCAGAAAGTACGAGACCAACCTGAGAGGACTTGTATTCGATGGACCTATCGATTGACGACTTGCAGTCAATGTTGGCTTTGAACACTGCGCCATTGCAAGAAAACGATTGTTTAGGAAACAGCAACTCAGAAAACGTATCATATGCACACCTTAGACTACAGACTTGCGTTCCCGAAATATGTATAACTTGTTGCTATCGCATTTCTTTGTGGAAGCAGAGAAGGTCGCTCTGGGACTTACCACAGTTCTCGTTATGAAGAAAAGTTTTTGTTTAACGGGCAAAATCTTTGGCTGATGAGATACTTTCTGACCGCAAACTTGGCACCGAAGCACTCCATTGAATTATCTAGAACATAGCAAGTAGCTTTTCTAATTCCTAAGCGCGAAAGAGAACTTTCTCTTAGTTTGTGTGGGCTTTCACGTACGCGATGATTGCCTCCACACGGCGAAAAGGATCAACTTTTACCCAGACATGATAGAAAAGTCGAGGCCGGATAAACATAAAACGCCCGCCTTCCCCTCCATTTCAAAACCCGGAGTAGACCCTGTCGCGTACGGCCCGCAGCCGCCTAAATCTGAATAGTGTTTTCCCTTGTTAGTTCTTCAATTCAACCATATTACTATGTCCACTTGAGGGATCTTCATTTAAATAAACCCCTGTTTTTCTCATTCTCGACCCCGGAATTGCCATGTGGTTAGGCTTGCCTCGGATTTTGAAATGAGCCTAATTAACTCGGAACCCGCCACGGCCCTAAATAAGCGAACCAAGCCCCCTATTCAAGCGATTTCGCCCTTCTTCAAGTCACCCGATATTGCAGGTATGTCAGCCACAACGCCAGAAGAATCCAAGCATAGACTACTGATTCTAGTTAATTGATCTAGTCTCGGCCACTGGAGCGAGTGCGTTGAATATAGAGAGGCTCTTGGCTTGACATTTCGGAAAGGAAACCGGAAACGAAAAAGAAATCTGCGGTTTGAACGGGAGATAATCACCGGAAAAGAAATCATTTCCTAAAACGTCCATGACCGGAGTCGGAACAACCTTAAATAGAACCTTAAACAAACAATCGTGGCATCTGACATGCTTTCGACTCTTGGCTTCCTAGCTAGTCTAGGGAAACGGAACAATGTCTTCGAGTTCCGCTAAATATTTCTATTAAGGGTCAACGGAGCATTGAATGGCTTTGGCGTGGTCAATCAGACGATTATAAAGGTTGGGACATCTCCTCACGTTGCAAATCAAAGCTTCAACTACATCCTTCATCATGGTGTCTTTTTCGTCCTTGATTATTTCTTTGTCTGCTGTTGCTGGAGCTTTGGTTCTGCCCAACGAGCTTGCTAAGCGCAGCCCGGGAGAACTTGTCGAACGTCAAGCTATTACATCGAGTTCGACTGGTACTAAGGACGGCTTCTATTATTCTTATTGGACAGATGGCGGTGGATCAGGCACTTTCACACTTGGGTCTGCCGGCCAATACACTAGTGAGTTACCTTCTTTGACTGCTTATCATCTGCTTGACTTCTCTATGGCACTTCCTTATAACCTACTGCTTTCCTTATAAGTGATTAACGCTCATTGATACTAGTGACCTGGTCCGGTGAAGGCAATCTTGTGGGAGGTACTGGCTGGATGCCTGGAGCCGCTCGAGCAATTTCTTACAGCGGTACTTACAGCCCTAACGGCAACTCATATCTCTCCGTATACGGCTGGACCACTTCGCCGCTTGTTGAGTACTATATCGTCGAGTCCTACGGAACCTACAATCCTTCATCTGCCGCTACAAAGCTGGGGACGGTGGTCAGTGACGGAGGTACCTATGATATCTTGCAGACGACGAGAACAAATGAGCCTTCGATCCAAGGAACTTCTACCTTTCAGCAGTATTGGTCTGTGAGACAGACACACCGCACGAGTGGAACTGTCACTACGTCAAACCACTTCAATGCCTGGGCTGCTCTTGGGTTGAAGATGGGTACTTTCAACTATCAAATTGTGGCCACCGAAGGCTACCATAGCAGTGGCTCTTCTAGCAGTAAGTCTTTCCGAGAAAGCTCAGGTCTCCCTTGGAGACAACCCACTAATCATATATCTCAGTCACGGTCTCAGAAGGAACCGGTTCAAGTGGAAGCGGAGGTGGAACTGGAACAACCACCATCTCAAGCACTGCTCCAAGCTCGACTCCTTCTTCCCCCTCAGGAGGTGGAAGCGGTACCGTCGCAAAGTGAGTTGAATCTCTCTCCTGAGTTGATCCCTTCAGACTAACAAATATAGGTGGGGCCAATGCGGTGGAACTGGATGGACCGGAGCAACAACATGTGTTTCGGGCACTACCTGTAAAGCTGCTAATGCCTACTACTCTCAGTGTTTATAATCTGTGAGCAATTATTGGCTGGCATCCATGCCGATTTGTTTGGACCTATTGAAGTGACATTGATGCAAATAGGGAAGGGGGTGTTTTCTGAGTCTTGTATATAGCTTCTTCTTGAACATACTTCACATTCTTTTAGCAAAGTACTTCACCTCTTGCATCAAAAAGTGAACATATCGATCATGGCTAATATAGTGACGAGACTTCTCTCGTGGGCAATGCCGATGAGATTATTGGAAGCTTAGAAGCCGTCGAAAGATGTCAATAACAATAACGCTACACTAGCGCTCTGTGAGGAAGGCTGCCAGAAGATACGATCAAGTTGATTGAAAGGACACAGACGTGAAAGAAGTTTCTTGTTGGCAGTTCAATCTATTAAGTCAGCACGTCGGCCGACGACAGTGGCTCGTCTGACGCCAAATGCAGGGCACAGGCCCCTTGATTGGACGCGCATGCAGGCTGACAATAAATCGACGCAGCTTAACACTTCAAATGCAACCTTGCCTGCAGATAAAATTGCGTGCTGAGCTTCGGTCCAGTAAAGTTGGAGACGCTACATACACCGTTGTAATCTCCTGCCAAAGATAATTCTATGAGTGTGCCCATTATGAATATTCATAATCGCTGAGTAATTGGTAATGTACGACGCTGGAAAATAAAACTATGACTTCGTCCTCAAAATCTTATTTTGGTTTCATTTACAACCTAAATAGGCTGTGGCATATGAAAGCATCAATACGTAACGATGTCTATCTCAATTTCTTGGATATGGAGAAGTCCTCTTGGTACTATTTTCAAAGCTTTGGTCCTCTCCAAATTGGCCATCGCAGGACACTACCCACTTTCGGTCGTAAACACGGATGTAGCAATCTTGGGAGGTGGTGCTAGCGGTACATACGCAGCGGTTCGTCTCCGTGAGGATTATGGGAAGAGCGATCTTCTTATCGAAATGGAGGCTGTCTTGGTACGCATTCTAATCAAGCGAGCGGACACAAGCACTAACGCTGTGATTGAATAGGGAGGTCATGTTAATACTTATACCGATCCTGAGACCGGCGAAGCCTTTAATTATGGTGTCCAGTCTTATATCGATTACAAGGGTGCCAAAGCATTTTTCGAGCGATTCGGGATCCCACTCCAACCTAATGTTCTCTTCTCGTCCAACACGCTTGATGTTGATCCGAACACAGGGAAACTTGTCAATGTCCCGGTTGGTCCACCGCTAAATTCCTCGGTTGCCGCGTTACAAAGATACTACGACGTAATAGTGCCTTGGAATGATATTTTGCTCCCAGGATACTGGGACTTCCCTCCTGGAGAGCAAATCCCTGCGGATCTCCTTCTGCCCTTCTCCGACTTCGTGACGAAGTACGAGTTGGAGGATATGGCACCTGTTCTTGCTGTCGTCTCTGGACAGAGTATCAGCACGACTAACCCAACTCTGTTCGTAGTTAAGAATTTCGGCACACCTGTTGTAGAGGGTTTTCTGAATAACACCTTCTTCGACCCTGTCCCTTTCAACAATAGCTTGTTATATGGAGATGCAGAACGACTTTTAGGCGAAAGTGTAGTTCTCACCAGCACTGTCATAGAAGCAAATCGATCTGATCATGGCGTCAGGCTTGTCATTGAGAATCTTCAGACGGGAAAGAGAACATTGGTTTTTGCAAAGCGCCTGCTCGTGGCATCCCAGCCATCAATCGAAAATCTAGCAGTATTGGGCCTTGATAAGCAGGAAACAGCCGTATTTAGCACTTGGTCGTACGGAACAGTCTATACAGCCGTTCTCAAAACGAATTTGATTCCTGACAATACGTCGGTTGCGTTCGTAACTCCTGCCAACTCGACGAGTGCACAAAAACCATACAGCTTTGGCATTACGTGGAATGGAGCACCAGGCTACTTTTGGATCATCTTTGGTTCCGAGGAGAGCTTTACTGAGGTTGAAGCAAGCGAGGCGATCGTGGCAGAAATGAAAGTCCTTTACAACGGTGGCGCATTCCCACCAATTGGTAGTAGCACCCCTAGTTCCGAGGTTGTCGCAATTTCCAATCACTCCAGCGTCACATGGGGCCAATCTGTCGCGCAACTTGAGGCAGGGTTCGTTCAAGATCTCTATGCGCTCCAAGGTCACAAAAGTACGTGGTATACAGGAGGTTTATGGTGTCCCGATTATTCGAGTAATGTTTGGGCTTTCACAGATACTGTTCTGCCGAAGCTATTGGACGGCATAGACTAACAATCAAGAATGGTTGTAATCTTGACAAAACCTTCAATACTGCCTTTCGATAACGAAAGCGAAAGCATGATAAGCGACAACGTCAGCTTCACTTTCTATCTCAATGATAAGGAAAGTATTCAGCGTCAGTTGTATCTTCGTTATGAATTAGTCCTCTTCTCCAAAGCCCCTGTCCCATTTCTCAATTGATCCATGTGAACAAGTGCGCGTTTTGTGAAATGAGTTAGTTCCAAGACTTGTGGGAGAGCACTTTAGATATATTCATAAAAACAGCTTCTAAATCTGAAAACACGGGTTGTAATTGTATCTGGAGGAGAAATCAAGATCTGAAAGAATAAAGATACATAATTCAGCTGCATGCCTAATCAGCGGCTACTAATTGGCTTGCAACGAGACTCAGAGTATTAGTTCCATGTCTGGAGCGATGTCTCAAACAAAATCTAAAGGTCAGCAGACCTCAGATTTGATGTCATTTAGTCTGGATCTGTGCCTGCCTAGATTAAATCTACCTTTGCCCTGTATTTCATCCTTCAAGCTCGTTACCGAAAACCCTACACTTCCTCGCCGCATTCGCTGCGGTGACTTATCAAAAAGCTGGGAGTTCCGACCTGACGTCAAATATGTTAGTTGGATCTGCATCCAACAGACTGCAACCTTGCCAAAGCCAACAATTCTGTCATCAGCTCTTGCCATATAGCCCTATTGCATTTCCCTTAAAAAGTCATTCAAACTCAGCGATTGATTTGAAATAAAGAAAAGTTCGGTAATTACATTGACGCTTTGCATCCAATCCAGGTAAGTCCAATTCGATGCAGGTAAGCTGATGGTGGAATTCCTGTAGGGATCTAGAAACCGTGCTGATATCAAAACGGGTCTGAAGGTCAAACTGTCCTGCATATCTCATTTCAACGGGTTCCTCAAACAACTGATACCATGCCCGCAAGAATGTACAACAGCACTCTGTGTGGGCAGCCCTACGCAGTACCAGGAGGGCCTCCCAACTCTTGTGCGTTTCCGCTCTCTAATTCTTCAATCGCAACTCAATCTACGATCCAAACCTGGTATTCCATACGCATACAGCCCGATCAACGCACCACCTGGCTGCTTTCTGGTCTGTAACATTGAGAACGCTACCACAGCAGACGAGTTGGAACAGAATACGAATACACTCATATCCTGCTTACAAAAGGCTGGGGCTGGGGATATTACCTGTACCACTACTCCCCCGAAAACCGGCTCTGGAGCCTGTGTGCACCGAAAGTCTGCGAAGTGGTCAACGAGTGTGGCTGTGGGGGTTCTTGTTGCAACGTCTTTGTTTGTTTTGTAGGATTCGCCTTGAGACTTTGCTCACAGTCTCTGAAGGTGGGTTGAAATATGATTTGAGTAAGCGGATGATGTTTGGGCTGACGGGCCTAGAAGCATAAAACTTGGTTTTAAGTGCACGTCTCTTTCGAAGTATTCTGATTTAACAGCTTACTCGCTTGAATTCAGGATTTCCTTGAATTTTGATACATGTGAAGTGTTCTTAAATTAAGGTTCTCAGTTGCTATGAAGACCTTTTCATTTTCATAATGTTGTAGGAGACCATGCAACAGTCATTTCAAGAATATATTTTATTCTATTTCAATCAACAGAGAGTGAAGTACAAGATTACTGATATAAGAAAGTTGGCAGAACGTTTTCTGTCAATAGAGCACCAAACCATGAAAATTTGAGACTCTACGGTCCCGATCTTGTATTCTACATGTTCGAATGTATACACAGCGCAAGCTTTTCAACCTTTGACGACTGCTCGTCATACAAAGAGCGCCAATCCTCTCCACATAGAGATTCTTTTTCACACTACTGCTTTGTAACTGCCTCTTTGATATTGAGGTGAAGAGCTTTTGATCTTGAGATTTGATAGTGGCCTCGTTAGGGGTATCTTTCCTCTTTCTGTAGCATACAGATCATCGATAGACCAAAGCCTTGTCCAGAAAAAAGACACCGAGAGAGGTAGTGTCACACGAAGTTATAGCTAGGTAGTTCAAGAATAGAAAGGATGTCTCAAACTTGAAGTAGCAGTAATTAGAAAGTACAATAAACGAGACAAATAATGAGGCCGTACGGCGATGTTTGGAGAATGACAGCCTCCATCAGATCGTCCTATGCCCAGATAGTCTCTCACTTTGAGGAAACTGAAAAGCGTGCGGTAATTTTGTGGCGATCTAATTGGGAGACTCAAACAAGTTTCGATTGGGTGCTTTTTACGAATTATGTACGTTTTCAATATTTATTCTACGGTATTGGGGTATTAGCCGGCTGTGCCACTTCCTTGTTGTTCCATTGCGGTTAGGCCAGCGCAAGTGCTGATGCGGCTACACAAAGAGGGGCACCTTCTGACCACTTAGAGTTATATGTTGGAATAATTCATGTGCCACTCTACGACATAAAAGTTCTTTTTAGACTAGCTCCCTCGACTGGCTGCGAGACGCAGTCATCTTCCACTACCGGGTTCTTCGGGGTCGATATTCTTTGCAAGCTTGAATTGCCTGCAATCGTCTGCTCGTGCACCCGCTGGACCACCCCAAAACCCCCACTTGAGCCCTACAGTAGACGCAAAACTCAAACTTTTGCATCATAATTGGCTGCATCTCTTTATCCACACGAAACCAAAGCGTCTAATGGTTAACGAGCGTCTAATCGCTATCCACTGTACGTGGTTCATGGAGACACAAGCTGATGATTCGCAACTGTACGCCGTATTCAGAGGGCTAGCGAGTCCATTGCGCCATATGATAGACACAGTGTCATCACAGACTAAAAGCTTATCGATGAGGCTCGAGTGCGTTGCAAGGTATAAACAAGGATTCTTACAGTAGCTTTTTTAGACTTAACTTTCTTTGAGCTTAGATCCGAGTGAATATGTGTTCTTGAATTTCCAAATACTTGCAAGGGCCATTCCACAAATATTTAGCACTTAAGGCCTACACTTCATGTATTTGAATTTCAATAAATGTTGATTTGAACGCAGCTTTATGAGGCATGGCAGGAAAAGCATGGAGACAGAAGCAGAGAAAGGCGGGACGGGCTAGCAAGGGTTCGACTGGCCGGCGTCAAAGCTACACCCTGGCGGGCGAACCGGGCGGACGAATGAACGAAGCTCTTAGTTACCCTTAAATCCTCCGCGCAACGTGCAGAGCGTCCTAATATTAAAACAAAGTCATCGCCTCCCACCTTGTCTTTATCTATCGCAGACCATCTCTTACTTCAAGTCATCAACCCCACCGCATCAATCAGCATGCGTCAATTGGCCTTAAAGCTCACACCCCGAGTCAGCATTGCCCTAATATAAAATTAACACCCCATAAATTCTTTTCAAATCCCCCGTCCCTGAAGATGGAAGCCATTAGCGCTCAAATTCTGGCTCTGGCAAAGACCGCCGATCAAGCTGGGCGCAGGAAGGTGCTGGACACTCTGAAAAGCTTGCAAAATGAGATCGAGACTCCATATGACACAATCTGGCGACTTGGAGGCGTGGTCAGTGAAATTTAAGAGATTCATGCTCACTCCTCCGACCTGGTCTGACTCCTTACAACAGCAACTTCAAATATCTCTGGCCCGTGTTGGCATTGATCTAGGTATCTTCGAAGCCCTGAAAGCGAGCGAGCAACCTCTCGGTGTCGATACTCTTGCTGAAAAGAATGGAGCTTCTCCAGAGCTATTGGGTATGAAATACCTTTGCCGCACCAGGCCTTAACTTGCTGATATTCAAAGGCCGAATTTTGAGGTATCTTGCGTCGCAAGGCATGATCAAGGAGACCAGCAAGAACCATTTTACTACGAGCAATTTGACTAGCATGCTTGCGGACAAGAACTACCAAGGCGGCATCTACCACACGTAAATGCTCTGATACCCCAGTAAGCCATACGGCCCGGCTTATATTATACAGCTTCGATACCGTGGGGCCTCCCATGGCAGCACTCCCCGACTTTCTTATCGACACAAAGTATGCCGCAATTACAGACAATACCAAAACGCCTTTCCAAAAGGCATTCAACACAGAGCTTCCTGCATTCATCTGGTTTCCAGGCCAGCCGAAACTATTCGAGCACTTCCAGCGCTTCATGACAGTCCAACGTGCAGGAGCCGTGTCGTGGCTTTCGGTGTTCCCCTTTAAGTCGCTACTTGGCGACTTCCATGGAAAGACTGCTTTTGTTTATGTTGGAGGTGGCTTCGGTCACCAATGTATCGCAATCAAGGAGACTTTTCCGGAACTCTCTGGGAAACTGGAGCTTCAAGACTTGCCTCAGACATTACAGCATGTCCCGTCTATTGACGGAGTCAGTGTCGTCGTACACAATTTCTTTGAGCCACAACCATCCAAGGGTATGCTCAGCCTTCGATTCAGAGATCAGGATCAAGTTCCAGCTAACAATTTACAGATGCCAAGTTCTACTACCTGCGCAACATCCTCCATGACTGGCCTGATGACAAGGCACTCATTATCCTCAAGAACATTATCCCTGCCATGGGCCCAGATTCTCGTATTCTCATCGATGATATGGTACTTCCAAATGAGAACGTTCACTGGCACGCAACGCAGCAAGATTTGGTCATGATGTCCTCTCTTGGTGCCATGGAGCGCACTAAAGACCAGTGGTATGCTCTATTGGAGGAAGCGGGCCTGAAGATCCTTGAGATCTATGAATACACCCCTTTGCTAAACGAATCGATTATTGTCGCTGTGCCCAAATAGGCAGAAACATTCAAGCTGGGACCGTACTTAGTAGGATAGCGTAGCTTGTTACGACGAAGGCATTTATTAGCTATTCCAAGGACCTATCGTCAAGGTGGTCTCGATACTGACAGCTAACTAATATCTTTACCTTCGTGCCTTCATTATGTGCAAAGCGAGCCCGAGGATTTTGCACAGGGAAGACTACCTCGGCTGTTCAAATGGAAAGATATAGGTAAAGGCCTGATACAGTTCTGTGTCAATCTGTCATTATGATCTCTTTTGTAAGGTCCCAGACGAAGCGCACGGTACAGGCATGAACCACTCTTTACAACAAGGTTCCGACTAAGAAAGAAAGTAAACGTTCGATTTGGCGCCTCCGTTACTTCAACCAAACCAGTCCATCTGCCAACCACTCAACCCCCTTTTCCGTTGCGGATCAGGAATAAACTCTCTCGCCCTACCATGAATCGACATCACCTCAAATTCCACGTCATTCCCAAACTCCACCTTTCCTTTCCTCGTTTCAATATTCTGCTCTATATGAGATACTGTTTGCTCGAGATCTTCATCCCAATTATTAACAGGCTCCATTTTTCCAACAATCCACATCGTCGTCTCCAGCGATGGAGGACCAAGATTCCAGGCCGCGTATGGCTTCAAGATATCTTTCTGTAGAGTATGCTCTGTGTACACGATGGCGCATTTCTTGATGTTCGGCAAGTGCTTCAACGTTTCCAACCTGGAACCATCAGTTTAAGCTTCTGTGTACAGTGGTGGAGGTGGTGGTTTACGGATGCTCATAACCATGAAACCTGTGTCCAAACGTGACGCGGAATTCCATAGTATTAGTGGAACCATCCCAATTCCATAGCATTCTATCAATTGCGATGTTTTTGAATAATTTTAGATAGCCTGCTTTCCTAACCTCGGCGAGCAGGTCAACATCCTCATGGGCATCATGCGTGATCTCGAAGTACGGCCAGTCGATGTCGAGATTCCAGTATACGCCGAAGACTTTGGTCAATTTTGAGAGGGCGATCTCTCGAGATTCATTGTTGATAGACAGAGCTGAAGCATGGTGGAGACCATAAGACGAAGGATTGACAGTGTACTTCTCAGGAGAGGAGGCTGACTGAGACTTGGCGGTGGTCTTGCGATTGGTTTGAGGCGGAACTTGCTGCTTCTTGCGGGTGACTTGGAGCACGCGGGGTTCGGGGAGAGTGAGAAGAAAAATTTTTCTTCGTAGTTCGTATGGGAGATCAGAGAAACCAGTCTTTTTGGATTCAGTTTCTCTCGATCCCCCGTCTCGTGAGTTTGTGCTGCGCGTCTGGTTCTTAAGCATAGACGACATCTTCGACTTGAGAATGGCTAGTCGTGGCACAGGCATTGCATCATTAAAGCTGCATTCAATTGTTGTTCCTCCAAATTCATCTGCCCTTAGGATATGGGCGAGGCGTCTCTCTTATGTTTTGCTGATGTTGGTGCGACGAGGTTGTCAAAATGGTGGGGTCGTAAGGGGATTGGTGTCCAAGTTTGTTCACCGGCAGCCCTGGCAAGGAGCGACAGACTAAAGCCTTCGAGAGTTTTAAGTCACCGATACCAAGAGTTATACCTGTACCGTGAGCACGTTTTGAGATGATGAAAACTGCGGGTAAGATTTGTTCTTGTCGCTAAGCGAGCGCAAGGGAGGCCTCACCCGTCAGTGAGGGAGAATCTACTTCGATTATTCAGATAGCTCTGAAGCCTCAGTAAAATTCGAATACTGTCATGAGATTGTGTAAAAAAGCGGTGTTGAGCTTTCGCATGGTCTCGCCCCAGAGATGCTCGTTCGCTGAATGGGTGGCGCAGCACCTTGTCCCGCATCTTGATACGACCTCGTAACCACGGAATGGAATCCCATCTGGTTCACCGAGTCAAGAATCGACATACTTGACGCATTTCTGTTCCAAAGGAGCGAGTAAGGTCCTGGTGAACCGAAACGTAATCATTCAACAGCTAGGGACGAACTAACCCATTGTCACGACTTTCCATGGTAAAAAATCACCTGCACAAGAATGCAACTAGAATCAGCCTATATTAACCGGGCTCGCGAGAAGTCAACTCATCCTCAAGAAGTCCCAAACTTATCATAGTATTCACTGCCGCACCATTGCAATACATCAGCCTGAACTCATAGTTCAGGGGATTACCACATACTTCCATCTGTACAGCTCAATACACTGGACCGATATCGCCATCTGCCCCCGGACACTTAGGTCCTCTCCTGTGATCCCCGTCGAACAAGGTCCAAAAAAGCATATCCATTGAGTTTGTTGCAATACGTATTGTAAACCCTGACATTCGATGCTATGTAGGATGGGTGGACACACCTAGACACTAGGCTTTGATTCTTGAAGACTCGAAAATCTAGAACAGGTTAAGCAAGCAAAGCGGCTAAGGTATATCTTCGATAGCTATTCAGAAACTCCAAGAGTTATGATCCATCTTTGCTCTCTCCGAATGTGCTTGTAGAGATTTGTTTTCCACCATTCCAATGACAGATCGGTATCATCGATTTTGACCCGCAACCTTCGCGCGAGGCTCCTCATCTCTGACCTCCATCCGGCAGTATATCCACACCAGAAAATCAGAGCCAAGTGCATGCCTTGACACACGATACCCAATCTTAAATCATTCGCAAGAGGTAAGCTTGGCTCTAGATCGTACTGACAACGGATTCTGTATATTTCCATCGAACTCATTACGACATAAGAGACGGAGACAATCCGATTCACCACTTCATCGGCTTTCGAAAATGGGCCCCAGATATTCCTAGGCTCGGTAACGGACGAAGCGAATTCTTTCATATCCTGCTGGAGATATCGACTTGGTTTCCACCCTTCTGCATAGATATTCTTGTCTCGTGACATCTCTTTGAAAGTGGTTTCAATGGACTCCAGCCATTTTTCCTTGTCATAAGACGTCTCCAACCGAGGAACCTTTCTCGCGGTGTACTTATACGCACCGATATAACAAATGGTACATATTCCAGTATATAAGATGGTCGAGAGGAGGTGGTCTAAATTTGTGTTTTTCAGCGGGCTGTAAATCTCTGGTTGTTTCCGAGCTTTGACTACAAGATATATAATATTGAACCACATAAGTACGACAATGGCCAAGTCTACCAGAAGGAGAGACCATCTGAAGATGTCATCCGGTAGTTCTATCGCTGATGTCGAAGTCGTGATTCGTCGGTTCGTGACGCGCGGCATCTTGAGAGCTGAGGTGTCCGATAAATCTAGCTATAGAATTTCGTTCTCCACTGAGGCGTCGGCGAGAGTGTTGTTATAAGTACTTACAATAGAAGTGCGAGAAACATTTCAGCAAAAGTTTTGGGATGATGCAGAACAAAGAAAATGATGACGCCTTGTATAGATCGTTAAGAGCCAGGCTAAGCGATTGTAGATTGGACTGCCCAAGCTTCACTAAAATCCGGGCCTCGTCTCCGCCTTTTAGTGTAGCTGCTACGATAAAATCATTGGTTCTTCGTATACTTTTTCTTCGGAAATTGTATTCATCTGTTCATCTCTTTCCAAGCCATTGGTTCAGGTCTCGAAAGCTTCTCGACGGTATTCTAAAGATTAGAAATCTCTTTGAATAGCATGACTGTGAGTCCCGTGGCGTTTAAAGTCACCTATTCTTTTCTTGATGACTAGTTTTAATCGGGTATTATAATTACAAATAACTGTTTTTCAAGCCACGTTTCTACCTAGTGATGATATACTGTATTTCTCCGAACGAGTTTTGTATCATTGACCTAGAATTAGGCCATGATGCTCTTCTTTGAACTCGTACATACTTCTCCTAACCTGACATCTCACGATTGAGCAAATATAGAACAAGAGATTAGTTAACACACTATTTGTTTCATTTTCTAGGATTTTTAGGCTATCCCCTCAAGCGCCAGCCGGGAATTTTAGCGTGAAATCAATAGTGCACGGACATTTTGTCGAGAACACCAAAAATTTGATCGCTGTAAGAGCCTGGAATTTAATCACTGAAGCTTTAGGCTATTGATCGCTAAAGACCGCTGAAGCTCCCTGGTACTGCGCTAAAATTCCCAAGCGAATTGGCGCTTGAGGGGATAGCGAGGCCTTTAGAGCTTTAGATATCGGCTTTAAACATATCTTATTTTATAGCAGTCAAAATATAGCTATGTCCTTCAAATTGAGTGGAGTGCGTGTAATTAATTCGACCACAACTCCAGAAAATAAAAGAAGAGGACTAGTTTACAAGAGGCAGCCATTTTTTGAAAGTCAAATAACATTACAGAAACTGGGAATCAATGACGTTGTTCAAGATTCTGTGGGAGAATGTGAGTGGCAAAAGCAAATTCTTCGAGAGAAAAAAACACTATCAGATTTATATTCTACTTACACCACTTTAACTTTAAAAACTTGACTTCACACAAAAGATTGAACTTATTTATTGTCCCACAAAGTCATCATCTTATATCCCCTCTACTGTACTCTTAACGCCACTCTTAGACTAACAGAACCCTTTTCTCACCCCGGCCAAAAACACCCCATCCCTGACGGTCATCGTCCCGAATGGATGCCCGAATCACGTTTCGCCTCTCGTCTCTATCCACATTCTCATCTTCGAAAAGTTCCAGAAGACGTTCGATGATTTCTGCCAAACTCTCCTTTCCTAGAATTGCCTTTTCCGAGTGAACACACATACATTCCATCCTGATGTTCCTTGCTAAGCGACCCATATGCAAGTACCATGGCGTCTCAATTGCGTAAATCAGCACCGAGAATGTCATGAGACAAAACTCGGTCCACATTAAGAGCTTCCAGACAATGTTGCAGCCACCGACAACGCATATGTCGAGAGCATAGAGCATTGACCACGTAAACAAGAATAACGCGAGATAGAAAGAGCCAAGGACTGTATTGCGTGTTCGGGAAAATAGATTGCCAGCATGTCGATTGGGGTCTGCCAAGTACAGCGCAAAGTCTTCGATTTGTTGCCTTCGGGTCGAGAGAAATGCTGTACCACGTTTGGGATCTATGTATGTTTCGACGAGAGACGCAATTTCGTCTGCATTCTTGTTCTCGGGCAATCTTGGAAGTTTAAATGTGAAGTCGGTAAAGTACAGGAGGGAGAAATGAATCAGAGGTTGTGGTATCAACACTACTGGCAGGAACTCTTCACCAGTAAATTTTGCGTTTGGGGCGGGAGTGTGCGTCATGAAGCTGTATACAGCAAGACCAAGTAGTAGCACAGGACTTGCCAGCTGAAGCAAGTATGATAACTTCCACAGCGGCAGTATTCGACTTGTTCGTGGTCGAAGGTATGACTGAAGAGGAGTGACCTGAGTCATGGCGTCGAATGAACAAGGGATCGGTATGAAATTCTGAAGAAGAAATCTCGGCGATTTATGTTATAGTTGGTGAAAGCGACGAGTGCTGCATTTTATGTTCTTGGTGTTCCATTACTGCAGTCTTAAATACGGCCCTCGTGTGGATGTGGACTGATAGAAGCGCTAATGCAGAGCCGGGTGCGGCCCATATTCTAATTTCAGGCTCGGTACCAGAAAAAGAGGCGGCAAACGAGATCGCTCTTGGGTTTGAGGCTAAGAATACGGCATGCTTGCTTGGATCATCTTGGATGTCTATGAATCCTGCTGGTTTATATACGAGATTCTTCTTCCAGGACAGAAAATACCAGTCTATCTGTTGGGTGTCCTGCAGCCATGACAAGTATTGATCTGCATAGTGCAGACAGGCCCAATGGAAAGTTGCACATCCTGTTCGATAGACATGGTGATGTTAAGAAATCCAACAGCTTTTTCCTTACGACAAGGATCGGTCGACGATGAAATGAAGAGGTGGAAATTTATTGTAGAGAAGTATGTTCTGAAGACCGGTGTCCTCAAAATAGGGTGTCGTTGCGTGTTGTGCTTGAGTGGAGGTCATCGCCTGCTTTCTTTGTGTGCTTCACCGGCATCTCTATGCCGGAGAGGGGTTTCGTGAATGTCTCGTCTCTATATCCGTTCCAGTTAGTTTATACGATATTCTTCATAGACATTACAAACGTCATACCTTAGAGCCAGCCATGAAATGTCCTTAAGTGTGCTTCAAGGAGTGTGCTTATTTCGTGCGTATGTGTTTCGAATTCGTGTGTATGATTAGAGATAATGTTGTTGAGTTTGTTAGCTTCTTCGAGGTTGTCGATCGAATTGTGATTTTCGATCGTGGAGGACAACCTCAAGTACTGACGCCCAAGGCCACGCGACGGCCAAACTCATCTTGGGCTACCCGTGCCTAATTGGTCCATCGCAGACACCATCAGTTGTTCGGAAGAACTCCTACTAATCGCGATGGACTGGTCAGAAACCGCATAGACGATAGGCGAACACACGTTCACACGGGGTGATCCTTCTCCATCGCCCTCCTCTCTTGCACCTTCTGCCACCAATCCTTCCCAACTGCAAATATGATAAATAGAAGGTTGGCAAAAATCGAAATGACCGCAAGGAAAAGTGACAGCTCGTTGCTGTCACTAGGATAGTTTATCATATTGGATGCTGAAGCATAAAGTCCAAAAAAAAACTGCACGCCCACGACCCTGCAGCCAGTGCAAACTTTGGATGCGGATCCTCGAAATTGTAGAAGTGACAGAGAGTGTTGAAAAGCGCCGCAAGACAGGAGAACATCATGCCAGAAAAGTTCTCTCCCTGCCGCCAATCTGTTCTCGTCATGACAGCATTGACGGTCGAGAAGTAGAAGATCGACCAGGAGATGAGCAACTGAAAATGTCTGATGGGAAGCTCTCGTCTGATACACAGCAACGCAATCCAGAGAGCAAGCCAGACAGCAACAACGGGGGCGGGAAGATTGTACATGATGTGCGACGTGAATTAGGACAATGAATCGTGGGATGGCTGAAGAAGAAAACATCGACTAGAGAATGAACTTACATGGCATGTTTCGCATGTAAGGAAAGAGCACTGAACAATCACCAGAACGTCACTTCGCCGATGTTCGCAACTTCCCCAAATAGATAGCAATGAACACCAAAAGCTCTAGCGAACAGCATAACTGGGCACCAAAAAGAGATCAGAAGAGAGGGTGTCCTACAACTGCATAGAACTTCTCAAAAGTCAGCAAGAAACATTGAAGCACTTACCACGAAAAGGACGATGTCATATAGTCCAAAGATCCCAGTCTCCATTCAATGTAGTATTCTAGTATAGTACCTAATCTACAAGCAAATAGCCTCCCATATGCCCCTTTATGCCCATAACGCCCCAATCATGCATCCATTATCTACTGATAGTCTGCCATATCCTCATCCACATCAAACCCACCAGGCTCTTCCTCATCATCAAAGTCACCAAGACCACCCGGTTCAATATCACCCATATCATAGTTATCCTCGTCTTCATATGCATCATCGTCTGCATCCGGGCTGACGACGTCGCCTTTTGGTGCCTTGAGCGCAGCTTTCCAGTCATCGACAACCTCTTCTTGTCTGGCTGGGGCAGCTTTGGCTGTTGAGACATAGTCGAAGGAGTCTTCGTCCATGTCCTCTTCTTCTTCTTCCTCGGGAGCAGGAGCCGGACTCGATCTGCTGGATTCTGGTTCTGCGGATGGTCGTGGAAGGAGGGTTCTAGGAGCTGGTGAGGCACGGGATGCAGATCTAGAAGCTTGTCTCTTGGGATTCGGGTTACGGTAGCGTTTTCCTGGTTGTAGGTATTTCGGAATCGGGAACAGAGACAGAGGATCCGTGTCAATTTCACTGTCGTCTCCGCCCGCAGTTGATGGTGCAACGGAAGAAGCTCTTGATCCCGCATCGGATCCGAGCTCACTGCCAGCTTGGGATGTGACCCTGCTAGTCGCGGCGCTACCAAGTCCTCCGCCAAGAAAGCCACTTGTGTCGAAGAGACCTTGAATGGCATCGTAGTTGATTTTCTTGGAGTATGTATGGCGCTGTAGAGCTTCTTGTGTTGCTTCAGCTGGACTGTTGGCAGCGCTGGTTTGGTTTTCACCCATGCGAGGCTTCTTCTTGCGATTTCGCTTGGCTTTTGGAGGACCATTCTCGGCTGCCTTCCTCTCCCATTCTCGAAGCTGTTGCTTGCGTAGCCATGCCTTATTATTATTGACCCAAACCTGCTCTCTGACCGCAGAGTCCGCGGCTGACAATAAGCAGTACATAACTTCAGGATCGTCTTTGAATTCATCTTCACCAATATGAACGTCCATGCTGACTTCTTTTTGGGGGTTGTTCTTTGCGGCTGCAATCATGTGGACAGCTGCACGTTGCTTAGCAATAGCATAACGTTCGGCATGCTCGATGGTGTTGGGATCGTTGATCACTTCATCGATTTCCTGTTCCAATTCCTCTTCAACACTAGCCCATCTTGGATCAACCCGAATCGGGCGATGGTCAGGACCTCTCTTGCCAGATCTCGGGTTCGCCTGGACAACTTCTTCGTCTTCATCGCTGTCTTCATCGCCGTCTCCGAAAGCTGCGACAAGCTTTTCGAAAGTCGTCTCAGTCTGATCGTCAAGAACATCATCAGGAACGTCAGGGACTTCTCCGCCAACAACTGGTTGACCAGACTCAGTTTGACTTGGAGGGGGTGTGATGTTAGACTGAACGGAGGTATCATTCGATGAAGTCGAAGAGAGTAAAGGTTCAGCAGATTGTGTTGACGGAGGGGTGTTCAGCTGGTCTGAAATACCTGGGGAGGTTCTTGATGGCGCAGTATCAGCTGACTGTGCCGGGGGAGGGCTACTGGAATTTGTCTGGGATAAGATCGACCGAAGAGAAGGATCAATATTGCTCTCAGGGTCATTGACCACAGCCGGAGTGTTGTTGGCTTGATTTGGGATTGGTGGAATAGCAAAACCATCTGCATCCCGACGAAGCTCGATATGTTGGTCAGGACCTGGTGTAGCTGTCTTTTGTCGTTTATTTGGTGAGCCGTTCTCGCTGCTTGAGCCATCTTCATTATCCAATGCCTCGTGGCCTTTTCTCTTGCGTCTCTTCTTTGTCTTCTGGAACTCTTCCGTCTTCTCGTAGAATGATGGAGGATCATGAGCCGACTCCAAGAACTCGTTGTGCAGGAAATCTTCAACAGTGAGAGCACTGCTAGGTGTCAACTTGAATTCCTCGAGACGCTTTTGAATAGTATTTGTCGTGACTTTGACAATGTATACGACCTCGGTGATGGTGCGGCGGAAATTGTTCATGCGAGCAGCAAGAATAAGGCAAGCACCACAGACACCGGATGGACGTCTCCCCATGACCATCCAATCTAAGCTCATACGCTTCACCATTCTGATGGCGTCTTCAGCAACCTTGTCGCAAAGATCGTCGAATTCAAGCTTCTGGGCGAATCGATGGATCAAGTCTTCTGGTAGAACTGGCACGATACCGTCCGCAGCAATGGGAATGGCTTTGTGGAGGGCTTTAAAGGTAGCACCAAGCTTGAAGACATTGATCTGAGAAATTAATCAGCAGGTTATTTTGCATTGGTGGAGGTGGTACTTACGTTAACCTTGTCTGCAAAATCTATGAGCATAACTCTGCATGGCCGGCTCTTACGGCATGCACTGTACAAGCATACAACCGCAACCATGTCTGCACGTCGACCTTGGATGAAGTTTGCATTGGCAGCCAGCTTGAAGATTTGATGTCCAGCATCGATTACTGGCTGGTTGAGATTGAGTTGATGCATCAATTGTACCATCAAGGCTTTGCCTATAAGAAGTTAGTTGAAAGTGAGCGCATGAGAGAGGGAATATGACATACCATTTGCGAGAGTCTGCTGTCTGTTGTTTTGGCCGTCGCCTCTACCACCAATGCCCATACTGGCAGCTCCACCTTGATCAGCGCCGATATATGTTCCCTGAACCATTGCAGCACCGTTCGCGGTCTCGCCAAACTGGACTTCGGCTACAATGTTCGAATCATCGAGGATGTAGCCGCAATCTGTACAGATGCCATCGTCGATGTTGGGCGAATTGCACTGCTTGTTGGGGCAGACTTTTGGACGAGGCTTTCTGGCCGGAGTGCTTTGTCGGTTCTTGATTGCTGGGGGATTCTTTATTTGATGGCGGTTCTTGAGGGGGTTGATTGGAGGGACATGAGTCGGGATCTTGGGAGGCATGATGAAGATGACTCCGTATCAGCCCGCGCAGACCTCAGGTAGATCAGATGGATCAGCCAGATCTCGTAGCAAGTTGCAATGCTGTCGCAATGTGTTGCGCAACTCCTTTGCGATGTAGATACACGTGATGGAGTCGTCGTCGTGGTTGTGGTTGGTGGTTGAATGATGGAGGAGGATTGTGTTGCGATGGAGTCGAGTTGAAGTTTTTCGAGGTGGGATGTGGCGGGGTTGCAAGTTGGGTCAAGTGGTGAACCGCAGCCCTTCGTGAATGTGAACACACCGGTTTTTTTTAGGGTGCGGGAGCTAAGCGAGTACCAAAGTATTGTTTTTCTTTGCGCTAAAAAGAAGAACGAAGAATTCAATCACAATAGTATTAGGACGTGTTAGAGGGTGTGGTAGAAAGTTAGTCTAGTCACAAAATTGCTTAATCAAATATATACACAAGTTGGTCAAAAAGTTCACCGTCGTCGAGACAGCCTTGCGCTCGAGGCTACTACTTTTTTACATCCATGATTCGCTTCTGATTACCGCACATGACTCTGCATGATGTTCTTAAAATTACGGGCCATGCCTAGATTTCTTTTCTTGATTGTAATCATTGATGCTTTTGACTTTCCAAGGTCCCGTATCAATGTACAGACAATAAAAACTTGCAAAGTCTGGCACTTCTTCCCTCACTTTGATCTTCTCCATACTCCGGCCTAGCCCTTTTCAGCTAGCTGCCTCAAAGCGGAAACTCGTGGCAGTTCCCATTCGAGGGTGGAAAAAAATCCCTTGGAATCGAACTTTATTGACCGCTTGCTCCACGCGATCCAAAACCTCAACTCTTCTCCCAGCGCGTTCTTCTTCTTCGTTTCTGCTACAGCGTATCTTCTTGCGCCATCTTTCGCAGAATCGCAATCATGGCAGACGACAAGATGAAAGGAATGGAGCATTCCGAAGTTCATTACTTCAACAGGTAAATAATACCCACCACACCTCACACGACTCGCACATATTGACTGATCTATAGCTACAATCACCATGGTATGTTCGCATAAGGGACCTTAGTTGAGGGATATGCTAATGAAACCGTTAAGGTATCCATGAAGAAATGTTGGTGTGTACCGAAAGCTAGACAGCGTCCCTTATTGAGATCTGCTTCTGACAGCCTTCCAGAAAGATGAAGTCCGGACCCGTTCCTACATGAATGCCATTGTGCAGAATAAGCATCTGTTCAAGGACAAGATCGTACTCGACGTCGGTTGCGGTACCTCGATCCTCTCCATGTATGCCCCGCCTTGCTCAAAATACCCCACCACCACATCTAAGACAATTCTAGGTTCGCGGTCAAGGCTGGTGCAAAGCATGTCATTGGTGTTGATATGTCTACCATCATCGACAAGGCACGCGAGATTGTCGCAGTAAATGGCATGTCGGACAAGATTACTCTGATCCAGGGCAAGATGGAGGAGGTTGAGCTACCATTTCCCAAGGTTGATATCATCATCTCGGAGTGGATGGGGTACTTCCTTCTCTATGAGTCCATGTTGGATACCGTGCTGTATGCGCGCGACAAGTATCTTGCTCCCAATGGCTTGATCTTCCCAGATAAGGCCACCATCTTCATGGCAGGTATTGAGGATGGCGAGTACAAGGACGAGAAGATTGGATGTAAGCACGCGCCTACTCAACCTCGCTCGTTAAAGGCTAATCGTCGCAGTCTGGGACAATGTGTACGGGTTCGATTACTCTCCTCTAAAGCACACCGCGCTCACCGAACCTCTCGTCGACACTGTCGAGATCAAAGCTGTTGTCACCGACCCAACCGCCGTCCTAACCCTCGACCTCTACACATGCACAACCGCAGATCTCGCATTCTCCTCCCCTTTCGTCCTTGATTGCCGTCGCGATGACTTCGTCCACGCCCTGATCGCATGGTTCGACATCGATTTCACCGCTTGCCATAAACCCATCCGCTTCAGCACCGGCCCTCATACCAAGTATACGCACTGGAAGCAAACGGTGTTCTACCTCCGCGAAGTTCTGACCGTACAACAAGGAGAGCAGATCCGTGGTGTGTTGGAGAACAAGCCTAACGAGAAGAATAAGCGAGATCTGGACGTGAAGATCAGCTATCAGCTTCAAACTGACGATCCTACACGACAAGCAGAGGGGAGCTGCGAGTATAAGATGTGTTGATAAAGTGTAGATATGGTGGAGGTTGTCTGGGGGAAGGGTTCTTTCGCGGCTGAGAGCGCAGACCCGGGACTTTTCTTTTTTTGCATGTGATGATCGGAGATATACGATGGCTGGGTGGAATGTCCTTGTTTTTCGAGCGAAAGGGATGGACATTGTAATGGTTGGCGTTCTATGGCAGCATAGCGTGGCAAGCTATACAGGGACGTTTCCGTTTCCTTTTACACTAGAATATGAGACGAATGCGAAGATCATTTCAAGGCCTGCAAGAATGTTATGGCATTGATTTATGCCAGTGTCGTGACCATCATATATTTTGAATTGAGTACCAATATAACACCACTTTTATCGAGTGCACTATACATACATGCCTTCATCAAGGCTTTTAAGCCGACTTAAGTCGACTTCTTCGCCTCCTCTTCTTCACTCTTCGGCACACTCACAAAAGCCGGAACAACCACACTATTCAAGTTTCGAAACACCTACAAAATCATGTCAGCATACTTTTCTTCCACAGTTCTCCCATCTTCTCTCCCATTTCCTCAACCACACCCCTCTCACACCCCTGGCCAATAAGGAGACCCTCTTGCGCTACTTACCTCCCAAACCCTCCCCCAAGCCATCCAACAAAACAACGCCCACACCACCTCACTCCACCATCGCACGCGGCACAAATCAAAAACACTACTAACCTTCGCAAACGCCCCCTCAGGAATCTCCCCATCCCACCGATCCTCCACCTTCTCGACCCTCAATCCCTGCCCGCTTCCCCCCTCTTTCGTCCAAATCTTAATGAGACTCTTAATCTCGGTCTCCTTCCCGATGCCCTTAACCGTATACCTCGTCTTCAAATCCATCTCAATCGGGTTCCCCGCGGACGTAACCTGGGTGTGCAGTTGCTCGATTTTGGAGAAGGCGGCTGCGAGGCCGTACCATTGGGCCGCGTATTGTTTGCGGCCTTCGGCTTTGGTTAGGGGGTCGGAGAAGGTGGCGGAGTCGAGCCAGAGGGATAGTTTGGGGAGGGTGGGTGTGCCGGCGAAGAGCTGGGGTGGGTGTTAGTCTTCCTTTCTCGGTATATGGGGTAGGAAAGGAAGAGAGTGAAAGGTGATTGATTATACGTCTAGGATGCTTCCAACAATAACTCTCTGTTCTCCACTAAGATTCACGCCTTCTTTGACGTCAAATTTACTCTGGATTCCCAGCTCCTTGATCTTCGCCTCTGATGCAGAATCGGTAGACATATTAGCTTGTTTTTGGAGTTGTGCTGTTTGAGATGGAATTCCTGTTGCCATTCTCTGATGTATGGATGGTCGTGGGAAGGATTTGAAGAGACGGAGAGGTGAGGGACGCATGTGAAATATTTATATCAAAATCGACAAGAGGAGAGAGAGAAGGAATGGATAGAAAAAAGGAAGTGCTTATACACACGCGTCACGACTTGTACCTTTTGAGTTGACATCATCATTCTTAGCTGCATCAGAGTGACGCGAGACGAGCCGCCATGTCACTTGACATCTGTACCCCCTCGACAACTACCCCGCCATTTACCCCTCACCAACAGAAACAACACAAGAAAAGAACTGTATAAGTAAAGACTTTTGAGTGGATATAAATGCTAATCTCTGTCTTCCTTGATAATCAGATGTCCTACCCAAATCTGCGCTTTTTCATGGTCTCGTTTCTCATCCAACATCTCTCATTTCTATTGCTTGCTACCACCCTCTAATTTAACAATGCTAGACACCTTGCTTGCAAGATCGTCTGCTTCACTTCTTGTTGCGGCTTCGGCATATACTCTGACGGCATCTTCGGTACCTGAAGCTCTGGCAAACGATCTTCCGTCCTTATATTTCTTGACGAGCGTGTCGATCTGGTCCTGAATGCCTTGTGGCTCGACCAATTTTCTCTCTGCGTCAGTGGTCTTGAAGAGATTTCTATCTCCAACTTCAACTCTGACCAGTCTGTTTGGCAGGTCGACGTAGGTAAGATCCCATTCTCTTGGAGACCAGGATTTGTGGGCAAGGATTATCTCGACGAGAAGCATATCGGACAGCGCATCACCAACAGTCTGGTTAATGAGGTCGCTTAATGCGCGCAGGGTCTCCAATGCTGCAGCTTGAGCAGGTGATTCAGGCTCCTTGGTGTGGAATGCCTTCAGTGCCTGTTGTGAAAAGACCACTGTTCCATGGCCATTGGCCTCGAAGTAGACACCGACATCAAATTTTGTTGCCGCATGATGCAACCACTTCACTCCAGTTGGTGTGCATACAACAGGGAGGCCCAATTGCTTCTCGACGTATTTTGTTGATGCCCCATTGGCATATGCAGTCTGGACGACACCAATTTTCAGTCCGTTGATGAGACGTGCTTCGCGGGCAAGATCGCCAATGAATGATGCTGCTAAAGTCGCAATCTTGTCGCCATCAAGAAGACGGAAGCCGTGTTCAGGATCGTTGAAGTAGTAAATGATACGATCAGCGTCACCGTCCAGTGAACAGCAACGGTCGTTGTTGCCAGCTTTCGAAGATGGTGGTGCTCGTTGCTTTGTCTTAACGTAGTCTGCGCCACACTGGAAGAGTCAGCAGAGTGCATACAGGGCTTCAGGAATTAAATACCTCATGGTTCAAAACCTCCGCCTTGAGGACATCATCATTAATGATCTTGATATCCACACCACCTGCGGAGGCCTTGGGTAAGAACTTCAGAAGCTCTGCCAGTTTTGGTCCACCAACACCATTGGCACAATCAACAGTGACTGCTCCGCTGGCCTTCTTTCCTTTCATGGCTCGCACAAATGCCTCACTGAGCTTCTCATAGTATCCCTTCTCACTAACATCTCCATAACTTTGTGGTGTGCCCTCAGTGTTTGTGCATCGTGTAAGGTAGTGCAATTGTGGTGTAGTCAATAGCTTGTAATCCGTGTACTCAGCTCCAGCAGCCTCCAGCGCATCAACCAGAGCCTGAACCAGCTTGGGACCAGATGGACGAGTATCCCTTGCATAAATGACTCTAGCAGGCGTCTCTGGATTGATCTTCAGCTTCTCCTCCAAGCTCTGATAAACCTTTGGCACATCTTCATCTTTGGCGTTCGCAAGCTCGGTCGAATATGCCTCCCACGCATTCTCCAGCATTTCTCCCATTGGATCCACAAGCTTCACGCCATTGTCTTCAGGAGGATTGTGCGATGCAGTGATCATAACACCAATTGTCTGGCCTCCAAGTTTGCGGGAACGTAGGGCTGCGACTAATCCAACGCGAAAGACAACGCTGTCGAGGAGGGTAGCCTTCATTCGAAACCCCGCAGTGCCATACTGGAAAACACGATCGACAGGCTTTGGGTGTTTGTTGGAAGCAGCGAGGATTTGGTCTGCCATGATTGTGGTGGGCGTGATGAAGAATTGAGATATGAAGAGGGGGAAGATGATATTATATCTGCAGAGGAGAAGAGAGCAAAGCTGAGTGAGAGTGAGATGCTGGGCGTAAAGTGGTCGGATTCTTGCTGGCTGAGCTTTGTGGCCCTAGCTGTGGCTTTTCTTTCTATTTTGGGTGGTGCAGCTTCACCGCTTTGAGGGGCAGCTTGATCCCTGTAGCTTGATCAGCTGACTCCGCGCCATTCGATTTCTGTCGCGTAATTTAAAGTCTATCTTCACGTCCAGCAATCATCAACAGTCAACATGTCGTATTGCTGCTCATATTCCCTTTGCTTTCATGATTAATTAGCTGCTTGCTCCAACTTTGCAATCCCCATCACAATTGCCCCTCGCCACAATGCCGAGCGACGAAGACTGTGCGAACCCGATGCTTGTGAAGATCATGAAAGAATGGTGGGATAAGGCTCGAGACCGCAACAGCAAGGGACAACTTTCTTACAAGAAAGCTTATGATGCATTGAAAGGGTGCCCACTCAAGTTTGATCACGCTTCGGAAGCCACAATGCTCTCTGGCATTGGACCAACATTTGCTAAGAAGCTTGCAGAGGCCGTGGAAGATCACTGCAGAAAAAACAACCTGCCAATACCCAAGAAGCCCAGGAAGAAGAGGAAGCTGAATCTTGGCGAGGACGGAGATACCGGAGAGTCTGCGTCGCCATCACCAAAGAAGAAGAGAAAGCCCAAGCCATATGTACCGGCTTTGAGATCAGGCCCATATGCCATCATGTTGGCGTTGTCCACGTTGGATGAAGATCATGCTGGAATCGACAAGCAACGGGTCATCGCATTGGCACAACAGCATTGTGATTCGTCTTTCACGGTACCCCAGGACGCCGGGAAATTTTACACAGCTTGGAACTCCATCGGTACTCTCAAGGATAAGGATCTTGTTTCGGAGAAGGGTAGGCCGACCAAGAAATATGCATTGACCGATGATGGATGGGAAGTAGTCAATAGGATCAAGAAGGCCAGCGATCCATCTCAAGGCCGTTTAGATACATTCGTAGGCGCTCAGAGGGCTACGACGGACAACGACGACGATTCTCCTGATGTTGCAGGAAGTCCTATTCCGGCTTCAGCTCCAGGTCTACCTATTGAACCGTCTATGGACTCTGCGACTGCGGACCTCATTCCACAAGGATCAGTGGTCGCCAATCCTAACGCTCTGCCAACCTTCAGTCCGATTGTGCTCGAGCCTGGCTCCTTCACGGTCGAATTGGTCCTCGACAACCGTGAAATCTTTGGGAAGAATGATCGAGACTACATGGAGAAGAACCTCACTGCAAAGGGAGTCATACCAAGCGTACGTGCTCTGAAGTTGGGCGATGTACTTTGGGTTGCCAAAATGCACGATCCTGGACTGTTGAATCGACGGGGTCTTGAGGGCGACGAGATCATGTTAGACTACGTTGTTGAGAGGAAAAGACTCGATGACCTTGTGTCTTCAATCAAAGACGGTCGCTTTCACGAACAAAAGTTTCGACTGCGCAAATCAGGAATCAAGAACGCAATCTACATCGTAGAAGAAGTCACCACTCGTTCAGACTCAATTACGAATATGGCGGAAGCGATCACAACTGCCATTGCATCTTCTCAAGTCATCGACGGCTATTTCGTCAAGAGGACCCTCAAGATGGATGACACAATCCGCTATCTCGTTGGCATGACGAAACTCTTGAAGCAGAAATATGAGAGCAAGTCATTGCATGTCATTCCAACGAGTGTTGTTACAGTGAACAACTACAATCCTCTGCTAGCACATTTAGAAAAGAAAGAGCCTGCGATCGACTATCATCTCACCTACGACGCCTTCGCCTGTCTCGGATCCAAGTCAGAAACTTTGACATTACGTGACATTTTCCTCAAGATGCTCATGTGCACAAGAGGTCTGACGGGGGAGAAGGCAATCGAACTGCAGAAGAAATGGAAGACTCCTATCGAGCTCATCGAAGCATATCGGAAGATTGAGGATGTGCACGGGAGTGGTGAAGTGGGCAAGAACAGGAAATGGGATATGGTGTCGAAGGCGATGGACCATCCTGTTCCGAGGAAGAAGATTGCGAAGGCTTTGAGTACAAAGATTGCGGAAACTTGGGGCGACGCTTCGACGGCGATGGCATGAATTGGTTGTCTGATATTTGAAGTTTTGAACTAATGTGTTTGGTACGCAGCTGTCTGTTATTGACATTGGAATTGGAGTTTGGTCGTAACGTACGAGTAACAAAGCGTCACCTTCGTGTCGATACTTATTGTTCAAACATATGTTTTGTTTTGTTTGATCATTTCTCAGATATGTCCGGATTGAATATCGTTGAATCATGCTGGGATCATTCCATAAGAAAATCAAGTGATACTTTGAGCATCTCACCGGGGACCTTCGGTACCTTTGAATTTGGGTCCAATTTCATCTGATTGTCAAAGATCACAAATGACCCCTGTTATAAGTGAAGTGGGTTCCGATAAGAACCGCTTTGATGTTGTTGGTGATGAGTAACTAGTGATGAGTAGCTACATTGATAAGGTAGGTTGGCACTAGGTGGTATACGGACATTGTGTTCTTCCCCTTTAATTAACAACCCTCAAACACGAGCCTCAGGTTATAATCAACCCTTGACTCTAAGTACTTAGTCCAATTTGTTTCGCTCTAATAGACTTGAAAGCTTTCAACATATCTCCTTCCACCATGCTCCGTCTGAGTTTTACTTCAATACATTGTTTGTACATTTCCGCATATGGCAACAGCACAATATGCCGAATCATAATCGAGTCGAGTCGTTTGATGACATGAACATCATAGCGGTCGAGCCCTGCGCCTTCGTGCTCAGCGAATCGTCCATTGCCTGTAACTTCGCAACACAAGAGCATTCCATAATTTGTGTACAAATCATTCGTCCATTCATGACTCAGGTTGCGACCCGCTTGGGACTGATGTTGTGCGTAATAGCTTGAGCCGAATGGCTGATCTGCCATGAAAAGCCCAGCGCCAAACCTTCGGTCCCGAGCAGGCTGGAATCCGCACCTGAGTATGGAGCGAAGATTCTTCAGGCATGTTCCGTGGAAGAGCAAGATCGAATTGTCATAGTGTTGCTTGAAATTCTTTTCGAAAGAATCAAGTTTGGTCTGGGCTGGTTTCTCCAAGATGAACTGGTGCGCTGATTCCGGAAGGCCAGCTATCTTCAAATTGCCTTCGGCAGGACAGATGATGTGGCCAAGCTCGGTGCATAGCCAACCCAGCAAATCAAACTCTGGGCTTCTTGGGACTTTCAGGGATTCCCGAAGGTGGTGTGCGCTGGTCATTAATGGGAGTTGATTAATGTGTTTAAGAAGATCATCTCTGGGAAAGGTACAACCAGGCAACACAAGATCAACGGAGCTGAAAGTACCATCATTCGCAACATCTGAATACACGGTGCTGAGCAACAAGTTGACGACAGAATAATGAGGAGTGGAAGCTGCATTGCTTATATCGAGCTCAGCCAGTGCATCCTCAACAACACCGCGATATTGTACAACCACTTTCGTCTCAAGCTTGGGATCTGGTGGGGTGTATCTGTAATATGGATCAGCTTCCTTGTCCAAAACAAACTGAACTGTCCAGGATCTTACCCATCTCTGATCAGCGCTTCGATGTAATCCCATTTATTCGCACATTTTCCCAAGCCAGCACTCTTCACATCGACCAAGACTTGGCTCACAGGAATCTTGAACCATCGAACAGTCTTTACGAAGAGTTCCGCTTCTTGTGGCTTTTCGTAGAAGCCAAGGATCCGCATAGTATGGAATGCCCATAAAGCTTGGAGTTCGGCTTTCAGGATTTTGGCTTGATGCTTGACTCCTGCATCCGAGAGGCGCTGCTTTAGATGGTCAACGTTGAGGGTGGATAGGGTTCGAAGAGTGATGTCTTCTGGGATTCGAGGTAAAGATTCGTCGACCTTTTCAAGGTCTTCGAGTTCTTGAATTGCTGCCATGCTTGCTTGCTGAATGACTTTGGTGTGGAGGATTGATACAAGCGGTGCGGTGGGAAATCTAGGAGGTTCTCTAATAGTTAAAAAGGCAGAGGAATATATGAGAAAGCTTTCATTTATACTAAGTTGATCTGAACCTTTCAAATCTCGGCAGAATCATAGAGAAAGGACGAGAGAGTTGGTCTTGCTGCGAAACAAGACAATACGGCTTACAAGGAAATGTCGAGAGCACTTTTCTCAAGCTGAGACTGAAGAAAATGCTGTGAGTCCACAACGAAACAGAAGTTTTTTCTCGAGCTCCGACTTTGGAAGTCCAAGATTCGAGCTGGGGCTCGAGCTATCCAGACAATAGAACAACCCTATCTCCTCCAAGTGTTTCCTGCTTCACTTCTAGTGGCCTGTATCTTGTGCGTGACAAGCATGAACATTCATCCTCCTCCGTCTTCATATCTGATTCTCAACATCTGCGGTGGACCACTTTCCAATTCTGCTTGCATCTCCTCTTTATATGTACGTACACCCCCAATCTTTACTTATTCATTAAAAGTGCTGAATTTCCATATAAATCAATTTCGATGTAAGTGCTGTATTTCAGCTTTCTGCGCGTTCCGCACGATTTGCGCTACTTGCGCAACCTGCGCTATTAGCGCTGGGGTCGATGGACACTCGCAGCGACATTTCTTACAGTGATTCTTTAGAACATCATGACCCAAATATTCTTTCTTCGGGCAACACTAGCTTCTTGCCTGGAACTCTCTACTTCTAATGCTCACGTGATCTCTTTCATCCTTAACAGTTCCCGGTACTTCGGTACTTATCCCCTTCAACGAGGGGCTCAAAAGCTTGTTTGATCGCTTATCAAAAGTCGTCGCGTATGGCAGTATGTGATACGTCACGACATTCCAAGGACTTACTTTAAACGACTTAGTGCGGCTACGGGGAGGACTCAGCTTGCAGCAAGTCTAGCCGCATAAAGAAGCTCAGAGCTGACTTTTACCCCTCACTCTTCTCGTATTGGACCCAACGACTTTGATATGCAGAGCGCTATCACCTCCATGAGTGGATTGTCTTATCAGCATGTGTAGAATTGATCATTATGCATTAAATCATGGAGTGATAAAAAGGTACAGTACCGCCAAGCCCACTTGCGTCTCCTTTTTTCTCTCGCTTCCGCATTGGCATTTGCATCAATTTCATAATGCGAGCATCAATCTTACTGCCTCTTGGCGCTCTCTTCTCCTCCGTTCTCGCATCGAATTATGTCGTGCACGAACGGCGTCATGAGAATACAGATCAACGATGGTCGAAAGTTGCGCAGCTTCGTGGAGATCAAGTGATGCCCATTCGCATTGGCCTGAAGCAATCGAACCTCGAGCACAGCGACCGTTGGCTTATGGAAGTGTCTGATCCTAAAAGTCCACGCTATGGCCAGCATTGGACTGCCAAGGAAATTGTCGATGCGTTTAAACCAAGGTATTTCAACACGACTATGCTGCTTCTCTCTTGATCGCAGAATTGACGAATGTAGCGTTGAGACAATTAATGCGGTACACACATGGCTCAACGACTCCGGTATCCATACCGATAGACATCAACTCTCAGAAGGCCTAGGTTGGCTCCAATTTGACGTGAGTACTGGACCATCTTCGATTACAACCTCGATCGCAAATTTGTACTTTAAGTGACATCGATCTCTTAGGCCAGCATCGAAGAAGCGGAAAATCTATTCCAAACAACCTATCATCTATTTGAGCACGGAAGATCGTCGACAAAGCATGTTGCGTGCGATGAATATTCGCTTCCCTCGCACATCAGCCCACATATTGATTTTATATCTCCTGGCGTTCACTTTGACGCAAAGACCAAATCTGACACTGATCAATATTTTGCTGCCGATGGCACGCGACTTTTGACCAAGAGGTCGGTCGTAGAACGGAAGATGAAACGCGGTGATCCACGTATGTCCCATAAGCCCTCTCATCACATGCCTAAGCCAGCTTGGAAGCCTTCGGGTCCGTACGAGGCACAAATTTGCAATACCTCGTTTGTGACGCCAGTGAGTTTTGCCAGCGTTCTCATTCTCGGTCCAATGCTGACACATGTAGGCATGCCTAAGATTGCTTTATGGTGTACCGAGTAATCTTCCAGCCGGTAAGCATTTGAGGACCCTTCATTGTCCTTGTTTTTGAGCCGACTTTTCATGTCGTGTGTTCCTCCCACATTCTGTTGACGAATTTTATCTCTTCCTTCAATCTCTTTTGGAGTCCAACGATATGTAAATTTGCTGACTCGATGTTGTGTAGTGGAAGGCAACAGTCTTGGTATCGTGGAGTACACACCTGAGTCTTATCTTCCCTCAGACTTGGACTTGTTCTTTGAAGTCTATGAGCCCCAGGCTGTGGGCGAGCGTCCAGTTTTTGACTCTATCGATGGTAAGGAACAAAGACACAGATATTCTCATCCGCCTACTAATCTCGCAAGGTGGTTTCCTCTATGATTTCAACCTTACCAATGTGACCGCTTTTAATTTCCTCGGCGAGCCAAGTCTTGACCTCCAATATTCTATGGCTCTCGTCTACCCGCAGGTACGTTGTCCCAAAGAGATAAAAATATTGACCGTGAATATTTCTGATTATCCGTGTCTTCTAGGATGTCATTTTGTACCAGGTTGGAGACCTAGCAGAAGACAACCTGACCTCATTCAACAACTTCCTCGATGCTATTCACGGCTCATACGTAAGTATTTCTGGCGCTTGTTTCGCGATTCCCTCTCTCCATGAACTCTTTATGTACTCTCGTGCAGCCCAATATTTCTTTACTATTTCATCTTGTTTCATGAGAAGAAATTACTAACTTCAATGACCTGTAGTGCACCTACGACGGTGGCGATGACCCTGAATTCGATGCCGTTTACCCTGACCCCTACCCCGGGCCGGACAGCTATAAAGGCAAAGAGGACTGTGGTACCTACGCAGCTGCTAAAGTCATCTCGACATCTTACTCATAGTAAGTAGAACCCATAGTATCTCAACCTCACAAATTCCAATTTCATAAAGCCCAATGTTCCTTTCATTTATGCCATTTTCTGGTAAATACACGGAGAGAGAAAGTTACTAACTCTCGGGCACATAGCTCCGAGATCGAGCTGTCTCCAGCTTACGAAGAGCGCCAGTGCAGGGAGTACCTTAAACTTGGGCTGATGGGCACAACGTTTGTCTACTCTAGCGGGGACTATGGTGTAGAGTTCGATGGCGGTGGATGTATCAACCCAAATGGAACGGAAAACGATGGCAACTCAGGAATCTTCGTTGCAAGCTTTCCAGGAGGATGTCCATATATCCTCTCCGCGGTTCGTACCAACTCACATCAAGGATAAATCCACATTACTGATCTTTTGAGCAGGGCGCAACGCAGATCAGAAATGGTACCTACGATGTTGATGCTGCTATCAAAGCTGGAGAAGAGGTCGAGGTTGTGATGGAGTTATATCTCACACCAGAGGGCTTAGTTGGTATTGATGTTCCTCCAGGCGCAAATACCTCGGATCAGGTAATTTTCAGCTCGACTGGTGGATTCTCAAACGTCTTTGCGCTTCCTGAGTATCAAGCATCAGCCGTCAAGGAGTACATGGAGAAGTACGCCCCTGACTACCCGGGACAATACAACAATAGTGGCACAGTTCGAGGTAAGCAACAGAACATATAATTTCCATTATGCTGACGTACCCTATATATTCAAGAATACAGCTAAAGTATATGTGAAAATAGGATTCCCTGATATTGCCTCAAATGGCGCTTGGTTCAGTATCGCGGTTTTCGGTGAACTCTCCCAAGTCTTTGGAACTAGTTGCGCCGCCCCAACAATTGCATCCCTTCTTGCCCTTATCAATGGAGAGCGTATCAAGGCGGGCAAGAGTACCGTTGGGTTCGTTAATCCGACACTTTATGCTCACCCTGAAGTTCTCAACGATATTACGGAGGGCCAAAATCCGGTATGTAAATCTTGCGCTTACTGTTTTTCTGGTTGGCTGGTTGCATTCGAAAAAAGGCTGAGGCTAATCTGATTTCAAATAGGGTTGTGGAACCAATGGTTTCAGTGCCGTACCTGGATGTGAGTCAAATATGTTAAAACGTTCATCAAACCTATATTAACTCGTTATAGGGGATCCTACTACTGGTCTCGGAACTCCGAATTATCCCAAGATGCTCGAGTTGTTCCTCAGCCTTTCCTAGATGCTAACGAGGCTATGAGCATGACATTTATTATTCTAGCTGGATCATGTTAGCATGTTGTTATCATGCTGTGAAAAGCTTGGTGGAATAAACGAATAGCGGAAAAGCTGCAGGTTGGATTAAAATATTCCGAATAGAGATATATTAATAAAAGCATAATTACTTGCAGTACAGCGAGCACTCGGAAGGGAAGCTTGTTTCTGGTACAGTTCGACTAGCGGGTCCTTCATGAACGAGAAGTTGATAGAGAATGACTACGGAATGTGGTTTATCTACATGACGTCGAATCGCATAAAATGGCTGCTTTTGTCTTTGTGTAACAAGCAGTATTGAATGGCGTGCGCATATGCCGAGTGGCAGAGAGAGATGCCTGATTAGTATTAGCCAACTGGCTGCTGTGATTCTTGTGTAACGACATGAGGCATGCCGATAGGGTTAGTGGCGCGAAATCATGCGCGCATATTAATTAAGTCCTTATCTTCACACCACTTTTCAACCTCTCATTTACGCCATAGCAAGCACTCCTATTTTATTGAGGTATCGACCGGTATATCTATTGGCTGTAGCGTTCATGAGGCAAACAAGTGCCGGGACTGGGCGCATTTCGGCGGTCTCAGCCGCACTCATGAGCGGCGCCGCTCAGTATCCTCGTTTCTCTCCCAAACCAGGAAGTTTAACACATTGTGTATCTATACTTCATCGTCCTGTCTAAGCTTTCGATAAGGATACTTGTCTACCTACTTCATGATGTCGATCTGTGGACCTTTGGATTGTACGAATGCTATTTCATCGCCACCACCTCTCAAAGCAAATCCTAATATCTCTAATATAGGAATAAGTTTCTTCGAATATTTTGAACTGTTAAATTGACCAAGGCCCAGGTACTTGTTGGCTTCTTAGCGACGACGTATATCGCTTGGATTATGCTCATTGGTCACTACGTCTGCGTCTTTGACCCAGCCGAAGCTGGGTTGTCCAAAGAAAAAGAGAAAGCTAATCCTATCGACGAGGAAGTATTGAAGATTCTTCGCAGGTGGGTCAGATGCCCAGAGAATACTAAATTGTGGGGAGAAGCATTCCAAAAGGTAACAATAGTCGCTTCTTAACACTTCAAAGCTACCATGTGTTAACACAAGCCAGTTAGTACTTTCGATGAGTGATCAGCAGATCATTACTGGAATTGCACTTATGGTCAGCGCGATAACTCGATTACGCTGCGGTATTTCCGCGTACCACTGGCAGATAACCATCTACTTGGTGTGGTTTTCTTCGTTTACACATCTAGCGACGTTGACATTTCTGCGAGGATACCTTCATGAAAACTCGCCTATGCGGGTTTGGAGATTTTGTTTCATGAATATCTTGATTTTGTTGCTTCTTGCAGCTTTAGTGCCCACTGGAAACCGGAATTGGCTCCCCGATGAAGGTCCTGACCTTACAGGGAGCCCTGCATGGTGCTTATTCAAATATCATTCCCGCGGCGTCAATGTAACATCGTTCACAACGATGCTGTTCTCTGTCCTTGTTCTGTGCATCAGCTATGCTACCAGGGCAATCAAGCTATTCCAGTGGAGCTCTAAATACAGCAGGCTAATCCTTCGGACTAAACCAGGAAATGTGTTAAAAAGCCATATTCAAAAGCTTTACCGTGGACGTGAAAACGCTAAAACGAAGAGATGGATATTCTCAATACCTTACAACATTCTTTCAGCTGTGTTACTTGTCGTAAGGTCGTGGATGGATGTACTGGAGAGCATGTTGTGGGAGGTACGTTATCAACTTATTCTATACTCTAAAACTTGCAATTAACACTTAGCCTGTCCGCAGATAACTTGGCTATTGATTGCTCTAATCTGGGGAACCCTTAGACTCTTCGCAACCAGAAATTCGACAATTGACGAGAATTATAATATTCTTGAGGAGAACTCTTGGGGTTTTGGACAATGTCTTCCAACCGCAATGCTTCTTCTTCTGTTGTTTTCCGGCATTGAGACATACATCGGTAAGCTCTTCTTACTCATCGGTCAAACAACATGATTTAACAAGAATTGACAGAGACAAAACGGGCACCAGCAGAAGCTTCGTCAGTATCAGCTAGCCCCAGGGTTTCTTCTTTGAGCATTGATACAGGTGGCAATAAGACACCGGTGATATCCGCTTCCGCTGAGAGCTCCCCCTTCCACTCTACTTCCCCCCATGATGAAGATATCACCGATCAGGAAGCCGCTGAAACGAGACTAGACCAACAACTTGGAGGCGTGGTTCGATCCGCCACGACCCTCAGCTTGGAAGAGAGATCACTAGGGTCTTTATCATTTTGCCAAATTATGAGTCGGCAAATGGATTCTAATATCAATATTGGGCTCAATCAACTCTCACGGGTCGATAGAGCGGGTTCACTACGAAGCAGGCTTCGGCTCCGATATTTTCGATATAATATCGGGTTATATCGATAATATATCGTACGAGGCAATATTCGAGTCGATATATATCGGATATTTTTGAATGATTCGAATGGATATTCGGAATATCGGACACGTGATCGTATTATAGTTGTTCCAGCTCCGCAGCCAATGAAAACCCTAGTCGTTCTCAGCCTAAGGCCATAAATGCTAATTATGGCCTGAGGTTACAAAGTTTTAGCCGCATTGTGGCTTTAATTATTTAAAATAAGTGGAGCGCCACTAATCTCAACCGAGGTTACTTGGTTAATATATCCTCAACAATTACTATTTTTAGTACTAATAATAATATATCGTTTTTTTTTTATAATTTACGATACGTGCGATATATTCGATTATTCATTCAGAGGATTTAATATCGGACCGATATTATCGATAAAATCAATTCCGCGCCGAAGCCTGCTACGAAGCACCGAGTCTCCGGATTTGCCTCTCCATGCCAGAAATTACTACGATCAGAAGTGGTATTTTACCCTGGGCATTTTCAATTTCTGCCAGATTCTGGTACTTTCCGGCGGGATTCTGGATGGAGCATATAGCAATAGTATGCTCTCACCCGCGTATGCTTATTTCGGCAGTCCAAGAGACGTCGGCGCCATGATACTGGGTTTGGCTAATTGGATTTTCATTTATGCACCTGTGGCCTCGTTCATAGTCACAATCACTAAAGTATGTGCAGTGTCATCAAAATGGCTTCAGGTGTTTGGTCGATGTATCAAATGGAAGTCCGTAAATGGCGTGGATGTTTTGATTTTTGTTCTTGCCGCAGCTTTTAGCTTGACGGCTTTGTACTCGGACGGTCTCACACACATTTTGTGGCCATTTCTGATCTTGGATCTCTTGCCGGGGACGGCCCTTGGATTACTACCTCTCTATTTATATTCTGGCCTAGGACTTGTGTATGCCGTTTGGTATTTGTTTATTGCACTCAAGCTGAAGAAGCAAGGAGAACCGCACATGGAGACCCAATTATGCAGGAGATATATAGATGACGGGCTAAGTAAACAATAACGCACAAGATATAGCGTAGCAAAATGAGAAGTTTAGTACTTGAGAAAACTGATGGTGATGCGCTCATGATATTCCTCCTGCCTTCGACATCCTGACCACCAACCAGCAGACGCGCTTGGACTCTCGTCCTCTCCCACCTCCAAACCTTTAAGCTTTTCCTGCTTGCAGTTAAACGCCTCCTGATTTACCTTGTTGCTCCACTCTCTTCGTTTGAGCCTGCTCCCCTTCTGGTTCCAACTCCACGTCCTGTAAGACACGGCGGTTGAAAAATCGACTCTCCCATCGTTCCTGCACACGACGAAGTCCTTCTTTATGTTCCTGTTCAAGTCGAAGCTCCCCTATATCTTCTTCGAGTTGTGTCGCGTCTTCTTCGCGTTTCTTCATATCTGCCGCAGAGAGATTATCGATATTCCCGTGCTCGCGCGATTCCCATCTGAGATATTCTATAGAGCAGTCAGAAACTCCATATTTGTGGGTAACGTATTGGAAAGGGCAGTACTCACTATGTACGGCAATAATAATTCCAATCAAATTGGGAGCTAAAAGCACCATAGCACCAACTTGACTGAAGCCCCATGCTTGCTCAACGTTGCTACTATTCAACAGACTTTCATTTGATCTCCTCAAAGTGAAGGTTGAGTAGGCGTGCAGCGGGAATTGGAGGAACGCAACAGAGATGACTGAATACTGAAGAAAATTGTTATCTTGCAGGTCTTTCAGCGATCTCTTGCTCTTAGATAATTTCTTGGGTGACCTTTTTCTCCGCGATTCTTTCGGCAAATCTTGTCCAATTGAAGAAGCGAGCAATTGAAAGGAAAAGTTGTAAACCCAGAAAGGGGACAATTTGAAAGCGGCGATGATAAGTGTATAAAACACATAGAGACATGTGAAGCTGATGTATATGTCATCGACAAGGGGATGCTTGGCATTGGGGGTAGAAAGACGATGTGTGTTATAGCAATGGCCTGGATTGTTGTAATCCCAAGATTGTAAACGAACCCCAAATAGGGATGTGTAAGTCAAGTAGAGGATAGCCCACAAAGCGATTGAAAGGTAGCGGATGGTCCCTGCAACACTTGAGTCCAGGGAAGACACAAGAGCTGCACAGTTCGAGATTCTATCAATGCCATCATAAGTAAAATGACCTTCCTAAAGAGTGAACATTCATTGCTTACGCTACCAATGATACTGTGTCGTAGACCAGGTGCATATGGTAGAATGATAGAGTTTTCACTTGGGCCAAAGCACTGACCAACAGCGCGAGCCCTACTCCTGTTATTTTCGGCCAAGACTGTTCTCACGAATGCTTACCAGTCGCAGTTTGTATATCACTATTCTTTTCAAGCAGCGCCTTCGTAGTCTCCTGAAGTTGATACCAAGTATGAACATCACGATGCCATATCTTCGGCATTTCTAGGAGTGCTACCCCTCCATTGTCCATTGCCTGTCGTGCTCGAAGCCTTCTGAGCTTTATATAGTTCAAGTCGAATGCGAATGCGACTATTGAGATGACAAAGGTAAAGGCTGCTTGGATGCAGAAAGAGAGAAGAATCTAGAAATTTGGTTCTCAGCCTCATCTATCGTCGCAAAATTTGTCGACTTACCCCAATTCCTGCGATATCAGGATTGGCATCTCCTACACCAATGCACTTCGCCATCATAAAGTGGACTTAGCTATGAGTTTTGAGAGTTTGTACGGTTATCTTGAATAGCAAAAGAAGAGATGAGGTCGAGCTCAGCTGAAAACGCATCAGGCTGAGAAGAGAGATACCGATATATGCATGTAACTAGGGCTTTTGCGTCGCTAAGTGGTCAAGTAAACGCCGGACCAAATGCATTTCTTATTCGCTCGTTTAAACATGCACATAACGCAATCTTATATAATAGCCATGGATAGACTTCCGCAGGCTGTGAAGAGCCGGGAGAGGAAGCGGCCCCCAACGTGATCGAAGGCCGGCAGCTGAGTTAGATCGCACATAAAGCCTTATCATATCCATTTGTAATTGTTTTACTCGATGTGATTCATGTGATGTAGATACATACTTGATGCTTTTGAAAGTTTTCAAGATGCGCGATACGAAGCCATCCATATCTAATTCCCGGTGATACGTAATGTAACGAATGATAGTGTCAATCAGTGCTCACGCAAAGGAAAGCCTTCCCCAAAACGGACATTCGCTTCGCTCGCATGGTTCTTAAGAGTTGCAGGATATTTCTAGTTGTGATCTTTGCAAAAAGACTATGCAGTTTGACATCTGAGGAGCGGAACGGTAACGGGCAAAACGAAATCAATGCAGCCTCAGTTCCCTATGGAGACTCCCAGCTGAGAATTACAATGTACGATGCTCAGCAGCATAACTAAACTTTACACTCTAGCCACATGACTTCATCTCAATCAGCTGCTCGAGCCCTCGGCGATTGAGCAAGCGCAAATCTACCATATAGACCAAGGACAGAAGAATTAGAATTCAAACACAAGAGAACGTGATTTACGAATGATGTTTCACTTGTGGCAAGTACAGACTAGCAAGCACAATGACTGATCATGTGTGGAATGGTGGGAGAAGATGTCTGGAATTAACTATGCCTAGCATCTTCTTATCAATAAATAAATTTAAGGATTGATCATGACAGTGCATATGTACTGTTCAGATGGAGGCGTCCTTTCGCATCTGGATATATCTCCCAGCCACTTGACAGAGCTATGACTTCAGCAGTTGCAATACCAGAGAAAGGCAAGCAATCATCTACCCACATACCTCTTGTATGTAGAGACTCCAGTATTCGGGATATGAGCATCAGTCACCCGCAATCATCCTGAGCTTCCTGCTGACTTCTCTTTGATAAGAGCTCGGATCTTCTCAAAAGCTTTCATCATTGGGTCGTTGACCTCATTTCTTGGAGGCATACGTGTCTGCTGGACCGTTGTCCAATATTCGGCTCCTAATGGAACCAAGAAGAGGTATCGGGGAACAATAGCTCTAAGTCTATTGATGACGACGGCGTTGTCATCTTGGTCTTGGTAGTCATGCACCAGAGGTAGCCCGTTGTCAGTGACCTCACATCCGAACAACAAACCAAAGCGCTTATGATAAGTATCAGATTTCCATGGTTGTAATAACGGTTTGCGATCGCCAACATAGCCGAGCGAGGTCTCAAGCTCTAGACCCATGAAGAGTCCTGGGCCGTATCTAGTGTCCCCAGCTGCCTTGAAGCCAATGCGTAGGATGGACTGCAAGTTCTGGAGTCCAGTGCCGTGGAAGAGCATCATTGACTTTTCAGAGTCGATTTTGAAGCATCGTTTCCACAATCTCTGCCGTTCAGCATCATGTCCCACTAGGACAAACTGCTGAATTAAAGGACCAAAACCCGGAATTGTAAGTTCTTCGGTAGCCGGAATGATAGTGTCTCAATATCTATCACGAATCCAAGTCAGCACACCATGAGCAGGATTCGATGTATCACCCAGAATTTGCTCGAGCTCTTTTTGAGACGTGAAAGACGGTATGTGCTCAAAGGCTGCCAGAACGTCGTTTGATGTTTTGAAAGGACAGTCTTTTGGTTTTCCATGCAAGCTGATGTCTGAGAAGACTGAGGAGAGGATGAGGTTCATGGCTTTGAAGTCAGGAGTCGTTTTCTTCTTGAGTGCTGGCAGGAGTTTGGGAGAAATTTCATTGGGTCTATGGAATTACGTAAGCCTCTTCCTCCATCTGTCATTGTTCACTCACGCTTCGTCCTCCAGACCATCGCGGATTTTGTCGAATGCTGTGATCATTGTTGGTCCGACCTGAGCTCTTGTGGGTATGACGACATGTTGAGACTCTGGTATCAGAAAGATATATCTTGCCATGACAGACTTCATGTTGGTAATGACGTGGACTTCTTGAGCACCAGTGGCTTGTGGCCGCCCTTTACCAGTTGCCTCACAACCCAGCATGAGTCTCCGGGATGCAAAGGGATCCATTTTCCATCCGCTTCCACGAGCGACAGGACTCGCCGTTGCGATCGTTCCATTCTCGAGGTGGGTATATCCGTTGCTACCAGAGGTTGCGTAGCCGTTGGACATCGTTGGGCATGCTGCTACGAAGACGCCGACTCCATGGCCAGTATCGACGGATTGCAAGAAACCCCGACGCAAGATGGACTGTAGATTGACATAACTAGAACCATGGAACAACAAGATCGAGGTCTCCTTGTCTTTTCTGTACTCCTTCTTCCAGAGCTCCTCGAGGTCGGCGCGAGGCTTGGCAATAATGAACTGCGTGACCTCATTAGCGAATCCAGGGATCTTCAAGTCTCCTTCCGCAGGAATGATATCAGCGCCATAATTCGATGCGATCCATGAAAGAAGTGTGTCAGCATCTGAACTTGGCTTGTCGAGAATCTTTGAGAGTGCGTCTTGCGTTTGGAAGGCTTGGAAGGTGTTGAAGTGATTCACGACTTCGTCTTTTGTCTTGCATGGGATTCCAGGATAGGCTGTGATGAGGATGGTCTCTGGCTTTGCCAAGTCGGCGAAGATGGTGCTGATGAGTAGGTTCATGACAGCCGGAGTCGGATGCTTGAAGGGTTTCTCAATGGCAGTAGAAGACTCCGGTTGTCCATCTTGTGCCAAGGAGTCTGGTGTAGCAATTTCTTTGCCTGTGCCCTTCGAGGTGGACTGCTCTGCTGGCTTATCGAGTTCCGTCTCCTTTCCCTTGCCGTTCGCTTTGGCACTTGGCAGTTCCTCTTCGGAGGACTCTTCGACGACGACGGGCAGTCGCTTCTTGAGTTTGTCCTTGCGTTTGGTCTCTCTTGCATCCTCATCGGAAGACTCATCCTCGACCACCGCCTTCTTCTGCTTTCTTTTCTTCTTCGTTTTGCTCTTCTTGACATTCTCATCCGGAGACTCCTCAACATCCATCTCCTTCTTTCCCTTTCCTCTGCCTCTCAGAGTAAACTTGGTTTTCTTCTTCGGTGGCTCCTCATATTCACTACCCTCTTCGCTACCAATATCTTTCATCCTATCATTCATTAGCTCACCCTTCATGAGCCAAGAAGGAGGTAAGGAAAGAAGACTTACTCATGCGCAACTAGAACCCCAATACACTCCCATCTATTAGCGCCCTTCACCAGTTTCCGATCCTCGAGCTCATCATGCAGCGCCTCAACACGCATCTTACACCACCCCGCAACCTTCTCCACCAACGCCGCATCTCCTCTCTTGTTCGGAACAAACACACCCATAAGGCAGAGCACATAAGTAGCTTGTAGCTCTGGCTTGTTCGCGCCGGGATGGAAGAAGATCTTCTGCTTGTCGAGACGAGCTTTGAGACCAGCGACTTTGAGTTTGGCGAAGTCGGTGGGATCGAAAGTTGCTGGCAACTTGTAGGAGGCCGTTTGGGACCGAGTCTTCGGTTTGGAGGGGCCGGCTTTCGCCATTCTGGCTGTGTATTTGTGTTCTGTGATGGAATGTTGTTGTGAATGATGAATGATGGATTTGAGAGGCAAGAAGGAAGAGAGGTAGGGCTTGATATAGGGACTGGAAACAGAGTTGCCTATTCTCGAGTCGTGACGAGAATAAGCGATTGTAGTCGAGGACAAAGAGTTTCGCTCGGGTACGTTCTCTCCATCGGTGAAATTCGTGGCCGATTTTGCGACAGGGCTTAAATTCACAAAATGTAAAGTATTGCGCATACTAAATTAAGTTTATACTTAATATTTTTAATGAGAACGTAGAAGAACTTCTTGATAAATCAGAACTGAAGTCTAATTAGAAACAAACTTTGTAGTAGTGTGCAATGTTGGAGTTAGTAAGGACATTTTGGTGTTCTCGAGTGCCAAAATCGGCTAGGAATTTCATAGATGGAGAGTACGTTGGAGAAAGTCTAAGGAGAAAGTGGTACACAGTTTTGTCGAGTATCGAATTCGAGCAGGATGTGGAAAGACCATGATCTCCCTTTGAACAACTGGATTATTGTTCGCCCGAGAATACTACTTACACATTTCACTATCACAGGTACAATCCCAACTGAACGAGAATTATACAGCGGAAGGACGCCAACTTCTAGAATATCGAGTCCAGGACAACTATAAATACAGGCCAAGTTGCCACCAGTCACACCTACAGAAAAAAACACAAAATTAGCGTACCCCTTCCAGAACAATCCTCTCAACCAAGATGTACTCACCTAGAATTCTTCATAGTATCCTCCCTAACATCCACGAAACTTTCATTGAAATTCAACACCCTCGCTTCTTCTCCATACCTCGGGAACCCCTCCAAGCCATCTGCTCCAAGAAATGCATTCGGATCCCCACCACTTACAAAAGCAACCAAAAACCGCTGCATCATCTCGGCCACCGTTGCGTTAGTCACAGGATCATTGAAAGTCCCATCGAAAAACGTATACGGGACATCAGCGCCATGATGACCTGGCGGAACCGAGAACATGTAATTCCATGACTGATTTCCTTTCGCGGTACTGATGAATCTCGAGTTACAACCTATCATCATCTCGGAAATCAGAAGGTCGAGGCGGGAGAACGGGGTTGTGTAGGGTTGAGAACCATCGTAGATGGCGGGGTAGAGGACGGTTGATATGTAGGTCAGAATTTCTGATTTGATTAAGGGGAATAATATTCTAAGGTAGGTCTCAAGTGCGGACGAGTTGGTAGCTGATGGGTCAGTGTAGACGAATCCTTCGTTAGAATTGTGAGCTGAGATGACAGAAATGGTGGGGTCGAATTCTCCGCGAAGGAGTGAGATTCCAAGGATATCTGTGATGTAATCACCGTCGACCGTGGGCTCTGCGAGTATTACTTTAGATGATTATCCTTGATCGCAGGAGGTGGTTCTTACGGAATTTATACAGTCCGAAGGCAGAACTAGCAATAACCTCCTTGTTCGCCATCTGCAGCACTTCAGATGAAAGAGTCTTTGCTTCATTGAGTGTCACCACGCCCGCAGCGTCGAGGAAACTTCGTGTCAGCTGATCTTCCAGTACAGGCGACTTGGTTGGGTTGTGAATAGATGGGCTTTGGACAATAGCTTGCTGAAATGGCAATTTTCCAGGGCCTTGTCTCCCACCATATGCAGTGATGTGATGCAGGATACTACCCGCTCCTGCAGACTCGCCCATCACAGTCACACTATTTCGATCTCCTCCGAAAAGATGGATATACTTTTGCACCCACTCAAATGCCCTTCTTTGGTCTAAAAGTCCGGCATTTGGAGTGCCACTCTCCTGGAAGAGTGGTCCACTCATCCAACCAAAAGCACCAAGCTGGGAAGTGTTATCATGAGGTCCTACTATGTTATAGGTAGTAGACATACCCTATAATTAACCGCAACAAAGACGGCGCCTTCAGCATGCTCTGCACTTCGATCAAGAATACCAATTGGACTACCACCAACTGCTTTGCTTCTCATGATATACCCTCCACCATGAAGCCAAATAATGACAGCTGCACCACCTTTTTCGAAGGTAGTCTTTGATACCGTGACATCCAGAAAGAGGCAATCTTCACTCTCAGTCGGTCCAGGTGGGCTAGTTGCCAGAGTTGCATTGGACCATATCGGGGTACCTTGCGGGCAAATCTTGCCATATGCGCCGTTTTGTATACCCGCTGATCGGTTATACAAGGGCGGATGCGGGACTGAGAACCTCAAAGATCCCAATGGAGGGGCCGCATATCTAATGTTTGGAAATGTCAGGTAAGAAGAGTTTTCCTGCAGAGTAAGCAAAAAGTGGAAAAGATGGCTCTGACCCGCTTACAGATGATACTGTTGCTTGATGGAGTGCATAGCCAAGGTCCACGACGGGAGGATCTGATGTGAGAGCAGGCACTACGGCCAAGAGGAGGACAACGAATACCAGATGCACGGGGCTCATGTTGGACAATTTTCTTAGTTCGAGCCTCATCCTTCAGAAAGACCGAATTGAAGATGCCACTTGACTCAGCGTCATATATCACAACGTACCATGACAGTATAACAACAGGTGTCCGAGGCAGCTCATCGTTGGCGGTCGTGGTCATCCAGAAGTTCTCCTCCACCGACAATGAGTGACGCCATGAAGATCTCGCTTTCGGATAAATGTTCGAAGCTGCACAGCTCATGCACCTCCAGATCTGACTGCAGGGGAGATCTGCGGGGAGCTGCCACGTGACCTACTCAAAATCCAGCAAGGCATACCAAGACAATTTCTTGTAAAAGGCGCATACAAAATGATCTCCATTAAGATTGGATCGAGAAAGACTTTCTTGAAGAAGGAAACATGAGGGTAATGATAATTGAGCAAAGAATCAACCGTCGAAGACCGAAAATAAATTGATTCAAGCCACGACAAGGAATTTAACTAAGCCACCACCGCCTCGGCTGCACTAGCGTCACGGCACGGACAAACTTCGTTCCTGGGGGCGTCTCCTGAACCACTCGCTGCATTTCCTCTTCTCTCCAATCTCGTCCCATCTTTCAAAGTTCAGGGATTGCGCCGTGATGACAGCGAGTAATCCTTGACATATTGTTCGAGAACGAGTCAAGAAACGGGAAGGATTGACTTATTGTCGGATACAAACACCAATCGACATAGTTGTCGGTAGCTTCGGTAGCTTCGGTAGCGTGAAGCGCCGCCTGGTAAGCATCGCGCCTATGGTGCTGGCGCCGCGAAACACGTCAGATTTACGTGGTACTGCTACTGCTAAGTACAAGTGTTATGGGCATAGTTTGTGTAGGGTTAGGGATGCTGATCTAGTTGATCCTTCTCCCCAAACGTCGCGAATTATCCCAATTCAGTAAGATTAGGTGAGACAAATGTCCAGAGAAAACCCCAATAGGCTTCATTTCAATCCCCGATTCGTCTGAAAATTCCGATTCTTAATTTTAAGTCCATATCCCCAGATTCCGGATGGAGATAATATCAAGTCGTCTCGCTTTAGCGGCGGTTCAGCCTCACTTCGAATTTCCCGTCGGTCTGACGATGTTAGAATTACTGGTCAAGCCGGTGCGAATGCCAAGCCTTTCTTTGACTATAAGTACAAAAGTACCTGACACTCGAGGTGGATCGTTCTGCTTATATCTGCTCATTCTTTCTCATCTTCCAATTGTTATATTTTTCTTGGCTCGTCGAAATGAGGAGCTCTTTTCTTTGTCTCAGCCTTTTGGCAGACTTAGCCACTTTTGCCTTGGGCGCAACGGTTGTCTTCCCTGTCAAGTTGACATGGGAGAAGGGTGCTCCAGATGGATTCGAACGAGACATGATACTTATAAATGGTCAATTTCCTGGGCCAGCGTTGAATATCAACGAGGGAGATAATGTAGAATTTGTTGTGACCAACCAATTGCCATACGGAACAACAATCCACTTTCATGGCGTTGAGTAAGAACCACCTTCTTGAACATAACTTCGCCATTACTGACTTACTCTAGGCAATACAACACTCCTTGGTCAGGTAAATAAATCAATTCACTTCGGTACTGCAACACTCTGCTAATCTTCCTTAGATGGTGTTCCTGGACTTTCTCAAACACACATCCAACCTGGAAACACTTTCACTTACAAATGGACCGCTACTCAATATGGCACGTATTGGTATCATGGTCACACACAAGGACAACTGGAAGATGGGCTCTTTGGCGCTATCCATATTCAGTTCGTAGCCCGCATTTCCAAATGCTTGTTTCTTACTGACCTTGACAGACCCAAGAGCGGCACTCCAACTCCTTTCACGATGATTTCAAATGATTCCAATACACTTCGTCAACTCAACGAACAAGTGAACAACCCTCAAATCGTGATGCTCTCCGATTGGAGTCACTTCACTAGTCAAGAGTTACATGATGTCAGCATTGCTGCCGGCATTGATCCTCTGTAAGGAGCCTTCAGAACTGTTCGCCAATCCTGCAGCTAATTCGATTTTAGGTGTGGAGATTCGATTCTGATCAATGGCAAAGGAAACGTCAATTGCCCTGGTGTGCCCTTCCTCATGAGTTTGGTTCCACCAACCATTACGCCATTGCTCATGGGACAGAACCTTACCGACAAAGGATGTCTTCCTCTCACAAACAACCTTGCCCAGACATCGTATCCTCATAACTTGAGTGCAGTGCCACCAGGAGTCTTCTCTGGCTGCAATGCCACAACCTCGGCGGGCGCTACAATTGAGGTGGATCCACACAACGGCTGGGTCAGCTTGAACTTCATTAGTACTGCCAGTATTCAAGAGATGGTTGTCTCGATCGATGACCACCCAATGTGGCTATACGCTGTTGATGGTCGTTACGTGGAACCTCAAAAAGTGGATGTAAGTCTTCGTTCCGCGAGCAAAGTTCATTGCTTACACTCCCAGGCCATCACTTTCTCCCACGGTAGTCGTTATGCCGTCATGGTGCAACTGTCTCAGCCATCCCAAAACTACATACTTCGTGTAGCTGGCGACGGCCTCAACCAGAAAATCTACGGTCAAGCAGTCTTCCATTACATCGGGGGCAAAAACATCAATACACCCCATCCATCAATCAACTATGCCGGGACCGGCACAGCATCTAATGTAACCTTCCTGAACGACCTAAACACCGTCCCCTTCCCCTCTATCACCCCCTCCCAAACTGTCGACCAAACCTACCTCCTGCTCCTAAACCGCACCGGCGCCGCCTGGCAATGGTCCATCAACGACAACACGCCCTTCAACGACAGTCTCGAAGACATCACCCCCCTCCTCTGGAACCCCAACACCCTAGCCAACACTCCCCTCGCTATAACCACCAAGAACAACACCTGGGTCGACCTCATCCTCACGGCCTCCATCTCCGGCGGTCTCCAGCCCCGCCACCCCATCCACAAGCACTCGAACAAAGCCTTCATCATCGGGTACGGCACGGGCGAATTCCCGTACTCAACCACAGCTGAAGCGATGAAAGCCATACCCGGGAATTTCAATCTCGAGAATCCAGCGTATAGAGATGGGTTCTATACGCTGCCTATCGCGACGAGTAGTACGTGGATGGTTGTGCGGTATTTTGTGCAGAATCCGGGGGCGTTTTTGTTGCATTGTCATATTAATCCGCATTTGACGGGCGGGATGGGGATTGCCATTTTGGATGGGATTGATAAGTGGCCGACGGTACCAGCGGCATATGGGCCGGGTGGGAATGGGAGCTAGAGGTTTGCGGAATATATTGGGCGTTTAGACTTTGTGAATATTGTGTAATATTTTTAGCGTAATGTTATTCTCCGCTCAAGGACCTGGAATAGATGATCTCTACATGCTAGATACTTCCAAAATACTACTCACCTTCTTAACCGCGTCCTAAAGCAACTTCCCTTTCTCTTACTTCTCTATCAACCCCTCCTTCCTCACTGAACCATCCATCACCCAGCGTATCTTTTCTCATAGCCCCATCAACATTGCAAAACAGTAAGGATAACAGACTCATCTTCTAAGAGCATACCGTACTCTTCTCTCGCGTAACTAATACGATTTCCAAAAGCAACATCGACATAGCCACCATTCCAGCTGCTGAAGCGAATACAGGCATCTAAGCCCACGCCGAAGCCAATCTGAACGTCAATAGGACGGAAAATGTTGATAGGTCTCCGACCAAGTAATGAAACCATGGGAGGACAGAATCGCTAGGCAAACATCGTTGATCTGACCTGAAATTCCCAGAAAGTTATGGCTACGTACCATATGTATTTTGTCTTGAGCTTCCAACTTCATAGTTGATTATGTAGCATCATTTATTCGTCACTTTGTAGCCTGCAACCTCCTTTCAACCATCCTATCCACCATCTTCTCCAAAATCGCTGGCTCGCCACCACTCCCCTTGGCAAAATACCCCTCAACCGCCTTCTCCACATACTTCCCAATCTGATCCACCTCGACATTAACCTCATCCCCGACCTTCTTGCTCGCAATAATAACCTTCTCCTGCGTATAACTAATTAACATAACCTCCCACCACCACCCCGCATCATCAACCTTCGTAATCGTCAAACTCGCCCCATCCAACGTCACATACCCCTTCTCCACAATATACCTCAACACCGCCCTATCCTTCGGCCTGAACCGAAACGTCAACGCATTTCCATCCGGCTCAATCTTCAGTATCATGGCGACCGTATCGACGTGTCCTTGCACAAAATGCCCACCCATGCGTGTACTAGCCGACACAGCTCGTTCCAGGTTGACATTGCTGTGTTTCTTTAGGGAACCGAGGTTTGTGCGGCGGAGGGTTTCGGGCGCGACGCCGACTTTGAAGGAGGTCTTGTCGAACCAGGTTACGGTGAGGCAGGTGCCATTTATGCTGATGCTGTCGCCGAGTGTGCAGTCTGAGAGAATAGAGGAAGCGTTCGAGATGGTGAGGGTGGTGCCACCATCTTCGGATTGGTGGTTGAGTTCGGAGACCACTGTGACGGAGTTAGTGGAGGTGATGGCAGAGGTGAGGGATACTACAGACCTCCTATTGTTTCTACTATGCCGGTGAACATCGTGGATGTTGTTGCTGAGCTTGAGCTTTGAGTCAGACATCCAGAGCTTTATTGCCCCGCCGGAATGGGAAGAACGTTGTTCCGAGAAAGGATTGGTCAGCCTTCTTCAATGTTTGTCATTTGCTTGCACATCAACTTGCTCTCTCCCTTCCATTCTTGCTCCATAGTAAGTCGGGACAATTGCAACCTTCCATGATGAAGTCTTCCTCGTCCCGACCGTCAATGTGCATCGCTAGTCTCGATGCTCTCGATCGTCGATGCCTTTCCCTTTCCAGCACACGGAAGCCCTCCCTCCGTCTCAACTGGTGCAACGGAACGCAACAATAACACGAATTCTATAGCTATCGGCCCCATTCTACCCTTTACAGCCGCAAAGAATAATAATTTCAACCAGTCGGCTGAGTTTGCCGAGATCTGATACTTGCAAATGCAGCGAATCTGCATATAACCTTTTCCTCGTCTGGAAGCTGGACCCGTTAGTGCGGATCCCCTCATGACAGTTGGGATTAGTTCATTTGTTTTTATGGCAAAAGTTTTTCCGTTGAAGTGTTCCCCGCGTGGGGAGGTTCTTTCATTATGGAGGAAAAGACAAGGGAATTAAGACCATGACTTCATTTGGTAAAGTATATATCTGTGATGAGGTTAAAAAGACTTCATGTCCCCCAGCTTGCTCGTTTCCTACTGTTTCATTCTTCGGTTGTTGCATTTCCAAGGGTCATTATGACGATTATAAAGTTCCTGTTTCTCGGCTTCTGTTCCTTGGCAGCAACAAGCCCATCTCCTTCAGCATGGACAACCAAACTTCAAAGTTTTGCCCCAATGCTCAGCTCAATGTTCCCTCAAGGAGGACCATTGACGCCTCAAATTCTGCAAAGTTTCTTAGAACCGAACGAAGCAAACATCGCTAGAAACTCCTACGTCTACAGAGACGGGACTTCCCTTCGACTATTGGGCGATCAGTGGACAGCAAGTGGAGCAAATGTTTACTGGCTTGGCTTGGACGAAAATGTTACTCCTCCAGCTGGACAACCATTCTATGCACCGACCAGAGCGAGCTATCCGACCAAAGGTCGAATCACTGAGGTTATGGCGACGTTGGTCACAATGGGAGCCAAACTTATCAGAAGTCAAACTCTGGGCGTCAGTACCGGGAATCCATTGAGCTTGTTACCAAGTCCAGGGAATTACAACGAAGCAGCGTTTGATACTATGGATTGGTCCGTTTTTCAAGCCCGACAGCATGGATTGAGGATCTTTGCTCCGTTGACGGATAATTATGTGGGTTTCTTCTCGAATTCTGACATACTGGACGTGAGTTACTGACGTGAATAGGATTACTACCATGGCGGGAAATTCAACTTCCTTCGTTGGGCAGGACTCAATATCAGCGGGACCAATAACGCCAAGCTCCCACCGGATACTCTCCAATTCTACACAAATGATACTATCATTGCCTCATTCAAAGATTACATTACGCATCTTATGACACACGTGAATTCGTATACTGGAGTTTCCTATGCTGATGATCCTACGATTATTGGCTATGAGACCGGGAATGAGCTGGGCGGGATTGTCTTTGGGGATAAGAATGTACCCGTCAAGTGGACGAGGGAGATTTGCCAGTTGATCAAGACTCTCGGTTAGTCTCTTCCTTTCAAATCCTCGGTCTCTGGGCGTGTCCGACTTCACTTCCAGACAATGAATTCCCCTCAATCTTCAAACCACACCCGGTTATAGACTAAAATCACCAGGACCCAACAAACTCTGCATAGACGGCACCTACGGAATAAACACCACCCACTTCGCCGTCTCCGAAATCGATATTTTCAGCGATCATTTCTATCCCCTCAACAACACCAAACTCACCGCCGATATCAACCAAGTGGAGAGCGCGGATCGAGTTTATCTCGCCGGAGAAATCGAATGGACGGGTTTGAGCGGTGGTGATTCCTTACAGAGCTTTTATGACACTATTCTAGCGAGGCAAAATGAGACGAAGCCGGTGGTGGCAGGGAGTATGTTTTGGAGTTTGTTTGGACATGATGTTCCAGATTGTAATGTGAGGTGATGCTCTTTCCCTTTCCCATGCCTCGGACTAACGATCAGAACAGAGATACGTGAATCATAGTGATGGTCTCGCGCTCCAGTATGGCAATCCTCTTAATACGGCGAAGAACAACACTCAGATTGGCACGATACGACAGCATTATTTTGCTATGCAGAATGTTACTGTTGATGCTTATTTGCCGGCTGTTGCTTGTCCGCATAATTTTGTCCCGGGGTACGAGGCTGAGTATACTTATTTTTGAGAGGGAGTGAGAGGTTTTCAGAGCAGAGGGGTGAGTATAGGATGTACGTGAGTGTGTAAGTAATGGTCAAATGTAATACTGTTGTGTACTAGTCTTGCTGGAGGGGATGTCAGAACTTGCGTTAGCTTGTTGCTGCTCTCGGGCGACGTGAGAGAGACTAGTGCTTGAAATTGAAGTTAAAACGGTGAATGAAAGCTTGAAGTTACCTAGGTAGCGAAAGAAGACTTTCCGACTCTATACAAGATCGAGATCGAGAGCGAGAGCCCAGTCTCTCCAACCTCAGGCCTCCAACAACAAACACAATTCTTCGACACCAAACAATCCGCGTCAGTAAGTCTTCTCAATCCACCTCAGCTTACAGGTCCTAATCCACCTCTCCAGTCTCATTATCCATCATGGACCAGCAAAATCCCACTCCGACCTTCTCCAACCCACCATCCACCACGACCAACCAACCCCCCCTCCCCTTCCCAATCCTCGACCGCCGCCCCGACGAATCGCCCCACGCTCAGATAACCCGCTACAAGAAACGCTTCCTCGACATCATCCGCGTGTACCGACGCAACGAAAAAGCCATCGCCATCGACGCGCTCACGCGGACTCTCTGCAAACCGGTGCACTACCCGTACTTCCGGATCGCCGTGAGCAGCGTGCTAGATGGATACCCGATGATCAAGCCGGAGCAGAGATGTGCTATTGCTGATATATGGGATAGTTTGGAGAGGAGCCAGGCGAGGGGGTTGGGGACGGTGGGGGCGTGGAGTCGGTGGTTGGGGGAGGTTATTCAGGTTTATAGGCATGTGCTTGGTTTGTTTGAGGGGTTGCCTGAGGGTGTTTAGGGATTGGGGAATTATTGAGGTTCGGGGGTGAGTGTGATGGGAAGAGAGAGTGCGTTGGAGGTGAAGGTTGATGCTTGAGGCTCTTGTGAAGGAAGAGGATGCAGGTATTAACTATGAGATTAATTCTGCACTTGCATGATTCTCAAATTGAGCCGCCATGGACCTTAAGAAAATCTATTGCATCGAAGATTTTAATAAAGCAAATGCAGAATGAAGATTCAAATCCAATATCGCCACAGAAAAACCACCTCGCTCAAACGGGCAATCCCTTGCAAACTCGCAATACGATCTATAACAAACTTCCTTTTCCTTCCCATCTGATATATCCCTTTTGCATCCCATATCATTTCTCCAACTCAATCCAGAGCCCAAACAAGTCACCCCATCCCAACCAGCGTGACAGCGATAGCCTAAGCTTGAATCCAAGATAGTACAACGCAAAGTCACACCATTTCATCCCATCTCAGCTCACGCGCCCAAACTGGCAGTTGAATGCGATGCGACGTTCAACAAAAACGTCACTTTGCTTTGATGGGAAATGGGAAAGGTGGATATTATTTGTGATGGAAATCCGATGCGGCTGTGCGGCATTTTTATTTATGGATGAGGTGCTTGGCTGGAATAGGATACTCCTCGCGGTGAGATGTGCAACAAAAGATTCAGGAGAGGGGATGAGGGAATTTGAGACGTGACGAGTTAGTTGTTTAGGGAGTGACATATGTGGGGAAGAAGGGGTTAGAAATTGAGAGGTAATTTTTATCGGGAGCTTGCAGATGCGGCGAATACAATTGGGATGGATAGGATGTTTTCGAATTACGATTCGAATCGCTTCAATTAGCATTAGGGGATGAGAGGGTATTGTGAACGATGTCTTCGATGTTTATCACCATATTGATATCCGTGTCGACCATTAACATTATGTTTTTTGTGTCCTCTGTGTCGGACAACTCAAGCCTTCAGCCTCTGTCCCGCCATATCGTCTTGCGCATCTTTGAGCAGGAAACTAGAACACTGGATAAGCGTTGTACAATTAACGAGAAAACACCACTCACTTATAAAATATCATCGTTGGGGCCACAGTCCCTAGATGCCACAAGCTATGGGCATCCAAACATCCCCACCAAGGCGGGAAATCCAGCAGCTCCAAACTCATCGCAACCAAAATCCATGCGACCACCAATCCAGGCCAGGTCGCCCATGCTCTCCCAGACTTTTGATATTTTTGATAACTGAACCAACTCCACATCGCATTCTGTACCACGCCTGCCACGACGTTCGCAGCCATATTGTAGCCATAGTCCCAGGCGTACCACTTCAGGTAGGTGACATGTGCTGCGAACATCCCGATACATAATCCCGTCCAGGCGCGCAGAACCGATTTCCTCCTCGCCCCTCCCTGGTCCATCCGAAAGACTCGGATGGGCGTGTAGTACAACCCATACAGCACACTCGCTCCCGCAGCAAAATAGTCCAATTGCTCTGTAACCCTAAAATCCCTCGTATGAAAGATCATGCTGAAGACCCAGCTTGCCATCCCAAAATATGCCAGCATTACGTAGTATTTTCGCAGAGGGTAAGAAGCGGGTATGCTGGATGTGATTTTCGAGAGGCCGTTTTGGTGTGCGAGGAAGTTCAGGAGGGAGAAGAAGACGGAGAATGGTTCTTGCATGCCCATGAAGCGGTAGAAGGGCCATTTTCCGTGGAATTGGACGATGGGCTCAGAAGCTGCGACGCGTTGGTCCGTGATTATGTGCTGGCAGGTGTAATCGCATTCTGCAGGACAGTCCCAGAGGAGGGCTCGATGGAGGAGAGCTGGAGAGTTAGTGAGGGTATGGGATTGGGACGAGGTTTGCATACGGATCGCAGTTGCATGGCCGCTGGCGCAGTTCTCTTGCTTGCAGACCTGCGATGATTAGAAATGTTGGATGGAAAGACGGAGATCATACATCTACACAATGTCGGAATTCCGGAAGGCGATCGCCATACGATGCTGAGACTTGAGGAGTGAGTAGCAATAGGAGGCCCAGAGGCAGAACTCCTTGTCTCAAAATCATTATGTTGTTGTTGAGGGAAGTGAGATCGCGGAGAATTGTCCGAGAAGCTCTCGTGCCTTAGCGTCCAATCCGGCAGTTTTCTTTGGGCCGAGAGCGGAATTACGATGATTTTTGGGTCAGAAATGCGCTAGCTTTCGCTTGACGACTTGGACGAATTTCAATTTCTACTGTTTAAAGTGAACGAAGCTTTTTTCTTTCGTTGCTTATAGCACACATGCTAACTAATTATCAGGTAACGACGAATCAGTATAAATAATTTGAATTTGAACTAAGTCGGCACCTCAGAATCGAAACAACTCGCAATGCTTTGCTTGTATTCCAGCATCATTCTCTAATCATGGATATGCAACCTCAAGCGATAAAGAAAGGTGGCCTTCAACAATTACAGCAGCTTCTCTTCTGCTCCCCCTAGACCCATTATACATCGCCATAGACTTTGAAAGAGCTGGATATATCGTGAATAATTTCAGCTCATGTTCAGACACTCCAACAGGCATCTCTATCCTTGATACTCGAGACCTGAACCCACTATTCCAAGCGCATCTAAGTTAGAAACTTACAACTTTATCACTGGATCAGATTTATATTATGCCGAATCTGCTAAGAAATTTCTTTGGGGTACGTCAGAAAAATTCCTTCCAAGCAAAATGCTAGAATGCATCAATAAGGTTGTTCGTCGCGACCGGAATATCGTTTTGGTTGGGCACGGTTTTGGGGGGCTTACCGCATTAAGCTCTCTTGGATTCGATTTCCAAACCTCAGTGATAGGTATCTTAGACACTGCCAATCTAAGTTTCGAGTTAGAAATGGATCGTTCTACACTAGGACGACTTCTGGGAGAGCTCGAATGCCCCAAGTCAAGCGCTAAACTTCACAATGCTGGAAATGATGCAAATTTCACTTTGCGGGCCTTAATCCTCTTGGCAATCAAAGGTTATGAGCAGCAGAGACTTAGGACGTTAATGGTTGGAGATGAGCAGGTATCGAGAGTATTATCTCTTCGATCTATAGCAATGACACCTTTGCCTGGAGTTAGAAAGCCTAAGGAGAAGAGGCCTCGGAACAAGCATATTGCAAAAACATGGTCACTTGAGAAGCAGGAGCAGATTAGGGAGGAACGGCGACAGAAACGAATCACGAATACAGCCGTGGCGTTTAGGGAGCCGGAAGAGGATCCCCCTGAGTATGACCCAGCTGACTTAACAGCGTGCTCAGATTAGAGCAGCGACTGCTTCAGTCCAAAGACGGAAGTAAACTTTGGAGAGATCCAGATTCCACTGAGATTATATCGATAATCTCAGAGGACATTTCTTCTAGTTCGCTTCTAACACGGTCAGTCAGCATCGCCGCTCTGCTCAGGCACTGCTCATCGCCTCACCTTCTGATCAAAATGAGGAATCAGCTTGGAGCACAACACAACCAAAATCTTATGATCTCCATGCTTAAGCATCATAAGATATTGTCTTCAATTTTATCTTCGATTATAATATGTACAATAGGCTTGTCTTAATCTATAAGTGTTTAGTTATCCAGGACGCCAGCGCCCCACCCACCCCGCTCGCTTCGCTAGGTGAGGACATGCAAAAAAGATCAAGAATGTACCAAAAAGATTTTCCTGTAGTCGAGTTAAATGCACGAGTATATAGATTTAATACGAGTTCTCCTTTCTGTAGTCCCAGGAATTGTCCCAAGCTTTCACCTCCTTGCCTCGTTTATCATCTGCACTATTTTGAAAGTTCTCCCAAAAGAAAAGATTTTGTAACCTTTTCGTTTACAAGACAGACTCACGGCTAGGTTATTAAAGCAAGATTAGTAGAGACTCTCAAGAAAGGGCCAAAAAAGCGAAAAAGAACCTTTCAAGCACCCGTGGAGGAGGCTTGAAGCACCGCCTTGGACAGTGTGGGGATTGAACCCACGACCTCTCGCATGCAAAGCGAGCGATACTACCACTGATCTAACTGCCCTGTTAATGAAAGGGATTTGCTTATTTAAATTTATAAATGCCGCAAAGTGCGTCTAGCTTTGTGCGGCAGTTCGACCCGAGCGGTCAAGGACCGCCTTGACCGCTAGTCCTCTTCAGGTCTGTCATGACTTAATTTAAAAGCAAACATCTCTATCTCAACGAAGAGCAGCAGCTCCAATTGTCTCCTTCTACCTGAGCTGCCCTTTCCATTCATATTAAGTCAGATCAGTCGAACTTATTCAATTTTCAATACCTGCTTGGAGACCACAATGACCACCACATCACCGCATTTGCTTGGGCAGAGCAACCAAGCTAGCATTCTTCTCTGCCGTCATGTCTGTGGATACTGATTCAAGACTCTACCATGAGAGCTGAAGACGCCCTTTGAGAATGGAGCTAGCTATATATCCCTAGACTACTATCTAGAATCAATTCGGTGATATGTACGTTCCCTCATCTACAAGCATCCCCGTTTGTTTGCCAATGACAGCTGCATTCTCCATTTGAATGGAAACATCCAATGTTATCTTCATCTTTCCTCTTTCTACCTGGACAATTTCACATGACGGCAACGTGCACCTTCGCCGTCATACTTTTCGGCCGTGGAGTTCCGTTGTCTCTCACACTTGTGATATACACGTGATTCACAGGACTGCATTAAATCCTCACTTGAGACTTCCTTCATTGCATGACGCTTGTCTGCTGCACCTAAATTATGTCGCTGTCTAAAGGTTTTGTTGTGTTGCATTGGCGTTGTTTGTTGTTTATCGCACTCCAATTTGCATATCAATTGTCACATGACAGATCAGATCTTGGAGGTTCAAATAGAGTTTCACGCTGACCCTATGGCTCTCGAGGCATTGGAAGAGCTGAAGCGGAACAACTCTCAAGGCATCATTATCGGTTCCTCGGAATCAGATGTGCGGACAAATGTTCTGTTGATTCACGCAGTTTGTTCTGTCACACCAGTCTTACATGCAGCAGGCAGAACACAACACGGTCGCAGAGAAATTGCCTGCTACTGTGCATACGTAACTCCTCTAGAAGCCTGGAGTGAGAGTATCTATATATCAAGACGAACTTAATCTCTTATTATCCTGAGTCTCATCTAAATACTTATTTTCATGCATTATTTTCAGCTTTGGATTTCAGCTTTCCTAGCTATGCAAGTTTCCTATCTGTCGAGTTGTTGTTAGACGGACCTCGAATGTGTCCTACAGACGGACAGATCCTGACGCATATTTTCTAACCATCAAGTGAAATGGGCATTGGTAGGCAGCATGTTGAGGATGCAGAGGATGTAAGGGGCGACGTGTGGGAAAAGCCCGTACATCTCAACATTCATAGTACGTACTCTTTGGGAGTCCCACCAGATGCAAGAAGTGGACGGCGGCTGATAACTAATGCTGAAGCCTCGTAACTCTTCCACCACAACCCATCTCTCACTTCAAGCCTCACTCAAGTATTCAGACCGAGAGCTCCGAGCCGTACGATGTTCTGGACGCAATGGTGTGAAATGGCTGTTGGTCCAACAAAGTTGGCAAGCAGCTACTCTATCGCGCAATAGATAAGGGTAATTCGTCATGCAGATCCTTGAAAATCGAGCCAGCTGATACCAAACAAACTCCCAACTGGGATCACAATACTCTGTCAATTCCGCCAGTTTGAAGTACTGTCTGCTAAACCAAAGCTTTGGGTCCGAAGTCTAGGTTCTGCTTCCTGAACCGAAGTTATTGCTTTTCGAAGTCTGCCGTCTTTGAAGACTTGCCAAGAGCTATGTAGCTTTTCAGGACGACTCGGATTGACCGACGTGCAAGCTAGGATGTGGACATCCTGGTTGACGAACAATTATCATCGGCTCAGTGTGGGGTGTTTCTTGATCTTTGCCGGCAATGAGCCTCTTCTTTTGCAGAGAATCTGGAATCGAATGTCAAAGGCGAATTCCATGGTTGAGGCAAATATCCATAAGAGCAGCGCAAACCTCAATTCGCGTCTTCCTTCATCACATTTGATTGAATTTGTCTCCCGCCATTGTTCGTTTCTTATCGATCTTATCGAGGAAAGTAGACGAATTGTTGCGCAGAATTGCGTCAAGCGGGACAAGCGGGGCAATGATTGGCTTCCATAAACAATTGGACAAAACCACAACTTCAAGGTTTTAAGAACATTCGACGCACCATGTGGTGGACCTGATGGCAAGGAAAGCGGGGTTCGCAATTGACTAGTCAATTGACGTGATTACCGGTGGCAATGAGGATATATTTTGTTGTCGGGGGTATAAACATGTCTGCGGCTGTCAAAACCCAATCCCCGTATCCGTGCAGCCAAACAACAATTTACCATGGGAAACACCAAGGAGGAGATGAATCCCTACAGCCTGGATACGGAGGTTGGACCCAGTGACTCTCGAGAGCAGCTGATCGTGAAGCCCATTCACACATGGAAAGGTTACATTTGGGACACCTGGGAACTGCCCAAAAACCAACGTTGGCTTTTGTTCAAGCTGGACGCTTTCGTGCTGACATTTGCATCGGTCAGTGACCGGGCAGTTCTTCGAGATATAATCACCTGACTGACATATTCCACCTCAGATTGGTTACTTTCTCAAGAACATCGACCTGTCAAATGTTAATAATGCCTTCCTTAGCGGTATGGAGGAAGACCTGTCGATGTATGGCAACCAGCTCGTAACTAGCACATCCATTTATACAGTTGGATATGTTATTGGGCAGATCCCATCAAATTTGCTGCTGACCCGAGTGTCTCCACGCTGGGTTATACCTGCGCTCGAAGTGGGCTGGGGATTGGCTACAATCTGCACATCGACGGTGAAGTCCTACCAAGCGCTTTACGCATTACGCTTCCTTGTTGGCCTTTTTGAGTAAGTTTCACTGGTGAGCTACTAATTATCAAACTGACATCTATACAGATCCGGTTTCTATCCTGGCATCCACTATCTCCTTGGATCATGGTATACCCCGCAGGAGATTGGCAAACGTGCAATGATCTTCTGGCTGGCAGGCTCTATGGGCACACTATTCAGCGGATTCCTGCAAGCAGCAGCTTACACCAATCTGGATGGCGTGGATGGGCATTCTGGTTGGAGATGGCTCTTCATTATCGACGGCATCATCACTCTGCCTCTGGCCGTTGCCGGTTTCTTGTTCTTCCCTAATCTACCACAGAGCGGCAAGAAGACGTGGTGGATAACGGAGACGGAGCATGAGCTCTCTGTCAGTCGGATGAAGGCCATTGGACGAGCCGGCACTGAGCCTTGGACCAAGGCTAAGGCTAAGAGGATCTTGCTAAGCTGGCACACGTACCTCCTTCCGTTGCTATATGTCGTCTGGAACAATGGTAGTCCACAACCTGCTATGGGATATTGGCTGAAGAGTTTCAACAAAAAGCCTGCTCCTGTTCCAGGTAGGACTTTCACGGTAGCACAAATCAACGATCTACCGCTTCCGACGACTGGTATCTTCATTGTTATGGCTTTCGTCTGGGCATGGCTTTCTGATGGACCTCTTCGCGGAGCAAGATACCCTTTCATCTATGCAGGAGCGGTCATGACCGTGAGTTCTGATATCCTCGTGCATTCTGTGGGCCACCTGCTGAACAGTCCTCTGCTGCATAGCTCGTGTTCAGTATCGTAATGCGGCAGATGCCCCTCTACTCCGATATTCATGGCCGCATGATAGTCTATTGGCTCAGTCAACTCGGTGTAAGTCTACTTTTCTCACTCATCCCGAAGACGTGGCTGCTGACTCAAGTTCACATACAGATGGGCGCAGGTCCGCTTATTTTGAGCTGGATCAATGAAATTTGCTCGGCCGACACAGAGAAGAGAGCTCTCCTTGTAGCAATGGGCAACGACCTCGCATACGTCGTGCAAGCTGTCGTAAGCTTTCCCTTATCTTCTCGACCTCGATCAACGCTGATTTGTCCTAGGCACCCAATTTTGTGTGGAAGACGACAGACTTCCCAGCTGCTAAGAAAGGCTATCTCTGGTCTATCATCCTGCAAGTCCTACTGGGTAAGTGTTCTCCAGCTGTTTAGAGACTTTGGGAATGGTATGCTGACGGAGATTTTCGGCTTAAGTCGGAGTTACGGCGACGATTCAGCTTCTTCTTTGGCGAGACAGACGAAGTGCAGCACGAAACCCCTCTGAACTCTCTCTGCATACATCTCGAGACAGCGATCTTGATAGCCCAGCGCTGCAGCCTGGCGAATTTGATGAGAAGAAGGCCATTCGCAGTGAGGCTACCCCGGTGAACTAAACTAGAAGGTCGTCCGTCGTGTTTCAGATGCTTCTCTCCCTTTCTAGTATATCGCAATCTAGCGGGAGGATAGAAGTCGGACATCAACAGTGACTTTCAAATACCACCGAACTCTGTACTTCTAATACACCTTCCCGATTATGTAGCACTGTTATCCAGTACATTCCTGTCTAGTCGGATCTTCATTGCCAAGCATGTGCTAAACGGCAATGCCGTTTTCTAGCTGCAAGTGCCGAGGCGGATTCAACGTCGTATGATCAAAACCTCATCCCGTGCGCCTCGCCTATATCAACCACATCTAAATTTATGTCTAATCTCAATGCGGTAGGTCGCGACTACTGACTCAGATAACAAGATTTCATCGACATCAGGTCATTTTTGCTTGTATCATAGTTACCCCTCTCAATTATTCTGCTCTTCAAACCTGCGCCTCAAATCTGCTTCTCAAATCTGCTCGTCCTTCAGCTCTTTGACTTCTATAACCTTGCAATACTTCTGTCTATTATAATAATGACCTAAGCGGGCTCAATTAGGTAGTCTTCTGATCGTAAATTAGGCCTATAGCGGTTCGGGTCGGGCCCGCCTATGATCCCGTCAGCATTTGCTTAGCAGCCATGTGGCAATGCAGCATGCGCAATCGGTCCTTCGTCGCCGAGAAGTTGAAACTTGAGAGGGCTGTATGCTTTACTCAGACGAATCATTGGGGGCAGTTCGTAAATCCTCTTCCTTCCCCTATGAATAATACTTTGGTATACGTGCCTTATCAGTTGCGGATCTTTCCTATACGAGGTATCTGTACATCGAAAATTCGCTGCTTAGCCATGTGTCCTTCTTTATCAGATTGCTCCTTCCTTCAAACGTTATCTGATCGACCTCAGCTGCCTATGATGCTTTGTTCTTATCTACATGACCTCACTCAGCCTGTGAAGGAAAGAGCAGTCTCACGTGATGTTGGAGTCAGACTTAAATGCAGCATAAAGGCACCAAAAGCCACGAAAGGGGCACGAAAAAGGCACAGAGTTCTAAACGAAATCTTTCACTCCATAGGCTAGTCCGTCTAGTGGGGTTGCATGTTTGACGCGTCTCGAGTCATACGAGTTCACCTTAAATTTCACCTTAAGTTTAACTGTGTTTAACGCACAACGTCGTGTATCAAAACCTACTCTCCCTTATCGAACGTCCTACTTCGGTATCTCAAGATGTCTACAGAAAGCATCACCGAGGGTAGCGTAGTTGAACCTACGATGCAACCTTTGGACCACAAAGCTTCAACAAGCACAATTACTACCACCACGTCTTCTTCAACAGACCTTGCAACTGAGAAGGACCACAAGAGTTCGACGAGCACGATCGTCGTCACCACTACCACCTGCTCTTCATCAGATCTTGAGCTTGAAAAGGCGCCTCTTCAAATTACCCATGTTCTTCCCGCAGAGAAACTTGACCAGAGGCCCTTTCGTCAACTGAGACACGTCATTTTCACGGTCTACCGACGCCTCTTCACATTTGTCATTGTACGTGAAAGTTTTTCGTATTCATCCTAAGGGTTGAGGAGTTTGGGATTCTCTTCCAGAGCTGCTCGTCAAATATGTTTCAACTCTTCGAATGAGCTCCTAGGCTCCCAGACCTCTATCAAAAGTAACTACTGATCTTCTTATAGATTGCCAACATCGTCGCTCTGATAATAGTTGACATTCGACCGCGAGATACCAAGTTCTACTTCAAAGCCATCTCAAGTGCCGCTTCAGCGAACCTCTTCCTCTGCGTCGCGATTCGACAGGATTACATTATCAACATCCTGTTTGATGTCTTCGCTGCCACCCCCAAGAGTGCACCATTGCGTTTCCGTCGCATTCTCACAAAAGTCTTTGAGTTCGGAGGTGTCCACACAAGTGCTGGGATCTGCTCTACCGCGTGGTTCATCCGTCTTGCCATCTTCTTGACCCTCAGCTTCGAAAATGGCAGCCTTCGCGACGTCCCGATCCTCGCGTTGACATATGTACTCTTACTTCTGTTCTCTGGCATCGTCATCTTCGCCCATCCAAAGATGCGCAGCAAAACTCACAACACGTTTGAGCGAATGCACCGTTTTGGGGGCTGGCTGTGTAGCGTCACGTTCTGGACCTTGATAGTACTCACAGCTCGGGTCATGGCTGATCTTCCCGGCTCCAAACAGTCCACCATCGAAGTACTCATTCATCTCCCCTCATTCTGGTTGTTGTCAATCAACACGATTCATACTATCGTGCCCTGGCTACGCCTTCGCAAGCTCGAGGCTACACCAGAAAAACTCTCGGATCACGCCTTGCGGCTGCATCTCAAGGCAAACATAGGCGGTTTCTACACTGTTCGTATCTCTGACAGTCCGCTCAGCGAGTGGCATTCATTCGCATGCTTCATCGACTCGAAGCCAGTCAATGGAAGTACGAATTCCGTTGTCATCTCACGTGCCGGAGACTGGACTTCCAAGACAATTGCTGAGCCGAAGTCATACTATTGGATCCGAGGTCTACCAACACGAGGAGTGCTGTACATGTCTTTGACATTTCGAAGTGTGGTTGTCGTTACCACCGGAAGTGGTATTGGACCATGTCTCAATCTCCTCTCAATGCATGCTTCGACTCGTCCCGCTTGCCGAGTCTTGTGGTCGACACCAAAACCGCTTGCAACATTTGGGCAGGAGATTTGTGATGATGTAAAGGAATGTGACCCAGCGGCAGTGATCTGGGATACGAAGAAGTTTGGACGACCGGATATGGTTGGTTTGACGTGGCAATTACTGAAGGAGTCTCAGGCCGAAGCGGTTTTTGTTGTTAGTAACCCGAAAGTTACGAAGATGGTTGTTTATGCAATGGAGAGCAGAGGTGTAGCAGCGTATGGTCCCATTTTTGATTCTTGATATTTGCTGGATCTACAGATTGGGGCGTCTATTGCTGGTGGGGAGCTTTGTTTTTAAGTACCTAGATATCTTGTTGTGGTGTTGGGGAGTTTCCAGATGGACTGTGTGGGCAATATCATGATTCATGAATCATTCATCAATTCAAGTAGATTTCAGTATCCTTGCAATTGAATCAAATTACTTCAATGGCTGGCCTTGAGCAAGATGAAAGTATTGACATTCTTTTCCAATTTATGGAACACCTCAATTATTATATCTCAGACCCCCATACACCATGAAAGATGTCTCGCATGATCCGCATCAAGAACACTAATTAATAATACACCACCATCACACAACGTAGCTGACCCCGAATCAGCCACTCATTCCATCCCAGCATCACCAATCCTCCAGCCCAGCAAACTTTCATACGCACTATAACTCGTCAAAACCCTACAACATCACCACGTCGTCAGCCCTCTCGCTTCTCTCCTCACTCGGTCAGGTTTACACTCACAATTCCAAAAACCCCAACAGCGAAATCGGGAACGCCAACACACACGGCCCGGCATAAGCCTTAAAACAACTCTTCCCCAGACACCTCATCAGCATCGAAATCGCAGTAAATACCCACGCGACCCATAACACCATCTCGAAAATAAAGATGATAAGGTTCTGTCTCGCGCCGAGACGGTTGGTGGATAGTGTTTCGAGGAGGATGAAAAGGGAGATGAGGGGAGCCAGGACGCCGAAGACGAAGACGGCCAGGAGGAAGTTGATGTAGTTGGGGGAGGTGAAGGCGTTGTAGTTGTCCAGGGTGTCTTCGTGGACTGGTGGTGGGGTTAGTGAGAGGACAGGGGGTAGGGAGGTAGGGGAGAAGGGGAGGTACAGGATGTTACGAGGGAGATTCCTGCGAGGGCGATTGAGATTTGGGCGGTTCGGACCATGAAGGACCAGACTTGGGGGCCGTCGAGGTTGGGCATTTTGATGTTTGCTTTGAGGACCTCGAGAAACTTCTTTCAAGTTGTTGGATATCTTTTCTGAGTATTGTGATTCTGCTCGGCTTGCTGGGTTGCTGGATATCATATGCATTTGCGAGATTTTATGCGTGAGGTCTGACAACCATGATTCAGACTAAGGTGGTGATTGTGTACTCAAAAGTTGATGTTGATTCACGGTGTGGCAAACACCGTTCAAGAGTTGGCGACTTTACTGACTGTGTCGATTTTGTAGCAAACTCTCTTGTCATACTCCCCCACCCTCAAAGATCATTATGAAAGGTTGGTGGTGATTGCCACGGCAAGGCTCTCCACTTCGCGCCATATATCCGCAAAGCAAACATTGGAAGTACGGCAACGACACTGATCATCGAGAACACCAACCAAGCATACTCGACCGAAATTCTGTTGGCGAGCGGAATGCTATTGCTGTTAGTTTGACTTCGAGACTCAAAAGATCGGCATCCCTACGCATAGAACGCAATCGCAGATGAGAACACTTGACGAAAAACATTCAGAATAGTCGAAACTTCCGCACTCTGCGGTTTATAGCACTACTTATACTCAGCTCTATGCTTCTTGTCAATTGAGGGAGACTTACATCAGTACAATAAGCATAAACGACCGTCGTCGCAACCTGCAGCCCAAAACTGGCAATGCCCATCCCAAACGCGGATCCTACCCAACTCGCAGTCTTATAATACGTCAAGCAGACACCCTGAATGATGACTCCGACAGGAGTCAAGAGTGCCAACCAAAGAGCATCCAATCTCGCCTCCGGCTTCCGCATCCCTCCATGCTTCTTTGCATAGCGATAAACCATGAAATCAGTCACCCAACCAGCATTGCACTCTCCTATCAACCCTCCAATAATCAGAGGAATAGACAGCAGAAGACCAGTCTGCTCGGTGTTAAAGTGATAGAGTTTAGCGAATAGCTGGGCCCCGGTTGCGCCAAAGATTATGGTTCCGTAGCCGAAACAGATCATATAGTAGATTCCTGGTATGAGGATGGGGATGTATTTTAGCATGTAGAACGGACGGAAGAAATCTGCTGAGCTTAGTTTTCTGTCCTTGAGGATGCTGCGTTTGAAGAGGAGGAGGTCGAGGTAAGTCTTTTGTGGTTGGTGGGGTGTGGGGAGGCTTTGGCGGGAGTAGAGGGTTTCGGGTAGACAGAAGAGAGTTATTACGAAGGTCCCGAGTTGGACGTATCCCTAAGTTGTCAGTCGAATGAAATGACTAAGACACTGAATGTAAAGAAATATTGAATAAATGAAAGAAGTTCAGCTCACGGGAATCGAAAAACAGTATTTCCAGCCCAGACGCTGAGCAATATACCCTCCGACTAGAGGCGAGAGGTGAGGTCCATTGGTCAATGCGAAAGTGTATACTCCCATGTATAAACCTCTCTGATGCATGAAAAACAAGTCGCAAATCGTAGCTCCCCCAATAGCCACTCCATGAAGTCAGCGCGTGCTTTTGTTCAAGTATCGGAAACCGAATCTCAGGGAGAGAGATGAAAATAGTTGAGGAGCCCAATCATGACATGTGTGATAGGAGGTGAGAAGAAGAATTGGGAGAAGGTATTGTTACCCGTACATCCAGCAGCGACGCCTGTGACTGCTCGCGTGATCATGATTCCTGCCCACGTCGTACAATGAGCCGCGACAATGTTCATGACTCCCGAGATCAGATTTCCGATCAGATAAATAGGTCTGCGACCATATATATTGGAGAAGGGTGTGAAAAGAAGTGGTCCGACACCAGCAAAGACGATGTACATCGTTAATGTATAGGATGCTTCGAGGGTCGTGATGTGAAATGCTTTGCCTAGGGGAACGAATGCGGGGTTGATGACTGCGCAACTCATTGGTCCCAAAGCTGCGAGCCAGCTGATCTGGATGCAAATGAATAGTTTAATGCTTGGAGACCAGTTCTGCTGCAGTTAGAAAATGCGATTTAAAGATATGGTTAGGGGTACCAAAGGATCATCTCGGTGGGATGATGGTTGAGGAACAAGTGGAAGGCCATGTTTGTCGACTTTCACCTCGATCGCAGTTTCTCCTCCTAAACTCTCCTCGTCCTTAGCTTCACTGACATTGACAGGTGCGCCTAGACCGTTCAACGTCTCTTCTTTCTCATTGATGGGATCCATGCCGTTCATAACATGTTACAGAACTTCGAGACAAAATGTATGTCCAGCCCGGCAGTAGGAGATATATATGATTTTCATGACCTATTAGGAGAGTTTGCGGATAAATTCGCATTCGTTCTATTTCGCATGCCAATGCTTGTCCATACATACATCAATAGATCCACCACAGGAAGGCATGTTGTATGACCCAATCACAGCGACCCACCGGCAGTTGAAGACTCCTCCCGCGGATCGCCAAAAACCACTTGTGTCGTCTCCAAGCTTCTTTTGTGGTTTAGGAAAAGATGAATTTAATTAAAATAAGAACTATCTTCTGCGGAAAGAAAAGGCATACCGTACTAGAAACAAGAGCAAAAACATAATGCAAAAGGCGAGAGAAGAAAATGAATTCGGCATGCAAGACTGGGATGATTTAAGCTTACCAGAAGTGGGGCAATCACTGCTTGCAGCAACCCCAGCTAGATCTTGCAGATACCACTGGAAATTATCCATGATTCGTCGCTGGTATATTGAGTTCTGCAAGAAGCAGTAGACATTCGGCATAAGATACACTCTCGTCACCGAGAAGAGGATTAAGCTTTTCATCGGATATCGTGAACCAATGTTATTGTTACCAGGCTGCGCAAACCTCTTAGTGATTGTGCACCTCGAAGTGGTCCGTTGGACAGACATCTTGTTCGATATTTCCTATTTGATACAGGAATAGAAAGGCGCAATGATGCCGGATTAGAAATAGAAGGGTGACAGGTGATTGATATAAAAATTATGGTAAGCTTGTGTCGATTGCTTCCATCCGTCGCAAGAGATTACTCAAAAGGGTTGTCTTTAAGTACTTTGTAAAAGAGAGTAGCAGACCGATCTTTCACTGCGCTGCGCCTCGCACACCAATCGTCCCCTAATTTCGGCCACACCCGTCCCGTCCCCCTAAATGCCTTCGCTTAACGCACCTCACGCGCGTTGACTTCATCATACCGCGCAAACTCCAGCACGCTGCCATGGAATCTCGGCACTTAGGGATAATGAAACTCTTGGCATACATCATCCGGGGATATCAAAGTATGGGAATCTCCTCGTATTCCATTCTAGCGGGTGCAACATCGAGCGGCCGACAGATGGAAGAGCCTCATCTGACTTCTCGAATACGAGTTGCGCTTCGCAGATCTCTGCGATGATCAGACGCAATGTGGTAAGGTTGCGAGGGATGCTGTGGTTTTCGTTTATCCGTACGAGCAAGAACATTGAGGTGACGATGATCGCAAAACATATATGAACACAGAGGACTTCCTCTTATTCAAGAGGACATAAGCAACAAGCTTTGAGGGTTTAAACAAGCATTCTCAACTTCTCTACATCTTCAAATTAGCGTTCAAGATGGTCTTCATCCGCAACATCGCCCTCGCGGCAACAACTCTCCTGGGCCTCACCTCCGCCGCTCCCGCTCTCTCCGCCCGCCAAGCATCAGTCAACAACACGCAAGAATTCTACATCAAACTCGTCGTCACCGACGGCCCAACAACCTACCAAGAATGGGCTCTCGAGGCCTACCACACCGGCGCTGGTCTCGCCGACCCCGTCTTCACCAACACAACGGGCTCCAAAGCCTTCCTGAACGGCACGAACCTCCAGTTCGACCTGAACGGGTATACATTGGGAGCCAGCGCCAATGCGGGTGATACCAACTATGCGAGATGGGAGCCGGTGACGATCGGGTCCGGGTATGGGACTGGAGGATGGCTGAATAATGGTAGTGCGGGCATTGTGCAGGATAATGAGGAGTTTGATGGGTGGTTGGTTTGTGAGTGGTATCATGGGTTGAATGCGCCGCAGCTGTTTCAGTGGATCAAGGGGTTTGATGCTCCTACGGATGTTTTCCCTTCGAGTTGTTCGAGGGTTATTTTGTTGCCGGAGTATATTTGAGTGTAGAATGGAGATGGTTCGGGAAAGAGGAGTGTGAAGGGCACGATATATAATAGTAATGTTTGAAAATTATAGTCACATATCGAGAACAATTGATTCCTGGAACATGTCTAATTCCTGCTAGAAGCATCATCCCAATCGATGAATGTAAAGCCAAACTATACCTATGACAATTTGCTCTGTATTCTGTATGAAAATTCTGGTCATGGGCGCAAGTAGTTTCCGTCGATGACTTCAGACGAACTTAACTCCAAGGGTACCCCACGCGCTCGCTCGCTAATGACGCCAAGAAACTCGGAGACAGAGACTGACGGGGATATCCTTGATTGTCACCTGTTAGTTGTATATCCATGACTTGCAGCTTAGGTAAGATGTAGATATAAGTAAACAGCATTCGTTCATGGACTCCTAGGGATCGCAACGAAACCCGGAGCCCAAATCCAGATCCTTAACCACGTGATGAGCGCCATCACTTTCGCCCCTTCTCCGCATTTCACGAAGGGATTCCTGATGCGCAAGTGACCGTTTCTACATCTGGTAAAGAACCAACATGTAAAATAAGATCGGCGGGTATTGCCTAAAGTTGCATGCCAGTGCCAACTTTTGAAGCATAAGCAGGGACCAATACCCGCTTTGGGACCCCTGTACCCACTCCGTCATCCCCCACAATCCAAATATACAGGTATTTGACGCATCGAGATTGAAAATGCCATCCAATCCTTCGAGCTTTAAGTTGCTTATAAAAAGATGATCGAATTGCTTTGAGCTCGACACAAATTATCAACTTTCTGAAACATTTATTCTCGAAACAAAAAGAAGTCGTCAACAATAATGTCCAATAAGTATATTTACCCCGTCAAGGCTCTGCTTAAACATCAATGCTAACAGAATTCTTGCAGCACAAACCAAGCAAAAAAAGACGTAGAAGAAGAGCCGGAAGAAACTGAGGAGGAGCTAGTTGAGCAATCCGAAGTTGAGACCGAAGCTGAACCTCAAGAGGAGGATGAAACGTCGTCAGCCAAAACCTCCGTCGAGGATGAAGCACCAAAGCCAGCAGCTCAGAAAGAGACAGCCCACTCAAACCCCAAGTCAAATGGCGAGGCAAAGACGCCCGTGAAAAACGGGAATGCCAAACGTCAAGAAGAGGAGGTCGAACGTGAAGATCAAAGCGGATCCGACACTGAACTGGAAGTTCAATCAAAAGAACAACCATCCATCATGAAACGAAACGTACAACAATCTGAGGCTCCATCCGAGGCCGAACAATCCGAGGTCGAGCCCGAGCCTGAACCGGTAAAACAACAACCAAAGAGAAACGGTAACGTCAGAACTCAACAGCAAGAGCCAGCGGATGACACCGAACCTGAACCCGAGCCACAAAGACAGCAACAAAAGAGAAACGGCGACGTCAAGACCCAACAGCGAGAACCAGCGGCCGACACCGAGCCCGAGCCGGAGCAACAACAACAACAGCCAACCAGAAACGGCAACGTTAAAACCCAGCAGCGAGAAGAGCCAGCCGAGAACAACACCATGCAACAATACCAACCTCAACCCGAGACCGAAAACGGCCTCGTCAAGCACGAACCAGAACAGAGACAAGTCCAAACTCAACCGAGGCCCAAACAGAAGCGACAACGACAGCCTCAACAGCAATTCAACTACGAGCCTGAGCCTGAGCCTGAGCAGCCACTTGTACAGCAGCAACAGCCAGAGCGAGAGCAACAAAACGGTTCCCGTGGTGAGGGATACAGGAAATCGGCGGTTCGAGAGTCTCGGATTCAAGACCGGCCAACGCCGAGCAGTGGTGCGTCGGACAGTGCGCTGAAGATTAAGATTGAGCTTGATTTGGAGGTTGAGGTTGATTTGTATGCGAGGGTTAAGGGAGACGTTACGATTGGATTGATGTAATTGGTGCTTTGTGTTAATAGCTCAAATTGGGGATTGCTCAGATGTAGGATATTCGGATGAAGACTATTTTGGGAACGGACCTGTCTTGAAGCACTTGAACGCTGTAATATAATGCAGATATTGGAAGTTTGAAGTAAATCGAGCATTTTGAACCATCGTCAGTGGTCTATGCAAAAATCAAGCTTGTGGCATTCAAAGGGGTACTTCGTATGACTGGACTGCTGCAGCGCGAGTAAACAGTAACAAAATCGAAACATTGATAACAATATGCGTCCGGAAAGTGTCCGACAATATGATGAAAGCTTGCGATCCAATCAATAAATTTCTCCGTTCAAATGTCTTGCGAAAAAGGGAGCAGACAATCAATGCAACATCTGGAGCGGCACTCGGATATCATCTGACCGTCCAGTAATTTCGATCTCGTGGATGAAGATATATCTTGATGAACGTGCCAAAAAAGAAAAGTAGAAGAGTGGATTGAGATGGCTTCGAGAAGTCAAGGGTGTGTCGATAGGCCGTGAGCGTGTGCGTGTAGTGGGTGTCTGATTAGTCAGCCGGTCCTTGCAGATGCATACCTCGTTCAAACTTCCAATGTCCAAACCATAAATGATCTCTCGAAACGATTAGGACTTTGAGATTCTCGCTCCAACATTATTAACTGCAGAAGCAGGGCGCTCTTCTGATGAATGCAATTTCACGGCTTGATTATTGGCAGAAGCATCAAAGGCAGCGTTGAGTGAGGATCTATCCATTATTACACTGTTTTGTCTAGTTCTAATTATTATTGTGTAGCACGATTCTCAATCTCCCTGTCGCGCCGTCCCATCTCCCGCACATATTCGAACTTATGAGACAGCAAATGTACTCTTCGACCTCAACCACGCACCATACCTCCAGAGGTAGAACATACCAAAAACTCCAAGACACGACATGCCTGCCAACAGACTGACTCCTCCACCAACACCCAAGTTGATGAACATTGGTCTCGAGAACAGGACACAAGCCGCTGCAAAGAGAGACCGCGACAGATCATTGGCAGCAAACAACGAAGCTGCATACTTGGGGTACGACAATGGCAGATAGACGAATACACATTGAAAGATGAAGAAGTTGGCAACCACCAAGATCGCAACTCCAATCAGGCTGACAATCCAATGCACGCCGTGTCGAGCAGTCCAGCCGAACATGAAGTACCCCATCGGTAACAGGATGACACCAAAAAGAGCGGGTACAAGACGATGTTCGGGCGCACGCAGGCCATTCTTCTTGATATCTGGGATCAGATACTTGAACTGATAGATGTTGAAGCTTGAGACGCCAATCACACATGCGATGCCAATGGTCAGGAAGCAGAGCCCGGTTTCGCCAAGATTGAAGTGATATATAGGCGGATATACTAGCGGGAACACTTCGAAGAAGCTATAAACAAGTCAGTTTACACTTCCGACAAGAATGTAGGGGCCAAAGAGCTCATCCAGGAAGTGAGATATATCTTCTTTGATGTGCAGTTCCTGAAGATCTCGTCCCCTAGAATGAATTCAGGACAGAAGCAAGATTCTGACATACGAGTAATAAATCCCATAGGTGAGTGATGTCTAGCATCATGTCAGCACTTCTGCGCTATAAATTATTGGGTCATACCGAGCGGCATAAAGAATTACATAAATGTTTGTGAAAGCCACAGCGGGATCCTTAATCATGATCTCAGTGGGTTTGATAAGCGCATCCAGAAGGATTTCAGAAACACTCAGATGTGCTTGGTCGATTTCACTCTTCGATTTGATGTTTGTTTTTCCGGTGAGCAACCGAAGTCGCTGTGCTCTTCGTCGGAGGATGTTGTCTGCGGACGTTTCTGGGTATGCGAAGAGAAAGACGACGAGGATAGGGCCTGTCAGCCAGACGATCTCCCAAAGACCCCAGCGCCAACCTTTGGCTTGGACAGCAAACCCAGCTATGAGCGGACCAATAGCTGGACCCCAGAAACAGGCCGCTGTCCATGCTGAAAGGTAGACAGGGAGCAAGAGGAGGGAGTACTGCGTCAGGTCAGCATGCATCCTAGACCATATTTCGAGGCTAAGAAGGTTCTCTTCACTTCTCCAGTCTTCGGACGAATGGAAATCTTACCATGTCTCCAACGCTGGCGCCCCCATTTGCAAGACATGGACTTCCAAAGAAGCCAGTCAAGAACCTCAATACCAGCAAACCAGCATAATTGTCAACGACGGCAGTCGGGATTGATAGGATGACGAAGAGAAAGAACGTCGGAATGTAGACCCAATTTCTCCCAATCGACGCGATTTCACTCAGCGGCGCCCAGATCAATGGACCAACTCCGTAGCCTACCACATAGATTGCAAGGCCAAGAGCAGCGGGCGTTGCTCCAACATGGAACTTTTCCATCACGCCCTGTTCCCCAGGAACATACATACTCGATGCTCCATACACGCTTAGCGAGTACGCGCACAACTGCAGAAGTACCAATCCTTTCTTCGATGCGGCCCAGTTCTGTGGGTTTGCAGGGTCATCCGTGGTATACCAATCGACGAGAATAGTACCGTCTGCAGTCTTGGTAGGTGCAATGGCGATGGACTTCGTCTTCTCTGCTGAAAGACCTTCTTCGACATCGAAACGCTCCCGAGTGTAGGGCCGGGTCGATGTTCTGCTTAGCACTGAATGTATCTCTGAGCCGCGGGTTCGAGTATGAGTGACTTCATTGTCAGGATGAGTGATTATGGATGCCATGTGGAATGGAGTCGGATCTTCGATGTCTTCATCTTTGTCGTTGTCGTCATCTTCAGAGCCTTTTTCGTTGTCTTGTTGCTGGTTCTGGTCAGGAGACTCAGACTCTACTGCCTTTTCTTCGGGTTCTGTTGGCTTTTCTTCTTGTGCTAGTAAAGCTTCCTACGTCCTGTTAGTCCTATCGAACAGCCTGGAAATTTTAGACCGTACCAGTGGAGCCCAATGAAATCCTTCTTTCTCCTCGGGATAGAGTAGGACTTTGTTCTTGGTGACATATCTCAATATCTGGCCTACGGCTGATTCTCGTAGCAAGTCCATTGCTTCTGAATTGGACGGCGATAATTTACGCTTGCCAAAATTTTCTGAAGCCTAAATCTGCCAGAATTCCAACGTTGAATATTTGAGGTGTACAGCGTCAAGAACATCGGGACTGGAGTACCCTTCTCATGTTTATATAACCTTCACATTCGACGCTTGTCCAACTACGTCTGTCCGTCTTTGTCAGTGGCCTAGACTTCATAATGTGTTTTAACTTCTGACTGTCGATTACTATCCAACTGCACTTTCCGCTTCGGGAAATTCTGCCCTGAAGCTACATGTCTACTCAGCAACGGCTGCGCCCACAGCAAGCCTGATTAGGTATGATGCTGACACATCAGTAATGTTTGTCATTCATCCAACATATCACATCTTTCGTTTCGCATTCTCCTTCATGGATTCGCACAGATCTTCACATGTCGGCCTTAGCTAGTATGAAGGATATTGATAGGCAACAAGGCCAAGAGTCCCGGCAATGCTTTATGAGCAATATCCAAGCGTCGATTCACGTGCGATTAATAATCTGAGATGACTCTATTCTTTGCACCTTGAGATTGGTTGTTTGTTGTTACTACCTTAACTCCGATATCATCACTAAGCATAGCCTATTCCTAATGCCGAAATTCGTGACATGTTCTTACACGGGAACATAAGCACCTTCCACGCTTTTGGTACCCCCAGCCGGGCTGATTATAGAACTGCCCGGACGGGCTTGACGTGATTGGGTGCGGACAATGAAAATTATCAATCTCACTGCAAGGATGCGAAGAGCGGTACTGCACCAGCTGGAAAGAACTCCGCGGGCGGAAGTCCGTTCTCCTGGGAAGATTTCAGCCCTATTACTTGGAAACTGCGGGATCCGTGTCGGGGTCACCATGTGAAGACAATCTTTACTACTCCGAAATGTAGTTGTCATTCTTTATATACAGGCGCCGAGGTGCATCTTCAGAAAACCCAAATCCCAAAGCTAATACGGGTGCATAAGGAAGCATGGACGAGTACTTTTCGCTCTCTCGATTACTGTTGAGAACGAGTATTTCATGGCATACGCAGCGAGACACTCATATCCCCCTTCAATGGAATATCCGTGAGATAGCCACAAAGTTTTACGAATGCTCCGATAGTCCGCACCCGCTCTCGAAGCTCCAAGTCGTTGCCAACAATGCACGCGGATTTCGATAGCCATTTCTTCGAGGCTATTCCCACGACCTAAACTTCGCACTCGATGATGTTGATGAATATGTATCCAGATTTGAAGTATGCATACAAGGACCGAGTTCCAACGAACTCGAGAATACCACTGCCTCAAGAGACATTGTCTTCTGGGAAGATATCGAAGAAAGCTACTTTGCAGGTCTCTGCCGGAGAAGAATGAGATGCCTCGAAGACTAGCTCCTTAATGTGAGCTCGCCGATCATGTATTGGTCTTCGTCAATGGAACCGGTCTTGGATTTGTATATTCCCGTTTGCAATGGCTTTTCCGGTGAGTGAAAGATCGAGGTTTAAGGAATAGGAAACCCGTCAGCTACTGATACAGCTACCTCTGCTTCCTTGAGCTCGTCGTCTAGGACAAGAAGATCTTGGTTATTGGTATCAAAAACTCGACCTTGGTGTGTGGATGATGCTCCTTAAATCCTCCATAAGATTTCGAGAGGTGATGGGAGGATCTGTTTTCTCTGTCATATAGCAGATAGTGACTGGGTCAAATGAGTGATCTCGTTCTTGGTGTTTGTTGTCTGGGTCTACGAGGTCTTGTCACAACGCGTAGAGCTTCTTGTATACAGTCTAGTTGATGTGCCGCATCATTCTTGACTTGAAAAGGCTAGATATAATATCTTTAGTACTTAACATCTTAAGGTTAGGTGCCGGGTCCTTGGTACTAGCCAAGGCATTTCCAGCAAACTGGTTCACATGCAGAGTTTGTATTGAAGCCATGAACAATGGCTAATTAGGCAAAACATTCAGCGCTTGTGGCAGAGGACTTGGATGGTATTCGAAATGTTTCTACAAGAAAAGGGACTCTCACACAGAAGTGCAACTCACTGGAGTCAATTTTTCGGGGTTCAGCGGGGTGCAAAGCACCGCAGACAAAATCACGCACAAATTCCGAATCCGTGTCCTCTGCTTGTCAGTAGTGCTGAATACCTGCATCTGCACTTACATTCCGTGGGAGGAAAATTAGCAAAAGAATCGAGCATGGCACTTAGAACTGGAAGATTTGTTACAAAATCAATTGGCTGATTTAAGTATACCCACATATGAACTCAACATCAACCTTCTTCCCTATCCATTTCGTCCCGACCTCTCTTTTTGTCACCTGGTTTCGGTCTTCTGCCTTTCAATACCGCCCCCTTCTTTCCCCGATCCTCGTGCAAGTTCTTCATCTCATTTCTCGCATGCCGTTGAGCCTCTTCCACCCTAGCCTTGAACACCAGAACCTCATCCTTCTCTGTCTTATACTCCTTCAGCTCCATTTTCAGCGCCGCCTCTGTTCTCTTGAAAATCTCGACATCATATTGCGTAACAAGACTAATAGCATGTCCAGCCTTGCCGGCTCTTGCTGTTCGTCCAACGCGATGAATATAGGTCTTGCTATCAGGTGGTAAGTCGTAATTAAGCACCACGTCGACAGATGGGATGTCGAGACCACGAGCTGCAACATCAGTTGCCACAAGGATCTCCCGCGAGCCAGCTCTGAACTTATTCAGCGCTCCCAGACGCGCGGACTGACTGAGCTGGCCGTGCAATGGAATCGCGCCAAAGCCAAGCGATCGTAGGAGGATGGCAATCCGCTGCGTCTCGTTGACTGTTCTAGTGAAGACAATTGCCGAACGTCCAGCAAATTCGTTTAGAAGAAAGACCAGGTAGGTATCTTTGTGAATGAGAGGTATGAAGACGTAGTTCTGAAGCAAGGTCGAGACCGTTTGATACTTGCTGCTACTGACGCTGACTCGAAGTGGGTCTTTCAAACTTGCTCTCTGCAGACTTTCAACCTTGGAACTGATTGTTGCAGAGAAGAGGTAAGTCTTGCGCTCTCGTGGAAGGACCTTCAAAATCTTGTCGAGAATGGGTCCAAAGTCAAGATCCAGCAATCTATCAGCCTCGTCCATGACCAGGTATTTCAACGATCGTAAAGAGAATCCCTTTGTGTTCTCTAGATGGTCCAACAGTCGTCCAGGTGTAGCCACAATAATATGAGGTTTCTTGCCAAGCGCAATGGCTTGCGGAACCATATCCATTCCACCAACAATAACTGCACATCGTACAGATATTAATGCGCCCAATGCCTCGAAGGCTTGCGATATTTGGTACGCCAACTCACGGGTCGGCGCAAGGACGAGTCCGAAGAGAGCTTGGGGCTTGTCGAGCAGAGCTTGGAGAATTGGAAGCGCAAATGCCGCTGTCTTTCCACTACCAGTCTCTGCCAGACCTATGAGATCTCGACCTTTGAGTGCGAGGGGTATCGATTGTGCTTGAATTGGAGTCGGGGCTTTGTATCCCAAAGCCGTACATGCATCGCAAAGAGAGTCGATGATGCCCTAGATGCAATACGTGAGCTGAGGCACATACAGAGTTCTAAGTTCCTCATACCAAGTCTTTGAATGATTTCGTCGCCTCTGGTTCTCCCTCTACTTCTGCTGCCACTTCCGAACCCTCGGGCTGTGGCTGGACATTCTCTTGCTCGGGTTCTGGCGACGAAGGTTCTGACACAACTTCCTTAAAAATATGTTTCGTCTTCTTCTTACTTGGAGCTAAGCTCTTTGGCTGGTCCTCGTCGACCTTGCGTCTCTTGATGGGCAACATTGTCGTTCGTGAGTGTGGAGCAATCGAAAAAATGGCGGATGTTCGACGAAGTTAAAAAATTTTTTTATCTTATCGAAACTTGGGTTATGATTGGCTGCGCAAAAGCTTCCCCAAGAAATATTTCTGCATCGATTCTTCAACACCATCACACAATCACAGAACTGCGGAATCATGGCACGAAGACGAACGAAGAAGCGCACGCATGTAGGCGCCAGCAATGGACCTACAGGAAAGGCAGTTCCTACCAGCAAAGCTTCAAACTCGCCCAAGAGCATGGTGATCCGAATTGGAGCTGGAGAAGTCGGACCCAGTGTGAGCCAGCTTGTGAAAGATGTGCGATCGATGATGGAGCCTGACACTGCTTCGAGATTGAAAGAGAGAAGAGCGAATAGATTGAGGGATTATGTTACTATGGCAGGACCACTGGGTGTGAGCCATCTCATGCTATTCTCGAGATCAGATTCAGGGAATACAAACATGAGACTTGCGATTACCCCTCGAGGACCGACATTACATTTCAATGTGGAGAGCTATTCTTTGTGCAAGGATATTCGGAAAGCATTGAAGCATCCAAAGGGTGGTGGAAAAGAATACCTGAGTCCTCCATTGGTAAGTCTCTTGCCACAACTAACTCGAGCTCATTGCTAATAATCACAGCTTGTCATGAACAATTTCACCTCTCCAGCCTCCGAAGCAGAATCCAACCAAAACATACCCAAACACCTCGAATCCCTCGTCACAACCATTTTCCAATCTCTATTTCCTCCAATATCCCCTCAAACCACACCACTATCCTCAATCCGCAGAGTTATGCTTCTCAATCGCGAGCCAACCAAGGAGAACGACGGAACATATACCCTGAACCTCAGACATTACGCCATCACAACAAAAGCCACCGGCCTCTCGAAACCCTTACGCAGACTAAACGCTGCGGAAAAGATACTGAATTCTCAGAAGTCAGGGAAGAGCAGGAAGGGCGGCGTTCCAAATCTGGGCAAGATGGAAGATATTGCTGATTATATGATCGGTGGTGATGGGGAAGGTTACATGACAGACGCTACGAGTGGCAGTGAGGTAGATACAGATGCTGAAGTGGAAGTTGTAGAGTCCCGAGCGAAGAAAATCTTGTCGAAGCGTCAGAAAGACCGGACTAGGGAGGCCAAGAGCAAAAGTGGCAGAAGTGGTGTTGAGAAGCGAGCTGTGAAGTTAGTGGAGCTTGGACCTAGGATGAAGCTGCGTATGACCAAGGTCGAAGAAGGCGTGTGTAATGGAAAGATCATGTGGCATGAGTATATTCACAAGACGAAGGAGGAAGTTAAGGAGTTGGACAAGAAGTGGGAACAGAGAAGGCAAGAGAAAGAAGCTAGGAAGAAAATTCAGAAAGAGAATGTCGAGAAAAAGAAGAAAGCCAAAGGAGTTGGTGCAAAAGCTGATGCCGAGGATGAGGACGATGAGATGGACGTGGATGAGTGGGATAGCGAAGGCTTGGAAGGTGATGGGGAGATGGAGTTGAACGAGGAGATGGAGGATCGTGGAGAGTGGGAAGATGAGGAGGAAGAGATAGCTGCTGGTTGATAGTCTTATAGCTTCCGAATAGAATTTTCACATGCAATCATCTAGTTTTATTGCCGCCTCTTCGGATTGTCTATTGTCAGTTGACTTGTCGATACGGCTGTATACTTACAAGTTCGCTCTCTGAATCCGCTAAATTACCTTGCCTCTCCACCCGATTCATCTGACAGAGCAATGGGCACGACCATATTGTCAGCTGTGGGATACAAAAAGGGACATGATCCAGCATTGTTTCTTAGCCTTCGCTTGTTTGCCGAGCCGCGCGCAACAAGCTCAAGAGGAAGGAGGCCACGAAAAACTGATGGCACTCCGAAGTGTAGGCCAATTTAGCTATGGAGGCCGTCCAGAATAGAAGTAGTTGAGTGATTATTCCAAACTTAAAAATAAATAATATAATTGAATAAATAGTCTTATTGCGTCTTGAATGCTTGGTATTGCAGCTGAATGACCTCTTCAAAATCCCAGCATCAGTTACGAAAAGTTGATGTTGTTCCAATATGGCAAGTTTTACACTCAAGAACAATACATTAGAATAGCGTAAGCGTGGCCCTATTGAGGGTAAAGAATGCATAGAGGAGGTATAAGAACTCGCTTGGCTTCAAGTCCGATAAAAAAGCTGCAGCAAAAAGATCATAGAGCCCAGAGACAAAACAAACCCTCCTCGCTTCCGAAGAAGCGAGGAGGGGAGACAAACCCCAATGAAGGGATTTGATCTTTGATTTTATTAACCTAAATGTTTCCCTCGTGGGATCCCTCGAGGGCGACGGAAAATGTGGGCACGCATCTTTTTGACGCTACGCTAATGCTTCACCTTTTCAACCATTAGTAAATGTTTAGTTAGATTGGAATTTTGTACTTACACTTCGTATGGCGATATTGGGCCACCAGCGCACCCCTGGCCTCCACACAGGGACGGAAGCTAAAAATTCTTATTTAAGTTTATAAGGAATACGGAGAACGCGGCATAAAGTGGCAGGACTACAGGGCATTTGAGCACAAAGTGCCCTGTAGTGCCCTATGAGAAGCCTCCAGAGTGCTGAAAAGCCCTACAAGTGTAGGCATAAAGCCCTATAAGACACTGGATTTGGCTCGCAAGGGGTGCCACACCATTTTTCGTGTCAGTGCTCAAAGTTACAAGGTCTAGCTCGCTTCAAGGCATCCTCATAGCCTATGAACGCTACGATTCAAGCATATGGTTGCTCTGCGAGCGCTGTGCCTCACTAAAAACCCTTGGAAAGTGTGACACCCCTAGTGCAGATCTTATTTTCACAATTCAGCGTGCTACAAGCATCTCAGCCTGAAGATACAAGGCATTTCAGGGAGCTAAAGAGAAATTTAAATACATTCTGTGCTCAAATGCCCTGTAGTCCTGCCACTTTATGCCGCGTTCTCCGTAAACAGTTCAAAGCTAATTGAACGCGACCGAAGATAACCCGCCAGCTTTTTTGTACAATCCTCTCGGCATTTACTACGTCACCTTCAATTTTGTCTTCGCTGCGTTGCTCTCTTATCAATTATGAAGGGACATACTATAGAGCCCGCAAATCTAAACACAACCATCTTTCCGGCCATCGTCAAGCCAGAATTGCTATAGATAAGCCTCGGGCCCCCGACCCTCTTTGAGATGGATTATTTTAAGCCTTTTATTGACAATACGACATCCTCGACTATAATCTGATCTGAAGAAGCATTGAGCTTCATGTCATGGTTCTTCGAGAGACTCTAAGCAAGACTCGTGCAATGTCATTCAGCCAAAGTGTACATGTGCTTACCGAAGTCATATGAAAACATACCAAATATGTCTATACTCAAAGACAATTCACAATGAAACCTGCTGCAATTGTTCTAATTTCTAGATACTCAGTTGGATGATGGATGTCCGTTGACAGTTAGACTCGCTAATACTAGCGTGCATGAGTGCTTGAGCCTAAAAGGTGGGTCCAGGTCGTGCTATGATCAGGTCAGCCTAGACTGAAAATAAATTTTGGAGGGGCATTTTTAACCCCGCGATCGCACATGGAATGTTTTCTTTCTACGATATCTTGACAACTACAACGAACAGCACAAAGATCTCAATATGTCTGGCAACGAGATCTATCAGACCCCTCTGGCTTCGCGCTATGCGAGTAAGTATATCACAACTCTCTGCCAATTCAGTGTTCGGCCTCATTCCTTTTGTGGTACGATAAATCAGTTGACTGACAATCACTAGGTATGGAGATGAAACGTCTTTTCTCTGCGAAAGAACGTTCAGAAACATGGGTTAGCCAACTCCTATATGCAATTGCGAAGCTGTCTCAGGAGCCACATTCAATTGCTGATGTGCTGGCAGAGAAAACTTTGGGTCTGGTTGGCGGAGGCAGAGAAAGACCTGGGGATCCCGATCAGCGACGAGGCAATTGCACAAATGAGAGCACATATCGAGATGAATGAGGAGGACTTCAAGGTTGCTGCTGAAGAGGAGAGAATGTAAGACAGAGTTGGTGGTGGTTGTTCAAGGACAAACCTGCTGACGATTTATGCTTTCCGCAGACGACGCCATGATGTTATGGCACACGTATATGCTTTCGGTCAACGAGCCCCAGCTGCCGCTGGCTACATTCATTATGGAGCAACCAGCTGCTATGTCACTGTGAGTAAGGATCTCATCTGTTGTATTGGGAACATTTGGCTAAGAGTCCTTTTCCTCAGGACAATGCAGACTTGATCTTCCTCCGCGATGGGCTCGATCTCCTGCTGCCGAAGCTCGCTGGCGTCATTCAGAAACTTTCACAGTTTGCACTCGAGTACAAGGGGTAAGTTTAAGTTCGCAGAGAACGATTGGTGCTTTTTGCTGTCACTGGAACCGCACTCTAAATGTGTTTGTGGGGTTCAAGCATATCCACCTTGAAACCCACAGAACATATACTGACAAGTTTTGTCTACCAGAATGCCAACTCTAGGCTATACACACATGCAACCAGCACAACTTATAACTGTAGGACGCCGTGGTAAGTTGTCTTCTAAGCTGTGAATCGTTCTTTTTTGTGGTCGCAGTGCAAGAAGGAGCTATTTCATGGGCTGGAGTAGAAGAAAAATGGCCATCATCTATGCTGGCAGATTTAAAAGATTTCTATCATATTCCTGTACTAACACTGGTCAAGCTGCTCAATGGGTTCAAGATCTAATGATGGATCTGGAAGATTTCGAGAAAGTCAGAGCCGATCTAAGATTCAGAGGAGCGATGGGCACTACTGGCACGCAGGCCAGCTTCATGGAGATTTTCCATGGAGATACTGCCAAAATCGACCGTCTGAATGAGATACTCTGCCAAAAAGCTGGATTCCCACGATGCTATAGCATTTCTACACAGACCTACACGAGAAAGGTTGACCTTCGCATTGCCAACGCTCTTTCTGCGTTTGGTGCGACTGTCCAGAAAATTGGTTCGGATATCAGACATTTGGTATGATTTCTGATAGATTTTTGAAACATTGTCCCTAATTGATATGCAGGCTGCACAAAAGGAGATTGAAGAGGTAAGCGCTTGTCAAACTTGACAAGAAATCTGTGCTAAAACCTTGTCAGCCTCGTGAGGCATCTCAAATTGGTTCATCGGCAAGTAAGTAGAATCCCAAACCCATTCCAGGTCACCTCATTGAGACCAAGACATGGTTATCCACTTGCTAACTCAATCCAAAGTGGCCTATAAGCGTAATCCTATGCGCTGTGAACGTATTTGTGGTCTCGGACGTCACTTGGCAAATTTGAGCAAAGATTGCTCTGACACCTTTGCTTCTCAATGGTTCGAGGTGCATTATTCCCTTTTTATCTACCTGCTGAGCTTTGCTAATCCTCTTTAATAGCGGACACTTGATGATAGTAAGCTTATTCAAATTTAAATTTTTTTTGACTGCATGTACTCACAAAAACAGGTGCTATTCGCCGAATCGACATTCCTCATCTCTTCCTTGCTGCTGACGCTATCCTGCTAACCCTCGACAACGTATCCTCCGGTCTGGTTGTCTACCCAAAGCGCATCCACGCACACATCATGGAAGAACTTCCCTTCATGGCCAGTGAAAATATGATCATGAAGATGGTTGCACTTGGCAAGTCAAGACAAGACGCGCACGAAGAGATCAGAGTCTTGAGCCATCAAGCCAGCATCGTCGTGAAAGAGGAAGGAGGCAAGAACAACTTGATTGACTTGATCAAGGAATCCGAGTACTTTAAACCAATCTGGGGTGAAGTGGATGCAATGCTTGATCCAAAGCTCTTTATTGGTCGTTGTGCGGAACAGGTCACCAGGTATTGTGGGGAAGGTGGTGAGGTCGAAGAAGCTCTCAAGCCTTACAAGAAGCACGTAGATGCTGGTAAGGCTGTTGAGCTGACGGTTTAGGGACTTCCAGAATTGTATGTCTAGAGTGGTAGGACACTGATAGCGCGAATATCCGTGAACAAAAGAGTTGATTTGACTATGCCAATCCGGAGATTCCTTCTTATGTACCTGCATACCTGCATTGCGAAACTGCTGGTATGTGCACCCCTATTTGAATATATAAAATCCCAGCTCTATAGATAAAAAGCCTATTTATATAATTCTTCCTCTTCCGTCGAGACCCTAACTGCTGGAGGTTCTATGACGCCAAGTCAGCTTATCAATGTCCCAGATCACGAGAATATCCGTGACTCACTGTAATCTCTCATCTCTCCTTCCTCCGCTGAATGAGATACCAACTTGTTTGGGTGGAGATGCGAATCTTCGATCACTTCTCCAACGATAGGTCCGTCTTCATCTCGGGGATATTTTGGGTCCTTCCAATTGGATACGAAGGAATCACTCCGCTTCGGCCTCTCGGCAGTCTCGCTCTCACTAAGCTCATAGCTCGGTGTTGAATCCTCATGTGGTTTGGCTGTCCCGTGATCCGAATCTGTGGAAGTGGGCGGTTGATGATTTTTCGTCTCGTGATTCTCGCGCGTCTCGACTGGTACCCCAAACTCAACTTTGTTGTTTTTCTTCTTGTCTTGGTTGGGGAAGGGGCCCTGCCTAAGTTCTTCCTGGACTTTCTCAGGGTTGAGCCTGGGGTCTGGTTCGAAAGAGGTAGACGGTGGATTGACCTTGGATGGGTTTTTGACTGGGTCCTCGATTGCGCCTTTGCCTTTCTTCTTCTTCTTCTTAGTGCCAAAGGAGCCCCAACCGAAGTCGTCATCAACCTTTTCAAGGTCGGGCTTGGGATCTGGTCCGAAAAAGGCAGATGGTTCATTTGCTGTGAGTGAGCTTTCCACAATATCTTCAAATGCGTCTTTTCCTTTCTTCTTTTTCTTCTTGCTGGTGAAGGAGCCCCAGCCAAATTCGTCATCAACATTTTCAAGGTTGGGCTTGGGCTCTGGTTCGAAAGAGGTAGATGGCGGATTTACCGTGCGTGGGGTTTCCGCAGGATCCTCAGCTGCGCCTTTGCCTTTCTTCTTTTTCTTCTTATTGCTAAAGGAGCCCCAGCCAAAGTCGTCATCAGCTTTGTCTAGCTCGGTCTCAGGATTGTCTGAGCTTTTACCATTTAATTTCCTGGCGGGTGCCTCGCTGGGCTTGGTAATTGAGCCAGCGTTCTCCTCCAGCGGAGCAATGGATGGATCAATTGTATGACCTGCATTAGAGTCTTTCGACGTAGATGCGTACCGAGCAGGGAGTCTATCTGGAATAGTCTGAGCAGGTGAGTCGTCGAGTTCGGAAGTTTCGATGTTGACTCTTCTCCCTCCTTCCTTTTTACTTTCATGTTTCCTTTCCATTTCGTTCTCTTTTCGGCTTTCTGCAACACGATGAGAAGCCATGCCAACTACTCTATTGGGAGGCGGGTAGTCATCAGAGCTATCAAAGCTCGAACTTCGGTACCTTCGTCCAGACTCGAGGGCCTTTCCTTTTGCCGGAAGGGCTGTCTTTGCGAATGTCGTTGTCTCTCCATTTAGTCTCCGTCGGTCCCGAACCAGCGTTTTGTCAGTTGACTGCGCTGTGTCTGCTTTCGCCAAATCATGTTTTTTCATGAAGTCTAAAATATAGGTTGGCAGCCCTTCTAACTCTCTGGCCTGCTCTAGAAACTGTTCTCCATCACTTTCAGAAGGAGCGAGAGCTCTCAAGATCATGTGCCGTACCCACGCTAATTCGGGTTCGAACTTATCGTACTTTACGATGGACAGAAGCTCTTCGCGCAGACTCTGCCGTGATGCTTCGTCCCGACACACCATGTACCTCGAGACACATGTTCGCAGAAACCCTTCAATGTCACCCTGGACTGTTTTTTGCAAGTGCATCAGCTGGTCGAAAAACTCCGTCGGGTCTTGAGAATCGATGATCAGTAGCTTGAGGCACATTGCCTCGGTCTGGTAGTCTCCGAGCTGTCTCGCTGTTGCTAATGCAAGTCGTTGTGTATCGGTGGACGCTGATGGGGAGCAGAAATGAGCCCATTTTGGATTCTCCAATCCTGCTTTGACTGGAACTTGGACAGGGAGATCTAAGAGAGTTCGTTCGGCAATGACCAGACCCGGAACTTCTAGGGGTTCAGGGGTATCGTTGCGTATATAGCTCGATATCATGACTTCTGCTATCATCCATCGCAAATATTGTCGAGTGTTGAGGTTGTTCGGATCGTTTTGCATGATCAACTGTATAAATTCTCCTGCCTTGTTGAGGTGTCGTTGAGAAATTAAATATGTTTCCGAGGATAACGGAGCAGCGAGCACTAGAGAAACTAGAAGGTCTAAGAGACCCATGGTAGTAGACTCATCATAAACATCAGTCGACCAATCTGAAGTGATCCTGTCGAGAACATCGTCATCTGGGTCAAAGACCATCGAACATGCTCGCTCTAAACCAAAGTAGAGGTTCTGAGCTATAAAGATGTCTCGGAAGTCCCATATACGACCCTCACGAAGCAGATCTTGATAGATCGTTTTGGGGCCATGATACACAGATTTCGGGGCTTTATTGAGTTTGTCGAAAACGTGAAAGAGAAGGCTCAAAACTTGGCACTTTGTAGATCGTTAGTTCATGTTAATCTCAGGATAGTCGGACAATTACCTCAGTAGTACCCAAAAGCAACCGGTTGCCCAACAAACAACGCTCTGCAAGTTGCTCATCATCTTTGCTTAAACCCACAGTGTGCATCATAGAAAAAAGCTGGATCGAGGCCCAATTCTTCCGTAGAACATTGTTTGCTGAAAGAGTTTTGTTATAAGGTAGAGTCAATAGCCGAATACTTCTGTAATCTCCCATGTCCAGCAATGTCGAGGCGTATTGTAGAAAGACGTAGGGATTGTCCATTTGGTCTCGAAGGTTTTCGTGGAAGAATTGCATTGCCGCATGGTACTTTCCTAACCTTCCCAGACGACAAAACTCTTCGAGATGGAGTTCTAGATCTTCTGTAATACCGAGTTCGAGATGGACTGTCACGTCGTTGTTTTGAGAAAGGTCGAGGAAAACTTCATCCACTGGTCGTACTTTCTCGTCATGTATTATCCTCCGGTCAAAGACAGCACTTTGCCGATCTTCGCGCTCTCTCTCCACACTCTCTCTCCTAACAGGGCTTCGAGACCTAGGTCTTCGCTTGACATCTGGACCACGCTGCTCGATGGGTCCCTCAATCCTTCTATTGTTGGATATAGGTGAAGGCTCTCGAAGGCTCTCAATTCCGTTTCCTCTTACAAAAACCGGCCCACTTGTATTCCTGTTGTAGTCCGATGGTGGAAAGTGTGATTGCCTCCGTCGCCTGAGACGAATATCGAGCTCATTCTCATCGACATTTCTTTCATTACGAACACTGCTTTCGAAATATTGATCTTCGACGAAACGTTGCGGTTGCCGTGAATACTCTCTTCCGTAAGACATGGCTCTGACTTCAAAACTATGCGCTAAATAGGTCTTGCTTATTGTTCAGGAGATTGACTGTAAGAATCTGCAAACATTTGCAGAGAAATTTGAAAATGAACACCAGGGTGTGAAATCTGCAGCTTTCATCGCCTTCGGTTGGACGATAGGATAGCCACCCTGGGACAAGCTTTTCAGCTGAGTGCGTCGACCAGTCAGGAATGCAGGCCGACTGAGCGGGGGCAGGCATTAAGATCAGGGGTGTGACGAACAATAATAATAAGAAGATGTCTGGCACATCGCTGCGGAATTCAGAATCATGTTGGTGAACACAGCATTTTAAAGGCGATACTTACATCATTTCTGCTCCCTTCGACGGAATCGACTCAAAAGTCTCATGGCAACCGAAACAGTACGCCCTATCTTGCAGCGGGGCAGACTGAACAGGAGTCGAAATTACGGCCGGTACGATTTTGAACGTTTCGATAATCTCTCCTCCACACACGCCAGCATTGGCCACAGCACTTTCGACAAAGTGAATGTAAACTGCCGATTTCTCTTCAAAAAGTCTCGTTGGGGCGTGCTTGGGGAGCAGAAAAATCCAGCAGGGATAATCTTTCTTGACTTGTCTTTCGATCAGCCCAAAGATTCTCAATTACACTCTGCAATGGTCATAATCACTCTGGACGACGAGGATGAAGATCTACTTGATGTTAGCCGCAACTACAACGTACTGAACAAGCGGCCACAATGTCCAGTTCAGATGACCGACTGCTATGGACCAAAGGGATTCTCCGGTGAAGCAAAAACTATCCACACCAAAAAGTCGTTGCATCTTACTCCAAATGCACAATTCGCGGGAAGCGGGTTCGGTGGCCTAGGTGTTGATCATGTATCTTCTTTCACGTCGTCGAGTCGCTGGAGATTCTCAGGCACGCTCCTTCCTGGGAAAGATAGACACTGGGCATATAAGGCCCTGAAATGGGATCTTTCAGAGAACGACTTGGAAACTCAGGCGACCCACAGCAACGTAATACACACCGCCTTCACTTTCGAGCACAGTGGTCAGCCGTTCTTCATGAAAGTAGAAATTAAGGGGAAACTCAAAAGACGCCACGACAGAGTGAAGGATAGGTTGATGAAACTCCTTCCCATGTCAAGAAAGACGATGGAGCTATTGTGACTATGGTCACTTTCGGAGATAAAATCTCATTCAAAACTCCATTGGATGAGCGAGCTCAACAACTTCAGTTTGAGATGGAACTGGCAAATATGCATGCTATTCCTATGGAAGTACCAGACCCTAAGCCGGCGACGTTTTTCAACTTCCTGCAGAATTCTGGAAAGGCGAATATTCCAATTGTTCAGCGTCCCCTACAGTCATCTACTGGGCCTCAAAGTTCGTTGTCTAGTAGCGTACAAGATCAGTTGCCGAGTTCGATACAGCCACAATTATTGCAGGGTTCGGAAAACATCTCCTCAGTAGAAGACACCACGAATGCTACAATTGCCAACCTAGCACAAGCTTTTGAGGACCTGCAGAGAGTCGACCAAGGTACTTTCCAACAAGTTCGAAGCCCACTGTCAAGTTCAAAAATAGTTGTCACGGAAGGAACGAGATTTCTGCCAGCAAATACTGATATATCGAATACGAACGATCAGCAGCAAGAAGATTCAGAGCAACAAATGATCCTCTGCCTTTTGAGAATGCCCGCAATTCTGACACTTCTACGGCTCATTACAGCTTTGCTAGGACTATTCAACCAGAAGAGGTCATCCAGAACCGAGGATGAAGGAGATACGCCGTGTTTAACAACGCCCACACGTAAAAGCCTCGAGCTCGCCAACCAGGTTGAGACAGGGTGGCCCTCGCCATCTTTAGAGAAATCCGCAGGAGCCAAGCATGACTTCCTACAGGCCGAGACTAGTGGATGGATACACGAGCCTTCAAGCGCGGAAACAGCTGAAATGCTACGCTCGACGCCTGTTCAGCCGTATCGTAAAGACAAATCTAAGATGACAGTCATAGAGCAGACACAGGACTGGAGATCTGGTACACGACATCTTCGACTCGAACGTTATGATCTTGAACGCGAGAGGGATAAAATGGAACGGAGTCAATTGCTAGACATGGAAAGAGATATCAAGAGACGGCGTGACCTAACTGAGAAGATCACAGCTTTTGATGCTGAGCGCCAACAAGAAGAGTATATTCAACGAGAAGAATACCGTCGTCTGGTAGCGATAGAAGATCAGGAGCGGCGAGAAGCAAGGATGAGAGAAAGGATAAGAGCGCAAGAAGACGCAGTTCGCCAACGCCGTGCTGTACCAACTCCTCACGATCCAGAACAACGAGCAGAAGATTCAGGCTATGGTCTCGGTTGGTAATCGAGACTTTCAAATGATTGGGCTACTTTCTACTCATATATTCTGAATGCTTTTTGGAGACAGAATTTGCAGCTCGATTATCCCTCTTCGGCGTTCAGGTTACTAACATATGTCGTTATGGATATGTTGATATTCGTGGCTTCCACTTGAACATATTCCACATAAGTCGAATCATATCTCCATATTTGACTCTTTATCAGCTCTAGTTCAGTTAGAAGTTCTCCATATACATACTTACATGCATGGAGGCTTATATTGCTTGGCACGTGATTGTCCTGGCCTCTGACTGCGTTTTGCGCATTGTGCGCAATTTGCGCACATTGCGCACGACGCGGAGTTCGCGCATCTTTCAGTAATTAATATTGGGCTTGGCATCGCTATATCTTTGTACACCCACTTTTCGGAGAATGAATGGTCGTCTAAAGAGTGGCCATATCGTTGAACATCCAGGATCAGCTTCATCCTGCAGCTATTGATACATGAGAAAATCTAAGGCTGCGGGATCTGATGCAGTGGGAAGGTAAATTATAATTCGAATTTCAACGTCTCATCACCTCATATTCTCAGCCTATAGGATGTCCACCAACTTCTCACAAGCATAAGAAATGTTCGTTCCCCAGTTCGCAGGAGTAGTCTGTCACCGATCCATTAGCATCTCACCACAACACAATCAGAATATCATATACCTGAATCACCAACTTTCCATCCTCGATCAGAATCTCATTATACCCATTGGCCCCACTTCCGCCAGCCAGCTTCTCCACAACCCTCAACTTCACGACGCCAGCAGGTGCACCCTCCTCAAGCCCCTCTCTGAGCAACTCATCCTCAGCAAACTTCTCCCTCTCCAACACATCAATGAAACTATCATAATACCCCTTCGCAAAACTCCCCAAGTTCGTCTCCCAATCATCGCGCACACCCTTCCCACCCTTCAAAGCTTTTCCAAGATCATCAAATTCTGGTTCAAACTTGAAGTTCTCATTCTTCAAGATCTTCTTGACTTTCTCCGTCATGTCTGCGATCTTGGTGTCATAATCTGTCTTCACGGAATGGCGTGCGGCATATGACAGTGGGGAAGCGCCAGCTGGCTGTGGTGCTTCGGAGAGAGCTTTGTCGAGGTCTTGGGCTACGTAGGAGACGTTGCTTCCAAGTTGCTTGGGGTTGAAGACAAGTTGCAGTTGTCCATCTGCGACCATGGATCCGCAGTAAGAGAATTTTGTGGAAGCAAGGAGAGTACAAGTATGTGTTGGGCAGACGCTGTTGAGTTCTGCGACTCCAGACGGGCCGTGCTTCTCTACGAAGGATTTCAAGGACCAGATTAGGCCGTCGAAGTAACTGGTTGGAGGTTAGAATGTTCACCAAGAGAGATCTTAGAAGAATCTAAGGAGTGAAGAGAGACTAACGCAAAGATGCAATCTCCGAGAGAGTTAAATCCGTAGGAGTTTGGCTCGGCATAGGGATAGATGGCTAGGGAATTGCAGGTAAATGTCCATTTTACACCTACAAGAGCTTCCATCTGGGTCTCGAGGTCTCCTTTCTTGGCTTCCCAACCATCGCGAACTTCATTAAAATCAGTCAAAGTCAGCAAAATCGGAAACACAGCATACCATTCTTTCTGGTAGCAAGAGGAAGCTTCTCCGCAGGGGCTTTGTCGGCAGACATGTTGAAGATGGTGATGAATGAATTTTAGAGTGAAGAAGAGGTCGGAAACGAGTGCAATGATGAAGAGAAATTCGTTGCAGGACTTGTGAGTTCTTATAATTCCAAGTCAGATGCCAACTCTCGTGATCCCGTGATCTCAAGCAATGCCGAAAGCCTCGCAGGATTGAAGCAATCTACACTAAAGCGCCACAATGCAGCACATCACGACAAGTCGCATTCACCACCTGAAACTCGGTGTGCCTTGGCGTTCTGAGACCACATGAGACGGAACAAAGAACCTTCCCCGCGAGGAGGAATTTTTTTTTTTCGCGAGGAGTTGAGAGCATATTGAGACATTTTGCCCTCACCGTACATTGAACTATGATGTTTCTCGTCCTTGGCGTTTTCAGCTGAAGTTTCACGGGACGACAAAAGGAAATGAACTTTAAAATGAGACGAGGCGTTTAGCCAAGAGAATATATGGGAGAAGTAGGAACGCGATCCCAGTTTATGTGTATGCAGGAACTATTCGTGCATGAAGGAATGTCCTGACTTTTCTCCTATTCAACTCAAGCTGGCTTGGCAAGCATCCCGTGAACGCTTTTATTCACGCTTTGAACATTTCATGCCATAGAGGGGATTTATATCGAGACTGTTATTCTAGTCTTAGAAATGGAAAACAGTATCGAGAATGTCGTCTCTGTAAGTCGAAGGCAACTCACCTACATTCAAAGCTCACTAACTCATTTCAGTCCTACGCGCATACGACAGAACATCCGTGATCATATCACATCGCCAACATGTCCTCTTGTACTCAAGACAACTTCGGTGACTGAGAATCTTGGGTATCCAATTGTTTTGGATCCAGAATGGACCATGCTATGGAAGTCACTCCAGGAATACTATCCTGATTCGACTATTTTTGTGCCCACCGTCGCAGCCACGATTCTATCTTGGTGTGATGCATTGACCATATGGCTTGAAAACGAAGAGAACGAAGAGCACGTTGAGCAGCTTCTTGACGCACTGAAAGCCCGCTCGAGCTTGACGTTGGTGTTGGAGGTGGGTCGCTCGACTTGATGATGATCAAAAGGCTAACATAAAAGATTTCCACAACTTCTCAGCGACCAACAACAGCATGGCGAGCGAATAAGTCTGTCTTCGTCATCGCACTTCCAAAAGCGAAGCCAGCATATCTGAATACCATTCTGGCAGGGTTTGCGACGGATCTAATGAATCTCTTCACAGCTTCGCCCATGATTTCCTCCACAAATGTGGCAACCAAGGCTTTGCCTGTATTGGAAGACCCTGAAGACTGGGCTGATTTGGACGCTGAATTAGATCGAAACCATCAGACATCCATTCATGCCAATTCAGCTGCAAGAACTCAAGATGTTGATGAGCCAATGCCAGAAGTGTCGACTCTTATGAGGCCGGAGGAGCTGACAAAACGACCCCCGTATTTGATAGTGGTAAAACAGGAAGGTCCGATGAAAGTAGTGGTTCATGGAAGCCATACTCCAAGTTTAGCATGTCTCGAAGGGTACCTGAAAAGATGGTGCAGAGGTGAAGCGTCGAGAGCGAATCGGGTAAATAGAGTCGCAACGAGAAGTCGCATATCCTACTGATTGACAATCTAGCCACCTGTTGTCGAGATCAAGCTGCAGGAGTCAGCATTTGGTCTTGGACTGATGAATGATGCACTTACACTAGAGGCGATTAGAGGTAGGGAGGTGAACGCAATGGTGATTCTTGTCTTCGTGGAGAGTGTGCTTGGGTATGCTCCTGTCAACTCCATCGGTTCCGTTGGATCTATCTGGGAGTTCCGGAGAATGAGAGGATTCAAGTGAGAATAGTATGATGGTTGAACTGAAAATCTTGGAATGCAAGGAGATAAGAGGGAGACCGGAACTCGCTCCTTGGCTATATATACAGGAAATCTATTGACTTTTCCATTCGCCATGCGAGCATACCAGTGTCAGCAACATATTATCTGCGATCGAAGATCCTCAACTCTGGATGAGTTGATTTGACCGGTACTCATCAACCTTGGTGTGTCGCGGTTTGGGGAGAAACGCTCCAAGCAAAGACACCTCTAGACAATTTCAAGCCGAATTGCCGAATAATAGCCGGTGGAGAATCCGGGGCGTGGGGCAGGACATCTCGAGCTTCCCCAGCTCGCACAACGTTCCACAACATATCTATATTGATCATGACCTCTTACATACTTAATCGGTCAATCGCTCGAGCTTCTCGCAGAATCGTGAGTCCCAATGGCAGACCCTCGTTATTTTGCACCATCCGGCGGCGGACATTCGCAGATGTCTCTGATGACGACACGACATTACCTTTGAAGGGATATAAAGTGTTGGACATGACAAGAGTGCTTGCAGGAGTATAGCAATCATTAGCAACGTTTCAAAAATTATACTGACATCTGCTGCAGCCATACTGTACCCAAATACTCGGCGACTTGGGGTACACCGTCTTAACAATCCCACCTTCACGACCCGAAGCTTACGGACTCCAGTGCAGAAGTTATAAAAGTCGAACACCCTACTAGAGGTGACGATACTCGAGCATGGGGACCACCATATGCGAAGTATCTCCCAGGATCCGGCAAGGAAGGGAAGGGGGAGTCTGCATACTTCTTTGCCGTGAGTCAAACCTCAGTTCGGCGTGCAGGAAATTGCAGAACATCTAGACTCGACATACACATTGTCTATCAGAGAGTTGCCTTAAATTCCTTATACAATGAATTATATCCATGGACTAATTTTCCTGATCAGGTCAACCGCAACAAGAAATCTCTTGGCCTTTCATTTCAACACAAGTCCGGCGTCGAAATCCTCCACAAACTCATAGCCGATTCCGATATTCTAGTTGAAAACTACCTACCAAGTTCTCTAAAGAAATATAACATGGACTACGAAACGGTTCGAAAGATAAATCCACGATTAATATATGCATCTATTACTGGGTACGGCCAGACTGGACCATACTCTTCCCGGGCAGGCTACGATGTGATGGTTGAAGCCGAAATGGGACTCATGCACATAACAGGATCCCGAGATGGACCTCCTGTGAAAGTTGGTGTTGCTGTCACGGATCTGGCTACGGGGCTTTATACCAGCAATAGCATTATGGCGGCTATAATAGCACGAGCAAGAACAGGAAGAGGACAACATATCGATGTTGCTTTAAGTGATTGCCAGGTTGCAACATTGGCCAATATTGCTAGTAGCTGTTTGATCAGTGGAGAACGAGACCAAGGACGGTGGGGAACTGCACATCCTAGTATCGTCCCATATCAAAGTTACAAGACAAAAGATGGAGATATTCTTTTCGGAGGTGGCAATGATCGCCTCTTCGGCCTGTTGAGTGATGGGCTTGGGAGACCCGAGTGGAAGACAGATGTCAAATTCTCAGTGAACGCCGAAAGAGTTGCGAATCGATTGGAGCTAGATTCCTTGATTGAGAAAATAACCAAAGAGAGGACGACTAAAGAATGGTTGGACGTTTTCGAGGGCAGTGGTCTGCCGTATGCAGCCGTCAATGATGTGCTAGATACGCTCAACCATGAACATGTTCTTGCTAGAGGTATGGTCAAAGAGATGAAGCACGAGTGGTGCGGGGACATCAAGATGGTAAATACTCCAGTAAAATATAGTGAGAGTAAGCCTGGGATCAGAAGTGTACCTCCTATGTTGGGTCAGCATACAGATGAGGTTTTGAGAGATTTGGTCGGCTTAAGTGAGGGCGAGATCGAGAGGTTGAAAGAAGAAGGTGCTGTCAGATAAGGTTTGCATATGTTGATAGATATTATTTGGATATATATAGGGTGATGAAAACATCGACGCTTTTAGTAGAGCAGATCCTGATTTTGTGTTCGCTGCTCATTTCATTATTTCTCCTTCAATTCCAGTCCCTCTATTTCCCCTAAACAATTGTTCGGCCCAACTCATCGTTGCGGGTCTTCTCATGACCCATCTCTTCGTTTCCCCCTTCCCCTGCCCTCCTGTATACATCTCCAAGTCGAATTCCATTTCCTTGACCACCTTGAAACCCTCCTTTCTGTACAATCCCACGCCCACTGGGGTTGCAACAAGCACGCACTGCAGAAACAAGTTGTCAATCCGTTTTAGACCATCTTTGAGTAGCATACGCCCAATTCCTTTCTTTTGATGCGACGGATGAACAAAGAGCATGTCGAGTTCTGGAAATTTCTCCTCAGCTTGCGGTTTCGTTGAATTGGAAAAGATATTCGACTCACTGACATACTTCTCCACTCCACAGCTCCTCACCATAATCGCGTCACTGCGATTGAAAGCATCCTCGCACAGCTGAATACAAGCTCCCTTTCCCCACATCAGCTCTTTCTGTTCCTCAGTCTGTTCCTCTCCCTCTGCCCCGGCCTGGCTGGGCGGGGTCGTTGCTCCATTTTGAAAGCATTGCCACATTGCTGCTCCGAGGATTTCTTTGGTTGGGGATAGAGATTTGGTCATCCAGGCGAATTCTGGAGACTTCGGAGGTTCGTGGGCCTGAGGGGATTGAGGTGAGTATATTCTGGTTAGATGTTCTCGTCGGCAGAGTTGGGCGGGAGTGTCGTCTTAGTGTGGACCGCCAGCAACGATTTGCAGGAGGTCGGTTGAGAAGGCCAGATTTTCTACTTCGATGATGAGGGGGTAGTCGTCTGGATCGGCGGGGTGGATGGTGTATTGTTCTTGGGGGGTGGGGTTTGGGAGAAATGGCATCGTAGAGATCGTTGGTAAGATGTCGTGAGGAATCGACCATAGATGTGTTTTTTAGCTTGCATTTTGTACTGAGAGACTGGAAATGAAGGAAAGATCTAAATGGATGCATTTATTGGTAGGGGACCTTTACGAGAAGGGTCTCGATGAGGAAATTATTCGTTGTACCTCTTTCTACCACACATTCTTTGACGACATATTGACTGGAGATACCTCCTTGAATACTCAAGAAACTTTTTTCCCTAACATTCATTCTTCTACATCTGTTGAGTATCTAATATAACTCACCCCTTGACTCAAATGCTGTCCATCACTTCTCGTGCCTCAAGGAGTTGAAGGTAGACACCTAAACAATAATCAGCTACCAGGGAAATGCCTAGAAACCATGTAAACTACCGGCAGCATTCCACCTGATATCTATTGCACGAAACGTCTCTTTGAGACTCTTCACAATTAGCAAAGAGGCAGGGTTCTCTCGAGAAGATCGCATATGAATGGCGCAAATGTGATAGGCGAAAAAGATGCCCCAGGGTGATAGTTCTTCTGGATTCCGACCGAAGAAGCAGTCGTTGTCAACCAAGTTCCCTTTTATCGTTTCTGTGATTTGCTGGATTCCCACTCTTGCGCGCCGAGAACTATTTGTTTCTACAAACCTCGGATCGTTTGAGTCAAGCTGTGGTGTATACAGAGCGACGAGAGTGCTTTGACTAGGTGATTAGAAATTGCGAGAATAACAGGTAATGGAGACGAACCTGTAAATAAAAGTAATTCGATCATAGTCTGGTGACGGCACATTCAACGAAGCAGTGAGCATCGACTGAAGGGTTCGATCTAATTGCATCCATCCATCATCGTCGTCATTTGTCGAGTCCCTGGAGACGTTCTGCAGGACTTGACCAAGCAATCTCGCGGCTTGGCACAGTAGGCCAAATTTGCTCATATGTCCAGCCATTGGTGACGACAATCGAACGAAATCATCTGAGTTGACAATCTAGAGTATCGTAAGCAAGACGAAACAATGGAAGAAAATGGTTCTTACCCCTTGGTCCCATGCTTCATCGTCTGACGGCAGGAGATCGTCTAAGGTAGGATCCACTGTTGCAAATTTTCTGCCAGGACAACCGATACTTACGAAGCTGAAATGAGTGTCAGTATAAATTAGTCGATGATAGGAAAAAGTACTAAGAACACACCGGTCTAAAATAACAATTGCCCACCAAACTCTCCTTCTCTCCTCGACCTCAACTAACGTCAGAACCTTTCTCGTACTCACAACTCCACTAACATGAATACCAAGAGCATATGCATAGCGAGCGCATGCACCAATAGACATGTAGGCCGCAGGGTATATAGCATGGCCTAGTTCATACAGAGCAATCAACACCCCAGCCTGCAGAACCAAGATCGAAGATACACTTGAGCCTTCCACTTCAAGGTGGAAGTGCTTGACAGCATTGTATAGTAGAGTCCGAGGATTCCGCGGATTTGTAGGAGGGAAGGTTGTGATGAGCTTGATAGAAAGTAAGAGAAGGACAACATCTGGATGAGCTTGGAATGGTGGTCTCAGGTGGTGATCATAAAAGCGTTTTCTGCAGATGAAGGGCATCCAAAGGTGGACATGTTGGAAGAATCTAGATGTTATGGCACGGATTTCGTCCATATCTCCGAGTAAGTGCGGCAGATGTGCGGGAACAAGGGTAGCAGCCTGAGCAGTCTCAACCTGCCCGTGCTGCAAGAGGCTTGGATCCAAGAATAGAATTGTGGAAAAGTCTATGGAGTTGAGCTCCGCGTGGCTTTGGCTGGCAGAAAGATCGTGCCATAATGGGCCATGGTCGGCCGCAGGTGTTTCGGATTTGCGCTTCTCTTCTACGGTCAAGTATTGACAGGTCAAGTTGCTCCTGCTTTCATTGGTTTGCATGTACCTCGGTGAGACGGTGTTGAATGTAATCAACTTACTTTGCGCATGACGAGCATCGAGGAAATGCTTTGTCGCACTTCCTTTTCCGAGTCTTGCATGATGTGCATACTTGCCGTGCCAGATCGAGACCGGACTCTCCACTGCTCGGTGTTTGCATTTTGTGGAAGTACGGAGTTAGCCAGCTGAGGAGTTGATGTTTGGATGTTCGGATGGTTATTGTGAAGATGATAAGATGCCGCTGAAGTGGCCGCAAGATGTGGATTTCTGCGGCCGGATGGCGGCCGGTGAGAGCCGCGATGACCAAGCGATATATCGACACCCCACCATGCCCCCTATTTTAGCGAGCGAAGAATGTGTATCTACGGGTGTGAAGGCAAGAACATCTGACAGGATAGTGAGTGGTATATATAGTCTTGTTGTCCTTCATCATGGTATCAAATTTCATTCAAATACCACAATAGAGTTCCCAGTCAATTCGCCTCAACATTGATCCATCCTACGAACACTTCATATACCTTGTCGATATGGGTCCATATTCTGAGGCTCACGCCAACCCCCAAGGTGCTGGAGATGCTCGACCAACAGCCCTGCAAATGATTCGTGATGAGTCCCTCGAAGGCAAACTCGTTGACAAAGTGATAGTCATCACAGGTGCGACCTCAGGAATTGGTCTTGAAACTGCCAGAGCATTGTCTGTGACTGGGGCAACAATGTTCTTGACCGCCCGGGACATTAAGATGGCAGAGAATTCTCTGACAGGAATTCTAGAGCCAGGTCGCGTTTCGTTGGTGGAAATGGACAATGCCTCTTTCACTAGCGTTCGAAAAGCAGCTGTAACCATTCTCGCAGAATCCAGAAACCGAGTCAATATTCTTGTTGCGAACGCTGGTGTAATGGGGATCCAAGATCTCAAGCTCACGGAGGATGGTTATGAGATTCACTTTGCCACAAATCACCTGGGCCATTTCCTCCTGTTTCAACTCCTCAAGTCTGCCTTGCTCGAAAGCTCGACCAACAATTTTCGCTCCAGAGTCGTCCTAGTTGCGTCATCAGCTCACCGGGCTTTGATTCTCAACGAAAGTGACAACTACAACTTTGTAAAGGGAGGTTATCATTACGGATTGGCCTACGCAAACTCGAAGCTGGCCAACGTGTACATGGCTAACGAGCTTGATCGTCGATATGGCCTCAAGGGGCTGCATGCAACAAGCCTCAATCCTGGTGGAATCGCCACGAACATATCTAGATATGTGGGTAGAGAGTTTGTCGACCAGCTTATGAGTAACGAGAAGTTAGTGAAGTTCTTCAAAAGTCCAGAGCAAGGAGCTGCTACGACTGTTGTTGCTGCTGTTGGGAAAGAGTGGGAAGATAAGGGAGGTAAATATCTGGAGGATTGCGAAGAAGCCGAACGTGGTGAAGATGATAACGATGTTTTTGGTGTTGGATGGGTTCGCCAGACTTATGACCAGGAGAATGAAGGACGTCTGTGGAAGGACTCACTGAAGATGGTTGGAGTAGATGAGGACATGTAATGGTGATAAATCCCTAAGACTCTTTTGCATAGTAGAAGGATCGTCTTCTTTGTATCTCTACAGAGAATGATGGACTTAGAATGACTGTGGGTTTGAAGTACTTTCTTACTTTCCAATATCACTCCGTCAAACGCTGAAACCGCCTCTTTTAGTTAAGGAGTCAAACAATCCTGATTGCGCGCCAAGCTCTCTCGTCCCCTTGTTTTCTGGAAAGGAAGTGGGCTTGTTGTGGCTCGTCTATTGTTATATTTCGACTACTCAACCCTGATAGAAAAAGTTCATTAAATTTCGCGCCTGTGACTTTAAAGCATCCAACTCGCTTGAAATTATCTATTTTGATTTCTTCCAAGATCAGGCGATGGGCCTCTCATCGTCCTCTGGAATCATTTTTGTTGGTGAGTATTATAAGAAGATAGTGAACAATTTCTGTTGCAGGTTGAGGATGATGATCCGGATACACAGTACTGAATCTAATTCTCTCGGAAGAGATTGCAACCGCGAAACCCTCGTAGAATGGCACAATGTGCCCACTTCCGAAATAGTGGCAACAAAGCTTCAAAATTCCTCCATCGACTTCATCGAAATAGTTGCCACTGGATGTTACGTGTACTGATTCAACACGTACAAGTGAGTGGCAATTGCCGTCCTTCCATTGTATTAGAAGATTCGTTTTTAACGTTAATTGCAGCCCATGACCACGAGGGGATTTTTAATTGGTCGGTAGAGGCGGTTGTACAGTTGGTGTCAGAACCGCAAAGCAAATCGCGGGTGTCCGTTGTCCAGACGAGTTGATTGATCAAGTCTTCTTTCCAGAGTCCAGCCAAATAGTGAGAGTGAAAGCGTGGCTCAATGAGGCGGGAAACACCAGCTATCGCAACTAATTTGTCGCTCAAGAAGGTCAGCTTGCGACTACAGAGTTCTAGACACGCGTCAGTCCTTCCACGCTCTGGTCATGATTTTGTTCCGATAGAATCAGCGGAGTCGGTGACGTTGCTAGGCCAATTGGAAGACTCTCGGAAGCACCAGCTTCTCTACATTCCCAGACTAACTCATCTCTTCCGAAAGACAACACTCTCGGAGCTAACAATGTCTCTTGACAAACCCAAGCTCGACTAGAGAGGGCATTATTCCCGAACTTGCGATGGTACGGGTAGCAATACCAGAGGCTTGGTGACTCTGCATCAGATTCTTCGAGCAAAGAAAGTTCCCAGCAGGACACTTCACGAGATTCCCTATTGAAGAAAAGTCCTCCATCACCATCTGGTGAGTCGATACCAGCAAGATTCAAGTGCGAGTTCGAGAAAACGTTGATTATATTATATTGTTTTAAATTCGGATAATGTAAGCATTAAAACTACACTTAGATTATTTACTAATCTTTAAATCAGAGCCTTTCCTTACACAGTATAAACGCTCGCGGCAAACCACGTGACTAACACACTACTATACCTAACTTCGAAAACTATTAAGTTCTCGCAGCACAGCACAGAATCTTATTCCTTTCCCGCGCAACGAATTTCATCAACCCCCCAGGCGCTTAGCACTTCCGGTTTTCAAATAAATCAGACCATCATCACCAAAATGTCCAACTACCGCATAATGCGCGAGGTACTAGGCTACACCGATGACCTCCCACCTCTCCCACCACAGAGAACGCCGCTTTCGGACGCGGATCGGCGCACAAACGACATGATCGTCAATGACCTCCGCTTGACTCGAGAACATTCCTTTCGCGAGCGACTTAGATGCATATTCGCCGCGCGACCCCTCCGACTCGACCCCCAGCTGCCTCTTCCGAGCCCCAAAATAGACCCTACCTGGGAACCCTGGCTTTTGAACATTGAGCATCTTCAAGACATATGCAGCAAAACAGTGGCAATCTACAGAACATACACCCAATACACATCAGATAAGCTGTACAAGTTCATCTTCGACCAATGGATCCTCTCGCATGGGGGCAACGTCCACAAAGTCGACCTCGAGTTCGCCCGCTTTTTCGCAAAGATGATCGACATCGGTTACCAGAAGGGACGAGCTACGGCACAAGACCTGATCCCCCGTTCATCAAGCTTTGTGCGAAGCCTCTACGGCTGCGAAAGATGAAGGATTTGAGAAAGAAGATAATGAACTATACAAGCTCGCCGCGAACGATAACTTTTTAGCTGGCCACCAGATCGAGTTCTATAACATCAAACCGCTTTATAGAGCGCTTTTTATGATGATAGAAACACAAATACCAGAGAACGAAACCAATTTAGAATTGTAAGAAGTCTCCGACTGGTACGCACGGGTTGTACGACAGGATTGATTCATCCCATCAGTTTCGAAGGCCTCGATGTACTGGAAAAGATCAACGAGAATGAAGTGGTCACTACCTTACCAAAAGCTTACCAATTTATCATGGGTTTGGATCAAAAAGAGGGTACTGGAGCGGAAAAGAGAGATGAGAAGATACTGGACCATTGGCTCGGAATCCCTGAAGTGCAACTACAAATGTGGTACAACGCAAACAACAAGTCCCGCAATAGGACAACCCATTGGACAGGAGGACTGGAGGAGATCCCCGAGGACCTTCTACGACGTGGTGGACATATGGTTTGCCGACTGTCTCTGACCTCGAGGCTGCTGCGAGGGCTAAACGGAGGTTGGAGGGAAGGAAAATAGCACCGATGAAGGGTTCGTCACCGACCAAGGACACATCGTGGAAGGAGAATTCGAAGGAGCTCATGGTAGAAGAATGGCGTTCGGGGCTTCCCGCTGTATGATACCCATAGCCACCTTTCCTACATAGGAATCCTGAGAGTAGTTATCAGCGTACGCTGGGTTTCTGGAGGTCTTCAAAATCGAATCGTGGCGAATGGTATATGTGAATAAGATCCTCCAGATTGATTTGTTGCTATCAACGTGAAATATCCCACCAATAGGAATCTGTAAGAACTCTCGAGGGGATTGAAAACGACGTGCATAAATCAAAGTTCGAGTATCTTCTACGAATATTGATGCTACTCCCACTCTCTTGAACGAAACCCATCGCCCTGCTCTAAGAATAGCTCAGAAGGGCCTTCTGTAGAATTGAGATGAAGATAGAGAATACGTCGTGAGGAGAATGTAAGGTTGTCCTCGTTGTCTAGGTCACGAATTTACTGTTTGAAATCTCCAAGTGGTGTTGCAGTAAAAGGATTTTGTTCTTTAAATTTAGTATCAAAATCAACATGCTTATACTTCTGAATAGTTCAATCTACTAGTGAAAGAGTGTCGGAAGAACTATACTGTGCTATGTCCTTCCAGCCCCACCTCTGATTCTTGGCTCAATTGGAAACACCTGCTCCTCCGCTGTCACGTCTCCATAAAGTTCATCCCATCTCTCTTTCAACGGCTCGGGAGTCTCCCACGCAAGTTCAGGATCTCTCAGCCAGAGTCTGATTAAATGCCTCCTGGATTCAAGTCAGCTTCTTGATATACTTGCGATGGACAGAGAATCAAAACTTACTCTTGACCCGGCGCATCCACAAATCCGTCCCTTGCATGGAACAAGCTCAAGTTATTTACGTATTGAATATCTCCTTTCTGAAAATCAAGAGTCAAGCTGAACTTCTCGGCCAGAAAATGAAGGGCATCGAGAGCTTCTGCCTGCGCTTCGGTAATTGGTGGGATGTCTTTACTTCTTGGTAAATGAAGAAATCCTGTGAATCCCCGACGGGCGTATTGGATAATGACATGTTCTGGGACATTCCCATGAGCTGGTGTATGGTGCAAAAGAGGTCTCGTAGTGTACGGTTTCTCCACATTGCCGTATCTTTTCTCGTCAGCGTTCTCTCTTCCCGTACTTTGGACAGTACTCACCCATCAAAGGCCCAATCCTCGGAAAGAGTTCTGATCAAATCAGGTCTCGTCTTGGCAAGTTCATTATAAACTCTCCAACTGCTTGCAAGTTTGCTCGCACCACCCTGCACAGCTGTATTGAGGCAGAACAGAGATACAATATCTCCAGCATCAGTGTGGAAAACTTGCTTGTCAGTTGTATAAGCTGGGGCACCGATATTTCCCGCCACAGATGTCTGGCTGAGATCCTTGATGTGGTTCAGCATAGAGGACTTTCTCTCGCCATCGATTTTTTTGCTGTCTTGGCGACCACGGACACTTCCAATGTACGAGGAAACTCCAGCATAGATGATAATGTTGTCTTCTCTGGAATATCGATCCACGTCGAGACCTCGGAGAACAAAGAAACCTCTGCCATTTGCTAGGACTTGGGCTTGCTTTCGAAGATCGTGGGACAGGTTTGGTAATGGAAATGTCTCCTTGCTCACGAATCCGATTGGCTTATTGAGTTCTGTGTTTCCATTGATAATTAGAAAACAAATGAACATATGATTGACCCACCTTTGAATTTCGCAAGAGCAGAGTCTATCTCTTCGAGTTGGGGCTTGCTTAAAGTAAAATCCCAGGGTGTCTTCTCTCCGAAGTCACTTCCTTCCCATACTAAAGGTCCTGACAACTTCGATGGGAAAGCAGTGGGTAGACCGATGTTGCTATTCCTTTGCGCTTTCAGACGTTCCGTGCGCAGTTGATATTTCTCGAAGTCAGGGTGGTATGTTATGTCGGGCTGTTTTTGCACGAGTGTCATGGTATCAGAAAACGAAGAAGAATAAATGAGATGTTTTCAAATTCTGCGGTGTTTGATAATGAAGATTGTAAAGGAACGTAGGAAAGGAGCAGATTATCAACTTGTTGATCTGCGTCACTCCAAAAGAGGGGTTCCGTCTCGGAATGGAAGTATTGCGAAATGACACGTGCATATAGCGAGCTTGAATTCATAGATGGCCACCACGTTTATTGGTTGCCTTGGAGCATACCGTAAGAATTGGAATATAAGTTAATATTGTTCTATCGGTGGTAGGACAATGTAAGTTGGTTAGGATCTTTCGTGCGAATTCAAATTTGAGAGATAAAGTGGCGTAGGAACAGCATAAATCTTCTGGCGTCCCTTCTCCCTCGAAAAATCTTGTTCTTCTAGCCATATCCCCATAAGCTGTGGGACAATATCATCTTATATCCCAGTTTCTATGGTATGTGATATCTGTAAATGAAGTGACAAAACGAAGACGTACTGTGCCCTTCCGCTTGGAGGTTGCCTGTGTCGCCTTTGAATGCAACTTGCTCATCTCCACCATCAAAGTAAATATCGAAGACCAAAGAATGTGAGGACTTTCTACGCAATCGAGATTATGTACAAAGCTGCAGATAAATGAGAGAGAGCTTCGAAAAATAAGATACAGAGATCGTATTCGTATTCGTATTCGTACAGCTTCACGTGTAGACGCGGGGTCCCGCGGTAACAAACAACATGAGCTGATCCTGCTCCAACTCGCCCGACATTTTCCTCCATCCACAAGCCCGTTCCTGCATCTACCGTTTGATAACCTGTCAATGAACTGATCTCTCACCTTTGTCTAGCTAAGTCGATTTCATATATCATTTCTCTTGTTCGCTTTCTCTCTGCATCATGATCAACGACGACAACACAACAGTCGATAATGGCAATGAGGATCCAAGCACAAGTATGGCCTCTCTGGCTACCTAAAGCTGTAGCTCAAGCAGAGCAAAGACTTGCAGGCTCGATTGCAGTGTGCAAACAACCTCTCCCTCCTCTTCTCTTCTCTGCTTCTTTCCAATCTCTTCTTCCGTTAACCAAGGATTCTCTGTCTGCGAAATGGGCACAGACATCAAGGCAATTGCAGAGATATAAACCTTACCTGCAGATTCGAACTTCGGCCGTCCAATGTAGAGCTTATTCTACTTCACGAAGATTCTCGACTAGTCCTAACAGTCCACCGCCTGTGCAGGAGGAGCATACAGAATCGAGCAACAAGCCAGTCTGGGAACCACCGAAGGATGTGGAGAATAGACCAGTGACAATCATCGGAGCAGGAGTTCTCGGTCGACGATTAGCAGTCATCGTTAGCATTCTCCCCGCCGTTTATGCTTATTCTGCTAACATTCTATCACAGTGGGCATCAACAGGCCGCGACGTAAACCTCTACGACACCCACCCCTCCGCGTTCGACTCCGCAACCCCCTACATAGCAGACACCCTCAGCACCTACTGCTCAACCCACGGCACCCATCCCGGGCACGTCCACTTCTCGACCTCCCTCCTCCCCTCCCTCTCCAACTCCTGGCTCATAATCGAATGCGTCCCCGAAGACCTCGAACTGAAGATCTCAGTCCTCGGCCGCCTCGACCGTCTCGCCCCAAAAGACGCAATAATAGCCACTAACTCCTCCTCCTTCGCCTCCCGGGACCTCGTCCCGGAGGTAAAACACCGAGAACGCGTCCTAAACACACTCTACTACGTGCCTCCCGCAAACCGCTGCGTCGAACTCATGTCCTGCGGCTACACCTCCCCCACCCTAACCTCCTTCCTCGTCTCCCAAATGCGCACGGTGAACCTCCTCCCCTTCCTCGTAAACCACGAATCCACCGGCATGATATTCCCGCGTCTCTGGGCCGCCCTCAAGCGCGAAACGCTGCAGATCCTGAAAGACGACGTGGCGAAACCGGAAGAGATCGATGAGCTGTTCCGGGATTTCTTTGGGGCGAAACAGGGCGTTTGTGAGAAGATGGATGAGATCGGGCTGGATACGATTGCGAAGGTGGAGGGGAGGTTTTTGGATGAGAGGGAGAGGAGGAATGAGACGGATCTTTGGAGGGGGAGGGGCCATTTGAGGTGGTTGGAGAGGGAGTTTGTGGAGAAGGGGTGGTTGGGGGAGAAGAGTGGGATGGGGCTTGTTGTTAGGAGGGAGGTGGAGGAGGAGCAGGAGAAGAGGGACCATAGGGATGGGGAGGTGGTTTGGAAGGAGCATGCTGTTGATTTGAGTGGGATGTGAGAGCTTTTTTATCCTTAGCATGTAAAATTTCGGGTTGGCGTTTTAGTGGGCTTGGGTTGGATGGCATGATGAGAAGGAGTGAATATGATAAAATGTACTTGCATGTCTGGTCTTGAGACTGGATACTAGCTGGAAGAACCTATGTTGAGTTTTGGATATTGAAGTTGGATGTCCGTCCACTTGCGATGATTAGTGTATCAATTTGTGCTCTGAATAATATGCATCTACCTAATCTAGCTGTCTCGCTCTAGCTAGGTTCCTCTTTTGTCTCAGAGTAGCAATGTACGTTTTGGCTTGTATGTTAGTCTGCATTTTACGACTTGCCCAGGCCTCCTGTAATCTCCCCAGCAATGAACGCGGTATAAAAGCCCAACAAGATACCACCCATCCACTTTCTTCCTCGAACAAACACAATCAACATCAACAATAGAGAGCAGATCCAGACGACCCATACTTCAAAAGCAGTAATGTCCTTTGCCAACTCTTCATGTCCATTTCCTGACACGAAAATCAAACCCGAGCAGAGGCTCAAAAGAAAGATATTGGCTCCTGCTGTCGAAGCAACCATAACCCTCGAATGGCCTCGCCAGGTTGCATACGCCACAGGTATCTTCTCTGGAATTGTTGTGAAGAAGGACAGAAGAGATATACCAAAGGTTGTTGGTGGGAGATAAAGAGCACTGGCTAGTGATGAAGATGCATGGACCAATAGGTAGGCTGAAATTGTGAGTGCAAGTAGTCCGATAAACATCCTGATGGCGTGGTATAAAATACCATTCAGTGTTGTCGTGGATCCTACTTGCTCGAGCGAAATCGTGCTTGAATCTGGGTGTCTTACCAACGGAGTGCTCTCGTCAGGATGGCATTGTAGTATCGTGGGAAAGATGGAAATGTGCAGCTCCCTGTGAAACTCATCGAGGGTATCTTCGGATCTAGGCGACGATTCTTCCATTGTATCTGGAGTAGGAAAGTTGACTGTGGGTCCAGGTGGTGGAGACAAAATGTTGTCGTATATTGCTGAGCATATCGAAACGAGGTACACTGCGAACATAACCAGGAAGAATATCCCACCAGTCAAGTCCAGATGTCCTGTGAGGGCCAGGTAGAGGTATACAGACGAGACAATCAGCAGCGCACCAGCGTATACTTTCGAGTTCCTATCGAAGCGAGGGAGAAAATCGTGGACCAGGAGTCCGAAGCCGAATGCACCTAGGACATTCGCAATGCAAGACCCAACAACATTCCCGAGAGCCAGAGAAGGTTGATGTTGGTATATTGCGGCGATCACTATGGCAAGCTGAATGTTCTTGTCAGTCAGAGATACTGAGCTACGTAAAATCCGACGATACCTCTTCCCATTCAGCTCCCACTGTGAGGAGGACAACCAACGTCTCCGGAATTTTGAATCGCTTTGCGACAATTCCCAGATGGTCGACGAAGAGGTCTTCACCATAATGGAGAAGATAGAGGCCGGCAACGAATGCACAGCAATTGAGCACGAAATTCTCCCAGTCCATGGTTGAAAAGAAGCCATTTCCTGGCAGCAGGTTGATGGAGAGAAGACATAGCGACGCCCAGTCTCAGCGACAATAAAAGATCAGACAATTTAGAGTTGTGAATTTCTTTCGGGAAGGATTGAAGATGGAAAGTGTTTACTGTTGATGTTATTGATGTTCCTTCCTCCTGCTCACCCCTGTCAGCGATGTCATCACCAATGTCCGTCCCCGCGATTCTGCAACATCTTCTTCTCTCTCATTGCTCCAAAACACTTTCTCTGTCATCATCACACGAGGATCAATATGGGATCACCCCTTCCCTTGTGCCATGCAAATACCACACTCAGCCAATGCAGTGCAACAGGATGTTCCAGATCACTGCACATCGCTCTGCCTGATTCCAAAAACCTGGAATAGGATCCAAGGCAATCCAAAGGGCGTGCTGCATCTGCAGGTAGGTAACATTCTTGTTACACAATCATCAGCAGGAGGTCAGCTCCTGTTCTTTGAAATTTCTCCTTCATGATCGATTTACCATCGAGCTATTACTACACAACACTGCCTAGGCTCCTCTACTCTCGACTCAACCTACCTCCTCGAAGCATCACGAACACGAACAAATCGAGGCCATGTCAGGACTGGCAACATCAATGTCCATCCCTACGCCCAGTAAGGTTACTGGAGGTTGCTTGTGCGGTGGCGTCCGATATCAAATCGACTTTTCATCAGATCATGACTGGAAACGCGGGGTGGGTTGCCTCGGAAGATATGCCTACAGTCTTAGATGCAGATTTAGGCTTCAAAACCTAGAGGCTGACCAGATCTTCTAGTCTTCCACATGCCAATGCACTCAGTGCCGAAAGAACTGCGGCAGTTTAGTCTATAACTTCCACACTGTTACGGCTTCGGAGATCACCTGGACATCTCAATCGACGTATGCGGAATACACTTCCTCTCCAGGCTGCTATCGCTCCTTCTGCAACAAATGTGGCTCGCCCATAGCATGGACAGATCGTTCTGTCAATACGGACGTTGGGCTTGCTGTCGGCACTATTGATGAGGAGTTCTTGGTAGGAGAGAGAGATTCCGAGGACAAGCCAAAGGGTGGTTTCGGGTTGGCTCTTGCAAACCCCGAGGCGCGCCACTATTACATTAGGAATGAGATACCTGGCGTCACAGATGGAATTGCTGCAACTGGGACGAAATTTTGGGAAGGCAGTAAAGAGGGCGCCATGCGGAGGGATAGTAAGGCATAAAATCGGATATTGGGTTCCGGTGGCTTTCCACAGACGTCGATTGGCCGCAGGACGTTGAGGCTGTGGCTTGGAGGCTTGAGATAGTACATCTTTGAGCGACCCGCTGTATCAGGGGCCGGAGAATCTTTTACAGGCCAACGTCCCCCATGACGAAAATCATCTCCTTGCGCTGTTTGGAGCAGAGTATTGGGGGAAAACAGTCAGGGTTTCGCATGTCCTCTGCAGGAAGCACCGACATTACGCAGAAATTAATGCATTTTGTATGCCCAACACAATCCTGAGGATAGGATGGGTCGAGGGGAGAGCGGAGGTATTTGCGAGATCCACTCTAAACCGAGGCCAGTGGGAGTGAGGAGATTTCTACCCCGGATTTCCATCTTTGATCATCCTGGCGACGATCCTCCACAATCTGCCCCCCCCCCCCCTTTTCATGCCCAGGCTCTAGCGAGCTTGCAGAGCCAATCATGGGCAAGTGATTCGAAAGCGTATTGCAGGGCCAAGTCGAGCCTCATCGTAATAGCACTACTCGGTACTGTTGTCCGTCGGCAGACCCACTTTCAAGTGAGAAGTGCCGCGGCTTCATCTAAATTCTCCACTGTTCAAGATGCGTATAGCGCCGCTTGATCTGGGATTGTGAAGCTTATTTGGCCGGTTGTGGCTTTAGTGTCAGCCACCCGCCGATCATGCACCGTTATGCGTTGGTTAATGTCTCCGTTCTGTGGCAATCTCCTCTAGGAAAGTACACCAATGGAAATGACTTCAAGTTATGATGACCTTTTCTTCTGACGAGGCAGCCCTGGTCAGAGGGTCTTCAGAGATACAGACGGACCCAAGAGCGAACTTTTCTCTAATTTTAAGTTCCGATGGGATGATGCGGAGGCGCCCCGGCATGTCTTTTTACTTGTCTGGAGAAGTATATTAGTTACCTAGATTGCTCAGGAGATCTTCCCCAGCTTTTTGCCTTTCACTACAAGTTGTCCTTTTCACTTGTTAGGATGAGATACTCAACAGCTGTTCTCGGCGCACTAGCCTTTTATGCCTCAGATGTTGCAGCGTTCCCAGCAGCAGCTCTCGAGTACGCAGCGAAAGCTGAACGAGATGCTGTGGCGGCATCCAATATTGATGATCTAGTCGCGAGATATCAAGCTTCTCGACGTACAGTTGGCTTCAACGCTGCTGAGCAATACGTTTCAACCACGGGCGAATATGCCTTCGTCGCTCCCTACTTGGCTGGTGGGGATGTGCGTGGTCCTTGCCCTGGCTTGAATGCTATGGCAAACCATGGATACATTCCTCATAACGGTGTTGCTACCATCCAAGAGTTCATTGATGGTACATATGATGGTAAGTTTCACGTCACTTGAATCAAGTATCCTCCTCTAATATCACACAGTCTTCGGCATGGGCAAAGATCTTGGTGGTTTCCTTGCCATTTACGGCGCTGTTTTTGATGGCAACGGAGCTGAATGGTCAATCGGCGGTCCAACCCCCAACGTTGCATCCCTTCTTGGCCTGCTCGGCATCCCCCAAGGCATCTCTGGCTCTCACAACAAATACGAAGCCGATGTGTCGCCCACACGGCCAGATCTATATGAATATGAATATGGCAACGACTACAAAGTAATCGTCCCCCAATTCCAACAAATGTTCGACCTCCAACCCGACGCCGCTACCGCGAACTACGACCTCTCGGTCCTAACTCCCTTCCGGGCTACCCGCTTCCAACAATCCATCTCCGACAACCCGTATTTCTTCAACGGCCCCTTCTCCGGTGTCCTCGTCCAGCCCGCCGCCTATACATTCATCTTCCGCTTCATGGGCAACAAGTCCGCCGAATACCCAGAAGGAATCCTCAACCAAGACGTCCTCAAGAGCTTCTTCGCCATCACCGGCGACAGCGGCTCCTTCACCTGGACCGAGGGCTACGAACGCATCCCGGATAACTGGTACAAGCGCGCCATCGGCGACGAATACACGATCCCCTTCTTCCTGACCGACGTCCTGGCCGCCGCGGCTGAGTATCCGCAGTTCCTCGACATCGGCGGGAATACGGGGACCGTGAACTCGTTCACGGGCGTCGATATCCAGAATTTGACGGGAGGCGTGTTTGATGGTGCTACGTTATTAGAGGGTAATAATCTCGAGTGCTTCGTTTTTCAGGCGGTGGTGCAGGCTGCGCCAGATATGTTGGAGGGCACGGAGGAGAGTTTGCTGGATTCGTTGGTGGGGCAGATTAATGGGGCGGTGGGGGATGCGTTGGGGGATGTGGCGTGTGAGAAGTTGCAGACGTATAATACGGAGCAGTATAGCCAGTTCCCCGGGTCGACGGGGGTGGATAGTGGTAAGAATGCGAAGAGGAGGTATAGGATTTAGGGGGTGGTAGGGAATAGTGGGTGACTGAGTGGGTGATGAAAATTAAGAGAGGGATGGAGGGAGTGAGGTTCTTTTGTATATATTTGGCTTGGTGGGGTGATGAGTATAAAATTCACTTGTAGTTATGGGATCTCTTGCCAAATCTTAGTGCTTCTCTTACATGTGAATATGATGTACGTCATTTTGTAATAGAAAGCACTATGTCTGCTGAAAGCACTTCGACTCGTTGGCTTTTGCTTTTTCTGTGGATGAGATAGACAGTATGTACAGCAGCGAGCCCGATTACTCAGACTATGTATTCATATGAATGTTAAAGCCTTGGAGAGTTGACAATTAAAGAGTCGATATGAGATAATCAACTTCCTCCAACTCTTCCGACCCGACCCGACCTTCCACCGTATTCTCGGTGGTCGTCGTAGTGCCATGTGCAACAAAAGTTTAACCTGGAAGCTTATTGGCTGATGGGCTTGGTTGTTGGGCTGACTTTCAGTGATTCAAGGCTATATAGCTTTCTGCTAAGTAAAATGTCCGAGGAAAATTCAAGAATTTTGCGATATGCAACAAAATAAGACCTAATTAGCTTGGAAGTGTGAACCTTGCCCAATTGTTTAGGAGTACTGCTGCTTGGAAACTATTCAGATCAGAATTTCACTGGGAATGTACAGTGGTAGTTAGGGAGAACTAGCCATAATCTTTGACTGGAAGGAGCAGATCGTCAGAGCACGCAAGCGATAAATCGGTAGTGAAAAGGGGGTGCAGCCTTAGACGATCCTTTTGTATTATCACCCTAATGCTTCTGTAAGAACCTCGAAGCTAGACAAGAATCCACACAGCCATGCAAACGCCCACCCCCAGCGCCAAGGAAAATAAAAACCAGCCAAATTCATACATTACACTTCATCCATATCACCAGCCATCAAGCAGCAACAGCCCCATTCACAGCCACGCCGTTCTCTTCCACCCTCTCACCAGCTTCGTTGTAGACTACGTGACTGAAAGCGTCGTAGTCATTCGCATCGACCAACCATTCCAAATCTTCTTCATCCGGTCCGAGTTTTGCCATGAGACCATTGCCTGCTTTTGGGTAAGGTGGACTAGCGGGTGTGCTTTCCCGACTATCGTCTTGGGCAGGAAGTTGGGGAGGCGCAGAGGAAGCATGTGTGAAAGATTGCAAGGGTTGGGAGGCTGTGAAAGAAGCCGGAGTTGTAGGAGCAGGCGATTGTGATGAACCAGGAGGAATCTTGCGAATGAAATTGATCGGGGCATTAGGATTGGCTTCGGCTCGAGAAAATAGACCAGCAGTTGATGCAGAAGACGGAGGGAAAGGTTGTTGTGGATATATATTTGTGCGAACAGTAGCAGGACGGGGAACATATGCTTGCATAGGGACGGATATAGGAGCAGCTGGTGGTGTGGGTGGGAAGAGTGGAAGATTAGGGTGAATTGTCGTCGCCTGTAATAGCAGGGAGACTAATTGCGGGTGAGGAAGGGAGTTCAGGTATGCTCTTTTCTGGATCGTATCAGTCACGTTTGAAACTTGGGTGGTGGGAATGTATACCTCTTCGGAACTTCGTCCTTCCCAGCTGACAGCCTTTGGAGGCTCGGGTACTGTCTTGATTCCCTTCTTGCGACTGCACTCGGCACAGAACCAGGGCTCCTTTTCGTCTTGAACTGCCTGGTCAGAGACTTTCGGATCATGACATTCTTGGTGCCATCCTCCGTTACAACCGTCGCAGAACACGATCATGTTGTTCTCGGGACTGTGCCCGCGCCCACATCGTTTGCAGAGTGCTTGCTCTTGAGACTTCCTAGACGGCGCACGTCGCTTCGTAGCAGGTTCATAATTGGCAGGGACGAATTGCTGGGGCTTCACGACTTGGCGACCAGATTGGGTCATTTTTGGCAAGTCGGGGATGCTTCCAGAGCCATCAGAATCAGAATCTCCACCGAGCTTTGACATGTCGCTGTCTGACTCCTCCGTCTCTTCTTCCTCCTCACTCTTCGCTCTCTTCCTCTTTATTCCGGCTTTCCCACGGCCACGCGCACTTCCTTTGCCTTTGGGTCCACTAGCAGATGCAGCGGTTGGTGTTGCTGAGCTTCGAGATCGAGAACCACTTCCACCTGTAGCTCTGGCAGCCCTAGCTTTGTTCGCACTTCCAATTGGTGTACTGGGAAGCTCCATGTTCATCGTTGTCTTCATACTCTGCATAACACTACGCTTCATGTCCTCGTAGCCAGCAGGCGTGCCAGTAAGTCCAGTCGACGCGAACGAGCTGGTAGCACCGGATTGAATGCGCTTGAGAATCATTTCAGTCGCAGCAGAGAATTGTGGAACATATTTCGGGGGAGAAGTAGTGACTGCAGCTGGAGCTTCATTGCTGCCAGCTGGTGTTTGTGGTGGTCCATCAGAAGCCATGTTGATGTACGTGACAGCTTCGAGAGGGAGCTTTAAGGTATGCGCCGGGGGGTTCCAAAGCTTCCGGTTGCCTTCGCAGATGTCGCAGAGATATTGAGAAGGGTAGAGAAGCCCTGGAGCTGTTCCCCGAGCTTCACCGAGCTCAATTGGTCGTGGTTGTGGTTGTGGGAAGGTGCTCGTACGCAGGATAGGAACGCCTCGCACCGATCGATAATGAGTGGTAGGGACAAAGAGAAGAGACTCGCTAGTGTTCAGAACGTCGCAAACAATGCCACGAATGAGTTGATGAAGAGGATCTCGATGATCTGAAGTCTTCGAGATGCGTTTGTCCTTGAAGCATGAGTTCTGGTCATCCGAGTCGAAAACAATTTCTGCCGCTATATCACGTGCAGACTCACGTGATCGAGTATCTGTTTTGTCAAAAGTGGATTTTCGGCCTTCATTGTCTGGTTGCAGCTCAATGAATGAACAAGTGAAACTTCAAAGAGTCCTTCGATATCATCTCGATGCGTGTTTTATGCTTCGCTGATCATTATCATTTGTGTCGCGTGCTGTCTTTTTGGCGCTATGCTGCTCGTTCATTTTCCTTCACAAGTCATGCCTCCAATGACAGAGCGATCATGCATGCATCGAGGCTTGAATTTGCCTTCTCAATTGTCCAGAGCCAAACCGTATCGCATCGCATGCTCAATTACTTTGATTTCGTGGTACTATCTAGCTACATTTTTCAAATTAGTCTAGAGGAGAGTTTTGGACTAAATTGCCTTACAAGAAAGATGTTGACTGTTCCTCAAAGGCAGTGAAAATGTCAAGTTCCATTCACATCCCTATTACAATCCCATTCACTGTCCAACTGACATGCAATAGCAACTCCACCTCGTTCTTTGGTGGCACTTGATGATCTACACAACTCGTCGAGTGGCCATTTGTAATTCCCCAACGCTTCAAACCCTCATTCACGCACCAGCAGAACAATCCTCCAGATCAGTATTTGACCTGCCTCACGGTGATAATAATCTTGAAAGATGCAGCAAAGTATACCAGAAGCAGACTTTTTCGAAGCGCTTCGAGGAACAGAATTAAAGAAGAGAATTTGGCTTTTCGATTGCTTAAAACTAAAATGCGGGTAAAATAAGCACGATTTCACGATTTTTATTAAGAGAAATATTTGTTAATAATTTTAATAATTTTAATAATTTTAATAATTTTAATAATTTTAATAATAGTTTTTTTGTCGTGTCCGCTCTCACTATTTTAGTTTCGGGCATAAGAGATACCGTACATATACACAATATCAAACGTCCTCGATTATTTCAAAACACCATACCCTTGACCTGCGCAATCTTGCCCACATCAATATCCCTGATCAGAAGCATCCACACGAGAGCCAAAGTCATGATACCTGCTCCCGTGGCCAACATCCTAGTCTGTGCATATCAGGATCTGATAACTTTTCATCTTATCAGATCGCCGATCATCCGATGGAGTATGAGGTGTCTTTGATCCTCGAGTGGAAATGATCACTGATGTGGGTGTTTATTTCCACAGGATGAAATGAGCGAAGGAGCCTGGGCGGTCTGCGGTGAAAATTTGGAAACGATTAACATATCACATGACGTGTATGTGTGGGGATCTCGTTATTGTGTTGATTGTGGCCATGTTTGTAGCCCTGACTCCGAGGCCCCTAGTCATCTCTTTGACAGCACAATGCTACAGAGAATAAGCAACGCACAATACAATGAAAGACTTGTTTTCTTTGTTCAACATACACTATTCCAAGGAGCTGTTCGCGAACAAAGCTTCAAAGATACTATCAGTAACCTGTAGGTACTCCTCCACAAGTACGGCTACTCCTGTTTTGTTTGCTGTTTCGATATCTCCAGATATATGGTGGTCTTTGTCGTCATTTCTCCACTCCAGTACTACTTGGGAGTTACGAGTTGGTTTGTACTCGATTTTCATACAGGTGTGGAGCAGAACAGCACTGCTGTCCTTGGCGAATGGTATAGTTACAAGTTTAAAGGGCTGTTCGTAGTTCGTGCCTGTGAGGGACATTGGAACAAGTGTAATGGAGAATCTATAAAAGCCATGGGCACGAACCCTCAACATGATTCATCAGCACAAAAACAAACACACACACACACACACAACCAGAAGCAAACACTTCCACACACTCTCAACAAACAGAGCCAATCTATCAGCTTTCAAAGATATGACTTCTTACCAAGAATACCTTCGTCTTGCGCCATAACGACTTCGTTCTTCCGAGCAAGCTCGTCAAGTCCTTTCCGATGGACGAAGTCAAATCACAGACTACAGCCGAGCTGTAGTCGTGGAAGAGGCTGGCATCGTAACAAGAGTTCTTCCCGATGGATTCGGATTGGCCATGCTAGCTGCAGCTTGGCGTCGTGGAGTGGCATTGCGAGATTTGCCAGACGATTGACGTTTACCTTTTAGTGCCATCTTGAGTGAGAGTTTGTGGTTCGTAAGAGGGAGACAAGTCTCTTGTCTTGAGAAGAGAGAGGGAGAGAATATCTTGTGGTTAAGAAGACTCTGAAAAGCGGACAGGGGGGGAAGTACAACAACTGCTCCTGGGAGCAGCGCCAAACGGATAAAGTAAGAGAAGGAAAGTCCTTGGAGAGTGAAGACTCTTTGCTCGAGAACTTGCCTTCATTTATAACTATGCTGTCAAGCGTAAGGTGATTTCGAGTCACCAAAGACGTTTTGCCATCGTGGTACCTCCTCACCGACCAAGGTCTCCAACAGATTAATCACTCGATGACGGTTTGTGAAGAACGAATAGAAAGTTAATATTTATTGAGTATGTCTGAAGGTTTGTGATAGTCCAATGGCATCGCCAAAAATGAGGCTCGGGAAATAGATACAATGGAAAAAGATGTATGCGGCTGACATAGGCAAAAATGTTGGTGGCGGCGTGACGGTTTGTGGTTGGCGAATAAGAGTATGGCACGCATGCAACCTCATGCAGATATGAATCAAAGACTCCAAGCGGTACGGCTGGGACGACGGTTTGTATCGAGCCAATCATAAATCATCATGTCGTCGTAAGCAATGAGACAAACTTGCGCACCACACAGCCTCGGGAAAAACATCTCTTCTTCATTGTCTACACTTTGATCTATTCATCAAGTCTGCTCTTGCGCGGCCAGAGGATGTGAAAATGGCCTCGAAATGGAAATACACAAGGTCCATATTAAAGACCTCTATCTTGGACAGAACAAGACCGTAGACGAGGTCAGGTATGACATGGAAATGAACCACAGCTTCACAGCCAGGTATGTTGTCGCTTTTCCTGTTGCTCTTCTGCAGAACCACCATCTGATTTTTCATTCAGCAAAACCGAAATTGAGAGACAGTTGAGGAAATGGAACTTCAAAAAGAATTCAAGGCACAGTCTCAATACCCAACTTCTGAAATATGTCAAAGTCGGATTGGAGGAATGGAAGAGGCTGTCGAAGGACACCGATGTCTATTTTCGAGGCGTCAAGATTCCCAGCCCTCAGATACAGAAGAGTGCACAGCGATGCTTTGTTTCCTTCACAGAGAGAAACAAGTGTGAGTACATGCCCAACACGACGAGCAAGCCGGTTTTGATAATTGGCCAAGTTCCGACGCTTGAAACTCCATCAGGACTCGTTCTCATCACACCCAGCTCGGAGCATTATATGGCTTGTATCAAATCGAAAGACCTTCCTTGGATATACTTCCAGAAACAAATCGACAGCCTGGGTAAGACTTTTTTTGTCATAAAATTCTTATACGGGCGCTGATCTCCATCTATAAGATATCTGAGCAGCATCCTCGATATGTCTGGACAGATGATGAGGGTCATGCTACCAAGTCTTTATCGAAACCCCTCCCTGTTAATTCCCATCGATACCCAAGTCAGAGAGATGGTCAAATTTCTCTGCAGCATCATGCCAGTAGAGCACGACGATAACGTAAAGAATATCCTTAGGAACATATTTGGGGATGACTACCACCAAGCAACGACGGAATTTCTTAAGCTTGCTGTATATTTATTATCGAATAAATTACTGTCTGCTGATGGTGGCGAGGGAATGATCTTTTGCGATCAACTACTGAAATGGTTCCAAATGAAAAAAAATCAATCACTTCTTTCCTCCTTTCTCTCACATAAAACGCCAACGATTGAGGCCTTTATGGAGAACATCTTTACATGCCGAAGACGCTAAGATCTTAGAATCTTTCCTTCGGTCAGGAATTAATCCCAATATGAGAACCAGAGACAGGGTGTATAAGTACCAATATACGCCACTTCAGTACTTTACGCAAAAAGAGAACTTTACAGCTAAACGCAATGTTCAGGTGCGATGGCCGCCGAATTCAGCGGGTTTGGTCGCTGTTTTATGCGACGATTGTCCCAACCCAAGGATCCACAAAAGGGCGCAAGTGCGCTCGCTTCGTCCACCACCAAAGATCTCTCGCCTTTGAATCCACTAAGTAAAAGATAAATGATCTCCACTATATTCTATTATAAGACTTTCAAAAATGTGCCGCCTCATTTCATCTAAACCAAATATTTCCTATGTCCGTCAATGTGACAGCACGGTGGGAAGCTCAGTACGTAGACGAAGAATCGATTCGGCTATCTCTTAGAATCTAAAGGTAAGGAAGGAAGAAGGGAGTGGGAGAGCCAGAGCTTATATACGCTGGAGTGAAACATGCTTACGCCCTAAGCCCGATCCGTTCTTAGGGAGGATCACGTGGAGGCTATCCAAGTGCTCACGTGATCCCTGTCACACGCGATTACTGCAGGCGATTACTGCAGACGATTACTGCAGGCGATTCAGATCAGGGTGATCCAGGTGATCCGTAACAAGTGAGTATGTATTATGAAGAGTTATTGATAATGTACATAAGATTTTGCAGCGCGTTCATAGAAAATTCAAGTATTTTTCGACAGTCAATACTCTAAAAAATGAATAGTCAGTAGGTGCGACCTTTATGTCGTAACTTCCGCCCGTACTAATTGAGATTACGATTACTTTGCACTGGACTCGATGTAAACAAAAAGTATTTGACAAAGTATGTTTTCATATCGGCTGTAAGTACGTTGGACTAGTTTTCGCTTCGATAAGCCCAAAGTAGTGAGATGGTAATCGCACGTGATTGAATCTCAGCCTTAAGAATCTACTCAAGGCTCTGCTATTGAAAGTATCAAGATCTCACAATTTCGTCATAATTAAGTCACATTTTGTTTATCTTCGAATGTCTACGCCATTATGGACGACTTCTATCATGATGACGTTGATGAACAAGATACATACGCATCACATTATTCGGCGTTCACATCTGATACAGAACGACTCGAGGCTGCCAGCATTCCTGACAGATACCACCACAATTTTGTCTCCTTGATGTCTCTTGCACATCAACTTGGTATTGATTTCATGGACGTGACTTGGCAGCCGGCTTTGCGTTTACTGGGTGTTGGTGGGTCGAGTCACATCCATGTGTCGAATTCAGTAACGAAAGACCTTTCGTTTGCATTTAAGAGCACTGTTCCAAGGCGCGGGAGGTCTCAATTGAGTCTGATGGGTATTGATAGCCAGCGATTTAGATCACTTGTTTGCGAAGTCTTAGTCCTTCGTCACCCAGAAATTCGCGATCATCCTAATATTACAAGTCTCTTGGGTATTTCCTGGGACTTCCGCAACAATTGTGTATGGCCAGTACTAGTCTTTCCCAAGGCTGACGAAGGGAGTTTGGAAGACTTCATACACGGATCGAAAGGCGCAAACGCTTCTCTAGAAGACTTGATTCGTGTCTGTATAGACGTTGCTTTGGGCTTGAATTCGTTGCATAGAAACAGTACGTTATCACTTTCCTCAGTCGAGTGGCCACTGTCCTAATTGTGACGACCTAGACATAGTACATAGCGATCTCAACCCTAAGAACATTCTTATATCGAACGACCGGGGCCGCCTCGTGGCCAAAATAACAGACTTTGAGTCTTCTTGTATTTGTGCTTCAGAAGAGGACCTCGTCTCATTGCCCAAGACCATTCCATGGAACGCGCCTGAATGGAAAGACAGATGGGTCAGATTTGAAGATGCGAAGGGAATGGATGTGTATGGGTTTGGATTGATTTGTTTCTTTACAATCTTCCAGCCTTTCATGGGTGAGGCGACCACTTTCATATGAGCACTAAGCGGAAGTTAATTACCATGACTATAGGTATAAAAGTTGTCGACGTTTTGCCCCAGCTCAAGGCAAGTGGTCAACTTGTCCTTGAAATCGATACTCTTCTAAACAATTTCGAAATATCATCATCTCAGCGGGGATCCTTGTGTCAATTCTTCAAAAGCACCCTCTGCCAGAACCCAAAGACGCGGGAGACAGATTTCGAGAAGCTTATTCGACTCCTCTCCTTCGATGAAGATTTCATACTACTTGCCAACCAAACGCGAGCAAACATCAATGTCTTTTTCCCGGACCCTCATAATCTTACTACGGTAGAACTCTACATAGCACGAAGAGCACCACTCAACAAAGTACTGACGATGAGACAGGTTACTGCCGAGTTCGGTCAATTAGTAAGATGCGACTATAGAGTCCGACACTTTCTACATGAGAGCTTGAAATGCGCAGCGAAAGATACAACCTGTAAGGACTGTGCCATGCAAGCGGCCTTTGTCTTGGCTCTTGGATTCAAAACATGCTTTTTCGTACCGCAAGAGGAGCAGCCTGTTGAACAGTATCTCATACAAAGTGGTCATTCGTCCGCTGAGCTCGAAAAAAGAGTAACATCGATACGACAGATCGCGGATCAACCAAAACGCGTCAACAGAGCAACGTCAGACTTCCAAGCAGTTTGGTATAGTGCTGTTGTGGACATATACGAGACTGATGGAGTGCTCACTCTCGCAGAAGCCCAGCTAAGGCAAGAAGCTCACATGCGAGGTGGTATTCTTGGAGAAGACAACATTTTGACTCTCGAGGCGAAAGTCGAGCTTTCTTCAATATTGCAAAGAATGGGCCACTTTCACGAGGCCACAATGGCTCTTGAACAAGTGCAGAAGTCTTACTTACAGCTCGGAATAGATGATACTGTCATATTGCGGCAATTGGCCATTGTTTATGCGAATCAAGGACGTTGGGCTCAAGCTCAAGCCCTGCTGACCACTGTACTCAATAGAACAGCGTATGCGCTAGATCAAGTGAAGGACGCAGTCAATCAACTCCTTGTGATCAACGAGAGTTTAAAACGAAAATATGAAGGAAAATTAGAGGCCGAGACTATCGCGAAAATGGAGAGAGAACTACAGAATATGAGAGAGGAGTGTGGGGAAAGAAACATCCTTCTGCTCCAAGTGGGAATGGAGTTGGGAAACATCTATCATGGGCAAGGCAAATTTAGTCTTGCTGTTGATACTATGCGCAAAGTAGCTGTAGGGTTTCAAGAACAGCTTGGATCGGACAACTTAACCACTATATCTGCCATGCAATCACTTGCGGGATCATTAGTTATGCAAGGGGATTTGTTGGAAGCACTAGAAACAAGCGTACTTGTCGTTGCCCGAATGGGCCGATTGGTTGGAGAATATCATCGCCCTTTCCTCCAGAGCGAGCTGTTGGTGGCCAAGATCCAGTCCTACTTGGGACTCTCTGAAAAGCCTCTCACGATCTTCAAGAGCGTTATTGAAAGACAAACGAAAGCGCTGGGCTCATCACATCAAGACACTCTCGGTAGCGAGGGGGCATTGGCTCGGCACTACATGGATCGGCAAGAGCATGCCTCTGCACTACGCATACAGGAGGGTGTCGTCCAAAAGAGCGAAATCAGTCTCGGTCGGCATCCCTTTACATTCCGAAGCAAGAAAGTATTGGGCCAGCTACTTGTGAACACGGGAGAGATTGACGGTGGGATGGAAATGCTCTCTGTCGCCGTCAAGGGCAGTCATGAAATTCTCGGAGAATCACATCCAGAAACAGTGTCTACTCGTGTTGCGCTATGTAGTGTGCTCCGCATGAAAGGGAGATTTCAAGAGGCAGAAGCAATGTGCACAAAATCATTGGAAACATTGGAACACAAGTACGGAAAGGGTCACCCAGTCACCCTGGCTGCGCTGTCGAGGCTCGCTGAGATTAGGTCCGATCAAGACAAGCAAGATAAAGCATCGGAACTGCTGAGGCGCGCTATAACTATCTCAGATAGTGCTACCGGGAAGGATAGTCTCGAGACTGTATATTTACTGTCTATGCTGGCAAAGACTACCACCAATGCGGAGGAGTTGCAAGAACTCCGTATTCGTCTTTCGAATTCAGAAACTAGAAGGATTGAATTATCAAAGAAGGCCACAGTTTATGATGAAAATCAACGTGCCATCAGTCTAGTGAGTCAGAGGCAGTGGAAAGAAGCCCTTGACATTCTCAATAAGCTTATGCCCCTTTCGAAAACATTGTTCGGACCAGAGGATGAGACGACCCTTACCATCTTGGGGAATGTTGCTGTTTGCCATACTGGGCTGGGTAGCTTGAGTTGGGCCAAAGAAACCATCGAGAGCATTTTGAGGACTCTCGAGAAGAACACGGCAAACAATAGTGCTGCTATTCTTAATCAGAAGGCCAACTTGGCGTCTGTTCTTATGAGAATGGGCAAGCTGGAAGAAGCTCGTTCCCTGAACGAGTCTATACTAACGATCATGAAGACAAAGTACGGGGAAACCCACCCCGATACTTTGCGGATCATAAACAATCTAGCCGCTGTAAATTCAAAGCAGGACGACACACAGCAAGAAGCTCACGCTTTAGAGTACCAACTCGCGCAAGCTATGGAGAAACTGGCTGCTAGTCGCGACACTGCTATCTAGGTTTCTTTGGTGTGAGGAGGTATCTTAGGTCCTTGATATAGTCGAGAAGCAAATATCTAGTTGTCATTGCTGATAATCATCTTTTCTTTAACTCCTTTCTCTATCTCACTTTTCACAAAAGTAAAAAGAACCCAAAAAAGAAAAAGAAAAGGAAAGGAAACTTGGATTGAGAATACGTGGAAGAATAGATCGGGTTTTTGGGAACACATGCAGTATCAGAAACCGATTAGACGCTTTTGCTTTTGAATAGGTATTAAGAGGCTTAAAGCCCAAAATGCAATCGCTCGTATTCAATTTCCTTTGATCATTCTATGTGATACAATTACGAAAGCGATTGTATTAAGGAACAAAGCTCCTGGCTTATATACAGGACCAGCGCTCAAGGCGCACCTGCAGCGATGTGGTGACAAGTGACTTATAGCTAGACTTCGAAATTGTAAATTAGGTAGTGCTCACTCTGTGCCCGAAACTTGACTAAACTAATGCTAAAAGATAGAGCTATGTAGTTTCAGAGCCACAATGTGAGCTGGAATGCTAGAGTTGTACTACCAAGCTAAAGTTATTTAATACCAAAGTTGCAAAGTTAGATTTGTAATGTTAGATTGCAGCAAGTCTACACTGCATCTATTTAACAAAGCAATATTACGTGATAGAACTTATCGCAGTTGATAGCCCCGTCGATCACCCTTCATCAAGGTTTCGGGCATGATGAATTGAAAGACAATGAAAAAGTGGCTCTACGACCATCTCTTGAAATACATACCAAGCTGGTTCAGATTCGTTACCGGTCCTAGACGGCTTGCATCCATCTATGCATATTCTCACCAAATCTCTATAGACTTTGCCCATGTAGGAACCTAATGATGGAACCATCTCGTCGAGAAGATACTGCCGTATCTCACTCGACTTGGCCCTTTCTTTTCCTTTCGTCATGCTTGATAATGTTCTCCATAAGCCGAGCTCCAGGAGAACGATACCAAGACTAAAGTAGTCGAATTCTTCTCTAAAGCGCAGGTTCGGGCCTCCTTCACGATATTCCGGATGTTGGTAATCTCTGACTTTGATATCTGTGGTCGGGCCCAGCGTGAATGCATAGTCGCTGTTTTCTCGACTGTGATTGAATCCAATCAAGTAAGGGCGGGAGAAAGCGAGGGCTAGCTCTTCACCAGAGTTGGGAAAATATATAATATTGTAGGAGGAAATTCCTTTGTGTAGCCAGTCGGCTTTGTGAAACTTGAGAAGCGCAGAGGCCAAAGTATGGGCTGTGACGAAGATTTCACTCAGTAGAGGGCGACGTGGACGAGGTTGAGTGGGGCGAATAATTTCTGCTAGTGCGACTGGGGCCGATGCCTTTGGTAAACCTAGGGGAGGGAGAGGCGTCTCGTAAATGAGACCAAAAGAGTGCTGGCTTTTAAGATGGCAGAAATTTATACATCTCAATACGGGGAACGAGGAAGTGGCAAGTTGTGAGAGGACAGAAACCAGACCATTGACGCGGAGAACCAGCTCATCAAACCTGTTGGTCCATTCATCCTCGTATTCCAAAATTTCAACAAGGACTGGTGTATCTTTTCCCGATTTTGCTGTGATAAGACCGAGTACGGCTGAGCCAATATCTAATTGATCTCGTACTATGGCATCTGTCAAAAAGCTCCGGCCTTTATTTTTGAAAGTGCCCACTGATGACGTTGCTTGCTTCATTGAAAGCAGCAGCTGGATTTCCCGATATGCCGGTCTTGCCAAAGTGACTCGATAGCCCGTTATATCGCTATCGTTCTGGTCTAATATGATTTCCTCCAATTTACTTTCCATCCTACGAAGGGTGATGTCATTCAGGATATTCCAGAGATCGCTAACAAGCTCACGCAAACGGAGGTGTACTGGGTTATTGTATCGTTCCACACTCTCATTCACGACGAGACTGGCCTGCAGCTCTGTAGCAACAGACTGGAGTGTGGCGATGGTCTTGTCAATATGTAAACTTCCCTCATCGGTGAGAAACCAAGATTGCTGGCGTCGTTTAGCGTCGCTACCGAGTCCAACCATGTCACACCATATTTCAAATCGAATACATTCGATTCTGAGAGGATAGTCGGACTTCTCCTTCAAGGTGGTTAGAGTATTATATGTGTCGTTAATAAGCGATCTCTGAGCCAGTATAAACAACCGTGCCAAGACACGATGTGCGTCAGGTCGGTCCAAAACATCAAATGTGAGCATATCCTGTACGAGAACCAGTAGCCCTTGCCTAATCTCTGATGGCAAGTTTGTGTTTTTCAGTCGTTCAAGCCATTTGGCAACTGCAGGGCTTGGCTTAGCTCCGCTGTGAAAGGGCCTCATCGTAAGGAAGCCACCAAACGTAATTTTCCTTTTCTGTGAGAACTCTTCTACACCGGCGTGTCCCAGCTCGAGGTAAGTAGCAACCTCAGCCAGAATACAACCAAAAGACCAAATGTCGCTTCCTCTTCCAATGCTATTCTTGGATAAGTCGCCATCAAGGTCTTGGCATTCAGGGGCCAGATAGTCCGACGTTCCACCTTTGAAGGTCGATCTAGATCCTTGAGTTATCAATTTCAACCTAGAAAGTCCAAAGTCCGCCAGGATTAATTTATTGCCTTTGACCAGTATATTACTTGGCTTCAAATCGTAGTGGCACCCGACCATGCTTAGATCATCCTCTTCGTGGAAGTATTTGTGAACATGGGCAATGGCGGAAGCGAGTCCGTGGAGCGCTTGAAATAAAGACTCGTCTGTATTGAATTGAGGAGGTCGAGGGCGAGACAGCAGATCGCCCAGAGAGAAATCTGCTGGTGCAAATAGAAAGCATGGAATGTGACCCATGGTATAAGAGGTATAGAACGGAATGATATTCGGGTGCTTAAGACATTTGAGCATTGAAAGGATGTGTCTTTCCCTTTCAAACTCGACTCTGCTTGAGGCTATAGGGTCTTTAAGTTCCTTAAGAACTATCTCAACCTAAAATAGATAAAATCAGTGAGCATTCATGAGGTATAATAGTGACGTTTTAGAAGAACGAATGAGAGTTCAAGAAAGGCAAGATGTGATGGAATACCTCATTTGTTCTCTCGACTTCAATGTCTTGGTGCGATCCTCTAAGGACAACTCTAGAAACTTTACCGAATGCTCCACTAGTAATCTCCTTGACTTTCATAAACGGCAAGATCGTCTGACTGTCGAGGTGCCGATGGTGCATATTTGCTCCAAACATCGGAGCGCAAAATTGCCACTGAATATCGTAAAAGCTTCGGTATTCCGCAGGAACGATCCGCCGAAGGGCTTGCTCATTAAAAGGCAGTCCGGAGTCTATAGTCTTGGTGAGGAAGCTATCAAGCTCCAAAAATTGCATAATAGCGGCCTCGCATTCTAGTATGCACAGTATACCAAAGACTCTTCTACCTCCATTGATTATCGCACCGACAGCCTCCTTTCTCTGATATATCTCAATACCTCCCTTCCGTAAAACTTCGACAATAGTCTCTTCATCGAGAGTGCGCTCAAGGTCTTTCCAAGGGATAAATGGACGCTGAGATACGGTCGTAACCCGCAGGTTGCATATTCGTTGCTTGATATCTGACATATTCTATCATGCCGAGGCGCAAAAAAGAGAACTATCTAGCATGTCGTGTCGCTCGTAACGTCAATCAATTCGAATAATAAAATAATGCATTAGTCTGCAGAGGTGCGGTCGACATTGCTCTCGAGAACATGAATATCGGACAGTTTCTAGGTAGGCGTCGAGGGCGTCTATCAGAGCCGAAAATCTGGCCTAGCCTACTTATCATCTGCGTTGATGCCTCAGTCCGGAACAGTGCAAGTTTGTGCTACCACAGTCTGACCTCAAACACCTCGATCAGTATCTTTATATCTTCATATCTTGATTTGAACTGTCCAATAATCAATCCATACTAGAAGCAAAATGCCGGTTCAAGGGCTTGATGCACGCTACGTCGACTTACAGAAGCTCGTCCGGCTCCTGCAATCTACATTTGGAACGGGGAGCTTTACGATTGACACGGAGGTAATCTATGCGCCCTCACTTTACAGCTGAACTATTACTAACGTAGTATTTAGCATGGCGGAGACAAAGTCATTTTAACTATCCCGAGAACCCTTACTGAGGCGAGTACTGTACCTATCTGTATATATCGACTACCGCCTGGTCGAAGTTCGCTTTGCTAACATCACGTGGTTCAGGAAGAACAGGGGAAAGTCAGAATTTGAAGCCGGAGCCTTGTGGGCGCACTAGTCATGCAAGGCAACGTAGCAAAGACAGTGCCCAACCATGTCAGGCAGCTAGCCACACAAGTCGGTCTGCATTTGAGGCTGAGCCAAAAGGTGATACTTAAGCGAGGGAAATGGAAAGAAGAAGGGAATATTTCTAGATCTTACTGTGGACGCCGATCAATGCAAGCAGGATTTTCAATATACTTTGGACATCATCAGCGCTCTTCTACTGCTCCGTGGTTAAATGAGTGCCCTCGACCAACACAAGCCGCGAGATGGAACTTTCAAGTTGCGGGGATGCGAGTGCAGTCAACTTCTACTTGGAGATTTCCTGGGTAACAGCGCCTCGTCTTCCCAGCATTTACATGAGCAATCGTCGCGACTCTTCTCCGACGCTAGTCCAATTGTTGAAATACTTCTACGCCAATGGTCAGACAATCACATGAAGTAGGTCTTTTTCAGTTGATCGATCCTCCACTCTTCGAGCGCGATCATCGATGAGCGATATTAACATGCCTTTTCAAGTCACAGTTTAGAGAGTATCCATATCCATGACTTGGATGGCCTGGAAAGGGCTTTATCTGTACAGTAATCATTATTCGCAAACGACGTTATGGTAACTTACAAGTTTGATATCAGAAAATAGGCTGCGACGGCACCGATGCTGTATTGTAAGTACCTTGGCTAGGTCAATCAACGCCAGATACCATCATTGCTAAGTAAGATCAGTATCTTTCGACAAAGTTGTACCTGGGGCAGGATAGAGTGTTCTGAGAGCATCTTCAGGCGCATAATGGAAGCCACTAGAGCATTTTCGCCACTATATGATTTCGTATCGGCTTTTGGCTACAAGCTTTCCGCTACGGACGAGAATCTTGGTTGTTTTCAAGGACATGTTTCTAATGTTAGTGACAAGAAAGGGATTCCAGAATTCGGTTAGTCGAGTTCTCCAGCAGTCATTATTCTATACTTGAACCTACAGCTCATATAAATTTACTTCCACAGAGCTGGCATACAATGTGCGATATGCACACAAGCACGGAAGGCAGCTACGAGACCCGTGGTCTATCCGGCACTCGGCCATCTATCAGAGATATGAGCAAAAAACAAACTCGACACACTGGGTAATCATTCAACCATCTGAGTCATTTTATTGTCAGCTTAAGCAGTTTCTTCATCCAAATCGCACAACTTCAGCACTAGAAACAGCAGCAGTCATACATTCGGCATTCCTGTGGGACGGTGGGAGAAATTGGAGACAGTACATCAACTATCTTGAGAAAGAGCTTTCAAATTTAGTGAGTTCAAGGCGAAATTTCGTTCCTTCCCTACAATTAGGCAAAGAGGCAACCGTCTTAAAATAATCTGAAAGACATGACCTTGGACCTAGTTTCCTTTTTTTGTCACTCAGAATTATTGGAAGGTGAACTCGTTGCAGTCTCAGCACGTGTCCGCTAGTGCATACATGACATATTTAAGGGTCTCCTTTAGGCTCAAACTCTTTAGAGCTTCCACAATGAAAGTCATCACCCTTAGGTTCTCCGTTCATCAAGAATTAACGTTTCTTTGCTCTTAAGGAAGACAAGTCACTCTTATCCCGCATCGGTCTTTCTTTGAGGGAAGACTTTTCCATATCTTTCTTGGATGTGCAACGACTACTGGCTCTGCGAAAGAAGATGCACAAGTGCTCAACGATTATGGATATTTCGATGGATATCGGCCAATCACATGAATCTTTGTGGCAAAAAGTGCTGGGTATGCCCGATCACCCTTCTCTCAACGATAACCTTGTATCATCGATGGGGATGTACAAGGCGCGTATCCAAAATCACCGGCGGAGCATTCGGTATCTTATTAACTCTTCGTCCGATATTTTAGATCTTGTAAGTTTAAAGCTGCCTTTCACAACCTTCAAGCCAGAGATGCTGACCGCTATGAAGACGTCAAAAATCCTAGTGCACAAAAATGAGGAGCTCTTGATTCGATCAGGACTTGACATACAGCTCATGAATCAGACCACGAACCTGATTGCAGCAGAGACCAGGGACGAGCATCGGAATTCGGTCACCGTACTGAAGTCGACAAAAGAAGACTCTGAAAAAGTGAAGATTCTTACATACGTGGCTATGGTCTATTTACCAGCCTCTCTCGTAGCAGTAAGTTCCATCATCGACCGCCATTTTAATCCACAATTGCTAACAATCCTGCAGTCCGTCTTTAGCTCCAGCCTCATTCAAGTTGATTCGAGTAGCGGAATCAAGAATAGGCTTTATCTGCCGAAATACTTCTGGCTTTTCCCTCTCTTATCTATCGGCTTGCTGGGGGTTACAACTTTAATACTAGTTATTCTATCGTGGTGGCGGCAGTCGAGAAAATAAGGAGACGGATAGGTGGCTTAAAGAAGTAATGTTGACTACATTGCGACCTGTTGCACAAACGACCACACGGCAAACCTGCATCAGGAAACCGCGACCGCCGCATCGGGCAAGACGTGCGCACGGGCCCTGCGCCGCTTTCGCCGGGTACCCCTCTCCAGCTGTCCAAAATAAGCGACACACCAAAAAAGGGTTATTTATTTCGCAATTTTATTGCAACTCAACCACACATTACCTTCAATTAAAAATTGAACTAGGAGAAAGAGCAGAAGCTAAGTTCAATTGCACCAACTTTTTGAGTCCTGCCAGTGCAGGTGTTGTTGATTTTGCGTCGTGAGAATACTGGGGGCAATTCGCATTGGGTGTGGTGAGTGTGTCGCTTATTTTGGACAGCGGGAGCCCCTCAAGCGTGTAACGGACCAAATCAAGTTGAGATGCAAGAGGTGATCCATTCTTAGAATACTAAGGTGAAGAGCTCAGAAGAGCTCTGAACCGAGCTTATATACAGGAAATGAGGCCACGTGGCATAGGTGCCTAAGGCACCTACCGAGAGAGAGCCGCAGAGCCTCAGGACAGAGATCAGCGCTGTCACAAAGCGCCAGCCGGGAATTTTAGCGTGAAATCCTGGGTTTACGGGCCACATTAGCAGAACATTAAAATAAACAATAAATTAAAATAATTAAAATAAATGTAACAGCACGATGAAAAGCTCAGTACGTAAACAAAGAATCGATTCGGCTATTTTTTAAAATTTAAAAAAACTGTGACGGCACGTACGAGAAAGCACAATAAAGGCGTCGTAGACTGCTCTATTCGAAGATACTAAGCTAAGGAAAGGAGAAGAGAGTCTCCCGGAGGGAGACGAAGGCTATTTATACATAATACGGGCACTAGTGGACCTATTCCACGTGTGTTACAGCACGGGCAAGAGTCAATCTCAAGTGGACGGAACTCAGGTCGATTTACTATAACTTAGAATAACAAGGTAAAGAGAGAAGAAGAGCAGAGAGACGAGGGGTTTATATACAGGAAGCTGGACTACTCGCTTAGAGCCAAGGTCACGTGTAGCATCGTTACAGAACCAGATCTGTAACAATAATATATATAATTAAAAAATAATATTAAAAATATTTTTTTATTTTTTATTTTTTATTACGATCACGGGACTAGTGGACTATGGGCTCGGCAAGCGGGGAATCTCGACCTATGGTGGGCCCTGGGTCACGTAGTGGATCATAGGGGATCATAGGGGATCGAGCGATCCACTACGATTCAGGAAACGGAGGTCCTATATAGCGGCGAGTTGTCACTCACTAGGGAGGAACTCCGTGCTCAACTTGATTAAGTTTTCCTAACTACTATATTATTGCCTTACCTTACTTCATTCACTATACTAACCCACGTGACCTTACTAGGGTAAGGAGCGAGACGTGACACTTTGAGCACCCGGTTTTAAAGTAAGTATTCGGCAACTATGTCTACCTCTGGACGAGCAGAAACCCTAGTACCCACGGAGGTAACGACCATCGCGGTACAGGAACGTACCCTAGCTATTAAAGTACTAGACACTTATGATAGTACCCGACACAAGCTTAAATCGTTCCTTTGTTCTATAAATATCTATTTGATGTTCAACCCACATTTGTTCCCTAGCGAGAGGGCCAAAGTAGCTTTTGCCGCTAGCTACCTAAGGGGACTAGCCTTCAACTAGTTTAAGGCCTACTTGTCTAACTATATGACTAATCGACACGCAACAACTAGAACAATCCTTAACAGCGCTAGGGAAGAGACTAAAGTCATCTTTAGAAGGTTTAGAGGATTTAAGAAGGCTATAGTGGGGGTCTACGGGGATCTGGAAGTCGAGAAAACGGCTGAGAGGGAATTGATGAGGCTACGACAGACAAGGTTTGTTAAAAACTATACCTCTAAATTCTAGTAGTATTCTAATTAGGCTAGATGAGATAGGAAGGCTCTGAAAAGAACGTACTATATAGGCCTCAAAGAGTTCATTAAGGACGAGCTCGCCCGAGTAGAGCCTAAACCCACTAGCCTTCAAGAAACTATACGCTTAGCCGCAAGATTCGACGAGTAGTTCTATAAGAGGCGCCTTAAGCGAAAAGGAGTGTACTCTTATCGTCAACTATAGAGTTCCCCAAAGTCATAGGACAAGGGGGATCCTATATAGCTTGATAGAACTACGGCTAAAGGCTAGAAGAAGGGTGGAAGAGGAGGCTCTAATAGGAGGAAGCTTAGGAAGCAGCTTTCGCCAGAAGTTAGGATAGAACGTCGGGAGAAGGGACTTTATTACGAGTGTGGATTACTTAGCTATATTATATCTTCCTATAATAAGGGAAAGGGCAAGCAAGCTAACACTATAAAAGAAACCGAGACCTTAAGACAAGCTAATACTACTTATCGTATGGAGGATTAGGAGCACGATACTTAGCTAAGCTTAGATAGCAGCTAGTAGGGACCTCTAGATAGTACGCTAGAACTCTGTGATTCTAACGATAGATCAGAGGAATTAGGGACTCTAGTTGAGAAGAGTGTCTAGGGAGAGAACTATCAACCTAGGGAAGTTGAACTAATCGGGGCTCCTATAGACCCACTCCCTGAGGTCAACGAGGAATGGATCGTCGCTAGTATTAGTGGACTTTTAGTGACCTAGAAACCAAAGTACGGAAGGAAAGGCGAGTATGAGAGTCTGCTGTAGAGCAGAATGGATTTGCCTGAGATAGGAATATATTATACTGTCGTATATCGGAACGCGTGGAGAATTGCTCTCCGTACGACCGGATTACTAGTACACGTCTCGTACTTCTTAAGGAGGGAAGACTAGACTCAGACCCTAGATAAAGTCCTAAGGGTGGGGTAGATATGGGAGATAATCGCCTACTTAGCAGACCTTTAGGTGTAGAGGGAGGTAGTATTCCCACTCTTTAAGGGATATAAGGCACGGATCGCTATATAAAGGCAAGATAACCCGCTTGGGGCACGTTTGCGCGAGAGGACCCCCTATAGGCTCGTTGAGTGGATAATAGCCCTAAAAGTATGGGAATGCTAGTATACTAATTAGAGGGTAACGGAAATCAATACAATGGAAAGCCGACGATAGGCTTCGGTATAGTTTATACTTCCACCTCTTAGGTAGTTAAGTGCGATTATTAGGATAGTGCGGGGAAGTACGAATCACTTCTACATACGAGCGATAGTCTAGGGCAATTCGGTTCTAGTTATGCTCGATTTAGGGGCTTAAGGGAACTATATCTTTAAGGAAACAGTGTCCTAGCTAGGACTATCGGCCTAGCTAAAGGATAAGCTATATTCGCTGAGCACAATAGATAAGACAGCTATTGCTTAAGATAAGGGAAGGGTTGTGTATAACACATCCCTTCTACAAATGAAAATATAGGGATATGTTGAGATAATTGTCTTAGATATTGCCCCGATTAGTCGACACTAAATGGTTCTAGGGATTCTTTGGTTATAGAAGCACAACCTAGAACTTGATTAGACGAAATAAAGTTTAAGGCTTAATCGGTGTGATTGCTTAAACGAATGACTATAAGGACCTAGAGAAGCTAGTGCTACAGCTTCTAAGGTATAAGATTAAGCAACTACTAAGTAGCTTAACTAAGGACGAAAAGGAATACCTTATCTCTATAGGAAGTACACTAAGCTGTTTGAGGACCCCGAAGACTTAAGGGCCTTACCCAAACATTAGCCCTAGGACTATAAGATTAATCTGAAAGAAGGTAAGTAGCCGCCTTGCTAGAAGCTTCGCCGGTATAACCCGCAGACTTTAGGTATACTCGAAGAGTACGTGCAAAGAGCACTAGCAAAGGGATAGATTAGGAAATCCAAATCCCCTATAGCATCGAATATACTAATCACACACAAGAAGGACGATCTAAAGGGACGGCCTTGTGTGGATTACAGAGGACTAAACGACGCTACGGTAAGGGATGTGTATCCCTTGCCTAATCTCTAGAGTTTAAGAGATGCGATTAGGTCGGTAGTTATTTACACAAAGCTAGACTAGAATATAGCTTTTGCCTTAATTAGAATTAAGGAAGGCTACGAATAGAAGACAGCTTTTCTGCTGCCTTCTAGCCTATAGGAATACACTATTATACTGTTCGGACTTACGAACGCACTAGCTACATACTAATAATAGAATGATAATATTCTGCGGGAGTATTTAGGTAAGTTTGTAGTCTACTATTTAGATGACATTTTAGTGTATTCACAGAAGAAAGAGGACTACGAGAGGCATATGCGCCTAGTCCTCGAAGCCCTCTCTAAGGTCGACTCTAGGCTTAAACTCAAGAAGTACGACTTTGGAGTCACTAGTACAAAGTACTTAGGGTATGTTATTAAACCAGGAAAGGTATTAGTCGACCCAGATAAACTATAGGAGATAAGGGAATAGTAGTCGCCCTAGACGGTTAAGGATATTTAGTCCTTTCTAGGCTTTACCAACTTCTATAGGATGTTTATCTAAGACTTCTCCAAGCTCGCAGAACCGCTTACAGCGCTTACTAAAAAGGATATCCCGTTCGTATAAACACCCCAAGCGGAGGCCTCTTTTCGGGAAATAAAGTTAAGATTCTCGAAAGAACTAATACTCTAGTAGTATAAGGAAGATTAAGAAAGTATTGTTGAAACCAACGTATTAGACACGGCTATAGGGGCAGTGCACTTATAGAAGGCTAACGACGGGAAGCTATACTTTGTTGCGTATTTCTCTAAAAAGATGTTACCTGTAGAGCAGAACTACGATATTTACCAAAAAGAACTTCTAGTAATAGTAGAAGCACTTAGGCACTAGAGAGTATACCTCTAAGGGACTAAGTTCCTAGTTACTATCTACACCAACTATATGAATCTTCGGGCTTTTACAACCACTAAAGTCCTTAATAATCGAAGGTTAGCTCAATAGTCTAAGGAACTTGCTAGTTTTAATCTAAGG